CTAGCTATAGTACGCTAATATAGAGAGAAAGTAAGTAAAAGAAAGTAAGAAGTATATAAGAGAGTTAGGCAGTTAAGTTCCTAGCTAGTAGTAGTAGTTATAGTAGTAGAGTAGCTATTCTAAATAGTAAGAGAGATAACTCTAATATAGAAAGAGGTAAGAAGCTAGCGCTACGCTAGTAAGATAATATAATCTTAAGAGTAAAAGGCTAAGAAAAATTTTCTTAGCGCCTTAGGCTATAGAGATAATAGCTAGCATATAATAGCAGGTAGCAGAGTAGCTATATATACGCTAATTTTTTAGCAGCTTCTTAGGCTAAGAACTTCTAAAGTCTAGGTATATAGTAGGCCTTAGTAGGCTAGCAATAGTAAACTTCTAGAGCTTAGGTATATAGTAGGCTTTAGTAGGCTAGCAATAGTATACTTCTTAGAGCTTTAGATTTATAGTAGGCCTTAGTAAGCTAGTAATAATAAACTTCTAGAGTTTAGATATATAGCAGGCCTTAGTAGGCTAGCAACGATAAGCTCTTAGAGCTTTAGGTATAAACTTCTAGAGTTTACTACGTATAGTAAGCGTAGATAGGTAGGTAATAGCTTTAAGAGGTAAGTTCTTTTTAAAGAGATAAGCATTAAGCTATACTCTATATAGTAGAGTAAGAACTAGATTCTAATAGTAAGAAGAGATAAAAAAAGCTGCTAGACTTAATAAAGAGCTAATAATCTAAGGTTCTATGCAATAATTAAGCATAAGTAAGAAACTACTTGCGTTAATTAAGGCTATAAAGCCTATAAAGAGTAATTTTTACTTTAGTCTACTATTATATAAGGCAGACTATAGGCATAGAAGGCTTAGGTTAATAAGAAGTACTTATATTTAACTAAAGGTAGAATAGTAGATAAAGAGTCTACTAAGAGAAGAGAGTAGCTAGCTATATATACTATAAGGCGTGCAGGCGCTAAGCTAGCGTATACGCTAGCCTAGAGTAGACTAGCTAAAGTAAAAGAAAAGAGAAGAGAAAGCTAGAGTAAGTAAGATATATCTAGAGCGTAGGTAGTAAGTTAGAGAGTAGGTAGTAAGTTAAGTAGAGATACTTTACTTGCATACAAACCTTTCTAGTATCTCTTATAGCATAACTGTATATACTGCTTTTTTATAGTTAAGCATGCTATAAAAATTATGCCTCTTAAGCCTAGCTTAGAGCAGAGTAGTTATTATTATGCCTAAAGCAATTTTTAAGAAGTTTAGATATTAGTTAGTAGTGCCTATACTAGCCTTGCTTAGAACTATTAACTAACACTAGATTACGTATTTTATACTTTTTTAACGCTTTTTTATGCTAATAATAAAGAGTAATTACTATTCTCTTTTAGTCTAGCTTATTTTTTAATAATACCTCTAGTTTATATTTTATATCTAGAATAAATAGATACTAATAAAAAGCATAGGCTCTATCTAAAATGCCTATAGAATAAGAACTAAATAAGATCTTAATCTTTATATTACTAGCACTTATTAGCTTTTAAAATAGAAAAGAAGTCTCTAACTAGTTTAATGCTACTAATAAAAGAGACTCTATAACTAGCAATTTGCATCTATAAGATAGAAGATATAGTCTACTAGTTAATTATAGAGATACTATCTTATAGAACTTACTAAAATACAGCTCTTAATAGTCTAGTAATAGCTAAATAATAGCATAATATAATTACTAATATAAAGTATAATATAAGCAAATATAAGTTATCTTATAAGTATAAAGAACTTATATCTTAAGAAGCAGTAGTAGTATAGAGATTTATATTAAAAAGAATATTAAAAATGCATAATCTATAGAGCAAACTAATATCTAGCATTAAGAGTAACTTTCTATCTTACTTCTAAAGCTACTTATATCTAAATTTTCTTAGCATAGTATAAAACGCTAAGTAATAATATAGAGATATTCTAGAAAAAGAAAGCCTTAATAAATTAGAAGCTAGCAGATATATAATCTTTAACTACTTTAAAATATAAGTAATAGTATCTTACTCTGCGCTTACTACTCTAAAGGCAGCATAGTTTAAAATATATAGTAGCTATAAAGTTAAACGCTTTATATTAAATAGTATAAAGAACCTCTTTACTAATCTAAGTAAGAACTATTTTCTAGTATAAGAGGCATATGCTATAACTAAAAGCAGCCTAAAGTTTTAAAACCTATTAAATTTATACTCTAAGGTTAAAATTCTAGTAATACTAAGCTAGATATAGAGTATTATAGCAGAAGATATAATAAAAGCAGCTAATATACTACTACTACTAAAGAAAGTCTATGCTAAAATTCTTATAAAGTTATATAAACTAATTATATAGAGAGTAATATAGCTAAGCTTAAGAGAGAAGTTTAGTAATAAGAGTATCTTACTTATATAGAGAGATATAATATAGCATAAAATTAACCTTAAGCTTACTAAATAGAGAGATCTAAATAGGCCTTAGATTATAGTAGCTTTAATAGTATTTATAGAAGCAATTATACTAATAGAAGCTATATATGTTGTTATTATAGAGCTATAAGATAAGCAGAATATATAAGATTAATTTATATTCTAAGTATACTAACTTAGCTAGTTAGCAGAAATATATATTAGCATTATCTATTTTAACCTAGATAGTAAACTAGAACTTAAAGTACTAAGTAAGTAGAACGTTAAAATAACTTTCTAAGATAAACTATAAGATAGAGAATTAATAGTTATAGATTAACGCATAGACTAGTATTAAACTAAACTAATTTTTATAAGTTTAGAAGTACTCTACTAAGATCTAGCGTACTACTAAGAAAAGTGCTTAATAGTGCTTAATAGTGCTTAATAGTACTTAATAGTAGATAACTATATAGAATATAAGACTAGCTATAGTAATAGAATAATTCTTATATTACTAATAATTCTAATAAAGCTCTTTCTAGTAATATCTATAATATCTAGTTATAATATAGAAAGAAGTAAATATATAGTAAGATACTAAGAAAAGTATATTAAAGAAGTAAACTTTAATAGCGTAAGTAAGAAAATAAAGTAAGTAAGAAGAAAGAAAATATAATAGTTAAAGATAGTAAAGTTACGTGCTAGACTATTGCGTTAATAGTTCTAATAATTCTAATAGTACTAACTATTTTAATAAAGTTTTATTTTAAAGTATATTTAATAATAAATATAAATTTCTTAAATTAATTAACTTGCTAGCAACATAGTTAATTCTACAGTATTAATAGAAATAAATATTTAATAGATTTTTAGTTTTCCTAATATATAATATTAATAATGTAGTAGCATAGCGCAGCTTCTACTAGCTACCTTTAAACTAGGCTAGTAAGCCTATATACTCTAATATAGATAATTTTAAATATATAAAGCTTATCTTATAGTAGCTCTTAAGTAAGACTAGTTATAACAGTAATATAATATAGTATAGAAGTTTAGATAGTAAGATAATAATAATAATAGCAGTGTAACTTAATAAAGAAGATAGAAGATTATAGCTAGATAGATAGTCTTATCTATTCTTAATCTATACGCCTATATAGTTTTGCTACTATAGTTATATAAACTATAGATACTATATAAATTATAAACCTACTAAGCTTAGCTTAAGGTAGAGTTATTATTATTATCTAAGCTAATTTTTAAGAAGTTTCTAGTATTAGTTTATAGTATCTGCATAAGCCTTGCTTAGGACTATTAACTAGTACTAGATTACGTGTTTTTATAATTTTTTAACGCTTTTTTATACTAATAGTAGAGAGTAGTTACTATCTTCTTTTAGTCTAGCTTATTTCTTAATAATATCTCTATTTTGTATTTATATCTAGAATAAATAGTATATAATACTATTACTACTGCTATTATTCTTATCTTACTACGTTAATATATAGCTATCTTATATAGTTTCTATTATAACTCTAATCTTAATAATATATACTATATAACTTTTTATACTTTTAACTATAGTAGCAAAAAGTTTAGAGATATAAAAAGAGACTTTATATAGAGCACTTAATAAAAAATATATAAGAAGTTATTTAGATTAAGCTCTTAGAGTTAAGATAGATCTTCTCTTTAATAAGGTTTTTAGCTTCTATATAAATTCTACGCTAACTATTTTAAGACGCAGATTAGGCCTATTCTATTATATTCTCTTATCTAGGTTCTTTATATATAATAGTAAGATATATAGAGTTAAGATAAGTAGTATACTCTTATAGAATTATAGAATTATTTAGTTTTAGTATAAATAGTAGCTTAGAAGTATAGTATTCTACTTATAAGATTATATATAAGTAAGCTACAGATTATAGAGCTAAGTATATATTACTTAGCAAAGAATATATAGAGTATATAAGTAGCATATTATTCTAAGAAGTAATAAAAGAAAAGAGATACTTTAGTTACTTTATAGTATCTATACTTTAGAGTAGATATATATATAGTATAAGCGTAAAGTAATTAGTTTCTAGAACTAATTATCTTTTATATAAGTAGTAGAAGTAATTAAATTAAATATTTTAGGTTTTTAAGTAGTAGTAGCAGCAATTAAATTAAATATTTTAAGTTTTTAAGTAGCAGTAGCAGCAATTAAATTAGTTCTAGGAGTTAGGCAAGTATTCGCAACAAGTATTGCTGTTGATAGGTCGCAAGCGGTTAAGGCGAGAGAGCCGAGGCAGAAGGCCGAGGCCGCGGCTTCGGGAACCTTAGCTTACCATCATCTCACCCTATCCATATCATCATCCAATAGCGTCCACTCAAGAAATACGCAACCCTGTCTTATATTACTTGTACTCAAGAACCTTAGTCTTATTACAGCGATCCTCTGTTGAGTCGACGTCTGAATACTGTCGCAACGTCGCACCCTTGGATAATCTTTGCCTACACTGTGATAGTTGAGTATTACCTAACTAGAAATGATTCTGACTAATAGAATATTGAAAATAAACCATGTTTTTATAGTGTATCTTCAGGCTACTTTGACCAAGCTTCCTCAGTCCAGTATCGAAGGAATTTCCCAATCAACTCCTCACTGATATCTATCCCGCCCGCAAGGCAAGGCACCCACTTCCTCGCCTGAGTGGTGTCGAACTTTGGCTGCGAGGCTCCCTGTGCCGATCCATATCTGCCCTTGAAGAACTCGAGCAACTTGTAAGGCGGGTTAACTCGCACATCCTGTTCCGAGGCTTCCAGCCTACGTAACCATTCTTTCTGCTCCACCGCGTCAAACTCTAGTCCGTGCTTCTTTAAGCCTGGCAGGAACTCGGCGTTCCAAGGGATACGTGCCTCGTTGACAAGATGCAGCACATGGAAACCCGCTCCGTTTTGCTCAGGCGCCAACGCCACCTGCGCCAGCGCCTTTGCCGCCACATCCACAGGCAACCAGCTGTCGTCGTCGTCGTCGCCATGGCCGCCCTCTACCACGGGCAACGCCCCAATCGTGCGGGCTGCCTGAACCGTTGTCGGAATCGCTTCAGCCGGATTCCACATTCCCCATTCGGTATCGCCACACACCTGCCCCAGCCTCACGACGCGAGCCGGAACTTGGGCCATGTCGGTGGCGGCGGCGACCATGTGCTCGGCTACCCACTTGCTCTGCGCGTAACCCATTCCGGCCACGGCGGGCCATGGATGAAGGGTCTCGGGGATGGCGTGGGCGGGCTCGGCACACAAGGCAGCGGCGATACTGGAGACGAAGGTTACAGTCGGTTTTGTGGAGCGGAGTGACGATGCAGCGAGAGTGAGGAGAAAGTGAGTCGAGCGGAGGGACTGCGGCTCGAAGCTGCGAAGCGAGTGGTTGAAGTTGACGGACCAGGCGTTGTGAATGATGTGCGTGAGGGTCGAGGAGAATTGCGCGAGGAGGCTGGCGGGGAGGCCGAGATTGGGCGCGGCGAAGTCGCAGGGGAGGGCGACGATTTTGGAGAGGTGGAGTGTGGTGTCCAGGCGGGGGAGGAGGCGGGCGTGCTGGAGGGCAGCGTGGATGCGCGTGCGTGCCGTGGGCGCGTCGGGCGCGCGCACAGGACAGTAGACGTGGGCGACGGCGGGGTTGGTGGCGAGGTTGCAGAGCACGTGAGAGCCTACAGCCCCCGTGGCACCGGTGAGCAGCACGCACGGCGACCCTCCGGTCACGGAGCCTGGGGGCGCGGGCGTGAATTGCGAGTACTTGGCGACCAGCGACTGGGCGAAGTCCTCCGGGCAGTCTTGGTGGGTGGAGAGGCCGCGGCGAAGGTCGAGCAGATGGCGGGTCAAGAGCGCGACGGTGGCATGTTCGAAGACGACGTTGGTGGCGAGCGTGGCCCCGCGCAGGTTGATGCTCTGGACCAGACTGGAGCGGACATTGGAGGCCTGCAGCGAGTCCATGCCCAGCGCGAAGAAGTCGGCCTCGTCGTCGACTGCGCACGGGTCCAAGGCCGCGGCAACGGCATGGCGCACGACGGAGCCGACCTGGTCGTCGGGCACGTCGGCTGCCTCAGTCGCCCGGGCTCGTGCTTGATAGTGTTGCTCGATGTCGGCAGCGAAGGTCTGCAGGAAGCGCGGCTTGATGACCGTGGCCTTGTCGGTGCTCGGGAACGGCGTGCCTGCGTCCTTGATAATCACGGCGTCGCGAGAGATGCGCGCATACGCTGGCACGCGAGAGTTGCCCACGTCGACATCGGCGGCGATGCTGTCCATCACGTCTTGCTTGCTCAGCATCTTGGCTTCCTCAGAGGCGACCACCACCATGCCCAGCGAGTCCCGCTCTGCCCCAAACACTACCGCTGCGCACACGTTGCGGTTCCGCAACACGGCCTCTTCCAACGGCGTAGGGTCTGCCTTTTCCCCGTTCATCAGTACGATGACATCGTCTTGCCTGCCCACAAACCTCCATATGCCTGGCTCCGTCGGATGCGGCCGAAAGACATCTTTTGTGGCATACGACCCATCCTCGCGATCCGAATATACCTTGGCGGGAAGCCCTGGCATCACGACCAGGTGAAAACAATCGTCTTCGACAGGCTCGAACTTCAGGAATGGCGCTGCGTGCGCCAACGGAGTGACCCATCGGAAATCTGGCGCCCATGCTTCCATCAGCGCACCTGCTTCGGTCAAGCCGTAGAGATGATAGACACGCGCCTTCTTAGCCAGCAGCACTTCTGCTAGGTCGTTGGGTATTGCCGAGCCAGCGGCGATGATCTGAGTGAGACTGGCCAGTCGCTCGACACCGCCAGGAATCTCGGTGAAGAATTTCAGGATATCTAACAGTTCACTGGTCAGTGAAGCCAAGGTGCCGGACAAACGGATAAACACTTCTTACATGGAACAGTAACTAGCGTCTTGGATAGCGTGCACTCGAGGGAAGCGTTAATGATGGATGCGGTTATCGGTCGGTTGGCATTCAAGATTGCGAGCGTCGTGCCGTTGACGAGACCACGGAGTAATGTCGCCAGGCCAAAACTATGGAACAAAGGCAGCGTCGTCAAAGTATCGGCACGGGGTATACGAGCAGCCACCACAGCTGCTTGTGCCAACCACGAGCTTGGAGAGAGCACGACTGGCTTGGGCAAGCCTGTTGTACCGCCGCTATGGATGATGAACTCTTGCTTGCAGTCAGCCGGTACAGGCAACATATCTTCATCCTCCAGCCTCAGATCGGAGAGTGACTGCAGATCCATAAGTGGTATGACGGTTACTGTCGATTCGCTCATTTCGCAAACTCGTTCAATTGTCTTGATAGATGATGCTGCTGCGATGACCACCTGGCATCCTGTCGTGGCCAAGAGATGCGCATATCCTTGGTCCGCGAGCCGTGGAGACATGAACATCGACGTCAATCCCATGCGCTGCAATCCTAAGAATGCAATGTAGTACTCGAAGCTCGAAGTTCCTACCAGAGCGACCCTGAACACCCCATCCTTCTCGGGAAGCGCTCTGCGATATGCCCTCGCCGCAGCTCTTGTCAATCGCTCTACGTCAGCTCCTGTATAGTTCTTAAAAGCACCATTTTCGTCGGCGTAGGAGAAAATCGTCTCGTCTGCATGCGTCTTTGCACGATCCCGTATCAGCTGGTCGATATTTGCATAGGACACTTCTTGTGAGAGGCCCATTCTCGGGGAACGAGTCGATTAACAAAAACTCGGAAGTTGGAAATATGTCCAGACAGATCGAGGGACGGCTTCGGCGACGCGTGGCAAGGGATGTGAATGTAGCAAGACAAGGAAATGGGTGAGTTCTATTATACGCCTCTGCACCCTTCGGCTTAATATCAGCGAGATTGGAGTGCGTCCCAGATGCTTGTTCACAAACAAGTGTTTCTGCCTAGACTATACGAAGCCACTCCGAATGGAGTGTGCGCACTGGATTATTAACCACGACGGTAGCGATACACGGCATACAAGGGACTGTATGCCCTTCATCATACCACCACAACACAATCTGGCAATAGTGCTGATGGCGTCCCGAAATGCCCCCGGATTATGTCTCACTCACGGCAGTTGATGATGATGGTCGAGAGAGTACAAGAGGTGCCCATGAACGGTTGAGTAGTGGGCCAACCCGCACAGACAAATTTTCTATTTTGCGTACTACTCATCCGCTCACGGGCACCCCTTGTATCAAGGCACCCCATAAAGCCTGGTACCATGCATGCCGGCCAGATCAGCGATGCCGCAATGATTCCGAGTCATCATTCGTACCGAACGCTACCTCCGCTGTGCTTACTATCTCGGTCCGATTGAAACCTAATTAGAGAATATCCCGCAATAGTTCCCTCGGGACCGGTACATCAAGCGGATGTTTGTAAGTCTTGTGGTTCTGTTGCTCTTTCGCGATAAAGTTTAATTCGCTCGCCATTTTTATCAATTTTTCCAGCAATGGCTTTCTTATGATTTTCTTATCTAAGCTTTCTATATCTTTCTAACTTTCTCTAACGTCTACAGCCCTCACCGCTGTATAAAAGAAAGGAACGTTGCGCACGGGCTGGTTAGCAACATTGAGTAGTGTATATTATAATTGGTACCTGTGCCTTACTATATCAAGACTAGCGTCTTAAACGCCCCGTTCTATTGTACTTAAGCTCCTTCTAAACTCCGGTCTAACTAATTAAGCTTTGTGCACTGCCTGTTCTACGCTTGTCTCTACTTCTGTTCCAGCTTCAACATTGTGCCGTAGCAGTGCACAAACACTCGTACACATTTCTCAAACATTCCTGTTCCGCTAATTCGAATGAACCTTCCGTCAGTCCTCCCATGTGCGGGATAGGCACTACCTTATCGCTTTCCAGAAAATATGGATCGATACCAGTTGGTTCATTCTCGAACACATCGAGTCCCGCTCCGGCAAGCTTTCCACTCTCCAAAGCTCTAATCAACGCCTGACTATCAATAACAGCACCCCGTGCAGTATTGACAACATATGAGCCATCCTTCATCAGGTTAAACTCTCTGTCGCTCATCAGGTGCCAAGTATCTTGGTTGAGCGGGCAGTGAAGTGAGACAACGTCCGAGGTCTGCAGGAGCTCGTCAAGAGTTGCGCAGTGTACCGAGCCGGTCGGGAATCTGTTTGCCATCGGTTTGCCACTTTTGTTGTAATACAGGAGCTTCATGCCAAGTGCTACGGCCTTTTGAGCAAGACATGATCCAATGCTACCCGCTCCTACGATCCCCAACGTGATAGATCTCAAATCCCGTGACAGGGGCAGGTGGCCTCGCCACGCACCCGAACGTAGACTCTGCTCTGCGCGGCTTGTGTTACGTGTCACTGCCATGATGAGGAAAAGGGCAATGTCCGCAGTAGAATCGGCCATGGCATGTCCAGTGTTGCAGAACAAGACACCCTGCTTCGTCATCCAATCTACATGGAAGTCGTCAAAACCTCTCTGTGCCGACACCACGATGCGGAGATCTGGTAAGAGAGGCCCTAGAAGTCGGGAGTCGAATGGCTCGAATGGCTGAGGCCCAAGCCGGCAGACCAAGGACTGGTACGGACCGCGGGAGGCCACTATCTTTGGTATGGCCTCGAGTGCCTCTGCCCTCGTGGAAACGTCAAGAATCTAAGCACCACAGTTAGTTGGGAATAGAAAATCGAGGGGTCTCTGAGCCTAGTACATCAATGTCGAACAAATCAGAATACTGGTCGCGAATTCTGCTGGACTGATGTTTGGGAACACCAAGGTACAAGACCTTTGGTCTGATGGCGAAGCTTGTAGTCTGGGCGCACATGTTCTTTGAAGCAATTGAGTATACGAGGTTGAATTGGAAGAATTTTCGTGTAATCAATACGCAGCGTATGAGTCACAATTTGCGGATTTGGTGCATTTATATAGCACTTTTCCGCGACCTTCATTGTACCTAGCTTCTTCCAGACGCTTATCAAGATCTTCTAATAGCACAGATAGGGCATAACTGTGCTAGCCCCCTGCAGGGGTGTTTTAATAACATCATGAGCCTTTTTATCACGCAATCAGCTCACTTACACAGCAGCTGTCTTAGTGCTGACCGTGTCTATGTGGGCGCTTTTTCGGCCCAAGCTCGGCCCGTTGTAGTATACGTGAAAACTCGTCTAAATGCTAGCTTTCGGCCTCCAAGTACAAAGTAACTAGATAAGCCTGCTAGCTTTCGGCCCGCAACAGTGGAGCAACCGTTCAGACGCTAATTGCGACCTCAGATTAGACAAGGGATGTCATTCGTTCGCTTTCCTCGCCGTATTCGGTCTTTTAGACGGGCTTTTACGGTAGCAGCTCTCGGCAACTAGCTGCAGCGCGATACACGGCACTCACTGTTAGAGTTTGCTTGTAGTGACGGCATAAGCTCTAGCAAGGATCACCAAGCTTTCTCACCCTTAGGGTCAGAATCACCCCTACCGGGTTCATATGCAAATTTCCGGCCGCGGTAAAGCATGCGCGTCGACGGCACAGTTCCCTTACAGTGTAATGGCAAGCGACAGTTAGGTCAGGTATTCTCATCTCCCAGGCGAGCTGCTCTGTACTTCAAATAGCTCAGATCCCTTTGCGAGGAGTCGAAAGCATCACCAAGTCCTCTCATCTCTTTCACCATGCTGTTGAAGTTGCTTGCGCCTGCTCTACTGGCTGTTCTCCCTCTTGCTCATGCAAAAACTGCATGGCAACAGAGACAGTTTGACGCTCCTGTTCCTTCGACGTCTAACGCCACCTTTACCAGCAATAGCTTCAAGACCAAGGACGATGCCCTCGCAGCTCTAGCGGCCGTGTTGGGCGAAAGAGCTCCGGTCACACGGTCCGGGGATATCAGATACGGTCAGAGCATTAGTAGAGTATGAACATACTTCACTCGCACAGCATTATCGACTTTGGTATACTGATCTTGGTTGACAGATATGGACGGAGCAACTCAAAATTTTCCCCGATGCAATCGTCTTCCCTTCCGGCGCCGAAGACGTCAGCACGATTATGCAATTTTATTCTCACGCCAATACCCTCTGGAAAGATGGCTTTGCCATCTTAGGCGGAGGTCATCTTGATACGGGTGGCGCTCAGTCACCCAGTGTAGTCATTGATCTTCGCTTCATCAACACGACTGAGATCATTTCTAGCAAGGTCAATGCTACTGAACCACCCGTTTTGAAGGTTGGTGGTGGCTCAGAAGCTGGAACCGTCTACGCTGCGGTTGAAAATACGGGCTGGGCCTTTCTGGGACCTCGCGCGGCATCTATCGGTGTTGGTGGCTTCTTGCTTGGTGGAGGAATTGCCTTCCAGACTGGCAAGTATGGTGTTGCTGCCGACAGCCTCCTAGGTCTCGAGGTGGTTCTTACCGACGGCCGCATCGTATACGTGAACCCCTACAACGAATACAAAGACTTGTTCTGGGCAGCTACGGGCGGGGGCTGGCTTGGTTTTGGCGTCGTCACCAACTTTTACATTCAAGCATACCCAGATCCAGGCGAGGCATACATTGCGACTATCGCCTGGGGTGAAGACAAGGCCGAGGAGGTTTTCGCTTTGACTACCGACTTCTTCGAGAACAACACAGATCCCGATGCCTTTCCAGCGCTCTTGTATTACTACAAGGATCCTAAAGCCATCAACAGCTTGGTCCCAGTCACCTCACGTCAGTTTACCTTTCAGCTCAACGCCCTCCACTTTGGCGGTGGATGGGAGGCGTTGAACGCAAGCTTTGCTAAATTCTACCCTAATGCGGACACTGTGGAGCTGCAAAAGGTCAATCTGAAGAAATTAGACCAATACCTTCTCACCAACTACTCCATATGGATATCACCGCGAGTTCTTCGGCAAGAGCCACACCAACTCAACTGTGGACTTCTACCGCGAAACTTTTGCCATCTACAAGGAGACTGTTCTCGGTATGATTCAGCGTGGTGAGGACCCTGGCCATACACTTTGGGTTGACGAGTGTAAGTTGAACCCAGCCTCGTATCTTTGCCGCCTTTAATCCGTATTCTAATTTTGTTGCAGATGTTTTCCCTGGCTGGGGAGGTACAGGCCCCGAGCACGACAGCGATACTGCCTGGCCACACTCGACTAGCGCGCATATAACGTTGACTTCAGGCGAATGGAGTTCAGACAACACGACGCAATACATGTACGACCGCGAACGCGACGGTATGATGGCGTACCTGCGCGAGTTCCAGAACGGCCTTGGCGGAGCACCCATTTATGACTACCCCAACTACATGTCAGTTCTTCCCTTCTCTTCAACTTCCCCATTGCCTAACCATGATCAAATAGTACACCAGACAGTAAGCCCGGGGAAGTCTGGGGCGCAGACAACTATCGCCGTCTGACCGAAATCAAAGAGAAGTACGATCCTTCTTGTCTCCTGAACAGAGGCCGCGTTCCTCCCACCTCAGCATGTGTAGAGAAGGGCGTAGCGAACACTTTTCTCTAGTGCAAAGAAGATGTAATCGGTAGGAGAAGAATCTACCAGTAAGAGAGAAGAGAGTTTACAACAGAGGTATAGAAGCAGAGTAACATTACTACCTACTATAGATTGTTCTTTGTCTTTGTTCTATCTTTTGCTTATACTATCTACTTTAGATAGTAGAGTTACTATCTATCTAGACTAGCGTAGTACTTTCTTAGAGCTTACTTTTCTTATAGCATATATAGCTAGCCTCTTTTTCTTAGTCAATCTTTATATATTCTTTTGTCTTTAGTTAAATAAAAATACTTCTTCTTAACTTAAGTATCTCATCTGCCTTTAGAGAATAAAGTAAAATAGTATATTTCTTTATTCTATACTAGATCTAGAGTTATTAAGCTCTAGATTATTGATTTTTCTTAGTAAAAATTAGTAGCTTACCTACTTATATAGCTTACTAACTTATAAGGTATATTAATATATATAGGCTCTAAGTTAGATTAAGAGGTAATTTTAATATCTTTAAAGTTTAGTTACGTATTAGTATAAGAAAGAAATATAATTATTATAAGCTAGCTTATAAGAATAGAATGTTATAGTGCTAAATAAAGTTATATTTCTTAGTTAAGAAGATGTCTATATACTATCTATATATATTCTACTTACTAACTAATTAAGTCTAAGATACTAATAAGAAGGCTCTAAGTATAAGCGCAGCCTATATCTTAACAGTAGATTACTATATATTATAGTAGTTAATAGTTACTATATAGGCGTATTAGTAGTATTAGATAGTCTACTTACTTATAAACTATATTACTAGAATAGAAACTATACTCTAATAGATATACTAGAATAAAAACTAAGCTTAATTAGAAAATATAACCCTTTTTACTATATAATATACATAAATAAGGCTAGGCAATTAAGTAGGTTAGCAATGCATTTTTATCTATAGTAGCAGAAGATGCTATTTAAATTTAGTTCCACGCAATAGTTCTGCTCTTCTCGTGGGACTCTCTTCCGAGCTCAATCATTCTCAACACATCACGAACTTGTGCAGCCTCAATTGCCAACCTAGCTTTCCCGTTGATCGCATCAGCTACATTCTGGTAGAGTTGCATCCAATGCCCGCGCACAGTTGGATACTTCCCAACGTATCGCTGCGATGCCTCATCGAAGGCTTGTATGCTCTTGTCGAACTCCTTGTATGTTGTGAGAGTGCCTCGAAGTGCATCCGGTTCCGCAGCGAAGTCAGGATCCAAGGGCTGTGCACCTCGTGCGATGTCCTCTTCTTGAGGACAAGAGCTCCGCTGTTGATGCTTGATGTATGATCCTCTTGTTCCGCGAATCCAAAACTTGAGCTGTTGTGCCATCGGCGAGACGACGCATGTCTTGACTGTCACCAGCAGGCCCTTTTGCTTGCCATCATATTGGAGAATAATGGTGAAGGAGTCTTCAACTTCGCTTTCGATACCGCGCTGCACACGGAAGAAGGCCGTCACGGAGGCGGGTCGGCCGAAGAGCATGTACGCCTGATCGAGGCTGTGCGTACCAAGTCCAAAGGTATGACCGTCGCCAGCGGTGTATTCTTTGCCTTTCATGAACTTCAGCCACGGCGCTTGGTCAAAGTCGTAGTGTATCTCAGCTTCATTCACATCGCCGAGCGTCCCCTTCTTCAGAATCTCCTGCACTGTCAAAAAATCGCCATCCTGAACATGCCGTCAGTATCAGATGGAGCCACAGTAGGCCGCACCAAGTATAACCTACGTATCTGCGGTTCTGGAAGCAGGTCAGGATCAGTCCTTTCTCCTTTGCCAGCGCGATCACTGAATCCGCCTCCTCGGTTGACCTCGCAAAGGGCTTGTCGATTATCACTATCAAATCAGCCTCGAATTCCGTTTTGCGCCTCGGTACAATCAAAACGCACCGTGCTTGCCTGCTTTCAGTGCCTGCTCCGCAAACAAGACGTGAGTATCAGCATGCGATGCAACAACGACGAATTCGATATCTGAGTTTGCAAAGAATGCATCTGCTGTTCTGTGGTGCTTAACACCGGGAAAATCAACCGTGCAGTGCGTTCCTTTCGCGACAGATCCGGCGTCTGCTGGAGCTTCAGCCCTTTGCAGGACTGCAACGACTTCGTAGTCTGGAAGTGCATTCACGAAAGGCAAATGGAAATTCTTCGCTGCAAAGCCGTAGCCGATCACTCCAACCTTGATTGGAGCCATAACTTGAAGCGAATTCAACGTCGTGAACTGTTGTCCGGGAATATCGCAAACGTGGTGTTGTCAACAACAGTAACTTTCAATCACTTTGCTCGCAGGAGGCCTCATGTAGTGATCGCATCGCCACTTACATACGTATGATGTGCCTTCATGTGGGGTCAAGCATACTCACGGCTTCCCCAAAGCGCAACGCGCCTGCATTTACCCGCGACTGCCCGCAGCCACAACATCCACTAGTCAAACCTATAGGCTAAAGACCAAGAGCGCGCCAGCCAGCAATGATTTGCGACGGGCCGACAACCAGCTCGAAAAGTTTGACGCTGTTGTGAACGTAAAGCAGCCTGCATGCGTTCTGGAGGAAGTGTGCCACCATCGATTATATGCAGTTCTTGGGGCTACACTGAGGCGTTCCAGGTAATCGCAACATGTGGAAATGGTATTGCGATGATTGAGGCGCACTCATCCTCTCCACGGACCTGAGAGCATTCACTGCTACAGCTATGATGCCTATGGCTACTTCGATCGATAAAACATCAACGCAAGTATTGGGGTGAACTAACATGACAATGCCTATTTCGACCAAAGCAGGCGGCGAAAACCTGAGCGAATGTCCATCATTACAATTTGTAGCGCAAATGTAGCTAACAGCCTGAGTAGTTTCCCTACCGCCCGTCTTTCACTTTCGCGTCATGTGGGCGGGTCTGCTGTGACCGTTAGCATTGAGGTGTGTGCGGGCTTATGTTTCGTCGTACCTTTGTACCAGATCTGTCTTTGATGTTGACCTCGCGCTGAGGGCGTGGTAGTGTTTGAGCACCTCGATCTTCAAAGTCGTGTCACGTAGAGTTTGGCCTTTTGGAATCCCGTACTTCGACTTCAACATCGTGTAGGTGTTGCATCATCTTCAACATTAAGATCGCGGCGTAGCTGCGGCTTGGGCGTCTTGTTAGCAACCTCTTCTTCTAGACCGGCCTATCACGCATGCATCTTTGCATTGGCTTCACATCCAGCCGCCTTGCAAGAGTTGACAAAATCCTGGTAGTGGTTTTCACGCTTCACAAATTTAATGATTGTGTATCGTTAGTGTGGTCCAAGGCGCACGTAGCTTTGCATCTTTTGCGACTTCCATATTCTTGGGTTTGGAAAAGTGTAATGAGATGCATAGCTAGACTCAAACATGTCTCCTAAATTAGCATAAGTTATCCTTTGTACCGAGGGTGTCAACTACAAACTAATTAGAGACTTGAATGTTGCATTTACTGGCGTCGCACTCCCTTTACATGTTGCCAATGGCAAAACCGAACCTCGTGCATGCGGCAAAAGCGAATTCCCGATGTGAGATGCGCAAAAATCAGGGTAGATGGGCGCATGTGAAGAAATTGTTTCAACGAGGTGATAGCTTTGAGCCGAAGTGGTTTTTGCCGTGCAATGGAAATGATGAGAATCAATTCACTTTCTCGTAATCATCCATACATGGCCGTCTTTCGGCCTTCATAAGACTTCGATTATTCATAGAGGTCTTCTCGTAATTGTCACTGACCAGTTGTTCGACGGTGAGGCTGATTTTGAACTACCTGATGGCTATGGTACATCCAGGGGTTAGAACTGAAACTCTTGGAATGGTTGTTTAGTTCATCGGCACTGTACATCGTGCTGGATCTATGTGGTAACCTGAGACCTTAATGTAGAACACAAAGTCAATCGACACCGTGTTATTGCGCTGGAAACTTCTTCGGGACATGGAGACACGAGCTTTTCGCATTTCCGCGCCCAGAACTTCTCCATCTTCACCATCCATTACCCCCATATTCACCTTGCTAAACCATGCAACTTTCACTGCTAGGGTACAACCTAGTCACCATCATAAAGGTGTTCGTACTGGATCCGAACAGAGCGTTCCACTGCGTGTTCGATGGTGTACCCTATCGAGGACGTGGCATTTTGGCATCTGCTTCATTCGTCACCTCTCGTATCAATCTCGCCAGATCATCCACAGCATCAACCTCGACCAGCATCTTTTTCGTCCCCTGATTGGCAAGGCAATCTCCCCACTCAACCTCCTCTTCCCAGCCCCACTTACGCTCCTCCAGTCCACCGATGACATCGGAGAGAATGATCCTTGTCCGGATGCCAAGACTCTGCGCACCCCGACAAAATGATTCCAAGTTGTTAAAGGTCTCGTGCTTTGGCCACTTCCTGGGCGGAAGCTCGATAACGATTTCGTTGAGTTTGGGAAAGGCTTCTTTCTTCCGAACGACGAGATTTAAAGCGGGCAGTAGGCAGTCGTCTTCGAAGCGCAGAGTTTCGGCGTCGTTGTCAGGTGGAGGCTTGGCTTGGGACTCTGCGCGGCAGATCCATAGCTGTTGCAAGCTGGCAGGGAGCGATTTCCACAGCATCTCTTTCGTCGCACCATCTGCCAAGTTTGCTTGGTTGCTAAAACCTTCGATTCCCCAAATGTAGACGGGCGCGACTTTGAGACGTTTGAGCGCAGTGAATGGCTTGAAATCGCAAGGATATGGTTTCTCGTAATCATTGTCGAATTGATGGGGGTAAAACTTTTCGTGACTCAAACACAGAGCCTCCAAAGTTTGGTGGTGCGCTTGTAGACTTGTCATGATGTCTAGATGGGATATCTGGCACCATGCCCATGCACAACCGATCTCGTAGACCAGCGTCTTGAGGCTACCAGGTTTAGTGGCATTCATCAAGAGTCGAAAGTTGTCGTTGTGTAGTTTTGAGGTCCGCAGCTCAATGTATTCGACTGGGCTCGAGCGGGGTTTCAGTCGAGCAAAGTCTGGACCCGCATCTCCTTCGTGATCACCCATCTTCCATGCATAGATGGAGCGAAGATTTGGCATGTGCATCAAGGCTGCAACATGTACAGGTGGGTTGGGATACTTGTCGTCATCCCCCCTGACCATTACATCAACTTGCGGAGTTAAATGGTCGTCGCGCGACTTGAGCTGGTCAGCAAGGAGTTCGAAGACTGATACGAAGTCGGGGTGGCCATCAGAAAAGCCGGCGTTCATGTCCAACCGCCTCAGGTTCGGAAGACTGACTAGCAGCAATGCAACAATAACGTCCTCGTTCAATCCGGTCTTGATCTTATCGTAGACTGACTCTGCATCTGCTTGATTTAACGCGAATTTGGCAAGCTTGCTTCTCAACAAGGTTTCCAAACCATGAATTCCAACATCTGGCCAGGGACACTCCGGGCCGTCCTCTTCGGCATATTCTGGGTTGGGGCCCCAGGCCTGTTCTAATACAACTCCAGTAACGAGACGAGCATGCGCTGGCGACTTGAGCAGCGTATGTGCTAAGTGAGTAACGTGAGACACGTTTTTGTATGCGTCATTAGACGCGCCTGGGATGACGACTGAATACAAATGGGCGGTTGCAAGTCGGCAGAGCTGTTTTGATACGAAGCATAGCCTCGTGAGGGTCTTGCGCGTGGAGAAGGACACTATGTGGTCGAGGAGCTCTTCTGGCAGCTCGCACTCTGTGGAAAGCGACATGGTGATGGTGATGGTGATGGGAGAAGAGTTGGCTGTTTCGAAAGCATGGGCAGGTTATGTCGACGCGTCGCTATGACTTTTATCAGCCCGCTAGCGATAGACTCCATTTTGTTCGGAGTTCGACTTAGCGAAACATTGGCGAGGCTTTGCTGCCTACTGTTGCCTGCGGCCTGTGATGTCATGTTGTTGAGTGGAGCACGGAGCACTCTTACCCCACATTTACCACTGCATCACGACGCGCACACGGTCACGACTTCAAACCCTAAAACCGCATCTCGAAAAGTCATCACGATGATTTCCGGCATACATCACGTGAATCTTGTCGTCCCACACTCGACCTTTCCCCTTGCGCGCGAATTCTACGGCGACACGCTCGGCCTTACACCACGCGCCGTACCCCATCTCCAACGCGATACACTCGCGTGGTTCGACCTCGGTACATCAGGACAGCAAGTTCACATTGCGATCGGAAAGCCAGCAGACTTTACGCACGCATCATCGCGACATCCATGCTTTAGGGTGGGAAGCGTTGAAGATCTGATGGCTTTGAGGCAAAGAATATGGGAGCACCATGAGCGCGGTGGCGAGGCTGCGCCAAAGGAAGCCGACAAGCCTGGAGAGAAAAATAGCGGTGCTGAAGGCGTGGAATACCCAACGCGTTTCTTTGCCAGAGATTTTGCCGGCAACAGGCTGGAGTTTAGCGTCTAATGCTGATCAGGACGCTTTTCGAGTAGATTACGATATATTTGCACATGATAACATCAACCCTATATCGTCGACCATGCATTGTCAATCGGGACCATGGCGCCGTTGATCATCTTGGCCTCGTCAGACGCCAAAAAGGCAATGCCTCGCGCAACATCATCAACTCCAATCACCGGCACAGGAGTTCCTTCGCTGTCCTTGCCGACATGCATCTGAACGGTCGGGCTGGATCAGTCAGCAGAGGCACACCTCATGGTACTACATCGTGAAGGTGTACTCACAAGAACGTATTGAATCCCGCAGAGTCAAAGTGCTCCATCTGCACCGAGGATGCAATGTTGGTAGCAACACCGCCAGGTAGCACCGCATTGCAGCGAATGCCTTCTTGATGAAAGCGCCATGCAACATTCTTCGTAGCACCGACCTGTTGCACAAGTCAGTCGTTTGTCAGATGTGCGTCGAAAACTATCAAGCATACCAGTCCATGCTTACTTGCGGTGTAAGCAATGCCCGCACTCGCACCACTCATACCCGCCTTGCTCGCCACATTGACAATCGCCCCACTCTTTTGCTCTTTCATGAATGGCAGCACAGCCTTCATTAAGCGTATCGGAACCGTGAGATTGATAGACAGGACTTTTTCCCACTCCTCTTCATGCAGCGTGTCAGCACTGCTCCACCCGTCGCTTACACCCGCGCAATTAACCAAGACATCTACCCTGCCATACTGCTGATTACAGCTCGAGACTGCTTCGTCAACTGCATTCGATGCCGTGAGATTTGCTTGATAGAAAGTAAATTTGTCGTTGTGCTCGTCGGCCAGCTTCTGTGGTATTGAGCCGACGTCAATGCCGAAGACTAAGGCTTGGCGATCGAGGAAGAGTCGCGCGGTCGCGAGGCCAATGCCCGAGCTGCAGCCGGTCACGATGACGACTTTGTTTTGAACAGTTGACACGGACATGGTGAGTGGATTGACGAATATTGGTATGGACGGTCGCTGGAAATCATATTGTTGGAAGACGGTCAATGACGCAATGCCTTGGCGGCCATCGCCGAAGTGCGGCCCGCAATATGATGAACTTCAGCTTCCAGTGCCATCACGGTGGTCACCATCTCCAATCATTGGGTCTTCGCCCATGTAGCTCCCGGCATCACTCTTTTCAACTACTCCGCTGACAATTCTCCGCTTTCGAACCATGAGCTTCGCGCTTAAGTCGAGGAAACAGTACTCATCTGCCGTGAACGTCTTGGGTCGGCCCTTGCCCTGCGGAAACTTGAACTCAAACTCGGAAAGCAGCTTGATCATCATCAACTTGACCATACCCACAGCGAGATGTCGTCCAGGACATGCCTGTCTGCCAAAGCCAAAGTGCATGTAATCCTTCTCGGGCATGACAGCAAGATGTTTGTCGGTATCGCCTGTTTCGTACCGCTTGCGATACCAGCGCATAGGGTCAAACTGGTCCGCCGCTGGATCATTGTACACGATGTCTCCCTTACTGCATGCAATGCGTGTTCCAGATGGTATGTGTGTGCCATCTTTCAGACTGATAGGGACCAGTGCGTGTCGTTGATTGACGACTATGTCTCGTCAGCTTTGAATGCTTTCTTCGGCAGAACTTCACATACGCAGGAGTGGAGGGCTCATTCTCAAGCTTTCCGCCAATGCGCTATCCATTTTTTCCAGACGAGGCAACCACTGCTCTGCGCCAATGCCCGCCCGCTCTCCAAATCTGCCCAAGTCCTTCTCAATCTCTTCAATCTCTGTTCTCAAAACAACAACCCAATCAGGATGTGCGCAAAGGTCGAAGAGTAGATTGGAAACTGTCGTGGCTGTGGTGAAGATGCTAGCAAGCGTGAGAAAGGCCTGGCGATGCGAATGTTGCTCGACCGTGCTGTCCGCCTCAGCATTGTCAATCATCCAATTGAGCAAATTCTCTTCTTCCGCTACTTTCTCGCCGGCTGCTCTTCTCTGCACAACGTCCTTGTGTCTCTCCACCAATGGGCCAACGATTGCCGTGGACGTCCTAAGAGCCTTGGCAAGCCTCCAACGGAGCGGTAGTAACGGAGCAATGATCGGATGCAAAACTTTTGGAATTTTGCGAAGGATATATGCACAGGCGAAGAAATCGATGCTGAAGCTGACGGACAGATTAAGCCATTCACGGTTGCGACATGCTGATTCTCCGAGGAACAATCGAGCCGTTACACGCGATACGCTCATTCGAAGCGCGTGCTGTACGTCGACTACTGCCCATTCTACAGCGCTTTGTCAGTTTGAGTCTTTCAATCTTACGGCGATGTCGTACCTTGAGGCTGCGGCATGTCAATGGGCCAGGCATGATCCAGCTCGTTTTGTGCTACGTCGAGGTATTTAGATAACGAGGGATTGACCTTTTGCAGTAAGACACGGAATTGGAGATCGGATTGCGTCATGAACTCGCTATATGTCCATTTTGGTACCATGTTCTACACAGTCAGCAGTTACACTCACGCTGCATTAACGCTCATACCCCAATATGTGCGTGGACTCCACTGAGTTTACTTGCAGGATAGTGGCGCAATTCGTCCAGGAATTTGTTGGGAAAGACAGTCAAATCCATGTCCCAGCGGCGCAGCACGAATGGCCTGTCCTTCCACTGGTCCAAGTCAGCACAGCATATTGTGATTGGAATGTGCTTGTGACCTTCAAACTCCCACTAGCAACCAGTGCTTTGGCATTCAAGATAAACCTCGCACGTAGAAAGAGCGTTGGCTCTAGCCATGACGAGTACCCATGGTATACTGCACTGGTCACAGCCGGTTCTTTCTCGAAAAGAGGCTCCAAAGCCCAGGCTACACAAACAATCAGGAAGATGGTTTCCCTGGGTGAAAGATTAAATGTTGTGCTGCGAATGTTGTCCAGGATCTGCCTCGATAAGCCAAGCTGTGGAGGCATAAAAGATGACGCATTGAAGCCAGCGCTTACGGAAAATCGACCGAGAGATTCCATTTCTCTTACGGGGCAGCATGGAGAGGAACGGGCATCGTTTTCAATCGGGGAGTCGGAGGTGATGGTCGCTTACATGTACCTCGCCCCGCGCTCGCATGTCAGATTACCGATATGAGTTCGCTCGCGCATATGACAAGGATTAATTGTAACCCGAGCGCTAAATATCAGCAGCAATGCACCACTTGTAGGCTTCCACCTGTGACACACTTCCGAGTCCGTCTGACACGCTTTTCCGTACGGTACTGCACGCATGCCCGCTTCCTTTGTCATTGAAATGGTTGCCAACGGTCAGACGGGCATAGCCGCCCGGCAATTAAAATATCGGGATCAAAAGTCTCATGCATCAGCAAATCGGCTTACCGGTATTTCAGTAGATCCTGGATTAAAAGATTGTCTCTTCACCTTGGGTCGTCGTCTTCATTCCTACACTTTCTGTTCTGCTGCAACCATTCGAATCTTGACGCAGTCATGTATCGATCCATCTCCGAAGAAGCATGGGCCCTGGTCCATGCAATGGCTTCCGATAGCAAAACTCCCCACGGTTTTGGAACCATGTCGCCCGCCGCTTACGACACGGCCTGGGTAGCTATGACGCAGAAGAAGGACAAATACGGGGTTCTAAGACCACTCATCCCGGAAGCCTACACTTACCTTGAGAATACGCAGTCAGAAGATGGATCTTGGGCAGCAGATGTATCAACCACGGATGGAATCGTCAACACTCTTGCCGCTTTGCTGGCCCTGAAGAAGCGAGAGCGTAGACAAGCCGATGCGTTGAGGGCCAGTCAGAACCGTTGTATCGCGGCAGTGCAGGCACTTCGCCGGCTACTGGATGACTGGGACATGGGTACCTCAGACAGAGTAGGAATGGAGCTGTTGGTACCCAATCTTCTTCGGCTACTAGAGGAAGAAGGGATAAAATTCGAATTTAGGTCGAGGGAAGCACTGATGTCCTTGAATACTGCAAAGTTGGCACGGCTGGGATCCGCTCTTTCTAGTTCTAAACCCACGACCTTGACGCATAGTTTAGAGGCCTTTGTCGGAACTCTCGATTTTGACTCGGTTAAGCGGCACAAGATGCCGAATGGTTCCATGCTTGCTTCGCCATCTTCTACTGCCGCCTACCTAATGAACGCCACCGAATGGGACGATGAGTCAGAAGCATACCTCCGCATGGTTTTCGAGCGACAGTCGGAAGCCGGCCACAAGGGAGGATTTCCTTCGGCGTACCCAAGCACCATCTTCGAAACATCATGGGTTCGTGTCGCGATGTCAAGTGTTAGCCATGGATGCTGACTTTTCAGGTTTTGAACACTCTTCTCCAGTCTGGTTTTGACAAGGACGACTTTCTGCTGGCTGATGTTCGAAGCTTGACGACGCTGCTCGAGACGGGTATCAAGCAGGGCCAAGGCACTGTCGGGTGGGGTATGCGTGAAACTTCGGATCTAAAGCTCGGTGCACTGACGATTTCCAGCCCCAAATTGCCTTCCGGATGCGGACGATACTGCAAAGACTATCTCAGCGCTGCATCTCCTGGGCTGGGACCAGGCAGCGGAGCCGATGATTCAGTCTTTCGAGGCGGATGCGTGCTTCATGTGAGTACCCGTAGACTGATAGGCTTTTCAAGCTAATGGCGTAGTACGTATGAAGGTGAAAGGAACCCTTCAGTCAGTGCAAATTGTAATGTGCTTTCATGCTTTTTGCAAACAGCCACGGCCTGTGGTGCATACTAAGCAGATTTTGAAATGTGCAACGTTCATCACAAAGACCTGGAGTGAAAATAGTGGCCCCGACAAATGGGTGAGTTCTCAGATTCGCAGGCAACTGTAAATATTGATGGCGCTGCAGCATACTTCCGCACGATACTCAACGATGCTCCAAGTGCAAGCATTTGTGAGGTTCCTAAAGAAATGGTCAGAGGATGAATTCGACGTGGAAGCCATACCCAAAAATCTTGTGTATCAAGATGTTCCACGAATGCTGCTTGACATTTTAGCGCATACGATGAATTCTCAAAAAGATGATGGATCGTGGGAATCGAAGCGAGAGGTCACTGCTTATGCAATCCTCACTCTCACGCCTTTACTGAGTCTACCCTGGGTCGACTTCTTAAAGCCTGAGTGCACCGCATGTATATTGCGCGGCAAAGCCTATCTGGAGAACCATCGCAAGGAGTGGCGAGAGGCTGAGCGTATCTGGATTGAAAAGACTGTCTACGGCTCCCCCAACCTATCGCAAGCGTATTGCTTGGCTGCAATGAAGGTCGTCGTCCCTACTACGATTATCTCCGCAAAGATATGCGACATGTTTCCTCTAGAGATGACGAAGAAAATGGGCAAGATGGCGAGCTTCTTCGCTAAAGTCCCTCCGTTTCCTTCCGCACCCAACTGGAAACTGCAGTTGTCCTTGCTGCAAAGCGCAAGTTATTCAGCAGCCCTGAAAGCTCATCGGTACAGCATCTTTCCGCCACTCATGGAAGCCAGTGATGAAAAATACCAAAACTACATCCCATTCACTTGGATCGGATGCAAAGATCACCTGTCCACGCCAATTACTCCGAAATGCTTGTGGGACATGATGTTGGTGTCCATGTACAACTTCCAAGTCGACGCGTTCATGGAAACGTCGGCCAGGGATTGCTATGCTGGCAGACTCAACGATTTGAAGGGCTTAATTTGCGGGTTATTCAGTGAAGACTCTATGGGATACGAAAGCATGACGAAGTATGAGCACGCGACGACACCAAAGAAGATGACGAATGGCGTCAAGAATGGCGTCGGGAATGTCGGGCAAAGTGGTCGAGAAAATGGTATCGCGAATTGCAATGATGATTACGCGATGGAAAGCAACGGCGAGAACGGCCATACTAATGGATTAACTGATCAGGATGAACATGTGAAGAAAGTCCTGACCAAGTTCGTCAATTTTGCGCTGCAGCACCCAAAAGTCCTGGCAAGCCCTGCGCCAATGCGTCAATGGCTAGCTCACGAGCTTCAAACGTTCCTACTGGCCCACATCACACATATGGAGGACTGCGACTCCCTTGCCTTCTCAGCCAGCTCCGGTGCCAAAGCCATCACGTGGAGCAAACCACGGACAACCTTCTTCAAATGGGTGCGGACAACATCTGCCGACCACACCAGCTGTCCTTACTCATTCGTCTTCTACCTTTGTCTCATTGGAAATGGTAGCAATTGGCTGGAAATGAGCATACAAAAACGCTATGCTCTCGAGGATGCCTGTCGTCACCTGGCCGCCATGTGCCGACAATACAACGACCTAGGTTCAGTTTCACGAGACCAAAACGAGGGTAATCTTAATAGTGTCAATTTCCCAGAGTTTTCCAGTGAATACGGTGATGTTTCGGCAGCATCGATCGACACTAAGAGGCAAGGTTTATTGGCTGTGGCAGAGTACGAGAGCCGTTGTTTGGGCCGCGTGCTGGGAGAACTGGAATTGAGCATGGATGCAAGGCTGATGGAGAAATTGAGACTGCTAATTCAGGTAACTGATCTATATGGGCAGATATATGTGGTACGCGATATTGGGATTAGGCGCGAGGAAGAAGGGCCGGACAGAGGTGTGATGAAGGGCGTCGCACTGCAGTGGACATAGCTGCTCAGCCTTGGTATCAAAAGAGTCTTTCTTCTCCACACAGGAGCCAGATTACTAACTTTGTACCTGACAAGGAAGAAATGGCAATGCTTTGCTCTCGTCAAGTGCTTCCTGGACAACAACGTGAGGCTGAATGAGCCTTACACCGAGACTTAGCGTCACTATCCGAAGTTTCGGAACTCCCTGAATCTCTTTTTAATGGTCTCTATGAAAGCGGGCTTCGAAATGATAATGATCTGTTGGAACATGACTATGTGCATTGTCTTCATCCAACCTACTGTGTATGTGTCCTAGCTGTCTTTGCACGTTACGGGAGACATCTTGCAGCTTAAGTTGCAGTTACATTAGCACGAGCTGGAAACCGAAACGCCCCAAAGCATCTGCGGACCCTGTCTCAAGCTATTAGTCCGCTCTAGACGCAGCCTAGTGAGTGCTGGTACACTGCGACCTTGAGACTCTCAACACGACTCCGAGGTTGGTAAGCACATTTCTTGAGAAGCTTGAGTAAGAAGACCGGATTACGCACGGAGACATACGCCCAGAATTAACGCATCACAATGCTTTGTGAAATGTTCTTTATCTGGTTCGGCAATAATTGTATCGTTCCGGGAAGAGAAGTGAAACAATTCTGCTCGAGCAGAACACGCCAAGCGATCTTCGGCCAAGTCGCTCAGTGCTTGGCGTTGTCATCATAAGCTTCAAGCTGAAGGTCGATTAAAAGATGGCATTGGCATCTGCATTGGCGCTTTGTTGCCGCGCCACTCAAACTCAGCTCGATATCTCATATTCTGTAGACCAGCGCAGAACCAAGACTTGCACTACGCGTCGATGTCCACTCGGCAGATCCCTTACGATGACCATCGAGAATTCCAAAATACTTTAAAACGCAGTGAGAGGCTATCTGTACAGAATTGCTCATCTTTGTTTGTCGGTCCTCTTCTACGACTATCTTGAGCAGGACACTCACACGCTATGCGTCTTCAAGGAACACTCCGATATGCGACCGAATACATCGGGTTCAAGATCTTCATCACTATATGCATTATCCTTCTTGCCGCACAGCTCTATATTATCGCCCATCCCCACGAGCCCAATCGTGCTTTCTCCAACCCTGAACGTCCATATGTTCCCTCAAACCTCATTTCTCACGGTGGCACTCAATGCATACCCGAGGTTGGACATCACATGATTGCTGAATCTATCGAAAAGCATTCATTATGCAGGAGTCATTCTCCATTTGTAATCGGACGAGCACGTATCGGCGTGGTGACAGCACTTTTCGGGGACCTGCAGGAACATTATCAAAAGGCTTTCCAGACGCACATGCTTCATAGTCTAATACATGGAACCATAGTGCATGTATTGTGCGACTCCATCGTAGACGGCCTTTGGAACAAGCCTGCTTTCTTGTTGAATCTACTCATGCACGAAATGCTAAAGCCAGCAAAAGAGCGACTGGAATGGATCATGTGGGTCGATCGCGACACTCTGATTCTCGACCAGTGTCATCCAATTTCGGGCTTTCTCCCCCCGGAATCTTCACGCTTTGGCGGATGGGGGGAGCGCTCGACAAACTTGGATCGCAGAGAAAAGAACGCAACGCATCTCCTAGTCACCAACGACTTCAACGGCTTGAACAATGGTGTCTTCTTGCTTCGTGTAGACAGCTGGGCTATCGAACTCTTCAACTCTATCCTTGCCTTTCGCCATTACAATCCAGGGGTTGAGCTAAAGTTTACCGAGCAGAGTGCCATGGAGCTGGTCATCAACGAGGACGGCTTCAAAGAACACACACAGTTTGTTCCACAGCATTGGTTCAACGGCTACCCAGAAGGGGGCGCACGCAAATTTCGGGACCGCACGGATGGGAATGGACTCGACGAGGAGCATGTCAGACGCGGGGACTATCTAGTGCACTTCGCTGGTAGACCGAAGAGGGACGAGATCATGACTGACTGGCTTAATATGGTGGAAGAATTACCTGATGTTTGGGAGTACAGCACCGTACAGAGAGATATTTCAACCGACGTACTGAGGTTTTGGAGGGGTCTGGGGTATTGAATTACCCACTTTGTCATCCTATTGAAGTCTTCTATGCACTGGTCAAATTACCGCTCGACAGAGTTGTTCTCTCTTTTTGCATATATCATACAATGACTAATTACATTAATATTGCTTATAATATTTTATCGTTGACGGCAGGTGATACGCCACGTTATTGAAAAGAAATCGAGTTCGCTCCCCGAAAGCGCATCATGTGATAAAAAAGCCTAGATAGGAGTAGCGGCACTGAAACTGGGGGTCACAACGCTGGGGCTTGGTGTTTCAACACTGGGCATCGGAGTCAGTGAGCTAGTTGCCTCGTCCGAAATGGAAGATGAAGTAGGTGCATCTACAGGGCAGGCTCCTCCGGTGAACAGTCCAAGTTCAACCTTAAAATTGTCCGCCGTGTCTGGTTGCGTAGTTTTTTCATCCCCAAATAAACGATGCGGGACGTTCACAACTGCCTGATCACGAAATCCAGTGAATGTGCGCACCGGCTGGGTCGGAAATCCTCCGATACACTTCAAAACCTGCTCGCCTTCATAGCCCGGAACGCTCGTCTTGACGACGCAAGCGACTGGGTATGCATTTGCAAAGTTGTCGGCAAATCGGAGCCATGCACCAGTGCCGCGTGAGTATCTTGTGATTTGGGGATATGCCAATCCTGGAGTGGTTACCATCAAGATGTTGTCCGTGCCGATGGCGAATCGCATGACATGGGTTATACTGCCACCCACGATGGAGTCCACGCTGATACCACCACCACCCCCGATATTGTTTGATTTGATGACGAAACCAGACGAACTGACACCTGGAGTGAGCACTTTGAGACAAAAGTTTGCAGGCGGAACGACGTCAGAGGTTGGTGCCGGTGGAGGGGTAGATAACGGGCTCATCGAAGTTGGTGTATCGAGAGATGACGACGTCATTGTCGCAGTGTCAGTGCTGACCGCTACATGTGTTAGAGAAGGGGTAGAGCTAAACGAGCTCATCGACTGACTCTCAGAGGCAGACGATGTTGAAGAAGCAATGTTGCTCATAGTGCTGATGGTGGGTACGCTGTCGCCCGTGACCGTCACGGTCACGGTTCCAACTGTTATGGAAGCAGTCACTGTAGTGGTTGCTGTGATTGTTGGAATAGGCGGGTATGTAAAGTCAGGACCTCCACCAGTAGCCGGAGCCTGGCGACGGAAATTCGAGCAGTCACCGAGTGCCGAATCGCAGCTTCTACCACAGTATGACGGGCCACTTCCGCACCACCCGTATTGACTGCAGCAGTTTCCAAAAGCCGAGTTCTTGCACGTTTGACCCGTGGAGCCGCCACATTTGGCATCCTTGGACACCTTGAGCGACGGTGAAGAAGGCGTAGTGCTTGGCACAGCCTGGTCCTTGCAATTACCAAAGAGAGGGTTGCACCCAGCATCGCAGTAACTTGACGAGCTACCACAGTAGCCATATTTGCTGCAGCAGTTGCCGAACTTTGAACCCTTGCAAGTGACCTTTCCGCCACACGAGCCGTCCGTCGAAACCTTGAGCGCTGAGATGGGAGATGCTGATGGGCTTGAAAAAATGGATGACAATCGAGTCGATGATGAAGAGGTCTGAATCGCAGAGGATGATGATGCAGGCGAGGCGTTGCAGGTACCGAATGAGAGCTGACAGCCTGCGGTACAAAAGTCGCGGTTTCGGCCGCACCAGCCATTACGACTGCCATGATCAGTTTGATTCGGACGCGGATAGGATATTTAGTAACTTACCTACAACAGTCTCCCCACCTCGAGCCCTTGCAAGTGTATCCAGTCTTGCCACCACATGTCGCATCTTGAGAAATCTTCAGAGTTGGGACAGAAGATGCGCTAGTAGATGTTCGGGTTGTCACAGTAAAAAGAGTGCTAAGTTGGGTGCTTGAAGACGCGCTAGAGCTCTGTGTTGCACTCGATGAGCCAGATATTGATACACTCGCGCTGCTGAATGAGGAAGATGAGCTGCTCTGCGAAAGTGGGGAGCTTGACGCTGATGAAGAGGAAGAAGAGCTCGAGGCACTACTGCTCATCAAGTCGGAAGGTGACGACGAAGCAATAGACGACAGGCTAGTTGTAGACCCAGCACTGGCCATAGAAGTGGGAGTAACACCAATGACTTGCGTTGCTGTTGCAGTAACAGATGTTGTCGTGGTAACCGTACTAAGGACTGTACTGGTAGTCGGCTTCATGACAACGAACCTGCGTGCTTCAAAAGCAGCAGGTGTTTCCGTTGCTGGAAGAGCAGGATTTTCGAAAGTGAGCGTATACGTGGCTGCGGGCAAGTCATTGTTGATGCAAGTAGGGCAGTCAAGACGCGTGTATTGTGTCGATCCGGACAGAATTTTGCATGTTCTGGTTATGTCGCCGTTAACGATAAGAGGCGTGTAAGCCGACGCCGTGGAATATGTGCATTGCTCGTTCGTAACTGTGCTAAATCAACTTCTTTGTCTGAGTTTCTGGTTGCATGAAGACAGTACACGGAATGGCGGTAAATGAACCCTGTAAGGCAAGATAATTAGAATTGTCTCTTGCAAACGCAAAGGTTGGTTCGGCTCCGTTGGCTGCTATTGCTAGCTGAGGTGAATCGAACCGACATGGAATCGATGAAGCAGTGCCCATTGTGACAGAATTTGGAAAGCTACGATGCCTTGAAAGTTATCGATGCCATATGCTTATATATACGTGGATGAGACTATAGTAGCCATACTGATTCCCTGCAGCTCTCAAACCTCATTTCGTTTCCTTTGTGGCTTTACAGAAACTAAGCAAAAGCGAAGCTTTGAGAGCATGCCTACTACAGATCTGGTACCGTAGTAGCCTGATGAAGAATAACTTCATTCTTGGGAGTGGATATTGCATTCTGTGGCGTGCTGAGAGCACCTGAAAAAAAAGTTACAAGGCTGCTTCTAAGTGCCCGCGAGAGCGAGAGACGGCTCATCGTAAACATCCAGAGCTACCACCATCGAGCAATAGGCGGTTCGCTAAACTGTGTGGAGGTTAGTGAAGGTACGGGGGGCGGGCTAAACCGCGCCACGACCCCTGAGCTGAGAAAAATGCCCCGCGTGCACGTGGCGGGTTCTCTAACATCACGACCGCAATGACTCAGTTGAAGACTGGATGATAGAGCGCCGAGTGTGCTTGTTTCTTCTTAGAAGCCGGTATCGAATCAAGGAATTCAGGAGCGTGGGGCTACTACAGCTGAACAATGAATACTACAGCTTCGAGTCTGGGGCTCCTCGTTGCGGTCCGAGGAAAATCCTCTTGTCCATCTCCACAGTCTCGCTCCAAGTCCGACTTAATGCATGTGTACCTGATTGAAGCGCCTTTGATCCTACCCAGCGCTTCACAATTTCTTCTGCGAAAGGATCCGGGCTGACTGTTGCGTCGTACAAGAGAGTAGTGCTGCTCACAATGACTTCGATGTGATCGAGTGATTCCCTGCCACGGTAAAGAAGCTCATCTTTCCGCGCTCCTTGAACCACGTCGATTAGGACCTGCAATCGCCTCCTGATGCTCTCAGCTTGAGTGGCGAAGATGAAGCCGCAGTGTTGTAGCACGTCCCGTACCCACGGCGCGAAAATGCTAGTCAACACATTGCCATCGCCCAAGCGCTTATCAAGAAGCACTCGTACGACATCTTCAGCCATTACGCTGACTGTGCCTTCCCAAATAGGATTGACAAGATTGTCGCGATAAATTTTCGCGATGTTCAGGAGGCCGCCGTCCTCATTGTTCTCACAGTAGCCAATCCCGCCAAGACACTCCATGCATTGTCTCAGACCATGTACAGAAGCTACGGTGACTTGAGCCTTCATTACTGGAAGAATCAGTCGAAGAAGAGCAGCGACGTGCGCCTTGTCTCGTGGTATCAAATTCGCAGCTCTGGTGTTGGCGACCATCTTGTCCCAATCCTGCTCCAAGGAACCTTGCAACGCAACGCCTAGAAAAGCAAAGTGCGCAGCGGCCCAGTACTTTACTGTCTCGTCGGCCATCCATTTCAAATGCGCTGGGTTATCTTGGAGTAGACCACCACGCACTTTGCGAACTTTGCTGTACGCACGACAGATGGCTAGACCCCTGGACCAGCTTGCAACACTGCCCGCTCCCGTCGATAATCTAGTAATATTCAGGATAGCAGAGATGTCTTTTACACCTTGCCCTTCGGTACCAATCAACCAGCCACGTGCACCGTTGAGCTCAAGTTCAGCAGTGGGCAAAGACTTTGTGCCGAGCTTGTTCTTAAGTCGCTGAATCCGGATGCCATTCAATTCGGTCGGTGGCGGCGCTTGCTCGTTGGTTGCGGAAGCGCCTTCTCCTGCCCTTCTTCTCATGGGTATGTAGAAAGCAGAGAGTCCCCCTTTTGATGTGCGTGCAAGGAGCACCGCCATTTCGGAATCAGTTGCACTGCTGAACCATTTGAAGCCGTCAATTTTCCACGGGCCAAGTGGCATTCCTACCGCATCAGACCCTCGTCCAGCTTTCTTTTCTTGCTCGAGATATTCCTTCGACACGCGATGCGCAAATGTTTCGGTTCCAGATACATCGCTGCCTCCTGCCCTCTCAGTCATCCATTGTCCGCTAGTCCAAGCAAAATTGGGGTCGCGGCTAGTCAGTCGTTCGTAGGCTTCTGTGAAAACTTTATTACGGCCAGGCTGGTCTCCTTCTGGATCGTTCAAATGCCTTTTTAAGAGCGTGGCAGCACCGTCTGTCATGCTCATTGGACATCCAGTCATTGTTCCCGTGGGACTCCAGAGATGGTTGAGGACAAAGGCATGGATACGTCGGTTGAAGCTCGTGTGCGATTGCTCATACGCGACCGCAACTACGCCTGCCTCGTACCCAATTTCTTTCAGCTTCTGCCATCCTGTCGTCGTCCATAGAGGGTCATTGTTGTTCTCTTGGCCAAATGTTGTAAATGGACGTAGTACGGGATGATTTGTCTCGGCATCAGTAGCGTGGACGAGGACGGTTGGATTCAAGGATAGACGAGCAATTTTGTGTGCATCCTTTTCGACTTCGGTTGTATTTGGTGGGAGATATAACTTGAGGATTCTTGTAGTGATCGGATCATCGGACGCATTTTGGCCGTCCGCATAGCGTGCTTTGAGATGCGACGGCAATGCATGGATTGATGTGTACTGCGGCTGCAGTTCAGGAGAAGCTTGGAAAAAGCCCGAAGTTGATGAAGACGCTGCTTGAGGTGGTTGCGTCATGGTGGATCGTTTTGCGTGTATCCCCATTCAATACCAACTTCCTTTTCCACAGACAATGCGGTCTCTAGGAGATGCATGTCGTGTTGTGGAGAGATGAGTGAAGTCGGTCACTTCCTCGGCCCATTCCCCTCAAAACGGACCTCGGCGGAAAAGACGCTAAGCTAGTTAGTTACAAGCTTGTGCGCTATCTTCGGACCCTCAGCACCACGCAACCTTTGGAAGATCACGACCTTTGCACAAACTTAGAAGTCAATACGCATAAACCATAAATAACATGTCAATCTTTATTCTTCTTTCTTGTGTTCTTCACGCACCCTGCACGATGCTTGAGCGCTCTGGGGCAAGGGAGCCAGGTGGCAACATGGAGAACTAGTGCAAGGTCTCGAAGACGCTGAACAATGGTCACGTACGAAGTACAATTCCTGCAATTTCACATTACACCTGGGTCGCGCTCGCGCATTGATATGACAGTCATGTAGCATTCATTTTTTGCCTTCGAGATATTCGCAATGAATGATACTACAGTAAGATATGCGTTCCATCCGAATCCACTATCTCACGAGGTCTTCACAACGACAACATATCTGCCGCTTTTCGCCCACAGTTGAAAGAGTGTAGGGTCCTCAGTCCCATCATGGACGACCGGGGCTCTTCGAACACATCGGAAGTGAACTCAGACTTTGTTGCCACTTGGACATTTTCGTTCCCATCAAGCCCGCTACGGACAAAATCTTTAGGTCATCCGTATGTACTTAGGCCTGACGACCTGGCGATGCTTCTTCTTCCAGATGCTAGCCTTAGAGCATGAGCTACAGCTTCGGCCTTATCAAGAAAGCATGAGCTCTCGTTGGCCATGCTTATCATTGCCCCAAGTTGTGTCCTACCCGCTCTACTGTGTCGCAGCCTTTGCGACATTGTAATAGTCTAGATTGCATGCTGATGACAAGACTGCTTGACAATCTCCACGCCGCTTGGTAGCATAGCGTGATGAGTTTGATTGAACAGTCACGGAAACATGCATACGCCGTTTTGACCAACCTTCACTGTATCCTTGACCAAGATCCGGAGTCACACCACCACAACGCAGGTCCCAAAGCTCTGTCCTTCGCCACAAGATACCCATCTCGCTTCATTCGCCTTTCTCTGCCGCTTTCCCCAGGACTTGTTACCCAATTCCTCCACTCTTACCGACCGCCAAGCGCAGATTTCTCGCTCCCAACGATCGCCTCCACGCTAGATAGCGTCAATCTCGGTATTCCCGCATGTTTGTATGCTCTCTCAACCACTCACAAATGGCGAAGAGCAAGTTTGCGGCAACTTGAGTACCTCGATGTCTTTGCCAAGTATCCCACGGCCTTGGCCATGGGTCCCACCCTCGAATGCGGAAATGCACGTAGTAAGTAGCGTAGAAGCATATAAACATTCCGTCCATACGTTCTCCTGTGTCTTCCTACCTCTTGCACGATCCAAGCCTTCGGTATCCAAGTTCAACATTGTCGACAATTACACAGTCGCTACCATATCATATCGCCAAGATGAAGGTCGCTCTCGTCCTCTTCGCCGCTGCTGCTGCCGTTATGGCACAGTCAGTCGATACTGTCTCTGCGACTCAGAGCGGTGTGTGTGAGCCTCACAACGACCACTGGTTAGGATACCTTCTCGTATTTTTGAGCGTTCGAACTGACCATCACCAGGCACTGCCCAGAGGGCGTCGCTGAGCCCACCACCCCTCCAGCTCTCGTTACACCTACAGGATCTGCTGGATCTGCCATTACTTCATCTTCTTCTCATTCCCACGACGACGATGACCATGACCACGACCATGCTGCATCCGGTGGATCGACTTGCTCTCCCCACGGCGACCACTGGCACTGCCCATCTGGTGTCGCTAAGCCTACAACGCCACCTGCCGCCGACGCAGCCTCTGCATCAACATGTTCCCCACATGGCGACCACTGGCATTGCCCGGCCGGTATCGCTGAGCCTACGACTCCACCTGCAGCTGTCGCAGCTTCTGCCTCTGCTTCAACTACCAGGGCCAGCGGCTCTGCTGCTGGTGCTTCAGCGTCTCCTTCTACGCCGCAGGCAACTGGTGTTGCTGCTAAGGCCGCAACTGGTGCTCTTGCAATTCTCGGAGCTGTCGGTGCTTGGATTTTGTAGATGGAATGGATTAGAAAACCTTGTAGGCGGTCCGGTTTCTTGCTTCCACACCGTTGTCCTGCGATTCGCTAGGGTTACACTGTACAAAGAAATGATTCACGCGCTTAATTAGGTTTTGAGACGTCACAGTCACATAATGAAAGATATTAGACACTTTGGTACATTGCTTCGAGGTTTCTGGACATGAAGCGTGAAATGCGATACGCCGCGGCGGACAAAGATGACCTACCTGAGGTGCATCACAAGTGGTTTCATGGACTGCATCTGGACCGGTGTGTATTCATTACCTCCCCTTTTGGACTTGACAAAATGTGGAACAAGCAAGGCAATGTTCGGGAAATTTGTGGTGACCAGGCTTGTAGTCAGCGCATTGCAAATGTACCGGTCGGCAGTAAGCGAACTTATTTGTGACATTTCGATGCATTTGTAGTGCTCATGACTCCATCTCCTATGTTCTACATTTGAGACAAAGACTGCTCAAGTCGCAAGGAACCTATCATTTGCCACGGCCATTGAGCGTTAGGGATGATGTGACAAGGCCAACTGGAGTACCATGATTCTCAGAGAACAGATCATAGTGAGTCTCGAAGTGCAGGACCTAAATTTTTGGTGACAGAAAAGGTATCAGGTGCAGTGTTCAGAGACAGAAAGTGAAGATGATCTTGGTTTTAAGTGATGTACCATAGGTCCTGGGATGCCACCATGCATGGTGGCCCAAGTCACATCCGGTGTAGCGCAGCCTACTCCGCACAAGCGGCTTTGCAGGGAAGGCTCCCGTCTTTCTATGCGCCTACTTCACACATCAACATCCTGCCTTTCAGCAATAAACTTCATCATCCGCCAGTGGCAATCTGAATTGTCGTTCCAATCTTAGATGAACCTATTTCAGAAGTCAAGTTGAGCAAATGTCGACGACTCAGAAACCGCGCACGTTCATGGCCCACGAGGAGCAAGAACGTTTGCTTTGAATTTTCTATCGACATGTCTTACCCTTTATTTCAGACATCGAATGCCCAAAATACATCGAGCCATGGTCTGGGTAAGTCATGAGTTGCGCTATCTACAGGCCAAATTCTTCCGACCTGCAACTAGTCCAGCAACATTCTTCGTATACATTCTTTACCTCGTAAAACAGAATGCAACCTGCCTCTCTCACCTTCTAACTTCCTTATCTGGCCATGACCAAGGTCTTTCAATGATCTTGGCATCCGGGGTGTTGTGCAACAAAGAGCTATGATCGCCGTGCTATTCCTGGTCGGCAATCTAAAGTGGAGACCGCTATCGAGCTTCAAGAACCGGGAAACTTGCTTCTCGTATGGAGAAACTCTGAATACGATCCAGAGCCTTGCTTTTAGGGTCAAGCAGCTTCGATAAGTCGTATAGTCATGCGCAATCATACAATACAGCAACAACACTAAGGTATCGAGAGATACGGTGAGCTGGGTCGGCAGATGGTCTGGCGCATACATGTATAAATTGTCAAGCGCTCGACAGAAGACTCACAACCTCACTCAAGCCAGTTCAGCCAGTTCCACTCGCTCAAGATATTGCATTCATCAAGATGAAATCTACAGTCGCTACACTACTTGCTTTGAGCAGCACTGCTCTTGCCCATGGAGGCGTTACTCGCTACACGATAGATGGCAAAACCTACGATGGGTACACACCATTTCGTCTCAGACACTCACACATCGATACTAATCGATATATAGCTACAAGTGGGCCAGCCCATACGAGGGCCAAAAAGACCTGATTCAGCGCACCTGGCACCAAGACCCGCACAAAGACGCAACCTCCAGCAATATGACTTGCAATTACCACGGCACTACCGTCCCGGGTGCTTACCACGCCCCCGTAACAGCCGGTAGCACAATTTCCGCAGCCTGGAACCAGCTCAGCTTCGGCTGGGTTCACGACATCGGCCCAATGATGGCATACATGGCATCTTGCGGCGAAGACTGCAGCACCACCAACATTGCTGAGCTGGAGTGGTTCAAGATTGCCGAGGAGGGTCTACGCCCCGGCTTTGCTATCGGCGAGGATGGAGCGTGGTACCAGTATGATATCTGGGAGGATAACATTACGGATCATTGGAATGTTACTGTACCGAAGAGCTTGAAGCCTGGGAAATACATGATCAGGCACGAAATCATCAATTTGGAACTGAGCCCAGCGCAGTTCTATCCGAACTGTGCGCAGTTGGATGTCAGTGGTGAGGGCGAGGCTGTGCCGAGTGCCGAGTACCTTGTCAAGTTTCCGGGCGGGTACAAGATGACTGGTATGTTTCATACTTCGGTCTATACGTGAACTGACAATTGATGCTAACTTGGAAATAAGATCTCGGTATTGTGATTGCAGGAAAGGCTCAGCAGGATAAAGTTACAAAGGTGGGTTGTTATTGCACCGACTAACCCATAAGCTGACATTGTGATCAGGATTACACGGTACCAGGCCCCAGGGTGTGGACAGAGTGATTCCTCTCACGACATGATAGCTAGTAGGTGCCCATTGGCTGCAGTTGTTGATCATCAATTTTGTCTCAAAACTATCAGCTGCTGCCTCCCTCGTAGGTTGTGTGTCAAGTCTCAAGAATACGCCTCAGGTCAATATTACTCAAGGACGAGATAGGATCATTGCGATCAGCATACCCTATTCATGACGTTACTTTGAATTATGCAATTCTTCTTGAACCTTGTTCTACTCTTCAATTACGGTTCGACAAGCTCTCGCATCTCCTTCTAGCTGTCCCGCCTGCGCCATCAGGATTTTGTTCTAGCATATTGCTGTTCCTGCCCAGTCATTGTAGAAAGTACATTTGCCAGCCTTTGGGTGTTTCCTCACATGAAGACAAAGGACTTCCAAGCATGTAAACCACGGGCGATAATACTCTGGCTTCCACTGAGCTTCGTCGCATGCAACATAGTAGCGCTCATCGAGGAAGTCGTACCACCAACGTTCTGTGGGAGCACTTTCGAAACCCATAGCAGTCATAGCATATACTCCGTCGATGGGAGGCGGATACCATTCCATCAAAATCGCGGCGAAGAGCCGTCTCAAGCTCTTGAAATGGTATTGGCTCCCTCCTATGCGAGCAAATAGGTCCTGTAGTTGACACCGATAACATACGTGTCCACGCTTCGCCATGCTCGGATACTCTTGGCAGTTAAGATTCCAGGCATAGACGATGACGACCAGATCTGAAAATGCATCATAGGCTATCTTGTTGTAATCAACCATCATTTTCTCTGGATGCGGGCCGATGAAAGACAACAGGCCATAGATTTAATCGCGGGGATCCACACAATCGAACGTACTGTATTTGTCAATATACGTCAGGTCGAGCATGCGCGTTCAAGTTTTACCACTGATATAGATCAAGTACCAGACCTGAAAGGTGATTCCTACTGCACGAGCCTCCTTGAAATTTTGAACAGGCGTGGCCGCCAGTTTCATCTGGCGCCATGAGGTCCACACGTCGTGTACAAGTACTCTGAGATCTTTTCCGAATAGAATCTCTTAAATGACCCATAATCGGTTGAAATACTCATGTTGCAAATGTTCGCCAAAGATTTTATGCCTTTTGTTTCATTGAATTGCTTCGCAGCTTCGTAGCGCATGCGTGTCGACTCCGTACTTGATCCATCGCCAAGCCATGTTATGACCGAGTCGCTCTTCTGGTAGATGTCACGCATGAACTGGACCTGACTGCTTCGCTCGTCGATGTTCGATTGATCAATGGATATTTGATCAATCCACAAGTATACCTCGGGCTCATCTTCTTTCCGGTATTGCTGCAAAAAGTGATAGAGATTCTCTCTGACGGTGATATGGCATTCGTCGATCTCAACGCCGTGGACCGGCGTGGGAGGTCCTGATGTATATGACAGAGCAATATATCCAGGTAATTCTGCGAAGTCGAACGCCTCAAGCGTGCAGTGTATTGTGCCCTCTTCGAGCATTGGACTCAGTTCAATCAGGCGCATTTGCTTCTTGTTGCGTTCCAGTGGCTTGTACTTGTATCGCGGTAGCTTCAGAGGGACATCAGATGGAAAAGACATGATTTGCTATGATGCTGAGCACATTCAGATGGAGCTTGAATGGAATACGTCCAGAACATCCAGAATTACAGTAGCGTCGGTTGCTGGAGCTATCAGGATGAGAAGGGTGGCTTCCGTATCGTAGGAATAAACATTAGCGAGGTTCAGTGACCGCGCTGTACAACGTGGTGACGTTCTCATATGTCCCTCATGATTCGGTGTTATGTGTGACTGATCATTGATTCGTTTCGACTGATCCACAATGGAGGAGCTGACACCAACTATGCGCACCTTTGTAGAACCGCATACCTCCTTTGAGTATGAGCAGTTTATTGGTGTTCCTGGTACTATTCATCAATTTACTACTACCTCCAGAGCAGGCCACGGGAGCGTACAAGTCACGCCTCTCACGCCTAAAGGAATCCTAAGGGCGACAACCGTCTTGGACACTCGAGAAGCCGAAGTCCAGACTGTATCAATCTCTCGGCTCCATCCCGGGTATAATGCAGATATCCGGAGTACAGTCCCTATCCTTTATCGGAATGCCGTTGGTGCTAACGCTGGGTCTAGCTAGCTAGTGGAGGATGGTGTGCACAATCCCATCGTCGATCTAACACCAACTCCCGCAACTCTAAAAAACACGCGATATCGCATCAACGCAAGAAGGTTTTGCATCCGAGGCATGGACTTCCCGGGAGGACTCCGCTAGTGTCCAGCCTTAGAGTAAGGCAGAGACCAAAAAAGCGGCCCCAAAGTCAACGTTCTTGCAGACACGATCGCGCTAGGAAAGGTCGATAGAAAGGTCATGACGTAAAGCGACTTTCTTGCAGTATGGTTTATAAGACGACATAGTAGACTTCGGACTTGCCCGTGGCCTCTAAGCAGCATCGAGTCTATCGATTGTTGCGGGCGCGCTATCCGTGTTTGGGCTCAAGGCCGTATGTGGCTCTGCGAATGATCGAGATAGTCCTGTACAAGGATCTTCGTCTTGCAAATCGAGACGCCAAAGCTGTGGCTCAATACTTGCTGCTTTGAGGTCAATCCGGTGGCCTTGGTCCGATAGCCCCGGTACTTCAGTAGTACATCTTACATGATGCGGAGACAGATGAGAGAAAGTGTCGTGGACAAGAACACTAAGACGTTGCAGTCTTTCGGACTTGGCGCAACTTCGCAGGTCATACATAGCAGGAGCAGTAGGTACTAATGGCAATCACAGCGACTGACACTGACCTCAAGCCATCGATGCACACAAGTGTCTTCTGCTGAAGTACACTTGTAACTGCTAAACGCATTTCGTAGTCATCTGTCATATCCTCGCTTTCTGTATCATTGATGAGATAATCCTATCACGAACTCGCCAAATCCAATCCCCCGAAGCCCGCCCAAGAGTCATACTAGCCAATTCAAATCCCTCTTTCCAATCCAAATCCAACACTCACCCGCCCACTTGATCCGATCCCACCAGCACGTCCTCCCGCAACCTTAAAAAAGCCCCGATATCCCATCGCCCGCAAAGCAATGAACTAGATCCCCAGGCGAAGAATTAAGATTCTGGGTTCCGAGTTAAACTTCCGAGGACTTCGATCACGATGGGTGGACTCGATGCGGTGCCGATATCGAAGGCCAGCTGCACCGACGTTGGGCGCGCCGGGAAGCGAGGATGCATGGATGACATGCAGGTGGCTGCAGGTACGAATACGGGCGGAAGGGGAACGGACATCGGGAAGATGTTGCGAGCGAGTGGATCGGGACTGCGGCTTGAGGATGTGTAGATGTTAGTCGCGTGACCTATGGAACTACAACGGGACTTCATCTGATCGCGGCAAAGAACATGTGCCGCATGAGCATCACAAACTCGAGTGCCAGCGAACGTCACCAGACATCACGTACGAAGGAGCAAAATGTTCAAGCAAAAATCCAATCCCTCATGATATTCGTCCCACGAGCTTCGCGCTGAATCCCCATCTAATGCCATCTAAGGTCATTACTTCATAAATGCATGCGTCGTTAAAGAACAAAAAACAAAGAGTGAGGCAGACCATTATCCAAAAAGACATTGGCCATTGGGCCTGCCCATCATAACACTCATGGTATCTGAACAGAGAAACAAGCACATTCATCCAAGCCCCATCATTACATCATGTACTTTTTGCTGTCGCTTCGCTTCGTATGCAAGTGCAAACAAGAAAAGGAAAAGAAAAGGTCGTGTTAACAAAGAAAAGAGATAAGTCGTCGTAATGTCGTTGCGAGTATGTTCGTGAATCGGTCGTGTACAAAGGAGATCCTGGGTGAGAGCGGGTGTGTGGGTGTGTGGGTGTAAATGCGAAAAAATTAGTATGCCGACGAGGCACTCGCGGCGAATTCGCGAATCGCCCATTTCCATCCTCCTCTTTGCTCGCCGGTGTCGCGCAGACCGCCGACCCAGCCTTCGACGCGGCGGCGCCAGATGGCTTCTTCTTCGCGTTGGCGGCGGATGAAGCCAGGGCCAACGTCAAATTCTTCGCCCACAAAGCCTCCGTCTTGGATGTCGGGCGAGCCAACATCGCCTGGTGCGTTGCTTCGGCCCGCGACGCTTTCATTGTCTTTGAAGTCTTCGATGCCAGCAAATGGGTCTTCTTCTTCCTCATCGAGTTCTGATGGCGACCGCGGGTCATTCGAGTGGCGAGCAGCTTTGAGCCACTTCATCTTGACAGGGTCAAAGACCATGCGGCCTTCGTGTAGGACACCGCGGGGAGCAGATATGTGCGAGATGAGTGCAGGTCGTGGAGGCGATGGCACCGGCATGGGCGCTGCTGGTGCCGGCGGCGGCGCAATTTTTGCCATGCGCGAGGAAAAGCTCTTCTGGGCTGCATGAATAGATGACAACGCATTATGCGATATGGAGCGCGAGCGGTCATGTGATCTGTTGAACGAATGTCCAGGCGGTGCAAACGTCGGAGTGCTAGCAGTAGTCAAAGCAAGAGTAGTGGTGGAAGAGTTGGGAAGGGTAGTGAAGGAAGCAAGAATCTCTTCGTTTCCTTCCCAACGTTGCAATGTTGGGTTGAAAACCATGCCTTTTTCATCTGCAAGGAGGTCAGAAATATGCTGCACCAAAGGGGCGCGCAACTCACTGAAGGCATTAGGCTGTGTCATTTGTCGGATCAGCTGTGGCTTTTGTCCTGATCCTTTCTTCTTGTGAGCAACAGGACTAGTATGAGGACTGCGTGCAGCGACTTGGGCTGCCCAGCTCATGGGTCGCGGTGCCATGGGGCCATCGGCTCTTGATCTCGTACCTGCCAAGCGTTGCTCACGTGCGTTCCTACTAGCTGCAGTGTCTCGAGCAAAGCGTGGGGTGTGGTCCATCTTCGGCGGGCTTCGCGGTGTCTGTGGCATGGGCGTTGCCATTCGATCCGGCATGGGTAGTCTCGAAAGGCTCGGCTGTTGTCGCAAGGACTTGTTGCTCGCGACATTGCGTGGTGCCTTTTCGAATACCTTTTCTTTCGTTGCTGAAGTCGGCAGGTCGTCAAAGGAGTCGAGCTCGTGGCCATCACCATAGTTGCGCTTGCGCTGAGGTTGCGTTAGCTTCTTGGGAGGCGGGTGACGTGCCAGCGCAGAGGGAGCAAGGTCTCTTCTCACACCAGTACGGCTAGGCGTCTCGGCGCGCGAGTAGGGGCGCATTGAAGGTGACTGCGGCCGGCGATTGGGGTCTGAGTCGCGACGCAGCTGAGGTTGCGAGCCCCTAGACATGACATGATGCGACTGTGCGTTGCCGCTGCCGGCGGGAAGGAAGGGTACATGGCCACGAGCTGGGTTGAGGTTGCTGTTGCGAAGCAATGGAGCAGATCGCTTTGCGCGAAGAAGCTGCGCGCTCGTGGTGGTGGGCATGGGCCGGCTCTGAGCTTGCGTCGTCGATGCACCACTCTCGTAGACGGGTGTAAGTCTGCTGCGGCTCGCCGTCGAGGGGAGGGGCCGAGGGATCCGCGACGAGTTTGGTCGGTCTGTAAAGGTAATGGTGGTTGCGGGACGTGCGGCTGGGGGTGCATGGGCCTTGGGCTCTGGCTTCTTGACGACGACATTGCGGTTGAGGGTCAGCTTTGCGCTGTCGAAGATGTCTCCGCCGCCAAAGTCGAGGCCGTCGAGGAAGTCCTCTTCGTCGTGCGCAGGCTTCGGCTTGGACTTGGGCGACTGCTCGAATGGACTGTCTAGCGAGGGCGCGGCTGGGCTCTCGACACGGGGCGACCGGGGTGACGCGGTAGGCTCCACAGCCGGCGACGATGGGAATGGCAAAGGCGACGACGGGAAGTCAACTGGTGTAGTTGATGTGGGTGCAGAGGTGGGCGGCGGGTCGCGTTGCTGTGGCAGTGGGGATGCGTCTGGGGTTGGCAGTTGTGTCTTCTTGAGCTTCTCGAGGCGAGCACCGAAGTCGAGCGGCTCGGTGGGGAGCACGAGGCCATTGAGGTCGTCGTCTTCGCTCTCGAGCGTCATGCAGCTGCCCATGCTGGGGCTCATGGCCGACACCGAGGAGCTCCGGGCGCCCCGCGTGTCTCGTCGCGTGCCGGCAAAGCGGATGCCCAGGCTGCCCTCGCCCCAGTCGTCAAAGTCGTCGTGCTCTTCGGCGGGCGTGTGCGGCGTCGGGGTCTTCAGCTTCAGCCCGCCCGGCGCGTTGGTGGGCAGTTCCAGGTCGTTGCCCCAGTCGTCGTCGACGTCCATCTTGCGCGTCGACTTCTTTTTTCCCAGTCTCTTGATGGTGCCGCCCAGCAGCGCCGACGACGGCACGCTTGTGGGGATGGGGATGCCGGCCTGCTTCGCCGAGTGGATGGCGCGGTTTGTTGACAGGTCGTCATTCGGGGTGATGAGCACCTGCCAGTCGTCGTCGCCCGTGTTGGATTCGGAGCGCACCGACATGCGCGAGGATAGGGTTTGTATCGCAGAGTTCTTGAAGAGCAGGCCGTCGCTGTCTTCAAAGTCGCCGTCGTCCCAGCTCTCGAACTTGGACGTGTTGGAAGTGTTGGAGGCCATGGAGGCCATGCGCTGCGCAAAGCTGCGGTTCGGGGCAGCCATGCTGGCGCGCGTGGAGTGTGGGTTTGCAGTCGTGTCTGGTTTTTCGTGGTGGAAGAGTCGCGGTGAAGTGGCTGGTTAGCTGCAGGGACAGCTGTTGGTGCGGGTAAGCGAGCGAGAGGCAGGTACGGTGAGCAGCGAGGGAAGGGGCAGCCGGTGACTCGTGCTTTTGTGACGCGCGCAAGAAACCAGACCCTGCACGTGTGAGTGGCCCTCGCGCTCCTCTTATAACAGCAGTCCTCAAGTAGACCAGCGTGCACCACCGCGCTATATGAGACGATGAGTACCGACAGGGAGGGAGACGAGGGAGGGAGACCGAGAGAATTGAGTTGCGCATGCATGCGCGATCTGCATAGAGACGGGTGATGGGCGTGACACCTGCAAGCTAGGCCGAACTTTGCGCCCGCTTCTGCCTGTGAGCTACTGTATACCAACACGGCGCGGTTTCTGCCTGCTGCAGGTACAGCGCAACCATAAAGTTCACACATGGCTCTCACGCCTCAGCTGTTGTTTCAATTGATAGAGTTCCCCAGTGCCGCCACATGAAACGTGAACTCGGGCGTTCCCCTCCCGCTTGTATCAGACTTCCCACGAGGCAAGCATCACCCTTACCAAAACAAGGTTCTGCAACACACCCGCTAGCATCTCTATCACGCTCCCAGAATCGCGCCACACCATCACCGAGCGGTCCCTGGGAGATCTCGCTGGACCTGCCGTGTTAGCTCCACTACAATATGGCAGATCGGCACATCATCTGTGTCGAGCCCGCTAGCGGTCGCGGCGAGCTTGTCGTTGTCCAGGTCGAGCAAGACGGGACGCAGCCACTCGACCTGCGTCTCGTGGGGTGTGAAGGCGAAAACCCATATGTGGCTTCGAGTAAGACTGGGACCTTGACAGTTTTGCTCTTTGCTAATCACATGTGCTATAGTCAAGCAGCGCAATCTTGCAAAGCTGAAACTCAAGTTCAAGGGTTCAGATGAGGAGTGGGCGGCGGTATTATCTCATTTCCTGCTGCAAAAACCCGTCACGCACAATGCTGGTTTGTTAACCGGCGTCCGACTGGTGTACACACTCAAAGACGACCTTGAGCTTTCTTTTCGGCGTGATGTCCAGGGGATCAAGGTCAGCCGATTTCACTATATCACGGAACACTGCTGATTCAAGCAGGTCACACTGGGTGAAATCGTGCTACCACGAGATGACGAGTACGAATTCAACCCGTTTGAGTGGGCACAGGCGTCTGCCAAAGCGCATGCGGAGACGCTGAAAGAGCTTGCCGATCTAAAGACAAGGGCAACCAGCGAGCAAGACACCATTGCCAAGCTGAATGCACAGCTGGACGACTTTATCAAGACGAAAAATGAGACGGAAACGGCCATGCTGCAGCAATTCATGCAGCTGCTTAACGAAAAGAAGAGGAAGATTCGAGACCAGAGCCGATTGCTAGCTACTGCCAAGGTGGACAGCTCTGTTGGTAAGTCTCGCCGAAAAGGACCCAAGGGCTCACTGACTCGATGTGATGTAGCAAGTGCCGTCCAGTCCACAAGGACGGGTCCTAATCCCCGCAAGGTAGGCACATCACGGCAGTCGAAACGAAAAGCACCGGCACAAGCAGCAGAGGCAGATGTGCAGTCGGGGCCTGACAGCGACCAAATGGACGTCGACCCCAAGGAAGAACCGGACAGCGACGACGCACCAGCAGCTACTCCTGAGGCATCAGAGGATGAGACTGACGAGGAAGAGGCCACGGCGCCGTCAGTACGCGCCAAGTCATCGGAGACATTGGGAGCGAATTCTGCAAAGGCATCACAGGAAGGGGCAAAGAGTAGTGACAAACCCCCTCCCAAGCGGGAATTGCCGTTTGGCAGGCCGGCAACACGAAGCAAGCCGTCGGAGAAGAAGCCAGAGCCGGCTGTAGGTGATGATGACGAGGATGCTACAGATGATGAGGAGCTCTGAGATGGGATTCGTTCAGGGGATGACATGATTGAACTTCTGTAACCTCAAGAATTGAACAGTTCTTTGCGGGACATGACCATTTTGCCTTCAAGGATTTATATCCCGTACCGAAAATAAACGAACATTTGGAACAATTTGTACATGTGCCTTGCGTGCCGGACAATGCAATTGTAGCAGTCGACTTATTCATGAGTAAGCCCCCTGCATATGTCGCAGTGTTCCACCAAGTCAGGCGCTGGAACAAGGTGCGACAGGCGGCTCACGAGCCGTAGAAGCATGCGCATCTTGTGTTCAGCGCACACTACATCTGTCCAGAGATAGACGCCGTCTGACGCCGTCTGCGTCGCGCGGTATATGCAATTCGCGGTAGGCTTAGGCATGACGTAGGATTGGAACGAGGTCCGTGGCCAAAGTCGGAAATCGCGACTGGCAGCCAATTAGCGCAGTCAACGTTCATCATCCCGCGCACGCGCTGATCTCCATCCCGCATAGGTACCGCTATCCTAGCACCTGGACTACGCCCATCAATCACCCTCACCCAGGTACTCGCAAGGACGGTCGTCATCTTCGATCGCGTCGCAATAGCCAGTTGACGGTCGCATACACGAGGCCAGGCCATGGTGGACTTGTGCGGGCCAGCCCTCAAGCGCGTATAGGAGGCTGAAGTTATTCCTGACCTGTGAGTAACCACGCTGTACCCGGCGGCAACATACAAGCCGCAGCTGTTTGCATGTCCCGCGATGCTGACTACTGTGGCAGGCACTACAATTGTAGCATCGCGCGCTGACTGGCTTCTCTCACCCACGTCGCGCCCGTTGGCCGCATTCACCTCGACTTGCTCCCGCTCCCGCTCCCGCTCCCACCCCGCTACTTTCCTCAGCACCGCGCTCGGCCTTCATGCGTCCTCTACCTTTGCCAAACACACACTCTAGACACCACTTTTTTTCTTGCGACAGACCCAACACCAGACACCACACATCACCGAGCATGCGCGAGGTAGCCACCATGTCGGGCGCAGACAGACCCGAGCCCGCGGTCGAGACGACGCGATCGCTGAAGCGCAAGAACCTCTCCCAGGAGGACCAGGAAGAGTTGGACGCCATGGACAAGATCTTCAAGCGCATCAAGACGGCCGTACCGCCCACACCCTACATTCTTTCCGCGCCATCGATGAACCCATACCACTACCATTCCCAGCAAGAGGCCAATGCGTGGATGTTGGGCCGCCTGTTCAAGCCAGACGAGGCGCATCTGCAGTACCGCACCTATGTCTACCGCGAGCCATGCCAAGACTGCCTGGAGCTACAGGCCGGCGAAGACGAAGAACCAGAGCCCGAGCGCCCAGCGTCGCGCGCTTCCAACACCGGCGGCCCCGTCAAGAAGAAGCTGAACCTTGCCAACTTCAAGGTGAAGCCAGCAAACGGCACCTCTGCACTTGGCGCGAAGAAGGCATCGCCGACTCTCATACCAGCAAATGCCAAACAAGAGCAGACGAATGGCGTCAAGAGGCCTGACAAGCAGGACCAGAAGGCCGAGTCCAAGATACAAAGGAAACACGGCGAGCACGCCAACGAAGCGCGCGACAAGGCCACGGCTGCGAGGACGAGCCACGCCGACTCTGGCCCCGCCAAACGACCTCGCTCACCCTCGCGCAAGACGGATGCCGCCGAGTCCAAGGTCGACATTGACAAGTCTGGTAGCTCCGACAGGACGCCTCACGGTCTCCCGCCCCTCCTATCGCCTGTGCACATTCCGTCCGGTAATCCACATGGCCTCCCAGACATTCTTTCGCCTACCCTGCCCTCGAGCATTCAGACCGAGCTGGATAAGATGGAGACACGGCGCAAGCGCGCAGAGTCTAGCGCATCATCCTCGTCTACAGATCGCAAGAGCCAGACGCTTGCAGTGCCCGGAACCAAAGCGCTGAAACCCACCGAGACGGTCAAGACGGAGCCGAAGATACGAACCGTCCAGGTCAATGGCAAGTCGCCACGTGTCGAAGCTGCGAAATCAAAAGAAGATGGAAGAGTGAAGGAAGACACGACTTTGAAGGACAATGCGAGACCGAAGGAAGAGACGAAACCAAAGGAAGATGCGAAGCCACAGGAAGATGTGAAGCCACAAGAAGACGCGAAGTCAAAGGAAGACGCCAGACCAAAGGAAGACGCCGATCCGAGTCTTGTGGTAAAATTCAAGTTTTCCAAAGCCAAGGTATCAACGGTCACGCAACTTTTGAAATTGGCACCCAAGAGGAACAATGCCCAGAAGAAAGAGCGTCTAGACGTGAAGGAGCCTCTGACCAGCTCGCAGTCACAGACTGCCGACGATGAGCCAAAGAAGAAGAAGCCAATCCCCAAGGTTGCCGCGCGCCGGCCGGACAATACTACACCCGTCTCGACGCCGACTATCAAGTCCACAACCGCCAACCCACCTACCAAGGTCGCAGAGAAGCGTCCTCGCGCCGAAGACGATGTGGGCTCAGCCGTACCTTCAAAGCGCCCAAGAGCGGCTTCGACGCAGGATCGGCCGCACACACCCTTGCAGCAAGTCACCCACTCACCTTCGAAATCGACAAAGTCGAGCGCGCAAAAGGGTCAACCGCAGTATGCTACCCCAAAGAACAACCACAAGACTATGAGCATGCTCCGTACCGCGTCGACAGACAGTAACGACTCGACACCTGGACGCTCAGTCGCTACCCCAGCTGGTCTCAAACAAGAGGGCAAGGGCGGTCCTACATCTGCTCCACTCAACGACAAGAAGCAGGCCGACTTTAACCTGTTGAACCAGACCTCGATGAAGCTGAACCAAATGGGACGCGCCCTTAAGCATGAAGCGACCAAGATTCTGATGGCAGGCGGGGGAAAAGCTGTGCCAAAGCAAGAAGAGAAGCGCGCGGCCGTTACCAACATGGAGTGCATCCTGTAAGTTATCTCTACCTGCCCTTTTCAACACTTCTAACTGTATCAGATCATATATGGCTGCATACCACGCCCAAGATGCTTCGCTAAACCTCCGCGGTCGCGCCGGCGAGGTTGAAGGAACCTGGAAAACCCTGCTGCCGCTCTGCCTATCCTATGCCCGCAGTACTAAAGAGTTTAAGCATCTCGATGGTCTACGGTCGTACCTCAGCTCCGTCATCGCCTCCGCCATCTGCACCCATGTCTCTCAGCGCTCATCGCTTGTCCGACCCCATGATTCCCCACATGACCTCCCTCACTCGGACCTTGCAAAGCAGCACGCCACGCTCGCGGCCCAACTTTGCCATGTTGTCGGACCACACGAACAAGATGAACCAGCACTATCAGGACGCTAGGATCGCGCTACCTGCCGAGGACATTCAGTCCATGTACAAGAAAACTTTTGCCGGTCGCGAGGCGAATGCAAAGCTAGCCAAAGAGCCGGAGAAGGTCAATGGCGCGCGCATGTCCGGACCGTACTTCTTGCCCATTGCAAACGATACGACGCCAATTCAGGCCGTGCGCTTTGGACTCAAGTTCCTGGCTGAGTACTGCGAAAAGGAAAAGCTCGAGTACAACTTGCGCGTCAATCTCGATAAGGGCGAGTAAGACTACATGTCCGTCGCACAGCATGCTTTTTGCATTATCCGCAGTGCAAACCTGCATACCACCATTCAGACACAAAGACGTCTCCATCATCTGTCGGCGTTACCATCGATTGTCTTTTTTCATTATTCAATTGCTTTATTGGCGTATACTTGGGGTATCTTGATATTTCTTCACGATGATACCCATGAGGGAGATTTCTGGCACCATAGCCAAAGATCACACCTCTACATTGAGCTTTCTTACTTTTGCGGAGTTTCCGATATGCGGGCAATGTACAAAAGCGTCAGGTGGGTGGGGATTACTGAGAGATTTTGCTACATGATAATGAACTGCATGCATGGTAATCGGCGTAGGACACCAATATTCGGAGAATAAACAAGAACCCAGAAATGTATAATCAATTTGCAAGCATGAAGTAAAGTGTGTGTCTACGCAGCAAATATCCTCTCCAACCGCTCCAACAGCATATCCGCATGATGTCTCTGGAAAATCAGCATCGGCCTCAGACGGACCGCCATCTCCCCACTGCCCCCGATATTCACCCCATGCGCCTTGGCCTTCTTCAACACCTCATCGCGCCGCGGGCAGTCCCACGCAATGAATGTGCCCTGCCCCTGGCCCCTCAGATTCTGCACGTCATTAGGGAACTTCTGACTCAACCGCTGCAATCCCTCAAACAGGTAGTCTCCCGTAGCCGCTGTATGCCTGACCAAATCCAAGCGCTCAATCTCGCCGATAATCGCACGCATCAGAATCGCCCTTGCCGGATCCCCCATCCACGTGTTGAACTGGCGATACGGCTTGTTCGGCCGCAGTTCGCTGTTGCCAAAGTAATACCCCGCGGTCTGCGCTTTCTTGCTGAACGTCACCATGTCTGGCGGGGTGGATAGGTTCCAGTGCTCGTGCGCCCAGAACTTGCCCGTCGCGCCGACGCCGGTTTGCACTTCGTCGACGATCATGAGGATGTTGAGGCGCTTGGTCATGTCACGGAGAGAGCGGAAGAAGGAGCCCGAGGCGTGGTTGTCGCCGCCTTCGGATTGGATGGGTTCGACGACGATGGCGGCGACGGGGTGGTGGAAGGTTGTGAGGATGCGTTCTGTTTCGGCGAGACAGCGCTTCTCTTCTTCCGCATTCTCACGCACATGCTCTTCGAGGGGATATTTGAGCATGGGGAAGGGAGCCTGGGGCCAGTCGAAGGCGGGGATGTCGAGTTTGTGAATCGGCTTGGAGCGCGTGGTGGATAAGCTGCCGAACAGGCGGCCGTGGAAGCCGGATTTGAAAGATAGGATAGACAGGTCCGGCGCGCCGGGAGACTTGTTGTCCATGCTGCTGGTAATGTCCGCGGCGCTGAAGTCGACGTCTGCGCCGCCGCGCTCTTGCTGGCGGCGCCACATGAATGCCGCCTTATACGCGAGCTCGTTGGCGTCGGAGCCGGATTGGCCGGTGAAGACTTGGTTGAGTCCTTTAGGTGCAACAGACAAGATTCCAGATTCGAGAATGTCGGCCCAGTCGTGTTGCGGGAAGTTTCCGAGTGCGGGTCGGTTGATTATGGCGGACGCCATTTCGGGGGATGTGGCTGCGAGGAGCAGGGCTGGGTTGTTGTAGCCTACAGGGATGGAGGCGATTTGGGCATAGACGTCAAGCAGGACATTTCCGTCGAGGTCAGCAATGCTATCGATATGTTAACAGTGCCACTACACGGAGACCTTCAGTACGTACTAGTTCCCATAGCTTCGCGAGTAGTCTGCCATCATGTTCAAGCTTCGCGTGTCAAAGACTTTGCTCAATCTCTCCACCGCCTTTTTGCTCTCTGGGCCGGGGATCTGAGTCTGAACAATAGGACCAGCGGGCTCATCTGGGAAGAATGGTTGCTCGCTGGCGTCTGGCATGACAGCGGCCGCTGCAGCAGACGCATATCGTCTGCGCAGCGCAACTGGCGCAACCTTTACAGCTCTCGGAGCATTAGAGTTGATAAGTGCGGGTCTGAAGCGACCTGCTGTGCGTAGAAGTGAAGCCATTATGACTTTGTTGTTTGAAAGAAGGAAGATGTGGGGTATCAAAGGCAAGTCGCGAGAGCTGCAAGGAGCTTCGTAATGCGGGGATCCGTGGCTCGAGCTCACCCGTTGTTTTACTCTTTGGTTCTGTTGTCGAAATGAGAAGCTAACAGTAGGAAGATACTATTCAGAGGTAGGAATACCAATCTCAAGCCTCCCCGCACTCCGCAAGGAACACACCATTACTTATAACAATGCCGCTGTTGACGTTGGCCGTTGGAAACCGACGCTATATCCGGAAATAGGCTGTACACGCGAGCTTCTAGGGTCCGGGGAGCTTATCTGGGCGGACACGCTAGGAAATTGCGGGGCAGGCTAGACGCTGCAGACGCCCAGGGTCTTGTTGCCATACCATGTACTTACCTATTGTGCATACTTATCGTGATACACTATCAACAATTCCCCGACGGAAGGATTATCATTAGTCGGAACGTTGCAAGTGGGCTTCGGGCAGCATGTATGTTTGACTACCTACCACTCGCACCTCGCGACCCGATGTATCAATATACTTGCTTCTTTGCTATTATGGCAATCTGTGACAGCATTCACGTCACTCTTATGCTTGTCTTCCTTGCACCGCACATTAATCTCCTCGCCCATGGAAGGACAATGTAAAAAGCCCGCGTTGGTGCCGTCAGACTGGTATACACAGTCCCATTCATCGAACAATAGCCAGAGAGCAAACACTCCGTGCGGAAAAGGTGGAAACTTGATAGCGTTCTGGTCAAGCCATCGTGTAGGTAGATCGTTGAGACTTGGCACCGAGCAGCCGTCTGCGATAACACTGTATTGGCTCGGGAAGAAAGTCCAGGAATTGTAATTTTCGTCTTTACCGATCAACTGTCGCAGCATAATTGAGACCTTTTTGCTTGGTGTAGGTGGAGGTGGTGGTGGTGGCGGTGGTGGCGGGCTTGCTGACGTTATAGTTGTGGTCGACGTTGAGACGAATGTTCTGCTCGATGACTGGGCAATTGCGGTTGACGAATGCGTATATGTTATAGCTGTCGACATTTCACTGCCTGTCCAGGTCGTCTCAGAAAGCATGAATGACTGTGAATTCTTCGTTTCCAATGCCAGAGTAGAGGCCGTCACTGTCAAAGCCAACGAGGATGGGGTTGACGGAAGTGTTGTGCCTGTAGCATTGTCCACTGAGGATGTCAGAGAACTGGCTGATACCACAGTCTCCCATGAGAGAGAGGAAATGGAGGAAGCTGGGAAACTTGACGTGAATTTGGTTGAAGATGTAACGGCGCTCTTGCTCCGTAGAGGGCAAGAGTCACCCATCTGGAGCTTCAAATGGTCCTTGTATTTGTTCAGCTTTTCTTCGTCAGTCCCGTTATATAGGTGATAGAATTCGAGGAGCTCCGTGTCCTCGCCGGAATCCGCGTCCAGTTGTCCAGGCCACGGCCACCTCGGAAATTGACTTGGGAACGCTTCCCATTGATCACTGTAGCGAGGGAATGGGCTACGTTCAAACCATAGCTCTATTTTAGCCGCCTGAATGTCGCAGGCATCAGGTCCACCGCTCAACCAACCTTCAACTGGATCATACTGAATGAGGACCTTGCCATTTGGGAACGCTATGACTCCGGCCTTTAGGAATGTCTCTGGCCCGCGAGCCTCATATGGTATGGTCATTGTGTCCCGACGACCCAGGATATCGTGCAATAATTCCTTGATATTGCCAACTACTCTCACGTATTGCAGGTCATCTTCGCTTAGCCAATCGACAGAGCGCCTATATGGTGTGATGATGAAGGCGCGCACGTTATTCTCCGCCGTATTTTCGAAATCGCCACCAGGACCAGTAAAAAAACTAAGCCCTCGAGGAACTCTCCAGTCTCCTCCGTCGCGCAAGGGCTGGGCAATGTCTTGTTCAAATAGGTGAGGCGACATCATTGACGGTTGTTCCCAGATATGTGTCATGAACACTCGCTTGCGAGAGATGACGATTACCGAGGTGCAGCCCCAGAGGTCAATAAGATTAAAAGTATTGGGTATGTCCAAGAGGGGATGCGAAAACCCTGTGGTCCATGTCCCGAACGGGCCATCACCTTGGGGTAGTCGGTTCGGGCTTGCCAACACTTGGCTGATTAGCCATGAGACGATGTCACCTGACAATAAAGTTGTGGTCAGTTCCCATCATACAGAAATTTCAGTGCCATGAGTTTTGTTGTGTTCAAGTACAGTTGACTACAAACAAGTCTGTGTAGACTTTTTGGGTTCACGTACCGCGAAAATCTCCATGTGGATTCGGGAGGCTCCTCGCTTGTAGGCGATTGGCCCTTTGCGTCAAGTTCCTATGGCCTGATTTGCTCTTGTTGATGCCGGATCCGCTATCGCCTCTCGAACCCAATCTTGTCGCCGGCACGTAGTATACGCCATTTGGAGCTGTGGAGTAAACCACATCTGGAGTCGGCATTGGAAAGTCTGGAATACTTTGCTTGCATTTAGCACATCCCGAATTGCAGGGCTGGAAGGTGGTGATGGTAGATGTGATGGTCGATGTTGATGTGGAGCCAGTAGCACCACAGCTCGTGATGGGGGCTTCACATGTGGTTGTGCATGATTTTCCTTCTGCGCGCCTCTTTTCCGCTCCCAGAGTGGTGGTAGCAGTAACAGCACACTCTACTTTGCATTCGCTAGCTGTGCGCATTGAGCAGGAGGCCGACGTGGATCGCTCTGTTTCTTTGGACGTGGGCTTATCAGAAGCCGGGGAAGACTTTGGGTCACCATCTGGATCCACATCGTTGAGCGCATCAACCATGGGCTTCAAAGTTTTCTCTAAGCTTTTGACAACGTCCAGTGTATCTTTCACTCCTTTGGTGACTTCAGTCCTCAACTTTTGTGCTGTCTCAATGACACATGCCACAAGTGAAAACGCTGTCTTGAAGAGTCCTCCAAACAGGCTTCTGACCTCCAAGTCAGAAGCTAAGATAAGCTCGCTTTGTCCATGATCCGCTCGCTTACAAGGTTCGGGGCCGTGTGGGGGCTTTGGAAGTTTGTGAAGGAAGTCAGTCATTCTTGGTAGGACAATATCGAGCTTTAGAGCCACAGCTGTAGCCTGAGGGGCTTCTGTAACATCGATCCAATGGTCTAGCAGACCGAAAATGTCGACAAGGTCTCGTGATATAATAGAAGCGCTAGTTTCAATACCCATCCCCGGGAAGAAGTTCGTGGTGTGGATTGGTGGCGGAGTAATACCAGGAGGAGGTAGCAATGTTCTAGATGCCGAGGAGTCTTGGGAAAGGGCCGGCAGTGTTGCAGTTGAGCGTAAAACCGTACGATCGTTGCTTCTGACTATCTCGCTTGATGTGGATGTGCTGGTAGATGACAAAGTGTCTGTAATTGGTTGTCGAGCAGTGTCGATAGCCGAAGTAGCTGACGATATTGCAGACACATCACTTGAGATATGCTGAGAGTATGACAATGTAGATGATGAAGTCGGGTTCGAGCTCGGAGTGTTCAGTGTTCCATTTCCTCTAATGGACATGGTCGTGGTTGAAGATGGAAAGGATTTGAATGATACTCCTTCGGTAGCATTGAATCCAACAGAGTCGTTTCCTGGCCTTGTTGGCAGCAATGGAGAAACATGCAAGGAGCTGGCGTTCGTATGAATCGGAAACGGGGGTTGACCAGAAAAAGGGTAAGTGTGCACTACCTGTACCCGGTGCTTCTCTCCGAGGTGACTAAACGAGAGAGTAGCAAAATTGAAACAATTGCCATATGCTTGGTGAACATTTTGCCTGTGATTGACAGAAGAAAGGGTGAAAGGCAAGTTGATCTGACACACCCGCGGGCTTGCTTTATATAGGGACTCGCCGGTTTTGAACCTTTCCAGTATTTTATGAGGTCTGGTAATGGTTGCAAACATGTGAAGAGACTTGGTGATCATGACCAATTTTCTCTGCTGTTTACACCACTTTCAAAAATGCCTCCCGCGTGATTGACAAATCAATACATCCCGTACACACTTTTTCAGTGGTCGAAGCAGCATGGCTGAGGGTACCAGTGTTCTGTATTTTCATTCTTGACACTGATATTTGCTGTCAGATGTCCGCTGTTACATGTGATAGGACGTTGACCGGTGCAATGTGCGGGTTTGCGTCGTGTGACAATACGCAGCTACGATGGTTTAAGATTGCTTGAAGACCCTTTACTTATGAGACTGCGCATCGCTGTATTATTCCATATGTGTCATCGGGTTCGTCGGAGTCTACAGCTACGCCCCGGCAGCTTGCCTAGATACCTGCCAATATCGGAAACATCAGGCCTACGTCAGCATAGCAGTACGAGTTCAGTGACAGGCCTAAGAAGCCAAAGGGTCAATTGATTATTTTGGGGCTATCCGAGGCCAACGGCATATTGATTGTGGGAAAATAGGCCCCACGTTACATATTGCACCCGTGTATTGAATTGAGCGACTTCAACGGGTGCATTAGCCAACCAATCAACCAAGTCGTACGTTAGGTGGCGCAAGGTGAAACCATGGTGCGCGACAATGCACGTTCTAGTTATACAAGAAAGCCTCTTGCTATGGTTCTCTGTGTAGTCCATACAATGCGCGTGACACTCCAATCACCAAAGCCACATCGCAACAAGGTTCTGCTCCAACACAAGCGCTATATTTGCACTTCCCAATTCTAAACTGATCATCCTACTGAACAACCACACCTATTCCGTCAAGATGCTTCGCCAACAAATTGATACGAAGTTCCCGAAGAGTTCCAAAGCAATAACGCAAGGACCTTGTCATGTGCCTTGTTAGGGTGTGACATTCACCTCCCACTGCCCCACCTAGGGTCCGTGTAAAAACAATTTAGTGAGTCTCGCGTTACACACAGGACCTGCACGTGCGTGGGTCGCAGCCTCGATCCAATACCGCAATCCTTTACACTTTCAACATCTCCTCCAGAACTACAATATTACTTGTCCCTCGCTCACTTACTTGGCAACAATGTCATCTCAGCCATACCTGGAGCCTGCGCCAAAACCAAACCCTGACAACCGTACCGTCTGCTTTTCTTGGGTACTTGCAAGAGCAAACAGGTGCCCTTCTCGCTGAGCCACACTCTCATTCATGACCCCGGCTTAGCGACGGATGGACTTTTCCTGGCTGTGCTGCACGCGGATTCGAGTTTGCAAGCCAGCTCCTCGAGCTCGGAGTGAAATGGGACCCGAAGACAGTGCAATACGCTTCCAAGACGTTGCGTGGAGCGAAGTGGCTTATCGATGAACATTTCGACGTCAACACTGGTTTTGCGGGCGGCTCTACCATACTATGGTGAGCAGACTCACTCTAATAGTTGTCCATGCTGACATGAAATAGCCTTGCCGTCAGTTACAACAAGGAAGACGTCATCCGCTTCCTGCTCTCAATCGGCGCAAACCCTAATCTTGGACCCCCAGTGTATACGGGTAACAACGACATGAAAGCACGCTCTTTGAAGGACTCACCTCACATCCTCAACACTGCGGCTGCCTCGAGCACTCCCGAAATCTTCGCTCTACTCCTCTTTCACGGTGCCAGCATTAAGAGCTCAATTCCGCTTCACTGTGCTGCCGGCTATGAGAGGACTCTGTACAACCCTCCAATGATCAGTGGTATACCGATGATGAAGTACCTTGTCGATATTCTTGGCGTCGACGTTAATGCTTCAGACGACGTTAGGGTCACTGCACCTGATCATCTTGGGCAGGTTGGTACACCGCTTGATTACGCCGTGAGATCCGTCGAGATGAGGAAGCGAGGTGGCTACGGGAGAGAGGCGCGGAAATCGACAAGAGAGGACCATTTCCTACCTTTTCCTTCATACCGTGTTGTCACCCAAGTCTAAGAAAACAGGGACTAGAGCCGGCCAAAACTATCGAGTAGGCTACTGGAGATCATGTGGCAGAAAATGGGACGTCGACAAGAAATGAACTGGACAACATGCTACCCAAGAGGAAGTCTAAGTGCCTAGGTGTGGTTCGGCCGAGGCTACTGTCGTGGAACCAAACGCACGCCTACGAGACCCTTCAACAAAGCGAAAAGTTGACGTTGTCGACCTCACGTACAGTTCGCTAATCTTGCATCCATTCCCAACATCTTCAGATCCTATTCTGCCGCCACTTGCTTCCTTGAAAGCATCCCCAAGTCCTCAATCTCCACCGCGCCGATCCAAAAATGCCCTCCTGGTCCGCCACATTCATCCGCTTCTACATCGCAAACGTCCGACGGGCTAAAATAATCTTCGCCAGCACATCTGCCACACAATCAAGCGTTCAAGAACTGCACCTGCACCCCGCATCCTTCGCACCCCCAACCAACCTCGGCAGCGACATATCCATCCAACGCGTGGACGTAAACTCTTGGCCTTTGTACCTCGTCTCCAGCAACGCACAGAAAAATGAAAATGGAGAAACAGTCGTGTATCTTCACGGCGGCGCTTTTTATCGCGAAATCGACCCCTTCCACTGGAAATTCATCGCGCAGCTAGCCCGTTCGACAGGCCTAGATGTGCTTGTGCCCATCTACCCTCTAATACCACGCCCGACGGCAACAGCTGCGCAAGTCATCGATGGCATCGTATCCATCTGCAAGCTATCTGAGCGCAGGATTGTCGGGTTGATGGGCGATTCGGCGGGTGGACACATGGCGTTGGCCACAGCACAGTATGCACCTGACATAGCTGCGACGTTGAAGTTTATAGTGCTCATTTCGCCCGTGCTGGATATCGAGTTGACGCATCCTGAAGTCATTAGGCTGGAGAAGAATGATCCATGGCTGAGTATCGAGGGGTTGAAGAGCGTGGTGTTGCCAGCTTGGAGGGCGAATTTGAAGACTGAGGATGCGCTTGCTAGTCCGTTGTTTGGGGCGATTGATAAGTTACCGCCGGTGCTGTTGTTGTCGGGCACGGACGATATGTTGAATGCGGATGCGAGGCGATTGAGTGCGAGGTTTCAGGGTGGAGATGGGAGCGAGTGTGTCAAGGGTAGTGTGGAGGTGGAGGGTTTCAGGTATGTGGAAGAGGAGGGAATGATTCATGTTTACCCGCTGCTGCCGTGTTGGGAGGGCGAGGAGGCGAGGAAGTTGATTTTCGGTTGGGTTGAGGAAAGGTTGGGGAGGTAGAAGGGAGCATGCAGGCATGCTTGTTGACTACAAAATGAGTACTCAAGGCGATGCGGACGTAACCACATCACGTTGCAGCATGACCCACGAACTCTTTGAATAAACGCGCAAAAGGGAAATGCTACTCGTCGTGCATTGATACCAATAACGATGGTGATTTCGGAGTTGCGAGTGCATACAAAATTGCATACAAAGTGTCAGGAGCAATGTGTAAATGCAATGGATCTCTCAACAATGCCTGCAGAAATCACACAACGTCGCCGGTAGCATCAGCAAGCCGAATTGTTTATCCCATCCCAGCTATTCATTCAATTACACTGCATGATCATGTTTCCCTCCTTCTTCTCCCAAGTGTTTGAAGCAGATCCAGCCAATACTTTGTGGGATATCGACGCTGAAGCGCGCTTTAGCAATTTTTGGCATGACGACTCACCACTACCTAGTCCCGAAGCGTCAAAATGTGCGAGTATAGAGTCTCAGAACCTGACAGCTATTCGTCAGTCGTTAAAGTGAACCAAGGTGCCGTTGCAGCGCGAATCTTTAAGGCATTGTCGCAACGGGTATCCATCAAGCCGCGAGAGCCCAAGGTCGTTACCTGCGAGAAATGGACTGAGAAGGATACACGTGACGCTTTTGATGCCAATCCGCCTCCTTCAGATGGCAAGATTGCTGAAGCAGTACAACATGCTGTGGTGCAAGCGCCGGTGAAGCCGCAGTTTGTTACGCATGGCAATTGGACTGACGATGATTCTTGTCGTTGTTACTGACAAGGTAAATCCTAGGCAGGCTACCTTTGAGAAGTGGGCTTACGATGAGTCTTGTGACGTTGCTGATAGCAGAAAGTGAGGTACAAGACTGGCTCTAGGTAAGTCTGGTGAAATACTTCACAATACAATGAATGGAACAAGAGCATGCTTTTTGCGAGATATGACTTGGAGTGATGATTTGCCAGTTCTGATTCAAGATGACTTCTATGGGTGATTTCGGTTTTCGTTATGAAGTGCTTCGAGAAGTGAGACTGGGCATCCGTTTTCGCATCTTAAACATCTCATTTCAGTCTCAGTCAACGTGTTATTTGATATGTTCTGAGCAATTCCAAGCGTCAAATGCGCGACTGCAAGGTCCCTAACGTTAGGTAGTATGGTGGGCGGTGAGCACAGCTGTGTCGATTCACGTGAGGATCGGGGCAGATGGCGCTAGTGTTTGGCGCGATTAGATAAGCGCCTCCTTGCGGCGGGGTTGTCACTTGACCTGAACAGTCACATGTGCATCCGGTACACGTCACGAGCACTCCAGCCCCTTACCGCCTCGAGTCACCATGTCGCGCTCAGATGACCCGGGTCACTACTTCCAGACAGAGTAGGATGCACTCGTCTTCTTCTTTTCTTTCATAGCACTAAACAAATGCCAGCTTGGCCCTGAACGAGACGGCCCGCAAGGCCACCAAGTCAAAGAACACCAACGGCAGCCCGATCAAACTCCCCTCCAAGATACTGGCCGCCATCCCCGATCCTCGCGATGAAGACCACATCTACGTGGCCGAAGCCGCTGGCAATGTCAAGCGGATAAACGTTGAAGTTGGTCAGACACTTTCATTTCAACCCTGCCTTCATGCACACGTTGACGCCCTCGGATCATGGCTGACCGTCTCTATAGACATCTAATGTCACCACAACCTTTTCAGGCCCTACAGCACCCCTTACCTCTATCTGCGTTGCTCCCTCCTCCGGCACAGTTTTTGCTGGCTGCTGGGACAAGTCCGTCTGGTCGTGGACCGGCTCAACTCGAAAGCCGGGTCGGCGATTTCAGGGACACGCCGACTTTGTCAAAGCCGTCTTGGTCTGCACGTTGGCTGGTAAAGAAGTGCTCATCTCGGCTTCGGCAGATGCAAGCATCATCGTCTGGGACGTCACTTCAGGCGAGAAGCTTCATACACTTAAGGGGCACACGCGGGGCATTCTGGCACTCGCCATTGACAACAATTATACCGACAAGGACGAGTCTTTGGTGCTAGTGAGCGCTGGCACCGATCGAGAAATCAGGCGTTGGACTATTAGCGTCCACTCGGCTTCTGAACTACAACCGTCACCCGTCATTGCCCACGAGACGAGCATCGATGCTATCCACTTTGACTCCGACCTTGACCTATGGACTGCGTCTGCTGACAAGACTGCAAAGTGTCTGGCGCGTTCTCGAGAGTGGGAGGAGGATTCCAGGTTTGAGCATCCAGACTTTGTGCGCGACATTGCCGTCGACGAAGAAGGGGGTTGGGCCTTGACTGCCTGCAGAGACGAAGAGGTTCGTGTATGGGATAAGGCCACTGGGAAGCTGCACCATACTTTTTCCGGACATTACGAAGAGGTTACCGGCCTTGTACTGCTTTCACAACAGCGCTTGGTCAGTGTCAGCATTGATGGAACTGTCCGGCAGTGGAGTCTCAAGGCCCAGGAGCTGGCCAAAGCAGTCCAGGAAGCCGAGGACGAGCGGCTCGGTAAGACCAAGGAAGAAGAGCCCGAAAAGAAGGAGGGCATGATGACAGCCGAAGAAGAAGCAGAACTGGCCGAACTTTTAGAAGATAGCGAGTAGACATTGGCGAGCAGATTAGCGATTGAGTGGCCCATGACCAGGATCCTGCTGGCCTTTTCCGATCGACTCATCTGGTCGCCCCTAGGTAACAACTCCGCGAGACACCGGGACAGACACAGACACTCGTTATCGCTGCTACCAGGTCGCATTCCTTGAAGAATGAATTGTCCGGAACTTGCTGCGACCAAACTAGGCTGTGCAGCTTCAGGAACATCTTCGGACCTTTGACTAGGCCTTTCAAGGTGGCGGAGCTCAGCAGCCTACCATGTTGCTGTCACTATGCGGTTCAGATTCCGGACGATGTCGACACAGTGGACGTGCGGTACTCCTCTTGACGAGGCCGAGTGCTATGGCTGGCTCCCTGGATCTCTACACAGAGACTCTTGGTATCTCCCCGCTCCCTCTTGATTTGATAAGTGGTGCTATTTACTGGTGTATAGCACTAGTCGTCTTCGGCGAGATACAATCTCCGCTCTTCATGTTGGCAGCCTCTCGGAGAAGCGACGTTCGACTTGATCATGCGCCATAGTATACCTCGACTGTACATCTAATTTTGCGCCAGCACCACACAGCAACGAAGAGACGTGGTCAACGACCGCATCTCGGACCACCTCCCTCCATTGCCGTTCCCTTCCCCACCATCCTTCAGTCAGCTTTGCAAATTGATCATCCGAGATCCACTAAGTAACTCCTCACTCGGGCGCATAACTGCGTCGTCGAGATGTGGCTCGGAACACCCAACTTTTGACAGACCCCTCACGGCAGGGGGCATCTCAATGCGACCCCGTCACCAGTGTTGGCCTTTTCAGGCTTCCGTGTGTGGAAGAAGCCTACAGATATTGAGCTGTGCTCTGACAGGTCAAATGACCCTTGGCAATTTGCTGTGAGGGTACTCTTGATATCGTTGTGGTGTAAACACATGTAGGGAGACTTGCGACATTCCCCCCAGCTCTCACTGTGCGCGCAACAGACTACCAAAACAACGTGTGACGCCCTTCTCGATTCACTCGACTCGGTACGGGACTTTACAGATCTTGTATCACAGGACCATTCCGTCGAAAAGACCAGACGCTATATTTACGAGACCGAATTGCGAGAAGAAAGACGACATGCTATCTCAGTTCAAACGCTGCGGCATACAAGGCGACCAGCTGACGAAGCTCAGATCTTGGTCGCGACGACGCTCTTTCGCGGTACGGTCTGCGCGGCGCGCCGAACCCCGGTCAAACGCCCTCATCTGTTCCCTCAAGTTGATCAGCCGCTTTCATGTTCCAGGCTCGCCGCTGCCAGTCAAATCCTCCGATATCGGCTTCCAATGCCACTAATTGGCTCGTCTTAATACGCTTTGGCTAGCCTAAACTACCTGCTCGCTTCGCTATTGCTACTCTGAACGAAAACCGTGTGCGGCGTGTGGAAAGCTATCTGTCAGGAGCGTCTTGCTCCCATTGCCGGTGCTACTCTTTTCAGAGAAGTGAGCGCAAGAGATGCCTGCGATATTGATTCATCTTCGGATGAATCTGACAGACCTTGTGGTCCATGGCAAGAGACATTTAGCAACTCCTAGCATCGATGGTTGCAGGCCACGGGGGCGGACAAACTTGCCAGGCTGGCATTGAGGACTCTCAATGCCAGGTCTCGCAAGGGAATCGCGCGCCTGTCGCCCAGCAACGGATCCATGTTACAGCGCCGTACCAATGGCTCGGGGGTTTGGGGCTTCAGACCACATTACAGGTTTCTTGGTGTCCCTGTTCTACTTTGTTCCTCGCTTACCGTAGCCGTCCGTCGCAGCTTAGCTCCGTCGTCCGAGCCACAAAGCATGTTCCGCTTCAGAACTCTCGCTCGTTGAGCCCGTATGTCAGGGAACGTTATACACGCATCCCCGCCACCAGTGTCGCCTTTTTCAAGGAGACGTGTGTGGAAGATGCCTCCGATATCGAGCTTCTTCCGAAGTCTCTGACAGGCCGTCAAGGTCCACGGCACATTGCATATGGGTACTCCTCGATGCTTATCCGGCCCTCGTGCCCATTTCTATTGGCCTCCTTGTGCCACGTTTACAGGCCATTGTGCCGCCATTGCACCTATTCCTCGGTTCCGACCGTCCTGTGCGCCGATATTCTTGTCCGCAACGCGAAAGAGGACCTTGTACTGCAGGCTCCGGCCCGCCACCAGTGGCTGCCTTTTCAGGCGATCGAATGTGGAAGATGCCAATAGATATGGAGATCTTACCCCTTGTCGTCAGACATGTGAAGGTTCTCTGACAGGTCGTCAAGACCCCTGGCAATTACAGCATACAAGTACCCTCCGGCAACGCAAAAGGGTCATTCCGACCTCGTGCCGATGGCTCCAGAGCCTCCATCCCCGTCCCGTCCCGTCCCGTCCTCATACGGCAGCGACCCTTCGCTTCGTTCGTGTTCCATACTACATGTCCCATCTTGTCCCATGTTGCCTAATACAATTTTTGGTGCCCCATGTCCGAATCAGTTGGGGCAAGTTGCTGTTGAAAAAACTTGTCTGGAGAAAATTGGATCGCGCTGTTTTAGTGGCGATCGCAAGAGGTGGACGGGCAGCAGAAGTCGGACCCTTGCGCCTCCTCGTGGTGCTGCCTGGATAGTCGACCGCTTAGAAATTTGAGCGGGAGATGAACCAAATGCTTGGGACGCGTGCAGTAAGTACCTCCCTTTGAAGAAGTCATTCGTCCTATGGATGGTGCGAGAGCCGATGGGGTCAACGCGGCTGCTTGATCTTGCATCGTTGGTTCTCAAGTCGAGTGTAGTCATCTATTTCAAGTACATCATCTCTTAATCGCTAATTAATTCCATAAAGTGCTCATGAGTTATTCTCTTCAAACGCTTTGTTGTCCCTCCCTGTACGTTGCTACTGTTTGCGTGGGGCTTGCGATTGCTGCGACTACTCACGATCAAGACTCGTTCCGTTCAATGGTCTACCTCTGCTCTTGGTCTGCACTAGCTATCTGTCTTAACTTACCATTCTTTGTGAACAATCTCTTCTATTTGCTTCCATTGTCCTCCATACACGCACTTAGGTAGTCTTGGTCCACGTTTTCGGTTTCGTGGTACGGCGCAGGGAACGAAATCCATCCTCACTCACTTCCCAACCACCCCGACCTGTCTTCACCCCCGATACCGCCGCACAATAGCAGAATAAGGACAATGGCTTAGAGCGCACAATAGCAGTGACGTGCTTGAGAATCGAAGAGGCATTTAAAGGCTGCTCTCGCCCATTCTCCCTCCATTTTCTTCTTCAAGTCACTCCCCTTGCTCTACAAATTCACACACTATACACCACACATTCTCACCATTGCACCCACCACACAAAACACTTCTACAAAATCACACTTCTACATCAACAAGATGTCTGCATGCAACACCATCACCGTCACGCCTGCCCCCCCAGCGTGGAGGATTCGTAAGTCCTTTTCGCTCCTTCGCATTGCATAATCAATACTGAGTCCTCGCAGACTTCAGCAGTGGAAGATGTACGCTGATCCAAAGGATGCGTACGCTGACTACTACTACTACTACTACTACTACTACTACTACTACTACTACTACTACTACTACTACTACTACTACTACTACTACTACTACTACTACTACTACTACTACTACTACTACTACTACTACTACTACTACTACTACTACTACTACTACTACTACTACTACTACTACTACTACTACTACTACTACTACTACTACTACTACTACTACTACTACTACTACTACTACTACTACGACGACGACGACGACGACGACGACGACGACGACGCCGAGTACAGGCACATCAAGGCTGCTCGGGAGGTCAAGTCGCTGCCTCAGGGGAACAAGGCTGCCTTCGAGGCCTTGAAGGCTAAAGTCACCATCACCCACACCACTTCTTAGGTGGCCGTCACCGCCGCTGCTCCCACGCCCTGTGTACGCACCGCTGTCGCTCCTCGTCGCACCCCTGCTGTTGCTGGCAGCGCATGGGGCAACTTCGCGGCGGCCATCCAGCAGGACGATGCTGCTGGTGCAGCGAAGAAGCAGGCTGAAACGTATAAGAACAAGTAGATAGTTGGTGGTTTAGAGATGGCTGGGCTGTCTCTTTACGAATGAAGAAGGGTTTTGAGAGTTTGTCTTGCTTACTTGTGTAATGTGATTGTGAATGAAACTTAAGCGTGTTTGAGTGATGCTGTATGACTTTGGTGATGTGTAAGTATAGTCTTGCGTGTTCAGAGATACTTGAAGACGTGTAGGATATCATGTAACTATACAACAGGCGCTTCAGATAATAGCGAGGCTGTATGCACTCCCTTATACTATCGTATCAAAGCACACACATCTCCAATGGCCCCGTCTACCCTCAACGAACAACCAGACTCTATTGACACACTAAACATTACTCAAAATTATACAGGCTTCCCTATCCTTGCCCAGGAGATGCATGAAATACAAATCGAATACACCCAAGATATCTGTATAGAGTTCATGGTGTTGAACTCTCCAACTCGCTAGCGTGCACCATCCGCGGGGTAAGGCAAAGCTACCCCTCACCCCCCAAAAATTGCGTGCTCGACGCGTTACTCCATCTTCAGTAGCCGAAGTCGGATCGTGACAATGATGAGTTACTCACACAGCATCAGACAAAAGCAACAAAAAAAAGGTGTGGGCGTGTGATGTGGCTAGCAATTGACAGCGGGAGGAAGTGGGGTAATGTACGAGTAGTAGAGTTGGTTCCCGGACGCGTTCAGAGCTTCTTCGCGTGGGGACTAGTTGAATGACGTGAGAAGCGCGGCTTTTCGCATAATCTTATTGATCTGCTCTGACGGATCCTTTGCTCCGTTGCGTTTCCCCTCTTTTCGTTTCTCTTGTAAGAACAGGAAATCATTGAACGACACTGAACGACCTCACCTCGCAGATTTGCAGGGAAAGAAGACACCATGGCTGAAGAACTCTCCAAGAACTTTGAGACGCTGCAATTGCATGCTGGTAAGAAGGTGGACGGGTTTGGATTCGGCGGCTTGCTAATGAGTGGTCAGGTCATACACCGGATTCTGCGACGAATTCTCGAGCGGTGCCGATTTATGCGACTACCGTATGCTCCAAATCGCAAGAACTACTTGAGAAGATGACTGAACTGACGCGAACAGTCCTTTACCTTCAATGACTCCGCCCACGGCGCGAGGCTCTTTGGCCTCAAGGAGTTTGGCAACATTTACAGCCGCATCATGAACCCGACCGTAGACGTCTTTGAGAAGCGTATCGCCGCTCTAGAAGGAGGTGTAGCTGCTCTAGCCACTTCTTCAGGACAAGCAGCTCAGTTCATTGCTATTACGGCCCTGGCACATGCGGGCGACAACATCATCTCGACGTCAAATCTGTATGGAGGCACGTACAACCAGTTCAAGGTCATGCTGCCGCGGATGGGCATCCAGACGAAATTTGTCAATGGCGACAAGCCGGACGATTTCAAGGCTGCGATTGACGACAAGACCAAGGCGATTTACGTAAGATGAAAGAAATGTAGAAGTCTTGAGAACTGGCTGACACGAAGATACAGCTCGAGAGCATCGGCAACCCCAAGTACAACGTCCCGGACTTTGAAAAAATTGTCGCCATCGCCCACGCCGCCGGTGTCCCCGTCATCGTCGATAACACCTTCGGCGCCGGCGGTTACTTCGCACGTCCCATCGACCACGGCGTCGACATCGTCGTGCACAGCGCAACGAAATGGATCGGCGGCCACGGCACCACCATCGGCGGCGTCATTGTCGACAGCGGCAAGTTCGACTGGGGCAAGAACGCCGCGCGCTTCCCGCAGATGAACGACCCGTCTGAAGGCTACCACGGCCTCAAGTTCTGGGACACGTTTGGCCCGATTACGTACATCATCCGCGCGCGCGTGGAGATTCTTCGCGATCTAGGCGCCGCGCTGAATCCGTTTGCTGCACAGCAACTCCTGCTGGGTATCGAGACGCTGAGCCTGCGGTGCGAGCGGCACGCGTACAATGCGCTGAAACTGGCCAAGTGGCTTGAAAGCAACGAGAATGTTAGCTGGGTGTCGTACCCGGGTCTTGAGAGCCACCAGTCACACCAGTTGGCGAAGAAGTACCTGCCCCGAGGATTCGGTGGCGTGCTGTCGTTTGGTGTGAAGGGAGGAGGAACGGCGGGAAGTCAGGTTGTGGATAACTTCAAGCTGATTTCGAATCTGGCGAATGTGGGTGATTCGAAGACGCTGGCGATTCATCCGTGGACGACGACGCATGAGCAGTTGAGTGATAAGGAGAAGGAGAGTTCGGGTGTTACTGAGGTAGGTTTTACTGGTCCTACTCCATATTAGGATGATTACTGACAGTGACAGGATCTCATTCGCATCTCCGTCGGCACGGAGCATATCGACGACATCATCGCGGATTTCGAACAGTCGTTCAAGGCGTCTGCAACGAAGCCTGGCGAAAAGGGCGAGCCGGCTAATGCAGAGAAAAAGGGCACTGGTGAGGCATCTGCGTCCCTGTCTGGGTCCACGTAGCTGAGGGAATATATCTCAGATGATCGCGCGAGGCTGTAGATACCATCTCAATACCATGCAAGCTGTAATTCACTGGCCTGCCTTCGTACGAGCTGTTTGTCCAAACTATCACGAAGCTTTGGAGTTCTGTTTCGTAACATGCCGAGGCACAACCCCATGTTTCGGCGCAACCAATCATGGCGCGGCCGAAGGCGGTGACCTCCGCGGCGAGGCTTGGGTCGCGTCCGCGTGGTGTGCTGCATGCCTGCCGATCGCCGACATGTGAAGAAACATGTGAGTGCCAGAACAGCTCGAGTCCATCTACATACACAGCTACAATAGTGAGGGAAGAAAGCATCTTTGCACGAGATTGAGATGGCACATCCAACTTACCCCACACTGGAACCATCCCATAGCACCGGGCGAAGTTCTGTTTTCATCGAAGCTTAACCAGATTGCGTCCACGAGGTCCGCGACCAGACGTCTTGGCTCCAGTTTTCATCTGCAAAAGGTGACGCATGTGCCGAGGCAGCGTTGGAAATGTGGGCTACTTTAGAATAAGGACATCCTTGCGCCTAGGGGTTTCCGACGACGTCTGTTTGCAACTGTAGATGCAGACCAACCATCACATCACTCTTTTCCATCAATAATAGCTTCATCTGTCTTTTGTGAGGCTGTGCTGTGAGTTCCCCGGGTTATGGTGGCGCGCTAGGATTCAGATGGGTGAAGGCGCCGACTCGGTCGACGCCGAGATGAAGTACATGAAAGACTTGCTGACGATGGCTGTGAGGCAGATCCATCTTCGAGTTCTCATCTCTCATACGAGGTGTACAGCTGCTTCAGATAGCTGAGCGGCTTCTCAAAGAATCCCACGCCCGACGACACCTCCACCATCCTTCCACGACCCCTCCGACCAACGGCCATCATGTTCGGCTCGACAGATCCCCAGCTCCAGCGCGCCGCAGAGCTCCACGCGCCTCCGCCAAAAGGTTCGCCGTATAGCGTAGCTCTCCCCGGCACGCAAAAGGAAGGCCGCAGCGCCATCTACAGACACTTCAAGTTCGCCGACAAGCCGCTGCTCGCCAGTCTCGTTCCAGAAATCAGCACACCGCACGAAGCCTTTGAGAGCAGCGTCGCGCGCTACCCGCGAAACAAGTGCCTCGGCCACCGCCCCTACGACCCCGTCACCAAGAAGTGGGGCGCATACGAATGGGAAGACTTCGAGGCCGTTGCGAAGCGGCGGAAGAACTTTGGCGTCGGCCTCGTACATTTGCACAGGCAGGCGGGCGTCACGGCGCCCAAGTATGGCATCGGCCTGTGGTGCCAGAACAGGCCCGAGTGGCAGATTACCGATCTGGCGGCCATGTCGCAGGGCCTGTACACGGTGTCGATTTACGATACATTGGGTCCGGATACGACCGAGTACATTATCAACCACTCCGAGTTGGCCTGTGTGGTTGCGGGCATGAACCACGTTACGGCGCTGCTCAAGCTTAAGCCGCGACTACCCTCGCTGAAGATCATTGTCGTGCTGGACCCGCTGTCGCACGGTGAACTCCCTGGAGAGTCAAAGGGCGATATCCTCAACTCGCTGGCTGGCGAGCTGGGTGTGAGCATCCACTACATTCGCGATGTAGAGGCCCTGGGCGAGCAGCAGCCGCTGCCCATGAGCCCGCCTTCTCCGGCTGACATTGCGACCATCAACTACACATCTGGAACTACTGGAAACCCCAAGGGTGTCGTGTTGACGCACCACAATGCGCACGCGGCGTCGTGCTCGGGCATGGTCCTCACGGGCTCGACCGAACAGCAGGTCATTTGCTCATTCTTGCCTCTGGCACATATCTACCAGCGTTTGGGCGAGGGCCAGGCTCTTGCGAGCGGGTCGGCGATTGGATATTTCCATGGAAACATTGCCGAGTTGGTGGACGACTTACAAGTCCTGCGACCTACCATGTTCTCTGGCGTGCCCAGGCTATACAACAGATTCGGCTCCAAGATCAAGGAGGCGACCATCGAAGCCACAGGCGTCAAGGGCGCGCTGTCTCGTCACGTCGTGGCAACGAAAACCGCTGCCATCAAGGACAAGCACAACCCATCCAACACGCACATGCTCTACGACCGCATCTGGTCGAAGAAGGTTGCCGCCGGCCTCGGACTCGACAGGTGCAAAGTCATGATCAGCGGCTCCGCGCCCATCGACCCCAGCCTGCACCAATTCCTCCGCATCGTCTTCGCCAACAACTTCACCCAAGGCTACGGCCTCACCGAAACCTACGCCGCCTCCCTCGTCCAGCACGAAGGCGACCTCTCCTCTGGCAACTGCGGCGGCGTGACCCCCAACTCAGAGCACTGCCTCATGGACGTGCCGGACATGGAGTACCTCTCGACTGACTTACCCCATCCCCGTGGCGAGCTGTGTATCCGTGCGACAACCCTCTTCAGAGAATACTACCGCAACCCTGAAGAGACGGCCAAAGCCATCGACGCAGACGGCTGGTTCCACACAGGCGACATCTGCAGCATCGACGAACTCGGCCGCTTCAAAATCATCGACCGCAAGAAGAACGTCCTCAAGCTCGCCCAGGGCGAGTACATCTCCCCCGAGCGCATCGAGAACGTGTACCTCGCAAACTGCGGCTGGATCGCGTCCGCATACGTGCACGGCGACAGTCACCAGGCTTTCCTCGTCGCCATCTTCGGCGTCGCGCCGGACATGTTCCCTGCTTTCGCATCCAAGGTACTCGGCCGCAAGATTCCCGACGGCGACATCGCGGCGCTCAAAGCTGCGCTTACCGATAAGAAGGTGGAGAAGGCGGTGCTTAAAGAATTGGACCGTGTGGGACGCAAGAACAAGTTTAATAGCTATGAGAGAGTCAAGGGGGTCAGGTTATTTTTGGACCCATTTACGATTGACAATGAGCTTTTGACGCCGACGTAAGTTTTACCTTTTCCTTTCCCGTTTGGTGGGTTTCCTGAGGAAATGACGCTAATGATGAAATAGGTTGAAGTTGAAGAGACCGCAGACGGCCAAGGCGTTTAGGCGGGATTTGGATGAGTTGTATGAGGAGGCGTTGGCGGAGGAGAAGACGGTCAAGGCCAAGTTGTAGATTGTGTGTGGCGATTATTTCTGGTGGGGGGGTTGTGGAGAGAGCGTAGAGGTGCATTGTACGTGTGTGGCGCAGGTGGTCAATTTAAACTTCCCAGTTCAACAACTAGTGCAGGTGATCTAACGAAGAATCGTCCAGTATCTGCAGCATATTCTCGACACAAAGTTAGACTGTGCAATGCGGGAAGGTGAAGAGGTTAATATGTATTGCTTGTAGAGAAAGGCAAAAGGTAGAGCACTACTACTCAAAATGACAGCATGCCCTCGATCCGCATAACGGATGCGCGTTACTTGTCGTCGAGGGACAATTGGCGGTGCAGAAGAAGGGGTTAGCTCTGGAATCTCGTCAGTGTTGCATGAGGGCTACAGACTCTGCGAATTGCCTAACACCGATCACTCAGAGCAACCTGTAAGATAGGGTGATATCTCTAACGCAGTTTATTCTACATCTCCCCAGTATGGAAGCCTTGAGAATATACATTTGCTTTTCGGCGAGCAAGGCTCATGTAACATCTCGGCGCTTTCTCGAGGTTTGTATTTGGACTTGGAGAGTAATCACTCGAGATGATTTTCAACTTGCATTCACTCGAGATTTGCGCAAGCAACAATGTCACTATGCGTGAAGTGGAACAAGCTTATAGAGTTGATGTTGACTGACACTACACCTGCCAAGATATGTATGACGCAGGGTCCCACGCTAACTCAAATTATCCGAACTGCCAGCGCTACCCCGACCTGCCAAACAAACAACCGATTCCCCTGCTGACACTTTCCCTTGCGTTCAACACACTCTTTGCGGCTCTCGCTGCTCTCGACCCGGATCGTACACCTCCACCCCCACGCCGGGCTACCCATTGAGAACATCCAGGAATTGCCAATCGTGGCATCCAAGATGAGCGACGAGATGGAGACGCCAGCGCAACCGCGCACTTCAAGATTCAAGGAACACACAAACACGGCCAGCTCGATCAGGCCGCCGCCCGACGCGCTATGGCAGGACTTGGCTATTGAGGACATGATTGAGAAGTTCAACGAGGAAGCCAGAGCGCCTCCGACACGCAAGGGCGTCGCCAAAGCCATCACACCGCCCAGTTTTGGGGCGCCCACGGTTGCGGGTCATACCGCTACGCCGGCTACTGCTACTCCAACGACGAATGAGGGCGTTGGAACATTTGAACGGTTCTCGCGCGCCTTTGCTTCGGTGTTTGGCAGTGTGTTGGGGAAGCGCAAGGCAGGAGCCTCAGATGCTGAGAAGGAAAAGGAAAAGGAGCAGCGGGTCCTGGAGGAGCGCAAACGGGCTGCAGACGAGGCTTATGCCGCGATGAAAATGGCGCGGGAACAGGGGCTTCTGCCGACTCCCAAGGTGTTTGTGAGGCCGACTATGACGCCGCGGACGCACAAGTGTGGTGAGTTTTGAGGCGATAGGGAAGAAGGTAGAGACTGACGGGAACAGTTGCTGAGCACAATGCGCCCCCTACACCACGGACCCCGAGTCTCTACAAATCGCCTTCGAAGAAGGATATGCAGAAGCAGCAGAAGCTCACCAAGCGCGTGTCTGATCTCGAGCACAAACTCGCCTCTGCCAGGAAAGAACTCCACACCGTCCTGCTCAAGGATGTACCCCCGGTTCCTCCGCTACCCGCGCTTCTACCACCCACGCCCACACCCGACACCAGCCAGACCACTACGACAACCACGTCCACCCAAATCTTCAGCGAGAGAGAAGTCTCGCAAGACACACAAGCCACTACACCCAGCCCCTCGCAGCAAATCCCCCTCCCCGCCCCCGCAAAGCAATCCATCGGCAAAATCGTCAAGAAGCGCAAAGCCACCACCACCATCGACGACGAGACCTACAAGCCCATCCCCACCGACAGTGATGGTGACTTCAGCATGTCGGCCAGCGAGCCCGAGCAGCCCCGCACCATCAAGCGCGTGAAATCGCAAAACGGCAAGAAGGGTAAGCGCCAGACATCCAGGTTGACCAAGTCACGAAGCAGGAGCGATGGAAGGAAAGAGGAGCCCGTGGTTATCATACCCGATGGGAAGAAGGTGCCCATGGTGCCCGAGATTCCAAAAGGTGTTGAGGGCAAGAAGGCGCGGATTAGGGACGATGGGTATGGCGGGTTGGAGCATGAAATGTTTTGACTAGATGGACCCAGGGACACCGAAATGGCGGACTAAGGGAATAGGAGAAGATGTTCTTGAAAAAAGCATATTTGGCGTTGTTTGGTCATTGCATAGCATAGCGGACTTGGGGCGTTGAAGGAGTGCTTTTTCACTCACACCCTCTCGAGCATTACTATCTGCGATTTTGCGGTTTCATGAGTATACGACGAGATGACGATGGGCTTTTTACTTGTATAGGCACTACTGGCCTTGGGAATATATATATATTTCTTCCGGAGCATAATGTCAAGTTGCGTTGCGTTGCTGGTTTTCTTGTATCAGTCCCTAAGATCGACGTCTACCCTGAAGCTCGAATTTCGCGGTGACCTTGGAGGAGTTATCAGGGGGTGGAGTGCATTTAGAGTCCACAGAGCATGCATATGCGAACACATGCTCGATCACTCTCCCAGTTCTTGAAGCAGTTCTTCAAACCCAATCCAGACCCAAACGCTGATCCAGAACACCTTGATATCCGGAGAAACTACACCGAGAAAATAAACAGGAAAGCCACTTTGAGCCATTGCAAAATCTGCAACGTCAGCCCTGGTGTAAGTGTAAGCTTCGCGCAAGTCGCAAGTGTCACCACTGCCAAAAAGCGCCATGATGGTTCCATTGGAACCATAAGCAAGCTGAGGTGTTTTTGTCGTGGCACATTGAATGCTTGCCGCTGTTTGTACCAGGGCAACAGTAGACGTCAGTGCTAGTCCAGTAGCCGCCCATAGGAATATCAAAATCCACCTTCTAGCCCGTCTGACACGCTAGGTTGCCAACTTTGATGCGTTATTTTGGTATGTGCCCTTCTATTGTTGATCTTTCCGCATAGCGAACTTCAGAAAAGTCACCGACACGAGGCCCAAGCAGAACATTATACCAGATGCGGCCAGTAGAGGTGGAAATACATTGCATTGGAGTACCATGGTGATTTGAATGAGTTGATTGATATCCATGCTGTGGGGGAGCTGAGCAGAGTAGCGCTGGAGTTCCGCAGTCAAGGCTCATGCTGTCGTGCCTGTTGACGACAGACAGACGAGGTCTGATGAATGACCAGCACATAGTCTTATAAACAATTCAGTGGGTGAATTCATTCAGAGCTGTGACGAGAGAGCATACTAAAGTATTCCACTCTTATTTCTAGGGTGTTTTTCGACCTGGTGTCGCGCACAGGAAATGTCATGTAGTAGACATTCTGCAGTCCCGAGAAACACCCCATCATTGAGATCGCTTTGACGTCGATTCGCTTTATGAGACAAGCAATTTGCTGGAGAAGGCGTTACTTTAGAATATCAATATTGCGATAATAAGAGCAAAGGCGAAGAAACACCACTGCACTTTCTCTATACTCTGTAAGCAGCAATGTCGGAAGGAAAATTTCTAAGCGTATGCAATCTTTCAGACCAAGCCATCTTTGGTGTAAGAAATTCAAGAATCTCGTCTTTGTGTATCACCGATGAGTAGGAAGCATTAATCTCAACGAAAGGCGTCACTCCAATGAGCTTCAAGGTCCTTTCGGTAGGTATTGTCCTTATGCATCCATCGATCTTATGAAATGAGAACTTCGATGAACATTACTAACAATATGATTGATCTCATGCTGCTTCCCCCGCTCTTTCCATGACAGGCGTTTCTGAAGTCATGAAGATTTTAGCTACTTATCAATAATACCTCGCTAGCGTTCGATGGGGTGTGTTAAGAAGTATAGAATTCAGCTTAATTAGTTTAGGCTTGATACTATGGGTATATCGATCGATTGAAGCCTTAAAGTAGTGGCCTCCAAAGAATTAGCTAATTGGCTTAATACATGCGTGTGATTAGAGTAACACTTAGATGGAGTCTTGACAGTTGTCTCACGTCGCTGGTAGGGCAAGACTTTCTTGAGCGCTGTTATGTGACCTGAGCTGCAGGCGGCGTGTACGCTAACGATATATGTCTAGTTTGTGTTACCACAGCAACTGCGAGGAACACGCGACCTGAGTCTTTTCAGTCGTTCGAGACCTTCAAGAAAATATAGCGCAACATCGCGGAGGTGATAACGTGAAACTCGACCCTGGAAATGACCCCTACTGCCGGAACACTACTTGTTCGAGTGCGGCCACCATAGAGCCTACGCGAGTGTGTGGAATACGTTCAAGACAACAAATCATACAAGTTCGAACGGAAGACCCAACATGCCGACGACGTACGCCGACCCACCGCCCGCGCTAGTGTGTGATCCTGCTGAGATACAGTACCATATGGAGAAGCAGCTCGGTCGTGGAGGCTTCGCAATTTGCTGGCGAGCACAGCAGGTTGACAATGCTCATGCGTCCCGTAAGACTGTCGCTATGAAGATTGTAAAGTCCAAAATAGAATTAAATAAGGTGGCACAGAAGGTATCAACACTCAGCATGTCTCACTGTATATAGCACTCTGACCCTACTTGCAGTTTGTTACCGAGTTACAACTTCATTCAAAACTGCGTCACCCACACATCGTCGCCTTCCACCAGGCATTCGCATTCCAATCATCCACGTATGTCGTCCTCGAACTTTGTTCAAATGGATCTCTTGCCGACTGGCTAAAGAAGCGATCATATCTCTCAATGCCCGAAATCCGTCGATGCATTATCCAAACCTGCGGCGCTATGAAATATCTTCACGCGCGGAATATCGTTCATCGCGACTTGAAGGCCGGAAACTTGTTCTTGGATCATGATATGAATATAAAGGTTGGGGATTTTGGACTCGCCGCCGTACTGGTTAGTCCAGACGATGCCGCTGTGCGCCGAACAACAATGTGCGGGACCCCGAATTATATCGCACCTGAGGTTCTTGAGAAGAGCGGTAAAGGACATGATGAGAGGGTCGATATATGGGCTATTGGGATTCTTGCGTAAGTGTTTCGCGTGCTCGTAGTTCAACAAATAATAACTCCTCTCCTAGTTACACGCTCGCTATTGGAAGAGCACCCTTTCACGCCTCGAAGCCCGACCAAGTGCTTGTCAGAGTCACAAGAGGCGAATATGCATGGCCTGATCTCGAGCATCATCAAAATGATGTTCCAGATGATCTCCGCAAACTGGTTTCCCAGATTCTCGTGGACGAGAAGCTTCGTCCGAGCCTCGATACTATTGTTTCACATGGTTTCTTCAAAATGGGCTATCTTCCCGAGATTCTCAGCGATACCGTCCTCACATCCACGCCGAAGTGGCCTGTCAAGCCATCTAGTTCAACGACGATCAAGCGAGGCTACACGGAGGCCTGGTATCGACAATGCCAAGCTAGTGGAGTAGGCGAATATGCTCCAGGAAAATGCTTCTCTGTTGTTGGAAGCTTCCCATCGAGCAGTATATTCCGAGAGTGTGAGCGAGAGGCTGAGTCTGGCAAGATGCCAGTCGTCCCAATGCCCCTTAGCGCTATATACGTTCCCTTCGTTTACAACCGGGAAAATGGTAGCACCGGAGGGCTTGAGAATATCGAGAAGCGTGAAATGTCTGCCGTTGCATCTCCGTTGATCGAATCTTCTATCAGCGCCAAGTACAACATACCCAGTGCTGTGGAACAACTATCAAGCAAGCAAGGAGGCACAAATGGTCCTGACGAAAATACCGCGGCATTCTTGCGAACGAGAGTATCAACATTTTCATACGCAGAAAGTATGGAGGCCGCCCGTTGCCCACCAGGATCAAGTTTCAAGAGAGCTGCAAGGTCTGCTTCTATTGCTGCCGCTAAGCTAGAGATGAGAAGGCCGATCACCGGGCAGAAGCCTCCTAGAACAGAGCGACCGCCGACGCAATTACCTCCTCATACACGATCAGTTCGAGCCAGCTCTCGAACTTCTAATCGTGACATTCCCATGGCCCAAGACTCGACTTCAGAGCCTGCACGTTCAACACGGGCAGCCTCTCGGACTATTGCACGAGAGGAAGCTCGTATCACAAAGCATGCGCCATCTACACAACGTAATTCTCGTACATCTACTCGCACACAAACCGCTCAAACCGCTACCATTGGACATGATACAAGTCATCCTGATAGGCCAGAACTTAAGTCTACCTGCCCACCTCTTCCATCGGCACAGGGCCTTGCCATACGACAGAAGGACTTCATCGCTTCTGATGAAGCACACGAGGGTCTCTACATCGATACATCCGCCGTCCTTGCTCGAGCAGACGAGTTCCGCAACAATGTCATCGCCGCCCTGACTTCTGGCCGCAAATCTTCGTCTGATTCCTGCGACTCGAGACCTTCACATGATGAGCTTCCGTTCGTCTGCAAATGGGTCGACTATAGCAGGAAACATGGCATAGGGTATGTTCTCGCTGAAGGTAGCGTCGGCATCATTGCCAACCATACCAGCGTTATGCCCGTCATGCATACAGTTGTGGAAAACGGTTCTGAATATTTCAAGACGACAAACGACGGTGTTGCAGTCCAGGCCGTCCCATACAACTTCTTCATGCAAGCTGACGATGGTAGTTTGGAAGAAGTTACTTTGACTGGTATGGTCCGCAGGCAACATACCACCTTATGGGCCAAATTCGCACGGTACATGTGCAAGCAGCTCAACACACCGATGGCGGGAGCCTCCAGTAAAGAGGGAAAGCGACCGATCACAATCGTGCGCTTCTATCAGCGCGTGGGCAACATTAGCGTATGGGGCTTTAGTAATGGTTGTTTTCAGGTTCGTCTCCATTACCTTCATTAAATCACCCCTGATCTAAACGCATACTAACTCGACTCGCCTTGGCGTAGTTCAACTTTCCCGATCACACAAAAATTGTCCTCTCCGCTGATGGCATCCACGCCTCCTTCACTGTGCTACCACTCTCCGCGGTTGAGCATATAAATAGCGATTCAACCCATCTCTCTGTCGATTTTATCAAGGCCCGCAAAGCTGTCTCCGGCACTCTTGCCCAACTGCTGTACGGTACTCAGCCCAGTGCCGACTTGACCTCCAAGTCCAGCACCTCAAGCAATGAGACGAACGTAATAGCGTTGACTGCGGCAAATGCTTTGCCAGACAAGCTGCGTTTCGTCGTTGAGTTAGTAGGCCATTGGATTTCTGGAGGTGGTCTAGGTTGCAAGCCTGCAGGAACGGAATGGGCGGTGTGGGAAGGCACGACGCTGGAATACGCCGGGGAGAGTAAGTCGGACTGGGTTACAGTTGGTCGATTCGGAGGTGATGAACAGGCACAGGGAGAAAAGAGAGATTAAAGACAAGACTAGCGACATCGGTGACTTGGGGACTGTCTGTCTGTCTATCTTTGCATGTACCCCCATATCTGGTGCCAAGTTAGGCAGAATAATGTTTTTAACATCATTGTGTTTACTGCTATCGACGGCTATTAGGCGGCATAAGGTGGCGTTTCACAACATTAGGCACGCGTGGCTACGAAGATTATCGGCGGACCTTGGTGACATACCGTCGGAGCTTTGTATACCTGCTCATCGATCGATACTTATGCCCCGCCGCGTGTAGATATTTACATTCCTTGGTTCATGGTCGAAGCCCGCTCAAGGAGCTTATACTGGGCATCATTGCATCATATCCGAGTACATGCATACATAGTCACATTTGGCAACTTTAAGGAGACAAAATACACACAAAGCTCTCTCCTAACACGCACGCTCAGAATACTGTCCTTCACACACTCCAATCTTTTCATGTTCTTCTCATCACGCACGAACGCACAAGCACTCTAAGACATGAGTAATTCCAAGACAACAAACCTCCCATGTCTAAGACAAGTCGTCTAGCAAACAAATTGCTCTCCACGCTCGGTTTCAATATAAACCCGCAACTTCGGCGTTCCCTAACCAGTGCACCGACTCAACACATCGACTGACCACACCGACCTCGGAGCCCACACATCCAATACGAAACATCTATCCGTCCAACCACGCCAACACATCTCACACATGGCGATGTTCTTCCTCGGACAGCCTGTGTCCTGGATCCGCGCCTTGATCCTACAACACACGACCAAGCTCGCCTCCCTGATTCGCTCTTCCTTCCAACCATACACGACCAAATCCACCATCGCCAACACGTCTGCCAAATCAACCAACTGCACCGAGTCTACCCCTCCCGCCAACTCTACGACCCCGACAACATTAACATCACCTGGTTCTACCGCCTCTACCAACTCTACCACCTCCACCGTCTCCACGACATCAACGATAACCCCCTCCCCTTCACACGCCCCTACCATTCCACCCCACTCCCGCTCTCGCCGCACCCCTCATGTCCCGGAACGCGCGCACGCATACACACTCCAAGACGACAGCGACGGCGACGGCGACGGCGACGGCGACGGCGACATATCCCCCCTCTCACTCTCACCCTTGCGCCGGAACGTAGACGGCTTCGATACATGGACTGCTCTGGCTGATGGGCAGGGGGAGGTAAAGGGTGGATGGCGCACAGGATATGAAGTTTCGAGCGGGATGGTAGTGCGGCGGAAGGGTCGGGGGGAGTTTAAGTTTGAGGGGGCGATGAATGACGGATTTGGAGTTCGGGTGTGAGCAGATGATGTTGGGCATGGGGGGGGGGTTCAAGAGCACTTGGATGAACATGACAAAAAGTGCCAAATGTGAGACACGTCAAACGATGAACGAGTAAAATAGAATTCCTTATTTCATTTCCACCTCCCCTTCGTTGATTTATCCTTCACTCTGAAGCTAAAAAATACTTGACATGTTTGTTACTTTTTGAAATGTCATTTTTCCACGTTTATCGCTTGTATGTAACAGACATATTTGCCTCCCATGTGCTCTGTGCTCAGGTCTGTGTAGATGAGAAAGAAATAGCTGTGTAGATAGATAGATAGATAGATAGTAAAAGAGGCACGTCAGCGTGCGAGTTGGGTGTTTAACAATATCAGCACAAGGAAAAGCAAAGACACGTGTGGCCACACATGACTTCGAAAGGGAGTGTGTGGATCATTTGACCCAACAAGCATTAATCAAAAGGGCGAGAGAGAACAACAATCGCGCCACAAAAGTGGGCATAGATGAACAGCACGAAAGGATAAAAGAATAGGAACAAGGGGGATATATCGCGAGGGGCCGCTCGTTGCGTCGTTCTCGGGGTATAAGCATCGGGACACATGTCGTACAACAAAACGCCTGGGAACGCCGCTCAACTCGATTGTAGAAGATCGAGACACATCAGCATCAAACACTAGACGGCAACTTCGGGGACGTGGCGTTGGCGCTGAGTTCCATCTGCACGGCGGTAGCTCATGGCCGCTCTGTCCATTGGCTCCTCCATGTCTGGCGAGTTGCATTCGTCGTAGTTGTAGCCGGCGCCGGAGGGGTTGGGTCGAGCGCCGCCCGTCAGGCGTTCGTTCATGTGGCAGAGTATCAAAGGTGCTAGAGAAAGAGCGCTTTTGGCCAGCAGATGTTTGAACAGGTGGGAGGCCTTGCGCAAAGCGAGGCAGGCCATATGCACTCTCTGGGTTGGCAGACATGGTGGCGGCAGACATTGTTCCAGAAGACATGGCGCTAGGCGGGGATTGATAAGATGGAGAGACCGGTTCGAGCTTGTCCATGGCAGTGGGCGGTTGCAGTGTCTTCAGCGTGGGCAGGGAGTGATGGCTAGGCGTGTGCATGGAGGAAGAGACTGAGTGGGCATGAGGCGATGTTTGAATGGGCTGCAGAGGCTGTGACATTTGCTGTGGTCGGTTGTACTGGTCCATGGAGTTGTACGGCGAGATTATTTGACTGGGTCCAGGGTACTGTTGAGGGGGCTGGGTGATAGAGGAGCGGCGGTAGTCTGGCGCGTGAGTGTACTCGGGCGCGGCCTCCTGGCGTGCAGGCGCGGGCTGTTCGTAGTGCGACTGCTGCTGGTAGTTCGGGTATCCGTACTGCTGATTCATCTGCATGGCTGGCTGGTTCTGGTAGCTGTTGTGCACGGGCTGGGACTGGTGAGAGTATGGGGCCTGCGGAGGATGCATCATACTGCTAGACGGCGGGGACGCGTACTGGCTCTGGTACTGCTGGTGAGTAGAGCCATAGGCCGGCATCTGGGAGTAGCCAGGGGTGGGCGGCGGTGCCATTTGCTGCTGGTAGTTGCTCGCGGGCTGCGAGTACTGCGGCATGTCGTCCATGCTAGGACGGCGAGGAGGTGCCAGAGAGTGGGCGCTCGCGTTGGATATGGAGCGCGGGCGATCGGGGTCGAGCGGAATATTGGGCGGCTGGCTGTAGTTGTCGGGTGTTGCAGTGCGACGGGCCCGGTCGTAGCCCTCCTCGCCCTCGTAGTCATCCCAGTCCTTAGACCCCTTGTTCTCGCGGCGCCTCATGCGCACATCGCGACGGATGCGGACACGGCAACCCTGCTCCGCGACCATGCGGCTCAGGGCGGTGCTCTCAGACAGACCAGGGAACTTCTTCGCGGAGAAGACGGTGAAGGGCGCCGACTTGACTTCAGCGCGGTGGGTCACGAAGTGGTTGCCGTCGAAGATGACGTCTGGGTCGTCAGGGTCCAGATCCTTGACTTCGCTCAGGTTCTCAAAGAGCGCGAAGCTGAGGCGGTACTTGCCCTCGTGGCGGACAGACAGGTCGGGGAAGATGAAGTAGCCAGCCGGCGTCGGGCGGTCGAGGTAGGCCATTCCAGCGACGGGCGTGCCAGTGAGGACGGGGAAGCTGGGCGTGGTCGACGGGCGACCTGGCGCGATGGTACGCGCATTCTCGAGACTGGCGTGCAGGAAGAAGTTGGCGTTGTAAGCGAAAGTGATCTCGTTGTCGTTCTCAAAGACGCGCAGCTCGACAATCGGCGGCGGGTCAACGGGGCGACGGTCAGCGCTCGACTTCGCGCCGCTACCACAGGCGCGGGCGCGCTCTGGCTGCTGGATCACCTGCAGGCTGTAGCGAATAGTGCGTCCATCCTTGGTGGTACGGATGGAAGAGCTCTTCGTCTCGTTAGACACGGCAATGGTGGAAGCCATGATGTTGGTAGTGGTAAGAGTGGAAGTCGAGTCGTGTTCTGGGACAAGTCAGCACGGCGCGAGGCATGGATTCAGCCCCCACTAAATTAGAAGGAAGGCTGGGTCGGAGGGTATCTTACTGCAGGACGACTTGGTTGGCGCTCGAGCTGACGAACGCACGAGGTGCCCGACTGGACCACGGAACTGAGATGCACTGGAGCGGTCAGCACAAATAATATTGGACGCTGACATCGATGCAGCCGGGTGCACGTCGCAGGAGCGCAGGAGCGCAGGACGATCTCCGACAGAACGGCCGACCCAAAGCCACGCAGCCGGCTTCCCAGCAGGGCAAATAAGACGGCATCACGTACCTGCGATCAAAGTCTAATCGACGAAGCAATGGTAATGTCGCGAGACCGGATCCGGATCAGCGATAGGCGTTGAAGAGGCAGAGGTTCGACGGATATGGCGAGGCCTGTGGTGTTGGAATGGCTGGGAACTGGGAACTGGGAACTGCGGGCAATGGGGCCTAAGAAACACAACCACGGGCGATCGAAGACGGGAAGCTGGGGCCGGGAATAGACTGCACGAACGAAGAGATGCGAAATGCGCTCTTTGCCGTCGCGCTCCCGTCGAAAAGGGATCTCTTGGGGTTGGCGAGAGTTGGAGGGAAGAGAGACGACCAACAGTGCCCAGCGCAGAGCTGAGGAGACAGGCCGAGAAGTGGTGGAAGTGGGCACTCGACCCTCTCCGCTCACAGCTGGGCTCGCCGCACTGGCCTGGCGTCTTCGGCTAAACGAGACAAAGGAAGCGTGCCGGGGCATGGGAAACCCTCAGGCCAATCATCCGGGGCCCGCTATGCCCAAAAGCCTCGCCACCAAGCAGCCGAGGACGCTGGCGTCGAGTGCGAACTGCAAGGTGCATGCGTAGCCAGGAAGAGGCCGAGTCGTGCAGCACATCACTCTGGCCCGACGCTGATGGAAAGTGTCGACATGTCGACATGTCGACATGCCCTCCATGGCCAGCTCTCCTCACGCTCGCACCACACCACCGTGCCCTCGGCGGCCCATCGAATCATCGAAACAGGCGGCACCCGTGGTGGGTGCCGGGCCTAGCCCCCCTCCCGGAGCCTGCGCCTGTCCTTGCCAATTCCGGCGCCGTTGTTAAAAATGGCCGTCGTCCGCTGCGTCGCGGGCCCTCAGCAGCGCGCAAACACTAATCCCATGTGCTGTAGCCATGGCCAGCTCGGCTACAAGGCGACGCTGCCACTGCAGTCAGCTCACAGCTCACAGCTCGCAGTCGGGCTGTGAATGGCGCATCCTGGATCCTGCCGTATTGGCGCATGCACCACGTCCCAAGGCTAGCTTGGCCCCTCTGAATCTCAGTGTGCGACCGCCGACGGATAGCCAGGAGCACAGCAGCTCAGGATGGTCTGATCTGCCTCGCACCCCATCGCCCCCATCGCCCCCATCGCTTCCATCGCTTCCATCGCTTCCATGGCCGCGCCGTAGATTGCTGCATATCATATTGCAATATGGCCTGCTATCAGCGTCCCAGCGGCTCGTCGTTCATGCAACGGGCAGCTGACGTGCTGCGGCGCTGGAAGCCAATAGCCAGCTTCGCGGATTACCCTCTCCAAAGCATGGGGCGACGACGGGCCCTGCTCTCCAAGCATCCCCGTGGCTTCAATCCCTAATCCCTGTTGCTGGATGCGCCAAGGGCCCGTGGCGCCTGACCAGTCACGAGACGAGGGCCATCAGCACCCCGGGGCCGGCCTCCCGCACAATCTCCCGCTTCTCGACCCTCCCCGGGCTGATCAGCTCCACTCTGTCTTCACCACAAGCTCCACCACACAGCATGTGTCGCACGCCTGTGTTAGCCTGAGGGCGCCTCTTCGTGGCCAGCGGCGAGCTGGCTGCTTCCGGCCCTTACCGCAGCACACGGCGCCAGATGCGAGCATGAGGCTGACGCGGACCGCTGCTTACATTGCGCCTCAACGTGGCCACGAGAAGCAACCTACTCCAACTTGCATGCTCCGTCGCACTCTCGAATCACAGATGACATGTTATCGCCTGTGATATTGCCAAATGGTCTTTTTGCAGTGAGACCAAGGGATGCTCCGCCTCTGTGGATATTCTCCGACCTGTCAAACACGGCCCAGCAGCCTTCGCCGTCGCACAGCATGGCTGAGCCTCAGCAACAATGCACCCTTCCGCGGCGTGCAAATATTCCACACACGACGACGCTTTTGCCGAACGGAGCCGAGAGACGCCCTCATTCCACAACAACTGCTGCGTCGCTGAGACATGGGCAACGTGTCTCGGCATGCCGATGGTGAAGAGTAATCTCCAGTATCTTGTTGACGTCGGCACTTGGTTCGCAATACTGAGCCCATTACTCGCACCCGGCCTGACAGCCGAGAGGCTGATAGTTTTACCACGCGCCTAGTCCAACACTTGGGACAGCGAGTGCCTCAGGTTCTTTCCCTGCGAAAGCTGACCTCACAACGAGCATCCAGACTCCGCGAAGCACCGACCAGCGGAACCCATCCGCTGTCGTTTGTCGAACAACATTTGCACAATCTCTCAACCAAACTTTACTCAGACTACCCAACATTCCGCAACGCACAGTTGACATTTCCCAAGCGCAAAACCACTCAAAGCCACGTTTCTCCACACATCATCGCATGCCCGCTTCGAGCTGCGCCAGCAGACGCCCCAAACGCCTTTTCCGACCTACTGACCGCTCCCATCGTACGTGTCTCGCAGACGCCACTCTAGCTGCGACGACCTATCGTTTGTTGCATCGTGAGTGAAATGGTGGTGGGCTTCGCACGTGGATGACGCCCCTTGCATCACCTCTCGAGGCAAATCGCGCAATGCCCAAGTCGCACGGAAACAGCCACCGACCGGTGACTGGTGCGGTGACAGAGGGAGGTATTTTCATCGACGTGCTGGAGAGTGAACCCCTTGCGTGAGGTGTTGGTGGAGGCGTGTAGCATGTGCCGTAGATGTGCAGAAGATATGGGGAATAAGGAATGAGGAATTAGGTAGGTTGTTTGATGTATATTGCTGATGAGGTAGTGGTGACATGGTCGACAAGTAGACGAGTGGTTGAAGCTGCACTGTGTGCAAGAACAGTCTCGGATGGTGGGTAGAGAAGAAAAAAAACGCGACTGAGAGACATCCGTGTTTGTGTCCTCGAACAACGAAACATCCAACAACGTTGGTCATAGACGTAGATGATTTTCTATATTTCTGGTACTTTTTTTTGAAAATACATTGGAAATTGATTCAACGAACTCACTGATCACTCACAACTCTCTTACATGTCCTTGTTCTGTCTACCATCTCGGAGCAGGAACTTTCTTCTCGTTACTTGTGCCTTGTACGCTCAAATCTTCACGCTACTTCGACAGGTGGTCACTTATTTGTGATCTCTACTCCCCCATTCCCTATACCAACTTGTTCCTTTCATATCCTCTCTACATCGTTACATCTTCTACGCCCAACCTTACCTCCCCTCATTCACAATCAACACGTACAGAGTCCCAGTACTTCTTGTATTGCTAGTCGTACTAATCTACATCTTCCCCACATCTGCTCAGCAACGAGAGAGGAGAGTAGGAGTAATCCCGCAAACAGAGCACGGTGTGGTATAATAGGCCGTGGCAAGGGGTATGGTAGAGAAGTAGTGGGAAGTATCTCCAGTGTGTTGGATGTGTTGCTGTTCCCTGAATATAACCAGTCTACGTCCCCGACCGGAGCATCTCGAATTTGAATCCCACGAGAGGGAGAGTGTAGTTTTGCAAGAGATGCATGCGGTCGCAGGAAAGGAATGGAATGGATATTGCTGGCGCTGGCGCTGGCGGATGAGGTAGGGTTGGATCTCTATCTTAGGATTAAGAATATGTATCATCCTCAAGTAATTCGCTACTTTTATCTAGAAAATCTTCTTGAATTCATTCAGGTACTGTTGTAGTGATTGCTGCTTGAGGCTTATTATTTAGCTTAAACCCTTCCTTCGTACCATTTATTCTGCTGAAAGTACACATTCTTCCCGAGCCAAAATACCAGGGAGATTTAGTTTTGCATCTATCTTATAGTCAGAGGGAAATATATAATCTTCGAATTCTCGGATCCTCCAATCAATCAAGCTTTAAATCATAACCCTGAGTCCTCGCTTGTTACATCTCTCCTTTCCAAAAGAACCAACTTTGAATAAAATCTTTCAGCGAGATTTTCTATCACATTCATCCCGCATAAAGGCCCGAACAAGTCGCACAACGAATATCAATATACGATTCCTCAACATCGCAGAATTGGATTAAACTAGGGAGATAAGGAACCTTGCTCGTATACTCTTCGCCGTCAATTTCACCTGCAATATCTCAATAAGAATCTCATGCTGGTGTTGAGTGTGGAATTATGAAAGCCTTCGAAGCAATGTCCTAGGCTGACATGCAATTGGCTCAAAGTTTCTTCTGTGACAATGTCAGAGCGACATGGGCATCTCACCTTACCTGAAAAAAAAAACACGTAGAATCAATCCAAGCTTCTTTCCAGTCGGAAAAAAAAATTGTCCGACTTCAAAGCGTCCACGTCCCCGGAATTTTTTCTCGCTACGCCCCTTGCGCTGCTATGAGTGCAAGATGCTGAGATGTGTTTTGCCTCTTTGACCGTATTCCCACAACTTTAAAGCCTTGTGCTGAACCCCACTCGTGTGAGAATGGGTAGAGTTCACTCTCAACTGAAGCCGACTTCTTACGAGTCAACTGCGTTCACCCCGCACAAAAACAATTTATACATCAAAGACATCTTAATTCAATCTATGATGAAAATGCCTCAAAACAAGCACGCAATGGTATCAATGGACCCCCTCTCCACACTACGTATAGTGTCCGCCCCCCGCAATCTTAAGCTTGACTCAGTCTTCAATGCCGCAAAACGCCTTCAGAATGCAACCCATATGCAAAAGGCCCCGAGGCCGGATTTCAATGTACAGGACAAGTCATAGGAAAGTCGTTAGCGCTACCTTGCATTCAGAAGCCGTTGAAGCCCAGCAGCGCACCAGCGCCGATTACGGCCGCACCGCCGAGCCATGGGTTCGCAGTCGCGGCGGGCATTGCGGCGCCCGTCGAGCCTCCAAGACCGCCAGTCACGCTGGGACCGTTGACCCGAGGGCCGCCGGTGCCGACTGCAGCTGTTGATACGGCATCTGGGACACCGGTGGCGTTGGGCACGCCATCCGAGCCCTTTTGGATCTCCTGGATGTTTTCGGTTGTGGCGTTGAAATTTGTCTGTGCGAGCGAAATCTCATTGTTGGCGAGGTCGTAGACAACGTAGGCAGATCGCAGGAAGGTGTCGCCGAGAACAGCCACCGAGTTACCCGCTGGTCCAACGCCGAGCAGGCAAATGGGCTGACCGCGGGATACTGCAGCAACAACAACGAGCTCATTCAAAGGAACAGAGATGTGGACGCCCGAGAAGACGAAGTCGAGTGAACCTTGTTGGTTGGCCAAATCACAGTCTACGTATGCGGCTCCCTGGGCCTGATCAAAGCGCGCGTTGTACTTTTGGTACAGTTGACGTGCAACTGCATCGGGCAGGTACATGAGTGACGAGCCAGAGTCGAGTAGGACGGGTACGTTCTGGTTTGCGAAGATGGAAGTGTTTTGACCGTTTTGACCCATACCGGTCAGAGCGATGATGAACTCGGCATATTCGCCGCGCTCCGGAATGATTGGCAGTGTTTGCAGTGTGCCGTGGAACTTGTCGGTGTCAACGCCTCCAAAAAGAATGCTTCCCGTGGAGGCATCGAGATCGTTGAGCCAGAGGGAGTAGGCGTTCGTGGTAATTTTGCCATCGTCGACCAGCTTCTGCGGCAAGTTCGGGTATGGATCGAGGCCTCCGCGACCAACTGCGACCTCGTTGATGGTGTAGCCGATACCAAGAATGCCCTCGGGGGAGGTGGACTCGTAGCCAATGCCAAACTGCAGGTCTTCTACTGTCTGACCGCCGAAGCGGAAATCGTCTGTCGCGTAGTCGCCCGACGCGCCAGAGCCATCGACGTAGCTAATGTTGAACACACCATTGACGTATTTGTATGTCGACGAGTCGTTGGCGTGGTACATGCCCGACTCTCCACACTGGTTGCCGCCTTGCTGACAGAGCGGCGAGTTTTTGGCGTTGACCCAGAGATCACTGCTGCCAGTGTCAATGTGCAGGCGAAACTGTTGCGGCGGCGTGCCTAAGCTTGCGTTGGCGTAGTAAAGCGTTTCGAGGTTGTCAAGCGTCTGCTGGACGGTGCCTGCCCGTCTTCGTAACCGGTCGTGCTCCACGGGGTTGGCGACATGGCGGCGCTGGATGTTGAGGCCGATGACATTGGGGTTCTGCGGGGATCAGGTCAGTTTCTAGCAGGCGGGGAAGCTGACAGGAATGGAGGCTCTGCGATAAGATTCGCTTCACGCCGCTATTCCTGGAGGCCAAGACTTTCTACTCACTTCGCGTGGCACCAGGCTGACTGCACCGGCCAGAGACACCAGCGTTGCTGAGAATAACGCCGATGACTTCATGGCTGCGACTGTAGTTCTTGGAGATTCAGTGAGAGAGTGCGACACCTATAGGGTATATGGACCGTCCGAGTGTGGCTGACGACGACTTGAAGCGCAGAGCGTTAGAGCGCGGCGGCTGCGTGCAGGGTACCGTGTTTTACCTGCGTTCAGGGAGATGACGCAGGCGTTGCAATGAATAAGAGCAGAGAATGGAAAATGGCCGAGGGAGTGATGCGCAAGTGAAGGGCTATAATAACACAGAATTGGAATTAGAGTGCTGGCGCAAAACGCTTCCTAGTGGCAAGGCAACTGGTGTGGTTAGGTGACGACGGCCGCAAAATGATGAGATCAGGGACGGGAAGGCGCGGGTTTAGTGAAAAGTGGCCCGGGGAGACAGGGTAGCCGCCGACATATCCGATGCATCGAAGCTTGCGTACGCGGCGAGTGGCGGTGCGCACGCATGACATGAACCATTCGCTGTGGCACTGTGGGTCTGGCGCTTGTTGTCGATCGCTGAGCCGCGCATTGCAGTCGAGGTTTGAAGCTTCATCATGTCGGCGATTGAAGATGGCGCTTGCCACATACGCTTGAGGATGACTATTGAGCGTTCACGAGAACAACGAAAGCGCCGGCGGCACTTCGTACACGCTTGTCGTGTCTCGAACATCCGACGCCGCGTACGTCACACTCGTCGGCCAGTAACCGTGCCGCTCGGACTTGCCGCCTGTCGTTAGGCGTCCACTATGAAGATCCAGGAGGAACAGCGTATCGTCTTGTTAGAACGGGCTGCCATGTTTTCGACAAGCGGGATGTCGTAAGAATATAAGCTTTTCACACAGATGCATGCTCCAGATGCCAAGAAGCAGCCCTGTGGATATGCATCTGTTTTTCAGGAACAGGAATCTGTGTCCTGCCGGGCGGATCCACAATCTGTTCGTACGCGTAGACATGCATGTCGGAACCTGATCACACGCCGAATATGCGGGACGAGAGACTTGTCAATGACTAATGACAAAGCGTGCCAGAGGTGGTGGTATTTCCATTGTGCTGTCTGGACTCACCAAGTAGTGCTGTAACGGGGATGTGATCAAGTGAAAGCCAGCGGGTAAAATTCCACGAGGAAAGCAATAATGGCAAGGTGCAACCTTGGAAGAATTTGTCGTCCCATCAAGCATCAGCGGGCCGACGGGGGCGGGTGTTCACGTCACGTGATGGAGCTAAAGTGAATCTCGTGAACGCGCGTAGTTTCGCGTGTCGCGTAACCCCTCCAACGACCAAATAACAGCACATCATGGCGAAACCAGAGTCCAAGGCCGAATCTTCCAAGACAGCCAGCAGTGGCATCAAGCCAAACCCAAATGCTGCTGGAGGAGCAAATTACGAGTTGCCTTGGTACAGTCCACTTCTCTCTCTCTCTCAGTCCATCCCAACTAACAAGGGCGGCAGGGTCGAAAAGTACCGCCCAGTCTACCTCGACGATGTCGTCGGCAACACTGAAACAATCGAGCGCCTCAAGATTATTGCAAAAGATGGAAACATGCCACACATGATCATCTCGGGTATGCCTGGTATCGGAAAGACGACCTCGATTCTCTGCCTTGCGCGGCAGTTGCTCGGCGACGCATACAAAGAAGCCGTCCTTGAACTCAATGCCTCTGACGAACGTGGTATTGATGTCGTGCGTAACCGGATAAAGGGCTTTGCGCAGAAAAAGGTCACTCTGCCGCCTGGGAGACAAAAGCTGGTTATTCTGGATGAAGCAGACAGCATGACGAGTGGTGCACAACAGGCGCTTCGACGGACAATGGAGATTTACAGTGCGACCACAAGATTTGCATTCGCATGCAATCAGTCCAACAAGATCATCGAGCCGCTGCAGTCGAGATGCGCCATTCTACGCTACGCCCGTCTCACCGATGCACAAGTCGTGCGAAGAATCATGCAAGTCATTGAGGCTGAAGACGTAAAATACTCTGACGATGGCCTCGCGGCGCTGGTTTTCTCTGCCGAAGGAGATATGCGACAGGCAATCAACAACCTGCAGTCAACAAATGCGGGTTTTGGATTCGTCAATGGAGACAATGTGTTCAAGGTGGTGGATAGCCCGCATCCCATCAAGGTGCAGGTAATGATTAAGGCATGCCACGAGACGAGAATCAACGATGCAATGGTGTCGTTGAAGGAGCTATGGGATCTGGGGTACTCATGTCACGACATCATCAGCACCATGTTTAGGGTTACAAAGACGATCGATACGTTGAGCGAGCATGCGAAGCTGGAATTCATCAAGGTAGGCCGAAGCTGACACGAAGAGCTGTTACTTGGAGCTAACATGGTTGTAGGAAATCGGCTTCACACACATGCGCATTCTCGAAGGCGTTCAGACTCTCCTCCAACTCTCCGGCTGCATCGCGCGCCTCTGCAAAATCAACATGCAACCACAACTCTTCGTTCTACCATCAAAGTCGAAATAGAACAGTTCTCTCGCATACATCACAGCATTTAGCATGGCGTCTGGCGTTCACATCAAGCCCGAAGAAAGTATATGCAAAACTAGCAAAAGTCCAATTTAGTATGCTAGTTGCCTTTTCTCTGTATCAAATTCCCTTTTCAATCCGTCATCGTGTCACCGTCCTTGGCTCCAGCCCCCTCCAGCCCCGAGAACGCAACACCCCTTAGCGCATCTTCTTGACATCCTCGATCCTCTTTACACCATCCCGACCCTCTCCCTCTTGCTTCAGTAGCGGCCCAAACACAGTCATTCGGCCATCTGTCTCCTCGTTCATCTCAGCCCTCGCTCCCACCTCTTCATCGTCCACGTCCATGTATACCTCTACGTCCATTTCCGTCCCCTCTGCTCCCTTCTCAACGCTCGCCAACAGCTCATCCTCCAAGCTATATCCATTATCATCATGCTGCCTTCCCATCACTTGCGTCACCCCCTGCGGTATCGTCGGAAGCGTCTCAGGATCGTCCCTCTCTCTCTGCTCACGCACACGCTCGCGCTCCTCAGTCCTGCGCTGCGCATCAATCTCCCGCTGCTCCGCCATACGGTCGGCAATATCGCGATGTGTGCCGTCTGGAGCCCTGCTGCCCAAGCTTTCTGGTGCGTCGTTCACGACCTGGTCTTCGGGAGTGATTTGCACTGGGCCGGCGCGGGCATTGGCGTTGGCGGTGGCGGTGTTGATGGGGTTGGGGATGTGTCTGGGCTGGTGGGGGTTAGCTTTGGAGGATCTATGGGTGGAGGCGGGAGGGGGACTTACGGCTATGGTGATTATGACTGAGGGAGTTGGACCTGCTGCGGTACCTGGAACTACAGCAACTGTACCTGCGGTATTTGGATTCGCGGCACCCGCAACCGGAGCAGTACTTGCAACTGGTTCTCCGCGGCGGACCATGACGCCTACAGCTAAAGCCGCACCGACCAAAGCGACGAAAGTGCCTGCAGTGGCCGCGGGGTTGGCCAGGGCAGTGTTGATGATGATGTCTTTGATGTTCATGGCGTCCATGGTGGGCAAGTCGGGGTCGTAGTGCGGTGAAGAAATAAGAATGAGGGCTGCTCTGGACTACTTGTATGTCTGCGCGTGTTTGCGGAAAAGCGTGGGTGAATGCGATTTCGCAAACATGTCAGGTGCGCGACCTTTGTTCGGGGCGTTTGCTGGCATCGTGATCAACGGAAGCAGTGGATTGTTACGGGCAAGCGAGTTTGGGTGGAGTTTGATGCTGTGGGCTTGCTGGATGGGAAGGGAGGCCGCGAGAATACATGGGAGTGTGGTGTATGGTTGAAGAGAAGGTGGAATAGATGTAGGAGGAATTGGTAATTGAAGCAAGTGTATACATAAGTCTGGAATGCGTTCCACTAAACACAACAACAAGGTGACGCAGAACTGCAGAATCTCAGGGATTCGTCAGTCAGAGTGCAGCAGGGTCGCCTTATTAAGCATAATGAAACTTCGTTAACCTCTCATTAATTTGCTTTTACGCACTCAATATTCTCTCGTGAAATTAGAAGACACAAGACGTGTTCAAATAGCTTATGGAGGAGCGTTTAAGAATCTACCCTTTGGAGAGATCATTGGGCGCGTGTCTGGTCAGTTTGGAGGATTTAGGCGATATCTTTGGCCAGGAGGTAACGCAAGATCTCCTCTGTGATAGATGGACAGATAACAATGGAGCTGCATGTGCGAGTATTGTGTTATTTGCACGTCTTTTTCTGAGATGTGGTTCGCTCATCGATCTGATGTTGGCAGGTGTGAAGGGTGTCGACACGTGTGACGGGAGTGACAAGCGAAACGCTAGCGCCGGCGGTGAACCTTGCGAGCCGCCACGTTCATCTCACCGCGCCGGATACACTATCCGCGAGCTTCAACGCACGTCATTAAATACCCTATTTGCTTCATCATTATCTAATCTCCGACTCGCGTGTTTGATGAGTGTGGCTGGAAATGGTGCGCCAGCTTCGGGTGCCACAGAGAATGTTGCACGCGAAAAGCAAGCCGCGCCTACGGTGATGGATGGCCTCTCGAGCTCCAAGGTCACGGGTGAGAATCTGCGGAAGCCACCCCAAATGTGACATGCATCTGACAGTTCCCAGTCGAATACCATGACCCATCTGGAGTGTTCCCATTAGTTCAAGAGGACCTGGCCGCTCGGCTGCCGCTCCGAAATTTGCATTGGAAAGCGCCTACCAGGCCTTTAAGATCAATCGACTCTCTCCATGTCGACTTAGTACCCAGCAAAGAGTCTGCACAGCTTGCAGAGGCAGCCAATGCGGCGCTGGCGTCGTCCCAAGGTGCCACAGGAACACCTACACGAACGACTGAAGAGATTCTTCGGCCCCCAACCAAGGAGAAGCAAAGACGCCATCAAATTCCAGGACTACGACAGACCCCATATCTAAAAGTCTACTTGTTGAGATGTGATGATTCCGACACTTACAAGTCAACTGCACGAAAGCAGGTCCGCGACTGGGTCAAGGAGCACACACCTCCCTCTCAAAGTAGCTCATCAAGTGCGCAAGAGAATCATGATGCTTATGAATGGATGATTATCCATGTCGTTATTCCAGAAACCCCGGCAGCTAGCCAACCTCGGGGGTCGTCAAGTAGCACAACTGGTGACAAGGAGAAGAGTGCAGCAACGTCGCGATGGGCACGCGGCACAACGACACTTCTTGAGAAGCTGCGAGCAGACTTCAACATCTCGACCAAAACTGCACCCGATCGTGTTACCCAAATAAGGCTGCCCAAGGAGAGAGTACCCCAGCATTTAATGCCAGCACCAGCGCCAGCATCTTCACCAGCGATTGCTGAGAGTCCACAAGAGCGGGAGAGAGCATGGGCCGATGTTATAGCCAAATGGAAGACACTGATATTGCTGTCATTCGACTTGCGCGTCAGTCAGTACGAAGAAGACATTAGGAAGAATGAGTCGCAACGTTCGTTCCCTGGCTGGAACTTCAACACATTCTTTATGCTCAAGGAAGGTCTCGCCCGGGGTTTCGAAAGTGTCGGCTTGGTCGAAGATGCGTTACTTGGTTACGATGAGCTATCTGTCGGACTGGATACTGTGATTCGCGATCAAGCCAAAGACGATACCCAAGGCGGAGTCATCTTGAGTTATTCAGAAGATCTCTACGAAAAGGCCAGTCACGTACTTGAGCAGGTGCAAGAAGAAGGCAGTACTGCTCACAATCTGCATGATGACAAGCCAATTAGTGCGCACAAAAAGGACTACCGGGATCTGATTCTCAACAACAACATTTCGGTCTTTGACTTTAGGTCATATGTATTTGCGCGGCAGATGTCACTTCTACTGCGGCTGGGCAACTCACAGTCTGCGCGTTCGGATCTTGCAGCTAAACTACAACCGCGGCCAAATGCCAGTATCTCACAACGTTCCATGGACGACAGCAATATTGGCATGAAAACTGGAGACCAGACAAATATGTCTGAAGATCTCTACTCGCTTTCAGAGCTGTGTTCTCGTGCTCTCAATTTCATCACTTTTGCTGCGCGTCTTTTACGGGACGATCTAATCAATGGGTTTGTTTCTTCTTTAATACAGAAGTCGCCGTGCTAACTCATGCCAGAGCAAAGTCGCACAATGCCACATTCCCGGATGCATTAGTAGATAACCTAGTTCGATCATGGACCTTTGCTGCTCTTGAACAGGTTCTGCGAGAGACGGCTACTTCATCGTTGCCATTCACACGCTACTCAAAAGATGCCACCAGTGGGTCTTCGGGCAAAAGTCTGTCATTTGGAGGTCGAGGCCGAGAGCAGAAGCTACAAGTCTCGGAGCAAAAGTCCATGATCCATCCGTCTCGTTCGTCGTCGTTGAACCATGGACGTTCATCAGCGGAACCACCATATGCCCAGCCAACAGCGGCCAGTCAGGTCGTGTTCGACAATGGGCATTACAACGACCGTCCAGCTCCGACTCAGGAAAGCACATTACCCCAATCCAAGAACGGTCTGCAAGAGCTTGCTGGTACACGAGCACAACTAGTGGTTGTTCAGCGGCGGGTGCTCGAGCAAGTTGGCAAAGCCTTGGGCTGGAATATTGGCTGGGCCGCAGTACTCTCGGGGACGGATGACCACGAAGAGCTTAGTGATGTGGACCTTGAAGAGGATGAGAAGAGCACCACGGACGAGGTGGCATCAGATGATGAAAAGCCTTCAAAACTAGCCACGCCGACATCTGGTATCTCTGCGAGCGCACTGCTCAGCGCGGCTTCGTCAATTGAACAGTTTCGTCAGGCTTATGAGGTATGATGAGTTGTGTTAGAAGCAGGAACATTACTTATGCTACGACAGGGCCTGAGCGATTTGATCGTCAAGCACTATATGGCGGCAGGTCAGAACAAGTCCGCGGAAAGCGTACTGGGAGATCTGGCTGCCCTACGATTGTAAGTCTACGACTCGTTTATTGCACTCGCCTCGAATCTGACGTAAAGCCAGTGAGCTCGGCGACTTTGCAGCTGCATCTGCGTATTTTGGTCGCATGGCGTCACTCTTCGCCGAGAGCCGCTGGAATACGGTGGAGACTACCATGCTCAAAATGCACTCCCAATGCTTGAAAAAGCTCAACCGTAAGGACGAGTATGTCCGGACGCTACTAGATCTCTTGGCAAAATCTGCAGCAAGCAGAATGTCCTTCAAAACCACCTCGAGGCGAGCTGATGCCAACGACATTTCTGATATGCCTCGCGATTGGCTCAACGACGACAAGGTCGACACTGTGGGTATCTTCAATGAGCTCATTGCCTTTTCCCAACAGCTTCCCTACGATGTTACCGTCAAAATGCCCAAGTACTTTGGGGATATCATGGTCGAGCCCTATGTACGCCATTACGATGAGAGGGACGGCTTTCAACTTCGTCTACAATTTCGACATATCCTTGAGGATGAGATAGAGATTAAGTCAGCAAAGGTGCGACTGGTCAGTGCCGACTCGTCCCAAATCAAAGACGTTTGGCTGGAAAGCTCCAATCCTCTGAAGCTCAAAAAAGGATTGACCAAAATGTGGCTGGGCTGCAACGTGAGTTCGCCTTCAAAAACTTGAGTCACCTGCTTACTTTTTGTTAGGTCAACACTATTGGGCCATATATGGTCGACAAGATAATGCTGGAAGCGAAGCGCATCGTCTTCGTGCATGAGCCCTTCACCAAAGCTGAGGCATCGACACCCCTTGGTATCATCACTTCGGTGTCTGCCCATTCACTCAAGGCCGCAAAGAAAGCGCGCATTCTGTGTTTTCCCCGCGTGGAGTCTTTTAATGCACGCATCTACCTATCACATTCTATCCACATTGACAAAACGCGCCACATCGAAATCGAATGTACCAGTGGTTGGAACGAAATCACCCACGCAGAGGTGAGGCTAAAGTCAGCATCAGCTGGCCTGCGCTTACGATCCGCAAACGCAAGTGTGGCTTCTGGCAATGTGTCCATTGCGGATAAGACCAAGCCTGGCGTCGTCACAATCGGACCTCTATCTGCAGACTCATCAGCTACGCTCAAGATTCCATACGACATGGAGACCATACTTCAAGACTTAAACATCAAGATTGAAGTCGATTACTTCACTGAGCATGGGCAGTCGAAGTACTTCTCATCCTGCACAATCCCAGTGGACTTGCCGCTGGACGTAAACGTGCACGACCACTTCAAGCAAGATACTTTGCTCTCGAAGTTTAACATCAAGACTGCGAATCACATACCGCTTCAGCTGTTCGGTGTAAATTTGGAAAGTTCGGGAGAGTTTCAAGTCCAGGCTGCGCAAAGATCGAGAGCCCCCAGCTACGTTTTCGCCAAGCAACCAGTCGCCATCACTTACAAGATTGAGAAGAAAGCCACTGAGGTCACTGAACGGCGAAAGAGCAAGTCGACCGCCACAGGAAGCCTCGCGCTATCTGTTGAGTATCGCTGTCTCAATGAAGATGTGCAAGACCGATTGGGCGAAAAGTTCAAGTCGGATGTTGCACAAGGCCCTGCTCATCGTCTTGGTCGGTTGCTCACTGATACTTTTGTACATCGACTCGAGCACAAGATCCTTCCGCATCAGTATGAAAGGATCGCGCTTCTGGAAAAAGTGGACATGGGTGCTTTTGAAGACATGGACTGGTCTGAGTGCGTCGACAGCCTGCCCGAGGTTATTCGCCCAGACACTCAAGCCTGGTTGCAAAAATGGCACGAGGTAAGCAAAGTTGAGCATCAGCGTCGCTATAAAACACTAACCAAGTACGATACAGTCCAATAAGATCTTCTATCTCGCTTCCGAGCCGAGCGAACCTGCAGCTGTCCCTGCCTCGCCGCACCCAACACGCCACATGGTCATCACAGTCTCAATCCCGCAGACCCATGTACTTCACACTGCATCACTAATGCCTACATCATCATCTTTCCCTACGATAGCTACAGTCGGCCAGCCCGTACAAACGACTCTGCGCATATCTCACACTCGCCGCTGGGCCTCCCCAGCACCAACCCCTTCGGAACCACTTGAATTTATCTACACACTCGAAGCGAACCCGGAAACCTGGCTCATCGCCGGTCAACGTCGCGCGCATTTTTCTGCGCACGAAGACGAAGTTCACGAATGGCCCGTCTTGCTCATTCCTCTTAGGCCTGGCGTGACGTTGCTTCCGAATGTAGATATTCGCCTGCAAAGGCCCAAGGGCAAAGAGGAGACGGAAACGAACTGCGAAACGGATTACTTAAGCTATGGTGAGACGATTACGGTGGTGCCGGATGTAAGACATAGCACAGTGGGTATTGGGGATATGAGCAAGGGTCATGATGGAAATGTGGTGTGGTTGGACAGTACTCGGGTTGGGGCATAGCATGCGTAGAGTAGAATTGATATCATCTTTACACATGTACATGTCGTGGGTTGATTATCAGACTAAATTATGGTAATCACAACCATTTCAACCTCCTTGAAATCTTTGTCGTTGAACGTGTACTTCATCTCCCCTCTAGTATCACCGTCTTCAGGTAGAGGCTGCAGATTCAATGTATCCCATGGGCGATCATGGTCCTTCGTTGGTCCTCGAAGCTCGTATAGTAGCGCCTGACAGTATCCTTCTCCGTTCGCCTCAAAGTATCCGATCCGCTCGAATGTGTCTTGCGCTCCAGTGGGTTGAAGAATCAGTCCTTCGATAATTGGATTGTCCTGCGACACTGCTTTTGGCGAGACGCTCAGACGCATGGGGAGACAGACAATGTTTCTTACGTCAAGTTCCATGCCGATATCGCGCTGAATGTGAAATGAGTCAACTTTGGGAGGAGCATTTGGGTTTTCGGGTGATACGATTAGCTGGTCGCCAGATTTGCCGTCGATGATGATTGATTCGATATGGCCTTCTTTGCTCCACTGCGCATCGCGGAGACGTCCTCGCAGCTTGATGTGTCCGCTTTGAATATTACCGACACGATCCTCCTCATTAACGTAGCTTACATCAGCGTCCAGTATATCCACCATCACGCGAGGCGTGTAACGCGCCCGCGTCTGCCAAAATATACCCATGTCTTTGGAAAGCCATGACCACGAAGGCGCGCGGTACTTGTCGGGCTTAGCTGCAGTGATGTATGGATCGGCAAAGGTCTCGCGTGAGCCATTTGGTTGAGTCGGCCATCCGTCCAAAGCCATAGCTTTCCAAAGTAGACCAACAACGAGATCGCCCTTCCAGAGACCAGCAAGGTATTTGTCGTGCGGCAAAGAAGACTGGAACTCACCCGCGATGCCTGCAAAGGCAATCAGTTTATCAGACGTGTAAGTCAGTCTGGAGCGCGAGTAGTCTTCACAAACGCGTCCCCAGACCTCATAGATACCTGGTTTGCCTGGCTCTTGTGCACGATCGGTACTCATGTGAGTCCTGTAGTGCCAGCTCGTCGGATTGTCGTAAACTGGCGGCATACCTTGTGGGAAAGTCTCGCACGCGTACAGATCTACCGATTCCCAAAAGAGTTGGTCAGTAGTGAAGTGTAAGATCCGAGGAGACAGGAATCGCTCTTGCGTAACCCATGCTCGACTAGCTAGCGGCGCTTGCGTCAAAGGATGCATAAGATCAAATTGCGGGAGGAAGTAGACCTGCCCAGCGTTCGGTGCCTCGAATGGACATGGAGTGTATTTATATGCGAGGCGGTCTCGAAACAATCCACCTTGGCTGTTCTCTGAGTGGTCAGCTGAGATGTTGAAGTATGTGTTTTGATACACGTTTCGCATCATCTTGGCTTCTTTCACCCAATCCGAAGGAGAGTCCTGCTTGATGCAGCATGAATCGATCCAAATGTAGCGGACTGGGCCATGTATGTTAGCTGTGGGACGGCCGGCGAGCAAGATAGAGACTCACCACCTGCCCATCTGGCAACCATTATTGCATCGCGAAATGTCGGAGGCATATTCTGCAACTTATACCCGCCTTCCAGCTCATCTTTAGTCGCGTCTGTGAGTCTGATTGGCACTTCTCCTCCCCAACAATGGCTCAATGTCACGTATCGTGTTGTTTGATCAAGCTCACTAGATAAGACGAGCCGTACTTTGCTCTCGGTTTCGACGTTGCTCAGATCAAGCAAGCGAGTAGGAAGAAAGGAGTGTGTGCGTGCTCCATAAACATCATGACCATCACATTGCTCTAACCACATTTTCACGGTGTTTTGGCAGATCTCTGATGCGGTATTGTCGTTTAGCCTACTTGTCATTGGAGGCACTCCGAACGCTACGCCAAGGGGATCAGAAAAGTGTTGTGTACAATGTGAAGTGAGTCCGACACACCTTTGTCGTTGAAAATCCAAAATCGTGGAATCGCCGCTTTGATGTAGTCGTGGTTGAGAGCATCGCAGTCAAACTCAACAAGACCGAAAACACCGTCGAACCAGTCTCCACTCTTGCTCATTTTTATATGAAAGTTGAGATTCTCCGGCATGTCCAGCATGTACGAAAGGATGACGACGCGGTCACTTGGAAACGCCTTATGGTCGAAGTCCGAGTCGGCAAAATCGCTCTCTGTGAGCGACGTAGACTCTTCCTTCAGGTCATCCTTGCCTTCCAAGTGTTCTATCGCCCAATGTGTCTTTAGATGGAAGATGATGAAGCGACAGAGATGGCAGCTTCGATGCAGCACAGAGTCGACAAGCGATTCCTTGGTCAAGTGGTGGGGTATTTCATCCGATTCTCGACCCGTCATACTCTCAAAAGCTAAACACAAGGCAGTTGTGCAGACATCGCATAACCTGGATTTGAAGAGCATATTTGGAACAGCTTGGACTGATTGGTACAGAGTTGTAGTCTTCGAGTGCGCAGAGAACAACAACGTTTTGCATGGACACATCCCAGGCAGCCCTTCAGCTGATAACTCTCTTGGCGAAGGAAGACTCAATCCTCAGCCTGGCTGAAAAGGGATTTTGCGCATAGCCACGTGGTACAGGAAGCTGAAGGCGCCTCGTGTTTGCGATCATGTCAACCCGGAAGAGTAACACGACACAGATGGGGGTTTTCTCCGAGTCAGCTTCTACTGTCGATGTGCATGCCTTTTCTAATTCTAACGAAGATTAAGGAGCTACGCTGTGACTTGCTGTCGTGCTGTTTTCGTGAGTGTCGCCTCGTCACTTCTTGCGCGGCGGCACTGCCGGCCTTTCTCGGCTCAGCTTGACTCCTTCTCCGACCTCGAACCACCTGGATACCCCATCATCACCACAGACTTTTCTCTTGAGAACGAACCTTTTCTCGATCAAATCGCTTGAGAATTGAGTCTTTCCGATTCAATGTTCAAGCGCCCTTTTCTGGCGTTCCAGGACGCGCACTCAAAATGTGACGGCAATTACCTACCGCGTCACAACACTGCCAGTTGTGCCAGTCTTCTAGACATGAAGTTGACAACACAACGGATGACCGCACGAAGGTATTTAGGCTCGAGCGCGAGGCAATCTCCAGTCTTAGACGTCCGAGAATTTCGTATGAAGGTCATTTGCTGGAGAGGCGGACGGATGTACCCAGCCGGAGAAGACATGGAGCCCTGCGACGTGCATGGTTTTTCGCAGCTTGCATTTTAAACTACCAGTTTGACAAATTGACGATAACCGATCTGAGCCGGCATCATATTACTTTTGCAATGTAGGTCACATCTCCTACACGCCACAACACCTGACATTGGCGCAATTGTGTGCCGAGGCTGGTGGAGAAGCTCTAGGCATCCAGCTGACGGTACCACCTTTTTAAAGACGTCCACGGTATTTTGTACACGTATCCCTCCACAACAAAAAAATGGTTTCCGAACCTGTCTTCGAACTTGCCATCGCCGTGAGTAACTCGTGGCTCCATAAGTGTCTCAACGATCACAATTCGTGCGCGAAGAAGGCACGCCATGCTCATATATTTTGTACCGACAATCAGCATCTCATCAATGATCTCAAAGGCGATGGACTGGTACCATCGCGATTACTGGCATTTCCAAAGATTGTGCCATCAACCGGCGAGCCAGACATGGTGAAGCTGGTCCTCTCCACGGAACTCGGCGAACGTACACAATACGTTGCACTCAGCCACCGCTGGGGCTCGCCTGGGTCTTCGCCTCCCCGTACCCTGAAATCCAACATCAAAGGTCACGTTGAAGATGGTATTCGCTATGAGGATCTACCTCAAACGTTCCGGGACACGATTGACGTTACAAGAGCATTGGGTTACGAAGTCTTATGGATCGACTCATTATGCATCATCCAAGATTCTGCCGAAGATTGGAAAAATGAAGCAAGGCGTATGGCTATCATTTACGATAACTCCGTTCTGACAATCGCCGCAATGGATGCAGAGGATAGTAGTCAAGGTCTATCTCCAAAAAGAGGCGGATGCCTTAGTACCCTAGAATCGAGGGCTTGGGTCTGTCAGGAAAGGATGATTGCACCGAGGACACTAATGTTCACGAAGGGCTCCGTGGCCTGGGAATGTCGTCAAGCAACCGCTAGCTTGGACTCCCCTGCCTTCGCCGAAGGGCATGGAGGCACCGTGGTAGATTGCGACCACGAGGGCTGGGTACCTCCGACGCGTCCGAAAGCCATCTTCGCTTTCTTTCGTGATTGGCGTCTTCCTCCCCTGCGGAAGGAGTCGGATGGTTATGAGTCTGAATCTACTGATTCTGGACAAGACATCAATGTTGAGGATGCTACAACGGGAACATCCGCACTTCAAATGCAGATCTCACCTGCGGTGGAACAAAATCTCGATGTGCAGGCACAGCCGGCAGAAAAAACTAACAGCGAAGGCCAGCTTGCAGAAATTGTCTCACCAGCTACAGCAGTTGAAGGGACCTTGCCTGACTTTACTTGGTCTGATGATGACCCTCCAATCAAGATTTGGAATGTAGCACCCCCAGAAGGCGAATCAGGTGTTTATTACGATCAGAAAAGCAACGAGATATACATGTGTTATGGCGACGACTTAGCAGCACATGCCGCCAACTTACTCAGCCAAAAGGACCTGCCTGCCTGTTTCATCACGCTCTTCGATAAGTCCTCGAAGGATGGTAAAGACCTCTTCGGAAGCTTTCGAGTTGACGTGCAGAAACTTTTACGTCCGGAATCTTCATATGAGCCGTTCATGAGGGTGTGGTGGAATTTTCTCGCCCTATACACACCACGAAACTTAACCTACGATAGCGATGCCTTCCTCGCCATGAATGGAATAACTTCCATCTCACAAAAATGGACGCATACCCGCAATTCTTTCGGGCTATGGTTCAACTTCTTGCAATTTGAGCTTTGTTGGTAGGTTGATCCAGATGTACAAGCTGTTCGGCCGATGACGCCCAAGTGGATTGTTCCAAGTTGGTCTTGGGCTAGTATAAGAGGAGGCCTGGTGCGCAATGCTTTCTGGCAGCAGAATCTCAGGCGGGGGAGTCTGATGATCAAGCCTGAAATTGTAAGCGCATCAGGCACGGCATTCGATATGCCACTGCCTTTTCCAGCCTGGCGCAATAGCCGCTACCATAACCTGGAGTTGAAAGGTAATTTGCGTGCCTCCAAGCTCAGACGCGTACAGACAGCAGAGGGGAAAACTTTGTTCGAGCTCGATATCGAACCCACAGGCCGGTTCTCAGACCACGAAGTCCATACCTTCCATCCGGATTGCCCATTGGAGATTCCTCTGGGTGAAGAAATCGGCGTATGGACTTTCCATATGTGGCACTTTGCTGCCGACGAGGAAGCTAACAGCAATGGCCAGTGTCTTGATATCCATCTATTATTGATAAGCCTGGGAAATAACGACTGGGTGAGCCATTATGGACCGAGTACCATGGAAATGGAGCACCTCGAAGATGAACGCACAATGCGTAGGTTAGGGCTTGTGGAGACCACTTATCATGAAGATCAACAGCGAGACGCCGGCGATATCCACGAGGACACGTGGTGGAAGTTTGTGAGGTTGGTGTGATAAGCACTATGATCTGACGAGGGTTGCAAGTAAGAAGTCAAATGCTCGGAAATTATCTATCTAAAAATTAGACTAGCAATTGTAAGGGCGCCGCCTGACATGGTTCCTCGCTCAACTGGCTAATGAGGATACATAATGTCTCCGTCTCCTAATCTCTTTTCCCTCAACTCCTAATAAAATGATTATCTGCATCAGAAAAGCAGGCTCTACCTTCACTAGCTGCATATGTCCCCGGCATTCAAGAATCATCATATGGTACCCAATTCCACTGCTGCAGGACTGCTCGGAAGCTCTCCTGGTGGCGGTCCATGATGGTATGGCAATCCACCTCCAGGTTGCATCGCATACTTTTCAGTCGGCACCACGCCAGTGTCTTGCAATTCGCTCCTGGCTCCTCTGTTAGGCTTTCTGTGTCTTAACAGCAACCACAAGCCAAGCACAATCGCCACGATGCCTCCGACTCCACCCACTACCCCACCCACAATCGCTCCGGTGTTGTTAGACGAAGAGCACTGTCGTGGGGTCGAAGAAGACGGACAGCCTGTTGGCGATGCGAATCCGGAGGACAACGATCCATATGCCGGTTTCGTTGAGAGGATTTTGAAGTTATCCAGCCAGACGCCTTTATTTGCCCTACAACAATCGCCGTACTCTTCTGATCCGCGGATACCGCAGCATAGGCTTCCGTCTTCGCATGGTGTGATCAACCAGTCACTTTCTGAGCGGTTGAGTGTGGAACCATTATCTCTCACTATGCCTGTTTAGCCTGTGTTGAGTTCACACCTGCATGGGGAAACCTACCATAGGGATCTGTGCACAATTGTAGGCAATTACCATCCCGCCATTGTTTATCCGTACAGCTTTCACGCCAGATGTCGAAGTTCTTGGATATGCAAAGACCGGCACGGTCGGCACTTGTGGCGCACCTGTCGCCATCATCGGCATTCGTTCGGCAGCACATATTCGAGTTTGGACATTTTTGATATGCGTTGGGAGCTGCGGTTGGTGCTGTCACGCCTTTGGTCCAACACTGGTCCTGGGCAAGTGTTTGCGCGGCGAAGGCAACGAAGATACAAATGGTGCGAGAGATCATTTTGGCCGACCACGGTGGTATGCGAAATTCGAGGAATGAGGTCTCAGAACGATGTGACGCGCCAACTGGTGGTGTAAGTGAGTCTCAGGAGAGAAGACTGCAAGCCCCAGTAGAAAGCAGCTGAGCCTCGTGGGGCGGCTTGTAAGTCAAAGTAAGCACGGCCAAGAGTGTTTACCGATTAATTGGGTCCAAGGAAATAATCTAACCATCGATTTGCTGCATGTGGCCCATCCAACAATATGAAGCTATGCGCAGTATCGCTAGGCTTCGAGTACGACAAAGCCCTTGCTTTACGCCCCGCAGCTGACATTCCTGCAGTCTCCTCTGTGATACGCCGTGTGCACAGCTTCTGTAATACCAGCTATATCAGGCGTTGTGCATGTACTACAGTAAGCTGAAGATAGTCAGCTTACGTGTTTCAGCACCAGCTACCTCTTGCAATAGACAACAGAAAGGAGCTTCTTGAACTCGACTTTTTGCACAAATTTACACGATTTGTCACCGTTCACGACGCAATGCCTGTCATTTTATCGCAGCAAAATCAGAACCATGGTTATAGTCATGGGAATAATCCCATCGCAGGATCTTGGGGGCCTTACAGCCATTTGTGTGCTTGGCCATGTCTTTCAGCCCCCACCGGGCGGTGCCTGGCATCCGCTTCGCCTCAACATCGCCCCATCAACCCCGAGTCATTTCAATTCCGATGTTGGTCTACGGCGTTATATACCATACGTTCCGTTCCACAGCGTTGATACTTTAGCTAAGGCCTCCTGAACGGATCTTGCGCTTTGCGGAAGTTGGTGGAGCGATCTAGACAATATCGACATCTCGTGTGGGAATGTGTCTTGTATACTCTCGCTTTGATTTTGATTTCGAGCTAGCCTTTTGCGCATTATCAGCACCATGTCGACGACGTATTGAGGATAAGGATTAATCGCCACCAGTGTCGAGGTGATGTCTGATCTCGAGCCAAGAATATGTGCGCTTTCATCCACAGGACTTTCGATCGAATAGGAATTCTCCAAACCGAATTTGAGAACATCAAAGCATGTAGTCAGAGCAATGTCGTTCAACGAGCGCACCTCTCCAAGGAGGTCCGACCGAGCAGCAGCTTCGAGAGCCTCCAGCAAGACCAGCATACCAAGACAATGTCGAAGCTGGACTTGATACAAGCTCAACCGCAAGCGCTGGTCTAGGCATGGAGACATCATATCACATTTGATCAGCAGAGGTCGAATTGAAGCACCGAATATATCGAATGCGTCAAGCAGTGCCTTCCAAGCGAAGTCGACCTCGCCGCCACTCACTCCCTCGCGAAGAGCTTCCTTGACCGAGGTTACGTTCTTCCAAATGTATGTGTTGCAGATCGTAGCTGCACCCATGATCTCTTCCACGCACCGATTGTTCAACTCGAAGCCGTCTTCGTGCCACTTCTGCGTTTTGGGCGTAAATGCACCGACTAGGAAAGCCTTGACTAGGCGCCATGTCGGTTCAGAGCATGCACCCTTCAAGCCGGACGTCAATGAAGTCCTGCAGTCTGAGAGTAGAGACGTCGACGTGTCCCATGTCATTGCCGACCAATACGCTCGACTTTCGAGATCGACATATTTGAGGGAGATGGCATCGTCGTCAGCGGACTCTGATGTTCCTGCATCGCTGCGCTGTACTACGCTTCGATGCGATCGGAGCCATTGCAATTGCAACAATGCAGTCTGCATACATACGAGACTGTTGAGACCATCGAGCTCCTCGTCTTCATAAATGCCAAACGGGATGGGCGTCTGTGCAAAGAGATACAAGGTAAATACAGATCGATAAGATGTGCGATTGATGACCTTGAGCATCTCTCTCCTGGCTTTGCGCCAGGCTTCTCGAACCGTTGTTTCGACTTTGGCACTCGGTAGCCGGGCGGCTTCTGGTGTCAGCGGTATCCATTGGGCAGCAAACGCACGCATCGCGCACTTTAATGCGTTCTTGATGCTAGACTCCTTTTGAATCTGATATCGCGCCTTGTTGGTATCATGAAGTGAGCTCTCGGCCTCTCTGGTGTACGTATCAAGCTCCTCATAGAGCAATCTGGCAATTTTGCCAGAGGGATAACTTTTGTCTTCTTTGCTGTGTGGACTTTCAACCCTTTTCTTCCCTCAGTATCATGGAACGTACACAAAGGGACAGCCATATCTGCCGAGCAAGACGCCGAAGACTGTGTCGAAACCTCTGAGAATGATTTCGTCACACCACCACGTTAAAATATCCTCTGGATGTATAGAATCAGGACAGTTTGGTTCTACTGAGTCTCCTGAGATATGTGTTTTATCATGACGATATGATGCCTTGCCCTGTGGTTCGTACGCAATGAAAGGCTTCAGTCTCTCTCTAGAGGCCCTGGAAGACCTCTTCGCATTATCAACCCACTACATCTTGTAAGTACACTGTCAACCACTCATGATCGGCAATTGCACGAGTTCCAAGAAACTCCTCGTACCTGAAAAGTACATGCTCGCTTCCTCTTCAAGCATCTTGAGCATGATGAGCTCGATGGATCAGATTGCTTCGCCGCATCGCAGGCAACGCGGGATCGACGACAGGCATCACAACTGGAAAATTGCAATCTTTTCTGCGATGAGGGAACGTGGGCATTGCATTGCATGTGTGAAAGTTTCGGGGACGAAGGGGAGGGACGTTGTAGAGTTTGTCATCGGCCAAGGCACTACTGGGATAGCGTGAATTGCCAAGCACGAGGCCCCACCCCGCTGCATCAACCCTTTCCACCATGTCACGAAAAAAATCTGCTCTCACAAGACACTTCGATCAGACCTGTGTGTAAATTTTATCTACATGCATCTCTCCACGACCTCCCGGACTTCATCTGCACCTAGCTGTTCAACCCCCAACAACTCATTATCAAGCTTCCCTGAAAAGTCACATCCGTATTCTGCATCAAACATAGCCGTGATGCAAAACCCCAACATTGCTCTATCCACACCCACCCCCTCACCCTTCTCCAGCTCCCTCAAACTCTCCCGCTTCACCGTGTCCGTGTCCATTTCTACAATATCCCATACCTCCCGATCCTTCTCCTTGGCATACCGAATAAGCTGGTTCTGCGTCACACGCGCAGAATGCACATATACCAGTCGATTCGCTGTTTCTTCCATATTTCTAATAATCCCAAGTACCGCTCTGGCTACATCAGCCAGCGTCGTCGCGCTAAAGGGCACATCGCCGCCATTATACAACGTCGCGCGGTGTTTCGCAGGATCGATGATGATGCCCATTTGCATCCCCCAGTCGAGGAACATCCCGTTCGCGATTCCCGTCCAGGAGAAGTGCGGATTCTCTCTGGCCTTATCACAAAGGTAGGTTTGCGTATCAACTTTAGGCACACACACGGGTAGTTGCGTGGCGAGCGGGTTCTGCGAATCCATGCCGAATTCGGCGGGGATGAAGCGCTGCACGCCAGCGGCTACGCAGGCGTCAATGAGGGTGTTTTGGCTACCGAGCGCGGAGGTCGCGAAGCAGGATATGACGACTTGGACATGTTGTAGCGCAGTGATCAAGTTCGGGACGGAAGTGAAATCGACCTCTTTGATGAGGAGGTTCGCGTGAGGCGCGAGTTTGGAGCGGTTGCCGCCAATTCGACTGAGGACCGTGACGAGATATCCTTCAGAAAGGAGAGAGGAGAGAACGGGCTGGCCGAGATTGCCTGTTGCGCCTGCGAGCGCGATACGTGTGGGGAGCATTGTCTTGGAGTGAGCAGTGTGGAATGGGAAAGACGCTGTACTTATACCCAACGCAACGTACCCGCTTGATGGCGTGTCAAGTACATGCCGGCTCTACCATTAGCAAGCAAAGGTCGGTTATTCATGTGTTGCAGAGAAACTTAGCTGATGTACGATTCTCGTTCAGGAAGTATGCGGATCCGACTTCACAAATACGGGTAAAGCGTACCAGGCCGCCCAGTCCTGCAGTCGACATGTTCTCCACCTGCAACACATCAGCCCACGCTTCATCTCAAGATTCGTTCGCCCTTCGATTTGACGTAGGTGTGCATTGCGCCATAGGGACTTGGACTAAACATATGACTTGATTACAAACAAGACTGACCATAGCTACACGACTAAAAGCCTAGCAGAGCGCTTGAACATCTCAATCGAAGTCAGACTCCAGATCCATGATCAATACCTAATATATACTCACAGAAAGTCTCTCCTCATTTCACACGACACATGCATCTTCCCACACAAACATGCTCCGCTATAATCTCTCTCTACAACCCCGAAACCCCCAACGCCAAACTCGTCAGAATGGTGTTCAACAGCGTCGTCACACCAAGCAACACAACATTCAACACCGCCTGCACCGTCAGAATCAACAGACTCAGCGAACTCACCATCGGCGTCGTGAACACCAACAGTAAGCCCACGCCCAAGACCAAGATGGCTGCGCCCAAGGTTGCGAATATCTCCACGATGATGAGCCCGAGAAGAGCCGCGACGGCGATGGCGCCGACTTGGCGCTTTTCAGTAGGGGATGTGGACGTGGTGGTGATGGTGGTGGGCTCGCCGCCAGTGACGGGTGGGAGAGCCTTGATCTCGCCCGCGGTCGACGTGATTGCTGCGGTGATTTTGGAGATTTGTTCGCCGACGAGGGGCGCGGCGGCGGTTTTTTCGAGGATGGAGGACGAGGGAGATAGAGTTGCTAGAGTGGCGTCTGAAGAACGTGTTGTCAGTATGGTATGGTGGAAGGAAGAGGAAGGAAGGTGGGGAAGGGAAGACGTACTGATAGCGCCGGTGTAGGTTTGCACCGTGGCGTAGAGGTCGGTTAGGAGAGAGACGACATCGGCGTTTGTGTCGCGCTTGCTGACGACGGGGCTGGCGATGGTCAAGCCGGTGAGGGCGAAGACGGCGAGGTTGGAGAAACGCATGGTTGCGTTGATTATAATCTGGGAATTATTGTACCTGGAGTGAAGAGCGAGTGGACTGGACTGGATGACTGGATGAAAGGACGCCCAGACAAGTTGTTTTATACATCAGCACAGCCCTACGGCCATGATGGCTTGCTCATGATCGTCATTTCTGGACGAGAGTGCCGCTTTGGGATAGATGCCCGTTGGCAAGGCATCGTTGGTCATTTCCCGATGAAACTTAGGTAGAGGGACTAGATGGAAATACTGCTTCTCGGTAGAAAGACGCTAACACAAGTGTTATTGTTAGTGCTTTATCCCTGGGGTATAACGTCCGACGACCTGGAGTTTGGATATGGGTATTCGCCAGGCGTGAAAGTAAGGTCGGTATAGGTAATGAAACACACTTCCACGATATCGAAAACGAAGTCAGATCCAACCTCTAAACACCTAACCAAACAGAATGACTAGAAATCAAACTCCCTCACCCCTTCACAAAAACCGCGACCGTTTTCCGTCAACCATCTAGCTCCAAGTCCTAGCTCCCGATTTGCCGCCTCGCTTAGCATCCCGTCACGAACCAGACGTCATTCCTAGCAAGAAAACATGGAAATCGCAAGACGCATTTCCCATGTCTTGCGCGTCTGGTTGGCTGGATTTAGAAATCTAGAGCCGCCGGGTATCCTTGACTTGATTTGCACGCGAGGTAAGGCATGAAGTCGCTTGCGCGCGTCCCTGCGACTGCGTGGAAGGAAAGGGGTGATGACGATGTGGACGCTGGGCGATGAGGAACGGATGGGTCTGGATGATGAATGGGCCGCTAACGAGGGTGTTCAATGCCGCGGAGGCTGAGTTGTCAGAGCATGATTCTCACAATGGAATCTAATGAGAAGCCATCGAGTTCTTGATAGCGCAACAGTTGCACTTGATCAATATTCAGTAATAAACCAGCAATCAGTAACAGGGCGCCAAAGGTAAATTTTTGCGTAATGTATTGCAATAAGTTTGAGAATGGGATTATTCAGTGTGTCGATTTTCGAACGATACTTTGTCGCGACGAGAGACGACGACTCTGAAACAATCATGTCCACCCATCGAAATTCTCCAAACCCAGCATCTTGATGCCCCGATGACCGTAACTCCTTCGCTGAAGATGCACATATATCCCCATTACCTCCCGTGAGGCAGATTCGCAATAAGCCTTCATGTCCTGGGCGCGAACCCCTAGTCCTTGCCCAGCATCTCCTGCTCGCTACCATCGCGCGGGACGTAGTTGATCCCAGCATTCTCCACGGCCATCAGGATGTCCTCGGGCAAGATTCCCTCGACCTGCGTCGCGTACACGCCCGGGACATAGCCCTCAAGGCGCTGGTACCTGGCGACCCAGCTGCGGTTTGTGTCGGCGACGCTGATCAGGCCCTCGAAGACCTGCGAGGTGCAGTCGTTGACTTGCTCCGGGTTGCCAGCCAGCTCGAGGATCTCTTCGCAATTGGGGCAGCCTTGGGTAGTGAATTGCTGCTGCGTGCGGACGATGGAGCAGATCATGCAGGCGCGCATGTGGCGCTGCTGGTTGGGCGGGATGTATGCGCCTTGCTGAGCCATGCTGTCGGCGTGATCGGGGAGGGTTTCGACGTTGGCCTTCCGACTAGGACGCTGCTGCTGGCGCCTCGGGGAGCTATTCGCAGGACTACTGAGGCGAGGGTTCGCGGTGCGACTGGCGACGTTGGCGGCTCTTCCGCGGGTGCGAACTTGAGAACGCGGTGTAGACGAGGTAACGGCCGAAGGCGCGGTGCGGTTGGCTTGAGGACGCGCTTTTGGTGTCGTGAGATTCTGTGCGTTTGGTGTAGGGAGAGTCTCTGAGACGTCTTGGTTTGCAGGTGGGATGTCGTCGTCGCGTTCACCCCAGAGAGACTGGTTGACTTCCTCTAGTTGTCTTTGTCTGGCGGCGGAATCTTGGCGAGGCTGGCCGGCGCCATGGTCTGGCTCCCGTTGCGCCCCATTAGGGAGTTTTAGCTGCTCGCGTGCAAAGCCGGGGTCAACGTTCTCGCTGTCTGAGGCACCATAGTTAATGGTGCGCCCCAATGCGCTGCTCTTGCCGAAATCTACAAGTCCTGGACTATCAAGGCTCATGGGCGAGCGCTCTCGTTCGGGTTCGTCATCGTACTCATCCTCCCAGACGTACTTGTCGACCTTCTTGACTGTGGCGGTGCCTTTCCGGGGCATCCTAGACGGTTAGTGGATGCGGCAGGGCTGGGATCGCCGGCTGGTTGATGCGCGTGGGTGGCGGCGAGGCGAGGGCGGGACGAGTTGACAACTTTTGGCGGGAGCTTGGAGAGAGCAAGTGTTGCAGCCGTCACAGCTTTGATATTTACAAGTTTACAAGCGCACGCAATTAGGGAAACTGCGCTCCATCGCGACTGCCTGCCACACACGCAGCGACCCGTTGTCCTTTCCCGAACCGTCCACGTTGTGCACCGCATTTCCACGCCCGTGTCCCGCACTTCCACACGCATCATGGGAAATCCACAGGAAGAAGCCACGGCGCTCAAAAACAAGGGCAACGACGCTTTCAAGAACCAGGACTGGCCTGCCGCGCTGGATTTCTACACCAAGGCCATTGAATTGTGGGACAAAGAACCGTCCTTCTACACAAATCGTGCCCAGGTACGCAAGCGGTCGCTGCTGCACGTTGCCGTTGACTTACACCGCTCGTTAGGCAAACATCAAGCTTGAGTCGTATGGATATGCCGTAGCAGACGCCGACAAGGCGATCGAGCTCGACCCCAACAATGTCAAGGTAGTCCCCACTTCACCCAAGGCGCTCAGCACCGCCCATGGCCTAACGAGATGCACAGGCTTACTACCGCCGCGCCTCCGCAAACACGTCGATGCTCAAGCACCGCGAAGCCCTCCGCGACTGGAAGCTTGTCATCAAGAAGGCTCCCAACGATGCCAACGCGAAACTGCGCATGCACGAATGCGAGAAGATCATCAAGCGCGATGCCTTCCTCAAGGCAATCGAGGTCGAAGACGCACCCTCAGCCGCAGAGGGACTGGACATTGAGCACATGGCGCTCGAGAGAAACTACGACGGTCCCAAGCTCGAGGGCAAGATGACGCTAGAGTTCATCGAAGACATGATCGAGAGGTTCAAGACTGGCAAGAAGATTGCGAAGAAGTACGCCTTCCAGATCATATTGGCAGTCATGGACATCGTCAAGAACGAGCCGACCATGGTGGAGCACAAGGTGGAGGAGGGGTGCGAGATCACCGTCTGCGGAGATACTCACGGTATGTTTCACTTACCTTTTGAAGTCCACAACTAATCACAGCCCAGGCCAATACTTTGATCTGCTGAACATCTTCAAGCTTGCCGGTAAACCCTCCGAAAAGAACCACTTCCTCTTCAACGGCGACTTCGTCGATCGAGGATCCTGGTCGACCGAAATCGCGCTGCTTCTGTACGCCTACAAGTGGCTGTATCCCGACAAGTTCTTCCTCAACCGCGGCAACCACGAGACGGACGACATGAACCGCATGTACGGGTTCGAGGGCGAGTGCAGGGCGAAATACAACGAGCGCATGTTCAAGATCTTCTCCGAGTCCTTCTCCATGCTGCCCCTGGCCACACTGATTGGGGACAAGTACTTTGTTCTCCACGGCGGTCTCTTCTCAGACGACAAGGTCACGCTCGACGACGTACGGAAGCTGAACCGCTTCAAGCAGCGACAGCCTGGCCAGGCCGGCCTCATGATGGAGATGCTCTGGACAGACCCGCAAACCGCGCCCGGACGAGGACCCAGCAAGCGCGGCGTTGGCCTGCAGTTCGGACCAGATGTCACCAAGCGATTCTGCGAGAACAACGGTCTCGAGGCCATTATCCGGTCGCACGAGGTCCGCATGGAAGGCTACGAAGTCGAGCACGACGGCCGCTGCATCACCGTCTTCTCAGCACCCAACTACTGCGATAGCACGAACAACAAGGGCGCCTTCATCAAGATCGGCCCCGAGTACAAGCTGAAGTACACCAAGTTTGACGCGGTGCCGCATCCGGATGTCAAGCCCATGGCGTACGCGTCAAATGGGTTGATGTAAAGTTTCGTTTGGATGTTGTTCACTTTGGATGTAGCGATGCATACTCTGGTGTTCTTTGGCGTGTCAGCATTTGGGCGGTACATTGGGATGGAAGAGCGTCATGGCATGGAGCAGTGTAGCATACAAATATCTTCGGCTCAACTCGTTGCATTGTATGTATACATTTAGCAGAATCATGTATTTGGCAATCTGGGTTTGGACATGCTGGACACGTGCAATCGCGTCCCGCGTAGCCGTTGCCCCTCTTACGCGAGGCAAGCCGCATCAGGCTAAATCATCACAAATCACATCTCACCACCAACTTCACCATCTCAAGCCGCCTTGGACGGACACTGTGTCGCGCGCGTCTTTCAAGCCTCTTGAGCAAACATGTGATAGTCTTTCGCAAGCGCGAATCTATCATGTCGCCATATCAACACATCTTCTCCACCAACGCCGTCCTCGGTGTTTGGCGCAATCTACGCGCCCACCGCGACCAGAATGATCTCCTTCTGACAGTGCAGTATCAGCCGGACGACGTACGCCCGCAGAACAGCCGAAGAAAAGAGAAGGGCCATGCGACAGAGACAAGCCATGAAGTGACCGACGGAAAGACTGTGGAAGCCCAAGGCAAGAGCATCCGCTTCGTCGTCCCATGGCGCTCCATGCAATCTCAGCGCAAAGAATTGCTCGAGAAAGAAAAAAAACTCGCTGAAGCACTTGTGGTACTTACTAGTGAAATCGCATTTACGGGTTCGTCTTGCAGTGCCACCCCCACTATACTACACATACAGGCCCATCCTAACAAATATCAGATCTATCACCAACCCTCCAAACCTCCCTCACACAAAACCCACTGGTCCAGATCCGCCACCTCGCCGCCGGTATCTCGCGCCAAATGTCCAAACTCGAAGTCCAAATGCTCGACAACGCGCCTTACTCCACGCGCAAGAATCTCTTCACCGGCGGCGAAATCGCGGGCAAGTTCTTGCCCGCCATCACCGCGCTGTTCCACCAACATCCCATCCCGCAGCGCATGATCTTCGAACTGCTCATGGAACTGAAAGACCTGGTATTCCTAGGCTGTGTAGGCTGCACAGAGGAAGACGACGAAGCAGCCCTGCAAGAAATCGACGATGCGCTCGTTCAGGCTATCACGCCTATACCCATCGCCCAAAATCCACGGCTAAAACGCAAAGATTCGAAAATAGCCCTACGCACACCACCGATTCAGTCTTTCCTAGCCCGAGATTCAGAGGAATTGCTCTTCACACTCGAATCCCTCCAGACTACCGCACACGCATTGACCCTTCTCCCCCTCCCGATTCCAGATTTCTGCGCTCACGCTATTATCTCCCTGCGCCGAATCATCCCGCGCCAAACGCTCGCAGACTTTGAGAAAACTAAATCCTCGCGCGACAAGACGTGTGCGCAGTTTGCGAGGTGTGCGAAGTGGGCGCGAACGGATGGTGGGTGTGGGCGCGGGTGCAAAGATGAAGATGAGGATCAGCGGGATATGCCGAGTTGGCATCGGTGCAGTCGGTGGTTTGAGGAGGGGAGTGGCACTTGTATGGTGGGCGGTGGACAGCCGGGGAAGAATGGGAGTGGGGATGGGGTGATGGTGGCTTGAAAGATGTGTGGGTGACGGGAAGGAAGTTTGAGAGTTTGGGGACGTGGCTTGGAAATGATACCCTAGTTTTTTATTTGCTTATATTGTATATGTAAGCGGATTATATATAATTTTTTGTGTCTTCAAGGTTTCACTCCTATTCTTCACTGCCGCTGATGGAAAGGCAACGATGCAATCTGATCAGAACCGCAATTGCAAGCTTATTTTACTTTGATTTCTCTGTTTTACACAGCCTGGTTCTAGTCCTTTATCACGGCACCCACAACCCCGCACTCCAATTCAATTATTCTCCATCTACACCCCCCAGCTGTTCCTTCACTGAAACCGATCAACAACCCCCTCATCCCCATACCGCTTCACAATCCCCTCAAACACCTCATCCAACGTCGCCTTGCCCACACTATAATACTCGACCCCCAGCTCCTCCTTCGCTCCCTCCATAACCCTTATCAACCCCGCAACATCCCACTCTCCATCGTCCCTGACCTCAAAGCGAATCTGCCCGCCCTGCGTCTCGCGACTGATCTCCGAGCGCGGGAACGTCTGCGCAATCCACGCGCGCATGGCAGCAAGTTCTTCAGGCGTGGTACGCGGTGAGGAAGCAGACACGATGTGAATGTGAAAGTTATTCGGCACGCGGGATTTCAAATCCTGCCGCGAGCCCAGCGCAAGCATGCGGCTGGATACGATGCCAATCCTGTCCGCGAGCGCGTCGGCTTCTTCCATGCTGTGCGTCGTCAGCACGACAGCGCGGTCGCGCGACATGGTCTGCAGACACTTCCACAGCGTGCGTTTGGCATTTGCGTCGAGCGCGCTGGAGGGTTCGTCGAGGACGAGGACGCGCGGGTTGCCCACGAGCGCGACGGCGAGGGAGAGTTTGCGCTTCGTGCCGCCAGACAGCGTCTGCGCGAGTTTGTTGGCGAAGTCGGCGAGGCCGCAGGCGGCGAGCACCGTGGACACGTTGTGGCTGATGTCAGCGACGCCCCGGGTTTTGGCGAAGAAGGTGAGGGTTTCGCGCACGGTGAGGACGTCGGCGGAGTCGAACTGCGGGCAGACGCCGAGACTGGCGCGCGCGGCGACGGGGTTGGTGAGGATGGAGTGGGAGGCGATTTCGATGGAGGAGATGGGGGTTGAGGGCTTGTAGACGCCTCGAATCATGGAGATGATGGTGGACTTTCCAGCGCCGTTGGGACCTAGGAGGGCGAAGATTTCGGAACGTTGGACGCCGAAGGTTACGTTGTCGACTGCGAGGTTCTTCCCGAATGACTTGGACACCGAGTCGATGCGCAGGTCAGTGTCGGGCGACGCCATGCGCTTGCGCTCGGCGAGCACATCGGCGGCCATGTCGGACTGTTCTGCGTCGGACTTGAGCTTGTGCGTGCGACGGGCAAAAGCTGGGAGCACGAAGCCAGAATCCCACCATAGTAGCAAGCCGAACAGGAAGATGGCCTGTACAATGAGGTACAGAATCGGGCCGCCGTAGAGATAGATGCTCCCAGAGGAATGTCCATTGCACGACAAAGCCATCTGCTGCAGTCCGACAAACAGTGCGCGCTCGAGACTGACGACTGGCGAGAGGAGACCCAAACCAAAGTACAAAGCATTCATCACACCCTCAAATCTGTCGTATGGAATCGAAGATTGCACCCCAATAATGCCACCAAAGTACGCAAAGTACATGATGATCTGGCACAGAGCTAAGATGAACCAAGCTGTGACGGGTGACTTGGCGAACATGGAAACGATGTAGGAGAGGAGGGCGCAAACGATGCCGTAGAGGAAGAAGATCAGGAATACGAACCCTAGATCAACCCAAATCGGCGTGGACGCTGTGAGTAACGCCGTAGCAACGACACTAATGCCGAGTACAAAGATGGTATCAAAAGAGAGATGCGACAGCCAAAGGGGAACAGGTCGGATTCCGTTAGAGTATTGCATCGAGCGAACATTGGAGATGCGCTCGTTGGTCGGGTAGAGCGCAAAGAAGAACGGGTAGCTAAAATTGCATTAGCATGTTCTGCAGACACCCAGTAACTATCAAGGTAATCTTACCAACACATAATTAGTCCGTAGTAGACAATGAATACCAATAACTTCAGGTCAATCAAGCTCGGAATCACGGTTTCGGCAAACGGATAGTACGAGGATGAGATGCCGACACCACTCTTCATGACGTTAAGCAAATTCAGCATCTGTGCTGAACTGCTCGCCTGCCGAACATTCATCAGCACCGTTGGCTTCGAGGAGCCATCACCCATCCAGATACCACCTTCGATTGGCGTATATGGCGAGCTTCCCGGGCCTCCATACAAAGGCATATTCGATGAGTTCCGCCAACTCTCATAGATCGAGTTGCGGAAGTCGTCATACGTGTTGACGATGATCATTTGATCCCGAATCTGTGAGCCGTTGTGATATCCATACGTCGAGTATGAGCTTCCATAGTTGCGTGTCTGATTGACTGCATACACCTTTGCTATGGCATCAAGCATATCGTCGTCCACTGCGTTGGCGGGCCCAAAGATGTATTTTCTTCTTTGAGATTCGGATTGAGTGTAGGAAGTATACGATAGGTTGTAGGTATAGAATTGCGAACCGAAGTCGTTGCGATACGAATAGTCGAATACGAGGTCTGCGGAGACTGGGCAATCTATGGGTTTCCTGACAGATTTAATGAGTAGCGGAGCAACCCCGGCACCTACTATTGCGAAAGCAACGGCGACGAAGTAGGGAATCCACCGGCGCTTGAGTATACGGAAGCGCTTGCACAACAGGATGTACCATTGCTTGTAGACAGATATGGGTTTGCCTTCGGTCAGCTCGTAGTCATTATCAGTAACGTTGACGACGATATGAGCATCTTGCGTCTTTGGTGACGACTTCTTCTCAATAGAGTCATCTTCAGATGAATGAATTTTCTCACCAGTCACCTTGATGAAGAGTTCTTCCATGGTGGGACCTGACAGTTGATAGTCGTGAAGATCGTGTTTCTCCAGCTCTTCTACGAGTTCGGCTGCAAGGGTGGCTGTTGCGACACGAAAGACTGTCTGATGACGCGCTTGCTCACGATGTATGTCTCCGGAAATTTGAGGCTCGCCTTCAGTGTGGTACGGGAGCTTGACTGTGTATCCATCGCCGTGTTGGTGCTTGAGGGTGGCCGAAGTACCGCACGCACGCATAGATCCTTTGAACATGATGGCAATATCGTCCGCCAAAAAGTCAGCTTCGTCAAGGTAGTGGGTGGTCAGGATGATGGTCCGTCGGCCGCGCTCTGCAAGCAAAATCTCCCAGATACGTCGACGTGAAATGGGATCGAGGCCGGTAGACACTTCGTCCACACAGCAAACAGCACTGCCGCCAGCAAACATGATGGCCAATTGGAGCTTTCGCTTCTGACCACCAGACAAGGTCTTGGCCTTCTTCTTGAGCTTCTTCTGCAGATCGACGCCCTGAGCTAGCTCTTTGACAACTTCTTCGTTCACACGCGAAAGACATTTCAGATCACTGAAGATTCTAATGTGCTCTTCAACTGTGAGTTCCGGCCAAATGACGTTGTGTTGTGGTGCGTATCCGAGACCACCGGTGGGATCGATGTTGATGCTACCCGAGGTGACTTTCTGGTCGCCAGCAATGCAATTCAGCGTTGTACTCTTGCCGCTGCCATTCGGACCCAGTAGGCAGAGAATTTGACCTGCGTAGGCTTGAAGATCAATTCCTTTTACGGCGTGCACTTCTGGGCGACGCTTGAAGATCCGAGAAAAGAAGCCAGGATAGTAGCTACAAACATGTCAGTGAGTTGCATACAGTCTCGCGGTCATACCGCTGTTGGAGTATTTACGCACGTCTTTGCGAAACCGTTCAATGTGACAGTTGGATCGCCAACTTTCGCAGGCTTCTCAAATGTCCTGTGCTTAGTCGCAGTTGAGTGAAGGAAGTGCTCCACTGCGAATGCCATTGGAGGGAATACTAAGATGTGAATGATGGCCATGATCCAGTGAAAGTATAGAGGCATGCGGTATTGCTCGTTTGCGCTAACATAGGAGCTGTCATATGACATGCCGGTCATAGAAGCTTGCTTGTTCTGCAGCTCGAAATTCGCGTGGCCGGTAACATAGTACGTAAAGTTTGCACTCGGGAATATGATACTAAGCACGACACACGTGATCTTGGTCTGCTCAAACAGAACGACAGGTAGGATAGCACCAACTATCGCGATGATGGTCATGATGGAGCCACTTAATTGCGCCTTCTTGAAAAATGAGGCGCCGAACAGGGAGAATGAGTTAATGGCAAATCCGGCGAAAATGACAAATCCCACGGGCCAGTTCTTGGACGTTTTTGGGAAGCACACGAGGGAGATGACGAGTCCAATCGATAGCCAGCTGGGGAAGCAGACAACTGCGAAGGAGATCCATGTCGATATGAGTCGAACGACGCGGCCGCGTACGTTGGAACCACCGGAGATCATAGTATCTATGAGTCCGGACATGCCGAGTTCTCGTTCGCGGGCCACGAATGACGTGAGGTGGTTGACGAGTTCGATGAGAGCAAAGGCGAAGATTGGCCCGAAGGCGTACAGGCACAATGTCAGGTAATTCGATGTCCTAGAGCTGTCCAAGGCTGATTGATCTTGCTCGGTGTACAGAATGACGTCCACTTCATTTGGAATCTTCTTTGCAGCATCTGGATCCGTGTTCGCGATGAGCTCACGCTCAAGAGCAAGCTGTAGAGGCATCAGGGCAACCTCGGCTCCATTCTCGTTGCTCTTGACGTTCACAGATCGGCCGTCTTGACCGCGGATAGTCTTTGTCAAAAGTTAGTGACGTGTCAAGCATAATATGCATCGCGCCAACTTACATAGTTCCATACTCCTTGGCTAGACTCGTTGGTGCCCTGGCTTGGGCTCGAGTAGAACACGACGGCCCCGTAACAATTTGACGAACCCTTATCGTTGGTCCTACAGTCTTGCGCGAGGTCCCAACTCGTACGGTATTGTTTGGCGGTCCTGCCCGCATCGCGGACCTGGGTGGAGAGCGAGTCGATGACGGCGCCTACGTCTCCGCCAGTCATGCCATTGTCGATGAAGCCAACAATATCGCGACCCTCGGTAGCTGCCAGACCTTGAGCAAGTGTTCGAATCTTCACTGTATTAGCCTTGCCGCCATCTTGCGATTGCAACATACATTATGCGCACTGCTAACGCCCCAGGTTTGCGGCCCCGCAAAGAAGTTCTTGCTGTACGCCAGTAAGAGGACAATGACGAGCGGCAGCGCAAATGCGCGGATAAAGGTCGAAATCGGTCGGCGCACACAGATCAGCAGCAGATTCTTGCGGACCAAGGCCCAGATCTGCCTGAGTAGCAGTTTCATGATGATGAGCGGCAAAGTAAGAGGTGTCGCGCGCCTCACGACGACGAAGGGTGGAAAGCAATGTGAGGTAGACAAAAAGTAATACAAACACGCAAAAGATTAATGTGAATTCAATCGCACACCGTCTATGACATTAGCGTAACGCAACCTCAAACGGAACCGCAGCAGAGCAGATATATGTCTATATCAATCTCCAACTCGGTGCCAGGCACACAGCACCACAAAGTGCCCGGATCTATGCACAAGCTCTCGTATCCAGATAAGCGTCCGAGCACAGAGTTAGGCGGTTCAGGCCACCCAGGCCTAATTGGGTACGACAACATCGTGGACCCTGAACGTAGGGCGAAATTGCAGAGGACGAGGCTGTGAAGCTGCGCCTGTGCCGCTAGTGCGTGAGGGTACGACTGATCATCGCAGAGGGAGGACCCGGCTTCGACTCGTTATGACAGGAAAGGAAATGACATCGCGCTATGCACGTTGGTGTCGCGTTTGATGTGACGTGATGAAGTGAACGTGTGGTGAAGCGAAAGACAAATGGGACGTGAGGTGCGCTTGCCCCTTTCCATTCTTGTATCGAGCCTCGCGAAGGTTGTCCACCACAACATATGCGACGATTCAGCCTCGTTCACATGTCTGAAAATAAGCACATCGTATCCACAGAGTCGCTACGCCATCTGCATAACCCCATCGGGATCCTACAAGTTTCAGAAGCCAGCGTATCAGGCGGTGTCCTCAGCGAGCCAGTAGAATCGTTCGCTGGCCGAGATGACCGTCCCGCTACGGGACCCGCGTACAGACCACGCGTATATTCCACCAATCGTGCAACGTGGAATAAACTGCGATAGAAGGCGCAGCGAATATCAAGTTTGATATTATTGCTGCGTGGATGATCGCTGGTGGCCGTTCATCGATTGTTGTGGCTGATTTACACAGGTCTGCCGTCAAGATAACTCAATGTACCGAAGAAATATTGTATGTACGTAGATCAATGCAAGCGTCACTCGCGCTATCACAATATGCCTTCGTGTCTGACCGTGATACCTATCGTGGCAATAGCCAAAAGCGCAAGGCAGATTCGAGGCAGACTAATCCGGACCCATAACCTCCAAACCCCTGCAGACACCGACCCAGCCATCCCTCATGCCATCCCATATCTTCGTCATCTTATCTTCTTCTAGAGCATCTCTCTTCCTTTCTTTGCGTTCTTCAGCGTCGCCGGTGCCATTCGCCATCATCTGGCTATTCCTGTCCTTGCTCTTCTTGTTGTCGAGGAGGGATGTCGACGTCTTCAGTCCTTTGCCGTCCAACTCGCCTTTGACTTGCCAGCCGCGGCGGACGGGGCCGTGGGCGGTCGCTGGCGATATCAAAGTAGAGTCGAGGAGTGAGTTCCAGCGCGATAAGTACATGCCAGGGCCATGGGTTGTACCACGGCTGGGAGGTTTGGATTGTGATGTTGATGGCTGCATTATCGATTGTAGCCGGGACAAAGACGTGTCTTTGAGTTGGCTGAGATGGTTCTCGTGGTCATCCAGTAGCTTCTTCAACTCTTCTTGCTTCTCGTTGGGAAGGCTGGAGAACATGGCGTGTAGCGGGGCGCTCATGTTGCCGGCACCACCTTCGCCTCTCTCTTCCGCAGCTTTTGCATGATCGTCGACTTTGAACTCGGAGAACATCCGTTTTGCGTAGACGAGGTAGTCGTTTGCAAGATCCGGGGCATTCTTGCAGACCTGATGGGCAAACTTGTGCACGGACGGCGCATGCTTTCGTAACAGCTGAACATAGTCTTCCACTGTGGGTACTTCACTGGCCTCTTGATCTGCGATACTAGCAGGCGCAGAAGGCGCGGGAGAGCTTTCTCGTGATGCTTGACGGCTCCTGCCGCCCTTCCTCTTGGGCTTTGACGTCTTGATAAGGTCCGTGAGAAAGTTTTCGGTGTCTTGAATAGTCCCAGATAGATCCACTGCGTTGTGTATTGCACGAATTACAGGGTCCATGGCTGTCACGATTTCGCGAACCATGGCAGTCATAGTGTCCGGCTGGAGTTTGCAAGAGACTTTAGTGAGTTCTTCGCGGTCCCGTATTGACAAGTACGTGCTGAAGTACTCCATGGCGACACTGTGCTGATTCTCACTCAGTGACTCAACGTCTACCGCCGGGTCTGCGCTCTCAAGAATGACTGCGACAATCGACTTCGACTCTTGTATCGACTTGTTACGCACAGCTTCGTGCTTGTCCCTCGATGCGTACACATAGTTCTTGATCGCCTTGAAGACCTTCTTTTCGGGCGCATCACGTGCAGACTCCAGCTTTGCCGCGCGCTTCGAGAACTCCGCAGTGTCCCACGCCAAAACAGTAGAAATGATCTGCTGTAGCAAATTCATGCCGTCGTTCGAATTGTTTGTCAGGCCTATCCAATTCGTCATGGCCGTGACTGAGAGCTTTGCCAGAACAAGCCTGACCATTCCGTTGATCATGGTTGCCGCATTTCCCACACGCAACGTCTGCTTGATAACCATATATGGAATGAGCTTGTGGGCGTTTTCGAGCACGCGAACGAGGTATTGGCCATCCGGGGAAATGACGAAGACGTGGTGGAGAAAAGATGCGGCACTGAGGCTGGTTAGCTAGGGCTAGTAATGGGAGGTAAGCTGCTCACTTTAACAGCATATACTCATGCCCAGCCTGCACCACGCCTGAGTGTTCTTCCAGCTTTCCAGTCTCCTTGACCTTCTCGAACATGTCTTCCAGCAGATTACCGTATATCAAGCCGTGCATCAAATCATCGAATCCGCGCTGAACATCTTCGGGCTTGTTGGTGTCGTAGTCCTTTTTGGAGCCATCCTGCCCTTTCGTGACTGGGTATCCCCCCAGCATGCCTCGCGCAATGTACTCCGCTATACTGCTTGCAGCTGTCGCGAGAGCCTTTCGTGACCCAATGGCGCCTTTGTCATAACTCTCGCTGAGCTCGGCTTCGGCGAGTTTTGCCACTAGCACACCAACTTTGTCCTGCCAGAATTCCTGACTTAGACTTTTAAGCGCAGGATTGGTCAGGGCAAATTTATTGATCATGTTCTGCAGTAACGGGCTGGTTGACTGTGTGCCCTCAGGCTTCTTGAACGGATATCCATACTGGTTTATGGTGGAGGGGTATTTGAACGCTTCGATTTCCGAGTACAGCTGGTGGTGGATCAGGATGTCGAATAGAGCGTGCGTTTGCGCCGCCGTGAGCGGGGTCGAAGTGGAAGACATGGTGTTAGGAGATGTTGCATGCTGAAGAGAGACATGGCCGCCTTCGTGTACGCGTGGAGAGCGATGAGGGACGACGCGGAAGCCGATGACGTTGGCGCGCACGGGCCTTCCGTCTAGGCGCAGCAGGACTTTATCTTATCCGTTTGCCATTGAACATCGTTACTCTCGTTGCACGTGAACATCTCATATACACCCTAATCATCTTGTTTGAACCGGTTTTTCTTTGCGTGAAATCCATTCTCTTCTTGTTACTGTGACTGCTGTTCCTATAAATCCAAGTCACTCGCCCTCTTGAGCAAAATCTTCCCCAATCCGGAATGACCATCGGCTGTGCCTCGGGCGCCCACAAGTCCAATTTCGAGCCATGCTGCAGGCTGTGATGGCAATGTAACCGGAAGGATGTTTTCTGTCCACACCAACTGCTTGAGCGCAAGGTTGGCCGTATCTGCCAGCATGTCCTCGACCTGCTTCATCTGCCGCCTTGCGCGACCTTGTGCTTGCCTTCAAGATTGTTAGCAGGGTCCTGAGCGAATCCAGGGTGATATAAAGAGCTCTTGCGTAGTGCAAGGAGAATACAGTTGCCAAGTGAAACCGATAGGGCTTCTTCAAGACTTACCCAACAGGTTTCGAAATTGTGGCCGCTCTCCTCTGTATCCCTCCCTTCACCCGGTCCTCGTACGACTTGGCCGGCTCTACTTCGTACTCGAGCATGAATAGCTCGATCTTGGCTACGCATGTAAATGTGAAGATGTTGTTCGCCAACGTTTCGGCATATCTGGACGGACGACGCGCTTGCTCGCGCGCCAGGGTGCCACGAATCTGTTCAACATCGAGTGGTCGCTCCCGCATACCCTGGATGATTGCAATTTCGAGTTTATAAGTAGCTTGCGACATGCCGCTATACGCGAACAGCTCAGCCAGGCAAATGTACGACGCAAAATCGTCGCTGACCTTCCATGGCACGTCGCGAACCCTGGGACTGAGCAAATACTGCTCCATGTACAAGACCGCGAGCTTGACCGTTAAGGCGTTGGTAAATCCATCTGGTAGACACACCGCGAAGGAACCCTGTATCGGCGACAGGAAGCGACCAATATCCGGACACGACGCGAAAAGTAAGGGTCGAGAAGTGCGCTTGTAAACTCGGATATCGCCAAGGTAGATGTCGATATATGGACCTTGTCCGACGATTGAGCGGCGCTCGTGATGCGCCAAGTTCAATAGCTGATGGAGAACGACCTCGCCTGTTTGGATGCCGAAGCGCAGAGCGTCCATGCCGAATGCACATCGTGCGCGACAGCTGGCTTCGAGTGCAATTCTCTGATGCAGCTGCTAAGGTGCCATACTTTTGTGAATCTCTGTGGACGTTATGACCCTATTGTTGTTGGAAAGACAGCTGCCCTTCAATATTCAAAAGTGTGGTTGGTGGAAGCTCCTGTGGCAGGTTAAAGTATCTTTTTGAAACAAGGGCCTTCACGGTGAGGTGAACACGCTCCTTACAACAATCTATCTCGCTCAGAACATGAAAAAAGCAATTGCTTTGCATTGTATCCACCACGAGACTATTCATACGGAATTCACGCTCCCAAGGCTAGCGACGAAGTCCTCCAAACCACTTCTTCGGCACACCATTCTGCTCACTCTCGCCAATCTCTGGCATATCTACTATCTCAAAATCATCCGAATCAAACGACGCAATTAAATCTGTGGACTTAGTGGCTTCCTCAGTAGACTTCTTCGGATTCTTGGCAATGTTCAAAGCGCGTCGCGTCAGGACTACTACGTCTTGTGCAGAAGAGAGTGTCACTGGCGGCTTGACTATGATGTTTTGGAAGACATCGATCTCGGCCGTTGCTTCTGCCAGCTGATTGATCTTAGACTTCTGGTGCGGGCCGCGATTTACAATAGGCGGAGCTTTTGCTGGAGTGCTGACGCCAGGACGCTTACTCTGAACAGCCTCCATCTCGGGCACAACTGGCTTTGGTGACTTTGCAATCGCATGCAACGGCTTCGACCAGTCCGATCCAGACGACAAGTCCATGCGGGGAATGAAACGGGCCGACGAGGTCTTCTTGACATTCTCTCTTTCCTCTTTCGCTGGCTCGTCTGATCTGAACACCATGCATCCTAAGTCTTCTCCTAACTGGGCAAATACCCTGTCCTGGTCGTCCTCGCGTAGCTTGCGTACATGGTTGAGAATCGGCGAAGTAGGATAAGCGCCAGACTTCGACTTGTCGACGAGTGGTGACGATGGCGAATTTCCCAGGTGTGAAGTGAATAAAAACCCTGTTTCAGGCGTCTCTGCTGGCGCCTGAGGCGTAATTTTCTGCTCGTGGATCTTGGAGTACAGCACCTTCTCCGTGCTGGGCTCTGGCTTCCTAACCGATCCCTGATGTCCTTCAGCAATGGGTCTACTGTCTCCTCGGCGGATACGACTCCTCACCTCCTGTTCAAAGCCCTCCGTCCATGGGTTGCTAGACTTTCGTGTATCGTTTTGGCTGATCGGCAGAACTACTCTCGCTTCAGCGTCGGCCATTACGAAACTCGGCTTCGTACTCCTAAACGTACTGGACGCTTCATCGCAAGCTGGCGCTGAATAGGCTTGACCGGATCGAGTCTGGCTCTGCGGTGTACGCTGGACAGTCGCAGTGCCAATGTTCCGCGCCGGCGGAGCAGTTGCGGGCGGCTGCGGGTTTCCAGCCCTACGGCGGTTACGGTTGTTGTTGTTCTGAGGCATGTGGATACTATCTTCAAAGCTGGTATTTAGTGGGCGGTCGAAGTCGGTATTCGTAGTTTTGGGAAAGTGCATGTGTGTAGGCATGGGTCGGATTTTGTAGGCGGGAGCATGGTTTGTTTGTTGGATATGTCAGCGTTAGCAAGGTGAAGTGCTGAGGTAACATGGTGCCGTGATGATGAGTTGTCAAGAGATACGGACTAGTGAAGAAAGTTGTGAAGAGCTCGATGAAGTAATTACTTAAAAGTCACCCCGGGCAGCTTACAAAGACGTAACTGAAGCTTGCGCAGAACTACATCTTTTCAACTACTTTACGCACACACCCTCCCCACTTCAACATTAAATTCACGCGCCGTCTCTACATCACTAATCATCGCTCCACCCCACAAACCCCATCAGTGTCTAAACCCCCTATACCATCTCCTCACAGTCCCATTATGCATCTCCAGCCCCTCCCCCCTCTTGAGAAGCTCATACTCTCCATCCATCTCCTCCTCATCCTCCTCCAGCACCATCTCAGGAATTTCTTCATCATCACCATCATTAGTCTCGAACTCACTTTGCCGTTTCTTCGCAACTGACTTGGTCTTCTTCTCGCGCAGCAGAGGCGTAATATCGCAAAACACTTCTTCAGCGTTGGGATCGACGTCGCCAGGCTGTCGTATGCGCGAGCGACGAGCCCGGCGCGCGCGATCTGTGGCGTTTATGCAGGGCGAGACGGGGATGGAGGGCGTGAGGATTTGCGTGCTGTAGTAGCGATGTGCGCGTTGTTGGCGCTGTGAGCTTTCGTCTTCAGGATTCTGTCGAGTGGGTTCTTCAACACCGTAGGTCATAAGTGGATCCATTCTATCGTCTTCGAAGTCGAATCTAGGTAGGGCGTACTGGTGGCGGTTTCTGCGTTGCGTGGTTGCATGGGTGTTGTGTCTTGCTGGGTTGGGAGGAAATTCTTTGAAGGGATTTGTGGTAGGTCTGCGAGGGTCGGTCATTTGTGCTTGTGCTTGTTGTTTGTTGGTGCTTGGTGATGGGGTTCGACGGATGCTGTTTAGAGGTTGGGATTATAAAGATGGAGGCACTGTGAAGTCTGAATGTGTTCTGGGGACTTTGCGGCTTAGATGGAAAGGTTAAGGCGAGCTTTTGATGTGACACTTGTGAGGTGGCATGTGAGCGATGTTGGCGGGCTGATTTCGACGTTGCATCGTCGAAGCTGCTGTTAATGTGCTGGCTGGGTGACACTTTTTGTAGCAATTTGCCCTGGATGTACAGATCACAGTCGTCACAAACTTTTGCTTGAACTTTACAACATCGCTTCACTGGCTGTGAAGATCCTTGACAGCTTACACTGATCCTTGTTAGCTAATCAGACTGGAACATGCCCTGGAGCTCGCGCCCATTTATTCATTCTTGGACAGTACCACCCTAGTCGAAGCGGCCTTCGTCTAGTTGGTAGAGTTTCTTGTCAAATCATCCTCATATCCGTTTGTCCTGATACCTACCTAGGTACGGCCAACTGGATGGTTATACACCTATTGCATGCCATTCGTGGACAGCAAACCGATATCGAAAGGGTATCCACAATTTTGTCGCGTGCATCATGTCGGGCACGCTTGGCAACGGGACGTGGTGAAGGTAGCTAACTTAGTCAGACAGAGCTGACTAAGATGTTATGACTGATTCGTGCTTGGCTTTATGTAGAACACCTCCTGAACCTCCCTGAGCTTTTCGTCCACACTTTCATCGCCGCATTACCAAATTCATCAAGATGACATCGCCTCATGCTTATGCCATCTGATTCGGTCTATACATTCCCTCGTGGCATCATTATGTCCTACTCCTGGCGCCGCCAGCGCCATTTCTCTTCCGTGTGTAAGGCTGCGTGGCATCCGAAAAGAGAAGTACGAAACTCAACGAGAAGATCTACCCAGGCGTCGAATCCAGAGCGCCATCATTAAGCTGGTTATAATTCCTCAAAATCTAGCACGTGGTGCCCTCACTCCTCTGAACTCTTAGATGCGTGCGGGCAGAATTCGAAGGATGCCTACTTTGCGACCCTTCTTCGGCACGTCGGAGTTCTCGAGGATCGCATCCTGCTCTAACACGACAACACCTGGTGGTTTCGATGGCAAGGTCCTGCCTGGTCCCCTTGCTGGATATCCATTAAACACCCTCTGCGAATCTTGGCTGTCCCGTGCAGGCCCGCACCACTCGGTGCTAAAGCTTGGTCTGTGCTGCTCGTTGAGCGCCGCGTCTCGAACAAGGGCATCTAGATCTGGGTGACTGTTCAAAAGTTCTAGCATCTCCTTCGGCTTGCGGAACTCCTTGGAAGCACCGGTCTGCTCATATGCGCGTAGTCGTTCTCCCACGACCTTGATGGCAGCGTATGTGTATCGATTGTATCGACCAAGGCAGTTCCAGAGCTGTTCGAGTTCGTCCGCATATATTGGCCGGACGAAATGACCCTGGGAGATGGCCTGATCGACACGCAAAGCGTCCTTGTGGAGACCGAACAGCGTCAAAGTTTGAGCGAGAGTGGATGCAGCGAAAAGGCTGTGTGGGACGTTAAACTGTCTGATCATGCTCAGATTGTAAAATCGGCATGCGCGCATAAGCCAAGCTAGCAATATCCTCATCGCTGCTATGCTGGAGATACCTCTCGGGATGAACATCTTCTGGATTTTCTGGAAGCCATCAAAACGATCGTTCTTCCTAATGCCAACAGTCCCGATGAACTTGGTCACCACGTTTCGGCCGAGGAGAAGAACGAGCACCTTTTTCGGGACATCGTGGGCAAGGACTGTTTTCGTATCCTCTTCGATAATATCTACGGCTGCACCACTCAGAGCATTCAGTCTTCGCTCAGGATGGATCCAGGGTAGAAGGCTGTGGAGAGTATGCAAGTGGCGAATATCTTCCGGATTAGGATATGGATGATATTGTCCAGCCTGCGCCACGAGACCGTCAGAGTCCTCAATACCGGCATGGAGAGACAGCTTGTCGGGCTGCATATCGTATGAGTCATTGCGTTCATCTTCGGTTTCGTGGCGTACGCCTCCTGCGGACTGGTTGCCGTAAGTTGCCAGCTGGTCTCGCCCATCCGCATCCAATCCAGATCTCAGAGGGTCGTACGTCCTTGGGATAGCAGAAGCGGGGTATTTGGCATCTCTTCGAGCCAGATAGGCTCCAACTACGTCCCCTCGTTGCAGATAGTGCTCAGGGTCGAAACTCCCCGCACCCTGCTGCATGAGCGGATCATAAGCGGTAGTCGATTGCAGGTTTCCCTGCTCGTCGTAGTGATAGTATACCGCCATACTGTCTTTTGGCAGTGGTGGCGGACTTCGATGAGCTACAGTGATTGTCGGACATGTGGAGTGTGTTGAAGCGCAAGTGATTGTGCTGCTGCAAGCGGTGCGCGAGTTTGTTGTAACGCTTGCGCTTGACGAAATCGAGTTGCTTCGTGCGACGTCATGAATATGCTTGGAGTGATACGGCTGAGAGACCGCTACCCCATCGCCAGAATCAAAGAATGGATCCATCGCCCTGGGAAACGAGAGGGCGGTGGTGGTATAAATTGGGATTTCTGTGCCGCGGCGATGGTGTAGGAGTGATGGAGCAAAACCAAGATCGAAGACGCTATATCGCTCCTGCTGCTTGTAGCCGCTCACAGGCTTGGCAGTTGCCAGGTAGTCGGCTACAGTTGCCCGGTGAAAGTGAACGATGAGCCACCAAGTCACGTGAAGATACTTCTGCAAAGTTCTTCTTCACGCTTTTGTCCGATGAAGGGATTATTGTCCAAGTCTGCAGCCCTAGCTTTGTTCGCATGCTTCTCGCGATTTCGATGCCCATGAGGGTACTCCTTTGGTCAAATCAATAAAGCCATCTATGTTTAAATAGATGTAAAGGTTGAAAAAAGACGACGTAGCTCGCATCGATTCAGAGCGCAAGGTCATTTCATTTCGTGCTAAAACCTAAACTCAGTCGCAGCGGTCAGTGTGTCACGCTGAACGATAAGGATCACCAAGCCTTTGTTTCCAATGATGTGTGTGGAACTACTTTTTGATTCTTTCACTTTCTGATCGTGCCCAAATTCAGCCCAGCTATACAGAGTTGTACACTGCGATCCAGTCCGCGTACAGCGGAACCCCGGGCTTAGTTGCCGGGATTGGCGTACTGCTGTTTCGGTTGCCGTTTGGAAAGGCACCACCCATGGCGACATTCAGCAAAAGAAAGTGTCCATGATGTACAGCTTGCTCCCAGGTTTTGTTGCCAATGTCGTTCTCAGTGACGGTGTGGTAGCAAATGTCGTCGACGCTCCAGGAGAGCTTCTCCGGTTTGCAGCTGCGATCGACTTCGATTGTGTAGATATGATAATTACCCTGACATGGTGATCCGGGGCACCTCTTTGTCGCGGGGAGACCTGTGAACTCTTTGCAAGGGCCGCCGGGTGCTGTACCGCAGTGAAGCACGCCCCAAACTTGGTTGACCCCGTTGACATTCTAGGGAAGCGCAGCAGTTCAGCATGTGTATTGCTCTCGATCGGCACAAATGCGACCTACCTCCATGATATCGTACTCGCCAATCATTGGCCAGTTTTGGTAATTGCCACGATAGGTATCACCAAGGCTCCAAAAGGCAGGCCAGTAGCCGGCTGCGGCTTCGCCAGTGACGTCTGGCATCTGGATGCGAGCCGATATACGCATCTTGCCGCCAGCCTTGGCTTGGAAGTCTGTGCGCTGAGTCTCGATACGAGCCTGATAATGAAGTTGGCACATGAACATGTCGCTCAGACAGATGCTACTTAGTGTAGTACTTACTGAGGTCCACGAATTGTTCCCATGCCGGAGCGGCGTGATTCGAAGGCTGCCATCACCCGTCAGATTGAGGTTTGCGGGACTGTCTGTATAGGTCTGGATTTCCTGCGTGCCCCAGTTTGCTGGACCACCAGGATATGAAGTACCAGTATCGATAATCCAGTTCTCTGAGCTGGGCAAGCAATCAACACCTCCGTCGAAGTCATCAGCCCAAGTGAGCGAGAACCCTGGGATTTTCGGGACAGCTGCCTGACTGAGAATGCAACCTGCGGCAACGACCGCGATGGTCTTTAAAAGCATCTTCAATACTTAGTGAGTGATTTGCTATAAAGAGAGTGTGATAAATTTGGTAAGTGAGTGGTTCCAACAGGCAAAGCGGGACCCGGGATGATGCCTGTATCCAAGGGATAAAAATGACTAGGGAAAAACGAGTGTAAGTGCGAAGAGTCGGGGTGGTCAAGACCTGTGATCTGTCGCTGGCATCAAACGCTCATGATCTGCGCTGCAAGGCTGCGTAAAATGAAGGAAACTGGAGCAAGTGATCTTCGCGACTGAAGTGAATTTATGATGGTTGCCGCTGTCAGATCTCCCCTATTGAAGGCCCGAAGATAAACTTTCGGATCTGACATGGAGGGATCACCGATTTTCTTCGTTAGCTTACTCATTACGGAGGCCATTGCCGCCTAGGTTTATAGGCTTGTTTGGTACGTGGGTCTACCATGTGCGCTTCCCACGCCTGGCATTGGTGGACTTCGGGTAGTGGTGTGGGGTGCGAGGAGACTAGTGGCCATACAATAACATTGTCGAGTACCCGGAACACAAACAAAGGTGCCACAGCTCTTCGAGTTGTCTGTATCCTAATCAGTGGAAGGTCAGTACTGTTTAGAGCCGCGTTGGTCAGTTCAACACAACGAGGGAGGGGCTCAGAGAGACCGACGTAAATTAAATTTCTTACTTAGTTGAGGTTGGCTAACGGACTGAACGAAACGTGCTCGTAGTGCTGGTGATGTACCAGGTGCGGCGCTCTTTATCGTTTTGCCTGTTCATACTGCGCTTCATAAAATAGAGCTGAGCATAGGAGCGCTAGAAGCAGAAAAGGCGCCTCGCCCTGCGATTCTTCAGCTTTACGCGCTGGGGCGGCTGGTAGTTCTGAAGGTCAGTAACGAACCTGTCACTCATGTAGCCAACTAAATGATCTTTGGGGCGGCGTGAAGGTTCAACACCTGACACCGGTCTTGTTGGACCCTGTGCACCAATATCATCCAGATTGTCATAGTGAGTCGGGGCGTCTGTCCTACGACCTGGAAGAGCATTGAGAGCCTTGAATCGATCCTCACGTCGTGGTGCAGCCCGCCGGCTGTCTTCACCTAAGTCAGGCGAGGTGATAGTAGGCTGAGAGGCGAGTGCGACACTGCGGTTTTCTGGTCTACCTGGATGCAGCCCGCTGCTAGAAATATCTGGATCGCCAAGATTGTCCATCATTGTAGAGATTGTTACCAATGAACTCGAGGCATTCGTGTTAGAAGAGTTTTCGAGGGAGATACTACCAGCACTCGTGACTTGAGGACGACGACGCGGAGGTGTTCGTGGTCTGAGGCCGCTCTCTTCAGTGTCGAGGTTTGAGACAATGGCGCGCTGACGACGTCCTTCCACTTCTTCCGGAGTTTCAAACCTATATGATACTTGTGACAGCTCTGGTACAGCCTTGCTATTATTATCAGCGGAAGCATCAGCGAGGGTAGAGTGGTCAGAGTAATGCCCGTGCTCGCTGCCATTCGTAGTAGCTGGCATCTTTGATCGATGGTGGATTTGCGTGCCTGTAGGGTTGGTTTCGGACAGCCTGACTTCACTATAGAAGGATGATGAACATGAGGAGTGCGAAGGAGCAGAGCTTAGGGATGGCATGCCTTTGCTAGAGCGAGACCTCTGGTCGCATGTGCTAGCGAATTGAACTAGCGAACGAGTGCGTCGCGCTGTCCTGACGTCGAAGCGATCAATTGGTTGAAAACAGAAGTCTGTTTGCGTTGTTGTGAGTTTTGGGAGTTAGATCGCTGGTTCAGATTGGTGGATATCGGTCGGCTGTGAAGTAGTTTTTGAAGTGGCTCGGTTTAGATACTACCGGCGAGCATCCGGGGTTATTAAATGCGCTGGGTACCTGTCGCGGTGAGGTTGCTAACGTTTTGTAGGACATTGTGACGGCCAGGCACCTGCATTCGGATCTCTTGCCTGGTGTGAGTGAACTCCCCATTGCTCAGGTGACAATAGGTCCGGCTGCGGGTGAAAGAAAGCATTGCCTCTCCAGACACTTTATAAGCTTCGCTGATGCGCACATACTGAAGGTTGCGAAACTCAAGTGGCCGTGACTAGAACTGGATACTTGCCACAGTATACTTTGCCACGTCTTGAGATAATGATAGTGTAGTTGTTACATTGCGGCTTGCAGCAAGCGTGGCATCCACCTAAAACATTACACAATTGCCTGGTACCACCACTTACGTCGAGTCCTCGAGCTACAAGCAATCTGTATGTTCTGAAGAAAACGCCATATCGCCTCGCCAAGACAAGGATGTAAACGCGATTTCACAATGAATCGACATTGTCAAAATCCTATCAAAGGAATCTCGTTATACTATTCAGTCACGGTGCCAGAATTCCAAGTGCTAGCTTACGACGCATATGAAGCCTACTCAGCATGAGCACCATTACAAGCTTGGTCATGAGCAACGGACATGGTCATGAAAGGGGTGTTACGCAGCACGGGTGCATTCAAAGAGTCTGGCTTCATGGCAACACATCAAAAACTGGCAATCGCAACATGCATACATATTGATACTATGGAGAAACAGCAAGATGTTGGGTACACAACAGACTTCTGAGCCCCGTTCCCTTGGACCTATACCTGTTTGTCTGGCACCACGTTCATCCTGCGGCCCACAACACCCTTCCACCAACCCTTCAGGCCTTTTTTCTTGGCGTTGTGGGCTTGAGGAACTCCATCCATATTGGGCGCAGAGTTTGTTAACTCGATCATTTTGTCGTCGAGCGCCAGATTGTCCATACCGTTGGCCCGCGGGTTTGCAATCAACTCTTCACGTTGTGTAACGCTATGAGTGGTGACATTCTGAGCGTTGGTCAGCGTGTCGTCCGCATTGCTGTGTGTATAATCACCGCTCACCTGCAGTCGCGGGGGACCATGCCGTGGCCTGGCTGCATTTAAGAACTTACCAAACTTTGTTGATGCGGCAGGTGACTTCGACTCATCGACCTGATCTGGAGTAGCGCATCGACTAGGCTCACTCTTTGTGAGCGGAAATGATAGTGCGACAGCTGCGTCTACGTCTTCTTTCAGCTCCGCTAGATTGCGAGCGGTCATGGAATCAACATGGCTAGCAGCCGTGGTGCGGTCGATGTCGTCGCTAAACCGCCAGCCGATGTTCCGTGGCACATCACTCAGACGATCGAGGGCATACCGCTCGTTTGTCTGGTCGGGTAGCTCATGATGTGGCTCCTCATCCATGAAAATCCCACTGTCGTCAACGCTCTCATTCAGCTCTTCCTCTTCGCGCTCATCTACCGGTGGTAGTATACAAATCGACGGGAGCGAGGCCGTCCATAGCTTCTGCAGATCATCATATGCTGCACATAAAAAGATGATTTTGTCTCCACCAACGCTCCATGAAAGCCTCCGATGCTGAGAGTCGAATTTGACGCCCTCATTTCCAAGCACACGCTTGAGTGTCCGCATATCAGACCACATACTGGGGTCATCGTCGGGGAATGGAAAGTCTGGACGACGGAAGAATGAAGCCCATTGCTCGTCGTAGATCGGTCCAAGTCGGAGCAACTGCTCAGACTCCTTGAGAGATGGCGGACCACCATAGGTAATAAGCTCCCCAGGTTCGGAGAACGTACATCCTAACTCCTGAAGACGGCCACGCGTATAGAGCAGTTCGCTGAGATCTTGAAGCGTCGCCATTTGTTCCTCGGTGCCATAAAGCTGCAGTTCTGCTCGCTGCTCCTCGTCAGAATTGGGCCCAAAGTTTCCATCTTCAAAGTCTTCGTCTCCAGGACCAACCTTTCTACCAATCTGGTCCATCATTGTGCCGCGGGGGTTCGTCTCTGAGCGCATTTCAACCGAATCTATTCGTACCGTGCTGTTCACAGAAGAAGAGTCTTCGGCGTTGCCTTCTTGCATAAGGGGCACATTATCGTGTAAGTAGGGACTCACCCGTCCTCGGTTGAACATCCACATACCAAGATTCATGGTAACCAGATGAATTATCCAACGACTCTGTTTTTGTTCAGTTGTGTTGGGTCGTTGTTGGGAGAGTGAGAGCTTTGGAATGAGTTCCGTGCATGGGGAAGTTTATCATGCGCCCATATAAGTACCAGACAGCTCCCACACCTCAATTCACTGGTCGATGCTCCCAGTCTGTGTATACATAGCTAAGTCATCCATACCAATGACGTTTCAACGTTCATGAAGGCACCAACACGCCCAATTGGCATTGTGCAGCCATGGCCCCCTCCTCCAATAAACACTATCAACGGCCCTCTACTTTCATAAACTCTCCACACTCTCGACTCACCGCCAACCAAATCGTTACTCAACTTTGCTATCCACAACCTTCCCCTCCAGGAATCTATCAGTCGCATAGCTCAGCAACAAAATGTCCAAAAATTACACCTTCCCTTCATTGACACCGCGCGCTTCTGAGCGCCCTCGAACTCGTCGTGGACATCAGTCAGCGGATAACGAACCTGTGGCTACTGCCTCACCATCTCGACGGTTTTCTATGCCTACACGTACGACATCGAGTACATCTTCGCCAACCGAGGGGGACTCGAAAACACCCGAAGGTAGTCCTTCACGCGTCGCCAATGTCCAAACCACCGGCAATCAAACTCCCTTACCATCTTTGGTACCCAAGAGCGAATCAGGAATCTTCGTGAACAACTCACATATCCCATCACGACTTCGTGTTGGAGCGACTATGGGACGGTTATCATTGACAGATGATACTTCAAGCTCTGATGATGACTTCTATGACGCGTATCATACAATGCTACCACCGATGGCTGAGCAGCCCAATTCTCGGGCATCAGCTGTGAACACTACTGCAATCTCCATTCTTGGACAGCGCTATGGCCACCAACGAAACAAGACGACTATCTCCAATATTTCGGAGATGCTGCCTCTAAACCCACAAGTTCCGTCATTGATGGAGCCCTTGGAGCGTTTTAACTTCGACCAACCGATTTCCTCGGGACGCCATGACACCAAGAACTTTGCTATCGAGCAAAAGCATGTGTTGCCTTCTGTTTCCTCGAGCACTCTTGGGCAACAGCCTGACCACCTCGGTGATATCTTGTCGCGGACTCCAGAACCCATGCACTCACCCACAGCAATGCGATGGAAAGACTCTGCTCGCAACGAGGATATCATCCCAGACAGCAGTCGTGCGCGTACCTTGTCCGGCGTCTCCATCGACTCTACCTCTACGATTGCGGACGACACTTGGAACCCGGTAGACACTTATCTCAGCTCATCTTCTTCAGACGGGGAGCTCAATATGGGCCAAGCAGTCCCACTCCACGCCATGAACAACGAAAGAGCCGTACCAGGTCTTTGGGACGAAGTTCGAGAGAACCCAGAGGAGATTCCGACAGAGCAATTGGACTACTGCTACCCATTGGATGAGTGGGACCAAGCTGGTCATCAGCACGCTGTCGAGTGTTGCGACTTTGCCTATGTCGCTCGCAAAGTCCCATCTTCAGCAGAGGAGTGGGATAACGTCGAACTTGTACGCAAGGGTCGCGCATCTGATGAGGCCTCCCTTGCTGACACCATCGACATGAGCGAGGAAGAGGTGGTGGATCAGCGGGCTCTTGACCTTGCGCGACGCGAGATCTATCACGACCACGATCGAGAGGAGACGATATTGCTCGGCTCGGGACCAATCGAGACAGATGACTGGGTCGACTTCGAGGACCATGAAGTTATTGCCGAGCATCCTTCGTCTCATACTGATCGCTTTCTGCTGCCGTCTACGTTTTACGTGCCGCCGGAGGCTGGGCGCTCATCATCCGAGGGTGAGGCGCGAACTGGACTGGAAGAGCGTTTCTCGTTTCCCAACGATGGAGCCTTGCGAACGCTACCTTCGACAGTGTACGTTCAGCCGACGCCACGTCTCATTGCTGAGGACGCAGGCTCCATCATGGAATATGCGAGTGGCAGTGGTAGTGACGGCGATGATGAGGCGTCAATGCGAATTGATCTGGCGCCTGTAACCCGCATTGAGAACAATACTGTCAAATCCCACGCCGAGGCAGACAATGGTGATTCAGAATTCGAGGAGGGTAGTCCCATAAACAGCAAAGATCACACGAGCATGCCTTCCATCAAGCTCCAGAAGACGCGTAAAGCAGGTGGCGAGAAGCAGCGCCGCCACTCGGCCAACGTCTTCCGACGCATCTCGGCACGCCTGCCTGGCTGGGGTGGCTCTCCCCACATCGTTTACAGCTTCCAGTCCCCGCCTCAGGGTGATGCTTCACAGCGCGTCGTGAGTGAGCCTTTGCTAAGTGGCGGAGTCGATGTGCCAGTTCAGGACCGCAAGCGGGACACCTCTTTCGCGCGCTTGCTAAACAAGTTCAAGAGCAAGGATGGCGTGAAAAAGGCGAATGATGGTACCGCGCCTCCAAAGTCGCTCTTGCGCCGTGCAGTTGAGCGAGCTGACGAATTCATCGTCCGACACAATTGGTAGACGGACGAGGAAATGGAGGACGGGTAGAAGCGTAGATGGAGGAAGGTCAAGACATTGTGCTCGAAAGGATAAGGACATATAGCTGGACCGTAAATAATATGGTTGTCCTCAAGACACTTGTTATATCTAAAATGATAACCAGATAAAAAAATGTATGTAATTGTGAGAGCTGCACTCACTTGACGTAACAAAATGTTCCACGCGCAACTGAATGAATTCAGAAGATCCCAGGTCCAAATATCGACCCTCATGTGACTCAACAGAGACATTGAGCCCAACACAAGCCAGGCCTCGTAGTGGCATTGGTATGTTGCAAAAAAATTCGGCAATGACATCCTGGCTCTTCAAAAGATGGCCCTACCCGCGCCTTATACGTTATACCTCCCTCTTAACCGCGGATCTCCATCCCTTCGACCACGGAACCGCGTGGCATAATACCCTCCTGCTAATTCCGCTCCAATCCGGCGCTCTTTGGTTTGGACAATGGAATTCCAGGTCTCTTTTAGGTTGATGATATTGATTGGGCATTCCAATAGACACGAGTCCGGGGAAGCTGGAACCGAGGCTCGGATCTTTTCATTCTTCCGCTGTGTCCATGCTAAATCATTTTCGGTATCGAGTTTCAGATGCTTTAAGCCCCATTCCTCAGTTAAATCCATGCCGTCGATAAGGTCTGTGAGCGCAACCATGTCGTTAGTGTCGAGAAGACTCTGTGCGAATACATTCAAAGTTGGGTACGGGAGGCCCATTTGGCTGCGCTCAATGTTGGGCGGTATGCAATCAATGTGCGCGTCATCCGAGGGAATCAAGGTAAAGCACAGAGCTTTGCCTACGACTTTGAATCGAGGAAATGTGTGGAGTAGTGACCAGAGGTCGGGAGGGCGAGGCGGATAGTTTTCGTAAGTGCCAGCTGAATCCAGAAGTGCAGACGCTTCTCCAAGCTTTTCGGTGGGCACGCACACCTCCCAGTCCTAATAGTTTATATCAGTAGTGCGGCTCTTGAAAAGATAGAGAAAAGGAATCGTTCGTTGTTTCAAGCTTACATTTCGTACCCTCCCGGCGCCGTAGTAGATCAGAGCGGATATACCAACCAGACAACATGTGATGCCAGCTCCATTTAATAACTGTATAACTCCCAGAATCTCTAGAGTTCCATGTCCCCCAAAACTTGGCAGCTCATCGTCAGGGCTGGCATTCATGAAAGCGGGGTCATTGAACTGTTCGACGGGGATCGATTTGGAAAACCCAGTAAAACCCAGGGCTTCCTCCATGGTGTTATGTTGCACAGCAGATATTTCACACCAGTTATCTCTCTGAGACAATAGGAAGAAAAATCGGAGTTGAAGAGGGTGAGTTGATGGTGATTATGAGGAGGCGCTGCGCCATTAAGTGAATCCCGAGCTGGTTACCTAGTCCCTTGGCACTCTTGCTCCATTGGCTCTCGCGGTTTGAATACCGGGCTGTGGCAGCACATGCGCGGGCGCTCGCTCAAGGTCTGAGGCGGATGCGAGGCCGCGGTCGACATGGGGGAACCAGCAGTGCATTTTTGCTTCCACTGCGCGCCGCGCCACAGTGAGGATATATCGCTTTTGACTTAACCTCAGTTCCAAAAGAAAGGTTTAAGCGACGAAGCAGGGCTGTTAGCTTGCATTGCACTTCATTTTGAATCGATCGCAACTTAACCGCTGTTTCGTGGCTAGCGATAATGCAATAGTTAAGATTCAGCAGCGACCGACATGTCCTTGCTCAAGAGCACCTGCTTGCGAGCGAGTTACTCCCGCATGCATAGGCGACAGAAGGTTGGCCTAGCAAATACGACAAGTGAAAGACGATCAAGGCAAAAGCTTCTTCTTCAACACGATGCCAAAAGGCAAACGCAGTCAACGAAAAAGGTCGCGTACATCCCAGGTAGTGCGATAGGGATGACACTGTGCCAACGACTATGAGCAAGCCCAGGGAGCCGTCGACGGGTTTCAAAAATAAGAATAATCTTGAAGAGACCGTAGTCTCGTTTCAGAGATTAAACTGAAAAGAACAGACTGGACAATTGTTAGCAAGGAGTGTCTGGCTCTGATCAAGTGCCAAGGCCTTGATTATGTTTGTGAACGTACTACTACACTTGATCTAAGCCAAAAGGCAAAGCTAGAAGAAAGTATTAGCAGGTCGCAAACGTAGGGGGGGAGTGGGCAAAACTTGCAGAGCTGCTTTGCAAAGGAAGGGCGGAGGGGGGATTTTATGCTTCTCGGGGGGCGCTAGCACTAGCGCGGGCACGGACTGCTGGAGCGGGTGGGTGACCATACGCGAATGGTGGGTGACCACAGGCGAGTGGTGGGTGACCACAGGCGAGGGACGGGCCCGACGTTGTACCGGCGGTGAGAGAACGGGTGGCAAGTCGACGATGTCACGGCGTCGGAATGGCAATTTGTTGTATGGAAGTGGTGTTATCATCAAGCGTCAGTGACAAAAAGCCAGACTCTACTAACGCAGTTCTCAGCTTTGGTCATAAGCAGTAATAGGATCTCTGAACGACCTTACACATTGCAAAAGATCTGTGACTCGGTCCAAGTCAAGTAAACTGAGAACATGGAGAACATGTTGGCTCCATGAAGACCTGTTCGTGCGTACGATGCATAACTTGTACGTGACCAGAGCTTAAGTCTTGCTTCCGAGTCATAAGTTGTGGCGTCTTGCACAACATTACGTACCCAAAAGTTGCCCGGGTGCAGCCCGTATCATCACGTCGATGTCATGCTCTCATATTCGGCTTCTGGCATCCAGACCTTACGCGTTGTTTCAGCCCATTCAAATTCCTCGTCATCTCCTCAAAGAAAATGTCAGTTGCCTTGCCTTAGCCCAGATTGAGTGGACGCAGCTTGTCCAATTCCATGCAACTCCACCAAGTATGTAGAGACGTAGGAATGTAATCATAGTACAGGGAGCGGATCCATGCAAATGACTCGAGGACAGGGAAGCGAGCCTCTCCCTCTCAGTCAAAGTCAAGATGCTCCACCATCAGGTGAGATTTAGTATCATGCGCCGGGCAAAACTCGACACGCAAATGTTTGATGCTATTGCCTTTGATTACGTATTACTGAGTAGACTGCAGCTCTTCGAATGCCGAGCTAACCCCACAATCATTGACGTCTGAGTTGCAAAACAGAGCCGTATCCAGGGAGTGCAGTTGTAGCGAGGTAGGTAGGAGGCCATCGGGGTTCTTGGTCCTTAACATGTTGGAGACGGTGAGTTGCGCCTTGGGACAATGTTCATGAAAAGAAGCGAGCAAAGCACCCGGGATCAACGATCGAACGTGTAGTGCAATCTTCCCTTTGTTATCACTAATGAGGTCTAATAATCGTTCGATTTGTTTCGCATACATCCCGTCGGAGATGCAGATATTCCGCGACGAGATGATGTCGTATTCGTTGGGACAGGCTGTGGATGCCAGCCGAAATTATAGAAACGCGTTTTTATGACTCCAATCTGTGTAGATCTGCGTTCTGTGAGCGCTCATCCTCCAGGTTGCGTCAAATGCACTGACTTCTTCAGTTTTAGCCGGAAATCGGCAGCTCTAAGGACCCCGAGGGTCCGCTTCTTTGACTTCGCGTTAGATTTATCTTCCATTGGAACAAGAGAAGCGCGGTACCAAGCATGTGATATTGCGTTGAGATGACGGCGGTAGGATGTACAACATGAAGCTAGCTGTATCCAGAATCTCGGGGTTGCTTCATGCAGATCTCGATGACCTGTCTTAATTATCTTATTTCCAACAAAGCATAGTTTCACGATAAGCAATGGCTTAAAAATGAAGGGTCAATGGCACAGAATGCAACATGCAATGGACAAAATCGAGATATAACTCTACTTCCAAGCTCTCCACCCTATACACAAGCTGACAACGGTGAAGGCGCCACCACCAAAGAACTTAGCCCATGCCTTCAGAATCTTCATCACAACCGCTCTAGCAATTTGATCTGCACTCTTCGAGTCGTTCAGCTTCGGGAAGGGTATGTCATCGGGCAAGCGCACCGCCGAAGCCCCGCAAAGCGGCTCCCGCCCATCCCTCACATCGTAGAAGACATGCTTCTCCTCAGGAATGACACTCTTCAGCAATTCGATGTGGCGTTCATAAATTGCCGCCGAATATCCATTCGCGTCTCCAGGCCGAAAGTACAGCTCACCCCAGCGACCATGCTGCAAGGCAGACACGTACGTGGTGAAGTAACGGAGCCCAGGGAGCAGCAGCAAGACAAGACTCAGCATCCATGATCTCGAGCCAGATGCGCGTCCGATCTGGTTGATAGACGTCGCCCATTCTTTACGATCGCGAATTGTGCATATGACTTTGGTGTCCGGCCATATTTCGAGGAGTTCGGGAACGAACTGTGCGCCCGGAGTGTCTGTCGTTGCGATACATCCGTCCAAAATGTGTCTCAGGGTTCTAAGAATGAAGCGCCGATCGCTGGCTGATTTCATGGGCGTCTTGTGTAGCATTTTGATGAGATCTGAGTAATCTGACGGTCTACCGTGCCAAATTTGAGCTCCCCTATCGTACAACGGCCCGGCGAGTAGGATGGAGAGTGCGAGCGCGAGCGATGTAGTGCCTGTTCGCGGTAGTCCTGCACCGATTACTTGAATGGACGAACCTGCGCGTGGTTGAGACGGTTCCTGCCCCATGATTCCTAAGCTCATGTTGGTCTGAAAATACCGTATAATTGATTAGCAGAATACAAACATATCATATGGCACTATTTCAAGCCCTAGTACCTCTACCAGTCGTCGTCGCATCGCGCCATCATGAGGTTTGCATCGGCGATGCGGACGGTTTCGTACGTGCTCGGTGCGTACAAAAGCATTGTTTTTGCTGGCGACCATCGAGGCAAAGTGGCCATCTTGATGATGTTTTAGTGCGGAAGCTTTCTATAGGATATTGGATCCAGCGCTGTGCGATGACGGGTACGCCAGCCGTCTCTACTTCGTACGTCGCTGTATTTTGCGAACCACGAGACATGCTGTCGCACGGGTGAGTGGACGGTTAATCTTCCCCGAAGTTGTCTTTGACTGAATTACATGAGGAATCGCACTGCTTGCGCTTCTTCAATGTTGATCATTTTACCTTTTGAAGACGGTGTGGTAGCAGTGCGAGATCTTCTCTCGCTGTGGCCGCGTCTCTGTTGACATATTCTGAGTACAATAACAGCATCACAGCAGCTGAACGGTGATATTCCTATGACGCCTCCTCGACCGAATGCTATGGTAGGCCGTCAGCTGTGATACCATCGCTAGAAAATTGTGTTCGGATCGGGACTCAGCGTCAGAACATTTTGATGTTACAGGCGTCTCAGATGAAGCCAGTCCCTGGTGTCGCACATTGTGTAGTCCATGGCAGTCTTGCGAGGCGGTCAAAGAACGTGGTCGGTGTGGATGGCCTGCGCTCAGCGTGCCGGGAACAGCTTAGCGTTCAACGAGCACCGAATCTCACATGCATGATTCCGTTAGGACTCCTTACTTCGCACAAAGGCTCAACACTCAGAGTACCTAAGCTTTTCAAACGTCAGCAACCAGAAATCCGTTCTTAGCATGGTGATGTCGAGCTCATCTGCAAAGGCGTCGTTCTGCATCATACCATAGGTAACGCGAGACCAATTCGATCTCGGCTCTTGTTTCGACCTGTCATAGTGCTCACAGCGGATACACATTCAGCGTGGATGAGCGTCCCTCCGCATACACCATTTGGCGTTGAATACAACGCATACGATGGGCTCCTACAGGCGGATTGACATTCAAACCTGCCACATCACATTAGGGCGGGAAGATAAACCAGGAGAAGCCCATATCTTTCTTAGTGGTCCACTCAACAAAGTGCTGGGTGGAAGTCCACGTCGTGCATGATCCAGAGCACTGAGATCGCCAGCGAACGGCCATCTAGTCTTCTTCTAACCTCTTTTGGCTTCTTGCAGCCCGTGTTTCTTCTCCCTTCACATGTCTACATATTTTCATACATACAGCCTAGTCTGATTTCCATTTACACTTGTCACAAATATTTCTACATTGCAGTCAGTGTTGCGAAGCCACCAGCAGTAATTCTGATGACTGCTCGCAAATATTAAAGTTCAATATTGTGACCTCTCTGACATTGTCCTTGCGAGCTGGGATGCACCGTTTCGCGGCTTTTCTCGGTAATTACTGACTCAGCAGCGTGAATTGCTACAGGCACTTGTACTACCCCGCACAAGTTGCAAGGGTGCAGCTGCGGAGACAGGATATGCAGCCGATAGTTCCAAAGGGAGCCAGTCGCCAAGCGTCATTTTCGACCTTCACACGCATCGAGTGTCCAGTCAATTCCTTGTTCCTGTACGATCAATGAAGCACCAAGCCTGTATTGGCAAGGACCATTGAATGGTGAATGGATGATAATTACTGGTCCCTGCGTTTGGAACCGAACGTCGCGTAATGCTTATAGACGTGCAGTGTATGCTTGAATAATGTCGAATCGACGAAGCAGGCTCGATAAGCCACCCGCTGTTTGGATTGCTCAGCCGAAATGTGTATACTGAGGGGCATGCCCATGCTCAACGTAATACCCGAACCTTCAATATCTCCTTATATATTTGTCTAATCTTGAATTTCCTGATATACACTCAATATGACGTCCGAAGACATCAAACATCCTTCGAAGCGCTCACAATTCAACGCCTACAATTTCCTGGTATGCTTTCTCGTGAGTCTTGGGCAGATCGCCTTCGGGCACCCTGCTAGCATTATTGGTACTACTTTGTATGTATCTCGAACGTCTGCAAGAGTGACTGGCTAAGGGTACGATCATAGAGGCGAGCCACCGTTCCACGTATACATGGGCTTGGTCGATGCGAGCGGAAAGCCCACGACCAATGCTGAGAGCTTGATCGGGACCATGAATGGTGTCTTTCAGGCATGTCGCCATAATCATTGCTCAGCGAAGATGCTAATTTGACCCAAATTAGGCTGGAGCAGTTCTCGGAATCCTCTCTTCCTCATACATTATGGACCGCTGGGGCCGTAAAGCTGGTATACTATACTGTGCACTATTTAGTCTTGTTGGCGGTGCGCTCCTATGTGGTGCTCAGAATGTGGCCATGTTCATCGCAGCTCGTTTCATTGCGGGCTGGGGTAGTTGGGGATTTCTGGCCGTGAGTAAGTGCAACAACCCGTGATGATGACTGCATATACCAGACACTGACCATGATAGCACCAACATATTCAGCAGAACTCGCACCGCCCGGTCTTCGTGGTTTCTTTGTTGGTATGAATGGTGTGAATATCGCACTCGGCTATGCTATCGCAAGTTACATGGGCATGGCCTTCTATTTCGCAGAGTCTCACGATGCCAAATGGCGCGGCCCACTCGGTATCGCGCTTATCTGGCCTGCCATGATGATCGCTATCACATTCGTCGTTCCCGAGTCACCCAGATATCTGCTCATGAAGGGTCGAATTGAGGAAGCGCGCACCATCGTGATGAGGTTGCATAGCATCAAGGGCGACCCAGATCATGAGTTTGCGAGAGGCGAGTTTTACCAAATGGTCAAGCAGACCGAAGTAGACCGAACTCTTGAACCAGGCTGGATCGCCATGTTCACTAAGAAGGGCTATCGTCATCGCACTGCGCTTGCTATGGGTTTCGCTTTCGTAGGTCAATCGACTGGTGTTCTTGTCATCAACAACTACGGTCCGACACTGTATGCGGCGCTGGGATATGGCACGTGAGTAGCCCTTGATCACTTGACGTAACAATCGACTCTTACTAAACGCGACTAGCAAACAACAACTGGAATTCCAATGCGGCTGGATCACTGTCGGCATCGTCTTCAACGCCATCGGTGCCGTATTCCTGGACAAAGTCGGCCGAAAGCCACTTATGCTGATTGGTGTTGGTGGCTGTTGCGTTTGTCTGATCGTTGAAGCAGCCATTGTCGCAAATTATGCAGAAGCAGCAACGAACAAAGCGGCACTGGCAGCCGGAGTAGCCATGTATGCATTTCACTTCCGTTCTTTGACCTTTGCAAGTATGCTGATCTAGCTTCAGGTTTTACCTCTTCCTCGCGGTCTACAGTATGGGTGTCGACGTCGCCGGAGTGGTCTTTTACTCGGAACTCTTCCCGAATCACATTCGCGCCAAAGGTGTCTGTCTTAGCATGGCGACAGTCGCGCTTACGGACCTCGTATATCTTCAGGCGACAACCACAGCTTTTGCAAATATCGGGTGGCGCTTCTATCTGGTTTTCATCGTCATCACTGGCGTGGGAGTTGTTGGCGCATACTTCGTAAGCCTTTCTAGATCTGACCTTATCATCTCCAAATTCTGGTGCTGACAGACCACTGTAGCTGCTGCCTGAGACAAAAGGCATACCACTAGAAGAAATGGCACACATTTTCGGGGATGATGTTGTTGTGAACCTCGATGACGTGCACATCAATCACGACACGCATGAGTTGGTCATAGGTGGAGGGATGTTGGAGCATGTGGCCACGTATCAGGTGACAAATCCTGAGGCTGAGAAGTACGCCGGGAGAGTGAATCGGGAGAATTTTGGTGCGCAAAAGGGTTGTATAGGCAGACATGCACGGTGAAGTGCCAGTCACCATTTCTCATTGAGTCGGCTCCGCGTCGCAACACATATTGGCAGTATTGAGCAGCTGTTCTTGATGGCTTGCACATGTATCACGCCAGCGGATGATCAGATCAGAATGCGGACAATCCTCAATTTATTCATATTCATTTTAAGCACATCCATCATATCATCTTGCAGCTCCAAACCATTGAATATCACTTTTTCATCTTGAATTATGCCTTTCTCTATTTACTCTAAGTCTTCAAACTCACTTGGTAAATCAGTTCCTGCGACCCAGGCCTTTATCCCGCGTGCGAACAATTCGGGAAACTGATCGTCCCAGGCATGTATCGCCTCTTTGACTACGACCGCTTTGCTCTCGCATTTATCATGGCCTCCGCTAGATATTCGGAATGCCCTCCCCATCTGTTGTGTCATATCGACGTTATCCTGCTTTCCACCAGCTATAGCCAAGACTCTGACTCCTTTGATCTCTTCAATGCGTTTCATCGTGATTTCCAGAGCACTTCCAAATCCATGTTTGATAAGATTGAGGCTGAAGTTTTCTTTGGACTCGGCTCGGAGAGTCGCGTCCTTGGAAACCCCTTGCATGGCCTGCATGAAGTAATGCATGCAATCAGGCACTATCATAGAGGCGCCCATGAATGCCCACACTTTGCATGGATCGCGCACAGTTTTCTTTTCTTTGAAACCAAACGGCGCTCCACCACTCTCGAATAGAGATTCAACAACATCTGGGTGACTTCGCGCAAGTTCGAGCCCAATGAAGCCCCCGTAGCTCACTCCGGCGACGTGGGCTTTCTGTGTCGGACTGACCTCTTTGATCAATGTAGCGAGGTCAGATGCAATTTCAGGGATACGATAGTCGTCTAGTTTAGGCGAGCGAGAGTTGGAGTGCCCAGGTAGATCAACGAGGATGATGTAGAAGTCCTTCTCCAGATATTTATATACATCACGAAATTCTTGATGTGAGTTAAAGATGCCATGTAGAAGGAGGAGAGCTGGATTCGAGGGCGTGCCACCGGTGACATGCCAAATTTTGTCCTGTGTGGGCAAAGGTGTCTGGTTGTGGGATTCGAAAATAGACATGGTTTTGACTGTACCCTCATGCTCCTTGCTTGGGTCTGGTCGTACTTTTATTCGTAATGTCGATCCCGAGCATTTGGATAGAAGCTGGCGCAAAATCGCCAAGGTTCCTTGATGCAAACGTATCGTGCTGTTTTCGGAAAGTTGTCGCACTGCGAACAGTTCAGAGTGTAATTGTTGGGAAGATCAGGCGATTCCAGTGTGTCGGTCGTCTAAGCAAAATTTTCTCAACCATGAAACAAGAAGATCTCTACCAAGCTAACAGCATCTCTTGCGTTAAGCTACATGTACATTGACGATCTTACCATTAACGTCACAACTTTCTAGCTGAATTGACCTCGCGTGGTAGAGGGCTTTGTAACGATTGGAGGGGTAGGGAGGCGAAGTAGTTCCAGCAAGGAGATGTACAAGATAACTAAAGCGGCTACCCCCTTATCTCAACGGCGGCGCTAGATCGCGATAACGATATGAAATGGGATATTGCATCCCGTTTTGACTACGCGCGAGTGATCATTAGCAAACCTAGGCTATGATATATTGTTGACCTTTCTTTTGCATCGTTTCGGATCTTGAAAGGAATCTGAACCCTTCTAACATGTCGAAGGTTGGACTATATTTGAGATGGAACGAATCAACTGTTCTCGCGCCTCGGCGATTGGATCCATTGCCCGGCGTCCCGAATCCCTGGCTCGAGTATTGTTTGCGTACACAAGCCAATAATAATCGGAGTCCAAACTTTTATGGCTGCTGACCAGTAGGTCCGACATTCGTAGACCTCACTCGTATCGCTGGCAGTCCCACTCGTTGAGGCCCTTCTTCCTCATCACCGATTGCAGGTCGAAGCCTTCTGCCTCCCTTCAGTTATTTTCAAGATTCTCATGCCATCATAGCAGCCAGTGCAAAGATAGATACGAAACGAATTTTGAAACCGCCTTTCGCAGTATCAAGATAGTGTACTGCGCAAGAGGGGTTTAATGAATGATTGACTCATGAACATGTCGAAAAAATATGCGATAATGATCTTTTAGAGCGTTGTAATCTATACCTGAGCTATTTCAGACAATGAAATATATAAATACTTAAGATCATGCTGCGCAATACTTAGTTTATGTCAGACTTTCTGAAAAATGTCCATGAGATCAGCCACACTGGCTGAAAGGAAGCCTTTGCATTCTTTAGATAAAGCCTCGCTGTAAGAGCATCAACGCAGAGGTCCTGCACGCATCGCAGAGATGTGCGGGACATCAATTTACTCATACAGAGTGACCGTTACTGCAGATATGCTGCATTACCTCTATACTAGCTGCCTGCTACCTCGTTCGTGCCTGCCCTTGTGCGGAAGATGCTAACATTTGACATCATTTCAAGGTCTGACATACGTCTGCCATCGATCAAACTCGTTTCAGAAATGTAATTGTATCAAGTGCTGATCTATTTCGACAATGGATATCATCACCTGATACTGATGCAGACAATCGACTATGACGGACAGGCCGGTGACGCTACTTCTGAAATACGCACCTAGGGAATTACCTAGTTATGTAAGAGCAAATATCATCCTTATCGACGTACGTTGCTTTGAGGATGTAGTCATCGATGAAGTCGACAAAGGTTATGTGCTTTTCCTATGAGTCGGCTGACCGTGGCTGTAACATATTAAGTGCGTGTGCTTGATGGTGGCAAAGCTCTTGCAGAATCTCAGCTCAGCCAGATACGTCCGTGTAACTTCCCTGACATGTACCATTTCCAGAATGTGGTGGCAATGTGCCATCTACCGGAACCAGTACGCCACCAAAAGTGTGCCGTGTTGCATGGCTGGATGTGCTTTGTTCTCGAATGTGGATCTGATCAACATTTACAAGACACCTCATCGTTGCCGTCAATGTTTAAACTACAGCAACTCTTCACCAACACCACCGTTCTGCAGCGTAACTGACAAAATTGTAGTAATTTCCACAAAATTGTGGAGATGAGCTCCGTCGCAGAATACATGTTCCTAGGTATGCATGCCTCGGCACGGTAAAACGGGTAATGTTCGTCCACCAAACTCGTAAACGTCAACTCTTGGACATGCGCTACCATTGGTATGTATCGACGCGCTTCGTGGCCGGCAGAAATAATTACAGGTGTTCGTGTCGTCATACAGGAGATACCTTGGAAGGAAATGACCGCCGGTGTGGCTTGAACAAGCCACAACGCCAAAGCAACGGTCGACGCAGTGGTCGATCATGCTCGAGTGGTTAAACTCATGTTGCCTCAGCTGTGAGGCGTCTGGAGGCTCAGCATCTCAGATGCAAGCTTAGATTGCCGCGCATCATGGTCCCTGGGTTTTGCTTACAGCGGCCCTGTCTTCGTTACTTGGCCATGATCCAGCAACCCGGATCGTGAAGTTCATCTGCATGCATCAATCCAGGCACGCGAAAAATCGTTGGAGGAAACGAAGATGCTCTTTATCTCGATTGGGTGGCCAAATTTCGGTGATATCATCTGCGAAAATCACTTTGCACTGATCACTCTGCGAGTTTGACGGCACGACATGGCATGGACACATGGGACCTGCATGCTCATTATCCGGGGGTGGAGTGTCAAATTTCGCTAGAGCTAAGCACTACCAGTGCCTAGACTTTTTAGTGAATGTTAGGCTGGTACGCCGAGCCGGCTGATTTGTCCCCGCATGTGGCGCCTCCGCAATAAGCTTGGGGAGCATCCGACATCACGGGCTTGTTTGCTGGAAGTGATGTGCAGATATTCCGGAGCCATGCGCCCGGTTAAACTGCTGCAGCTTTGGGTCGTGTTCACGGGCGGATTGATGAGAAGAAACGCGCTAGAAGGCGTGGATTAACCGCAGATCTTCATATATAAGAGCTGGTGCAGGTGTGTTATTGTGATGTTCAGGCCAGTCAATCTTTAACAGAAACCTCAAGATGTATTTCTCCAACATCGTCGCCAGTTTGGCCCTCGCCGGCTCCGCCCTTGCTCTGCCCAACCCTCCTACACCTCCCGCTCCTGGATGCCCGGCTCCTCATCCTCCAACAGGCCCGCCGGGCCCTCCTGGAACTCCCAGTCCTCCCAAGCACAGTGGTTCTCCCACGCCACCAGCAACCGAAAGCCTCTACCAGTCTTTTAAGAAGGCGGGACGTGATTACATTGGTGTCGCAGTGACTATCCGGAATGAGACTAAGGAGTCTGATATCATCAGATCCGAATTCAACTCCATCACTCCCGAAAATGCCATGAAGTGGGAGTCGACTGAGCCATCTCAGGGCAACTTCACCCTCGCTGGGGGTGACGCTATCATCGCTCTGGCAAAGCAGAACAAGCAGGAAGTTCGTTGCCACACTCTAGTCTGGCACTCCCAGCTACCACTTTGGGTCTCAGAAGGCGGATTTGACAACGCCACGCTCATCCAGGTCATGGAGGACCACATCAAGGCTGTTGCTGGACGATGGAAGGGCGCTTGCACCCAGTGGGACGTAGTCAACGAAGCACTAAACGAAGACGGAACTTACCGCGAGAGTGTCTGGTACAAGACGATTGGTGAGGCCTACATCCCAATTGCCTTCAAGCTCGCGAAGAAGTACACGCCTGATTCTTTGTTGTTCTACAATGACTACAACATTGAGGACAACGGCGCAAAGACCCAGGGTGCCGTCCGCATCGTCAAGCTCATCCAGTCCTACGGCATCCATATCGACGGTGTCGGCTACCAAGCCCATCTCACTTCCGAGGCCACTCCTTCAAACCCTGGCGCGGCGCCAGGTCTGTCTACTCTCACCGCTGCTCTCCGATCCACTGCCGATCTTGGTGTCAAGGTTGCTTACACTGAGCTCGATGTCAGGAAGAACGACAACAGCACCTCTGAGGCGTCCACTGCTGCCCAAGTTGCAGTCTGGAACAACTGTGCAAAGGCCTGTCTCGCTGTCAAGGAGTGTATCGGTATGACTGTCTGGGGAGTCTCCGACAAGTACAGTTGGATTCCTGGCGTTTTCAAGGGCGAGGGTGCAGGCCTGCTTTGGGACGATAACTATAACAAGAAGGCCGTCTACGGCGGTTTCTTGAGTGGCATCAAGGGTAACTAAGTGTCTCCGAGTATTGTAAAGATAGCACGAGAACATAAGTACATATAATGCAATGATTTATGTCTAGGTCTTGCCTCTGCTCAATATTGTTGCGTTGTTTGCATAGACATGTTTCCTACTTTGCCTAACACGGAAATTTCGGAGTTCTTTGCCCATCAAACGACACCTCTACTCGAGTTTCATGAGCCAGCCGATGATGTCGTCCTTTGTCCAATCTACACGCCACTGGTTCGTAAAGTTCTTGATGGTTTTCTGGATCAATTCGTCATCAAGAGTCTGGTTCTCCTCCCCTAGTGAGCTCAATATCTCATTGTAACTCATCGGGTAGTTGTATCGTCTGAAGCTGTACTCGATTCAGCATGCCATTATTCGCTTTCTCTCTGTCCAGCGATGTTACCCGAAGTTGACATCGACACCACAATACATTGTCCAACTCCGCTTGGCCATGTTCAGACCAAGTTCGATCTCGTGAGAGCTTTGTGCATGTAAGACGGCAGAGGCTTCTTGACATCAAGGATCATCAATACGCCAGGGCAGCTCCAAACGCTACCGGCTACCAGGTCAAAGACTTCGTCGACATTGGGAATTGTAGGCGCCTCGAGCTTCTCTAGTAGAGATGACAATATATAGACATCGCCTCCTTGACGCAAGCAAAGTCCAATTGCAGTAGCGGCGAGCAATCGCATGTTTTTATGCGCGAAAGATGCATGGAAGGTCAGGAAAAGATCCATGCATTCCATAGCGACATCTGGGGCGTTTTTGTTGACGTGTTCAAGCGGGACTATGATGCGCTGGATCGCATTCTTCACAGCGTCTCCCTCTCGCAGCTCATATGTGGGGATCATGGCAATTACACAGTGTATACGTGGAAGAAGAATGTATCCATGCGGATCGAGGTACGCTGGTTCGAGTTATCGAATTGCATCACTGCGTTGCAGCCACCATTCATCCTCTTGCTGTGGGTATCCAAACGTGGGGAGAAGCATGTCATGCCAACGTCTCAGAGATGCTCTGGCATTTCGATCGAACATATGTCGTATGTAAAGCACACAGTAAAGCATCTTCTTGCCCTCTTGAGCCACTTTACAATTCGCGCCACATGGGACTGGTCGATATTCGGAATACGCATAATGGCCGCAATCGAGTTGGTTTAGCGTGAAAAATGAATCGTGACAAGGCCTGTTCTGAAGCGCGCCCTGGCCGATGTCGCCGCCGCCGACAAGCTTGAAGATATTGTCGTACTTCTTATAGATGTCCAAGTCGTATCGATCATGTATGAGCCCGTTCATAAGTCATTCGCCTTGGCGATGATTTGTGTTTTCCCCGAATCTCTGCTGGCGTAGGTGTAGAATGTGGCCTTCGGCCACTCATTATGCAGCTCCCTTGGGGTTACCTGAAGCTTATTGACATCTAGTTCGGCAAAATTTGAGGGTTTCGGCCGGGAGCTCAGCCACTGCATCTTGTCGATGAATTAGATGAGAAGATGGGTTGTGATGAAGATAGGTCTGATTGTTGCGCGGCCCGGAGTAGGAGTTGAGGGCAATTGTGGTGGAAGGTTTATACTAATGTAGCATTCGAAAGGGCGTAGGCACCAAAAGGGCCATTTGCGATTGCGGGCGGGGCATGAAAGGTAGCCAAGGCAGGCACAATGAATTGCCGAATTTTGACACGCTTCGAGGCTCTACGAGTCTGTCACACGTCTTGACCTTAATTAGTCTACCCAGCCCAGCGCTAATGTACGGAAGCTTCCACCCTGTCGACAATTTAGTTGCGGTGAATATATTGAACAGTACTTTCAGCAATGCTAACCTGCGGCTCCCATAAATGTAGCATCTGATTGCTTTGTCTGTGTGAAGAACAGCTTCTCTTCTAGGAGGCATGATTCTTGGTCGCAGTCCTCTGCTGCACCTTGTGGAATGTTAAATTGGTGCTGTTGCGAGGAATCTGCCTCTTCGTAGATCTAGATTTTGGATGATGTGCCGAATCCTTACCTCGGTCGTCGAATTTCTGGTTCACATCGTGAGTTCTAGTCCAGTCCTTGGTCGACTTGAACAAGTTTCTCAAAGTGACACCAACTCCTTGCAGCGAACTTCCCTCCACACATGACGCAGGTGTGTGCAACTTTTGCTTTTGCTAACATCGATACAGAAGTGCATAGTTGCATGCGGATTTTCTGGTCTGCTTCCTGATCTTACTCATGTTGCAGTGTGATTGGTGTCTCTGTTGGTTGTTAATTTCATTCAATCTGGTCACGCCGAGGTACTCACCCCAGCATAATCATGGCCTATTCCTGCTTGTTTGTCACATTGATAAAATCAGTAGTAATGAAAGCTTCTATGCGCGTGCGACGACCGTAGAGCCCAAGATAAGCTGAAGTTGGTGCCACTTCGAGAGTTCGAATAGTGACAGGAGCTATTGCACAGTCGTGACCTCCTTTATTGTTGTATTGTATGTGTATAAGGCGCACATTGCATTCGATCTTCTTTACGTCTTTCGCTAAGGATCACGTTATACATAAAGCACCGTCATGAGCAGGAAGACTTTACTCACTGAAGTCTGTACGTCTAGCTGCTTGTGTTTTCCAACGACCTGGCGCCCATTGTCTCCCATCAGCGGCCGACACTCTTCGCTTGCCTGTTCGCAGACTGCTACAGCGCGCCCATTGCATCGACCATGTCTTTTGTTTGCTGGCCCGCCTTCGTCCGTGTTTCCCGTGCCTTCTTGATTTCATCCTTCTTAGTACCGACACGCACTTTCCAGTCTTTGCCCGCCGCAAAGCGACGTATGCACACTTCAGCGTAGCCAGCTTTGCTGTGACTCTCATCGATGCTGGGCGCCGTCTCGAATTGCTCCTCATGGTCAAGATCCATAGCTGCACAAGCCTCCTCCATCGTGATACGGAGCCTAAATTGCCACAAGGCCTGCTGAACGTACGCTGCGATGATGTAGCTGTAAAGATGTCGCTTCTGATTCTTGAAAAAACTGGAATGTAGCAAAATATGCACTCGGATGCGACGCGCGACCTCGCTGACTGTTGCCATCTTGTAGCTCTTGTCCTTGCGATATTTGCGAGATAACTTTGCTAGGCAAACTTCTAGTTGGTCACCCGCCACCAAATCAGTGAGGATACCGCGGGCCTTATTGAGGCAGAAGCTACCACTGGGCTCTTCTGGTGCGTCAAAGTGCGGGGAGGCGTCGATGTATGACATAAATGTGCCTTGAACTTCGAGAGCCAACACGAATGCGATAGTCCCAACAACGCGAAGATCAGAGTGTAGAATCATGTCATGGTTATATAGTAGGATCTCCAGGTTCTCCAGGGCTGCTTTGGCAATCTGGTCTGAATGGCCGAGCGATGCGCAAAGTTTGCGAATGCGGTCCTTGAGCTGTTCTTCGCGATTGCTCTCCAACTGCGCAATGAGTTTGGCGATGGCTAGATGTTCTGGCAGAATGAGCAGACCATGGGCTCCCAGGTACGTTGGCTGTGCCGTTCGGAGAATGATACTGAAAGTATCCATATGCTCTACTTCTAGCTAAGAGTCTTTGTACTTTGGTAGTAAGAGCTTGTGCCAAGGGACAGGGCGCTGCTTCTCATTTCTAGCCGCATCTCCACGGAAGTATCGCAAGCAATGTATTGCTGTATTCTCTTGCTCTTTTAGTGCGGATACCTGTTGGAATTTTCTACCACAAAGTGCTAATGCTTCGCAGAAAACGTAGCGGCCGCAGTTCAACTTCTGTACCTTTGAACTACCTTCATGGCAATTGTGGATTCTCGGAATTGGCGAAATTAGCTTGTTAGTCGGTCGAAATGAATTCGAATCAGTCTGGGCGTCCATCCATGGCCGTCTGATATGCAGTTGTAGAAGCGCTACCAGCGAAGTAGGCCATCAGATTTTGTTGTAACGCTAGACTGTACAGATTTACTGGTGCAGCTCGCGCCGAGATGCCCAGGAGACCGAACACTGTGCGGATCATGGTGAACCCTGAGAGTGGTACAGTACTTGAAGGGGACGTGTGGGATGGAGATGCGATAGTGCCTTTACGGTGAACGCGTTGTGTAGGGGGTTGAGAGTTCTGGTTGGGAGAAGGGAAGGTTCGAAGGAAGATTCGGCCACAAAACGTCGTCCTTGGCTGAATATATATACCGCTGTAGCAAAGTGGAAGGCATGGGTTAGAGCTGCTTCTGTATCCAAGACCTGCTGCGGTAGCATCACAATATGTGAATTGAGCGTGTTCTCTTCCTCCATGTCAGCGACACCAACTGAGGATTCCCGCTACCCTACACGAGCCAGCTATGCCTACTGCAGAGTTTCGCAATTCTTGCAGCGGCACATCCAGCATGGTTTCAATGAAGAGTCTGTTGCGCTCAAGGAATCCGGCTGCTCCGTGTCTTCGATTGCGGGCCTGGAGTTGCGCTAAGTTAAGCGACCACCTTGCTGTTGTTCATTAGCACTACGAACACAACAACGCAGCGCTGCGCCATTTGTGTATCACAAACAATATGCATTGTGATGGTAGTGCGCTCGCTGATCCTGCGTAAGTCTTCCGAAGCTTCGTTCTGGCGAGCATAAGGCAGTAGAGATCCCAAGCGACTCCGCAAAGACAATCTCATGCAGCCGGACGTAACGCATATGCGCCCGATGGGGGCATTGATCAAAACGCATTGAAACGTACCATACTGTCACGTCAACTGCGTGGTGACAGTCGAGGTTGTTGAAGCTGGCAGGGCTGTCTGCGGAGATGGTCAAAGCCAAGCCAACATTCGGTGGCCGATCCCCAGCCCCAGAGGGGGCCAGGGGCAATGGCAAGCCTCGTCGCTCCCACGTCCCACTTATCAGCAATGTCGCTCAGTGGCCAGAACTTGGCTCGAATCCTAAGATCCAGATCAGGCTAAGCTCGTTTGGTGTGATCTTGTGGCTTCATCGAAGTTGTGGTGTTCTCGACTTCATCCTTTGTGAGACTGGTCCGCCATCTCCCACCACAATCGCTAGGCAAGCGCGCCTCCGTCGACAGCAACGGCGGAACGCGACAATTGTGGCGCATCGTATGGTAAGCACGACAACTACGATCTTCCCGAGGTTCTCTTGCCTCAACATCATCAACTCAACGCATGCACGGACCTGTTCCTTTCATCCCCAGCAGGAGCGGATGCTTACTGAATGCGCTCGCAGGACAACATCATTCTATTCGCGTCTCTCAGCCATCGATAGTCATCGACCTTATGTGTGCAACATTGAGCTCTATCGCCAACAGCATCATCCATCACTAGCGACATACGGAGACTAGTGCGGCAATTACCATGGCTGAGGTAAAAAGACCTCAACTTCATCCTCTCGATGAATGATCATCAACACGCGGACATTGCTAATATGATAAGTATGACGGTGTGCTCGCCAACGGCTCTGGCGATCAATATCACGAGAAGCATGATTATGTAAACGAGGAGGCCATGTCCGGACACGAAATCGACGAAGAGATTGACGAAGAGGAAGACGAGGACATCGATGCTCTTATTGACGAACTTGAATCCCAAGATGGAGACAACGCTGACTACGAAGAAGAAGAGGTCGATCAACCGGGCGGAGCGCGCGTCATTCCTGAAGATCTCCTCCAAACAGATACACGCATGGGCCTCAATTCCGCCGATGTCCTATTTCGTCGGAAGAAGTTTGGCTACAACCAAATGAAAGGTTGGTGGTATTCATCGCGTTGCGCAACCGTCTCTGACATACAGTAGAGGAAAAGGAAAATTTGTTCGTAAAGTTCCTCATGTTCTTCGTTGGTCCCATTCAATTCGTCATGGAAGCCGCTGCAATCCTAGCCGCGGGGCTTCAAGACTGGGTCGACTTCGGTGTCATCTGCGGACTGCTCCTTTTGAACGCTTGCGTTGGCTTCATACAAGAATACCAAGCTGGTAACATCGTCGACGAACTGAAGAAGACACTTGCGCTCAAGGCTACTGTGCTTCGAGATGGCGTCTTGGTGGAGATCGAGGCACCTGAAGTGGTTCCTGGTGATATCCTGCAGGTGGAGGAGGGCATCATTGTCCCAGCTGACGGGCGTATCGTCACACAAGGTGCCTTCCTGCAGGTCGATCAATCGGCAATTACCGGCGAGTCATTGGCAGTCGATAAACGCAGAGGCGATACCTGCTATGCATCATCCGCAGTCAAAAGAGGTGAAGCCTTTTGTGTTGTCACTGCAACGGGTGACTCTACGTTTGTCGGGCGGGCGGCTTCCCTTGTCGCCAGTGCCTCTGGCGGAACTGGCCACTTCACCCAAGTCCTACACGACATTGGTACGACCCTGCTTGTCTTGGTCATCTTTACGTTGCTCGTTGTCTGGATAAGCTCTTATTATCGATCGAACGGCATCGTCCAGATTCTTAAGTTCACCCTGGCGATTACTATCGTCGGTGTACCGGTCGGTCTTCCTGCGGTGGTCACAACTACCATGGCTGTTGGTGCCGCCTACTTGGCCAAAAAGCAAGCTATCGTACAGAAACTCTCCGCGATCGAGTCCCTGGCTGGCGTTGAGATTCTTTGTACGGACAAGACGGGAACACTCACCAAGAACAAACTGTCACTATCTGAGCCATACACTGTTGCAGGCGTCGATCCGGACGATCTCATGCTCACTGCATGTTTGGCAGCCTCTCGCAAAAAGAAGGGCATCGATGCAATTGACAAGGCTTTTCTCAGATCGCTCAGGCATTACCCACGTGCAAAGAACGCGCTTAGCAAGTACAAGGTCATCCAGTTTTCGCCCTTCGATCCGGTTTCGAAGAAAGTGCAGGCCGTTGTAGAGTCTCCACAGGGCGAGCGCATAGTCTGTGTCAAAGGCGCCCCACTCTTTGTCCTTAGAACAGTCGAAGCAGATGACGCTGTACCAGAGCACATTGCCGATGCTTACAAGAACAAGGTTGCAGAATTTGCAACCCGTGGCTTTCGATCACTTGGGATTGCCCGCAAGAGGGAGAACAGCTCTTGGGAGATCTTAGGCATCATGCCATGCTCCGACCCACCACGACACGATACATTCCGCACTATCAATGAGGCGAAGACCCTCGGTCTCTCCATCAAAATGCTAACTGGGGACGCTGTCGGGATTGCTCGAGAGACGTCGCGCCAGCTCGGACTAGGCACCAACATCTTCGATGCCGAAAAGCTCGGCCTTGGAGGTGGCGGTGAGATGCCCGGCAGTGAAGTGTACGATTTTGTAGAGGCAGCTAATGGCTTTGCTGAGGTCTTCCCTCAACACAAGTACAACGTCATCGAGATTCTGCAACAACGCGGTTATCTTGTCGCAATGACAGGCGACGGAGTAAATGATGCGCCATCACTGAAGAAAGCGGATACTGGAATAGCTGTTGAAGGCGCATCAGATGCAGCTCGCTCTGCTGCCGATATTGTCTTCCTTGCGCCTGGCCTCTCCGCTATCATCGATGCCCTAAAGACGTCACGACAAATCTTCCATCGCATGTACGCCTATGTTGTTTACCGCATCGCGTTATCCCTCCATCTTGAGATATTCCTTGGTCTCTGGATCGCCATTCTGAACGAGTCGCTCAACCTGCAGCTCGTCGTCTTCATCGCCATCTTCGCTGATATCGCAACCCTAGCTATTGCCTACGACAATGCTCCGTACAGCAAAATTCCAGTAAAATGGAATCTGCCAAAACTCTGGGGCATGTCTATTCTGCTCGGCATTGTTCTCGCAGCTGGCACTTGGATCACACTTACCACCATGTTTCCGCATCAAGTCTCTCCGCCCCAGGGAGTAGACGGTGGTATAGTGCAGAACTACGGCCATAGAGATTCAGTCCTCTTCCTTGAAATTTCACTCACCGAGAACTGGTTGATCTTCATCACGCGGGCTAATGGTCCATTCTGGTCATCATTGCCATCGTGGCAACTCACTAGTGCTATTCTGGTCGTCGATATTGTCGCAACCTTGTTCGCAATTTTTGGGTTGTTTGTTGGCGGTCGCACCAACATTGTTGCAGTTGTACGAGTGTGGATCTTCTCATTCGGGGTGTTCTGCGTCATGGGTGGAGTGTACTACCTTCTCCAGGGAAGTCAAGGCTTTGACAATTTGATGCACGGAAAGTCGCCCAAGAAGGATCAGAAGCAACGATCACTTGAGGACTTCGTCGTCTCGCTGCAACGAGTCTCAACGCAACACGAGAAGACGACATAGAACGAGTCTTCGGCTGTTGATATGAAGACCACATCTCTTCCCGTTCTGAGCTTAGATCCAAAGCTCCAGAGGACGCATCGTTCATCGAACACACTCACATCGGATCATGGAGACTTGGAGTAATATATACCCGGGCAGAGTTTTGATTGATATTGATTTGGCGTTCCACGGAATACGGTGCATTAATCGGCGCTAGCCCTTGTTTTTTAATATATGCGCTACGGGGAGACGAGAAATCAGGGACAATAGAGGCAATGGGATTCCTCCACATCACTTTGTACCATTTCAACGCGCGTCTGCAATGCTGAAGCAAGAGCACAAGCGTCATTTTTACGAACTTGACATGAGTGGGGCTGCAGCTTCCTTGTACGGCAATGACGTACGCCCTGATAAACACCCCACCTTCGGCTGCTTAACCACACCCGTATGCTTGATACCTTTACCTTAGTGCGTAGACGAATACTTTGCATCTCTGTGCCATTCACCTGAAACTGACTACCGTATCTACCTTCATCTATCTCACACTGCAGCAATGGCAGGCCTAGACGTAACGATCCCGAAGCTCAAGCTGAACGATGGCAACTCAATTCCCATGCTAGGGTACGGAACGGGTACAGCATGGTCAAAGAAGGGCGAGGAAAGCAAACATGATCAGGCTGTGATTGATGGCGTGAAGACTGCGATCAAGCTTGGATACACGCATCTGGACGGCGCGGAGAGTACGTATCGCCATCGCACACATCGTTTGTACAAAGGGAGAAAGAGAGCTAATTTGACTCTCAGTGTACAAGACTGAGCCAGAACTTGGCATTGCCATTAAGGAGAGTGGTGTTGCCCGAGACAAGCTGTTCGTGACAACCAAGATTGACAAGGGCAACATGCACGACATTGAGGCGGCACTGCGTGCAAGTTTAGGCAAGCTGCAACTCGACTATGTCGACCTGTATGAATGCAAAATTGCCAATTTCGATTTAAACATGGGCTAATCGATCCTAGATACCTCATCCACCAGCCATGGTTCACAGAGTCTGAAGCCGACCTGCAGAAAGCATGGGCAACCATGGAGGCACTTCAACAAGCTGGTCTTGCAAAGTCAATCGGTGTTTCCAACTATCTGCCACCCCATCTGAACGCCATTCTCAAAACCGCAAAGGTCATCCCAGCTTGCAACCAGATCGAATTCCATCCCTACCTGCAGCACACCGAGTTACTCACATTGCACAAGAAGCACGGCATCGCAACAGCCGCTTATGGTCCATTGAGTGCAGCGACGAAGGCTTCAGGAGGCCCAGCAGATGACTATGTCAGCCGGCTGGTCAAGAAGTATGCAGTCGGCGAGAACGAGATCTACTTGAGGTGGTGCATCGACCAGGACATTGTACCGATCACTACCAGCTCCAAAGAGCAGCGTTTGAGCGACTATTTGAGGGCATTAACATTCAAGTTGACGCCTGCTGAGGTGAACCAGATTAATGAACTGGGCCAGCAGAAGCATTACAGGTAAGTTTTTCGTGTACAGAGTGGCTGTGACACGCATACTGATATTGAATAGGGGCTTCTGGGGAATGCACTTCAGCGACGATGATCGTTCGTAGGCATGATTGTGAGCAAGGTGGAATCAAATTGCGGACTTTAATCTGTAGTGCATCGAAGAACATTGCCACATGGCTTGCAAAACTGTGACTTCAAGTGTTCGACGGTGACTGTCGCACGTGATCTCAGCCACATCTGTCGCTAGCGCCGGGTGTCCGAGCTCGAACGTGCTTTCTAAAGTTGAACTCGCCGCAACCACCTTGCGATACCACCTTTGCGCGCTCAACCAAAACGACCACATACTGCTTGTGGATCTTCTTACAAGTCTGATCAATTGCGGCCTTGATAACAGCGCGTGCAATTCTTTCGCAAGCTGCGCGCCGGTCTGGTCCGCTCACCTGCGCATATTTGAGATCGCGCGACAGCAACGCGCCCCCTCATCAACATGTCGGGCCCCGCGGTGAAGTCGAAGAAGGCGTCGAACAAGAATGCTTATCGGAGAGCGAAGAAGAAGGCACAGCGCTCTGTGAGTCCTTCCAAACCTACGGAAGCGTTGCGACACATACTAACACCGTCTAGGAGGCACCTTCTGAGGTGGGCGACTCTGCGCGTGAGACTGAATCTCCTGCACCAGACGACAACACCAATAACGATGCGCAGGCGGTCCAGCCAGTCGACACTCTCACCGTTGAAGATATCACGAACGACTTCGATCTAGACAACCCTGAGTTCGAGGCATACAAGGCTATCTTTGAGAAGTTCCGCGAACCCACCGAAGAAGAGGTGGCAACCAAGGACGATGACAAGCCTGAAGTCTTCTACGACGACGACGATATTCCTGACGAAGAAGATGAAGACAAGCCAAAGATCTCCAAGAAGCAGAGGAAGCAGATGAACAAGCTCACCGTCGCTCAGCTGAAATCGCAAGTGCAGAATCCCGAGCTGGTTGAATGGACAGATGTCTCGTCAACGGACCCGAAGCTGCTTATCGCCATCAAGGGTTCGAAGAACGTCATCCCCGTGCCGACGCACTGGTCGCTGAAGCGCGAGTACCTGTCTTCAAAACGTGGCATCGAGAAGCCACCGTTTGCGCTACCCAAGTTCATCCAAGAGACGGGTATCGCCGAAATGCGCGACGCTGTTCTGGAGAAGCAGGCAGAAATGACGATGCGGCAAAAACAGCGTGAGCGTGTGCAGGGAAAGCTCGGCAAGCTCGACATCGACTACTCCAAGCTGTACGACGCCTTCTTCCGGAGACAGACTAAGCCCGAGTTGACTCGATATGGTGAGGTCTATTATGAGGGCAAGGAGTTTGAGACCAACTTGGTCAACCTCAAGCCTGGCGAGCTGAGCGAAGAGCTTCGGGATGCGCTTAGTATGCCGCCTGGCCACCCACCTCCATGGCTTATCAACATGCAGCGCTTTGGACCCCCGCCTTCGTACCCTAACATGCGTATCCCTGGTGTGAATGCCCCCATTCCTCCTGGCGCAGCATGGGGCTTTCAGCCCGGACAGTGGGGTAAGCCCCCTACGGATGAAGCAGGCAAGCCTCTGTTCGGTGGAGACCTCTACGGTACAAGCATTTTGGACCACCAGCAACAGCCAACGCACAATGGCGAGCCTGTGGAGCGTAGCATCTGGGGTACCCTTCGCGCTGAAGGCGAGAGCGAAGACGAGGAGAGTGACGAGGAAGAAGAGGAAGATGAGGATGAAGAACAGGGTGACGAGGATGTCGATTCCGGTATTCAGACGTCGATGACGACCGCATCGGCTATGGTTTCTGAGTATGGTGGCACGGAGAGCATTGGCGGCGATTTCACGATCAGAAAGCAGCGCAAGGGGATTGAGACCGAAGAGCCTGGTGTACCTCGCAGCGCCGGCCAGATCCTTCCGGAAAAGAACATCTCGGCAACAGGCTTCTTTGGTGGCGAGCACGCTTACGATCTCGATGCTGCGCGACGCGACGCTCTCGGACAACAGCGGAAGCGCAAGGCTGGTGAGGTGGACCTATCTGTGGACATGGATCAACTGGGCGAGGACGATAAGCTGGACAAGGCCGCACTCAAGAAGGAGTATGAGTCTAGGCAAAGAGCTGAAGCTGCAGGAAACTGGCAGAGCATTGATCAAGATGATTTGGCAGACATGATTGCCAGCGAGTCAAGGAAGAAGGCAAAGAGGGAGGACAACCGGAAGGCCAGGCGCTAAGGGCCTGCAGGGTGAAGTGCGTAGTGACACGATTTGAAGAGGCGGTTTTGTACAAAAGATTTCGATTCCAAGCTGGCAAAAGATCTCCCAAGGAGATGGCGCAAAAGGCGTTGCATACCATGGAGCTCAGGTTTACAGCATTGAAAAACGGCGTTGCACACGGCAAGACATGAGGCCGTCACAATTGAACATATTTAAGAACCAGACATTTCCTGTCGAAAACGAGGCTGACGGGCCATACACTATTACTGACCATTCAGGTCGGAGATGTTCAAGATTGGTATATAAAAAATTGGCAGTGAGCTTGGTCAGCTTTCTAAGATGAAGAATTTCAAGATTGTTCCGAAAAGGTATGCAGTGATGTGGAGGTGGCATATGGCTGGACGCCGCCTTCAAGAAGTCATGGAGAGCATAGTGCTAGAGCGAGTATGATTGGGCGTGGGCGTTGTGCAAAGGATGCGGAGGGCATGGAGACGTGGCGATGGGCTAGGCGACCAGGTCGTGCTGTGCAGCGCCAATCCGCGCATAGCGACAGCTGAGGAAACGGCAATAATATGCGTCTGCATCATGATTGGAGTCCGAGGCCGTCGGGCTGGTGAGAGCTTGAGGATCATAGCTTGCGTGCGGCACGTGCTGCGAGTTCTAGCCTCGAACATCACTTTTCCAAACCACGACAGCGCGACCCGTCAAACAAGGTCGTTTGTCCACGACGGATCCCCACGAGCCATAATTAGCATCACCGGACAATTCTTTTACAGCCCATTCTTTCGAATACCCGCACGTGACGGCACAGTAACCACAGCGCAGCAATGGACAGAGATCGCGAGAGGGACAGGGATCGAGACCGAAGGTTTGTCTCGCCAAAAGCTGTCTCAGTATCGCCAGAAGCAGGGACCTCTGCTGCTGGCTGTGCGTGTAGTATCTTGCAGCATCTAACGCGCCAAACAGGGACGACAGGTTCTCGAACACGTACCGTCCTCGCTCTCCTCGACCCCGTTCTCCTCCTCGCGGCGACACGTATCGCGCCGGTCGCTCACCACCCCCACGTCGAGGCTCGCCCCTGCGTCGCGGCCTAGCTTCTGCAGACACATACACTCCTGGCGGCCGCTCGTCTCGTCCACGGAGCCGTTCGCCTGCGTTTAGGAGGAGGTCACGGAGTCCTCGTCGCGACGACAACTGGCGCGCCCGCCCCAGATCGCCACCTCGTCGAAATTTCTCGCCTAGGAGAGACGACTTTAGGGGTGACAGGGCACGGTCGCCTCGACGGGACGCATATGATTCGTACACACGCTCGCCGCGACCACGCGAGAGGTCCCCGCCTCCCAGAGAGCGCGAGGCATCGCCCGCTAGGAGCCGTGGAGTGCGTTCGCCCGTGCGACCGAGTCGATATGACGAACCGCGCTCGCGAGTAAACAGGTATGGAATGAGACGTTTGCTGTCGAGAGCAACTCTAACGCTATGAAGCCCTCCCCGCCGATACTCGCCCGCTCGTGACACTCGCGACTATCGTCGCCGCTCACCTTCACCCAGACGCGATCGCCCCGAACCGTTTGCCGCAGACACTTGGAGGCGCCGCAGCCCTTCTCCCGCGAAGCCCACGTATGCCTCAAACGATGCCTCAGGCAGGGAGTCTGCGGCAACGTCCCGTCGATCCTCTCCACCTCCCATCCACCCTAGCAGAGCGGCACTCGTGGATGACAGGCCGGCGAGGGATGCAGCTTCAGCTCCGAGATCACCGTTCCGCGAGCGTGAGATGGTAGACAGAAGCCGAGACTTCACTCGCGAGCGTGAGCGTGAGCGATCACCTCCGCGCCGCAGAGACTCTCCTCCCACCGGGCCGCGCGGCGACAGGGACTTTGCGCCTCCTACGGGACCGTCGGCATCATCCTACCGGAATGGCGACAACAACAACTTTTCTCGAGCACCACCAACGGGTCCGTCTAGCCGCAGCTATCCTTCCCCAGCCATATCACCGCCAGCTGGCCCGGCAAGCTCGACTGCACAACAACCGCCGACGTTCCCACGAGGCAGCAACCCAGCCCTCGCTGCTCCTACTAGGCCACGAGGTGGAGGTCGTGGAGGGTTTGCATATGACTCGCCCCGCGACTTCTCTGGGCCTCCATCGCGCCGTGGATCTTGGGGAGGAGGACCTCGTGGAGGGGGCTTCTACGGCAGTGGTGCTCCCTCTGGCCCTCGAGGCTCTGTGAGCGGACCATCGAACTTTGCCCCACCTTTTCGCGGATCGAGCAACTCGACAGCAACGACGTACCCGCGTACTATGCGCTTCCGTGATCATCTGTCTGATCTACCAAAGGAAGTCCCCGGGGGGCAGAAAGCTCCCGAGGTCTACGACAAGAGCAGACTTCTCAAGCTCGAGGAAGATGCGAAGAGGCTGAGGGAGATGATTGACAAGAAGGAGGATGAGAAGCGCCGCAAGCTGAGAGAGTGGGACAGCCTCGAGAGGGATGCTGGAACCGCTCAACTCAAGGTCGACCTTGCGGAGTCATCACTCAGGGAGCTCGAAGGAGAGGGAGACATGTCAAGTGCTTTCTAGAAGGCGCTAGCATGGTAATCCGACGAGGTCCTCCGGGACCCATAAAAGGCTAACATGGATTTGGAGCAACGAAAGCCCGCGATGCTGTACTTTTACTTTGGGTTGGACGCTTTGCTTGGAAAATTTGCTTGCATTTAGGCATTGAGATTGGCAGATTCATGGCATTGTGGTGGCGTTGGATAGTTTGGACTCCGGCGACTTGCAATATATTTGGTAGCAGAAAATGCGATATCCTGAAATGAACTTCTCTGATTTTGTAAAGCATAACCACACTTTTTCCTAATTTTACATTAAAAATCTGACAATCTTCTAGATTGAAGCAATATCCTAGAGTAACCAATACTGATAATGAGAAACCAACTACTGATATAGAGCTATGCTTAGCATATTATACTCGATGCTTCCTATTACGTCTTCTTCTACGCGTTATATATTTTATCCACTGCTTACCATTCCTAGCCACTTATTACTAGAAAGTTAGCGACATTCACGCGTGATTAACGAAGTTTGCTGACATTGCGGAACTGTACCTGTGCTTGCTTATGAGTGGCCGCCTACGCGACTGCTGCCTACGACGCCACTTCAGCGCTGACACCCCTATTACCTTTCCTTCGGTTTCTCTTCATCGGCATAGCAAGTACATGTCAGGGTAGAACTACTCCAACGATCAGCATGGCGAGAACATACCAGGATAGAAGTAGTTCAACATTCCATGACAACCTGGAAGATCCCTACCTCCTTGACATTCGAACTGGGAGGACGATAAGAATCCTTGATTTGCACCCTCCGTCTATAACCGAGAATGGCCAGCAACTTCGAGGCACCCTCCGGGCATACACATTGCGCCTAGACCACAGGGAGGAGAAATTCGAAGCACTCTCTTATGTATGGGGGTACTCAAGAACATATTGACAAAGCCCCGTTCATCAGATGTAATGGAATAAACATACCCATCACGAACAATTGTCGCGACGCTCTGATTAGGTTCTCGTACACCGATGGACATCGAAGCTTATGGGTGGACAGTATATGTATCAACCAGAACAACATGGAGGAGCGCAACCACCAAATTTCTTTGATGCTTGCTATCTACAGTAAAGCAAAGACCGTGTTAATCTGGCTACCCAACGAGGGATCGAACGATGTCGAGACTCACGCTGCGATTCAATCCATACGCGAAGCGAAGGCCCGACATGTGGATGAAGACTTTAAACGTACACAAGACGCTTTGGCTTTACTATTGAGCAATCCGTGGTTCTCCCGTGGCTGGACTTTTCAAGAGCTCGTACTAGGGCAATATCCTGTATTTTTCACAAGCCAGGACTCATTGCCGTGGCACGACGTCAGCCATCTCGTCCTAAGATACGCCTCCGACATACACGCCCAACCTTCACTTGAAAGATTCTTGTCGCTCATAACACTGTGGTCTACTGTGAACACCCGTAACCGCTTTGGCATCATGACCATTCGGGGTACCATGACGTGGTGCAGTACACTTGTACTGCTTCTGACCTCTCCGCAATACTTCTGCCAGAAGGCACGCTTTGCGTCGCCCCAAGATGGGCGTCCAAAGTTCTTCAACGTTTTACACGACATCGTCTTCTTTTTGGCGTACCTTTACGAGGGAGGCATAAATGTAAAACTTGAAGAGGCACCTACCTGGCTCACGAGCGGTTATCTGCGCATGCTGTACCCTTTCGGTTCTTGGCTGAGGAATGTAATCGTTCTCGGGGTATTTTCAAGTCTGGGACTTGATCCCGGTCTACAGTTTCCGTTTGCATGGCCCGGAGGCTGTCCCAGGCGGCTGATCTTTGTTTTCTTGGCATTATGGACATGCAAACGCCTGGGAAAAGGGTACTTCATACAACAATGCCGTGCATTGATAGATGCTGCGTACTTGGCCATCGTTCTACCTCGCATCGTATACGCGCATTATCATTGGAGTGATATCCCTGGCCTCTCCCACCTATATCACCGGAATCGTCAGTTAGAATGTGCCGGCTTAATGGAAGCCCTGAGGACTCGTCGCGTATCCGGCGTGAAGGACAAAGCTTACGCCATGCATGGTATACTTGACAAGATTGGAGTGTCTACAAAACCTGCAGACTACTCGAGACCATGTCAAGAGATCTTTTCAGATCTCTTCCTTAGCCTCATCAACTGGCGGGCGACCATGCTCGCTCTCCTTGTACATGCAGGGAAGGTTTCGTCGGAAGTGCACGACATGCCATCCTGGGTGCCGGACTGGAGAACGGATACCAATTCTGCCTGGTTACCAGAAGATGTTCTACGTCGCGGCACCTATAATAGCGTGTATACTGGTGTGCGAGCGTATGGAATGCCCTTCTACTCCATCAATGGGGACGAACTCACTGTATTGGGACGCCAGCTGGATACCGTGGCGCTGGTTGTGCATGTTCCGCATAAGACCCTGTCGCAACCTGATTCTGCCGTGCTGGATGCAATTTCCAAATGGCTTCTGTTGGTGCGTGGTCTATCCGGATTGAAGCAGAGAAGTACTTGGGACGCAAAAGCCCTCGATCTACTTTACCTGGTAAAGCAAGACGCGAGGAATGATGAGAGTAGCTTATCTCAGCGAGCGAGACTCCTGTCATGGTACCGGGATCTCGTTGCAGATGGTCTACGAGTCGGCACGAAGCCCAAAGATCATTACAACCGCAACGACCTTGAGGGTGAGGACGATATTGATTCGATACAGGTAGATCTTCAACACCGTATTTGTGGCAAAAGACTTCTGTTCGTCACCAAGAATGGGCGTTATGGAACGGGCTCGCTCAACATCCAAGAAGGCGACACAGTACATGTTGTCTCCGGCGTTCCTACGCCGTTGTGCATGAGGAGGCAGGCAAACGCTGATGTGTACGAGATCGCAGGACCCGCTATCATGAACTATGACAGCTCTGATGATATCTGGCAAGGTCGCTTGAATCGCATCGTGTTGGTCTGAGAGGACTTCGACGAAGAGCAATTGAAATGCATCGGCCCTTCCATGAGTAAGAGACTGCAACTTCAAGTCCTAGATGCAGCTGGAAGCTTCCATGACTTCTATTACAGCAATAGTCGACGAATCTATCTGCTGATGCATACCTAGCGTGTAGAATTGACGGCATCGCCAGGTCTAGGACTCCCCAAGCTGCAATTCAGGGCGACAATAGGCACGCCATACTTGACATACCTTAAAGCTTTATTAACAAAACAAGTTAGGAGTATAACTTGCTGGTACATTATCTCTGGATGCCAAAAAAGCCAAGTAACTCTAGAATATAGAGGGATTATATCTCGTTTTAAACAATGACTTGCAAAATAACTGTTCATCTAATAGATAAGGTCACTACGTACATCGCAGTTCAATATCACTCTAAAAGATACTGTGGTTCGTGGTCCCTCACCTAGACTATGATGAGTCCACTGCTGCGGACTACCGATTGGCTGGTTGTGTGTCCCTCTTCCCCACCCCAGCTTTGACTCTCCGAAACTTTTCGAGTCTACTCACGTCAACTCTCTTGACGCGCCACACTTCCTGCACCACCCTTGTGCAGTTTCGACATGGCGGGCAAGAAGGTACGCTGCTGCTTCAAGTTTTGGGTGGCGATGGAGAGCTGACATGCGCCCAGGAGCCCACGAAACCCAAGCCGAAAGCTCCCCCACGGCGGACAGCGGCGAAAACGCAAGCCCCTCTACCACAAGTAGGAAAGGCAGATGATGACGGCGATGCTATGGAGGTGGACGGCGGCGCTGTGCAGCCTCCACCTGCAGTAGTAGAGAATGCGCCGGACGTAAACCCAGGAGCCTCGACATCTGCCGAACAGACGCGAAAACGGAAGGCGCCACTTACCCATGGCACCGACGAATTTGCTGCTCTCCTTGAGCCCTTCTACTACGGAAAGAGCTTGACCGACCCCATCAACACTGCGCGCGACAAGTGGAATTTATTACCGGCGTTCCTGAAGACTAAGGGTCTTGTGAAGCAGCATGTGGACTCGTACAATCACTTTGTGGACGTGGAGCTGAAGAAGATCATCAAGGCGAACCGATTTGTGCGCAGCGACTTCGATCCCAAGTTCTTACTGGAATACACAGACATCCGCGTCTTGTCGCCGAACAGGCAAGAGGAAGACGATCTCGACAACCATCGCAGTACGGTGACGCCCAACGAATGTCGACTTCGCGATATGACATATGCGGCGCCCATTGTTGTGGATATCGTGTACACAAGAGGAAGCGCAAAGGTGAAGCGGACGGGCATCAAGATCGGGAGAATGCCAATTATGCTGAAGAGCAACAAGTGCGTTTTGGCCGCGAAGAACGACCGCGAGATGGCTGTCATGGATGAGTGTCCGCTGGATCCGGGAGGCTACTTTATCACACGAGGGCAAGAGAAAGTCATTCTCGTGCAGGAGCAGCTGAACAAGAATCGTGTCATTGTCGAGAGCGCAAAGGGTATCATGCAGGCTAGCGTTACGAGTTCTACACACGAAAGGCGAACGAAGACGTATGTCATCCAGAAGAAGGGACTCATGTTCCTGCGACACAACACGTTGTCAGAGGAAGTCCCCATCGTCTTCGTTCTGAAGGCACTTGGGGTACACTCGGACAAGGAGATTTTGCTCATGATAGCAGGCACCGATGCCGCATATCAAGACAGCTTCGCCATCAACTTCGAGGCGTGCGCAAGAGAAGGAATCCACACACAGGAAAAAGCCCTGGAATACATTGGACACCGCGTTCGACTAGTGAAGAAGCCTCTCGGAACCTCACGTATGCGTAATTACCACCTCGAAGCTATCGAATGTCTGGCCAACGTCGTTCTACCGCACGTTCCTGTCGAAGGTACTAACTACCGACCAAAGGCTCTCTACGTTGCATTGATGGCTCGTAGAGTGCTAATGGCGATGCAAGACCCGAAGCTGGTAGACGATCGTGATTATGTCGGAAACAAGCGTCTTGAGCTGTCCGGCCAAATGTTGTCTCTTCTCTTCGAAGACCACTTCAAGCGCTTCAACCACGACTTCAAGCTGAGCATCGACAAGGTGCTCAAAAAGCAGAATCGCGCACAGGAGTTCGACGCCTTCTCGCATTTTAGCGTACACAAGAACCACATCACCATGGGCATCGAGCGCGCCATCGCTACTGGAAACTGGAGTTTGAAGCGTTTCAAGATGGACCGGGCTGGTGTCACTCACGTATTGAGCAGATTGAGTTACATCGCAGCGCTTGGTATGATGACAAGAATCAGTTCCCAATTCGAGAAGACTCGCAAGGTCTCTGGTCCTCGTGCACTGCAGCCTTCGCAATTTGGCATGTTGTGTACGTCCGATACCCCTGAAGGTGAAGCCTGTGGTTTGGTTAAGAACTTGGCCTTGATGACGCACATTACAACCGAGGACGACGAAGACCCTGTGCGAAAGATCATTTTCCTGCTAGGTGCCGAGGAAATCTGCTCACAAACAGGAGAAGAGATCCACCGTGAAGGTGTGTATAGTGTGTGTCTCAACGGTACGCCGATTGCGATCACAGATATACCAAAGCGCTTCTTGAACAGCTTCCGAAAGCTGCGGCGAATGGGCCGTATATCGGAATTTACTAGCATCCACATCAACCACGACTTCTGCGAGGTACACGTCGCCACAGACGAGGGTCGTATTTGCCGGCCCATGATCGTGGTCGAGAACCAGCGCTCAAAGGTCACAGGCCGGTATCTGAAGGCTCTGCGCAAAGGCACAATGGAGTTTGAAGACTTTTTGACACGGGGGCTTGTCGAATACCTGGACACGAACGAAGAGAACGACACCAACATTGCTCTGAAGGAGACGGACATCAACCAACATACAACCCATCTCGAGATCGAACCGTTTACTATCCTCGGTGCCGTCGCTGGTCTCATCCCCTACCCACATCACAACCAGTCGCCTCGTAACACCTATCAATGTGCTATGGGTAAGCAAGCCATTGGCGCCATCGCGTATAACCAGTTCAGTCGAATTGACACCATCCTCTACCTCATGGTCTACCCGCAAGAGCCCATGGTCAAGACTCGCACCATTGAGCTCACGAAATACGACAAGCTACCAGCCGGTCAAAATGCTACCGTCGCAGTCATGTCTTACTCCGGCTACGATATTGAGGATGCGCTCATTCTCAATAAGGCATCTTGTGATCGTGGCTTCGGACGCTGCCAGGTCATGAAGAAAGTCTCGCACCAGCTCAAGTCTTATGCCAACGGCACTTCAGACCGCATCAACGCCGGCGCCCTCAAGGTCGACGATCCGACGCACCAAGCCATCGGTCAAGATGGTATCGCCCAAGTCGGTGCACGCATCAACCAAGGTGACGCATTCCTTCTCAAAGCCATCCCCCAAGATACTGCCGGCCCACCCTCAACCACCTACAAAGACAAGCCCGAGAAATACAAGCTCCCCGACTGTTCCTACATCGACAAAGTCTGTATCACCGAGAACGAAGCCGGCACAACCCTGATCAAGATCCTCAACCGCCAAACCCGCCGCCCGGAACTCGGCGACAAATTCTCCTCCCGCCACGGCCAAAAGGGAACCACAGGCCTCATCGTCCAGCAAGAAGACATGCCCTTCAACGACCAGGGCATCAACCCCGACATCATCATGAACCCCCACGGCTTCCCCTCGCGTATGACCGTCGGCAAAATGATGGAACTCCTCTCTGGCAAAGCTGGCGTCCTCAATGGCACCCTCGAATACGGCACCGCGTTCGGCGGCTCCCGCGTCGAGGACATGGCCGACATCCTCGTTTCCAAGGGCTTTTCTTACACGGGCAAGGACTACCTCACCTCCGGCATCACCGGCGAAGCGCACCAGTTCTACACCTTCTTCGGGCCGATCTACTACCAGAAGCTCAAGCACATGGTGCAGGATAAGATGCACGCGCGTGCGCGCGGGCCCCGCGCTATCCTGACGCGCCAGCCCACGGAGGGCAGGGCGCGCGACGGTGGACTGAGACTGGGCGAGATGGAGCGCGATTGTCTGATTGCGTATGGGGCGAGTCAGTTGTTGCTCGAGCGGCTGATGATCAGCTCGGATGCGCATAATGTGGATGTTTGCGAGAAGTGTAAGTCGTGCATAACCCTATTAGTGCTGTGCTGTGCTAATGAATATCGCAGGTGGGCAGATGGGATACAGCGGGTACTGCAAGCTGTGCGAGAGCGAGAAGGCGGTGCGAAGGATTACCATGCCGTATGCGGCGAAGCTGCTGATTCAGGAGCTGGGGAGTATGAATGTCAAGGTTACGATTGGGCTGGCGGATGAGTTTCCCAGGGAGTCGTAGGAGAGGGGGAAAGTGTACATGCATCATCAGGCGCCGGGTTGGGATTTGCATAGCGAGGCGCAAGTGGGTGGAATTTTGGTCATTTCATTTGGTACGTACGTGCATGGCCGATTTGACGCCAGCGGGTATCTCATCATGTACTTCATGATTATACATCCTTTACTCTGTGATGCGTCTCCGACTCCACACACGCAGCCACGACACCAGCTCCTTACTAGGTGTCCCAGGGAAGCGCCAGAAGCGAGGACCGAGCGCGAATATCAGGGCCAAGCTATTTGCCGGCTCGAGATAGCTTGCGACTTGCAACCACAACTCTACGGGCATCCTGTTAGGCGCATCCAAACGTCCATTTCGATCCTGTACCCGTGCATCGGCTACTATGCGTGTGGTCGTGGTCGGCGAGAGCTCGGGCACCAGGCGCATTCGCAACAGGGTCGGGTAGATGACGAGCGCGAGGTTGATAAACTCTTCCATACCGATGTTGTCGTACAGCATCAGTAGGAGCTCGGCGGGGAGGTCGTTGAAAGATGGCCGGTGTGGTGGTGGCGGCGGTGCGCCGGGTGCTGCCGACATGTCTGATTGCAGGTCCTGACGTGACCGTCTCTCAGTCTGTATGTGGCTTGGGTGCTGGTTCGGCAGCAATAGATAGCAGCCAGCGGTAGATATAGCCGGAGAGGAACCAAGCTCCGATAGCGACCGCAGTGAAGTATATGGCGAAAGGTCCTAGTGATTGCGGAAAGACGTTAAGCAGGAAAGGATCGAGAACTGATTGTGTTAGTATTGGATAGTCTGGTAGAAGGTAAGACAAACTGATATCCACATCGACAGGCTCGGGGTGTACCATCAACGTGCGGTTTGTTGAATAGTAGGATGCTGCAGCCTGGATGCGGAGGAAGAGTAGAGATTGGGCAGCTGTCGGGTCAGCCAACTCGTGAGGTCGTGCTATCTTGGTGTCTGATTCCTGGATTCGTTCACTGTACTCAGCGAGAGAGGAAATGAGTGCGGGCGCATCAAACGTTTGGTCAATTGTGTAGGTGTCCAGCCAGAAATCCGTGGGTTGCTAAGATATGTCAGTGATTGTCACATAGTCACGAGTGGAAGCAAACGCAGCTGTGGTTATGGACTCACTGTTGCAGGCCAGCATATACGGACCTCGTACCTTCGCCCTGCTTCGAGCTGCAAGAGGTACCAGGACTCAAGGCCGTGGGGGGCCGCCGTGGAGGGAAACTGCACAGGCAGCTGCGTGGGCAGAATTGTTTGCGTATGCGACAGGACATGTAGGTGCAGGTCTTCTAGGCTGGGATGGACATTGGGAAGGGTCACGGGACCGGGACCGAGGAAGATGGTCTTCTCGACGTTGGCCTTCACTGTCACGGCTTGTGTGACTATGCAGAGCAGCCCGGCCAGGACGCGCATCTTTGGCGGAGGATTGTGTGGGAGACAGGGGAGGTGAATGCAGACGCTACTATCATGGTCCCTCACGTGGGCCAGAGTTTTGCCATTGGACAACGGTGGTGCTGCGTATCACTGCGGACGGTGGCATCGCATGTCAAGCCCATTGTTGTGTTTTGTGGAGCAACAGGCAGCGGCAATGCAGGTGGAGCTTGGACGAGCACGGACTAGCGCTGTTTACGAACTTCTCCCGTCAAAGTGTATCCCCGCGACCTACATTCGCTCTCAACATCACCCGCAGCCTCCCACACCCAACTGCGGACTCGACTCGACGGATCCATTCAGATACCCAATTAATACCTCCCTCATCCCGTAACCATGAGAGAAGTCATCTCCCTCAACGGTACGCTACCCCACACGGCCACACGCCAGACCGCCTCTAGCGGGACAACCCTGTGATATTTCGACATACTGACATTGACGCGTCTAGTCGGCCAGGCCGGTTGCCAGATCGCAAACTCTTGCTGGGAGGTACGTTTGGGACGAAAGCACGCTGTCCGCCGCCTCCAACCGCCCAGAAAGCGCGAAGAAGGGGGCGGCAATAGCGGGTGCCTGACCGCCATTGCGCGAATTTGTACTGACAGCACCACAGCTCTACTGCCTCGAGCACGGCATCCAGCCCGACGGCTACCTCACTGAGGAGCGCAAGGCCAAGGACGACGACCATGGTTTCAGCACTTTCTTCTCCGAGACTGGTACGCCTCTCCAGCTTAGCCGACATCAACACCAGCGCTAACACCCCACAGGCCAGGGCAAGTACGTCCCGCGTACCATCTACGCCGATTTGGAGCCCAACGTTGTCGACGAGGTTCGCACTGGTCCTTACCGATCCCTCTTCCACCCGGAGCACATGATCACCGGAAAGGAGGATGCCTCAAACAACTACGCCCGTGGTCACTACACCGTCGGCAAGGAGCTCATCGACCAGGTCCTCGACAAGGTCCGCCGCGTTGCCGACAACTGCTCGGGTCTGCAAGGTTTCCTCGTTTTCCACTCCTTCGGTGGAGGAACTGGTTCCGGTTTCGGTGCCCTGCTGATGGAGCGTCTGTCCGTCGACTACGGCAAGAAGTGCAAGCTCGAGTTCTGCGTCTACCCTGCGCCGCAGGTCGCCACCTCAGTCGTCGAGCCGTACAACTCCATTCTCACCACACACACCACGCTCGAGCACTCTGACTGCTCCTTCATGGTCGACAACGAGGCCATCTACGACATCTGCCGCAGGAACCTCGGCATTGAGCGCCCCAACTACGAGAACTTGAACCGTCTCATCGCACAGGGTATGGGAGTCCCGTCGTCTATGCTATACATTCTTGCTGACAAACTCTAGTCGTCTCATCCATCACTGCCTCGCTCCGATTCGACGGATCCCTGAACGTCGATCTCAACGAGTTCCAGACCAACTTGGTCCCCTACCCCCGTATCCACTTCCCTCTCGTCGCTTACGCGCCCGTCATCTCCGCCGCCAAGGCCGCCCACGAGGCCAACTCGGTCATGGAGATCACCAACGCCTGCTTCGAGCCCAACAACCAGATGGTCAAGTGCGATCCTCGCAACGGAAAGTATATGGCTACCTGCCTGTTGTACCGCGGTGACGTCGTCCCCAAGGACACCCACGCTGCCATTGCACACCTCAAGACCAAGCGCACCGTGCAATTCGTCGACTGGTGCCCTACCGGATTCAAGATCGGTATCTGCTACCAGCCACCCCAGAACGTCCCCAACGGCGACCTCGCATCCGTCAACCGCGCCGTATGCATGCTGTCCAACACCACTGCCATTAGTGAGGCCTGGTCCGCTCTGTCGCACAAGTTCGACCTCATGTACTCCAAGCGTGCCTTCGTCCACTGGTACGTCGGTGAGGGTATGGAGGAGGGTGAATTCTCTGAAGCCCGCGAGGATCTCGCTGCCCTGGAGCGCGACTACGAAGAAGTGGCCGCCGATAGCCTTGGCGATGAGGAGGGCGTTGAGGCTGAGTACTAGACGTCTTGTGCTGCGCATGTAGATGTGAGGAAACGCGAAGATGATCGGTTCAGTATTGTTGATTGGTGTGTCTTTATTCGAAGCTACGCTTTTGATGAGGACATGTACCTCTTGGCGATGATGAGCGGTGGAGTTTTGGAGGGAATTGCCCTGCTTTCTATGTTACTACTCTTTAGTAATGGCCAATAAATTGACTTCGGCTCATTGGACGTCTTGGTGATGACTTTGCGAATGATTTGAGGTGGCAACTAACACCAGCGTTACGATGAATAGCTCAAATAATGGCGAGGAATAACTCAAACAGTTGCGAGGAATAACTCAAACAGTTGCGAGGAATAACTCGGAATAACTCAAGCAGTTGCGAGGAATAACTCAAATAGTTGCGAGGAATAACTCAAGCAGTTGCGAGGAATAACTCGGAATAACTTAAGCAGTTGCGAGGAATACCTCAAACAGTTGCGATTTGTGCAAGGTGTGCCCGATGCATCATAACCAATGATTGAAGAACAGTATCCAGGACGCTATGCTACGAGTTTCTCATATAATCAGATCCAAACGATGGAACAACCTTCTATATTCATCTAATAATCATCCTCAATATCCTCGACCCTCTCCATGGCCTTCTTCTCCGCCAGCTCCCTTATCTTCTCACCCAGCACATCCCTCCCATACCTCGCCGCGACCTTGCCCGCTAAATCCAGCATCTTGCCATTCGCATCCCTCATCAAACTGACAATCTCCAACGCCTTCATGCCATGATCCTCGCCGGCCAGACACTCCAAGCCCAGCAATTGCAGCAGCGCCCGATCAATCGCGACTTCCAAGTTCGTCAGGTCCTGGCGCTGCGCGGGCGAGGGACGAGTCGCTTGGATGGTCGAAGAGAGTTGCGAGTGCAAGGTAGACGACAGGATGAAAGCCTGTTCGTGATCCTGCTGTTTCGCCTCGCTCTTCTTCGCAGCAGCGCTGCCGTCTTCATCATCGCTCCCTTCCTCCTCGGGCGCGTTCTTCTTCTTTTCGACGGCGCTGCTGAGCGGGATTTCGAAGCCGAATTCAGACAGGTGCGGGACGGGCGCGGAGGGGTATGTCTCTTTGCCCTTGATGATCATGCAGTGGAATTTGATGTCTGTGGCCGAACTCGAGTCGGACGCGACGCCCACGGGCCAGTATGATTCTTCTTTGCCTCCCGAGGCAAGACGGCTGAGGCACTTTGTGTCGAGCATGGGGACCCAGCGGGCCTGGCCGGCGGTGCGCCAGCCAAGGCAGGTTAGGAGGACACCCGAAGAGTCGTAGATGTAGGGATCGCCTTCGGCTGAGAAGAAGACGGATGTGAGCTGGGTATTGGGTGGGAGGGCGAGAATGTCCGAGTCTTGGTAGATGGTGTCGTGTTTGATGTTTTCGATGGTGTAGAGGAGCTGCGTACTGAGGTCGGATTGAATGGGTCCGTTGCCGATGGTGAGGATGTAGTCGCGCCATGCTGCGCAGGTTACGGCTGGGCTGGACTTTTGGCGGTAGACGCGGATGGGGAGGCCGAAGAGGGAGAAGATGCGGACGTAGTTGGCGGAGGTTGTGACGCAGACGTAGGAGTCTGAGAGAGCGATGGCAGTCACGGACTCACCAGCTGGTAGGTTCGTGCGCCACTCTGTTCGGGTAGTCCAGGTCTCGTGTGGTCGGTAGTAGATCATGCCTGGGTTTCCGTCGCCAGTGCTGTTCGGTTGGCAGGCGAAGAGTGTGCCGTTTTCGTTAAGACACGCTTTATCGTAAAGGAAGATGTCAGTAAAGTGGAAGTTGCGGAAAGTGTGTTCGTCGTAGAACTTGACGGACACAGTGTGATGTCGGCCTTCTTGCGAGACAGTTTCAACGTATCCAGTTAAAGAGCAGCAAAGGAGTCTTCGATTGCCTCGCCATGGTGTTGCACCGGGCTGGAAGGGCTCATGGACTTGTGGGCGGAACATGGCACTACTTGTAGCTCGCCGTTTGGAGGAGGGCTCTATGCCGTTGGCAATGTGGACATTCGGACGCTTGCCATGGCCATTCAGAGCAGGTGCATAGCCAGCACCATCGTCGTCAACTACAAAATCGTTCATCTCTTCGTCGCCGTCTTCATCCGCTTCGTCGTCCCTGAAGTCAGGGCCGAGCAAATCGTCTAGAGAGTCCGGTGTCCCATCTCTTGGTCTTGGTCTCCTCTCTGGCAAGGTCATCTTCGTACCATTTGCAACTTTATCTGGTGCCGGGGCAACTCCAGCACGGCCACCTGCAGGGTCGTGGAAGAAGGGTGCTGATACGGTAGGCTTTTGTAGCAGCGGTAGCTGGTCTTCGGGCACAAAGCCTGTGTGGATAAACAGTTCGCCTTCGTTGTTGGTGTAGGACAAGATATTCTCTGTTGGATGCCATGCCATTGCAAGAATGGTAGCCTTCACATCGTCGAACTTCTTTAGCATCTTCTGTGTCTTGGTGTCCCAGAGACTGAGGTTCAAGTCACTTGAGGTTGTTGCCAGAAGAGCACCATTCGGCGACCAAGCGGCTGCTGTAATGTCTGCACTATGGCCAGTCTTGAAGACCCTTTGCCGTTCCCAGTCGCTTGTGGACATGACCTGGACATCCCGCAGCGCTGTTGGTGTAGCGAACGCTCTGCCGTCCGGATGCCATAGCACCCTCGAGCTAGATTCCGCGTCTGTTTCCAGACTCTTGATCATGCCGTCAATCTTCTTGACCATTTCAGGTTGATCTTCCTCCAGAGAGTACATGTAGATGTTGCCGTCAGCGCAGGAAACAGCGAGCTGCTTGCCCGTCTTATCGAAGGACACATGTTTCACAGCTCGAGGCTGGTCGCGTAAGGTCCGTCTTTTGGTCGTGTCGTTTACGTTCACTATGTTTACAACAAGTTCGCTAAGATAATTAGCTTTTGCCTATGAATGGTGGTGGTCAACGTACTCGCTCGCGACAGCAATCCACTGTCCGTCTGGACTCAGTGCCACATCTCGTATGGGCAGAGTGGCTCTGTCCAATATTTCCTCGAATTTATTCCCGTCGAGTGTGTACTTGCTCACTGTACCATCCTCGGATCCCGTGATGAAGAAGCCGCTCTGCGTCGTCCATTAGCGACAGTTTCTGTGTTCGATGTCTAGCATACATACACCAGCTACTATCGTTGTATTGTCTTCTTGGCAGTTGTCTACTGTAACAGGCTCGTCGTCGGATCCGGTACTGAACACGCGGCAGTAGTTGTCAACTCCGGCTGTAATGAGCTTCTTTCCGTTCGGTGTGTATGCGAGGTAAGTTGCGCCAGGGGCATCTACATGTTCAGTCAGCTTCGAGAACAAACGCGCAGCCTAGACCAATACTTACGGGCCTGTCTTCCCTGCATTCTCGCCATTATTATCAGGGTATGGTGTGGTTGTATGCGATAGTTCGTGATGCGCGTCGGTTTCGCGGACGACGCGCCTGCAATTCGGACGCGTTAAGTGACCCATTCTGGGACTAGCGCTAGTGTTCCCCACCTCATCTCAACTTCCTTCAGATGTTGAAAACGCAATATCAAATACCAACTTTCTTAACTGCTACAACGTAGCCTGGGGCCTGGTGTCGGTTTGTTTCCCTATCGAGATTGTTGTGACATATGATAAGAAGTATTTCATCGCCTCTTGCTCGGCTGCCATTTCATGTACTACATCCACTACTACATGCCCATGTGGTGTTAAATACGATGGAATGCGACCAGTATGCAATGGGTAGCAGATATTCTGCTAGCCTGAAACTATTCAAATGTTGCTACCATTGCATTTCAATTCTAGCTGTACCGCGAATACCTTCCGGCTATCCCATCTTGTGTGCTCTGTTTGACCAGTCAACTTGGAGTGAATGAATATGAGCCGCTAAAACCGCAATCGTCACCGCATGGACCACATCTTCCAGTACGTTCTCTGCAGGCTCTCCCTCTCCACTCCAAACACTCCGCACTCTTGACCCAAAACTCCCCACCATGGCGGCCTCGACGGCAGTCCTACGGGGTCAAGAAAATGCCACCACTGAGTCGACTCATCCCAGATCCTTCTGCGCTCTACCCTAACCCTCTAGCAAAAACAAAACTAGAATTAGTCTTGTTTGGATTTCTGTGTCGCAGATTGTTGGAGAGGGACGAATTTGGTCAGGTTGAAGGAAAGCCATCGCGACACTGTCTATTTGCGTTGAGCTGCTTCAAGCGTTGACAAAGCCGTAAACATGTGATAACCAATATATTTCATACAAATCAAGACAATCTGAGGCGTATGTATACGCCCCAATTCTCCCTTCCTCCAGGCTTTCCATTACCCAGTCGCGACGCAGATACAAACTGCCTTTTTCCAACGCCAAAAGTTTTCCTCGCCAGAGCCTTATCTGATGCTCTGTCAGGCAAATTAACAGTCGAGAATACTCGACTCTGCCATCTCCTCCCGAAAATTCGGTATAGGCACAGCCACGACCTCATTCACACGACACCAGCCAGTCACCCTGCCCTTGTAGTATGCGCACTCCGGCCAGATATGCCCATTCAAGTCTGCGCGCTTGTCCCACGTAGCCACGTGTTTTCCTGACGGAGGATACCATGCTATAACCCTGATGTTGGATCCTTCGTCCACAAGCTTCTTGAAAATGAGGTCCGTTAACAGCTGTTTTTGCGATGCAGTCTGGTCGATGCCTTCATCAGATTCAGGCCGATGTGGGACTTCAGTCCAGTGAAGGAATGGGATGTCCATGATTCGGAGTGTATGTAGCTTTGGAAATGCGGCGATGGTTGACTTCAAGACAATTAGCGCGATGCTTGTGGAGTGGGAGTTTAGAGAGGCTTACCAATCAGACTTGGACATCAGAGGTAAGGACCGGATTTAGAAAACGGGCATCTTCCAATCCCAAAGGCTCACTTCCTATATCGGGCGTGCTTAGACCAAGAAAATGATGAGAATGTACAGTAAGAGCCTGAGAGATTAAGTCATTGCGAAAAGGCTAGCTATTAATTTCCAGAAGCGAAGGCTGTCTATTATTGATGTTTTTTTGTGACTCATTCAATCTAAGAAAGTCTGTGAGTATGCACAAACATGACAATGACAACATCATTGAATACACAAAAACTCCGTGGAATCCGATACAATTAGTCATTGCATCACAAACGACAGTTCCGCTTCTGCCGCATACTCCTTCGCAAAGTCTTTCAGAACCTGCTTCCGCCTCTGCGCCATCTCCTTCCCACTCTTAGTCTTCATCAGGTCCGCCACCTTGTACAGCTTCTCTTCGAAGTGATCGATCGCCCGTGTCATCGGCTCGTCAGGACACTTGGCTGCACCATACGAGAAGCATCGGGCCACACCGATTGCACCTATTGCATCAAGTCTGTCCGCGTCTTGCACGATGGCCAGCTCCGGGTACTTCTGCAATGTGGCGACGACGGCTTCTGGATTACGAACTTCGTGCGAGTAGCTCACATGTTTGACAACAGCCTGAACCCTCAAAGCCATATCCTCGCTTGCGCCTCGCTCGCGCAACAATGCTGAGATCTGGTTCTCGACATCCTCTCCGGGCTTGGCGTACTTGCGGTCTCCGACGTCGTGGAGCAGTGCGGCTAGGAACAGTGCTGTGTTGTTGTATGACGTGGAAGGGTTGGCCTCCAGTTCAGCGGTCAGAATACGGTTGGCATTTGAAGTGACGCGCATGATATGCTGGTAGTCGTGAGAGTTGTCGTGTCCTGGCTGTGACATGTATGCGTGAACGTATTTGTTGACAGATGCGAAGAGCTCTTTGTAGTTCTCATCGATGGGCACCTGGGGCGCGCGGATTGATATTTCAGCCGTGGCCATCGTATTAGACTTGTTGTATAGAGGCCAAGTCCTAGGATTTATGCCGACGCGGATGTGGTATATGATGCGACTTGTGGTTCGCCTTCAAATATGTAGAGATGCACAGTCTGTGCTCGCAATTACTATGCGATGATTGTGGCACGTCAAACTTGGAGAAGGAAGGAGTCAGAAATGAATGGACCATGCTTAGTCAAAGCGAGCGGTGAACGTAGGCAGTCTAACGGAAATGGCCGAAGACTGCTTTGGTTTGCACAAAGACGTGTTTTGAGTTACGCGCGGTCACATGTTCAGGGAACTAATTCCACTTCTAGATCGTGTAGCGCCCTTCTTGCACTGGTGAACAGCGATGCAAAGTTGGGGCACATTGATTGCAACCGTATCTGGCTCACATATACGCGCTTAAGTCGTACCTCGCTTTGTAGGGAGCGTATGTGTAGTATGAGCAATTGGAAGCCTGCTACAATCTTGGAAAGGGCGGTCGTCGGCTAGGCTGAAACCAAAAGCAATGGTCAAGGACAGAACTACTAACCGCACAGGAAATTTTACTTTGAATGGTTGTATGAAGAAAATTCAGAGTTGCAAGATAGCAGGTGGAGTATGATAGCAAGACTGATGAAATGGAATGCACATGATCTGGAAAGCGTGCAGGGTTCTTGATATTTGGGACCTCGGCAACAGTGCGCGCCTTGCATGAATGACTTCACCCTGATCGCACCAGCCCCCCGTGACCCGCAACCGACAGACATCACCACCCACCAGCGCGATCCCTTACGACAATCCCCAGCGACTGGGGCGCCAATCGCGATGTACAAACAAGCGACTCAACGGACGACAGAGGTGCTGTCCATGCCAACGCAGTGGCTGGGCATGTACTCTGACTTCATCACCAAGAACAGCAGCGCAGTGACACAAATAGAGTCGGCGTTGCGGTCGCTCACATACATCATTCCTGGTACAAATCTACGAACGGCTGTCGCGAGACACATGAATACTGACTGTATATAGGACGCTTCCGAGAGTCCGAGATCGCGTCCGAGTCCCGTACGTCTTGCGCGGCACGTCGCGCTTTACATATACTAACGACAATGCAGTGCATAGCGGTGTGCAACTACTTTCCCTCTACCATGACTCCCTTCTTTCGAAAGCAATGGCGCAAATGGCAGGCACGCGCAAGCATCCAGTGACCCCGCATCATCGATATACCAAGTTCTGGACGCAGAAGTCGACCACGTACAAGCGCGTTGCGCAGGTGTTGCAAATCATCCAATACACTGAACTGTTATGGGAAATGGCAGCAAAGAGGAAGGGCGAGAAGGTGCGGTGGCGTGTCATTGTGCTGTTGGAAATCATCAAGGCTGTGTGTCGGTTACTGCTCTTGAGATTAACGAACTCGAGACCGCTCTTATCACCACCATTGCCACAACGAGAAATTGATCCCAGCTCGTTGGAGGATTCCACGGCATCTGCAGACGGAATGGACACCCCACCAAGCGAGCGCTCGGTAGAGGCGGAGAACTGGACGATGCCCAGGACTGGACTGTCGATGCCGAGTCTTCCGGATTCATCAGACATCTCAAACTACTTGCTATCAAAGGTGCTCACTGCGGACGACATCAAACCCCCGAAAGCACTGCTTCACCGCGTCAACGGCAAGGGCGAACTGGCCGAGGCACTCTACATACTTCGACCGGTCATTTATGCTCTTGCAATGCAACAATTCAGTGGCGACAGGAAGAGCTGGAGGCCTTGGTTGATTGGCGTAAGCATCGAATACGGTGCACGACAACTCGCCAAGAAGGACTTCCAAGAGCGATTAGCTGGTGGACTGCGAGGCTTGACTGGACTCGAGCGCGAAGAGCTGAAGAAGCGCGGCTGGGCTCTTGGCTGGTGGATGATGCGCGGAGCCTTCTACGAGAACATCACCAAGTAAGTCTATCATGCCCGCTCTGTTGGAGTAGCTACTAACTGTTGCAGATCCTGGATACATTCATTGACTGGAAAGCTCAAGGGCAAGCCGCTTCTTGACATGGTTGGTGGTGTCATCGAGGACTACGAGTTCCTCTGGGACCAGTACTATTTCCCGACTGCTACCATGTAATGCTTTTCTTTTACGTGTGTAGTCGGCGCACCTTGTATGGTCATGCAGATGTTGGGTTACTGGGCCGGTCCTCTTGTTCTATTAGCTACATTTTCTTTCGTTTCCTGGATGTACATTATGCCTTCACTAGATACCACATTACGTTGTTAAATTATACGAGCATTGTAATACAAAATGTTCCACTATGATGAACCTCAAGGGTTGTGGAGCAGTGATTACGCGCTACCAGCGTGCCTGGAGCTCGGACGTCGGCATTGGTCAACTTCGTTCCGACAGCTTCGATGACCATCGCAGAGCCGCATCAACACCAAACCACAACACCCCCGCCGCCGTCCACCCCGACTCTATCACCTCTTCCGCCTCCGTCATCACCTTCTTCTGGCTATACTGAGTGCGAATCCTCAAGATGCCCGCCACCACAGCAGAGACGCTGTCGCTCGTGACCCGCAACGTCTCGGTTGCGCCGCTTGTGCTCCTCTCCGCAGCAGATCACTACGGCCGCCAAGCGAAGGGAACAAGGAAACGTGTAGTTGGTGTGCTTTTGGGGCAGAATGATGGCAAGAACGTGCGCGTGTCAAACAGCTTCGCTGGTATGTGCACCTGCGATTCCCGATTCGCCGCCTGGGTGGCATAATTATGGCGGGCAGTGTGGCAGCAAGCTAACAATCGCCCAGTACCATTCGAAGAGGACGAGAAAGACCCTTCAGTATGGTTCCTAGACCACAACTACGTCGAGTCGATGAACGACATGTTCAAGAAGGTCAACGCACGAGAGAAGCTCATTGGGTGGTATCACACAGGCCCCAAGCTTCGCGCATCAGATTTGGAGGTCAACGAGCTGTTCAAGCGATACACACCGAACCCGCTTTTGGTCATCATCGATGTGCAGCCGAAGGAGGTCGGCGTGCCTACAGACGCCTACTTCGCGGTTGAGGAGATCAAGGACGACGGCACAACTACCTCCAAGACCTTCGTACACACACCATCGATAATCGAAGCCGAAGAAGCCGAAGAGATTGGTGTCGAGCACCTTCTCCGTGACATTCGCGACGTCGCTGTCGGCACCCTCTCCACACGCATAACCTCACAACTGCAGTCGCTACAAGGGCTGCATCTGCGGTTACGGGACATCGGCCAGTACCTGCAGAAGGTTCTTGACGAGGATCTGCCGGTCAACCATGCCATTCTTGGCAACCTACAAGACGTCTTCAACCTGCTCCCCAACCTGTCAACGCCCAAGGCCGCACCTGTGGGTGGCGCTACCAACGGTGTCGGCTCTGCGGCGGGCGCAGCAGGTGCCATCGACAATGGCGAGCTCGCAAGAGCAATGAGCGTCAAGACGAATGACCAGCTCATGGCCATCTACCTGTCAAGTTTGATCCGCGCCATCACCGCCTTCCACGACCTGATCGAGAACAAGATCAAGAACAAGCAGCAGGCAGAAGATAAGAGAGGCTGGCAAAGAGGAAGGCAAGGATGGCGAGAAGGAAAAGAAGGCCGAGACACCCAACGGGGAGACCAAGGAGGGTGACAAGAGCAAAGAGAAGGCCAAGGAGCCCGAGAAGAAGAAGTGAGGGACCTGATAACGCGCGACGATAGAGCGCATGCATCTCGCCCTCAGCGAGGCTGTACTATACCGCATAAGGATCTACAGCAGAGCGTCAAGCACACTTGGCGTCACTTGAAGTCCCGTGGCATAATGATATGATAGATCCAGCATGAACAAACCTCATAAGATCCAATGACAATAACTCCATACATTCATGGAGTTATATGTACTCCGTGCATTCATATTCGCGTAATTCCACATCCTCATCAAGCCGCGCTGCAACGGCTGGGTATCAAAGGCAGCAATCCCCACTCCCACTCTCATAATCACACATTCAATCCCCCCACCCCGCAGCCCACCCCACCGCCTCCTCAACACCGACCTCCCTCTCCACCACAAACCCCCCAAACAACCCCGCACACTTCTCCACCAGCACGCACGCCAGCAGGTGCTTGCATACAGGCGGTATACCCTCGCCCAAGCTCACGCCGCCGAACCATGCATCCTCCGTCGCGTCGCTGGGCTGGTATGTGGGCTCGGGATGCACGGCTGGAAACGCAGCGAATGCAAAGGCGGGACACGAGCAGTTCCACGCACGCAGGCGGACCTGGTAGGACGTAGACGTGTCGTAGGAGGATGCGTGGCGACGGGGTTGAGCGGAGGAGACGTAGTAGATGCTTGAGGGTGTGTAGTCGTGAGCAGGAGCCGTTGTGGAGTTATTCCGTGCTGCTGAGTCCTCGTTTCGCGTATTTCCATTTTCATCACTGATCTTCAGCCTCACAACGAGTCTGCGATCGAGTAAATCCAGCGCGGGGAGAAACTCGGATGGGAACAGGACTTGCGAGTGAGAGCAGTTGTTTCTTCGCGGACTCGGGCACGCTGCTCAATGGGTTCGTGGCCGCATCGTGAGTGCCCGCAGACGACGGCAGTGCATCGAGGAGCTGCGTTATGAAGCGGCGAGACGTTGGTAGAGACATCGTGATGGACATGTTGCTGTGGGCATGTTTGATGGGGATGGGAATGACGTCGGCGGGGGATTTTTTCACGGTGCAAATAAGGTTGTGGAGGGTGAAGACGGGAGTGGAGATCGCGGGACGCACTGGGCACGCCCGCACGTGGGAGTGGGAGATCTTCGTATTTTCACGATTCAGTTTGCATGCGAATTGTTCAAAGTAGGAATTGCGTGCAGCAACAAGTTTGGCCAAAGATGCATCGCATTGGAAGTTGCAATTGGACACTGCTTTTCTCCTTTCCGAGTGCATCATCAACGCATTGCGCAATACGAGGCGAGGCGTATCTGGACTCCGAATCAAACTCAATCGCTGGTCAGCAATCTCACGACCGCATTCTAAGAATCGCCCCTTTTGATTATCTGACTGTGCTGCCCAGGCCTCGCAACGAGTTTGTCCTCAGCACGGGGACCGGTCTGGCCTAGGCAGCCAAAGTAACGCTCGAACGCAGGGCGAACCAACACCAACGCTGCGTGCGCACAGACACCGACGTCATTGTTTGAAGCGCAAATGACAGGACTGCGCCTTACTCTGCTCGCGTTTGACCTTCGAAACGAAGTCCTGCACAGGCAAGTGTCAAAAGCATGGAGAAATGCAGGGGACCCCATGGCCTGCAACCTCCAGAGGCAGGGCAGCAGACGACAGGGTCATCTGCCTGAATTGGCCTATCGGGATGACCACTTTAGCGGCAGCCTTCGCAACGCAAATCGGGTCTAGAAGGGCATCGCGCGGGCAATCGACAGAGGTTCCCTTCGATTGAAACGCCCACCAAGGCAAGAGGCTAGCCTGCGCTCGAGCGTTGGTTCTCGCGCTGCAAGTGTTCCTAATTCTGGAAGCCGGCCACGGTGAGGGGTGGAGTCCGAGAGCTAATTCATCCAGGAAGGCGACAAGACCGTGATAAGCATCGGTAATTGGCGGTCTTGCGCATTTTGGGCTACCAGCGGGAGGCGCGCGCGACACAATTCCATGGTACTGTTCCAGACGGTCGATGATTGCTGAGGGGTTAGTGCACCATACCCCTCCCCCACAAACCGATAAGATAAGGAATGCGCCGGGATAGTGATGGATGACCTTGGACGAAGCAACAAGAGGGTGTATCGAGCAGACACCTCGTGACCAATGTGTGGTGGGTCGCTGCGGCCACATTCTTGATCAAGTCGGTGCAATTGTGGTCATTTTGTTCTCCCACTGTCCTGCTGAGACACACCTGCGAACATGTGAAAGTCGCGGGAGGGCCCACGAGATGCACGCCCATTGGCAGTAGGGCACGCAGGGGAAGCAGCACAGTGGGCGAATGGACCTTGTGCCGCTGCAAGACATAGCACCTTGAACCTAATGGGCGGCGTCAATTGCGGCGGTGGCGTCCACTTTGAGCGCCCGTGTCACAAGATCACAGATGGGCCGGACCAATTCGTGTTGGTCGATGGCGGTTGTCTCGGTGCGAACGCCTCTGATCTGCGTGCTATGGGTGTGCAGCACGGCGGAACTCAGCAATTGACCTGTCTGTTGAGCTGCTCAGGCTCCGTGAAGCAGGCGGGGTCAATTGGGCGTCGTAGCAGGTTGACCGATGTGACTGGCACCAGGCGGAAAGCTACATCAATTGACAGCTGTGTCAGGGAATGTGGAGCGAGTAAACAGTCATCTTCGCATTGAGTTGAGGGCGGTCAGCTCCACGGAGCAAATGACAGACAAGCCGCGAGGAGAATGACGAAAGCGGTGACGGCGTCCACCGGACGGTGAGGAGAGAGTGGGCAAGTGGGCAAGTAGGCTACCGTCAGGACTGTAACACGTAGATTCCTGCTGGCGTCACAGCCTGGCAGCCAATGGCACGGGCAATGCAATGCAATGCCTGAGAGCAGGAAGCAGGACGTTGACAGCAATTGAGCGGGCATCAATGGCAGTCGACGACGTGGTGCTGGCAGTATGGACTGCGCGTAGGATGCGTGATGGGGCGGTGGAGTGCGAGTTGGGGGTCGGGCACACGATGCGCCGCCGGGACGCCCCTTGCCTATCCTGGCTTACGCCCAGGGAAGAAGGTGCGATGGAGCGCTTTCTAAATTCGCCAGTGACTCAATCCTCTCTGACAGCTCGCCCTTCGCTGCCTCGCCGCCATTCCCCTGCAATTATTGGCTGCCCTGCTGCGCATCCGCTAGGTTCGCTGCTGTTCCATTCACTTCTCCATGGCCGCCAGGCCAGATTCGTCAGCGCGCCGCCATTCCCGGCCGTGGGCGCAATGCCGGCGGACGTGCAATTGATGATGCCTGGAGGATCAGAGCCTGGCACCTGAGCACTGGGGCGCCTACCACACCCTCTTTGTCCGGGTTGCTTGCACATGTCTCATCAAAGGACAGGTCATGTGGCTTACCACTGAAACCGCTGCCGACTTGTCAGGCGGTGCACGCTGCACACCTATAAGTCGCGTCCACCCACCCAGCGACTCGGCTTGATTTTGGCCATTCCGCTATACCTCTCGTCCTATCTCCGCAGCCAATTCAGCTGCCAGTTACTAATTGACTTCCGCCGTCGATGTGGTAAGCAGCAGCTCGGGCAATTGGCACGCTTCTGTCGCGTTCCACGGGTCGTTTGCGACTGGGTCACCGAACCGCACATAACCACAGCTCCGCCACCGTTTCCCCCAACCAAGGCTCCCTGCGCCCAACAGTCATATTGCTACCAGAATCGTTCGCCTCGCCAGTTCCGCTCTTCGCCCACGGCTGCCTTGAGTTATTTAAATCCGCTTCCCCGCCCATTCCGACGCTTGCCATTGACAAACTCCGCACACTCGACACGCCATGGCAAACATGCTCCAGAAGACACCTCCAAGCCACCGTCTAACGGTTTCCTCGCTCCTCTCGCCACCCGAGATGCAACGCTCCGAGTCGTTTGGCTCGTCGATTGCACCCACCTCATTCTCCAGCGTCACTTCACAGTCCTCTACCGACACCCTCAAACGCCCCCACTTCAATAACGCCATGATGGACTATCAGGCCCAGCTGCTCCTCCAGCGGGGCCATGCATATGCATCGCCACCAATCTCTCCATACGAAACACAGTCGCAAAAGGAGAACATGGAGGTTGTGGACGAGCAAGGTGCCGTCGATCCCCAGCTGTTCGCCTCAAGCAGCAACTCCGCGCCCGTTGCGCTTGAGCCACTGTTCCCCCAGGAGCCGGCCTCCCAGACCATTTCCAAGCACATGCAGTCACCAAGCTACGCACGCCTGCAGACCAGGCCCTCTCTCGAGGACTACGAACTCGCCGTCACCTTCAGATCTACTGTCTACGAGCAGGCCTTCAAGAACCCCCGTGCGTGGAGAGAACAGGAGCGACGCTACGAGGAGTACTACGGACGTCCTGCCGGTGTGCAAAAGCGACCGGTCCTGAAGAAGCTTGCACCTGCACCCTCCTCGCGAGCTCGCCAGCCAAAGGTTGCCCTCGCACGTATCCCTCCTCGTGCTCCCCGTGCGCGAGAGCCCAAGCGCACACCCAAGGCTTTGCCTCTCGACTCGTTCGACCACTCCCCAGTCGTTGCATCTCCCAAGCAGGCGCGCATCACCACCAACCGCGACGACACCGACTACAACGCCCTTCCTGACTACTGCCCCTCGGTCGACACTCTGCCCAAGGGTAACCCCAAGTGCCTCAAGGCTGAGTGGAAGGGCACAGTGCTCGATCTCTCCAATGATCCCGATCGGCACATGTTGCACGAGGCTGAGGTTCACCTCGCCGCAACGCTGCGCCTCAACTGCGCAACGTACCTCTGCAGCAAGCGCCGTGTCTTCCAGGCTCGCATTGAGGCCATGAAGATCGGCAAGGAGTTCCGCAAGACCGACGCCCAACAGGCTTGCAAGATCGACGTCAACAAGGCTAGCAAACTCTGGCAATCGTACGACAAGGTCGGCTGGTTCAACCCTGAGTACTTCCGCAAGTACCTCTGAGCATCTCCTCCTGCCATTTCTTTCTCATGTTACGGTTTACTCTTCATGCACGACGTTGCATAGCATCTCACCATCGGAGTTTCGGATTTTTGTTTACTGGATCAGACTGTCACCAGTCCAGGGACGACAGCAGTCGCTTCCCCTCATTGCATGGATGAATCATGATAGGCGTTTATGGTTATATTCTTTCATGGGCCCATGTCTTCATTGAGGCACCGGGCGGAGTGTCATGGCGTTTGTTGTATTGGATGGATTTCCTTCATCAGCATATTCGATACCCCCGAGTCAGCACAAGTTGTTGTTTCGCAGTCCTCGTATGGGCTTGCCAGCGCGCACCCTTGCCGCTCCATGTTAGGTAGTTTAGACGGATCTCATTTAACATGCATTACTTCTCAGTCAACTACATGTGCTCTCTGCTTAACGTGATGCATCGATATTGCACGCAATTGCCATGGTGATTTTATTATCTCCGTGTGAGGCTCCGCCGTGCAGACCCTGACGCGCGAAAACGGGGCTCGGACAAGGTGGAGCGGGGACGTGTAAGATCCGTGGCGCGGCCTGTCACTAAATCGGGAAGAGGCTTGGCCAAGCTCAAACGTTCATCCGCCGCGTTCCTCAGATTCATCCGTGAGCAGCAACGACTGCAGTACCCTCCCACCACCAAACCCGCGGAGTCGTGCGGAAATAGCCGCCATGTCGCAAACACAGCAGGTCGAGCACACGGACTCGATATCCAGCCAGGACCCAGCCCGCGAAGACACCAAGAAGACGAAGAGCAGAAGGCCACCGAGTAAGCGGCACAGCGGGGCGACGTTGCGCAAGGAAGAGCGATACTGACGGGCTTCAGATACGGCGTTTCGACAGCAGCGCTTGAAGGCATGGCAGTGAGTACAATGCGCTGTGGGACAGCACCAGATGACGGCTAACAGCCCGCGACAGACCCATCTTGACCCCAAAGACGGTCCTTCCGCTATTCTTCATCGTCGGCATTATATTCGCGCCCATTGGGGGACTGCTGCTGTACGCGAGCGCAAAGGTCAGCATACTCGATCAGGAAGTGCGCGAGTGGCAAGCTGACATGGGAACCAGGTCCAAGAGATCTCCATCGACTACACCGACTGTGTCGCGAATGCACCCAACACGACCGCGAACTTCGAGATTGGCGAGTCACTCGCAGAGATTCCTAGCCAACATGTGTCGGCGACCTTCAATACCAAGATGAAAGAACAGCCCAGATGGGGCCGTGCACGCGACAACTACACCTGGCCAATGTCTGGAGTGTCCAGAGAGACAGATGTCTGCATATTGAGCATTGCCATCCCCAATGATATCAAGCCGCCGATTCTGTTCTACTACCGCCTCACCAACTTCTACCAGAATCATCGTCGCTATGTCAAGTCCGTCGACATCGATCAGCTCAAGGGCAAGGCAAAGAGTGCCGCTGATATCAACTCTGGCGATTGTACCCCTCTCAATACGAATGAAGACAACAAGCCATACTATCCTTGTGGGCTGATTGCGAACTCAATGTTCAATGACACCTTCGACAACTTCAGCATTTCGAATCTCCCAAATGCCCCGGCAGATGGCAAGCAGCAATTTTTCAACTTTACCGCTCACGGGACGTCCTGGTCCCATGAGGCTGATCTCTACGGAAAGACTGCTTACAAGGCTGATGAGGTAGTCCCACCTCCGTTCTGGAAGGACCAATGGCCTGAAGACGGCTACAATTCGACTGGACTTCCTGATTTACATACTTGGGAGCAGTTCCAAGTGTGGATGAGGACTGCGGGCTTGCCGACTTTCAGCAAGTTAGCACAAAGAAGCGTTGACGACACGGTCATGCGCGCCGCGACCTACAGGCTCAAGATCTACAACCGTACGACATCCATCTCCGTCACCAAGCAAGACACATGCTAACAACATTCTAGACTTCCAGGTCGAGAAGTACAGCGGCACCAAGTCCATACTGATCTCGACACGCACCGTCATGGGTGGCAAGAACCCGTTCCTTGGGATTGCGTATCTTGTAGTGGGTGGTCTCTGCCTCTTACTCGGTGTCGTATTCCTGGCTACGCATCTCATCAAACCAAGGTCAGCACATTGCAACCCACATTCCGGGACATTTGTAGCTAACTTCCTTCTAGAAAACTTGGCGACCACACCTACCTTACGTGGAATAACGATCAGCCTAGTACAGCCACTACTACTGGTCGTGCAGGCGGCGCATAGTCGTATATGGCAATACATCCGAGCTAAGCGCGCACTTTTCTTCGTCCATTATATCCGTTAGCCTGAACCATGCTGGCAGCCTGGACCTTCGCATTATGTTTGTATCATGTGGGACTGGAAGGCCTGGAGTTAAGGTGTTTAGAAAGAGACTGGAACAAGGTCTTTCGTATTTCGTCAATGCAATCATCATCATCATTCAATATTCAGTCTATCGCAATCTGACTAAGTCGATGATCCGAAACAAGTAACCTGTCAGATTCATACGAACGGGTGGTGCTCAGACAAGTCTCATGGCGCAACCGCTTTCATCGGCTTACAGAGGCCAGCCAGAACTTACGGACGGCCAACGACACAAACCCATGCAGACATTCTGGAACTAAGGAATCCAGACTGCCTCGTGGCAGAGGATAAAAGTGCAGATGTGTCCTCGTCTTGTGCAACTACCGCAGAATCAGTTCTGTATTCGCATTCAAAACATTCGCTTCGCCAGCAGTAAAACTTCCTACGAGGCTCCTTGTTCGATTTACCTCCCATTCTTCACGCTCCTTTCGCTACCGGCAGCCATGTTCACACATATTCTCCTTGCTTCGCTAGGCCTCCTGGCGTCAGCAACCAAGAGCTTCGACTGTGGAACCGACACCAAGCATGCATCAGATGAATTCCTTCAAACCATACAGGCCCTGCATGGCGGCTCAAAAGGTGGCTCACCAGCTGCTCGTGCCGCTCTTGCTGCCCGTGATGAGCCTTCTGGTCCCATCAAAATCGATGCCGTCTTCCACATTGTGGCCACAAGCGCAAAGAAGAGCACCATCACAAACAGCATGCCCTCTGCGCAAATCGATGCTTTGAACGAAGCGTACAAGCCGCACGACATCACCTTCAACCTCATCAACGTGACCTGGACAACCAATGACGACTGGGCCGTTGGTGACAAGCCCGCCGACGATGCCATGAAGAAAGCCCTCCGTCAAGGCAGCTACGACACGCTGAACATCTACTTCCAAACCGACCTGATGGGCGGTGTTCTCGGGCGCTGCACGCTGCCCTCGTCCATGGCGCAGAACAAGGCCGATCCGTCAGTCTACTACAACGACGGATGCAACGTCAATGCCAACACCATGCCCCAGGGCTCCATGAACGGCTACAATGCCGGGAAAACGGCGGTCCACGAGACGGGTCACTGGATGGGCTTGTTACACACTTTCGAAGGCGGGTCGTGCGACGGGCCAGGCGATTACATTGACGACACGCCTGCGGAGAAGACGGCGACGGATGGGTGTCCGACTTCCCCGGCGAAGCGCACTTGTCCTGATCAGCAGAAGGATGGCGAGAGTGATCCGATCCATAATTATATGGATTACTCGATTGACTCGTGCTATGAGGGCTTCACGGACTTGCAGGTCGCGCGGATGAGGAACATGTGGGGGATGTACCGGAATGGCAACTAAGTGGTGGGAGAAGTGATTTGCTTTGTCTGCCTTGCTTCTTTGTTCTTTACTGAGTGTTTTCTGATTATATTGTGACTTTTTTTGGGATTTGCGTTTTGATCTTTCTGGCCTTGGTTTAGTTGTATATTCTTGCATGCTTTGCACATAGACTGTGTCTTGTCAAAAATGGAGCTCCTGATGACTACATGATTCTCTTCACGATCCGTGCTCCATTGTTTTGTGTAGATCTTCTTTGACGATGGTTTCGTACAACCACACCCCACGCTCTCGAACCCTTACAGGTCATGTCGCATCGCTATACATTCCGTATCGCTCAACAGCAAGCGCAGTTGAGCACTGCCTACATTCGTACTCCTGCGGTTGAGCGCACCTAATGCGACCTTTCTCCACTCACCCATCTTAATCAATAGCCTGGCAATAGTTCACGCACACGTCAGCAAATATCATGCGAACACTTTCTAACTTCATTCGAGGCGAGATATCGTACTCACGTGGGAAATATAGATGTCCCATCCCTGACACTACGTCACACAAGAACCAGGCCTCGACCCCTACACCAGCCCAGACCACCATAAGGCAAAGACACGACGCCGCGTCTAGTCTTTCCCTATAACCTTCCACACTAGCCGAGAAACAATCAAACGTTGCGAATTGAAGAGCATGCGACCAAAACGACGCTTCTGAACCTAATCCTTTGTCCACCCGCAAGCGGAAAGAGGCACGTGACCCTCACAATGGCAGGAACATCCATGGACCGCACCTCGACGCGCAAGCAGCACCACCTCCAATACAAAGGTTATCTGAAAGGACGCTGCGAGCGAGGAGAGACTTTGCGCAGCACACAATAACAACCTAAAGCACACAATAAACATACGACACGCAACCTATCAGCGGCTTCTTCGCGACTTTCAAAGGACTCTACATCTTCCACACGACCCATCAGCGACTTCTCCGCAACGACCTGAAAGAAACATCACATCTTCACGCTCTCACGCCATACCGGCAAGACGTCTCAATGCGCCACTCCTTCCACCGCCGCTTAACCTCTTCTTCTTCATCTTCAACACACATACAAAAACCCCCCTCTGTCCTGCGGTACACACTCATCCTCCTCAAAGCGCGCCCCACTATCTCAGACATCACTATCCTCTCCATCTACGCATCGACTAGAAGTCCTGCGCCAGCGTACAGATTGAGATTGAGCCCGGAACCGCCGCCGCCGTACGAGCCGTGAAAGGAGGATGGCGGATGAGGGGGTGGTCCTGGATGCGTTGAGGTATGCGCTCGTTGGTTTGGGGGTTGTGGGGGTGTTGGGGGTGTTGGGGAAGTATTGGAGAGGAGGGAAGGCGCGGGCGGAGGGAAGGAAAAGGAGGATGAACGGGGGGCATGCGAGGAATGATTCGGGAACGGAAGGGATTTCTAGGAGGGGAGTTAATTCGAGGGTAAGGAGACAGGTTCGGCAAGGAAGTACAAAAAGAGAGGGGTGGAGTGTACCGGATGTTGGGGATAGCTGTGTAGTGTCGTGACTGTACATGGGTCACGAAGTCCTTTGCAGCAAAATGTCTGTTTACAAAGGCGTAAAACTCATTCAGAACGCTCTATTACATTGATTTTGAATGACCGGAGCACCCAGAGCCAAACCAGGACGTCTCAGAAGCTACTGCTGGGTATTAGTACCATACGTTTAACAAAAGCTTACTCTTCACTATCAACTCTTGGGCTACAAACCCCTAGCAATTAACATACCTATCAAAGTCCGCATAATCACGCGGTCCAATCCTCAACTCCTTCCTCGCCACCTCAACCGCCTTGCCAAAAACATTCGCACCCCATTTGCTCCTACACACATCTTCCGCGTCATCAACCCCAAATCCAATTCCAAGAAACGCATCAGATGGGTCGGCAAAAACTGTTTCTCTACGCCCGAGAGCTTCGAGCTGTTTGCGCAGATCCGGCGTGTTGGAAGAGAATTTGAACATGTTTGCTTTTTTCGCGATGTATGCTGCTCCTGGAGTGTTTGATCAGTGTCCAGAAATGGAAGAATTGGGATGGGATTGGACATACGTCGTCGCCACACTTTATCGTCTACGTTACTAATGCTATCACCTAGGGCGATTAAATCCTCCGCTGCCGTCGCGTCTAAGATCTTCTGGAGTGTGTTCTAAAATCACATCTCATGTTAAAACAATGTCCATGCATGGCTCAAGTGCAGACATGCCTTGTCGTCAAATATCCTCGCTTTCTCAGCTAAGATGTACTGTCCAGAATTCAAGTACTTTACGCTTTTTACTTCAAAGGGACTGCGATACCATGGCGAGAGAAACCCGCCCTCAGTTGAAGTGTCGGGGTCGCAGAAGAAAACGGGCTGCGGGCCGAATTTGCTCTTGGTGGATACGGGTTGGGCGCGAGTGTGTTTTGCAGGTGTTTTGGATTTGACTACGGCCTTGCGCTTTGATTTTGGCATTTTTAGTGATGTCTGTGAGAAAATGACAGGGTGGAGGAGTAGGGGAGGTTATGTAAAGGGTTGAGGGCTGTGCGATATTTTGGTACAGCCTGAGGCATCAAGGCTTTATGTGTCATAGTGAGGTTGGCTGTAGAGGGGCTGTGCAGTAAAGACTAGGCATTTCAGGATCAAGATGGACGGCTGCATTGAGTGAATGTTGTTGCCTAATAATAAGTACACCATGAGATTAAGCGAGGGCAGACAGGATTAGATTTGGCTGATCTGCGGTAGCGACGCTTCACAAAATGGGCTAAACGCGACGAAAAAATAGGGGTATATGTCGTAATGATGCTGCCTTAATGCATCGGGTGTTGATATCTGCCTGAGTCGCTTTAAATCACTGGACTGTTCAAACAGACGATTGACCTACACAGACAAAAAGGAAGTCTCATATTATCATCGAAAGAAGTGCAGGACAAGCGAGGCAGAATATCCCCATGGCGGATGTAAGATATCGGTCCCATACGCGTAAAGGTGAAGTATAGCTAGAAACACAGTGCGAAAGAAGGCGGAGAAAACTCGCGTGCGATGTGACGAAAAAGAGTCAGTGACGTTGAAAGCATACCAGAATAGGCTTTTAGGTCGGAGGAATGATTATTGGTGAAGCTTAGAAGGTTTTGATAAGAAACGAGATATATTTAGGGAGATTTGCTGGGGTTCTTGAGCCTTGGGGTTGAAGTGGTAGGAAATGTGACCGCAAAATGGTCTTTTGCACAGTAGCTACATTGATGTTGTCACTGAGATAACAACATTTTCGTTGAGCGTGTGGAAAGCAAAAATTCGAGCTTGTTCTCGTCTCAAGCCACGTGGTCCAGATCAGGGTACAGCAAACTGTGGCACTGAAATATGACCTTTCACCTAAACCTGCGGCTGCCTGTCCACTTGTAGCTAGGCTTGACCTGCACCTATAACCCGCAAGCTCCCAAGATCTTTGTAGGGTCGCTCCACACCTGCCACTTCTCTATTCATAAACCATAATCAACCACTGCGATACTTCAGTGCGGACCAACACAACACTTCCAAGGTTCTCACCGCAACCATGCCCCGCCACCGCGAATTGATTTGGATTGAGACGGTCATTGCCGAGGCTTTCGACAATTTGGGCACGATCGCATCCCGTCCAATCCGCAACACGCCATTCGAACACTGGCTGCTAGATCGCGAGGGTCAAATCGGCACATTCTTCTTTACTCTCATAGCCGGTTCGCTCGTCTGGCTCATTTTCTTGGAGTACTCACTGCGCAACTCTTCTAAACTCGCCGCGCTTGCAGCGTCCGCCCGTCGGGCTGAGGCTGATGCTGAGGTCGATACCGACGATCACATCGCTCATGATGATAACACCTCTTCCCCATCAAGTACCGGAGACATGCCCATCATGAAGAAGCTAGCTCCACCTGGTCACCTGCCTACCAACGCTCAGCTCAACATCTCGCCATTCCAACTCTCTCGCAACCTCGCCGATCCTCCTACCCTGGCCTACCCTACGCTTCCAAAGTTCAACGAGACGCCTGAAGACTATGACTTTTGCGCTAACGACGATGAGGCCTCGCCGTCTTCACAGCCTCAGGGTCGCAACTTTACTAGGATTGCTACGGAGGCTCCGACTAGCTTTGGGTCGCTGAGGGAGAGGGGAATGTTGGATAGAGACGGGACGCCTACGAGGAAGTATCGGTTGCATCAGCTCTTGGGGGAGGACGGAGCCTGAGAAATAAGAAAGAGCGCGGTTGAAGATGGCAAAGATGGTAGAATCTGAGAGCCTCATCCTTGATAAAGACGGCTCATGACGATGAAGAATCTAATGACAGGATTATGCTACGTATGTTGACAGAGGAAATGTCAAATTTGACTCAGTAGAGAATTAACTCCGATAGGAGTTTCACAAGCTGCACAGCAGGATAATCTTGTCTGTGCTAGGTACGTAAAGTTCCCAAGTGATCCACGTCTTCTGTGTGACGCAATGATAGGCAATTGAGATCCTCCAGGGCTAGTTAAACCTCCATTCTGCGTCTGGGTCAATGACAACACTTCCTAGAGGCAAGATAGCAGATGTGATCCTTCTACCTGCACCACAATAGAACTGTAAGGACACACAAAGGGAAGCCAATGAGGTGGGACAGATAACAAAATTGTCTTCACCGGTCTGCAGCAGCCCTGCAAAATCTCTTGGTATGTATCGTGTTCTACGGTGCGGGTCAATCTTCCCTTCTCTTAGAGCCAATGAGTACGTAGGCAGCCCTAGAACCTGCCGCGCTCCCATCCCATATTTCAATATCCCCGCTCCATGAGTCAAAAGTATTGCAGCTCCATTTGTACTGCATGCGAGTGGCACAAAACAATCATGGCAGTATGCCCCTCTACCAAGGGGCATGCGGGGTCAAGGTCATCCTACATATGCACGTCTAGCCAGGTTGTATTTCACTCACCCCACGCCAACCATTTTCCCTACCTGCAGAAAATACCACCCGCCTTCCGCTTCTTGAACCCTAATTCTGTAAATTGCAGAACATGTGATATCGCGTTCGAGCGCGCGCGACTGTTCGTCCTTGGTAGCGTCCAATCGCGTCGTCTTTCACGCGCACCCTTGCGTACGGACCTCGGGCGCTTGTCTGCATACGTTAAAAAAGAATCAGAATTTTAGTGTTGAGAACACAGACCGAGTCCCTCTGTGATCAAACCACTTAAGATGCGACCATTTGGTCTGACACGCTGACAGCGACCACTTGGTATAAGACCCACTTTAAACAACACCGTTTGGATTTACGATAGAGCTTTCTACGACCACATAGTTTCAGGGAGCTACACGTTGGGAATCTGGCATATAAGTCCACTTTCAGTCGCTGAATACCACTGCGTTCCTTCCACTGATATCAATGTGCTGCTTTCCCTTCGCGGTTCAACTATTCTTCGAATCAACGTCCATCATCAAAAGCTTCCACATCTTTCGTCATGCCTGCCTGGTCCACTGATAACACCCTGACCCTTGTCGGCATCTTCATTGGCATCTTGATCGCCTGCATTGCACCTGCAATCTACATATGGCATAGACATGGCCGAAGTCGTCCAGTCCCTGCCATGGCACAAGGTATGAGGAGTTCCGAACCGACCTTTTCAATTCGCACCGCTGATCGGACTCAGACTCTGAGGTTGGGACTCATGGATATGGTCAGTGACTCGTTCTGGCTCGGTTCGACTGAATCAAACGTACTCAAAGCACTGTCGCTGGCGTGTAGTTGATTGGAGACTAGAAAAGCCCATGGGCTATCGTTGCTATATTAGTGTGGCGCCACGATGACTTGGCTAAGGAAATGTTCGGCGGGCCGAAGTATTTCTCTTCACCAAAAGTAGTTTGCACTGCAAATATTAGCGGTACATCAGATTTCAGAATTGATCATTCATTGCTGAGCAATATTAAGCTTTGTAGCCAATGTGATCATTATCATAAAACCCTAAGCTTATGCATTCCTAGAAATCCTTGTCTTTGGAATTCCAAAGCGTCGGCGACAGCCAAACTAATGTCAAGCCATTCATAACTCAACCTTCTCCTCCTCAAGCAACTTATCCCAATCAACATCCTTGATGGGATCCGGTCTTACATCCTTCAGCGCCTCTTCAAACTCATGAGCTTCCTTCGGACTATTCGCGAACAAGTGATCCTTGACTAGTTTCTGAGGCGTCTCGCCGAGCCACTGGAACAGCGAGAAGTCTTGGAACTTGTCGGAGCGGAAAATCTCTAGGACTTCTACATCCTCGTCATCGCTTAGGTTTTCGATGAAGTGGCCCATGTTTCGGGGCACGATGCCGACGTCGCCGGCTTGATAGTCGAATGTGCGTGCGGTGCCCTTGGATGCGAAGATTGTTACGCGCGCACGACCTTTGATGAAGTAGGACCATTCATCGGCGTTGGCTGCAGTTTGTTAGCTTCGAGTTTCTCCCAGTCAAGTTACGACTACTTACGGTGCCAGTGCATCTCACGTAGTGCGCCGGGCTTGATGTTAAGATGAGCAGCAGCCACAGTCTTTGAGATGGGGAAGTTGGTAGAGTCCGTGATGCGGACTTCACCACCGGTCAAGTTTAGCGGCTCTTGAGCGAGCATCTTGTGGCTGAACTGAAGCTTCGACTTCTTGTAGCCCTTGGGATGAGGAAGCTCGTCCTCGATAGAACCCGGAGCTGAGCCTTGGAATATGTACTTCTCGGACTTGGGAATGGCTCGGAAAACTTCTGGGTGCACGCGGAAGTTCTCAGCAAGAACTGACTTTGGCGTGCGTGCGACCCAGTCGGTGAGCAAGAATGTTGAGTCTTCGGAGAAGTTGCCGTCGTCGAAGATGAGGAGGAACTCGGTACCGTTCGGACTCAAGCCTTGAAGCGAATGCGGGTGTCCAGATGGAAAGTACCAAAGATCCCCCTTCTCAAGATCGTCGACGAAGCTGCCTCCCTCAACGTCGAGGGCGGTAATGCGGACTTTGCCTTCAAGCACGTACGCCCACTCTGCTTCTTTGTGCCAATGAAGCTCACGAATAACGCCTTCATCGAGGCGCATGTTGACACCAGCAAGCTCTTTGCTAGTACCAAGCTCACGAATGGTGGTCTCACGGGTCCAGCCACCTTCCTCGATGCGGATATGGGAGTCGGCAAAAGACCAGCGCATGTTTGGAATGGCACCATGGTCGGTGCTGGGAGGTCGGATCAGATCTGGATTCTCTCGCTCTCGCGCCCTGTTGCGTGGACCCAGGACATCAGTGCCATCACCATTTCGCTGCGACTATTGTCAGTCATTCACATCTCAATGTCAAATGACAATACTTACGAGTGGCTCTGGGGACAACTTGTCGCCCTGAGAATCAATCTTCCTGTCCCACTCATCGTAGTAACCGGGCTTGTATGGATCTTTGATCTTGTGAGGACCTGCATGTTTGCGACCACTTGCTAGTGGCTGTTGCTCCAATGGCGCGGCCCATGCGGTGCATACACCAAGCGCGATCAACAACGACGGAAGATGCATCGTGTTATTCAATTGATGGCAATTGAGGTGAGGGCAGGACGAGTCAGTGACTAGTATTTGAAGAAAGCCGCGGAGCTGGAAGACGCGCCCTTTTGAGAGTACTCGTAACTCCGTGCCGTGATGCCGTGTGCCATGATGACGACAACAACAAGCTTTATGACATTCATCGCTTGGCTGAACACCAACCCAGCCTCCCACTCCCCGCACACTCAATACTTTTTCCCGTCCATTGAATCGACGCGAACGAGTATCTTTCTGTTGTTTGAGACAGGTCGTCGTCACAACATCCGTCGATATCCTGCATCTGCCGCAAAGGCTTACCTGAAGCTTAGCCAACGGCCCTGTCGATCGCGCGCCACCGTGCCGGGCCTGCCGTCGCGTCTCCACTCGCATAGATATCTACAGGCCTCTTCGTGCTGCATCCCTTTCTTGACCTTCGTCACACACCTCCGCCATCATGAGTACAGGCGCCACCCGAGGCTCCAACGAGCAAACGCCGCTTCTCGGCCGACCGAACGGAAAAAGTTCGGCTCCCACCAAGCTGAGGAAGCACATGGCGGCAGACGTCAGCAAGAACTGGGCAGACCTCGTACTGCTGTTCTGCTACATCATTACTGGATTGCTGGATAGCTCGGCTGTTTTCATCTGGGGCTCCTTCGTGAGCATGCAGACTGGTTAGTGAAGTCAAACACCATGCATCAATCATGCTTACGCAGCACTAGGAAACACCATCTATCTTGGTCTCGGAGTTATCGCGCCAAACGAGGGCATTCGTTGGATCAAAGCGGCAACGTCGATTGCGTCGTTCTGCTTTGGCTCTTTCGTCTTTGCTCGCTTTCATCGGTACTTCACGCCGAGGAAACGATGGGTACTCATCGCATCCTATACTTTCCAGATGCTCTTCATTGTAGTAGCGGCGCTCATCGTTACTTTCGACCGCGAGAAGTCTGGCGGTCTTAGTTGGCAGGTTCTGGTGCCCATCGCCGTGGTCGCTTTCCAGTCCAGCGGACAGGCTGTGACGTCAAGAGCGCTGCAGTATGCTGGCTTGACGAGCGTGGTCCTGACGAGCAATTACTGCGACCTGTTCTCCGATGCAGACATCTTCAAACTTTCGAACGTCGAGAGAAATCGGCGAATTGCTGCGCCGACATTACTGCTTCTAGGTGCCTGTCTTGGTGGAGTGTGGGCTCACACCGGCGTTGGCCTGGCTGGCGCTTTGTGGACAGCAGCCGCATTGAAAGGCATTGCTGTTATTGCATGGGTGTTTTGGAAAGCCGAAGCAGAAGCGGAAGACTAAATGAGCCTTGAGAGAATAATGGCTCGCTTGTGGACAAGTACCATGATAGTTTTATCGTCGGCGCCACACCAAAAAGGTAGGCTCAGATCAAGGTTTGGAAGAACAACCCCATACACTTCCAGTAAAAATATCATTTCTACCTCCCAACATTCCACTTCCAATTGTGACGTCTTTTCTCCCTCTTCCGAACTCCAGATTCTTTGCAGCAACGTTCCCAGAGCCCCCAATTCAAGTACCACCTCAAAATGCTCCCTGACAAGTCATTGCGCTTCATCTCCCCCATCGCAAAATCCCTCTTCAACAAGAAAATCACCGATCTCCAAACCCTTCAGGCCCTCCTCCCCAACCACACCCTCGTAGCCTTCGACACCGAGGGCGTCAAACAGCATTTCGAAGGTCGTCAGATCGGCAGCCAGGACCTCAGCGAACTCGGCGTAGCCGTCTTCCCTCCCACCAAAACCCCTCTCTACTTCATCTCCAACCTCACGCAATTCTACGAAGACAGCGACTATCGAAGCCTTCACCGTGCGCATGCACCCCCGCGCACACGGCCCCGCAGTCGGTTTGATGACCGAAAAGACCGCCTCCGAAGCTGGTCCCAGATTGATAGACTTCTTGTCTGGCTTCAAAGGCGACATGATCCTCCTTGGCTTCAACATGCACCAAGAATGGCGCTGGATCTCCCGCACCTGCCCCTCGTTCGCAGCACTATTCACATCATGGTGCGATGTACAGGAACTCCTTCCGCAGCTCGGGTCTCCACCAGGTCTGGCCAAGACGCTGAAAGCGATGGGGATATGGGGCTGGACGAGCATTCACCTGAGACACGGTGGCGCAGCGGATGCAGTTAGGGTGCTGGCTGTTTTGTCTGGGTTGGTGTGCGGCGTGCCGATTCGTGAAGACAGGGAACACAAGGAGGACAACGTGTCGAAATACTGTCATCTGCCCAAGAGAGAGTCGGTACGAGAGGCGCCTGGGAAGGTGCGTTTCCATACGTGTCGGATCAGTGCGGCGGATGGAGGGAAATTGCCGCTACAAACACCCAATGGGCTTGCGGGGATGTTTGCTGCGTATGAAGGCTTGAAGGGTGTTGGGCTCAACTCTCGCACTCCAACGCTTGCACGCGCTCCAGTGAAGTACTGGTGGGTGTCATTCCGTACGCGGGAGGGATTGGAAAACTTCAAGCGTGAGGTTGATGGGTCGGTGTATGAGGACGCCACGCTGCGTGTTACGATCGAAGTCAAGCCAGCCCAGCCCAGCGAGAAGTCGAAATCGGGAGCATCGATAGAGAGGTGTAAAGCTCCGCGCGATTTGATTGACATTGCGTTGGCCCTAGGGTTTGTATAATGTGCTTGCGTACTTTGGTGGTCATAGTGCTGACAATGCCAGGAACCTGCACATGGATGTCGACACACTCTAGAGATGCTCGCTTTTGCCTCGATAGACCGTGTACATCTGGAAAAGCTCATGGGTATGTCTGTGGCAAGAGGGTGAAGGTAAAAGCTACACAACCAATTCCCCCAGCCCAACATCTTCACTCCCCCTCTTTCTCGCCACCTCATAACTCATCATGGAATGATCCATAAAGTACATCAGCAACCTCCACCTCCTCCCCCTCTTCCCCTCATCCCTCCCAAGCTCCCCCTGTACCGGGCCTACCGCAACGCCCACCATCCTCCTATACGGCACGGTCAACACCTCGTTCTCATCGCGCTTATTAAATGGCAGGATATACTCCAGTTCGAAGCCAAACTCGCCTGACTCCCGCGATTTCGTCAGCGCGAAAATGGCAACGTGCCCGACGGGGCTGCCGATGATGAAGATGCCTAGTTCAGGCACGTGCGTGGAGAAGCATTGGCGGTCGATGGCGTGAAGGGATTGTGTTGCGCGGCCGGGGTGGAGGGGGCAGCGTATAGTGAGGATGGGATCGGGGGACGAGTTGAAGGGTTGCTGGAGGAAGAAGATGTCGTCTTTTGTGATTACGAGAGAAGGTTGGCGGGACTTTTGGGTGAGGGGTTAGTAGAAGTTTGAGTAGTGAGGGGATGGAGGAGATACGCACGCTTGAGCATGGGAACGATCGATCTGTAGCGATCTGACAATACGGGATTGGTTCCATGCTTCGCATTGCGTGAGCGAGTATGGCGCCTGGTGTGCCGCTAGCAAGTAGATTCTGTTGTATCGACCATGTGAAGTGATTTGTGTGTGAATCAGAGCCTAGTTGCATGGATGGCAGTGAAGGACCATCATAAGCCTGACTGTCTTCGTCCTGATCTTCCTCGTCATCGTCCTGATCTTCCTCGTCATCGTCATCATCATCATCGTCTTCGTCTTCGTCTTCGTCTTCGTCTTCGTCTTCGTCATCGCTTGCTTCTTCTTCTTCTTCTTCTTCTTCTTCTTCTTCTTCTTCTTCTTCATCCTCATGAGAAGAGTCAGAGACACTATCAAGGAGCATGGGCTCATCTATTGTGTTCTCGTCCCCAGAGGTTTCTGACGTACTGTCTAATGAACCATGTGCTGTAGCGTCATCCACCAAATCCTCCCTATTCGACTCTCGGAATCTACCTTTCAGCCTCCCCAAATCGTGGAAGAAAGGCGCCCGTTGCGCCGACTCCGGAGGCTCACTGAAAGACGAGACCTCATGAGCCGACCGGGGATCCAAAAACATAGCGCCCCAAGAAGCATGCGGATGCGCCGACCAGTTCAGACATCCGCAACGCCCGAAAGCTGCCCGAGGTGCTGTGTCCGCATTCTGTGTGCTCGCGCAAAAACCCATCTGGAAGCAACGACTGGCGATGTTAGGATAGCTGTGGAGGTCCCAGAGCCAGACCTGCCCAGTAATGCAAGTGCCAAACAGCCATCGGCCGGAGGGATCTTCGTCGTTGTTGTTGAAGGATACGGCTGGGACATTGTGGGCTGCTTTGAGGGTGAAGAAGTTGTTGTGTTTGCGGGGTGATGGGAAGTCTGCTGGGTCCGCTTCATCTGTGGCGGCTATCGAGTCTAATGCGTCTAGTTCGGGGGATTCGCCCTCTGTGGTTGCGAGCGCAAAGGCAAGGATCGTGACCTCGTGTGTGTTTGCGCTTATCGCTATGATGCGTGCTTCTCGGTGGATGGCCAATCCCCACGCGCTAGCACCGACGTTCTGATGCAGGAACAATGGTATCTGGGGTGGAGCATGATCTGGCTCGTCGTCCTGTTCTGGCCTGGACAGTTCGTTCAAAGCTCTTTGAATTTCTGCTATGCGGTATCCGACTACATCCCCATCATCGCAAGTTGCAAGCAGAACCTCGTCGTTTCCAAGAAAGTCCACAAGCACGCGAGTGATGGAGTGCGGATCATCTTCGTCGATTCCTGGTTCAAGGCCTGGGGACGAAACCGGCGGATGCAGGATCAGAGGCGGGTCTGGAGCGATATTTTGATCTGGGAATTCCGGTTGATAGACGAGTATTGTGTCGTTACACGCGATGAAATAGAGATTGTAGAGTTGTGATAATGCAGTCAGTTCGCACCGCCAGCCCTTCATCAACCATCCTCTATCTTCCTTGTAGTTGTGATTGTACTGCCATAAGTCAGCAAATCGTACAACAAACGCGGTCAGTAACATTCATGATGCTAGACAAGGATCACATGTTTTGTGCGCATGTCGCTGCAGCACTATAGGGCGATGAGGTTTGGCGAACGCCAGTGGTCACGCGCTCGTACTGTGTGCTGCACGATTAAGAGAGACTTGTTCAAAACTGACCTGTGAAGCACCTGTCTGTACACAGCTAATAAACTTGGACATAATGAAGCTTTGTACTTTTTGCGCTTCGGCTTCGCCAAGGTTCGAGGGTGCAAAGAGTGTGGATGTAGTTCTGGCGGCGTTAGCCTGGTTTCCCCATTGGGAACAACACGTGCTCACGTTCGATCACTCGCTGCTGTATAGTCACCAAGGTTTATCGAGTCTTGTCGGCCGTAACGTGAAGAGATCAATGTCCCTCATTCTACTGGCTAGAAAGGGTCTAACTTGTAGAGCCGCATCGTTGCATACATACTAGTGGCCCCGATGAGACCAGACTGTGTTTAGCTCAGCCCTCGGACGTGCGGAAATGACCTGGGAACATATCCAGCGCATGAAGCTTTTTCCTCTCTCAATAATCACAATCACATACAAAGATTTTCTAGAGCTGGTATTGGGTTCCACTAAGGAAATGTATTCTCTGTCTACATGATCATTACAGTGGTCTATTTCAAGATAAGTGCTCGCTCGGTATCTCAAGCCCGCACACGCTCGCAGGAGGGCAAAAACATTGCCCCCGAAAAATATGTTGAATCGTCTAGAGTTTCAGTGGGGTATGATACACCTCACATATCGAGTCCCATTGTATCTCCGGACCGTCCAAACGCCATTTAGTGCTTCGCGGTGACCTGGTCGCCAGTGAGCTTCTCAACGGCTTCCTTCGCACTAAGAATCGTCAGCATGTATGTTCCATGGGAGAGGTCTGGATGAACTTACACATCACCGAGCGCAACCATGCAAACCGTTTGCCAAACACCAAGACCGATTCGGGGAGCAACACCACGGTAAAGACCCTTAACACCGTTGTTGGAGTAGATGTAGTTGAACGCCTTGCCAACTGTCAAGTTCTTGGGGCGGTTCGGGTCGACCGTCTTGGACTGCATCTCGACACGGATAACCTCGATAGGCTGGTTCCATGCGGACAGGCCACCACCGAGCGCTGAAGCGGTGATCTTCTCCATGACGGTGAGCTTCTCACCGCCCTCCTTGTTCCTCACTTTGCGGATACCGTTCTCGGCGACACGGGACAGACCGAAGCGAGAGCCCCAGTTGGTGACCTGGCGCACAGCGACGGCATTGACACCACGGTTAATACCGCGGATACCCTCCTTGCGGTAGATGCCCATGAATGTCTCAAGGGTGCCAGGGGGCTTTACACCACTGGCCGCGACCTTGTGCTTTGTAATTTCCACGGTTTTCATGCACGTGCAGAAACCCATGGTGGCATAGGCCTGCGCGAGACCACCGACCATACCTCCCGAGATACCGGCGACGAAGTTGGGAGCGCCGAACGACTTGGCGTAGAATTCGGCTTCCGAAGCGACGAAGAGGAGGACGGCGCCCTTGGTGGAGGCTTCGATCCAGGCCCATGGAATGAGACCCTGGTAGACTACACATTGCACGAATTAGCTTGCAGGCTCTCAGCTTTGGTGTTGCAATTGCTGATGGAGCTCATTGTCAGATGCTACCTCGGCTACTGGGAGCTCGAGATGAGACATGCTGAGCTCGCAGCAGACGCAGTAAGCTTATGGGAGGGCCAGACTCACATCCAAGCATGCCGCCGCGCGACCAAATACGTCCAATCGCCCCCGAAAAGCCGTCAGCCCTGTTGGCAGCCATGGTAGTCTTGACGACCTCCAAGGGCTAATGAGGGGTCATGTTAGCTGTGTCTTCTCGCTCCTTCACATTGCAAATTCGGGCGTCGCATACCTGTCCCAGAGTGGTCACCCTGTGGTGTTCATGTTAGCGCTGTCCTCTGCATTCCATGGGTTTTGTGAAGATGTGTACTTACTCGAACATGTTGAGACCAGCACCAACTAAAAGCTACATCAGCAGTTGCACGCAGAATCTCTCGCATTGGCACTCACGCAGCAGATTGCTGAATTTGACTGGCTTCTTCTCGAGCGTGGGCGGTGCGCCCGCGATTGTAGAACTCATTCTCTGGGGATCTCTTGTCGAAGATGCGGGGCCTGACCAAGGCAATAGGGTGCTCCGTCGCAGTTGATGTGAGTGTGATGTTTGGGAGCAGAAAGGAGGAAAACGAAAGAAGAAAAGAAGGCTCGAATCGGTGCAAGCTTGCGAGGGCGGTCACGGCGGTGTCTGAGCGTCGACGGTCAATCTACGATATTTCGGGCATGGTCTTGAACCCTGAAGTTGGAGCTGTCAACCCGGTAGCTTGGCAGTCTCCGATGCCGCCTGGCATGTCCCGAACAGCGACTCCTAAACTCTCCGAAGGCACGTCAAGTGCATCAGGCTTCAAGATCCGACAGGAGTGCCATCAGATTGAATTCAAAATCCATGTTCGCATTGTTCACGCTCCTTGCTGTGTCTGCCAATGCATTGAGTTGACGTATTGTTGAGCTCCGGAGTAGCACATCTCAACGAGTCGTGCTCGGATCCCGATCAGCTCAACGAATGCTGCTCGGCGGCCCGTCATAATGCGCGCTAGCTTCCCGACCATTCTGCGCGTAATGTTTGCTTTCCTCACCGCTGTTATTGGTTCATCATGCCCACGTTGCGCTACGTTTACGTGCGGCGGTCACATTCAGCGTTCGGCACCTAGCGTGCGTAAAAAGAGTTGTGATTGTTGGTATATCGGACGTTCAGACATGATATTGTAGCAAGTCGGTAGTACTACAGCAGAGACATTCAAAAGCCCGATGTTGGTTTAACACCGGACGCACCCATTTTCCTATCTCTACATTCCCGCTCTAAATGTTACACAAAATCCTTTCATTCTCAAGCCCAAAGCACCGCCCTGCAGAGTCTCTCCAAGTTTCATGGAGAAATCTACAAAGTAGCGCCAACAAGCTTGGCGTAGGCCTCGGTGCTGAAGGACTTGGGCCTCTCGATGGGTGCGCCGACGGCACGGTCGATGATGAGTTGAGGAAGGACACCGAGCGCACGCGATACACCGAAAAGAACGGTGTAGTAGTTCTGCTCGGTGAGGCCGTAGTACTGGAGGAGGACACCGGAGTGGGCATCGACGTTGGGGTATGGGTTCTTGGTCTTTCCGTGCTCAGTGAGAACACCGGGGGCGATCTTGTAGACCTGGCTGACGAGCTTGAACATGGGGTCATCGGGCAGGTGCTTCTGGGCAAACTCGCGCTGGGAAACGTAGCGGGGGTCGGTCTTGCGGAGGACGGCGTGGCCGTATCCAGGAACGACTTGGCCGGCCTTGAGGGTAGACCACAGGTAATCCTTGATGGCCTGGTCGCTGAGGTCGTTGCCAACAGCCTTCTTCATCTTCTGGAGCCAGACGAGGACTTCCTGGTTGGCCAGTCCGTGGAGAGGACCAGCAAGACCGTTCAGACCAGCAGCGAGAGAGAGGTAAGGCGAGCTGAGCGCGCTGCCGACCAAGTGGGTGGTGTGGGCGCTGACGTTTCCACCCTCGTGGTCGGTGTGGATGGTGAGGTACAGACGCATCAGCTCAACGAAGTCCTTGTTCTCGGAGAAACCGAGCTGGTTGGCCAAGTTGAACGAGTAGTCCTTGTCCTTCTGGATGGGTGCGACCTTGCCGTCCTTGTAGACGTTGCGGTAGATCTTCGCGGCGATGGTGGGAAGCTTGGCAATGAGATCCATGGCGTCCTCAAAGGTGTGCTCCCAGTACTCGCTCTTCTTCATGCCCTTAGCATAGGCCTTGGCGAAGTTGGACTCGTGCTCGAGAGCAGTGACGGCGATGGAGAACTGAGCCATTGGGTGGAGATCGCTCGGGCAGCGGTCGATGAGCTCCTCAACGAACTTGGGGATGTCGGAGCGGGCGGCCCACTCGGCGGACAGGTCGCGGACCTGCTGCTCGGAAGGAACCTCGCCGGTCAACAAGAGCCAGAAAAGACCTTCTGGGAGAGGCTCCTGGCCACCGGGGGCCTTGGGGAGGAGCTGCTGGCATTCGGGGATCTATGAACATGAGCATTGGCTTCGAACGTCCTTGGAGAAGTGACGTACGGTCTTGCCGCGGAAACGGATACCCTCCTCGGAGTCGAGGACAGAGCCCTATGCACTGTAAGCTGACTGCCGATGCGGGTGTAGTTCGGGAGCTGCGCATACCTCCCACACGAGGGACTTGATGCCACGGGCACCACCGTAGACCTGGTCGAGGGTGACCTCGCCGATGACCTTGTTGCCGTGCTCCCTGGACATTGATGTTAATGTTTGCTCCAGAGACTGTGGGCGTGACGGGCACGTACTTGCGGAGCTTCTTGATCTTCTCAATCTCGCCAGGGAGCTTGTTGGCGAAGGTCTCCTTCAGCGACTGCAGGTGGCATCGTTAGCGTCGTTCTGCGAGATGCGCACTGAAGAGACAAACAGTGGTCTTGCTGGAGTAGAAGCGGAGGCCATTGAAGGCAGTGGTCCGCAGAGGAGCGGCAGCGCGGAAGGCGCCAGTCAATCGCAGAGCTGAAGCCATTTTCTGAGATGTGAGATGGAGGTGGAAGGTGGATGCGCGGGTGGGTGGAGAAGATAAAAAGCTGCTGCGCCGGCCGGAATTTGACGAGCTCGGAAGAGTGCTTCAACCCAGCGTCATAGCGCGGGATGGATCCTTGCACCTGCGGTCAATAGTCGGGATACCCGCGCACGCCGATGCTCGTAATATTGCATAAGTCTATCGTGAGACTACTTTACGTAGAGGAGCTGTCTCTGCGATATACCGATGAGGGTGCCTCTTGGATGCTGAGTTCTTTTGCAACACTAGTCGTTGACAATCATGTACTGCATGCGCCAAATAGCTCATCAACTTGGAAGCAATCAAGAATATGCGAGCCGCGTATCCGGCGCCTCTCAGCGGCCGGCTGGGCGAGCACATGTGTCCGTGGTATTAAGCTCGTGCATTGCACCATGAGACTTCCACGAAGGTTGCACTCCAAGCTGCGGGGCATTTGCAAGAATCCAGCGTCGTCACAAGCAAGTAACGAACCTTTGTTCATGTGTTTAGGAAATCATTATGAATTCACATTCCATCTCTACTGGACAGTCAATCGATGAGTAGGGTCCAAGTGGCTCTCCATCTGCCGACGTACCTAGGTAATGCAAGACATCAACCTCGCAAGGAAGACACTCCAATCACGTGTGCCGCTAGCGTAGTTTCTTCGTGGGCACCGCAAGGGCCACCGTCTAGCCATCTCCTCTCTCGCAACACACTGCACAGGTTTCAACTGCACCTGCGCGCTGGTAGACCACCAAGCTGTCTCTCATCTCGCTCCACTGTCTCTTCGACTCGCCGGCTCGCCGCGACTCTTTTGCAGTGAAGGTAACCACTTTGCGCAGACCGCTCTTACCGTGTGCCTGCGCGTCCTAGATTGAAGCGCACAGCAGCTTCTGTCCGCTCCAAGCAGCCGCGCATTCCTTCAGGGTTTCTGAACACCTACAACTTTGCGCACACTACTTCATCACCTGCTCGACCATTCCACTCTCTTCGTACCACCTAGACCTTTCTACTTAGGCGATTGACTTGCGATCTCGAGTAAAGTTCTTGTTTGTTGTCGCGGCTGCTCCCGACACCCTTCTCTCGTGCGCACGATCGCTGGACGTTTCTTCTCTTTCTCTACGAGTCTAATAGACATCAGACGTAGTCATGGCAGCGTTAGAGGAGTTGACCACGACATTACAGTCATTATCGACCTTGAAACCACCAGGAGTCACGCCCACCAAGGTGAAGGCCATAACGCAGATTTGCGTAGACAATATTCAGGTATGCTGGCAGCGTGGTGCTTCTACATCTCTTTCCTTGTCAAGGATCCATACTAAGGCTTCGCTCTCCCGTATAGTACGACAAGGTCCTCATCGAGAAGATTCTTCTACAGTATTCGAACAGTCCCGCCACACACAAGCTAGGGGTGCTATACGTCGTAGACTCCGTGATCCGCCAATGGGTCGAGAAGGCCAAGAAGGCCGGCCAGGCCGTTTCGAAGCAAGCTGCGCCAGGTACATATGCGTCGGGTGTGCAGCTCGTGCGTGAAGCACTACCGGTTGTCTTGAAAGACCTGGTCAAAAACGCACCGGAGACCCAGAAAGAGAAGATTTCTAAACTTTTAGATATTTGGCAGCGCGGGCAGACATTCCCACCCGACATGATCGCCAGCATGAAGCAGCTTGTCAATGGCACATCTAACAGTATGTTTCAGGCAAGCATCGCATTTGTCCACCTTACTGATACAGATCAGATGCTCCAGCTGCACACTCCGGTCAATTGCTGAGCAACGGTACGCAGCAGGCATACAACACTCAAGCTAACCAACAGTCTGTACCCCCTCCACCACCTGCTCCCGCCGTACAACCACAACAGGACCAGAGCTCACTTTATGCGGCGTTTGCAGCCTTAGGCCACCAAAACAGCCAGACTAACGGCGCACCTCCTGCGCCCCCTTCTCTTTCTTTTCCTCAAAGCATGGTGCCCCCCCCTCCACCAGGATTTGTACCGCCACCTCCCCCAGGAGCTACAGGACAACCTGCGTTGCCGCCCCCACCAGCTGGAACGAACGATATGACTGGTCAAATACTGCAGGCGATGAGCGCTGGACTGATTGCCCCTGACCAAGCTATACAAGTATTGAATGCTATGGCCGCAGCCCAAAACGGAGGAGCTCCTCTGCCCTCATTGCAATCCGTGGCTGCGCAGCCAGCTCAGCTGGCATTCCCCGATCCACATAGCCAGGGACCGCAGAATGGTGCTCAGCCAGAGCGATATGATCCAAATGAAAGTAGATACCGAGATCGTAGCAGGTCGCCTGATTACCAGCGTCGACAACCTTCGCCCCCTCGTAGATCACCGCCAAATGTCAATCGCCGGGAAAGCCCCACCTATGGTGTGTATGATCCCAATGCAGGCTCTGACGGCAACACACCGAGTCGTTTTGATCGTGGTGAACGAGGCCGCGGGCGTGGTAAGCAACGTGGCGGCCGAAATGACCGAAATGAGTATCGGCAACGCTCGCCTGCGAGACGACAGCCGAGTCCGCCTAGAAATTCTTATGGTAACTCAAAGTACATTGAATGGGATAGCAACCTGCCTCAAGACCACATCAGGGTCCTTAGTCGCACCTTGTTCGTAGGTGGCGCAGGGGGTACAGAGGGTGAGATTCGAAGCATCTTCAGTCGTTTTGGTCAAGTTCAGACGTGCATTGTCAACTTAGAGAAACGGCACGCCTTCGTCAAGATGTTGACTCGCCCCGACGCCGTACATGCGAAGGAAGGTATGGACAACTTGCAGGATGCTGTCGCTCAATCGAAAGCTCGCCAGGTATGTAGCTCTGGTCACTATCGGATGATAGCTACTAATACACACAGACGCGCTGGGGCGTAGGCTTTGGCCCCCGGGACTGCAGCGATTACCAAAGCGGCATTAGTGTCATTCCCATTTCACGGCTTACGGATGCTGACCGCAAATGGGCGTTGACAGCTGAGCACGGCGGAACTGGTGGTCGACCCCTGGAGGGTGGCATGGTGCTGGAAGAGCCTGATATTGAAATCGGGGCTGGTGTCTCTTCAAAGGGTAAGCATATGTACGTCCTTGCAAGAACTGCTTACTGACCCCGTCTAGCTATCAGTCGCCGAGTTCCTACCGACGCTCCTCGTGGTGGCGGTCGTGGAAACTTCAATGGGGGGCGAGGTAATGGCGAGAACGGGCACAAACATCGCAAGCAGCAACAGCAGCAACAACAGCAGCAACCGCATCAACAACACCAGCATCAACAACCGCACCATCACCAACAGGACCACCGCCTGGCACATGATCCTCGCCATGTCTCCCCACGGCCAGAGCCGATGATCGCAGTCCCACCAGCTGTACCAGGCTTCGGTTTCCAGTTGCCAGGATTTGGATGATTAACCCACACATGCAGATGGAATTGATACGTGTTGAACCTTGATGCAGCAGCGACTACCTGAGTGGCTGTCGATTACCTTCGATTATCGATGCTTATCATTAGCATGTATAGGCACGAGGACCTCTTATTCTTTTGTATGTGTGGCGTTCGTGAGCATTTCCACGGCACTTTCGGAGCATTGCATGGCGCTGTGGCATCAAAATCTTTTCCGATAAGTTAAAAAGTAGGACCTCTTCATGCCGGCCCAGGTTATACTGGGCATTGTCATATATGGTTATCCGTGGGCGACCATTGTCTAGGAATGTCGCGTGTACGATTAGAAGGGTTATTGGTCCAACATTGGCTGTGAGACTTGAGAAGCATGAACTATGCCGAACGAGACAATAAATACGATATGTTCAATTGTTTTTGATTCGTTGGTGTTATCTATATCTTGAAAGCTTCGTGCTCAACATCGAAGGTTGTTGAGCTCGAGGCATTCTTGCATTCATTTCTTTCATCTGAGTCGTGATCAGCAGATGTCCTCCATCGTTTTGCTCCAGACTCCAGGAATGTCAAGCGTTAATGTCCGTCCGCATCCCCATCACTGCTCGTCCCAGGTCAAATTGAACCGTCCCGGCGCATTCTGATACTCTCCCAGACACTTGATCACCTCCTCCGCATCCAATGCCTCCACCAAGATGCCCGCATTCCCCGGACTTATGAACCCACTTCCCACAGCATTCTTAACCCACTCAATCAACCCCGTCCAGTACCCATCCACATTCATAACCACCACAGGCATCGAGTGAATCCCCAGCTGATTCCACGTCGTAACCTCCATCAATTCTTCAAACGTCCCGTACCCACCCGACAACGCAACGAAGCCACCGCCCGGCCCGCCAGCAATGACCTCGCGCGCCATCATCTGCTTGCGTGTGTGCATATCCGGCACGACGGTCGTGCGGCCGTAGACGGAGGCATCGATGTGCGAAGCGGGGTTCGAAGGGTCGAAAGACGGGGATTGCTCGAGCGCGGTCAGGGCGCGCGGGATGATGCCGTGGACGCTCGAGGGGCCGGAGAGGGAAACGAGCGTGCGGGCTACTTCGCCCATTAGCCCGACTGTGCCGCCGCCGTAGACGAGGTTGATGCCCGCCTTGTGCAGGGCGGTTGCGAGGGCGCGCGCGGCGGCCATGTGCACTGGCGATGTGCCTTCGGAGGCGCCGCAGCTGCGGGGTGGATTAGTATGGTGATGTGAGAGGTGGTAGAGATTGAGACGTACAATACACAGACGACGGGCTGCTTCTTGGGTTCGCCATTTTCGGCGGGGATGGCGGTAGTAGACATGGTGAAGGTCGAGTCTCGATAGTCGGAACCGTTGTCGGAAAGAACAGCAGAGCAATCGCGGTTGAAATGAGGGGCGGTGGTACAAGTCTAATTAAGTCTAAAGTGAGTGGGCGAGGCCGTGCTATGTAGGCGTCGGCCGTGAGTCATTGTAAAACACATGCATCACGAGAAGGATGTGATTCCTCGACTCTTAGTTCACAGCAACCGGTGATATCGGAAAAGGAAAGATTCCGCATACTTGTCGCCGCGTGCCGAGCGCGATTGGCCCTCGTTCGGCCAGACCCTGGCTGTAACTGCTTCAGGACGTGGGGGCTTGGCACCATGCCTCCACCCGTTCTTTGCGACTCGGAGACGTATTCACTGTTGTTGCTTCATCAGTTGTTCTTTCGCTTCGATATCTGTGAACCGCATAATTGGACCCGTCGTTCCAATTGAAGCCACGAATCATGGCTGATACCGCAGCAGCGCCTGCGCGGCAGGAAGAAGGCGGAACGAGTGTAAGTTTCTCAGCTTTCAGAGAGTTATGAGAGCTAATTTGTCATGTTCAGATATACCGCTCGCTCGCCCAGAGCGTGGGCATGTTCCTTCTGATCCAGGGTGGCATGAAGTATTTCCTCAATACTGGTGCTAAGACTCCCGCTGCGCCCGCGCAATCCGGAGCCGCCGTCCCCAGTACCGCGAATACTGGCGCCAACGTCGTGATTCCTAGCTGGGAAGAACGACCGCATTCGCTCGAACCTGGTGTTGAATACAGCCATGTGCCGTACAAGATTTCGCCAATCTGGCCCGATAACCCAGAGGTTGACATCCTCATGTACATCTCGCCGTCCACCGCTGCGCCCTCACTCAAGTCGATGCCCAAGGACTCGCTCCTGATCAACGAGACGAATTTCAAGATTGGCGACTATAAACAGAAGCGGGAGATACAAACCGAGTTCAAGGTGCCCAAGGAGGTGCAGCACAATGCGATTCTGAACGCGCATTTCTACGTTGGTAAGAGTGGCAGTGTGCTCGATCCTACAGCAGCGGGTTATGACCCAGGAAAGGCATACCATGTCGTGCGCCCATTGTCGGCGTACCAGGTCAAGAAGAAGGCCAAGAAGACGCGAAACCTGCTCAGCGACATGCCATCGAAAGAAGAAGAGACGGAAGAGGAAAAGAACGCGCCCAAGGTCTTTGCCAACTACTACCATCCCAATTTTACCATCGCCTTTATTCCGGACACACTGCAATTTGCGTACCCGCAGATGCACCCCGGTCCGCGCAAATACGTCCAGCTGGAGTCTACCGGCGCTCGCGATGCCTCTGGCCAACACGGCTGGTACTATCCTATTCTCTTCACAAACACTTTCTGGCAGCTGAAGAAGGAAATGATTGAACTGAATGACACCGTCAAGACACTCCCGTTGAACGTCGACCTGAAGAACCTTGCTCACTGGAAATTCAACATCTTCGCGTCCATGGATGAGAACATCAAGAGCAACGCAGCAGCAGCCGCTGCCGGCCAGTCGACTCCGGGAGGTGGCGATGGCACCGAGATGGAGATGTTCAAGGAGATTCTGATTGACAGCAATTCTTATTTGCTTGCGATTACCGCCATCGTCTCTGTCTTCCACATGGTCTTCGAGATGTTGGCCTTCAAGAACGATGTCCAGCATTGGCGCAAGAAGAAGGACAATGTCGGTACCTCTGTCCGTACCATCTTGGCCAACGTCTTTATGCAAGCCGTCATCTTCTTATACCTTATGGACAACAACGAGAACACTTCCTGGATGATTCTCTTCGGTCAGGGTATGGGTATCGCCATTGAAGCCTGGAAAATCACCAAGATGGTCAATGTGCGCTTCCGTCCCGGTGGCCCTGACTCATACCTTCCCTACACCATCCAATTCGAAGACAAACACGTCCTTTCTGAAACCGAGAAGAAGACTGAAGAGTACGATGAGATTGCTTTCCGTTACCTGTATATGGTCGCTGTACCGTTGCTGGTCGCATACGCGGGTTATTCCCTCGCATATGAGACCCACAAGTCGTGGTACTCTTTCATCATAACCACACTTGTCGGCTCTGTGTACGCTTACGGTTTCCTGATGATGGTACCCTCGCTCTACATCAACTACCGCCTCAAATCTGTGGCGCATATGCCCGGTCGCGCCATGACCTACAAATTCCTCAACACTTTTATCGACGATCTCTTCGCCTTTACCATCAAGATGCCTACTCTCCATCGCCTGGCCACACTCCGTGACGACGTCATCTTCTTTGTCTACCTGTATCAGACTTACAAGTACAAGGTCGACTACACCCGTGTCAACGAGTTTGGGCAAGGTGGTGATGACGAAGAAGTCGAAGAGAAGGATGCGAACAGGCCGCTCGCTGCTGCGCCAGACGCTGATAGGAGTCTTAAGGTACCTGACGCGGAGAAGGTTGCTAAGAGCGAGGCAAAGAAGGAGGAGGCGAAAGCTTCTGGGAGATCAACGAAAGGTAGCGCGAAACAGCGGAAGTAGGACTCCTCGGTGACTAAGTGGAAGTCGATTTGGGTATCGACCGCGCAGGGGCCCATGAGGTATACTGTTCCGCGGTAGTCTTGAGGGGGTGTTGGATATTTGATAGCTTATTAATTCGAACACATTGTTGGACGAATCTTGTGACTGCCACTTAGTGACCCTTTACGTATTGTGTTGCTTCGAAAGATGTACAGATAATCCCTAGTTTAGCCGAGGTTCATCGTACCTCGTGACTCCGCGCATCTTCCAACGCGTCTCACCCAGACTAAGCCTGGTAGCCAGTGACTGAGAGACGCCAAGATTCTCCCAATAATCGTCCCCCATATTTGAGTCGTGTGGTCAATATGTCAAGTCCGCAAGCTCGCAAAAGACACCCAAAGAAAAGCGCCTTTTCATGTGAAGCCTGCAGGACTCGGAAGGTATGCTCGCTAAACCCTCATGTATGGGAGTGCTAACATGCCGGCTCAGGTGAAATGTGATGCCATACACCCAGTCTGTACTCGATGCAACGTGCGAGGCGAAGAATGCGTGTATAAACTGTCCGCAAGCCCATCAAAATCACAGACCACAACGTACTAACACTCCAGCAGAAATCCCACGCTGTCCTATACACAGCGTCTCGAGCAAAAAGTCGCGCAGCTCGAAGAGGCATTATCACAGGCCAGGCGGCACTCCCACGGCTCTATTGATCCAGCGCTCGGTCAGTCATTTTCTGACTACCAGCCTCGTTCCGAGCACACTGTGGTTCCGGACGACGCGACTGCGACTTTGCCTCTTGATGATTCCATCAGTCTGTTTAAACTGCCGGGCAGCGTGAGAGCACTTACGATTCAGAAGTCGCAGGCTGATCTAGAGGTCGCGGCGAATAAAGAGACGTTGGTGAATAGCGCGTGGAGGGAGAGGGTGTATGAGAGACTTGCGGATACACCAGTATGTTGCACTGCCATTGTTGTAAGTTTGTGACGTAAGAAGCTTACTTGGACTACAGGAACCTTTCCGCTCGCTGCTCGACTCGCATTTCTGCTGGATCCAGCCTCTGTTTAATTTTGTGTATAGGCCTGCATTTACTCGTAGGTCATGTATACTTCTTAGCAATGTTTTATCTGCTGAGAAAAGGTGTAGGTGATATGAAAAATGGCGGCCCTTACTTCTCGCAAGCACTTCTGAACACTATCCTCTCGCACTCAATACGCTGGTGCAGGGGTGAGCCAGGGATGGATGAACTGCTTGCTCCATTTGACAACGGGGCAGCGTTCTCCAAGGATGCGGTCAAATATCTGTTCGAAGATATACAGCAGGGGCATAGTAAGGTCCCTACTGTGCAAGCGCTTCTGCTCTTAAGTGCTCAAGAGTGTGGTCGAGGTAATCGAACTCAGGCATGGCTATACAGTGGCATGGCATTCCGCCTCATTGATGACATGGGCATCTGCATCGACGGCAAGCGACACGCTGATGCCAGCTCATTCTCTGCAGAAGATATCGAGATCCGCAACCGGTTGTTCTGGAGTTGCTACTTTTGGGACAAGCTCATATCGTTGTACTTTGGGCGGTCGCCCCTGATACAGTACTCTGAGATCAGTCCGCCACGAGTTCTCAGTAAGATCTTGTTGGCTTAGTGACGATATAGCGCTGACGCGGAACAGTGGATGATACGGCTGAACTAGAGCTGTGGATGCCACACGGATTACTGTCTTCATATCCGCCTAAACAAGCTCACTCAATCTCCTGCTTCATCCAGATGTGCGGGCTCGCTGAGATCTTGAACCAGGTCCTCATCAATCTTTACAGTACCGCGCAGAATCTCTCTGCGGCACAAGCTATCCAGTGCGCGATTACGGAAGGATCAAAACTACGAGCCTGGTGGCGAGACCTGCCAGAACACCTCAAGATCAATCTTGCTGATCCCGCCCTCGAATGCCCTCCGAGCCACATTGTCACACTCAAGTAAGTTACCAAAATCTGATAAGGGTCAACAGCTAACACAACTGAGTTGTCTCTATCACACGATCAACATCCTCCTCCATCGCGCCAGACTGAAGCTGGAAAGGAATGCTCAATCTACTGCTATACCCGCCGAGAACAACCCCTTGATCCAATGCATATCCTCCGCAACATCAACAGTCGCACTCTACGAGCTATACAACCGGACTTTCGGTGAGGGCCACGTCGTGCTCGCTTTAGCTTACAGTCTTTACACTGCAACTTCGATATTCTTGCTCGAGGTGCAAGCGGTCGGACACGCTGCGCCGAGCACACTAGAGCGCCTATCTCTCTGCGTCGCAACGCTCGAACGACTGCGCGCCACAAGTCCCGGTAATCACTCTCCACTCATAGAAGAAACATGTCTAATCCCCACCCCTAGTCCTCGAAACCTCACTCAAATCAATATCGCGAGAAATCGGCGCTCTCGGCATCCAACTCGTCCCTACGTCCTCAACTTCATCCGCGCCCGAAACCGAACGACTGCCCGACATCCCAGACCCACCTGCCTTCGAACAGTACGACGATTCGGTGCTGCTTGATTATTCGTATTTGAATGTGAACGGGCAGGATGGCGCGATGAGCTATAATTTGCTGGATATGCCACCGGAAATGTATGAGGCGTTTTCGCAGATTGAGCCGTTGAGCGTTATTATGGATCCGGGGTTTGATTTGTTTTGAAGGGGTTAAGAGATATGGAGAAATTTGCCAGGTGAGATTTTACACAACGTGTTTCTTCTTGTTGCAGCATTGAGGTTGCAAGGTTGAATCGCAGACACTGCATTGATTTCACCACTTACATGCCTCGCATTGTTCGTTGCATACCTCTGGACAATGTCGGAACCATTGTGAAGCAACGGACCCGATATATGACACTGATTAGATTCGTTCCCATGTATCCAGACAGAAACTCACTCCGACCTGAACAAATTTATCTATATTCACGCTCTTGCAAGTCAATCGCCTCAGATATTTACATGTTCCATTCCTGGTCACATTCTACATACGCAAAAAACATGGCCTCATCCACCAGCATCCCTTGTCCCGCCAGCACATTCATGCTCTCCCACGCCCAACTCGCCGCAATGGAAGAATGGGCCTTCCTTACCCACCTCCACCTCCACCGCAGCTCGCGCCCCCAATCCCAACAATCCTTCCTCCAAGCCCGCCAACACCGCTATCCCTCCATCCCCGCCTACAACTTCCAAGCCACCCTCTCCACCATCCCTCCATCGAGCCTTGTCCTCTTCCCAGCATGGTGCAAAGCCCACTCGCTCGACTCGGGAAAGCACACAAGCTACGCGCAGTATCTGAGCGAGGTGAATCTCCTACCCTACGAAGGCGACCCCGCAGACTATCCGGGCTTGTACCACTTCGTCTGCATGATTCACTGCGGGACGAACCGCTTCGAGGGGTTCGAGAGGAAAGACCAGATGTCTGTGCGTTGGATCTTGAACTGCTTCTACGAATCGCGGTACTTGGCCGATTTCGGCGGGTTGGGGGATGTTGTAGGCGGGCGCTGGAGCATCGTGGCGACATTGACAAATGACTCGGGCGATTGTAACCGCGGAATCCACAAAGTGCACGAGTACGCGACACCGGGCCCGGTGCGTCTGATGAAGGTGCTGGCGTCCGAGGCGTTGTGGCCCGGTCATTCGGCGCGGGAGATTGGTATATTGGCGACGCTGCGTGGCGGGTGTGCTAATATCGTGCAGAGCTTTGATTCATACACGCCATCAGGCAGGCATGATCTGCCGTGGTTGATCATGGAGATGTGCAACGCGCAATCACTGTGGAACCGCGCGAAGAAGTACTGGAAAGCCGAGGAGGACGTGCCGGAGTTGTTCATCTGGCACGTATTCATCAGTTTACTCGAGGCGGTGAAGTATTGCCACTACGGTCCTGGTGAAGAGGATTGGGATCCGATATACCATCGCGATATCACGCTGAGTAACGTCCTGCTGCATTATCCTACAGATGACAAGACAGGCTATCCAGACGTCAAGCTCGCGGATTTCGGCTGCGCTGTTACGCGCTCGGAAGCTACAGCTAAGCAGCTCAAGATCGCTGATATGCCAGAGGTATGTCCTAGTGCTATTCCGCCCGAGGGCGCGCTGGCGGCCAAGGCCACTGACATGTACCAGGTCGGCGCGATCGTCAAGGAGCTGATGGAAAAGGAGCGTAATAGCCATGGGCGCGCGCTTGTGAGGACGTACTCCAAGACGCTGCAGTATCTTGCCGATTGCTGTACGATCCTCCTTGCAGCGAAGCGCCCGGATGCTGCGAGTATGCTGCGTATTGTTCGAACGAACCGTGATGATTTGTTGGCTGCGGGTAGTGTTAGGCATGAGAGGCTGAGGGGTGAGTAAAGTGGAGTCTACGTGAGTATCCTCGAGTCTCACTAGACAATTAGTACGTAACATGATATGCCAATGTGGAGGTTTGCAACAAGAAACACGTTTGGCAACATGTGCATTTGAACATGGTCTGATCATACACAGACTACTATCCCCTACTACGTAGCGAAAACTACGCCGCTACGAGATAAAAATTAGATTCTTAGACTTTAAAGCCAGGGGTAGGGAAAGTGGTCCAGTTGGCTCAGTGTGTTGTGGCGGGCTATATTATCATGGGATTAAGACACCTACCGTCAGCGCTAATACATTCAATCGCAGTTACCGTGGTACGCTTAACGCGCGCGCCTCTATAGCTCTCTCGCATTCCTTCCTTGCCAACGAGGATTTTGACATAGTTGGGCATGCTTACCTTCAGCGGAACATTTTGTAGCTCCTTCTCGATCACTTCGAACCAGTAGGCGACCTTGTTGTAGATATTAAAACTACTCCAGTCTTGCGCCCTCTTCTTTCTCGCTACGATCTCTGGACGGCGTCTTTCGAGTGCCTTGGCCCAGTTGACGCCTGGAGCCTTCTGAGGTCTACCCGCTAAGGCCCGATGGCGGGTTGCACTGAAAGCCGGTGATGCCACATATTTCATTCGTACGGGTTGTCCTAAAGAACTTATATGTAATAAGGATTCGACGACGGCGTTCTCTTCGCATGGGGTAAGGTACTGCTGGCTCTGTGCTTTGGCTTCTCTGGAGCGTCGCCCGCGTGCGCGATGATGTAGGGTAGATAGCGGGACGTTGGCGTGTGCAGCTCGGGCAGACCAGGTGTTAAGAATGCCACCAGGAACGTCCTCAGCTAATACACGACTGGATTTATCCATATCAGCTTGCTGTAGTGAGTAACGGTCAGTCGTGAGGCGATCCAGCCAGCAACGAGGGCCAGTGAGCGCGGCCGGCCAAGGCCCGCCGAAAGGCACCCAACAAAGGGCCAGCGTGCATTGTGAGTATTTCAAGCTCCACCAAACTGAGCAAACTGGGCAAAGCAGACAAACATTCTTAGCATTCACGTGGTGCTTAGCCACATGGAGCATAACTGGACTAGGTGCTAATACAGCGAATAAAATACCCCTAATACATATTGAGCATCGTCCCTGCGGATGAATACGAGGACCCCGCCTTCTCCGATCGGCAAAACTCTCAGCCTTCACAGCCTTAAGTGCGGAAAACTGACGGAGAAAAACTTAGCTCTTCACCCGGCCCGTACTCTGCGTTAAAGTCTTAGGGCCTGTCTGGTACGCCAGTTTTGCTGGCCGTTTCGGCCTAATTAGGCAGCGTTTTAAAAACGGAGATGAGATGGAGCTCGTGTCTGGTAAAACGGAGTAATCGCCAGAGGAGCTGGGGATGCTATTTTGTTAGCGTTGCCACTAAGGATTGCATCCTGGTTTAGTGCTTATTGTACCCACAATCTACCTATTTGAGCGAGATGGAGCCTCCATTTTCTAGCAGCTGCTTCGAGGTACAGTTTCAATTCTGGTCGCTCCATTTTGCTAATCTAGATTCGGGCAACCCTCTGAGCTTAGCTCCTGCGCACTCCTTGTTACGAGCTTTACCTAATATATCACCAATACGGCCAGCAAAAACGGCGTAACCAGACAGGCCCTTAAACTCTCGGACTCTTAGGCGAAGGCGTTTCGCAGTCTTTCGCTTAATTAAGCTAGCTTGGATCTATACCCAACTGCTGAAGATAACCCGCTGCATGAGTATAGAAAGCCGAAGAAGTGCGACTTGATATTTCTTTTCTACATTCTGTATACCTTCCTGCCTACGAATCACGTTCGCCATACTCCAAGCAAGCAGGCCACCATTATGTTGCCGACTAACACAGTTACGACGACCCCTTCAAGCACACTACCTCCATCCGGCAATGCCTCTCAGGAAAACATCGAACTGCAACCCATACAAAGAGCAGCTATCCATGATCCTGGACATTTGTCAAGCGACGAATTCTCAAAGAATGCGGACCCTGCTGAATTCCTCCCACAGCCTTCAACAACAGTCTCCGTGGCGGAACGATGGAATCACCCAAGATCCAACATCTGCCGCACTGGCGCGACAATGTTCGCTTTTATGATCGCTGGTGCAAACGACGGCGCGTACGGTGTAGGATCGCCACTTGCTCGCGATGTCGAATCATGCTGATGTTCATCACAGGCCATCCTGCCGTACCTGGAGGAATTCTACAATCTAACATATGTGGTCGTATCCCTCGTCTTCCTCTCTCCTATGTGCGGCTACGTCGGCGCTGCGCTTCTCAACAACTGGATCCATGTCCGCTTCGGCCAGCGTGGAGCTGCTTTTTTAGCTCCCTTCTGCCATCTCTGCGCATATATTGGAATCGCGCTTCACCCGCCGTATCCGGTTCTGGTCGTAGTGTTCATCCTTGCAGAGTTTGGCAACGGCCTTGAAGATGCGGCGTGGAACGCGTGGCTGGGCAGCATGGCGAACTCGAACGAAGTCCTGGGGTTTCTGCACGGGTTCTTTGGACTTGGTGCAGTGCTGAGTCCACTTGCAGCCACCAGCTTAATTACGAAAAGTGGCTGGACGTGGTACCAGTTTTACTACCTCATGGTAAGGTGGCTTTCAAGCTCTTGTGTACAAGTATGTTGATAGAGGCACAGAGTGGCGGCGCCGTAATCGAATTAGCAACCTCATTTGCGGCCTTTTTCCCCATGACAGGCCAAAAGTACAGAGAATCGAAGCCACGAACTAAAGCAGGTTCTGATAGCCGCCTGAAGGAAGCGCTCAGAAGCCGAGCTACTTGGGTTGCTTCGGTGTTCTTCTTCTTGTACATTGGCGTTGAGGTGGCGCTTGGAGGATGGGTCGTCACATTCATGCGCCGAGAGCGAGCAGGAGGCGACTTCGCGTCCGGTATGGTTGCTACCGGTTTCTGGACAGGCATCACACTCGGTCGTGTCGTGCTTGGATTTGTGACTCCGAGGCTGGGAGAGAAGCTCGCAGTCCTAGTAAGTTGTGAAATGACGACTACCCTGAAAAAGCTGCCCACTTACTCTTGCCAGCTTTACATCACCTTCGCCATGGTATGCCAGCTCATATTCTGGCTGGTACCTTCTTTTCACGTCTCAGCCATCTTCGTTTCTCTCCAAGGCTTCTTCCTCGGCCCTCTCTTCCCTGCCACCATCGTAGCCGTAACTAAAGTGCTCCCTCCGTACCTGTACGTCTCGGCGATTGGATTCGCAGCTGCGTTCGGAGGCGGGGGAGGAGCCGTACTTCCCTTTGCCATTGGTTCACTAGCACAGGCAAAAGGTGTCAGTGTACTCCAACCTATCATTATGGCCGTCCTCGCCGTTCTGCTATCCTTATGGTTCTCCTTTCCCAAGCTCAACAAAAAGGCCGCTGGGGAAGCCTCTTCGGAACCCGAGACGAAATCATTGAAATTGCTGAACATCGACTTTGATCTTGTTGAGACTGGCAGACGGACATTCAACAAGAGCCGGGGGAGGTTGGTGAAAGCCTTCTCTAATACGTTCTCTATCACTAACACTGAAGGTTGTAGATAATCACGTGGTTGTTACCCTGACTATTGATAGTTCCCTTTGAGGCATCTTAATGCCAAGACTTTCTAGAAGTGTCTATGAACTCGTGACCGTGAGCAGAGCTTACCGGATAACAGCTGTCAGGGAGAGGTATTCAGCGCTAGCCCTATGTTACGAACCTGTAGGACGGGGCACAGCAGTCTGTGTAGGATACAGGATGCTGACCAGGGGGTCAACATAGAGGTCAGCATATAAGGACCAACGAATGACGCCACTCCGCAGGGCACGTGATCCCACTGAGCTACTCGATAGCTTTTAACACCCTATACAGAGCTCGCTTAGATAGAAGGTACCGACCAGGGTGGCGGCATCGCATAATTTTCCACGCCACACTAACTGCACGGCTGGTATAGCCTCGTGACGTTGTGGCTAGGTTCTTAAGATGGACTACCAATTCTTGAATTGGATCTTAGACATCCCGCTTTTATCCTGAGCAATCCAGTGTATAATCACCATATTGCTTCAGTAGAAGGCTCTTGATAGATGAAGAGCGACGGCGACGACGCGAGTGTAATTTATTAGTGCGGGATGGTCCTAAACACTTGAAAGTACCTACAGTACACTGTGGCCATATGCGAACAGAGAGTGCAACATGTAGATAAAGTTGTGTTTGTTCAAAGTAAAAGTACCCCTCACATTTTCCGGCAGGGGGTGTTTTTGTAACACAGTGAAGGATGTTACTAATGAAGAACTATCACTCATACAATAACACACCCAGGAGATGCTCGCCTGCCCCTCTAAGCCTTGTAGCTTCCCTTGAACGCCCTAGTGCGAACGGCCCTACCAGACGGTGTTTCCAGCTGAACCGGAGTATCCAGCTCGGCAGTACCCTGACGCGAACTTCTACCGCGCTTGGACGTTGCTACAGGAGTAGCAGGCGTCTGCAGCTTGCTAGCTGCCTTCGTCGGGCGACCAAGACGCTTCGCCGGCATAGGCGTATCTGGCTTCCTCTCTACCACGGTCACCTCCTTTTGCTCTACCATCACCTTCTTTGGCCGGCCGCGTTTTTTTGGCGGAAAGAGAGTGGTGCGAGGCGGCGTGACCTCCTCCCGCCGTGCAGGAGTTGAGGAAACAAAGACCACGTCATCCATGTCCTCATCTTTCGTGAGGCCATCCCGCACTACAGGAGCTGACCCAACGTAGATCACGTCAGACATGGCCTCGTCCTTCGTCTCGACGGGCGAAGAGAAGTTCGCGTCTAATGGCAGCAGGGAGAGATCTGAGGAGGATGAAGGTGAGGCCTGCAGTGGTGTCTGAGGCTGGTCGGCAGGAGAAGGGCGCGGAAGGGATATCGCAGGTGCTGATGGTGGGCTCGCGATCGAGCGAATCGACGGCAAAGATGCACTGAGGCTTACCTGGCTTGTCTCTTCAGTGCTAGAATATGTGAGGGTCGCGTTAGGCCACTCTTCATCCTTCTTCGCTGGAAGGACTTCTGCCTCTTGCATGATCTCATCTTTTTGCTTGAGGAACTTGTGCATGTCTCTTCGCTCCTTTCTGTTGTCCTCAATCTTCCAGTAGAAGATTTTGCTCTCAGCGACGCGATATTGCGTAGTACCTAGTGTGGGACTTTCGTGAGGCGACGCACCCTCTTGTATGGAGCGAAGCCAAGTGCCCTTATCTTCGTTGCCAGTCCGGACCACCATAGAATTTGGCGGCTGCTGAATCTTGATAGTAGAGGGTGGCTTGGACGTCTTGCGCTTCTCTGTGGCAAGCGGGTCCGAGAGCATATGACCAGGTGTATTCAGGTTGCGGGCGCCCATGAGGGCCTGCTGAAGCGTCCTCAGCGGCTTTGACGGCTTATCGACAGGAGTTTGTTGACCTGTCGGGCTGGCCTTAGTCGAGGCAGTTGGCGACGATGAAGAAGAATACAGATCTTCGTCGTTATAGTTAAGTCCATAAGTAGGTGAAGCATGTACTGCTGGGGCTTGTGCTGCGCTTGCAATACTCCCACCTTCCGATGTCGAGAAAGACGGGTATTTATAAGTACTCCGTCCGCTGGAAGGCTGCAACTCCTTGGAAGTCGAGGGTGGTGAAGAGTCATACCCACCGCGCCGTGTAGGTGGACGTGCCGGAAGGCTAGGAGTTAAGGAGGCAGCCTGTTCCATACCCGGTGTGTTGGGTGGGAAAGGTGAAGCAGCCTGTCTCATAACTGACGCGTAATCGAGGAAAGTCTCTTCTGGCGACTTTTTGCTTGAATTCAACACGCTCGAAAGAGGGTTTAGTGGCGTTTGTGAGATCTGAGCCAAAGGTGTCTTCGTTGCAGTTGATGGAGTAGTAATAGCCTTCTTCTCTTGTCGCAGCGGTGTAGCCAAAGTCTCGACAAGTGCATCAACATCAGTCATGATGGAGTCCTCCTTCTCCTTAATCGCGGCTGATGCAAGCAGCTTGTCCTTTCGACCGCTTAAGGGTCTGAACACCTCAGGGGTGGGTGTATTCGTAGGCGAGGGTTGCGAAAGCTCTGCATATGTCTCTTGCATTTCTGGAGCTCCTGCGACAACGCTGTCCTTGCGCTCGGCAGTTTCGCTCTTACGTCGCTTCGCCAAAAGTGCGCGCTCCTCATCAACTTCGACCCAGAGCTTTCGCTTCAGCGCGCTCATGGCGCCTTGCGCCTCTTGCTTATTGAGGTGAATTTGCAGCAAACGCTGGACTTCTGCATCCATGACCCGGACGAGCTCATGTGGATGGTAGAGTCGGTCCTGGTACTCTGGAGTGTTCTCGATAATGCGAGTGATGTGGAAAACGGCCAGGTTGACCTTGGCGCGGTCATTTCGGTACCGGTTGAAGTAGGGGAGAGTGGCGGACGCTGCTGCAGCGCCGGCTGTGAAGGCTAGCAACAAAGTTCCATGTTGCTTCAGAGTCTCATGGAGGATGGCGCCATCAATGAGGAAGCCGGTAAGCGCTTTGACTTTGGCCGATAGCGTGGTGAACTCTAGAGCGCCCGTGGGGAGTTGCGAGATTTGATCGACCATGATGTATCAAGTCGTTGTGGAATGCAAGGCCATGGAATAGGTGGTTGCAAGGTGGTCGTGGTTAGTGTCGAGAGTAGGGCGGGTTTACGAGGTTGGCGTGGGGACGAGAACGTGGTGCTTTATGTGCATTGGAGGCGAGCGCGTGATAATTTTCGTGGAAAGGTGAGGGCTGGCTGTCCAGACAAGGGGGTAACAGGCGCTGGAGTGTCACTATTGCCTGAGCGCAAGCTATGTGTGACACTTTCCAGAAAGTGAAATATGGATGGGCCGTCAGGATCCTCAAATCCGGTTGCAGGCGCGAGTATCGGAACCTGAAGTGTGGGAGTTCTTTGTGCTTGTACCGAGATGGTATATGGAAGTGTCGCTGAGTGGTCGGCGCATTAGACAAAGAAAGTCTCGGTTGTGAGAAAGATCGGCTGGTACTGCGACGCTACGCGGGGTCGTGATTATTTTGCTCCAGCGTTGCCATGGCGTCGTAGCATAATATTGAGGGAGATAAAATGCGCCTTCGCAGTGTCACCAGTACTTTGGTGGGTGACCATGAGAATTGACCAGGTGCTTCCGTCCGTTATCACTGCCAAGGTCCGCACAACGTGCTCGCCATACGACTTCCCACTTCCTGAAAGACGTTGTTCAAGATGGCGAAAGCGAGGAATCGACTTCAAACAGAACGACGAGGTGGCGGCCATGCGATCAAGTCATATTCAAACCACCTCCAATACATCCTTCTCTTCCCTCTCCCACCGTCTCCTTCCCCCTAAAGTCCCTTGACCCTCCCCTCCCCCCAGCCACCACTCACACCCCTAACATCCCTCCCCTGTCCCGCAAGCACCCTCCCCTCCATCCTCTCTCTCCCTTCAAACCCTGTCTCCCTCCCAAACCCCGTACCCGCCCCGTACAAATTCAAGTCGCGGCCCGTGAACTTGAGCGGCCGGGCGTAGCCTGCTTGTTTGAGCCAGCGGGCGAGCAGGACACCAATTGCGGCCCAAAAGGCGGCAAGGAGGAGGATGAGGGGGATGAACATTGGGATGTGTTTGGGGATATGAGCGTTATTGGGTTGGATGAGAATGTATGACTAGGTGTGATGGAAGCTGTATATTATGCTACGGGAAGGAAGGAGAGGAGATAATGCATGATAAAGTATTGAAGTGATGTCAGGGGATGTCGAGTAGCGTGCGGAGTGCAGCGGAGGAGCGGAGACTACTTCAGGCGCGGATCTGTGGGGTAGCTCTGAAGCTAGTTCGCAGAGCCTCGGCCATGCATGAATGATCTGCAACTTAGGTTTGGAAAGGTAGGATGCAACGTGAGAAATCAGATAAAAGCTCAGACGGTAGATAGATAGAACGAAGAATTGATGATGATGCAAGTAGATATCAGGGCCTACGTACCATCACAATCAGCATGAACGCGCCAAAGGGTATATGCGCATGCTCAATCAGCTCGACTAGAAACACACCCACACCCATCAATCAGCACTCCCACTCCCCTCCTCCGCCCTCTTCGTCCTCTTCATCCTCTCCTCCACCGCCCTCGCAATAATCTCCCTCCGACTTAAGCTCCCCACCTCGCTGTTCCCTCCCTCACTACTTCCGCCCAGCACAAAATCCCCACCCGTCCATCCCCCATGATCATGTACCTCCTCCTCACCCGGCTCATAGTACTCTTGATCCCCCACGCTCCTGCCGCCACTCTTCCAATCATCCCGCGCCACCTCGCGTTCAATCTGCTTACACAGCTCCCAGAAATTGCGATCATGCGGGCCCCACACATTATGCGCGAGTTCATGACACAGCGTGTTCCTGATCGTTTTGTAATCGCGATACCCGTCGTATGCATCGGTGCGCAGGCGCAGTTCGATGACTTCGCCTTTATTGCGGTTGAGACCCAGCGTGCGTGAGTCTTGCGTGGTGTGCATCGCCGGGTCCATTTCCGTGAGGAGCGGGACGCTGAATTTGTGGTTGAGCATGGCGGCTTTGATGCCCGCATCGTCGCGCAAGCGCTCGAGGAAGCGCAGAGAGCGGTCGGGGTTGGGGAGGTAGGGCAGCGGCCGCAGCGTGTGGAATGTGTATTGCGCTTCGTCTTGCATGCGCTTGTAGTCGCGGGTGGCCGGGCGGGCATGGCGGCTTTGATGGGGCCTGGGCGGCGAGGCGCGGAGGCGGCGGATATGGTCGAGTTGAGGGAGGCGACTTCAGCGGTCGTGCTGCCCATGAGAGTTATCTTCTTGCCGGCGAGATCTGTGAGAGGCAGGTTCGGCACTTTGAAGGGCGGCTTTTGGAGGCCGAGTTTGGAGGCGACGAGGAACTTTTGGTTGGTGGGCGGTATGGAGAGTTCAGATGCGACTCGCTCGGATAAATCTGATATCGTCGCATCCTGTGCAAAGCCAAATGTATGCCGTTCGCCGTGGTGGAGGAGTGTGATCTGTAGCTCGTCACCAGCAGGTGGCGCGGATGAGTTATCGACGTCAGTCATGTTGAAGCAGGCAAAAGATCTCGAGATAATGTTTGCTGTATATAGATAAGTGTGAAGGTTAGTAGGTGATCAAGATATTGAGCTTCGCAGCTTGTGGCTGACACTGAGCCCGTGTTGTTTCGGTGACGTTCTGCAAGGCTTCTATGAGTGATGCGTCGCCATCGGCATTTGTCATCATTCACGCCGACGATCAGGCCCGATACTCTTTCACCACCATCACCTTTCAAGCATACAACCTCAACTTCACTTCATATGCAACGTACACACATGGCAAATGGTTGCATATGCTCAATATTAGTAGAAAGCCAGTACTGATTTGAACGACAAGCTTCACTGAAATCTTCACAAGACCACTACAGCAACGAAAAGCACTCCAAACGCTCACATAACCAATCCACCCGCGCTACCTCAGGATATCAATGATGCAAATAAGGTAATCCACCCAGGAAACAATGCTGAAGTGTAATGCTCAACGCCGACCCAATGCCCAAACCCCAAACCCCTTTACGGCCAACTCGCCTCCCACTCCATCCTCTTCCTCTCCTGTACCTTCTTCTTCGCTTCCCTATCCCTTGCCGCCTGTGCCTTCTGATCTTGCCTTGCTCGATCTGGCGACTTGATCCACTCCCTTTGCCTCGGATCCCAAAAATGCCTGTATTTCAATCAGCCCAAACGTCCTCCAGCACCCATCTCGCAACGTACCCATTATGTTCCGTATTCACCAACGCGCCCTCGCGATACTCATCCGTCAGAATCTTGTCATACGCATACGGCACTTTCGCAAACATGCCTTCAAACACCGTCTCGCGCATCGGATACAGCTCGTCCATGTGATACCGGTGGTTATTCTTGCAAGTCCAGATGCCAGGATGCGTGTCTGGCTGCGTCTCACTGAGGCCGGTGATGTCGATGTATAGCCCGTTGCGCACATCGATCCAGCGTGCGTCGATGACGTTCATGCCGTCGCCGCGGATGCGTTGGTGGATCCATGGGTTGACGTCGAGGAGGTATTCGCGCCGCACGGAGCTGTCGGGAGAAGTATACTTGTACCGAGTGTGGTTGAACTCCCTGCCTAGACGGAGCAGTGTTCGGCCTGTGACTTGTGTGTCGAGATCAAAGTCCCAGGGGAGACGCTATGCTGGATTAGTACAGTGCTGAAGTGTGGATGAGTGGGCGGGAATGTACTCTGCCGTTCCACCACCAGCCAAGCAGCGTGCCGTGAGCTATCCACGTATCCAGTTTTTTCTCGCGGAAGAAAGTTAGGTATGCGCGGATCATGTGGGATTGGGTGTCTGTTCGTTCCTCGTCCGATGCTATGCCATGGAAGTATCGCCGGTCATAGTGCGAAAGCATTGCGCTGCCCCTACATGGCTTTCCATCAGCCATATAACTAGACGTATGAATGTCAGACGTACCCTGGCTCGTGGAAGTATTTTGTATTCGGCCTCTTAAGCTTTTCTTTCCCATCCACAACCGGCCCTGGTGGTTTTTTCAGCTTCCCATCCCGACCTAGTCCCAATAGCATCTCCTTCGGCGGCGGTCCACCAGCAAGACATTTCGAAAGCAAAGCAAAAGCCACGGCGCATATGGATAACCGCATCGTAAAGTCCTCCTGTCCCAAACGTAGCAGGTAATATGAAATAAACAAGCGTGACAATCTAGTAAAGCTCGAAAACCAGTATCGCTGTAATAATAACAAGAAAGAAGCAGAAAGATCCTAGGCCAAAGGTGTCGCGAAAAGAGGCGCTGATGACAACTTCCATATAAGACAACATGTCGCGTGCGCGTTCCCGGGAGACGACGTAATTGCCTCGTAGTGGTGGCAGGCGTTGGAGGGGAACGGATGCAGCAACGACCAAGCCTGATTCGGCGCGTGATGGAAGAAACTGCCTATGATTTGAGTCATATTTGCCCATCGTGGCCTCCTCCCCCCCTTTGTCGGCCCATGTGCATCGCAGCGAAAGCGTCCAGGCCACGTTCAGGCAGCGCTGAAAGCGATCTAGTGCGACTTCTGACGAATGCTTGATGCAAGCGCTAGCGAATGACACGCGGCCATTGCGTGTCAAGCTTTCAGACAAGCTTTTGTCGAGGAGCTTGGCGCGAATGGAATGAAGAAAATCGCAGAAGTAGGTCTTGATAACTTCTCTTGCATGTACAACTTGCCGCGATTTTATGCGAAGAGGCCCGATGCCTGCCATGAACTGAGATGAAAAACAGTTCTGAGGTCCGATGAAACAGTCTTTGCCATGCATACTTACTCGCAGTTCTTATCACGTGCCGAGCTACCAAATGGGGATATGGGGTAGTGGCAGTCGTCATCAGCGCTCGACTTAGATACCGAACGCGGCACCTGCTGTCTCTGCATGAGGTTCTATCGGACTTCAAATACTAAGTCCGGACCATTTGCAGATGAGCGAATGCGTAAGCATCAAGGCGCGTCCGTCACGAGGTAAGGAATGACAGGTCTTAGCGCAAACTTGGCTCTATTCTGCAAAGCGGTGTTCATACCCTGTCAAAATCACCAATTTCCCTGTGCGTATTGCAGCTTCTAGTAGCCGGATTCTTATCAGCCTTACAATTGGCACCTTGGTGTACATGTGTGCTATGACACGTTGTGCACGGGGGTGGCATTTTGCAACTTCAGATTCGGTCAGGACGGAGCTAGTTAGGTGTTTTCAGGAGTAGTTCTGAGCATATCAAGAAATGTATGGAGTAACGATGATGTCCATCTTACATCGTTCTGCGTGAGCTTTTGTTCTTCTGTGAGCTACGCTGTACACCCGCACTAATTTTTCGAGGCTTTGGACGAGGCTTCTGGGCAGCCATATCACAAGGCAATGGCTCACACATGTGCTCGAGAGATTCAAGCATATCGTGCCGAAGCGTCCACTCCCCAGACCTTTCATCTTGCTCATACGGCTCTTGCAAAATCCACTCCCGCCACTTCTTCAGAACCTTGACTACGTGCGACTGAGTTGCTTGGAACCATTCCTTGTGCATCTTTCCGCAGCCATCACATTTTTTGCGCAGTCTATACTCTTTCAACTCGGTATGTATGAGTTGCTCGACGCGGTGCACATGCGGCATGTTCACCTGGCTCTCGGTACTGGAGTGATAGGCGTTTTGGCGTTTGCACTTTTGATTCCATTCCTTGAGCCGTCTGGCTAGATTATTGGTGTACCCAATCTTGACCATGCCAAAAAACTCCTTGTCCCAATAGAGGTATATAAACCCTGCACTGTAGTCCCTGGGACCTAACGGCGAAGCCGCCTTTTGATGAAGAGCCGACGAAACCGAGAGTTTCTGGATGTTCCTTGGTTGGTATTGTATGAAGCTCGATGAGAAAGGGACGTGCGAAGTGATCTCGGCAGTAGAGGCTATGAGTACGAGCTTTGGGAGTGACTTGGGCCGTGCAGTCGGCTTAGACTTCGTCGTGATAGTGAAGGTCTGAGGATTGTGGTCCCCACGGGTATTTGGATCAACAATCCCGTCGACCCATTGGGCAAGAGTGGATTGGTCCGCTTGCGTCATACTTGTAATGTCTTCAAGCTGGCTACGCAGTTCCGCTATCCTGGATCCTGCTTTGAATTGGTGCAGTGCCGTTTTCTGATGGATGTTACACATGACTGACTGTACAACCCTTTCGATATGGGTAAGCATGCCACAATAATCTTCTTCTTTCTTGCATTTTGCCAGTCTCTTCAAAGTGCTACCGACGCCACTCGGCGACCACAGAGGCTTTGCTTTGTAACTGCACTGGACAGAAGGGTTCGTCACCAGGGACGCGACACAGTATCCTGGTTTGCTGACAAGTCTTGCATGGAGATCGTGCGGTACAATCTGTCCCAGTGACGCCCAAAGTTTGCTTTGCAGCCGTGGGGTGGTGGTTGGCTGTTGAGGAGGTTTGACGCCGCGCTTCTCCTCGGGAAGCGTGGCATGTATAGCTGACGTTACTAGCGCTTTGCTGCTCGTCTTCGATCGTGTTCGCGAACTGACAGAGTCGCTGAATACAAACGAAGGGTTCATTTCGTACTTCACGCAAGTGGCTGCGATATTCTGCTGAGAGACTAATATGGGTAAGTCAGACAAGATCGCTATCGGCTTCGGCATTGCCGTAACTTACTTGCTTGGAGCTCAAACGTCAGGTTTCGAAACAGCTTCGGTATCTGAGAAGTGTCGTCCTGTACTGCCACATCCTTCTTTTCGACAGGTTGCTGCTTCGTCGATAGACTTGCTTCGCTACCAAATGATAGTTTGGACACTGGAGTGATTGATAGTCTCTTAGAAGACTCAGAGAGGGTTGGTGGTGTTGGTGGTGTCAATGGCGTCAGGATGCCTCGTAGAGAGGCGCTGCTCATTTGCTTAATGGGAGTCTCGGGTAGGTCCCAAATGTCATCGAAAACTGCTGGAGAAAACCAAGTAGAGACTGAAGATGCTGATGGGATGGTAGCAATGGATGTAGGAACGGCGGTTGGTTGGTCAACTGCAACATGCCCACGCTTGGGGGTCTGGATAGCGCGTTCGAGTACGTTCACGTCTTGAGTAGCGACAGCCATGATGACTGCTCTGCAGTAATGCTTAAAAGAATGATGAGGGACGAGGGCTGCAACTGAGATCTAAAGTCGAAGAGATAGATGTACTGTTGATGCCAATAAGAGCTGGATACAAGCCAGTATATATCCTAAGCCATGCCGAGATAACTACGTTACTGGAGACTACGTAATCTGTCGACGCAGCCGAACCCCCATGAGTACTGAATTCTCAGCCCCAAACGTTGCGATCGCATGATTCAAGCGCGGATACTCCACAGAAGCCCATTCGCGCAGGCACACTACCGCTACGGGCAGGTGCAATCGTCTCGAAACACATAGGTCCAATCCAAGGATAAAGCGGATTCGCAACCTTGAGGTTTGCATGTTTGATACTTTGGTGGCTGCATGAACCGTGCCGCAGAGCCGCAGGTGGCTGCCTTACTCAGCCTACCTCAACCCCTGGACACGGTGGTTTGTTCAGCGTCGATGACCCATCAGTGAACTCAATCTTCAGCTAGATTGCTTCGATATTTAGAAAATCGTCTTTAACCATACCTGGAACGGCCGATGTTAATGTCCACGGATACGTCAAGGAGTATGCCCGACCCCAGCTACTCGCTATGGCCTAGGATTTCGGCCCCATACAGAAACAATGCTTCAAAACTTATCACGTATTATCTTGAGGATTGACCGTTGACTGCATCCGGATTCGTATTCGAGTTCTGCGCCAACTGCAGTGTAATTCGACTATGATACACGCGCCATCTCAAGCTCGTATTGTAACAGATGCCTTCCTACCATTTGCCGGTTTCCGACCAAGACATGGGGGTTGAAACAAACCTCGTGGTTTCACCGTGGCCCGTGCTTGAATTGCGCCGTCGGCGAGCCTGGATCGATAGGCATACATTGTCACGAATGAAGGGGACGCAAAGCCCTAGCAATTATGTTGGTCGTAAGTATTGTCAGCTATCGCCAATATCAGCTTTCAAGGTACAACAGCAAGAAGGATCGGCCTTTTTGTTGTTTGACAAGTATGTAGTGTTGAGTGAGAGTGACTGAGCGTTCGCTGGATTGTGTGGGTGTGGAAAGTGGGGTTGCCGGCACGTGGTCAGGCGGGAGCGGCTATCTGCCGCCGAAGCGCTGGTCACCAGGCAGTCATGGCGATCATTGGATCAATGAGGACAGAGCCAACGGACATCCATGCTCTCAACAACAGGCGCGATGCGTGGACCGGGATAGTCAAACCATGTCATGTAACCTCTGCAGCTTGCGCTGGATCAGTCCCGCTGCACGCGATCTTCGAACTCTAGAGTTGTCACTTACCGCAATCAGAAACCCCTCGACCAAGCCTCTCGCTACTACAACCATCGAGTGAGATGTGTGTCACGCTACAAATTATCACGACGTGCCGCAGTCGACTACGGAACAGAAGAGCAGGGACTATCTCCTATCGCTTGCTTCATCCTGCTTGCTCGACAGCAACTTTCCTGTACTGCGCGTATAAAGCGCTTGATCTTGCACAAAAGTGTGCTTAGTTCTTATTTTGTTGATGTGGCTCAGCTTTTGAGTACTCCACCCTGAGATCTGTGATGCACGGTGCTACTCACTAGCTTTCCGCCCCCACACCCTGACAATGAAACAATATTGCCTCCTGAGATTTCGTGTCCCGTCCACGCTTGGTGTTCCATTCATTCCTGCAATCTCCAAGCGAGGCTGAACTTGTCTTTCCAGTATCCGGAAAGGACGAAAGGATAGCAACTGTGCAGCCACCGAGCTTGAATGCAGCTGATCCAATGTGCATGCTTCGAGCCAGCGACCTCAATTCGCAGATTGGCCGAAAGTGGCTCGGAGTTTTTCTGTTTCTCTGTTATAGATACTTACCGACTTGGTGCTTCTCCTCATGCCTAGCGCGTTCATTAGTATGTTGCGCGTTCCCACTTTATCATCCAGGCACCCACTACACTCGAGTAGCTTCCTCACCCCCGCTCTTCTTATGTTCCCGGCTTTCTTACCGATTAGAGATCAAAGCACTCTGCGAATAGTTCGCTAAACAAAGAGCAACGTATCTAAGGTCAGCACTGTCTTCTGCTAGGATCTGAAGGCTCACAGTCACTTTCTTGATGCATCCTACAACGAGGACCTTGTAAGCCGAGTCAATGCCCTGCTACTCACTATTCTCATGACGGTGAATACCCTGGAATTCTCTCCGGTCAATTCATGGAGCCGTCCTAAGATACCCCGAATTAATGCTCTTGAAGGTGAGTCTACTGAAAACGGCATTGACAAGCCGTGGCATAAGACTACGAGACAAGTAAAGCCTATTGATGGAGTATCCACAGGAATGGATTTTATGAATTTCGAGCACTGGCACGATGCTAATATTACCGTTCACTGCGGGTACATGCATTTTGACTGCGAGATGCGTTCAAGACTCAATTTCCCAAACACAACAACGGATCAAATGACCCACCCCAGCGTATGACGTACCGCCAGTCGACTTAAAACTTACACTGCTCATATCAGCCTTCACCGAAACATTTCAGAACATAACTTTTGTGTAATGCAGCATCAGAAATCACGAATTGAAGGAAAGAAGAGTTCAAGGCAGCACTGGATATATATGTTCCTTATCTATTCGAGATTCTAGCTATATAGTTATTTCTACTAGCTTAGCGCTACAGATCTTAGTTACAATCTTGTGCATATTATCTAACTAGGGGCGGACGCAAATATGCATTGCGTGTGTCTCAAGGAGGAAAGGCGTTTTAAGGATTTCTACGGACCAACAATGACAACGCCGGCCTTGCGGTTGAGAGTTCTTCTGATCTGCAGACACAATCAGGATTCTAACACTCCTTCGTAAAGATGTAACAAATATCTACCATGCCCATGCATCAACTGTAAGCGGAACCAGCGCTTTCTCACTCTCCAGCTCCACCGCGTATTTCTCCCCGCCCAGTCTCCACACCAACTCATTCCAAAAGTCTCTCGGCCCAAATCTCAACGGCGTAGTGAACTCCCAATAGTCCGGGTACCAGCCCGTCGACTCCCGGTCCAGGAAACCAGAAGAGTGACCATTTAGAATCATGATGTTATGATGCTTGAGATCGCCATGAGTAAAGACGATCGGATGGCACATTTCACGTAGTCTGTCAGCAGTTTCCAGTGTCTCTTTGAACTTTGCTTGCGAATAGAAGCTGTTGCTGGAGATGGAATTGAAGAAGTGGTCGTTGAATTCAGTTTCAGAATCACACGGTCCTACTGCATGACTAGGGATGTGCACGCTCCTGACTGCCGTACCCAACACGGAACAAATCTTTTCCTTAGCCCAAGGGTGCGACCATTTCCGCATAGTCTGCAGCATGCACTGTAGTTCTGTGAAAACGCTCTCCCGCTCGTCCTCAGTCATGTCCTCGTATAATTCAGGGTCGCCCAGGCCCCTTCCGGGTATGCGGGTCATGAGTATCGACACAGGTGTATGAGGTGTGTCGGGATGCTCGCCGTATGAGATGATCTTCGGCACTGGTAAGCCTGCAGACCACGCTATCATGGTTGCGGCTACTTCTTCGAGGCGCGTGCCATCGGGCCACTTTAACACCAATCCAAATGGAAGTGCTGCAATCTGATTGTCAAATGGAACGCCACACCAATGGCAGTAGTAGCTCGAAAAGAAACGGAGGTAATTGTGGAGGAATCCAAAGGTAAGGCGAATATTTCGAGGCCAAAGGCGCGGCGTTGGTGGTATTGATGATGCTAATCTTACAGAGCCAAGGGCTTGGTGAGGCCAGGTAAAGGTAGGCAGGAGGATGCCAGGTACAAGGTACCGAAGTCAACCCATTGCGATGTTATGTGCGAAAGTCACGTGGAAGCTATAATCCTAGAGCATCAGAAAGTTTTTCAGTTCTGGCATAAAAATATCGCATACATTTGACGTAACAGTATCGAGTTTTTTCCGTGGCGGTGGCAGCAGGCTTCTATCGAAGTATAATGAGCTACCTCATCTGCCCCTTGCTGTACGAGCCACTGTGCCAAGACGTACAAAATCATTATGGATGTATAAAAGTGCGAATCTTCGAATGACTATCGCTTGGTTGTTCAAAAGTCGCGCCGCAACTATTCACATAGGTATCAACTTGCACCAATAAAACGCACAACGTTCCTCTTTCTAGCCATATTTCTTGTCTCCACGTCACGTCATCTTCCAAGCTTTCCCATAGCCTCCTTTCTTGCAACTCCTGCTCGGGATCTAACTTCATGGACATTGCGACGGCGATCATCTGCATTGCGTAACTCTATATTGATGAAGAACAAGATGTATGTGCCCATTTACCAGGACGGCGCCATGGCGGCCAGCATGTCCTCTACCACCAACTCGTCGCGATACCCCAGAAAGATTTGATCAACAACATCTGCAATCCACCGGTCTGTAACCCTCACCATAAAATGCATCTTGGTGTATTCCCAATATTCGGGATACCATCCCGCACACTCCCAATCCACTATGCCCGAGATCCTCCCCATCTCATCGACAAGGATATTCCTGAGGTTGAGATCCGCGTGTGTGAAGACGATGTCGTGCTTCACACTGTGCGCCTTGGAAATCTGCCTGCGTGCATCGTCATCAAAAGGCAGATCATTTGTCAAGAATTGACTGAACTCCGTCCCGGTGCGGAAGCGCAATTGTTGGCGTTGGGAATCGCCGATGCGCCAGTCTAGAATGCCGCCACCCAGTGGGTTACAGATGCAGAATGGTGAATTGATGGTATTAGGAATACTCCGTAATTCAGCGAGATAGCCCTTGAGATCTTGTGCAGCTGCGTCCAGTTGTCTGTCAGTCATGGTAGCCAGCCTTTGTCCTATGCCGCATCCATGGAGACCAGTCATGAGGAGATATGATGATCCACGGTACTGAACTGCATCTATCCCTATTGGCGCGGGAATGTGCGTGTATGTCTGAAGGATTTGGAGTGCTCGAAGCTCTGCTTGGTGTCGAGGTGCCCAGTTTTGATGTGCTTTTCGCAGGTAGAGATTGAAAGGCAATCGATGCATCACGTCAGAACCAGTGCCTCCATAGATATGTTTTCCAAGCGATGCTATGTACTTGTAGGTAGTGGCTCGGATAAAAATGGGCGTTTTCAACCACAGCCGTTGGAGTATTGGGTATACAGATCGGACGTAACGTCGAATCCAGGTTTTCTTCCCAGCTAAGCAGCTCCGGCCCTGCAACGTTGAGCTGCGAGAAACGCTCGAATTTTGCTTCATATAGTCGAACACTTCCAGTCATGCAGTAGCTGATGCGAATTGATGGTGTATTCCAATAAGTAGGGGATTCGGGAGAGACAAGGTTTCCATAACCCTGTTGTCCAGACTTATGAACGGGAAAGCGTCAATTCGTAAGGAAGGGATAAACGTGTTCGTGCTCACGTAATACCGGGCCTAGCTATGTTAGAAAAGCTTGATTCCGTTACATGGGGACTGACTGAGTTGCTCGTAGCTTCTAGCGTACTAGCCTGCAGGGAAACCCTCCCGTTCGCGAAATGCGCAAGCATTTGCGACGACAAGAGCATCAACTGATCAGAGGGATCATAGCCCGGAAAGTCGGAATCCCGATCCAAAAGCGACCTTAGAGATTCCAACCTCGATCGTCCAATGTACACTGCGAGCATGGTATCAAGTCTTCCCTGCTAAAAATTTAGCTACAGTAGGGGGTAAGGACGTTAGTTTCTTACATCTCGGACCATCTCCCTATCTTGAAATAGAGTAGGAGATAGTATGTGAACAGGGAGTACTTTTCTATCATCGGCCTTCGAGATAAAGCATCTGCCTTTATCTCTCCGCCATATGCTCTGTCTGAGTGACGGATCTAAATTCTCGCAAACGGTCGGACGTACTGCTGAAACTGTCAGTATAATTCAAGGAGGATGATGAAGACATACCCCTCCGCAAGAGAATAATCCAATCAACCAAGAATTCAGCAATCTTCGCTTTGTCATGTCCAACAACATCATCAAGGAAGAAACGAGCTGCAAGCTCTCTATCGACAGCCTTTTGTATAAAAGTAGTAAGAAGAGCTCTCTAAGGATGGGCAAGTGACTCAGCAATGAGAGAAATCGCCTGGAACTCAAAAGAAGCTTTGTCGCAGGAAAGAAGGTGGGAGGGGCATCGAGAGACGTGGTACGGACTACCCATAGCGCTGCTTATGTTAAGTTATTGTTCAAAGACATATTGACCAGCTAGGAAATTATAGGCGACGTTGAAGGTATATGATCTGTCGCAATCAGCGAGAGGGAAAGGCGGCGTGCATTTCAGGGATGTAAGGGTGGTCGATGCGCATACCAAGTTCGTGCACGTTACCCCACATTTACCTAGCTTTGCGCTTAACTTACGTGATTAAGTTAGATAGCTTTCTTGCAGTCTTTCTGCTCCTTTTCTGCCTGTTTCAGGCTACCTCTTTAGCCTTATCCTAGTCCTCTACCCTTTTCTTTCTATCTCTCTTAGCATCAACGACACAAGCGTGACCTTTGTCATATCCTACACTTTCACCATATGCGACGTCACATACGCGCTCGTAAATTGCAGTATGTACGCCTTCATCGCGACCCTAGCGGATGCAGGCACTGCAGCTGTCAGTAGAGCACCACTGCAAGCCGGCTTTAGCAGTGATTTGCTCTACGAAAAAGCTGCTGTGTCCGTATTGTTCTCTAACCTGACAGTCATGGATTCCATGGCACTGGCTTTCAGTCAAACCTTTCTGACGCTTGCGTCCGGGGTTTATGCCGGCGCTTTAAATCTCGAGCAACGGTGGCGCACTGAAGGGACGGTGACTAAGGTGCGCAAAGGCCTTTTTTATTTCATAGTCGTGTATACATTTCTGTACGCTTTTGTTGCTTTGGTGATTACGGTGATCACGCTCAGCATCTTCTGGAGGAGAAATGTGCGAGAGTTGCAAGTCCAGTTGATGCCGACATATTGAAGTGTGGCTTAGCTATCTATGATGAGTTTTTTAGGTCAACTCCACCGGTGGAGTTGCGCATTTTTTGTATTCTCTCACTCTTTTTGGTTGCATGATTAGATAGAACTCGACAACTACGCAACGGAGCTCTGTGGAACACATTTATGTTATTATATGCGTGATTTATATGACTGACTCCTAATGAGTCGATGGAATATACCCCAACACAAGAATGCCTTCACCAAGCTTCAGCAATAAGTGACTTTCCGATGCTTTACTGATTTCTTTACAACTGACATCCAAGGTTCGCTCGCAGTTGCTGCTATGGATCAGTATACTACACTATTCATGGACCTCGTATGACTTGCCTTCCATCTTTCCGTGTCGATATCGGCCTGTGTAACCCCTTCCGTGTCGACAAACGTGCTCACCAACTTGAGCTTTTGCTGTTGAACCCATTGGATATACTACATCAAATCAGCAATCGACTCTGAATTCATTTTTTCCATAAGACTAATCTTACGGTTTCAATCGACTTGGGCACGATGTATCGCGTAACGAACACTTCCCGCTTTTGACCAATGCGATAGATTCGGTCAACGGCCTGCGCCTCCGCCATCGGGTTCCAATGTGGTTCAATGATGTGAACGTGATTTGCGGCTGTGAGATCGAGCCTAAGGGATATACACGTATCAGACGTTCGGTCGTATTGAGTGTTGCGATTAGGTATGAACTTACCCCTCGCCAGCACTGCCGATTGTGGCCAGCATGACAGCGCAGTGAGCATCCTCGGAGAACTCTCTCAGCACGTTACTTCTTCCTTCAAGGCTGGTGCTGCCATCGATGCGACAGGTTCTGAACTGGTAGTGTGAGAGTGCTGGCTGGATAAGATCAAGCATTCTGGTCGAATGACTGAACACGACGCTTGATTTGGTTAGCATTCTCTGTAATGAAGCATATCTATAATTGTACCTTTTTGCCGGAATGTAGTTCTCATTGATGTCGTTTATTGGGGTGTGCGCTGTGAGCAGATTTCTCAGAAGCGCCAGTACTTTGGCGGAATATCTTGATGCATTACCATTGTTGTCGCGCATTGTGACGTCGCCTCGTGTGACCATCGATTGACCTCGGGTGTCCCATATCCGTAAGGCAGTGTCAGGAAGTAGTTGCTCGCCGTGGTTGCATATCGATCGAAGAAAATTTAGTGAACAGATGATGCCGCCGCGTTGATCATTGTCGGATCGCGTCACTGCCACATGGCTTGCTTTGGTTCCAGAAGCGAGACTTGCAGCCTTCTCCTTGAAGAACTTGTAAAGGATTTGATCCTCCTGGCTTAGATTAACATGCTCTATCTTTTCGTGCCGTTGTGGAAGATGCAGGATGTCGCCCATACTTTCCTTCGTACGACGGAGACAGGTACTACGCACCAGAGTCTGCAGCATTGTATAACCTTCTGATTTGTTTTCTCTGATGGGTTTTGTGATCCATCGCTCGAACATAGTTCTTTCGGTGAAGCCAGGAACGTCCAGAAAGCTGAGAAGAGCACCGTAGTCGTCGAGTGAGTTGTGAATAGGCGTTCCAGTGAGACACCACCTGTAGTAGGACTTTATTGAGCAAGCTGCTTTGAAAGTCTGCGAGGCTCTATTGCGGATATGATGTGCTAAGTACAAATTTAGGACTTGAGTTTTGATGGCAAGGAAGAGTGTCAGACCTTCATCGAGGACAAGGCGACGCCACTCGTGTTGGTAGAGTGGTCCTTCAGCCACACGGTCTAATCGCAAAGTCTCATACGTTGTCAAAATGATGTCATGCTCATTGAATCTCGGAGCAAGGAGATGTCTGTTGAGACCATGGTAGATTGCAGCTCGGAGCTGCCCATAATGTACATGCCTTGATAGGCGTCAGGTCAACCTAGTCAAGAACTAAGAAGGGCACTTACTTTTCTATTTGAGACTGCCACCCAGGTATAGCTGTTCTTAATTTTAGCCTGTGATATCGATATTATGACTGAGAAGACCTACTCGACTTAGTTGTTACCACTAAAGTCGGAAGCGATGCATCTTCATTGCCAGTGTGGTGGTCTAGAGAAGAGCAAATGAGAGCAAGAGTACTTAGTGTCTTTCCCAAGCCCATATCCTAGTATATAATTAGTTCTTCTGTCATGCAACACGCTAAACCGGATGTTATTTGACATACGTCCGCGAGAAGACCACCTTTTAGTCGTGTTGGAGATCCACTGTATATGCCAGTGACCTTATTTCGAAACCTAATTGATATCAGCGTATGTTTCTGTACTGTCCTATATTCTAACTTACATTTTGGAGGCATCTGTGGATTTTGTGGTTTCCCAAATGGACGGAAACACACATGAAGTAATGTCACTTGACTCTCTCTCCAGCATCATCGCAACTGCCGTAATCTGATGCCTATAAATTTTTAGCAGTCTCTTAGAAAGTAGAGTTGTGGGAAGTTTACTGTTTAAGATCCGACTTCACTCTAGGACTGATCGAGTTATGGAAGCGACTTCTCTCATCACCCTCGAGTCCAACACGATCGAAAATTCGGAGTACGCGGCTCTTGTTCAGCTCGGTAAGTGAACTGAAGGGTTTTGTGGAAGCGGAAACAAAGCCAGTAGTACCTTGCAGCTTAGGCATCGAAGCTCCGGGTCGCACGAGATAGTGCGGGTTGCAGTACTCGAGCTCTCCACACTCTTCCATGTACGGATGCTGGAGAAACTGATGTGAGTCGGACAACAGTTTACCAACTCGATTTCGATCTTGTTGTAGACCAGCAAGAACAATACGGGCTGTATAACTATGCCAAAGCGTTGAACCTTTCTTCCCAGTAGATTCGGATGGATCTGGCGTGGTCTTGATCAACGTTGCGGACGCTTGCACTGCGCCATCTCCCAGAATTCTACTAAGTACCGATAATCTGATCATTCCGGCATACTTACCGCAGGTCTGGCGTTTGATCTTAACCATTTCCCCAAGCTCTTCTAGATCGATCGGGGTGGGTTCGTCGAGCTCATCGCCTTGGGACGCTGATGTAACTGGCACATTAAGCTGGCTGAATCAGATTTATGGCTTCTGAACAATTAGAATAACTTACGACGCCAAAGCAGACTCTCGGAACCAATTCTTCATCTTCTAGTAACAAATCCTCATCCGGGAACTCTTCGCTATTTTCAGACCATGAATGCGGCTGAAGTGTCGAATCGTCGAAAATATCACCATCAAGTAGAGCGAGCGGAGATTTACCGACACGAAGAGGCTCAACTAGATGTGATTCGTAGGCATTTGAGATGAACCCTGGACTTTGCGGGGTGAAACAATCTGCCGGTGAAAGAAGGTTCACCCCGGACGGTCCTATGAATTGATTATGACTGCGTATGTCTAAATTCCGAGTGTCGAGGTTATTGCCATATGCTTGTTGATATGGTTTCTTCAGTCTGACCCCTTGGTCTGACGCGCCTGGCGAGGGGCGTTTTCTGTTATCTGAATCGAACATTCTCATAACGGTCGGAAGCGTGTTTGGGCCGACTGAAGAATCTCATGGGCAACACTTGAAAATTGTTTTCATTCTAATGAGTCGGTGTGTGGAAGGCGGAGGCTGTGGAGGACTTTCACCGATCAGGCTGACATTTGAGGCGGCAGGTACAGGGATGTTGTTCAGCAATTGAACAGCTTGTACAAGGTTGCAGGTGCTGAGGCAAATCCCCACTGTAACAGAGATACCTACTTGGTAATTACATACGGAACTAAGAAAGTGTGAAAGGCTTAGCTTTGAAGTAGATTGGATGCACAGGTGTTCTCTTGATCAATGACGCATTTGTGGTGCGGGACACTGGAGCCTTGAGTGCGCCTACTGATCTGCCTGCATCAACACAGCCCAGCTGAGCCCCCGCCACAAATACGACTGCGACCGCAGCGCACTTAGCTAAGAACCAGAATTTCATTTCCAACCTACTCCACCTGCCCCACGGGGTTAATTGGGCTTCACTTGGGCGACAACCATTTTCGCCCACAGACAGAAATGGCGAACGCGAATAATCTCAATGACTCTTTCCAAGCGGCATTCGAAACTGCCATTCACAAATTTCGAGTGGAACTCAAGAATGACAACCTCTACCGTGAGATTCTACAAACGAGGACGATCGTGGAGGTCTACGACGTCACGGATAAGCTTCAAGAAGAACAATCGCGTACAGGACGACTACGGCATTTGTCCAAAATTGAGCCCTTCCTCGCAGGTCTGAGAGGATATGTGAACGTTATCGAAGTTTTTATGCAGGCAAAGTCTGACGTTCTTGCTCTCATATGGGGTCCCGTAAAACTCCTGTTACAGTGGGCAGACGTTCTGAAGCAATCTATGGATGCCATCGTCGATACCATAGCAGAGATCGGCATCTTGATTCCTGAATTTCAGATATCAAGTGAGCTGTTTGGGGAAAAGGCAGCTGTTCGAGATGTTTTGCTCCTCTTTTTCGGGGACATTCTCGACTTCTACGTCATTGCGCTGAAGTTCTTCGGCAATACACGTGAGCACTTACGTCGAACTTTCAATCGTGCGAGTAACTGATTCGCTAACGCACAGGGCTCAAATTCGTCTTCGAAGCTCTCTGGCCTAGGCAAAGGGACAAGATCAAAATCGTTGCAGGCCATTTCCAGAGACATACGCAGGTCCTGAGGAACGAAGTTCGATTGGAGCACATACAAGCAGAATACGACTTCAGACGACAGGCCCTGGAGTCGTTCGACAAATTTGAGAACTCACATCGGCTTCAAGAGTACCAGAGTCTTCGAACAAGCATGCCGATGGGGAAATACGAGGAAAAGCTCCAATACCTTGATGATCGCTCATGCCATGACGCTGGTATATGGTTGATGAAGCACACCGAATTTTGCAGTTGGATCGATCGATCGCCTGGATCCAATCCTGTCCTATGGCTTCAAGGAATACCTGGATCTGGTAAGCTAATCCGCATGAGTGCGACCACAAGGTATTGATATAACTCGTAGGGAAAACCCACTTGGCTGCCACAGTGGTCCACGAAGCTCGAAAAAGAGCGCACTCTCTCTTTGCGTTTCTCACATATACTCACTCGACAAACATCTCGGCTTTATCAATCCTACATTCATTGGTGTTCCAGCTGTCTGCCGACAACCCCACATTACAATCCATACTGTGTCAATCAAGCGGCGAGAACTTTCGACACAACATAGAGGCTGCGAAGTCTGTCTTCAAGACCGTAGCATCCAGTGCTGGGACCCTTTATATCACCCTAGACGGGCTTGATGAGATTGAGAAAGCTCCGCGCTCAAAGATCTTGGAAAGTCTGCTCCAATTTTCATCCGAGATTGACGGGCTGCGTCTATTGATCAGCTGTCGAGCTGAAGGCCATATTACAAGCACGCTCAAGGGAAAATGCTCAAGCATTCGCATAGATGAACACAATACCGAAGGGATCCATACATACATTACACAACACACATCGAAATGGTACAACGAACGCGATTTCTGCCCAGAAGTGCGGAAGGAGATAGGAAGCCTTCTTGCACCATTGGCTGATAAAGCAAAAGGTACGATAACCCGCATTATAACCCCCGTACAGGAAACGGGGATTTGACTCTCAATCTAGGCATGTTTTTGTACGCCAAAATTGTGCTCGAAACCATTGAGTCCATGGACCCCGAAGAAATTCTTGAAGACCTCGAAATCTTGCCGAATACATTGAATGAGGCGTGAGTGACCAACTCCATACAATAGAATTCTCACTGACTGTATAGATATGGACGCATCTTATTGCGCATTAACCAGCAGCGTCACATTGAGAGAGAGAAAGCTCGGTCAATCATTGGTTGGATAGGTGTATCCCCGACGCCTTTGACAATACATGAATTGGAACAAGCTTTGCGTGTCAAATCCCGAGGGATAGGTGGCATAGCAATTGTCAACGCGAAGGTTCCAATTGACTGTATCTGTGGCCCGATAATCGAAGTGGTCGACGGATATGTGCAATTTGTTCACTTTACAGTCCAAGAGTAAGCATTCTTCTCGCGAAGGGTACATCACTGGTATTTACTTTGGTGCCAGATACTTCATGAGCTCTGATATCAGTACCGCCATTGATCCAAAAGAAGCCCGATTAGGACTGGCCACTTGTTGCATAACTTACCTTTGCCAGAATCATTACGATCGGAGCATGGAGCCTGCCAAAATGTCTGAGCTCATTCTCACCGGTGCATACAGGTTCCACAACTTCGCAACACTGTACTGGCTCAATCTGGTAGAGCAAGTTTTTACAAGGTATTCAACCGACGCTCTTCCAATTGAGTTCATCAACCTACTAGAGACGCTTCGGGGCAAGAGAGAGACAGCGCCAGACAGAAACTTCGAGGACTCAAGTGTGCCTCACTACATGATACAACTGAGGCAACGCAATCCAGAATTGGTTACCATGATTTGCAAATCCATCTCATTCCAAGCAACATCCGAAAAATCATCATTCAGAACCAAAGGTAAGTTGTTTCATGAACCAACAGAAACGCAATTGTTGACCATCCGCAGATATCGAATGGGCCAGTCTTGATCCTCTGAACATCTCTACGACATCGTATGATGTACATTCACTCATGGAACACTTCCTCACACCTTCACAAATCACTCGGCCGACTATAAAAGAGAAGCTAGTTTACCACTATGGTGACAGACTGTTCAAATGCCAATACATGTCCTGCATTTTTCGGCGGCATGGCTTCGAAACCAAGGCATCACGCAACTCCCACGAGAAAGAACACGTTAAGCCGTGGAAGTGTGATGTTGAGGGCTGCGAATTCGAGAATGGAGGTTTCCTGTCGCGCAAAATGCGAGATGAGCATTTGATGCGGTTTCATGCTCATTACAATGTCATTCCGAATAGCGAATTTCAGAACCTCGATGAGGCGGACTTGAAAGAGGTCTGCTTGGATCTGGTCAAAGCAGACGATGTTTTAAGAGTCAGAGAATTGGCTGCAGCCGGTATGCTCAAGGACAAACCCCATATGCATGACCTGATACCTTGCGCTGCGCAATACGCATCTCCGGAAATGCTGAAGATGCTATTGGGTCAGAAGTGTCCTTGGTCGGGGATTTATACATATTGGGGTATCTATTCGAAGCTTCTATTGTGTGAGGTTGTAGCAAGTAAAAGTCTTCAGATGTTAGAATACATTCTGCATTCAGATCCAGCGGACTGGAAAAAGTTACTGAATGTTGAATCAAATGGACGGGTCGGATTTGATTTATCGAATAGGGCCTTGGAAGAAAAGTTGAGAGAGATGAGAGCCGCCGGTCTACCGGACGTACTGGCAAAAGGAAACGACGAGATGCTAGCTATTCTCTGCAAATGGATCGAGCGAGACGTTCTTTTGGAGAAGACAAAATCTTACCTCGTCTATCCCAACATGGTAGCTGCAACAGCGGGGGACACCTACCGGGAACAAAAACTACTCGGAATGTGGAGAAAGATTCCGTCTGAATATTGGGCAAAGAATAATTGGAAGAACGCCATTACAAGTGTTGCGTCGACAACATGCTCCATCGAACTTGCGAAGTTTCTGGTCGACCAGGGTGTTCCAATGGACTGGAGGAACAGTAAAGCGGTGCCAACGCCGCTCCTCCATGCTGCACGTAAAACCAATGCCGAAGCTGCGGAGCTCGTCAAGTTTTTGCTTTTTAGTGGAGCAGAACCTGTAGTACAGATAGTCAAGAACGATACCAAGCGGGCTCGTTCTAAGAGAACCGTAGAAACGTCTCAGATTCATGTTTCCGAACAGAAAGGCGCCAAGCAAATCTCAAAATGGCTCGGTGTAAGCTTCAACGAATTGGTCGTTCAAGCAAAGAGAGCAAGAGGAGAACCAGAGAGTTCAGACACATGAATAGCAAACAGATGTCAGCACACTCAATACACACCATCGCCAGACAAATACACATCACCCAACCACGTCCTCCTCTCTCCCAAAACCCAAAACTTTATTCATATACTCCAAATTTTCCCCTCTCTTCCACATACGACCATAGGACGTTGACAACAAGGCTTCCCGTTCGCTCAGCCATATTTAAGCAACGTACCGGAGGGTTAGTAGTTAAGTGGGTGACCATTAGCGAATCTCCTCTGTTGTATGTTTTTGCAGTTTTTCTTTTTGGTTCTGGTCGGTGAGTGGGGATGGGTGGAGACCAGATGACTCGCGGTTGACAGTACAGCTGTTTTGCGGACATTCATTTTTTTCTCTTTTTGTCGTTGAGGGCGAATGAGTACAAGTTACTGCTGTTGTCCTGTTGCGGATGAGATAGTTAGTGGGTATCAGGCCGAAACAGAGGGGGTGATGAGACAAATATAAAAAGCAAGTTGCAATGTGTGGGTATTAAATATCGAACGTAAATGCTCATCCATAGCTCTAAGAACATAAAGGGGTATCTAGCGAATGTCCAGTCCGGGGTAATCATGAAAGAAGTATACAAAAGCGGAAAGGCGGGATAGTAATACAAATGAATCAAAACATATGCACGCGAAAATGGTACTGCGGTCAACGTGCCATGTGCTGCACCAGCTCCGCTCTCCAAGCGGCGACGCTTACGCGCTTCTCCTTGCTCTTGACGAGCACCTTGCCAAGCCACTTCGACACGTCCCAGTCTAGCGTCTTGCTCAACTGCTTGAGTCTGCGCGTGTTGAGGATCCCTTGGTCATCGTAGCCGAGGCATTGTAATGGGCTGCCAGACTTGATCATCTCGCGCTGCTGGAATTTGTTTGCTTTGAAGGCATCGTAGGGACTAGTGCCGAGGATCAAGAATAGCAGTGTGATACCGAGAGACCAGAGATCCGTCGCAGCGCACGGTGTGGCTGGGTTGAACGAGCTTAGTAGTGATGGGTCGAGGAATTCCCAAGTACCAGCGCCCATGGGAGGTGGCGTGACGATATCGTCTGTGACGGTGGTGAGGATGGTAGACGAGAAGTCGGAGTAGACGAGGTCGAGCTGCGATGCTGCCGAGGATACAAGGATGTTGGAGGGTTTGATGTCGGCGTGTATGCAGTCCTTTTCTTGCATCCACATCAGACTGTCGATGAGTGACAGCGCAATAGTTGGGAACAGGGCCGCAAGCTTTGCAGCGCGAGCGGGCTCGTCGAGGCTGTTAAGGCTCTTCTCGATCCAGTCGTCCAACGTGCCGTCCAGTGCTTTGAGTACAAGCGCGCCTGTCCGGACATCTTGGCCGAAGAATGGCACGACGTGACGATCAGCGTTGGGGAAGCGCGACAGGTAAGATAGGATTCGCGCCTCAGCGTCAAGGACCTTCTTCGCGCTTGTCGAGCCGGGAACTTTAATGGCGTACATCGAAGGTATGGAAGGGAAGTATGAGCTGTCCTTGCTTGCGCCGCGCGAATGACGGGGCGTAAGTGGAGGCGTCATTGCCGGTGCCGCAGGTATATCTCTCGACTGTGGCAGGTTTGGTTTGGCCAGATAGACATCGCTCCATGCGCCGACTCCGATAGGGCGCTTCCGGCCCTCGCCATCTAGTTTGATACTGTAATCGGTCAAGTGGTGTGGAAACTTCAGTAGGTCCGTACTGCCAGGTCGCATCGAGTCATCGAGAGATGGTCGACCGGTGGACGATGACATGGAGTCGCCGCGTCGGAGACATGATAGAGATGTCAAGAAGTCTGATGACAGCGAGCCGCTTTTCGAGTGTGACGTTGGCGTGGCCGGTGGCGTGAGTGCACCGCTGTCATGCATCATGGCTGGAGCCTGGGATCCAAGAGTCACTGATCGCAAACGCGTAGGTGAGTCTGGCGGCGTAGAAACGGTCCTTAGGTTCAAAGGTCTCGAGTGCCTCCGTCCAGGAACAGCGAGTCTGTACGCTTCTCTTATTTCAGTGTTGGTGCTGGTGTCGAGTTGGATCTGCGGCTTGTCCTTGGGAGTGATTGCTGACCCGGAGACCTCAGATTGATTTGCTAGAGGAAAAGAGAACTGTGGAAGCATCGCCATATTGAAGTCCAGTGACACGTGGTGAAGGAGTGTTTCTAATTCGAACAGGTACCGCTGTGCAAGACAACGTCGAGGATACGTAACGCTTACTTCGGTGCTTGAAACACAATGCGCGATGAGCTTCACAATGCAACCGTGAAACGATGACACTTTGGAACAGAAGACTGAAAGGGCCAGAGGGTGCCTAGGCGTTCCAGTACAAGTCTAGGCAGACAATGAGCTGTGTGTCGACAACCGAAGGCGGGACCAGGACCCAGAACCACAGATACGAGCCGATAAAGAGATGGTGCTACAGATAATAGTACAGCGACACAGGAACCTGGTCAATATCGCGGGAGCGATGCTCAACAAGCTGAAAACATGTCCAGTGTGGGATGGCGGCGCGCGCGGAATGCCCGCGCAAAGAGGTATAAAGGGACGAAAGCAGCCTCACGACGCGTTGGAGAACCAGAGCTTGATAAGAGGGATCTCGGGGAAGCGCCCCGGCTGCGTCCGGGATTCCCGAAATCCTCCATGTGCCACCACCCAACCGTCGTCCAATCTTAGGCCGGAGGTTGGCTTGCAATGATTCGCATGGAAAAGCGACAAAGGAGATGTGCCCTGCGATTCCAGAACGCAGTTCACTGGTCTTTGCTTAGCCCGGGTTATCACACTGGGTCTGTGCACGAGCTTGGCGCGTGATCTCCAATCACTGCGTGAACGTGCTTCGTTTGATTGGCTTCGCGGAATCTTACCATCTCCCTCGCGCAACGCCTATCTGCTACGCGCGACGTGCCACGACACTGAGTCTGTGTGGACATGCTAGTCTTTGACAACTCGATAGTCCGGGGTAATCGGTGACTGCGTGACGTTGCGGCTAGGCATGCAGCCGGCAGGTCGTGGAGCTTGTTGGAGCTATCGTGAGCTATCGACAGGCTATTAACGAAGACGATCGAGCATGACGCTGACTTCTTCTCCAACGGGTGGAGTCAGCTTGCGCTGCTGTTGACGTATGTCTGAGGGTCTCTCTGCTGACTGGCGTGCGGGGATCAACCTGCGCAAGTCATGACTGTGGATTTGCAAGCAAAAAACGTAGCAGGTGTATCGAGGCAGGCCCGAATGCATCGCTGCTTTCATCCAGATTCGTGAAGCCGCTCGGCCCGTCGGCGCAAGCGCGTCCAATAGTAGCCTTCTTTGTGCTGCATCTTGACGTCTCGCTGTCCGATAGTCGAAACAGGAAAGCATCTAAAGCGTCGGTTCTGGTTCCGGTCTAGATAGACGATAAGGCTGCATGCTCCTGATGCGCCCCAACTACGAACTGCTGCTGTCATGATTTCGCTCGTCTTTGCGCCGTGTCGAACCGGCAAAACAGCGCTCGCGTGAAAACGAAGCGCACCGCGGGCCGTTATCATTGAAGATGCTTTGGGCTGACAACCGAAATTTGACATCGTGCCGCTTGCCATCTGTGCTCACCTGTTAGCCTAGAAGAGGAAAGTCACTCGAATCCTTCACTAATGGTTTGGTTGCACGACGTGGGATTTGTACTTCTTCATTTCAGCTATGCACAATGTCTGCTCAGACAAAATCCCTCCAGGCTTCGCGCCGATAATCTCGCCATCTGAAGAGGCTGCGCAGTGCAGGCCAGTGGTGGCGGCAAGAAAGGAATACTGGTCCTATCCAAGATGCGCCCCTGTTTGAACATAAGAGATATCGATTGACGCAAGGAGAGCAAAAACAGTGGAAGGGCGGAGAAATTATACAGTAGTGTCGCCCGATCTCTTTGAACCGAAGCAGACTCTCTTTTCCAGCCAAATGCCAAGAGTACGAAATTGAGGTAAACGCCGTGGATCGTGAAAGGTGCCGTTCGCGGCTCTATGCGAGCAAATAATGTTCGTGGAATTACAGTGTTGTATGCACACGCATTAATATTCAGAATTTGGTCGGCACAGAGGAACGATCATAGGATGCTATGATCTTCTCCACCTGTTCCTCGTGCTCTGCTTGGCGTCAATGGTCGTAACCTGCGCCTCGTTGCCACGGGCTGCCGCTGTTTGCGGATCGATATTGTGGTTCGTTCCTTATCGCGCTCTGTGGTGGTTGGTTGTACTGTGGCTGGTTGTACGAGGGTGCAGGACTGGCGCGGTCGTAGTAAGATGGCGCGTTGCGATCAAAGTTTGAGTTCGCAGGACTGCGTGGTGGTGCGGGCTGGTAGTGCTCGCTGAATCCACCCTCTTTGGCCGCCATTTGTCGACGCTGATCCTCTGAGGAGATATCGTCATCGTCATCAATGCGCGACCGCGATTGGTTGGGGTGAGTTCCCTTGCCCTCACCGCGTGCAGTGGCACCAAGCGCATCAAGCTCGGTAGTCAGCTGAGTCTGTGACTTGATGAAAGAACCACGGTCATCGCGCATTGGCTGGTAACGAGTGTCGGGGTTCTTGGTGAACAAGGCAAATCCAGAAGAGACCAAGAGCATGATAAGCAGAACGAGAGAAAAGGCAGCGTTCAGAACGAAGAAGATGACTCCCATCACACCGGAAACCAGAGGCTGTTGATGTTAGTATATCGATTGAAAGTAGACCTCTTGTGACTTACAGGTTGTCCGAAGAGCTCCGTGAACATCAACAAGAAGAAAGTGCTCAGGAAGTTGACGGCGGCGATGGCGATGTTGAAACCGTTAGTCTTCTTGTCCATCCAAGGGCGCAATGTAGAGACACCGACGAGAAGTGCAAGCTCGATCAGTACAAGAGCGACAGCCTGGACCTTTCCACTGCTCTGAGCAAAGCCGACAAACATGGCCTTGACGAGCAGGTATCCGAGCCATGGGATGATGAACCAGTAGGCGGTAGCCTTGAACTGAACGTACAGGAAACCCCACTTGTTAAGAGCAGTAGGGTCCGAGTAGAGGATGTAGGCGGGATTTTTGTGCATGGCAATGGAGCGCTGCGCAATGAGGACCACCTTGGACGAGGCCCAGGCGAGTATACCGATCATAGTAAGGATAGTCAGGATAGCCAGGACGACAAGACCAGCAGAGTCGCGCATAGTCAGTTCCCAAAATCCAAGCATCATCATCTGAGGGAAGCCAATGAGAACAATGCGGAATAGAATGCCCTTGAGCACAGTCTGCCATCCATTACGGAAGTCGACAAACTTGTCACTTTGCATCTTGCCAGCCTTGACGAGACCCTCACAGATGTACTTGAAGGCAAGCACGCCGATGACTGTGAAGAGAACGAAGATGATGAAGAAAGTGTAACCGGTAAAGAAGATGTTGGTCGTCTCGATGCGGGCCTTGAATCCCACACGCTCGATACCACGAAGGACCAATCTTTCGCCACCGAGTTGAGCTTCGGTAGATCCCGAGTTACTACGAGCCACAAGACGCTTGGTCATACCGGCAGCAAAGTCGACTGCTTGGATGGCGCGCTTCGTCATGCTACGCTTCTGGACCTCGACAGATTGAGTGGTGAGCTGGGAGAGGTGGGTTGTGGGAGTGCCACCGGTGGCGCGCTGGTACCAGGTGGCCATCTTCTGCAGGAAATCGACACGGATTATGCCCATGGACCATTGGAAGTTCTGCGTCCAGGCAGCGACAATGGGTGGCAGGGGAACAGCGCACATGCCGATGAAGGCCTGCGCCTGGAAGTAACCAAAGAGCGACATGGCGTTGGCAGCCACGTGAGCAGCTGTGTTGGAGTGACCGAGTCCGGACGAGATGGCAGAGGCAACCAGTCCCAGACCGGAGATGACAGCGGTAACCCATGCGACAGCTTTCTGGTCGACAGAACGGCCGTTGGACAATTCTGCTTCAACGCAGGCTCTGAGGTTGGTCGTGCCTGCGTCGTAGACTCTGATGCGCACGCGCAGGTCCAAGTCGGGGATGGTGTATGCAATACCGGGAATCTGGCTCATGACATCCGGGCTGATGTCGTCAAAGTTGGACTTGATGGTCAATGGTCCAGCGTTCATGGGGCACATGCCCTCAAGCTCCTTGCTAGTGCAGGGGTCGAACTTCTGGGTCAAGGCGAGGTAGCCGTAGACGTAGAGCTCCATCTCGGCATTAATCTTGCCGGCGATGTTGGAGATACCCTCAATGTCGAAGCCCAGACTGCGGTTGTCGGGCGTCAGGGCAACATTGAAGAGGGTCGCAGAGAAGGCAGAGTTGGCCATGCACGGGGTTGAGCGACTCAGACTTGAGGACGCGCTCGGCGGAAGCCAGCGGCAGGGCGGCGGCGGCGAGCCATAGCAGCGACCTCGACAGCGAGAAACGCATCGTGGGCGGTTGCGGTGGGTATTAGGTGCGAGAGTCGCAGGGCGCCTCGGGTGAAGCGCAGTAATGGTGGTACTCGTGGAGAGTACAGCGAAGGGGCGTCGGCCAATCCAGCGGCGGCGGTGTTTGGTTCTCAGCGAGAGCGAGTGTAGAGGGCGACGGCGGTGGGTGCAGCGGCGGTGAAGGTAGGAGCGGTGGTGAACGAACGGCTGTCGTAAAGACGGGTGGTGGAGTGTGTGATGATGTCGGAGACAGGGAGGTTGCGCACGCAGGTGGAAACCGGGCAGGTGCGAGGCGGGCGCTCGGCGGGATTGGCTGGGGGGCTAGAAAGAAGGGGTAAGGGTGGTGGTGGGTTGAATGGGTAACGAACGGCTGGTGCGATCAGCGAGAGACGATCTGCTCCACGCAACCAAAGGTGAATTAGATAAAGTGTCGTCACAGGGACGCGGCGAATGTTTTGAGAGTGCCTGGGAAGAGCGAGCGATGAGGCAGTTGTAGGAGTGATCCCAGAGGGAATGGCCGCATGAAGCTGCCGTCTAAGCACCGATCTAGGGGTTTGAGACGGCGGGTGGGCCAGTTGATACGACGCGCGTGCGCAAAATGCCCAGAGGTCAAGAGAGGCGCGGGAGCAGTAAGCTGCAAAAGTCTATGATGCTGAGGTGTGCTCGAGTACGACCTGCGACCGTTTGCCTCGCTGCCTTGCTGTCTGCTGCATTCGGTGGCGCTGCACGACTCTGCTGTTGTTGAACAGCCGTCTGCGTGCGTTGTGCCCAAAATAGATGCATTTCTCTTTCATCAATGCTCTACGACGTTTGCGACACTTCCGGATGTGGGTGGGGAAGGTGCAGGGGGCGACGTCCAGAAGCTGCTTCGCCACACTCTGCATCCGCCTATCCATGACCAGACGCAGGCACAATTTCGCCCAACACGCCGCCAGCCAATGGCACGCCGCCCAGCGTATTGAAATAGGAGGCTTGCTCACGCTGATTGACCGCAACCTCGTAAATGCCACCGCCGAGCGCGCGCCGTCTCGTATCCACTCATTCATCTCAACCTGCGAACTCGCGGCGCTGTCGCCCTCCATTCTGCGTCGCCTGCTGTCCTTGGCTGCCGGCCCTGCGAATCTCCGGCTGTCAAACGTCGTGCCGGGCTGTTGCGGCACTCTGGGTTTTGAGCCTCCTGTCACCCCATCTGTGCGCCCGAATTGTGCCAAGACAGAGCCCTCACAGCCAATCGAACGAGGACAGCGTCGACCAATTTGGCCAGACGAGGCATCAAGTATGGTCCTTGTACGCTGAACCATAGGCATTCTCGCTATTTATTCTCAGGTCAACTGCTGGACCGCCCCGTTTCTGTAAATACCTGGGCCCGATCTGTTCTCGCCCCATGCCCTTGCCGAAACACCGCTCTCGAGTTTATTTGCTAGCCCGTGGGCTGTCAGTGAGCAGTCCGGATAGACGTTGAAGCTTGCGGCTGAACTCTATATTGATGCTGACTCGAGTTCGAGAGCTTTCCATGGTGTGTTTTCTGTAGTCGTGCTCCTAGACAGTATGCATCCGGACTGGATTTTGCACATCCTTTTGCAACTTCGTGCACGAGATGTGCATATCATGGAAGCTGCATGGAAACCAGGAGAGTCACTAATCTAACATCCTTCCAAAGTGTGGTACACCATTCTTGACACACAAACCTAACTTCCCAAAACTATGCATTCCAAAAGTCCGAAATTGATTGAAACTTTCTGACAGGAGTATCCACCACTCTTCTGGATAGGGCGACTGAGCCAAAAACAGTTTTATCAACCTTCAAATGCGAACCACGTCAAAACGTATGGTACGAATCAACACACCATACTGCTTACAAGAAGTAGGGACTTGCATCTCATTGACTCCCAACCATATATACAAGGCACCACTGGGAGTAGAAACAAAGCTGTTCGTTGCCAACGAGAGCCGATTGATGTCACGCCTGATTCACATCCAGCACCGCGCTACATTGACGAAATGCATCTACGTTCACGCCCAGCAGACAAAAGTCGATAATTCCAGTCCAGCCCAACAACAATCTTGCCCATGACGATATGCCTGTCTCTTTTCAATCATGAGAAAGCACAACCCACAATCACCATCTTCCTCATTCACACTCTCCCCACTTACAAAAGCAGCCACGAACCCCACCCAGATCTGAAAACATAGCGTACCCACAAGTCGATCAACATGTACTCTGACCTGCGCGTGTGCTGACGTTGATGCGCGGAGTACGTTCCTGACGATCCCTATCTCCGACTTTGCCGGTCTTACGCAACTCGCAGTCGCGCGTGAAAATCAGCGGGTTGGGACGACGCGTAAGGGACACGAGGTTTGTTTTTGATTTTGCACTGCCTCGCGCTGGCGAATGTTGGGAGAAGAAGCGGGGTCGTTAGGGTGTGTGTTGTTGTGAAGCGGTGGGATTGCCATGGTCGGTTGTCACTTTTGCGCATTTCGAACGATGACGGGCATTGAACATGATAGCTGTTGAATTACTCCTGGGATACCACAACACCTACATACGCCTACAGACCTTGACGCCTACTCCCAGTACACACTTTTCAAGCCAGACTAAACTCCCCACTCGTGCCCTCAAACGCAGTAATCTTGTCCCCCAGCCTTTGAATCGCCATAGTACTTGAACCTATACTTCCCAGCCGCGGGCTGCGTCAGTCCCGTATCCCACGTAATTGTCACATCGCTCGTGCCCAGCAGCCCGCTCACGCGTTTCCATTGATACACGAGTTCCCAGTCCTCGTCGTTTTTCACTTGCGTCCAGGTGCCGTCCCCATTCTGCTTCTCGACGGCGGCGAATGTGCCTTCTAGACGGAGGTTGTTGCGAGGGTTTGCGCCGACAAAAGTGACTTGCACCAGGGCGCCGGCTGCGTAGTTTGGTGCTACGTCTTTGGTGACTTGGCCGAAGGAACGACCGATGCCTGCGCCGTCGTACACGACGCCTGTGATGAGGGAGATGCTCTTGTCGCGGTTGTCGGGTGGTGTTGGGCCTGGTTGTATGGTGCCAGACACATCATCAGCAATGTATGGTAGGTATGTCAAAGTAGAGTTGATGTAAGCGTTCAGTGTGTGTGGTCCGTGGAGCGTCGAAGCACCTTCGTAACGCTGGACGCTATACTCTTCTTCTGTGGCGATGTAGTGTGAGTAGCTGTTGGCTGGGCCACCAAGTACTACGATTGGATCTTTGGCAATACCCGAAGCCTCGATTTGGGTTGTGAACAGCCTCCCGCCAGCGCCGGCCCGGACATGGTCGTAGCCTCGGCCGGGGAGCGACCACGATTACGAGCTGGCCAACGCGGAGAACTTGGATGTCGACAATGTTTGGTGACCATGGATACGGTGTGTTGGCTTCTCCAACGTTCAGCAGCACCGGCTTCGGGTACTGGCAGTCCCTCTGCTTCTTGCTAGGAGGAGCAATAGCGCTGCCAACAATGTTCCAGAACGGATTGCTAGGGGCGCCTGGGTCGTTCTGAACAAAGTCAAACGCACCGGGGCCGTCAGATGTGGCTGCTGCGAAGGAGTTACCCATGGCCGCTGGGCACGTGTGTACGGTAGTGCCATTTTTGAGTGTGAATGTGAAGTCGGCAAAGTCAACCCAAGTGTGGAACGAGCGCACCTTGCCAGAGATGGATTTGAAGCTGCCACTGTCGCCATAGATGCTTTTCGCGCCTTGGAACTGGCGCTTGCCGATCTCGTAGCAAGACTTCGCGCCCCCATCGTTGAGAGCGAAATACGGGCCTCGGCCGTGGCAGTCTTGACTCTTGCCACCACAGGTACTGTCATTGAGCCTACACTGAGTACCCGAGCCATCTTCGCAGTATGCGCCAAGGACATTCGGTGTCGTGTCTCCCACGTTGGCTTGAGAGAACCCAGCTACGAAGCCAGGTGCAGCATCCGCAATCGCGGCAGCATCTTGCTCAAAGAGGTACGCAGCCACACCCTTGTTGTCGCCTGCGATCAGGGTCTGGTTACCAAGCAAGCTGGTGCCGTGCACTGGAAACCAGTTAAGCACACCGAGGCTCTTGCCGTCACTGTCTCTTGTGAACTTGAGCAGAGTCATGGTCTTGTCTACATCATCTCCGTATCGAGCTCTCTCGCTTTCCGGGTTCGCCATGTACGCAAATAAACTACGGTTGATGTTGGTATCGGAGATCTTCCCGCTGCCGGCGCTGAGAGTTCCAAGCGACAGACCCTCGTGTGCTCGCTTGATGGAAAGCAGGGCGCCGTCAACGATTGCTTGGTAGCTCTGCTTATCGAAGCCCAAGCTTGTGATTTGTGGCAGCAAGTAGTTCAACCAGGCGCCTGGCCCAGCGTGACTATGCGTGCCTGTCACGGCTACGTTGTTCTTGCCGTATACAGAGTACTCGGGTCCCATAGCCTGAAGTCCTTCCAAGATGCCATTTCGGATAGCCGAGTCACCAGACTGGGTGTCCAGGACCATGTACACGATGCGTTCACTGGGGTCGCTGGGGTTTCCAACAATAAAGGCCCGCGAGTAGATGCGTTGGCGAAGTCCAGTTCCGATTTGGGACGAGTTCGCATAGCCCATGAGGTTGAGCTCTACCACTGGTCTAGCAGGCATTAGTACTGCTGACCCCTGCTCAGTGAATAGACTTACCCCGTGATATCTGCCTTTCCAACCCCCACAATATATGAAGCCGGGTCGTCTGCCTGCTCGCCACTCTGTTTCTCGCCGAGGAACTGAGTCTGTGGTGTGCCATGGTAGCTCTGGTCAAGTCTCCAGTGCCAGAACTCGACTTTGGGGAATCCTAAGTTGATAACAAGCTGCGAAATGATCAAGGAAGCAACGAGTGCGGCGCCCAAGGCGACAGCGATGTGTGAGCGCGCCATTCCCGCAGCCAAATGTCAAAGGCGGAAGAGTGCGGAGAAGAGCAACAGTGCATCTGATCAGCAGCAGCTTCAGGCAATAAGTACCCCGACCAAGCAGCGCAGTGTGACAAGGCAACGCGGTTGCATCAAGGACAGTACATGCAATACATGGTCTAATCTGGAAGGCGAAAGTTTGTCGCGTGCTGGGTTTAGTCCTAGCAGCTGCAGGTGTAGAGGCGTATGACGTTGGGCGGAGGCATTGGTTGGTGGGGAAGGCGCCGAGCTGTGGCAGGGGTGCAACTCTAAATCTTCCAACCGAAGTATTGGGAGCTAGTCGCAACCTCTCACGACTCCAAGCCCTGCTATCTACTCCAAAGGGGACACAATGCCGCTCATACACGAATCCTACGATAGTCTCCCATGTACGTTTAATCTACACCACCTGGCATTTGCTACTGCCTGAATCGCCGAGGAGGGGATGATCGTGCGGATTGGATGCGCGTGCTGATAGCCTGCAGATGTCGATGCCCCGCTGGACGACGCCAATCTTGCAGCTGCGAGGGCGGTGATAGCTGCCGAAATCAGGAGTTCCGGCGTCAACATGGCCGACCTTCACCCGGCACTGATACCCGCTGCGCAGTACCAGCCCCAGTATTCGCATTCAGTTGAGCGCGAACACGCGCGACTCGACCGCGACGCGACCTCCAAGCTCTCTGGTGTCGACATGAAGCGATACGAGGACCTCGATGCCCCCGAAAACACAAACCCCACCAGCGACGAGGACCGGCCAGAGCTACTGGAGCGGTGGAACAAGGCGCTGAAGCAGGCATACACAAGCTCGGAATACGTCGAAAGCCGCCTGACACAGCTCGGATTACTGGAGAAGTTCGGCAAGAACGCATGGCTCGTGGGCAACTCCCAGCTGGAAGACATCTTGAAGGGCATAGAGGCCGAGCTTGCAGATGTTAGGAAGCAGCAAGAGGAGGTGGAGACTTTGAGGCTGTCACAGCAACAGAGCGTGCAGGGCGAGATTCAGACCCTGGAAGAGACGTGGAAGAAGGGCGTAGGCAGAGTCCTTGAGACCGAAGTGGCTGCGGAAGGACTGAAGCAGCAGATTCTGGAGAAACGACGGGCTGGCGCTGTTTGAGACAGTCGACATGTTTCTGGGCCAGCCCATTCCACGGCTACCCTTATGATACCCCTGTAATCGGCTGTGCGTGTAGCGAGTGTTCACTCTTTCATCATGGCATCTCCATCTTACTTTCACGTTCGATCCCGTCGCAACTTTTGGGTGTGCTGGCTGCCCGAGTCTTGGCACGAGTGCACGAGGTACCATCGAAAAGCCATTTCGCTTGAGCAGAAGTTTGATTGCAAACTTGGCGCCCATCCTCCTGGAGCTCTACGAAGGCTTGTTGCGAGCCATGGACGATAAAGACTTGGCGCGCTAGTACGAAATGCTAAACAGATACCGAGATGGATATTTGGTCGACACGACGGGAAGGTGGAAGAGAATGGCGTTTGAAGCAGCCACGGACATATGAGCTGAACTCGTATGGAGCATTGTATTCGCATTAGGGGCCGACGATGCAGCCCCAACAAATAGTAACACTTCTACTTCAACATTGCAGCAACTCAAAGCATCCGTTCAATTGCCTGATCCTGATTCAGTGCGACACGTCTCATTGCTCTGCTCTGATTTCCACTCCGGCGGAGACGGATCAACGATGTTCCGAGCCTCGGCTTACCCCAGCTTTTCGGTGGTCCGGTTGGATGACGACCATCGGCCATGTCCACCATGGCGTCTCAACTCTGTCTCCTTGCCCTATCGAACGTGACCCGAATATATCAGATTATCTTAGAAAATGGATAACTCGACGCTCTTTGATGTCAAAGTAAGTCTGAATCAGCACCTTCCACTCCACTGCAGCTCAGAACACACCTCGGGACCATGAGCTCACCACTTCCAGGGCAAAGTAATTCTCGTTACGGGCGGCGCGAAAGGAATTGGGCGCATGATCTCCGAAGGTTTCATCCAGAATGGCGCTACAGTCTACATCTCATCGAGAGACGCCAAGGCCTGCGAAGAAGCTTGTAAAGAGTTGAATGCGCTCGGCAAGGGCAAGGCAGACTACATTGCTGCCGACTTCTACAAGGAGGAGTCGATCCAGAAGGTCGCAGACGAGCTGAAGAAGCGCGCAGGAAGTACGTGTTCCATCGTCACTACACGAGACCAACGACTAACAAGTGCCAGAACTCGACGTCCTCGTGAACAACAGCGGCAGTAACTGGGGCGAGTCCTACGACACCTACCCCGGCAAAGCATGGGACCGCGTCCTCGACCTCAATCTCAAACGTGTATTCCAGCTCACGCAAGCCGTCACGCCCCTCCTCGAAGCCGCCTCGACGCCCGCCTCCCCAGCTCGCGTCATCAACATCGGCAGCGTCGATGGTCTGCGCGTTCCGGCGCTCGAGACTTTCGCATACTCTGCTTCAAAGGCCGGTCTTCACCACATGAGCAGGGTGTTGGCGAGTCATCTGGGCAAGAGGGGTATCACGAGCAACACGATTGCATGCGGGCCGTTCCAAAGCAAGATGATGAAGGCGACGCTAGAGAAGTTCAGAGATGTTATTGAGAGTGGCGTGCCGCTTGGACGCATTGGAAGCCCGGAGGATGTTGCGGGAACATGCATTTGGCTGAGCAGTAGGGCGGGAGCTTGGGTTAATGGCGCTACTATTGCGCTGGATGGTGGAAGTGTTGTTGCAGCGAAGTTGTAGTCTGTATGAAATGCTCTGTTGTCATTGTCTCATGGACAGATTTAGTGCTGCTTAACTTGTCCACAAAATGTTTATAGCATGTTCTGGAAATCTGCACACTTATACACCGTGATAGCTGCTTGCTAATAATCCTGTGAAGGTCTCCAGGATTTACCATCTCAGAGCAACCGTGGAGGAAACCTTAATGTTCCGGTCGTCCATCCCATCTCACCTCAGACCCGACCAGTGTTTGTATAGCTCCACTTCCGGTTAGACCACCGTAACATCTTATTTCGCGCCCACCCACGACCATTTTAAATCACTGCGTATTCCTCCTGCCAGACTACTACATCCGCGCCTGACATCATGAGCGCTCTATTCCCCGCGGACGAAGACATCTACAGCGACCATGAAGAGGACTACGACGATGAAGACTACGGCGACTACGATGGTGATGGAGATCTCGAAATGACTGACGACTCGCCTGGTGAACAGCGCGGAAGTCAGAAGTTCACGCACCAGGAGCTGCTCGATCTCAACAATCGAGTAGAGAAGAACCTTAAGATCAAGTGGAGCAAGATACCAATCTTCATGCGCAAGAGCACCCACGACATCCTATTCAACGCCGCGCTGCTCAGGTATACCTTCATCGACCCAGATCTGCAGCTCCCGTTCTACTTCCGCAATTACAACACCATTGCAAAGTCCAACTTCATGGCCGAGAAAGGCGTCACGCAGCACTTCGACATCACGCGTGCTATCTTCTACTACGGCATCGATGAGCTCCATTGCTTCTCCCGGCGCTCTCATCATGTGCGGTATAATATCATCCTGATGGCTTTCGCATGGACTTCTGGGTTCGATACCAAGTACTGCAAAGCGGGCTGCGAGAATTTCGTCAAGGCGTACATCAAGGTATGTAGCTGACCTCTTCATCGACCCTGTCACCCCTCATCCTCAGCTACCTCCACGAGAGCGACGCGTTGGAGAGGCCAGGAGATCCCCAGATGCTTCATGACACTGTTCTGAAGTACATTGGTAGCAACCTGTAGCATTTCACATCTAACATTCTCACATAGGCATGGATCGAGGGCCTCGTATTCGAGCACGAGATGATCGACACCCGCGAGCGTGACGCCTTCTTCGGCGAGTGGAAGACTGGACCATTCGACCTATACTTCTTCACCGACGGCTACGCCAAGACCATGAGAGCACGTCTCAGGGCCCATAGAGAAAGGTTCACGGCTTTAGGCACTAGTCCCCTGGTGTCGGATTTCCTCCTCACTCTCAAGAATGGCGAGCTCAGCGATGCCGCATTCGAGGAAAATGGTGCGGCCCTAGCATTTCAATGGGCCATGTCGTATATTGCCGATGCGAATGGCACTCAAGCAGTCAAGAATAAGGAACATGCTGAGAGGGGAGGATCGGCTGGCTGGATTGAAGAAGGCTCAAAGACCCTGGGTGAGGTGGAGTGGGACGGTGACCTGGTTAATGCGGTGCTTGAGGACATTGATCCAACGCTGCCAGATCCGGAGAGTATCAAGATGAACAAGCGCGAAGTTGATTGGGCGGGGGCTTGGATCACACGGGATCAGATCTTCAGGACCATCTTGAAGCCTGAGGAGGAGGTGGGAGCGCAGTCTCCAGAAGTAGACATGATGGCAGAAATGATGGCAAAGATGATGTCTACTTAGTGTCATTCATAATGCATCCTGTAGACGTACGCAACCTGTGATAGTCTTACTTCATCGTTCTATAGCCTCATGTAGACGCCTGGGTGCTGTGTCGCATTTCTCTCATGTATCGAAACCACGTGCGTGACTTGCCGCGATCACGAAATTTAAGCTCCTCATTCACCTCAGGCTCATATAATTTGAGGCCCGCACACCTAGTCTATTATATTCTTTGAGAACACATAATGGTAGGATATATATTGATTAATTCCTAGTTATTTTAACAATCAATACTTGATGGTGTACGCATCATTCGAACAAACAATCAGTGCCGTGGGGTTAAGAGTTCGAATCGGCTGTGTGTCGACTTCCGCAAGGAGGCTATGCGCGGTTGAGGAGGCTCTCATTTCTTTTTTTTTTTGCTCTTTCAGTTTAGCATGCGCCAGTGATTTCTTGACACTACAAGTCTTTTGGCGCTCTTTTTGCTCACAGTCCCCTTGCAAGACTTTTTGTGGGTTAGTGAAAGACGCAGAAGTGATGGAAAGCAAAAGAAACTTTTGACCGCTACGCGCCTGGCATAGACTGTTCTTACGTCATTATTGAGCGCATATGCTAGCTGCCTTTCCTACCTACTTGCTCGACCGTGTTAATTTCTTCCGAATAGCTACCGAAATGTTGTCAAAACTTCGCAAAGCAACCCGCGCAGCAGGATCCAAGCTCGACATCAGGCCTAAACCTGTTGCCAAGATGGAAGGTCTCCTCGCACTTCCTGGAGGTGAGTGAGAAGCGCGCCGTAGCATGAGTAGACACTACTAACGACTATCTTAGAGATCCGTAACCTCCTCTATTCCGCCATCATGGACGGCGATCGTCAAGAGCCACTTATCGTTGCACAGTCAGCAATTACAGCGGAAAAGATAAGAAATTGTACCACCGCCCTGCAAAGAGAAGGGATAAGAATGAACGCACTGCCCTCGGCTTCAGACAAGTTTGCCGCCAGGTCCGCTACGAGTTTCTCCCCTTATACATACGCAATCTCACAATTTGAATCGCGCCTCGTCACCTGTATGAATTTCTAGACTTTCATGTGTTTCACGGCAGACCGATTGAGAAGGTCAAAGATGTCGAGAGCCACATATGCATCGTGGGAGGTGATCGCCACCACACCCAATATAATTGGGCGGATTTCCTCCCTCACATACATATGTGCAGTCGCAACCCAGGCATGATAATCGAATTCCGGGATTCGAAATTCGAAACCTTATATGCCCCAGAAATCGAGCGTCATAAGGAACGTACGCACAGACGAGACTTGGTGGATGTACCTCAACACGGCTGTAACTGCTGTGTTTGTGCAGACACATCAATATGCCTCAGACGTCTACATTGCCATACATATCAAAGCCAAATTCAATGAGCATTGGATGGAGACAAGAGGATGTTTTTCGTCCCGATACATGCAGAGCGAGGCAGATTGGATGAGCAAGATTGGTCCACAATTCGAAGGAATGGGCGGCGTCTCAGCAGAGATCTTACTCAAGGTCGTCCGGACATGCCATTACAAGGTTCGTGGCAAGTGCATCTGACCATTTGTAGCGATCAGCCGGTACGGGACGTGGTAGCGAGTATGGACCCGCATTTCGGCTCGCACGCGACATGGCCTTTACAAATACCCTTAGGGGCCCAGACCGGAAGGCGACTCCGCCAACCAGAGCACATTGAGGGAGGGCTATAACTGGCGTCCGTTTGTTCCTTGTTCGGAAGTATGAGTCGGCGCTACTTGCGTACGCGATTGTTTTGTTTGGTAGCCTTGCTATTTCAGGGTCTTACAAAGGATTCCTTCAGTACCGCAATGCAAATAATCCCTTAGTTAACGCAATATGAATACCAATCGAACATTTGCTGGGATCTAACCATTCTCTCAATGACCTGAAGTAGCATGAACAGTAGACGCAGCTGTTACAGATTTTGCAATCGCCGATGTCAAATTGCTCTAGTTCTGCCCGCGGAGGTGAGCGGTCAGCGACCCCTCTTGGTGTGACATGGATCGATCGGTCAGACAAGAAATGTTGGCTAAGCGGATATAAATGCTTAGATTTGTGGCCACTGGCGGAAATGTGGCATCGAATTTAGGAGAAGTCGATGTCTGGACGGGGCTGGCGTCAGGGCACATGCAGCGAGTGGGCGGCGGCATGGCGGAGCATCTCGATCTCTGAGTCTAGACCGTTGGCGCCACGTTCCAAGAGTGTATGCACGATCTAGACGTCCTCAGTAGGAACATCTTTTTGAAGATGGAGACAATACGCAAACTATCGCGACGCACTTTTCTGCTGTGCGAAAAGCAGCAAAAAGGTGCGACCTCGGACGCACGACTAAAGATCATCGAGGTGATCTTAATCACAATTTTCCGGAAGGGCAATCCGACGAATCGGTACACTTGCAAGATGTCAGACACATTCTCCGCAAATTCTGGCCGTCAATGCTTGGCCGCATCGTTCTGTGGGAACTGCGAGGGGTCGTGTTGGTCAGGTTGCGCATAGTGCTTCGGCGTTCGAGACTCAGCCTCCATGCTCGCACAGCTCGCACAGCGAGGCGAAGCCAGCGCTAAGTCAGGTTTCGAATCGAGCAATCGATATGTGGAGAAAAAAACGGTCTGTTTGCGAGAGTGCAATGATGCGCACTAGACAAAGCATGGCCAGGCGATCAGGCTGTAAGCTGTGAATCGACATGTGTGGCATGACGAGGGTTTGGCATATCGGGCCATCTGGCAGCCGGCTTCAGACTAGCGCAAAAGAATGTCCGTGCGCTTCGTGAAGTCGAGACCGCAGTCCTTTTCCCTACACCATCGGACCACTGCTATCCATGTGGTATGCCCTTTCAGCTTCTGTCGCCTACAGGGGTGCTGCTCTACCGGGAATTGTCATATAGGTGCAGCCTTCAAATAATCGCATTGTCCCATTCCCATCCCTCTTATAACGGACGACACCCACGTCATGTCGATCGCTCCCTCTTCAAGTGCTTCCATCCCTACCATGGCTGGCTTGAATGAGGTCCTGGCACGACTTGGACTGTCCGAATACATTTCAGTGCTCTCCGATAATGGGTTTCATAACTGGGAAACCGTTGTGGACATCACTGAAGAAGACCTTACTGCCCTGAACTTCAAGCTCGGACACCGGCGAGCCCTACAACGAGAGATTGCAACATACAGAGGAATTCCTTCATCGCTGTCTCTGGATCCCGAAGTGCCCTCAGTCGAGCCAACCACCCTCTCCAGTTCCGCTCTGGAGACCTTGGCACGGCAGACTTCTACCCCTCCGCCCCGTGAGAAGAGGAGATACAGGCGTCATCCCAGACCAGATCCCAACGCTCCTAAGAAACCCAAAACTGCTTGTATGATCCCTTGATGCATGTTTGTCAGCGAGCAAAGCTAAAATTATTGGGTAGATGTAAACTTCGCCGATCAGCTTCGTACAGATCCTCAAGTCAGCCAGCTATCATTCGTCGACATTGCACGAGAAGTTGGCCGAAGATGGCAAGATCTGCCGACCGAGCAGAAACGCGTCTGGGAAAGCAACGCCGCAAGAGCCATGCAGGAGTTTGAGTCTCAAATGGATGAGTACAAAAAAACTGACAACTGGCGAAAGTATCAAATTTATTTGAACGAATTTAAATCGCACCAGTCCCAGTCGCAGTCTTCTACGGGAAAACGACCACATGGCAGCCGTTCAACAACAGACAGCTCCAACAACACGCGCATCATGTCACGTGCCAGTCCAAGTTCGTCCGATAGTCCTCTAACTGCGCCATCCCTGGGATCGTCAGGCCTCGAAGCCGAGGTGTGTCACAATGCCTTGACCTTAGCCTTTAGCGAACTGGTCACTCTTCGGGCAGAGATCCTCCACTCCGGCACAAAGCCATACGATGCACTTCACTTGCCCTCTGAACAGCTCGTCAAGCGTGCCATGTACGCATTTATCCGCGGCACAGGGTCATTGCTGTTCATCTGGACCTACGAACAGGCCGATGAGCTTCTTGAGAAGATCTATCGCCCTAAAGCGAACGTGGACGCCATGACACTGGCAGAATGTTTCTCCCTCGCAGCCATGGGTGCCCACTACGACATGGAATGCTTCCCCGACCGGATCCGCATGGTGTTATACGCCTCGAGCACATTGCACTTCCACGAGCAAACAGCACAACAAGACCATTTGCGAACAATGCGCTTGTTCTTGTCCATGTCTTTCTATGCACTACTCGAGAAACACATGAGTGCTAGGTACCTCATTGGTAAGTTGGGAATGAAAGCAGGCTGGAGGGCAAGCACTAATCTTTTTTGCAGCCGCAGGACTACAAATTGCTCGCTGGAAAGGGCTTTTACACGATTCCAGCATTACCGTGTATAGCGAGAACCGGAGGAAGGTCTACAGAAGTCTGATCTTCATGGATTGTTGGTTATCATACACATTAGGATACAGTCCTGAGGCCACATCGAGCGACGTTCAGGTATGGACCATCAAATCTCATGCCAAGACATATTCTGACAATGTTAGACCGCCTCTATGACCCCTCTGCCCAAACTGATGACCATTGATGAGCTCATCCACACGCAAACCAGCAAAATTGGCATAATCGCCGCTGAGATCACGAGGGCGATGTCGTCGCCAGAGCTCGCTACGCGAGACAATATTACTCTCCTGAGCAAGAAACTTGAGGCGTGGCGGGTAGAAGTGCCACTGATGCTACAGATACCTACTCTCACGTCGGCCGATCCTGCTGTTCTGGACCCGTATCAACGACGAGCCATTCTCATGGTTCACGTATGTATTCACTTTATATTCTCGATATGCACGGACACTGACATGTTCGCAGATTATGTATCTAGGAGCATTGGTACTGTTGTACCGTCAGCTCTTGGTCGCGACAGCCGAGACTCAGCTGACCGACGGCGCTGCATGGAACACAAACATCACAGAAAGTGAAGCGCGGGGATACCGCGACGAGTGTGCAATGGCTGCTCAGCAGATGGCGCGCATTCTGAACCTCATCTCATATGATGGTACACTGACGAGGCGTTGCTGGATAATCATGTGAGTTCTTCCGTTGCGTCTTCTTCATCAACAGCGCTAATCAAGCCATCGTAGTTACTGGTCGTTCACTGCTGGCATCGTGCTTCTTTTCAGCGCCACGAGCAAAATGCTTGACGGCCAAAGTGAGGGCGTGGAGACAGATCTGAATTACGCCAAAGTATGTATCGACAAGCTCGAGCCCTGCCGTGCTTTGGAGCCAGTCGCAGCCCGCTATCTCGACACACTCTGGCCCCTGTACGACTCACTGCGTGACAAGTACCAACGCATGGTGGGACGATCAAAGACGAGCATATTCGCAATCCTGCAAGCCGACCCAGCTCTGCTGAGTCCCCCGATCGCCGTGTCCAAGGATGAAATGGGCCCGATTTGCGAAAAGCTGGCAGTCCTGCTAACGGACCCATTCGGCAGAAAGCAACTGTCGAACGATGGAAGCATGCGGCGCGCACTCAATGCCGATGGGTCTTGCTCGGTGTTCTGGTGGAAATAGGACCGAGCGGATTACGCACGCCATCACTGTCAATGAGTGGGACTTGTGGCAGATCTTTGCCAGGTATATGAGTTTTTGACGCGTCTGAAGATACCCCAGTTTTATTCACTTTTATTGTCGACTGTTTTCGCCGCACGTTTCCGGGCATGAAGTAGAGAAAGTGGAGTCGCATGAGATCAACGGCAGCATATAATGCTTGACAGATGTGGTCATCTATATCGATATCACACAATAATATAGCGAGCATTGACAAACGTCATCAACGGTATATCTTCACCAAGTTTGTCGTGAAATACTACGGGCATGGCTTTGTTGTATCGGACTTCTCCTTACCTTTTCTAGACACTCGGACATTGACGATGTCACGCATCGCAGATCTCATAACGTGCGACAGCACCGGGGGCTCTAACACCGGCTACCACGCGTCACAAAGTGCTCTTGTACGCTGTCTGAACGAGCTTCGTGCCTGAATTGCTGACTGAGGAGACCCGAGATAGAGAAGCGCAAACATGCGCTGTCGATCCCTCGGGCGCTCCCGTAGTGTGACGCCACTGGATACGACAACGGCATGAAGAGTTCTCGAAATAATGGTGTCACGTCGCGCCAAGAAGCCGAAGACATAATGAACAGAAAGAAAGCGACCCGGGGCGTGCAATTGTGATCTCCACGAGCTAGTCCGCAGAGTAATGAACGTGAACGCAGGGCCCCTGAGTTGAGATCCACTCCCGACCGTGGTTTGCTTCCCGGCAACCACGTTGGACGTCCGCCCGGCAGACACAGGAGGCGGACGTCAACTCGGTGAATGACTAGCAGTAGTCGTTTATCTAGTTCCGACACTGGTTCGTCCAAAGCGTGGAAAACCCTGCGACTGTCGCTGCCGAAACATGTTTCAACGCGCATCGTTCACACGTGGTTTGCATAATCCGATCTCCTTGGTGTTGATCGCGTGCGTCCACGGGGATCGGAGCGGCCTGAACTCATCAATTCGCAGCGCGGGCAATCTTGCTCGCGACGGGCTTGCGTGTCCCTCCCCCCCGGGTAACTCGATATGCAGTGTTGTATCGAAGGCGTAGACAGCACACTGCACTCACCAAGCCACAGCGAAAACCTAGGGCAGCCTCAACGAGTCGCATCGTGACATGCAGCGCTTGCAGCTGGTCTGGCTGTGAGATAAGCCAGATTTAGCACGTACCAATGGGGCGCTTGGGCCAAATGAGGAAAGGGGGCAGCTGCGGGGCTCTGAGTGGTCTGGAGCACGACCAGGGAAGGAGGGAACTAGGAGAAGCATGGGGCGCCGCGTCATTTCATTGAAATGGGGAAGGGAACCCTCGTTGATTTTCGTTGAGCTAGAGGACGTTGACTTTCTTCACTGTTACATACGTACAGTTATACTTTCGATTGAGCTTTTGTTTGTTTGGGGTTCTTGTTGCCGCAGCAGGATATCAATGAGAAGATCGACCCGGGACTCCTTCGCGCGACCAACCATTGGCATATCATCGATAAGGAGAAATGGAGCACCTACAGAGCCCTTTTGCGATCCCACTTGAGGATGTGGACATGTTGAACAGGAGTGAGGGCTTCACTATGCTGAGGAACTATCTGGCGAGAAATGCCGAGTATGTTTTCACGAATGGCTGAGTGGATATGGGACGAATGGCTGACGTGCAACAGCTTCTGCGAAGAACACATCCAATGCGATGAACAGGCACAGGAGACATGGCTCCTCCACCGCGACATCTTGCACGCGCTCATCATGCCCGTCGTGACGCTGTTCGAACGAGCCTCGGCCCTCGCCGAAGCAGCGCTGTGCACCCGCAAAACCGAGGACCTCGAGTTGGCTTTTGCCGGGTGAAGCTAGAGGCGCATTTCTCTGCCTACAATGCTTCTTAACCGAGGAAGAACAATGGTGCAAAGGCTCCGGATGTCCAGGTACGCCATTGTCCCCACGCGAAAGCATCGAAGCCACAACTAACCCCCCCACCAGCATGCGTAGTCAACGCCGCCCTCTCCACCGAATCCCACATCCGCCTCACAATCGCCGCCTCCCTCCTCTCCACCGCCGCCATCGCATCCCCCACCAGCCCTGCTGCAGTCGACGATGAATCAAACAAATCCCTCCCCCCACTCCCCCACATCCTCCCCGCCCTTCGCTCCGCCCTCGCTTCCGACCCCTTCTGGAACAACGACGGCGACATGTGGCCGTACCTGCTCTCGCGCGCCACGCAGCTGTCAGCAGGCATCCAGGCCCTCATCACCGAATGCGTCAATCTCGAAAGCCTCGTCTCGTCGCCTACATCCGCGCGCCCCGGTGCAGCGCCGCGTGCTGACCTACCCGCACATGCCCTTCTCCGGCGCCACACACGTCGAGGGCAAAGGCGTCAAGCTGCGCAAGAGTAAGCTCGCGAAACGCCAGCTGAGGCTCAAGGATGAGGAGGTCGAGCTTATGAGGAGAGTCGCGCTGCAGTGTTGGGCGAAGGCCCGGGTGCCGAAACAAATAAGGGGAGAGATTCTGGGCACGGGCAAGGTTAGTAGGGTCAGGAGTTTGACGTGTCCGTGATTTTTGGACCGAAGGGAGTTGGAGTTGGAAGGTGGGATCGGCTTGGATTGGATACGCATATGATACCCTGCATCACTTTCCTTTTGTTTCTGCATTCAGGGTGGATATCTGTGTTTTGCATAGCTTGCTCTGGTCTTTGGGATTTCTTTTGTTAGGTCAGATATTGGATCTTATTCGTTCATCTTCAAGCCTTGCACCCCATTCTCTCCTGATCAAGCTGCTATATTCAATGTCTCTGCACCTTGAGAGCCAGTATAGTAAGACAGTAGGGTTAGGAATTTGACCGAGGAGTAAAGGTAACGGCGCAAGGTGTAGAGCCGCCGAATACTTGTCTCTGCTTTGTACCTGCAGTCGTTGAAGTTCTCTTCTTTAATACTTTAACTCTCACCCTAGACTGTGCGCCGCTTGGAGCGTCACCCTTGCGCTGATAAAGTGCAACACAACGCTGCTCTTTTTAGTACAGCAAACGATAGCAAATCTCAAGATAGTAGCCTTTCCATGTCGATTGGAAAGAACGGGTGGGACGGATGCGGCGTAGTCGTTCCTTTCCCCGATACCGACTAGCTTAACCCCATTCTCTCTCTATTATACTGCTGCGCTGTTATCGCATAGCTATACATCACTGTACCTGATACAATTGCCGCAATTTCTCTCTTCAACAAACTTTTATTATCCTCTGTTTCTTATCTTCTCTCCAGCACAAAAAATTCCACCTCGTTTCGATATGCCAGTACTGCAATTTCCTGTTCTAGGGTATACCCGTCACTTCGCCTAACGGTGGGACTGCTGCGCTTGCATTATCAGACGACGGCAAGAGGGGGTGCTCAAGTTTCCCTTTGTGTTTGAGACTCAGCACTGTAGCGCGCAGGTCGCTGCAAGAGCACGATCGCACATGGAAGAGTCGCACATGATGCTAGAGCGTGAGAAAGAGACATACCAGCATCTTGGCATACGCGCTGGCATCCTTGCGCCGCTGGAAATCTCGTCGGTTGGCCTCGTCTTTGCATTCTGCAAAAATGGGGACCTGCGCGCATATCTGCAGAAGACGTGGGGCGGGATTGGGCGGGATCAGCTGATGCTTTGGGCAGGGGAGGCCGTGGACCGCATAGCCTTTACGCAGTCCATGGATGTGTACCAGTGCGATATTAGCACGAGGAATTTTCTTGTGGGAGATGACTTGTCATTAGTACTAAATGACTTCTCTGGGTCACGAGTTGGGGACAGAGCGGAGCTGGTTGGGCCCGAGACCAGCTATGCGAAAGCGCTACAGGATAATCAGTATGATACCGTGCAGGGAAGCAGAGAAGGAGAGGTGTTTAGTATTGGGAGTCTGTTGTATGAGATTCTCACGGGCCAAAAGCCTTGTAGTGATCTTGGCGACAGCGAGATTAAAGAACTTTTCCAACAGGGAAGCTTTCCTCCTATAAGTACACTGGCTCTAGGTACTATTATCCAAAATTGTTGCATAGGGCGGTTTTCTAGTGCCGAGGAGGTCAAGGTGGCTCTTGTAGCGGCGAAAATTAAGAGAGTATAAGAGGAATTAATGAGAAGAGGTTTGCGCAGGAGAAGAAAAGAAGCCTCTTGGCTGAGCCCAACGATATGGATGCGACATGCGATCAGAGCAATGAGCTGGGGAAGCGCGCACATGTCTTGAGCAAGGCCAGGATGTCGACAACCTGGCAGTATTCGCTTGGATGTGGGCGCCAGTAATTGCACATTCGCCTTCCAATCTGCTATCCTGAAACTCACCGTAACGGTGCCAATCGGGAGGGTGAAATTGTCAGTGTACCCAAGAATCCGGGCGGACTCGACGTTCCGGGCGTACTTGACGAGCTCAGATAAAGCGATGTCGATCTGGGTATGGGCCACCTGGATTGGAAGATTCTCGTACCGAATCTGCATGCAGGATTGGAGGAAGCCGAGATCTTGGCGGGTGGATCCTCTCCCATCATTCACAGTGATCCAGCGGGAGTTGTTTGGGTGGCTGGTGATGCGTATGCTGCCTCTACTGTTCTGGGAGTGGCTCTGAGCGATACTGGTGGAAAGCCATGCGTAGATCGTGTTACGGAGTTCTAAATTGTTAGCTAGATCATAGGGGGGGCGATAAGAGTGACTTATACTAACCTGGAGGTAGTGTCAGAAATCCCATCTTAGAGATCTTGGAGTCTGCGTATGCTGGATTCGGGGGTAGTCTCACGACAATCATCATCGTATTTTGCTGTTTGGTTGAACTAGACATGGTTGTAGTTGACGAGTGTAGCAATGGGAGAGCACTCGAAGCAGAAGGAGAACGATGATATAAGGGCACTGGTGGGAAATGCACAGACCAATGTAGACCGGATGTGAAATGCAGCCTCGAGCTGATGTGTGCATATTCCATTAGAATCCTGATGAGATATAATAAATTGATTAGAGCTTCGATTGAGTCTTAGTGTAAGAAGTGGCCGAACGAAGTTTCGCTTGCCGCTTCATCAATAGGACGCCTCTTCTGGCCAATCTAATTCTCTTCGAGGAAGTGTCCCATCGCATTCGCAACACCCGAGCAATCCTCGAATAAGTGCCAGTGTCCCACATCCTGTAGAACTAGGACGCTCGCACTTTTCATCGCCGCCACGTACGCTTCACACGTCTGGGGTGGCGAATTCTCGTCTTCACTGCCTGTGATTATGAGAGTCTTTGCTTCGATCGCACCAACGTCTAGCTCTTTCGCGTCTACCAACGCTTGCAAGGCCTTTGCATATCCCTCTGCGTCCTGATTCAGGAGCGACATCTTTATGGCCGTGTTCGCAAGCGGATTTGTCTCTCGTGTCCTTCTAGATGTCCCTGATATTGAGTCCATTTTCGCGACAGGTAACATACCACTAGCACGAGCAGAATGAATCCCAGAGCGCATGTTCAAACGTTCGAGGTCAGGCAGTGGCGACGGAGGTGGACTGAGCAGGACAAGCTTTGCGACCAATTCTGGGTGTGCAAGAGTGAAGCTCATGGCAACAAGGCAGCTTATCCCGTGCGCAACAATGATGGCTTTCGATGTAATTTTGGCATGTCCGAATATGCCGTTCAAGTCCTCGGCTAACGACTCGACGCTTATCTTACTAAGAGGCGATGTGGGCGAAAGACCGTGACCTTCAAAGTCGAAAGCGTGTAGCGTATGCCTCTCCTGTAATTTCAAAGCGTATATCAGAGGCTCAAAGTAGTCGTTACTGCCACCCAATCCATGGAGAAGGACAACAGGGGGCCTGTCAGTTCCTGAGTCGGATTTGGTATAATACAACGGCTTTCCGTTGATCAGTGTGAGCGTTGATTGCTTGTACTTGTCGACTGTATGCGTAGTGCGCATGTGAGATATGTCTTCAACCTTCGGCTTACCTAGATGTGGGTTGGCGACTTCATTGACCAGGGTACTCAAGCCATTTATCGAAACAGAAACCTCGTCCCCTGCCTTTAGATAGACAGGCGGTTTCCTCCCAATACCGACACCAGCGGGCTATATAGTATTAGCAAGTCAGTCGCATCATCACAGAAGTCACAGCTTACTGTGCCTGTCGCCAGAACGTCTCCAGGTAACAAAGTCTGCCCTTCGGACATAGTCTTGATCAAGAACGGAATTGAGAAGATGAGGTCGTTTGTGGTAGCATCTTGTCGTAGCTCTCCGTTTACATGGGTCTGGACTCGTAGCACTTCATCCAGTCTCTCTTTTGGGACGGCTATAGGGCCCATAGGACAGAAAGTGTCTGCCGACTTCCCAATATAGAATTGCTTATGGTCGCGTTGCCTTTCGCGCGCCGTAATGTCGTTGATGATGGTATAACCCCAGACATGATCCATAGCATCGGCTTCTGAGATGCGATAACCAGACTTGCCAATAACGACTCCGATTTCTCCCTCATAGTCGACAGTTCGGGAGAAGTCAGGATGCGGATATATCTTGTCGCAATGAGCGATGATGGACGTAAACCGCTTAGTGAAGATGACTGGATGCGAGGGCGTATCGACCTTGTCGGAGCTATCAAATCCCGAGCTATTAAACTCTTTCGCGTGTTCAGAATAGTTCTTGCCAACGCAAAGAACGTCGCGATCCGGGAACGGAGGCAGGATCTTGAGACTCCTGGCAGGCTGGGACTGGCTGACGCATATGATATTGGATTCGCCAACTTCAATGACTTGATATATGTTTTCAACGTGTGTTCCTGAGATGAAGCTCAGCGGTACAATAGTTCCATTTTCTAGATCGTAGTGCCCAACGGTGTCCTTTCCGATTCGTCGATCATGATAGGCGACGTAGTTGGTCAGAGATCCCTGGGCGCTGTTTGAATCGGTTGATGGCATCTTGGACACTCTCAAAGCAGGTAGGTTTGCGCTGTTTGGGCTGTAGTCTTTTTTCCCTGAGGCTATCTCGTTTTGACGAAGGCGTTGATGCCTGGATATCCGGGACATTATCGTGGTGGGGCACATCATCACCTTCGGACTAGCTTCTGCCCAAACTCCGAGCCCGTATACTGCAACGCCGTTGCGCCCAACTCTTGCATTTATTTGCCTCCACTTTTCTTGGTTCTGCTTTTCGTAACGAAGACCTTCCTGTACGTCGCTGTAGCCATGCCACTGAGATCAGAATGCAGCTGCTCGTACGCCGTCTCGTTGGCAGCGTCGGCTTGATAATTATCAAGACCCTCCTAGATATCATACTAACCTTGCTCGCATCCCCGCCCTTTGGAATGCAATTATGTACTGGCCGGTACAGCTGAAGTAACTCGCAAAGCGGCACTATCGACGACTTTGTGAGCGCCGGCCCAAGCTATCAGTCTTGCTGAACTCATCTGTAGGATTAATAGGGCTGTTATTGCTAAGCTAGGCGACTACGAGCGGCTAGTTGAAACAGAATGCGTTGATAGACTTAACAGCTTTGCGCTAAATCATGAAAAGCAGGTCACTCTGCAAGATGAGCACCGTGTAAGAGGGAAAGTGCAAAAGGGCTAGGCTTGTTGCTTAGAAAAGTGGTCTTCATGCAGGCAATTAAATTGGAGCATGTAAAGCAAGTGGATGGTGAGAAAAGCCGCAAAGTCTCAGCATAGAGTCAGGAGAGAAACAATGAGGAACTTCGCAGCATACCTGAAATTATGTGGCAAGTGAACTCACAAATTGAGAACAACATGTCGACCAAGTAGTAGCACAGATTTCTAGTCTGTAGGGTACTCCGATCATGAAAACTTTATTGGATTCACGCTTCTTTTGTTCGAAGTAGTGCGACTGCTATGCATTCACGTTCCTGACTCCGATGTCTTTGCGAAGAGCGGAACCCTGACGATGAGACAAATAGCCTTCCGTTGAAGACATTACTATAAAACCGGGGTACAGGCGTCTGTATAGCCTCATGTCGCACTTGATACCCCTAGAAGAGGTATTCATAGTTCTCCTGAAGCTGAGCAACTACGCCCCGGAACACTGCCTCTTGAAACTTTCTATCTTCCAAGCTACTAGCACGCTGATTGAAGTCGCAACGTATGCATCGTCTAACGGCATTGCTGTATTTTGCACCAGCTTCACTCCACAACGCTTCAGCCATTCGATCAGCAGTGTTGAACTCAGTTAGCAGATCCAAAAAGCTGTCGCCTGTATTCTGGTTGCCATCTATATTCTGATGTAGCTCCGAGATTGGCTTCCGGTAGTAAAGCTCGATCAATGCGACCCCCAGGGTGTATAAAGTCTGGTTTCGAATGATACGTCCCATGCAACTAGGTATAGTGGGGGTTGATAAGGGTTCCGAGCGTTTGAATTCATGAGAGACGAACGCTTGATCGAATTGAGTGCTTCCTGTTCGGTTTACGAAAAATATACTGTCTTTACTCCAGGTTTCATGCAGCCAGGGAGTTTCGTGAAGTTGGAGAACGCTGGATGCCAGCGTTATAGATAGCTTCAATCGATCTTGTTGTACGAATCTGGGGTCTCTGAGGACTGACCTCGGTGACGAGACAGACCATGAAGCCGTATCGGACAGAAATGGCTTCACTGGTGTGATGAGCAATATTTCGCACTTCTGCTTGGTAAGCACGTCTGCCAGCAGTGAGAAACCTATTCCTCGCTGAGACCTTTGCGACGCAATGATAGCCGAGCATAGATCTTTAATTTGATGTGTAGTCGTCTCTGGCTCTAATGCTAGGTGTGTGGCATTAGTTTTAGTTTCCGTGGCGAAGCGCACACTTTTTGTGTCTCTGCTGGACTGTTGTTTCGCGGTTGATGTGCCCACATGCTTGATACGCGCATCTGCTTCCTTCCATGTCCAAAGTTGTGCGGCCGAACACTCTTCATGCTCATAGCGGAACAAAACATGAAAAGCATCACCACTCGTCATTCTACCGTTTTTGTTGTCGCAGGGTCTGTTTTCTATGCGTGATTCCAGACGAAGGTTGACGTTATGATGTACCTGGCAAGTGCAGCTCCAGCTGTTGCTTAACGCAGCATGAAACGTCAGCGCGTGATCTTTAATCAAAGAGAAGTTTGGCGTCAACTGCTTTGCCGCTGCATGGCTATCGTGACCAATTGGTAACGTCGAAGCTTGCGTAGTCAGAATGTGGAGAGACCAATTCGTTTGTCGAAGCTCCGTCATGAGCTCCTTGTAGTCACTATGGCAGAGATGTACTGTCAGCTCGGCATGCAATCCTCTTACACGGAATGTGAATACGTACGATATTTTCAAGCTGAATCTGAATCTTTTATAGTGTTCCTTGAAAGTACCCTTGTCTGTGAATAGCGGCTAGATGTTCTTTTAGCTATCACTTGCTGTTTTGACAACGTGGATATGGTTCACTAACTTTTCCAGAAGCATCCAACCTGAGTAGCTTCTTAAAACGTTCAACGATGGCCGCCAACTGCTGCATAGAACTGACAAATGAGTCGTAGCTGGTACCTAGCCGTTCTTGCAAAGTCGCTTCGAAATTTGGATCCTTCCATTGCTCGCTGGTAGGCTTAGCAAGAAAGAGTGCAATGTCTTTTTGTTTGACCACCCCATTCAAAACAAGCTTGACACTGTTCGCATAGATTGCATACTCTGTTCCCAATTGGCGTACAAGATCCTTGATTCCGTCCTCGTATTTCCGATATCGCCTGGTCACGCTAATGCCCTCAATGTAGAATTGAAGTCCAGCCAGAATGATCGGAATCGCCCCCAGAACGATCCCAGCCACTTCGATCCCACTCATGTCCGGCTGATGATGTCGTGATCAGATTTAAGAAGTGCGCCCCAGCTTGGTTGAATACTACATGTATTCGGGCAAGTTATAGTGGTTACCAATTTCGCAGGAAAGACTCACGCACTTACCAGCAGTTCACAGTACTAATCGTGTGAAGGCTACAATCTAGGACGTGGTTGTAAGATGTAGGGTCACCAGTGTGGTACAAAGCGCGGGGTAACTTCTGCTTCATCTAACTCTTGAACCGCCAAGTACGCGAGCGGGCATCATCTCGCAGAAACCCGCTCCTTTATAATCCGCGCATCATTCAGAACACTGGAGATTCACCGTTGAAACTGATGTTCGGACTATCTCGTGGTGATACTGTCGTCCTCCCCGCTATAGCCGCTGTCGTGAGCGATATCGTCCGTGATTTTCTCAGCCTTGCAAGCGCTCTCGAGCATCAAGAAGTCTCCACAACACAGGTAACAGACTCATCAATCAAGGATGAGCTCACTCGTTTCAAGGTGATACAAAATATCTTAAGTATCTGGCATAGGCTGACTGATAGAGGTATGCGTTGGGAACCTAGCAGCACAGAGACCTGTGCATCGGTCTCTTGAATACAGGTTGGTTCCACTGACTAGCAACATTTCATGACAGCTAAAGGTGGCAGACTCCGCGATGCCCCTGACCTCAAGGGTGACGTACACAATTTGCTTAGAGCTCTGTCCGAAACAATACAAAACAGTGAGTGCTCTAAGGACTATACATTCAATATGCTGAACATATCATGAGTGTCAGCTATCTTGCGAGGCGAACGAGTTCCGTGGGACGCCTATGAACTCTCCAGCTCTGGATCCGAATCCGAATCATCTGAAGATGATCTCCAGGATAGTACCGAACTACATCAGCTCCTTTCGAGTTGTCACAGTACAATAACATCTCTCTTTAGGCTGTCGTATGTATACTGACACTGCCCATTTCAACCGTTCACTTGCTAACTTCGTGGCTCTTAGTATAGCAATCAGAGACCCAGCGCCTGCACCATACTACACAATGACTATAGGCGCCGAAAAGTCGTTTCATGAAAGATATGACACGCTTCATGTTCAAGAAAAGTACCCAGACTGCCCTGTGTATCTCGCAAAGCGGTTGGGGCGAGGAATTTCAAGTCGCCGGCAGTATCTCAGCTATCGAGAGGAACACAGACTCAACCTGTTAGAGAGCATTGAGAAACTAGGGTTGGAATCAATCGGGACGGGTAGGATTTTGAGGAATTGAGAGTTTAATGTATGGTGGCTGACAAGACTTAGAGCATACAAAAAACAGCACAGAGGTCACATCCGCGTCAGTCAGTTACAAGCAGAACACTGTTGAAGGACTCTCAGATGAAGACTTTGCATCACAAACATCTTTTGCAGCTTCAGTGAATGCAAGCATCAGGGTGCCTCCATTACCAAAGGATGCGCAAACAGAAGATTTCTTCGAATGCCCGTTATGTTTCATTGCTATTTCTCTACATACTGAGGCCGCCTGGAAGTATGAAAATGGCATTTCACCAAACCTTCGCTAATGAATCTAGAAAACATGTCTTTGAAGACCTTCACCCTTACTGCTGTACCTTTGAAGAATGCACAACCGCTGATAGGCTGTACGAAACCCAGAGTTCTAGACATACATGGAATCAGATGCTGACCCTTTTGCAGCTACGATCATAGGCGCAATTGGTTCAATCACGAGCTTACAGTCCACAGAGGATCATGGCAGTGTGTAGAAGGCTGTGGCTTTATATTTACCACAGAGCACGAATTCGAAAGTCATGTGCGGACTTTGCACCCTGAACTAACCTCGGTACTTCCAGCTGTCAGACGTACATCGTTGAAGCGGCCTAGTATGAGTGAGAAGGTTACCTGCCTACTTTGCACTGCATCAATTACTATTGGAAGTCTTCAAAAGCACCTTGGTTCCCACCAACAGACACTGACCCTATTCGCTCTTCCCATAAACATCAACGAAGGATCGGATAGCCATGAAGATTACGAAAGAAGCCGAGGCTCACCTGAGATATTTCGAGATATGAACGATGACACTTCTGGCTCCAATACACCCCCAGAATTGGTTGAAGACTCGACCTCCCGAGATGTTAGTAGCACATACGAGACCACTCTGCCCCGCGCATCGCGCGACCTTAAAAAAGACTTGGGACAAGACAACTTGGGCAATGCCGAGCTTTCGAATGTGCCAATGCCAGGAGACTACATGGAGAGTGCAGATGATGGGAGCTTTGGAACACACAGCAGAGATAACGACATCACTTTCTCCAGTTTGTTTAGGAAGCCACCCACCGACAATGTAGCTACCGAGAAGTTTGCGACTATTGGAGACAAGGACCTTAGGGGAGACACTACTCCATCTACCGCAGAAGTAGGATCCTCTGACAACAGCAAGGAGGTACAAATAATGAGCAAGAGCCATTTGGCGACCATCAACAGTCAGCCTCTTACCCAGAGCGCGGATAAGCAGGTGCTGTTTGCTCGTTTGGGACTAAACGAACAAGTGCACAAGCTTCTAGTGCAAGATGCTCAAATGGCGCGAGACAGATTGAGTGCAGATGCTTCTAATCTCACTGATCAAAGTCGTTTGAGTCCATATATAACAGCCCCTTATAGATGGGACGAGATAAGCGAAACCGCAAAACATCGGATCTTGTCGGAGGTCGTTGGCAATGCTTCCCCAGACGTGAAGCACTACTACACCCTTGGAAGCTACCGAAATGTTGTCAATGAAGAGAATTGGGTGGCTCGATGGTATCTTTGGCATAGCTTTCGCTGCCGAGACAACAGATAGCCCCGACAGAGGGCCAAGGTCACGGGTCTAGCAAAGATAATTGGCGACACGAACAAGCCATCAACCTCTGGTAGAAAGTACTGGAACCCTGCCCGTGACGAAACGCCAATCCAAATGAGTTGGAAAGCCATGGAAGAATGATCGAATTGAAATAAATTACATCTCCCGCGTGTAGATATTGTAGATACCCCTTTCAAAGCATACGCACCCAGGGCATGATGCAACCAAGAATTCTTGAAGTCTGAGTAGACACCTCATTGCTATTATTTGTGAGTCAAACAAGTATGCGAAGGAAGCTATGGGAATCACGATGTGACAATTTATCACATGACTTCTGGCGACTCCACTCCCTTGTTTTACAGGAGTGACTACAAACAACCTATCACTGTCTACGCATGCGTACAGAGCTCTGCAATGCGAATGTTAGCCTGACTTCTATTATATCAAAACGGTCAGATGAAGTCATGATACGCAGTAGCGTGCAAATCTAAACCATCGAAGTGAAGAACTAAGGGCAACTCTGCGGGCAATAGATCAGTAGCGGAGCCTGCTCAATTCCCCACTTTAAGATTAGGTTCTGAGCTTGCATACGGCACTGCTCTGGACGTACTCTCTTGTCATACTGGCAAAAGTTGCGCTAAGATCCGCGCGGAATATGAATGCAAGCGTAAAGTAACAACATCCGCGGTGTAGTGACCCCTGTATCTCAAGCAGCGTCGATCCGAGGAGCCCTCAAACCCCTCGAATCGAAAAGCCAGGGCGGCGCGCCCCGATCATCGCTGTGCGCCTGCTTTGATCGGTGAGACGTTCACCGCTATCTAAGCGCCCAGCCCGGTGGATCTGATCGCACAGAACGCCAAGTATTGGGAGTTAGAAAAAGTCGAACGGTATGTGAAAATCTAGGTCACAATGACATCCGCGATATGCGATCGGCTGTTGCTATCCCTAAGACCCGCTTCCTGTGTAACGCAATGAACACTTGCGAGTCGCGGTAAATGTACCCACTGGCGTTACACAACACAGCGCGTAAATCCCAAAAGGTGGCGTGATGTCTGTGCGATGTCTTACAGCGTTACAGCCAGCCAATCAAATGTCCAGGAAACGGATTTCGCGCGGATGCGGAGTCGCAAGGGCGCCTGTATGAGCATGTGTCTGGCGTGCACAAGGATGCGGTTCCGGGGCCGAAAGGATCATTGCCTGTTATGGACATGGACTTGTGGAAGCAAGGCTCTGCAGTCGAAACGAGCAAGACATGAGCTAGGTCGCTTGCGGTCATCGAGACGATGTAACATGGTGGAGGTGAAAGGCAGTGACCAAAACATGCCTTGGAATGCATAAACAGCAATCTAATACAGATTTATGAGGATGGTATCATGTAGGAACGCGCAAGAAGGCGCAAGAGAGGGTAACACCAAACGCCCACCCTTGAATAAGCAGCCAAGTGAAAAAATGAAGCATGATGGTAGGTAGACACGAATTGCAAGGTTACTCAGCATAGTACCATCTGTTCAGGTAACTTGCTTGTGTCCAAAACTCGGAAACCTTGCTCCCCTTCTTCCCATGCCACGGTCTCAACGCTCAGCGTCCATGCTGCAATGACTAGGCGAGCAGCAAGAGCCACATCTTCGACTGAGAGCGGTAACTCAGACTTCAGTAGTCGTTCGACTTGTTTACCCAGGCTGTGTGGTGCAGAACTAGCTGAGGTGGTTGGCGAAGCCGCAGTCACCATTGAGAAGTCGCTCGAACGATTTGACCGGCTGTACGTTTGTGTAGAGAAGCGCTTGCTTCGGGCGCCACATTCAGAACATGCGTACGAGTCGACAACAGATGACGATCTTGACCGGTTGACGTTGTGAACTGCAACGGCATCATGATAGGAGCGTTCTATCTCTCTTTTTGTCGCTGCTTGCACGGCCTCAGCAGCGTCTTGCGTTAGCATTCCGGGAATCAAAGTTGTCAAACGAGCAAGGAGAGTGATGTATCGCTGCATGCGTGATGCTTTGTATGCAATGCTGTCGGCGGGTTTGGCATCAGTGGCTAATTTTCCAAGTCGCTCACGCTCTCGGTATAGCAGCGCGATATTTTGAGATTCATATAGCGGACCGAACAGTTGAAGATGCGGTGTGTGTCGATTAACCTTGTCGACGAGCCCTTCCAAACGCTGTAGAAGCCGAGCAGGCGGTAGTCCACCGAACGCAACGAATTGGACCGTCTTGACGAGCGGCATAGACGCAAGTGGCACGAGACCACCCACGAATGGTAACAAGCTGATAGCGTCGATGATAGGGTTGAACGGTAGTGGCTGAGTTGAAGCGCTCACGATCTCAAAGCTGAGCTCGCGAGAGCTCGGCAACGCAGATAGGAATTGAGTTTGTGTCGTTTTGGAGTATGAATCATGGAGGTATAGCGAAGAACCTGATTCCACAATCTTGAGGGTGTAATCGCTAACAAGGATGCTGCGAACAGTCTTCTCATCCTGCAAATAAGGAAGAGAACCGGCTGCGAGATGCTTGGAATAGAGTGGTGAGAATCCCGAACCACGTGCTGCAGGCATATGCGATATGTTCCGCTTGTGTTGCCGAAGATTTATCTGATGTCGGCCGTCTTGCATTGCAGAAATCGATATCGAGATGTTAAGTGCACCTTTTTCAGAGTGCGCCACCGGCTCCCCTGAAACAGCCAATGGGCTGCCTAGCAGGATTGAAAGCGCTGCAAGTTCTGCTGACGTGACCTCAATCCCGATAATACCATAACGAGAGTCTGATATTCGTCCATCCGTCGTCCAAGATGTTTTCGTAGCGTTATTGCTGCCCATTCCGACAAGTCCGCTCTTCATCGGTGCTAGCGGTGACGTTGGTCGCTTCATGGAAATGCTTCGGGAAAGGCCTCTCTCTGCAGTCGATATATCCATGCTCTTTCTCTGTCCTATCATGGAGATATCGGTGCTTCTTCTGTTCGATGCTTTGCGCGACAGTGATTGTACCCGCTTTGGCCCGCTGGTGACCCGCTTAGTCGAAGACAAGAATTTTGCGATTTCTCCAGTGTACGCAGATCGTTCCGCGATTGGGCGCGACCGAAGTTGTTCGGCAAATAGTTCGTATAGTGCTTCTAGGGACGGCTCGCCAGGGTGTCCGTGGATATTGGCGAACAGAGTGGAGGTAAACAATCCTTCATCTCCGGCCTTGACCATGCCTGACATACTGGGAACCCAAACACCTTTCGGTTGGCTCTGCTTCGATGAGAATTTTCGTTTCCATGAGGAGGATATGTTCAACAGTTGATTGTGATGCCCTATGGTGCTATCCGCAATATGCACGTCGTTTGTTGGTTGTTTGCTGTGCTTGTTCAGGAGGAATCGAGTAACGAGCGCCATGATGATGAGGGGAACGAGGCCAAGTAGAATGCTCGCTGCGATTATCTGTTTCTTCAGCATCCTGCATTGCTCGGGTCATTTGGCTTTATAATGTAGTCGCTTGTTGTTGTTGCCCCTGTCCACCCCAGTCGTAAACGAACGAATCGGATGGCAGGGAAGGGGCTGTCAGTAGAAAGTGCAGCCCTCGGACGAACTGGGATCCCGTTTCCTTCGCTATTGTAGTAAGACCAACCCGCGAATGGTCTTTGAAGGCGCATCCATCAGTGCTCGTGGTAGGTTCGCATTTGTCACTCTGGCCTTCGAGATAGGAAATGTGGAGACACACGGCAGCGCAGCAGACAGCTCTGACAGGCTGAACTTCAACCAGACGACTACCTTGAATGACTATCCGCCTTAGTCCGACGATACGTTAACTGGGTTGCATGAGCCACTCTACACATAAGTTTCCACACCAGCAATAACAACAAAAATCTTGCCCCAACTAAGGGTTTCAAGGTTTGATTGTACAATACCATGGGGGTTGCTACACCCGCGATCTACGCCGTATAACCCCGGCAACGATCTTCGCACTCCTCGTGCGTCATGCTGGACCATGCGCTTGAGAGTCAGAAGGCATACCCGGTCTTGTCGAGCGGATTGTGATTGTTGTCTACGGGTGCCGGAAATTTGGCATTGCGCGCACAGACCGAGGGAAAACGTCTTTCACGGGCGGACCCAGTGCAAGTCACAGGATCCGAGTCAGGCAACTAGTCAGCGATGTTGACCTATGAGCGAGGTGTCCAAAGGTTTAAGCATGGGCGACATGCGACAAGACATGTTGGTTGCGTGAGAAGCTAGCACCAAGAGCTACCTAGGTACCGGTTTGTTGCGTAGGCAAGCTGGGCGCTCGGCACGGGACTGCGTTGTACGGTGATGCGCGGCAGAACTCACGAAACAGAGTCATCGTGGGTCATGAGGGTGAGGGGATGGTCAATGAACAGTTCATCCCGTGCGATACAAGAATTTGGGCTATCCGGAAGGTCGCGGCCCGACCGCGCTACCGATAAAGACGACCTCGGGATCGTCCTCGGACGTTCACAACTACATTCGTCCGATAGACGCTTCACATGATGAGCCACCTCTTGACAGACCCTGGGGTTGTCTGTGTACGTATTTATTAGGTTCTATGTTGGACAGAATGCTGGGCAATGCTAAGCAAAAACAAGAAGAGGCCGAGGCCAGCAAGACCTCCCACGCGCGTCCCGATCATATAAGTACCGATCAAAAACACCATACTCCCAAATACCAAAGAACCACGTCCAGTGTGTATCGATTTAGTGTTTTTTAATGAAAATACCAACGAAAATCCTAACCCAGAAACAACTAGCATGCTTCATATACAGCATCATGTGGCCAAGCAGATGCAAGCAGCAGCAACGTGTACTTTTCGTGCGCATGCAACAGATCCGCGTCATGCGCGGCCCGGTGCGGCTGCCTCTCGTATGACCTCTTGAACTCTGTACAGCTTCTTTTGTGCTATGATGATCGGCGTCGGATGCTGCGGCACGAGAATCGCCATTGTACGGAACGCGTGCATGTCAAGGTTCCGCCGCACCCAAACCGGATACGACTGTTGGGGGTTGTATTCCATGGAGGGCGATGCATTGTTGGCGGCGGCGGCGGCTAGTGTATGAGCAGCTGCGGCACCGACAACGCACACCCAATAGAGCACACCGGCCATGTCCTGCCAGATGCCGGCGAGATCGGTTTTTTGTAAAGCTTCAAAGAGTTGCTCTGGGAGCGATTTTGTGGGTGACGGAGCAGTATCGCCGCGAGACGAGCAGCAACCTGCGGAAATAGACGGATCGTAGTCGCCAATCTTCGACAGATTCTTGATCGCGTTCGTGTAAATCACAGCAGCTATGCGGCACGCTTCGTAGACCCAGTCGTTCGACCTTGAATGGCCTTGAACCTCCGCTGAGAGTAGAGATGAAATTTGAGTGTGGATAGCCAAAGAACGATTGTGATACCCAAGTAATGCGATACTTTGGGGTCCATCATAAATCTCTTCCTTTTTGATGCAAAGGTCCGTAGCCGGTCCCATACTTTCGATGAATACGTCCGTCAAGTGACGCATCTGGAAGATTATGTCCCGAGTTTCTGACGAACACGAGATTCTGGCTAGGGTCGCAAACTTGCCGGTGGGATCGAAGAGTGGCGACTCTGGTAAAGGAATCATAGCGCCTATGTCCAGGTCCTGCGGCATCCACTGTTGGAATACAGCGTATTGTGTCGCTTCCCGAGTGATTGCTGAATGGTAGCAGTATCTGCATATCGTCAGTATACCTGCAAAGTCAAATGAAGACAGGGAACACTAACGCCGCAGCGAATTCTGCAACAGCAACATCTTGCAATTTGTGCATGCCGCCGCTGGTAACGATGGCACTGACGATTCCCGCCTCATAGAATTTAAGTATCGAATCGTCATAGCTCCACATCTCTGCAGACATCAAGTGAAGCATGATGGTTATGGTTGAGTCATCCAGATGAGTGTTTGGATCGCTCTGTCTACGAGCGAACATTGCGGTCGCTCCCTGCTTGAGGAGAACAGTGCGATCGCTATCACCTGGAAGATTGCGTTTCGTGTCGTCCCAGGCTGCGGCAAGGACAGTTGCGCTTGAGATCAGATCTCGATTCAGACGCATCGCTGGGAACCATTTCCTGAGCATTGAAGTCGTCGTAAACTCTTGCATCACTGTGAGTGTTAGCCTCAATGTCCGTGAAAGTCTTTTAGTACACAGGGTACCATGATTGATCACTGACATAGCGACAGAAGGTGCTCTGCACTCTGTTCAGTGTCGGCAACCATCGGAAGCATGACAGTCTGGCCATTATCAATCAGATACTCTCTAGGTTGATTGGTGGCGAAGTCATCCAACAGCATGTCCAACATGAAGCTCGAGTGTCCCGAAGTTGCTTGGTACTCTGTGACTCTAGACATCGAAGTCTGAGGCAAGCTCTGGCTGGCTACGGTGTCATACAGCGCCGTTTGGACGATGGATTGCACGGCAGGCGCACTGCTGGGCAACAGTGGTATGGTTGATGGGGACAGATCCAGATACAACTCATTCTCCTCAAGTCTCTCGTAGTAAAATATATCCTCTTTCTCTGATGGCACACTGGGCGGGCTGACAATTCCAGTCGTGGATTTCCGTGAAGTGGATCGGGCAGGCTTGTCCGTCAAACCTAGGCTTTCCATCTGCCGGTGGTATTTCATCGCCGTTGATCGTACTTTCTTAGAGTTTTCTTCATGCTTGAATTCAGCCGGATGGCTTGTCGTGATGAACGTAAACTGTGGGGTGTTCATGGCCGTGGGCCTTTCGTGCCTGGGTTTGGCAGTTGCAGAAGTGAGGACTGGAACTGGCACTGTCAGCATGGAGATGTGCATATCCAATGACGTATGTACTTGAGGGAGAGTGTGTCCTACTGGAGTGCAAAGAGTCAGCACTGCAACGAGTAGATCTTGTAGTGGGAAGAACGGTCATGATCGATATGGTACATCGGCAGAGGGCGCGTGTCTCGTTTAAATGATGAAAGAGAGCCGACAGCGCGCGCAAACAGCGAGCATTAATGCGCAAGGGTTTCAGACGGCATCACAGGAGCGGAATGAGGAGCGCTTCTCCAGGTGTCTGATTCGCTTCCACACGCTCAGTGGATGAAGGGCCGTGCACGTGAACATGCAGGCAGAGACCTTGCCACATGCAACCATGCCCTCGCATACCGTCTTTGTACATCTCATTGCGAAGTCCGGTTGCGCTTGAACGTCCCTCTCGTGCGATGATGTGGCGGCGTGTCTTTGCTCCGTGCAGTCCTACTCCACGCTATTCAAGTAGGCTGTGGGGCCAAAGCCATGCTGATTGGCTGGGAGGCGTTCCCGGTCAGGCCAGGGTAGTCTCCGCAAGTGAACATTCCATCATCCCGTCTCCTCTATCATATCTATTGATGGTATCTTTTTATGCCTGAAGAGGCTCTGGGCCCGGCAGTACCGATGGATGTTACAGCACAGTGTGGTGTTCAAACATCTGCAGTTCGATCCCGCATACGTCACGGTCATAACCAACGCACGGAGAGCGACTTCGTACATGTTCAGACTTTCATACAACTCATGCCAGTCTGATGCAATGCAAGGATATTACCTCGTTCCATTGACACTGCCCATACTTCTCATATAGCTGATTGACGTCACTGGTTTTCTCGAGTTCTAGCTGTTCGATACGGAAGAAAGCTAGCCATGGATAGAAAGCATGGGTCTACGATCTTGTACCGAGATTGAACCATCTGTGCTACTCCAGAACTTAGGCCTTGCCTGACGTTGAATTATCGGTTTCCAGGGTTCGAAGAGGCGCATGCTTCTCACTGGATCTGGTTGACAATCTCCGGTTGCTGATAGTCTTCTGCAGCACCCTGTTCACTTTTCACTCGTCTCTTAACGGCGGAAGGGGCCCACTGCATACGTTTTAGACAGCTGATCCCAGGAACGCCTTGCAGCTCCATGTTGACCAAATTGGTCTAGGACAAAGCAGTCTAATGCTCATCTTGGCAAGAGTTCGTTACCGGCATTTCTCGTTAGAATGTGCTCCAACCAACCCCACAGGCGTGTAGTCAATTGGATGCGGAAATGCGGCTGAGCTACCGCTCAGGTCGTGGAACAGGATGACAGATGTTGCAGCTCGAGGACTGGGGTATGTCAACTTGCATATGGGTCGAGACTCGAGGCCCACCGTACACAGCTCACAACGTTGCTGCAGAGCCAATACAGCAGTGCAATCCGAGGCTTTCGGCATGTAGTGATACTGTAGATCGGCCTGTGCACCTCGATAACTCAGAGGTAATTACACAGAGAATTCCCTGACTCTCCTCAGCGTTTTCCTGTTTCCAGGTCTGGAACGCAGAGTGACAACATACCATGGGGAATGACATACCATAATGAATGTAGCGTTAAAAATCGCAGTTCTCCCCGGCTTGTCCTTGAATGTACTTGCTTTTTGAAGTTCCGTCATCCGCTCTTCCTTGGCTTGGTGGCTGCATGGATCCCTGCATGCAATCGCGAGAGGCAGCTTCTGACATGCTGAAAGCGACTACTCGCCGCAAAACGTGCAAAAGCACCACATAATTTGTGCGCCATCCCGATGCATGCGCGGGTCGGGACCCGCGTAGATTCGAGGTCTTTGCGATCCCCACTTACATTGATCATCCTCTCCTGCACATTTCTACAGGTGGAGACTAAGCACTTTTTACCACTATTGTAGTACGGTTAAGACAAAAATTGTCTGTTGGCAGTAGAATTCCTTTACAATCTGTTCTCCTATACGTAGTTTTAAGGCTCAGACAAAGCGTGCAGAGCTCCATGTCTGCCCAGTTGCAAGAAAGTGTTCAACGACGTGCAGGCAGACAGTGGCGTCTTCCTGGAAGTAAGTGTCCAATTTTTGAAGTGTCCTGTATTTGAAATTTCCTATCTTTAAAGGTTTCAATATTTCGAGTATAATTATGTCTTCAATAAATGTAAGATTGATAAACGAGAACATAAGAAGAATACTCCGCGCACAACGCCTGCACGATATTACGCAATATTACTTCAACCTTATCAAATCTCCCTCGACCTTGAATGTAGCCCAAATGACTTTGCGCTTTCACAATCTGATTACTTCCTATCACATCACAATATCCTCATTAAGATCACAATCCTTCTCCTTGTCGTTCCCTCACTCCTCATCCCGCCTCGCGTAGGCTCTTCAGCGCCTCCTTGATCTGGACTCCATACATATCCTCCGCCACATTTACCACTCCATAACCTTTGATCAATTGTCGTACGCGCTTTGGCTTCGCGGTGATTGAGACTGCCTGAGGTGGCTGGTTCTCTCCCATCGATACAAGCGCTACAATGCCAATGACTTTCTCCGGCGCCGAGTTCGTTGCACCTGAGGACTTCGGGGCCTCGGCGACTCGGGCCTGGACTTGGATATCTTTCATCTTTTGCTTGACCTCCAAGGCCGAGTATTCGATGACTCGAGGTGTGTTGTCTTCCATGACGAAGTTGATGAGGCTCTTGGTGAAGGACATGATCAGATATGTTATGTTTGGCCAATAGCTTAGATTTAGCTCATTGGAGGATGGTGCTGGTGATGGAGGTGATGGTTTTGGTGGTGATAGCGCCTCTGGACGTCGTTCCGATGGGTAGATGTAGCGTGCCATAAACTTTGGCGCATATGGATCAACTATGCGCACTGGAGTGATCGAGGAAGACATGTCTTTAGAGATAGGAGACTGATCCTGAGTAAGCAGAGAATCACGTTCTGTGGGATCATCTTCCTCAAAGTAGTCTTCAGACAAGGGAAGGCGGACGTTGCCCATGTCGAGATCCAAGTTGGCGTCTCCGAGGACACGGGCGGCTGCAGTATCGTTGCGCGCGGAAGAAGACGGCATCTCTTCTTTCCACCATGCTGTCGAGCTTCCTGTGCTATCCTGTCTACGTTGCGCTGGACGCGTAACTATTTTTGATTCGTAAAACATTGCATCAATCTGCGATAGAACGTCAGAATCAACACCTGAGGGAGCGACGGAAGGATTCTCAGTACGGTTGCTCATTGTGATCAAGCTGGTTTGAGGCGGTTGTGTGGTAATCGAAGGTCTCAGTGAGTTATGAAACAGTCTGGGATTTTATGAAAAGCGGGAGCATGCCTTGTATGAAGTGAACGAATTTTATTGCGTCAGGCTTCTGTCGCCACGACAAGGCTGGAACATCGCAAGTGATTCTCCGGGCCCTGTTGGTGGTGATCCAAAGCATGGTTGTGAATGGTAGTTACTGTCTGTGCTCAAACAAGAGAGACGCGGGTGATTGGACAGACACGGTTCGTAAGATTCACATCAGAATACGTTTGTTCCGAACGTGAAGACCGAGAGAACCTTAAAGTCACAATGTCAGCATGTCCTAAGGTCAATAACACGCACAGTGCCTTACCTATCCAGCGCACGTAACTGTCACTCCGATGTCTTCTGTTATCATGCAAGAGCCAGCTCTGAATATGTCAAGTCTACTTGAGAAGCCTGTCTCGATCGAACTTCCCGTGAAGCAGCCTCGTGTTCAACGCGAATATACCACAAGCCCGCCAGACGCACATCTCCATACTCCACGGGCCTTTCATGGCTTCATACCTCTTAGCACCCCTGTTTATTTGCCTGATCTTGCCGGCAGTAATGCCCAGAAAATGCACTTAGACTACTTCTCGGTCCCAAAGAAAGAGAGTGTCGTATCGCCAGCTCCTGTCCAGTACGAATCTAATGTCTTCGTACCACTGTGTTCGGTTGCTGCCGTGGAACAGGGCATGGATGCGGCAGACTACTTCTCACAATCTTCCACTCAAATAAATCAAGAGACAACTCAAAAGGCATTTGTTGCTGTTTCTAACGACCAAATTCCCCGCACCCCAGCCCCTGTGCCTCGTCTTCAGTTTTCCGGTCATACCATTCGTATCTCGATTCAGGACCTGAAGCACCCAACAGGCAGCCCGGTCCACGAGCGTGACATCACCTCTTCCTACACAGGATTGTACAGTCCATCAGATTTCAACGTCAACTCGCAAGGCGGAGACAGCTGTTCTGACAAGTTGAACGGTATAGCAAAAGGACAAGAAAGTGGTCAAAGTAAGGAAGCGATGGAGGCCACACTCAATACACTGGAGGAGCGCAACCGAATCTTTGAAAAGTGTGTATTGAATCTCGAGCATGCTGCACTTGGACTTGATGCTGTTCAAAGTCAGCTAGAGCGCACAAAGTCGACATCGAGCTTCAGGTCAGCTAAGTCGAGTGTGTGCTCGGAACAAACCGTGAAAGAACCTACAGATGATGAGCCAACGAGAGAAACGGCATGGCAGTCGCTTGCCGAGACCATATCGCTTCCAGATAGCGAAAGCATCGATGAAGAAGAAGACGAGGATGATGGTGACGGATTTCTCAAGATCAACGTCTTTGATGTCGATGGCGGTCGAAGAAGCCTCGCGCCATGCATGGACACGATACCTGAGGTCGAATATCCTGTTCGAAAGTCTTCTCTTTTGCCATATAGTAGCCTTCTTTCTCCACCTCATCGACATAGGCGCAAACTCGGACCACTTCGTACCTCCACGCCTTCCGATCCTTCGATTTACAAAACTGCTACATCGACTTCAACCAAGGTATTAGCTTCGCTTCTCGTTGGGCCCAAGATCAACATCGGCAACGGATCTAGTGGCGAAGTTTATGTATCCGGGGTGCCTGAGCGCATGCTTGTGTATTTTTGCGGCCAAGAAGCCGTATCGCGATTGTTGCCTGGCTACAATACACCCCAGGAAGTACTCGAAGTGCCGGCTTCGGAAGCTGAGAAAAAAGGCATTGTCAGAGTTATGAGGTTCATGCGACGCTGCTGTTCTCCGAGAAGCCATGCGAGTAGCGGCGACATGCAAATACCTCAGGGAAATGATTACCTCAGAGACGGCATTGACACAGTGCGCGCATGCCGAGTCTTCGACCTCCGGGTAGATGCTGATCGCATGGAGCGACTTGTAGTCCAGAATTTGGTCCTTTCAGACGACGCCATCGATCAAGTTTGGAATGGACACTTTGGTTGTATGCGGGATACTTCTTTCGGAGATGCGGTTGTGTGGTTTATTTTGACGGAGACGCAGAAAGACCGGATTGGAATGGGAGAGGAGCTGATATGTATGCTAGAATACGAAGAGTTTAAAGAGTTGAAAGAAAGGGTTAGGGAAGAGGTAAAGATCAGGAAATGGAGGTGTGAAGCGAGAGATGAGTATCTGGACAGATGTCACCGGGACAGAAACAGAAAGCAGAAGATACGACTCAGACTTCAGAACCAAGAGAGTGATCGAATGGCAAAACTTGTGGAAGTTCGGACTCAAAACAAGGAGGCCAGCGCAGGCATCAAAAACATGGCAGGCTCCATCCACTCTTTCAGCACGGAAAAAGGCCTTCCGACTCTGCCATCAGATCCACACCTCAATGCTGAGAATGATGACGCTGCAAGCACCAGTCCGTCCCAGAACGTAGCAATCTCCATTCGCTCAATGGACACGAATAAGGAACTTCCGACACCGCCGTCAGAGACAGAGTCGGCATTGAGTACAGAGGCTACGGCTTCGGATATGTATGCGACTTTTGTTCGTTCACTCGGTAATGCCCCGCGGAGTGTCCAGAGCAACAGGCCAATGAGAAGAGACCCAACCACCAGCACTGGATTGCGTTTAATACTTGAGGATATGTCGAATGACGCTTGGGAGGCACCCCGGGCAGCGCCTGTCCCAAGGATCAAATCCAGCTTGTGGATGCGGTTGAAGCATGCTTTCGACGAGTGACAGCAAGGACGACGGTGAGCTCTATATATAGCAATGATTTCTGAGCCTGGTAGATATTTAGTATGCATGTGTTTCTCCAATTTAGGAATCCGATTGTCGAAATGTGATAAGCTTTACGGTGTGCCGCATGTCAGAGTGCTTGAAGGAGAAAGAGCGCAGGACAGGCTGATGCTCCGTCTGATACCACGGACCATACCAAAAACGGCATAGCCGCAGTATCCATATTCCAACTAACAGCACCTCAATCACGTTCTCCGGCATACACTCCAACACCATGTCAGCAACTGACTCTAGTCATGTCTCTATTCGAGCTCGAAATACCTCAAATAGCAGCGGTAAATCGCCGGTCCCGCCGGTCCCGCCGGTCCCGCCAAAAGAGGGCATTAAACTATCATCTAAGCCACTGCCACCGGCTCCACGTTTCCGTCAGCAGTCCACCATCCATGTGGAAAAGAAGCCGTTACCAAATCCGCCAACTGGCTTGAACCTGAAAACAACCTTCCTCTGGATCATTGGGCTTTCCATGTCATTCTTCACGATCGTGGTTCTATTACCCGTCATCACAGAAAGAGATGCCATGCCTGGCTTCCATCGATGGCTGCGAAAGTTATTGTTTTCACCATCATGATGCAAAGTTGGCAAAGAATATGTCGTGAATCGGTCAAATCATTGCCAATCTACAACTTTGACTCCTGCTTAGTCGCATCAACAAGACTCTTCCGCCCACCAAAGCCGAACAAATACGCTGCCACCTTTCGCATCTGGATCTCTTCGCTGCCTTCCGTGATCCTGTATCTACGATGGTGCCTCCAGATATGCTCGAACGGGTAATGCCTAGAGTATCCATTGCCCCCATGGACCTGGATCGCCCTATCCGCAGCCTCGGTACACAATCTATTGGCGTAGTAGTTGCACATGGATACCTTGTCGCCAATCCTCCTCTCAATCTCGTGGTGTGGCATAGAATCCATCTCTAGTGCCGTCTTACGGATCAATTGTCGCAGCATCTCACATTGCGTTGCGAGTTCCACAAGCGGAAACTGTATGCCTTGGTTGTGTGAGAGGGGTGTACCGAAGGGGGCGCGTTCGTTGGCGTATTCGACGGATTGTTGGACGCAGTAGACAGCTGCGCCTAAGGAAGAAGCTGCTTGTCGAATGCGGTTTTCGTGGACGAAGGCTTGAGCGACACCGAGGCCGTTGTGGATAGGCCCGAGAGCTGCGGTTTCTGGGACCCACACGTTTTTGATCGACACGGTTGCGTGATCGGTAGGCATGTTGAGAGTCCTGCGTTGTGTTAACAACTACTTTGCGTGAGCGATGGGCGATCTAAGCATACCATTCATACGATTCTGCCTTCAGTCCAGGTGTCTCGACAGGGACAATGAAACACGAGATGCCCTTGATCTCTCCGTCTTTCCCTGACGTCCTGGCGAAGACTGAGCAATGCGTAGCGTGGTGCATGCCTGTCTGCCATCGCTTGTACCCGTTCAGAAGCCATCCTTTGACACCATCTCGGGTTTCTGGTTGGCCCTTTGTAGCCATGTGTGTGGCGTCCGAGCCGTGTCCAGGTTCCGTCAGACCAAAGGTCATCCTGAACTTTCCCTCCAATCGAAGTGGGATGAATTCCCTCTTCTGTTGCTCACTTCCGAATCCCATGAGCATGATGACATCTGGGAAGTTTCCGACCATTGAGTGCTCAGTTTGCAGGTCATTGAAGAGACCTAGACCCTTGGCCGCAAGGTGCTCTCTTATGACCGCCATCCAGAGGTTGCTGCCTCGACCGTCTGCGCTGTTCTGGCCACCGTACTGCTTGGGAAGAGACAGGCGATAGAAGCCAGCTTCATCGGCAAGCTTTCGAGACTCTGTCAGGAGCTCCTCCCACTCCTTACGAGGCAAACCACCGTTGTCCCAGTCGGTTCGAGCATGTTCGCGACGGTGGTCGAAGAAGCGGTTGTTGTCGTCTTTGTGCTGAAGAGGTGTGATCTTCTCGTCTATAAACTTGTCGAGATCTGCAAGGTATTGCTTTAGATCGTCTGGTATGGAGAAGTTCATTTGCGCCATGGTGTAGCTGTAGAAAGGTTGTGTTTTGCTTAGAAGTATCCACTAAGCATACAACGGGGTCCTTCTCATCGATCAGGGAATCGAGCGAACGAAAGCCAATGACTAGTCGCTCGAGCGATAATGGCAATTTTCGGGAAATACATGTTGATGACTCGCTTGGCTTCAGTCGTGGAGATGTGCCTGACGAGGAGCTGTTCATGCGGGGAAAAGCACAGACGGGGATCACCAACCTCGGCCTTTCGCGGGAATTCTGCATCACGACACGCTATTATCGATCACGTCTGCCTTTCAATCATCAACCACAGCGCGCCCACCACCATGCGCGCTCTGATTTTGCTCCAACCACTAACCACTATGAAAGAGCAACTGTCATATAGCATGCGAGTCTGGACAGGTTCAATAGCCACTTATGCCATTGTGAAGTGCTAATAATGACTTGAAGTCGCACAGGCTTTACTAAGTTGCACTCTCCCAATGCTATCTTAACTCTAGGTTTATGTTTTTCCGCCATCTTTGATCAATTGGTGCTCTGGCTCTGGCTCAAATCTAAAATGCGGATAACACTTGATACTGCCATACGACTCGCTGTTCAATAGGTGAAGGACACCAGGACATTTTGTTTGGCTGTATATTCAAGTCCGCCATCACCCTGTAAATTCTCTCAGCTGACTGACATATGTATCCCCAATGTGTTGTTTCCATCTTGAAACGGTGCCCTAGGTCCTGTGCAATCTCCGGTCAAGAACAACTAGCAGAATCCGTCGTAATCGGGACCGATAGACCGCGGAAAATAATTGAATAAAAGGCACGAGATGTTAGGAGAAGACTATATACAGCTTGAGGGTGTCTGGAAGTAGAGTTCTGGGCATGTGTACACTGCGCCTGGCAGACCACGAGACACCAAGCAGTTTGTCGATGAAGTTTTTGTTCTTTTGGCGATTGATGCGCTGGCGACGAGCGCGGGACAGATCAGAACTACAATCAATGCAAGCATTTCGACTATATGGTTAGATGTGATGCTCGTTACGAGGAGGGAAAAGTGTACGGCTTTATGTGGACATAACTCACATCACAGACGGTTGAGCTGTCCCGGGTTTGTTGTAGTTACGTGTCAGGTCAATCAGATTTCGTGCGATTCATTGAGTCGTTATTGGTAGCTTTTTGAAAAGCACATCCGAATCCTCACGAACACGATGTCAGGAAAACTTGTAGTCAGCCGTGCCACGTGTATAGCACGTCCCAAAGAAGGATCAAGAGGAACGTAGAAGATGGCGTAAGAAGCTTTGATGATTTGGGCTGGAGGCTCTCCCAAATATTCAATGAGACAACCAATCATGTAGAGTGCTTTTGCCCTCACAATTTCACATATAAGTGCGAGCAGGAAACATAGACTTCAAACGAATTTCTTGAAATTAGAGGTCACATCATCAATCCCAATACGGGCTATACCACATCCCTACACAATATCCCAACAAACCATACTCAGAAAAGAACCTCTTCCCAGGCACTTGACTTAAACCCTGGACACTCAAGCCTCTTCACCACGCTCCCCTTACAGTCCTTCTGACCGTACAGATCACAATAAGTCCCCGGGTCAGGCCCGACAGAAGCCGCCGGTTCGTTGCCTTCAGCCCATGTTATGCAGATGCCCATTTGAGCTTGCCATGTACATGTCTGCGAGCTGGTGTTGGCAAAGTTGGCCTCGGGGCAGAAGTAGACGGCGCTCGGGGCGGCCTAGATTCGAGGCGCAGGATTGGTTGGGGTCGGGGGGCTGCTATGAAGGGGGTGTGGCTCCAGATGCTGCGTAGATTTTTGGGGGTGGCGTATTTTGTGGGCGAGTTAGCGAGTGCGAACGGAGCTGCGGTGGAGAGATGTGAAAGCGTGAGTAGGAGCAAGATACTCGGGAATGACATTGTAGCGTGTAGCATTTTTGCGCAGTTTGGGCTTTTGTGGTTGGGGAATCTACCAGAAAGGCAGAAAATGGTGTTATGCTCGGGATGAAGATATGCAAGGGGAGAAGAGAGGCGGATCGCGGAGTGGAGTTGACAAAGAGACGGTATCCTATATACATCCTTTGTTACGACAACGAAACAGGACAATGGCAGGATCGGGTTTGACAACATATCATCAGAGCATTCTACGGCTAGTCTTGAATCTGCCGACGATATTCAAGGTGGCGCTATATGTCCGAGGACTCGGGAAGCTTGAGAGGTTAAGACGCTGCACATTGATCGCATAAACCCGAACGAAGACCCCACTGAAACCTTACAAAACCACAGTGGCATGGACTTCAATATTTGAATCATTCGTAACATAATCGAGCATGCTGATAGTCTCCGAGGCATCACTAAAGCTTGGAATACACTTAACACAACGCTGACTCAATTTGTGACGTTAAATTAGACATATATACTCATACTAAGATCTTATCCCCTCCCTCCTGCCTCCTTACTTAGCTCAAATTTCGCTCGACATCTCACACTCCCAAACCACCCCCTGTCCCCCATATCACTAAGTCCCGGACATTCCAGCTGTCTCACAATCTCCCCTTTACAACTTGCCTCTTTGTAGAAATCGCACACGCCACCGATATCCGGTCCAAATGAGCGAGGCTTGAGTTCTGGAAATTCCACAGGAAAGCTCATACACACCCCGTTGGCGGGGACGTACTGGCACGGAATCTTGCTCGAGCTGCCGAAGTTGGCGTCCGGGCACATGTAGAAGGCGCCAGGCGTGCCGGTGCCGGCGGTGCAGGTGTTTGTCGCAGGAGTGGGAGGGAAGTTTAGGGAGCGTTCGGAGGAGCTCAAGGGAGCGGCGGAGGAGAGGGGCAGGAGGAGTAGTGAAAGGGAGAGGGGTGATGTTAGTTGTGAGAGCATCTTTGCGTTTTGTGTTTTTTTGATGATAGTAATAAAAGTTGAGACTTTGACGATTGGAATGATGTGCGAAAGGAAGTGATGATGAGGTTTTGTGGCGCGGGCTAAGAAATGTAAGGGTATTATGAATTAAAGCACATGGCGGTTGGACAAAGAAGCTGTGAAAGACGACTTCAAGGCGTTGCAGCTCTCTTAGTGGGGACAAAGGTACATCGCTCATCCAGCAGCCATAGTCTTGTGCTCAAGACAACAAGGTCTTTCTTTGTTAGGAACGGCTTGGGTCGAAAAGTCGGAGCAATAGGCACAATAGAGCAGGGGACAGTTTGCTGTATCATGATACACAAAGCGTCTTGATGATTATTGTGCTACTACCTGATATACGCATCAACAACATCTGCAGAGCCTCGAGTCTGCCTACACCTGCAGACACCTCTGTATGAGGCCGTGTCCGCCATGCTCTTTCCTGCTAACAAACACATACCATGCCCTGAGCGCCGTGCTTTTGACAGTGGTATCTCGAACAAATCAATGATGCAACCTTCATATAACGCCAACAAATGCGATTAATACTTGCAAAGTAGTATGCTCAGTCATTTCGTGATCATACCAAATCGTCATCCTCTTCCTCTCCTTCTGCGTCAACGTCCGATCCGTTCCTCAAAGGAGATGGCAGCAAATGCATCACTGCCTCGTACTCGCGCTTACTCTCCTGGGCATCTTGCAGTAACCCGTTCTGTTGGTACGTATGCATGCACATGCCGGCTGCAACAGCCGTCCACAATGGACTGCGACTCCACTTGTTGTTGTGCCGAGTTGCTCGCACCGCCTGAACTGCTTTGTCGCTGACTTGATTTGCGAAAAAGCTCGAGCTGAAGTAGGACAGTGCCATTGTGACAAACTCGCGATTTTGTGTTTTTTTGAGAATATCACTTGTTCGGTTGACGGCTGCTTGTACAAACGTCTTCTTGCGCATGATTGAAGCGTCTGTAGTAGTATCTGGGCTTGACATAGCGTGCACAAGGCGATGTGCTACACGAATGTACTGATTGGGGTGATTTTCACACAGTGGTGTCAGCTGCTTCAACAGCGTAGTGGCGATGTGCTGTTGCGGATGGCCTGGGTATCTCACAATGAGCACTCTATTCAGAGCCGCGAGAATCGCGAGATCGACTTTGGTGCCAACGGAAGAAGCCTGTGATGGCAACTGAAACAAGTCTGACGAGTAAGCACGCAAAGCGGATTCGAAAGCGCCATTTCTCTGGTCGGACACAGCGGTCAGGTAGGCCAACGTACGCGCAGTCTCCTCATTTGGTTTCGACTTGACGGCGCGCTTCTTGAGGATGGTGAGGGCTTCAGTAGCGGTCGCTGCGTCTTCCCGGTGACACGCGATGAGACCAATAACGAAAAGAGAATGCCAGTCAAGCACACTGTTCCACTCTTGCTGGGCGACCGCAAGTGGAATGGGGATGCTGTGCGAAACGTGACGGTTCGATGCACTCTTGGCCCGGTGATGTGCTTCCCTGATATATTTGAGACCCTTCTCGTGGACATGCTGATCATAGGCGCAGATGAAGAAGCACAGTGTTTGTAGGTCTTCCTTTGGTAACCACACAAAGACGAGTTCATCACATCCTGCAGGGTTCTTCCGAAATATGCCGCCACTATCAAATGTCATGCTCCCGCCAGAGCTTCTTTCAATTACAACGGTGAGTATGCCGGTGTGGGATTGTAATGCGTCGGCCTTTTCATCAAGAACCCCAGAAATCAAGGCAGTCGACTTTGTGCCGTCAGGAACGCCGTTGTGGATACCACAGGTAACATCAATAATGTCGAGAAGCGTGCCGAATGAGCCAAGTTGCTCCGCAGAGACTTGAAGCTGCAAACTCCGTGCGGATGCTATAGCACGCTGTGCTTGTTCAAGCCTGTCTGCAGCACCCGACCGCAGATGAACTAGCGCTTCTAATGCATTGCAAGCCACGTATATAGCTCTGTCTCCTCGCCTCTCTGAGTGCGCCGCTATGGCATGCAGCTGCTGCAGCGCAGGAACAAGCTCTATACGTCCCGATATCTGAAGTGTGAGCGCGACCTTCAAGAATCGGAAAGCATACACCCAGGCGATGTGCTGAAAGGTCTCCGCTTCGGTGATGGGTTTATCCAAGGACTTGAGGGCAGCGCGATGATTTGTCTTGAATTGATAGCGGGCTTGAAGATGTAGCGAAGCGTACTTTAAGTCTTGCAAGCGACATCGTCCGCACAACGATATCTGCTTGGACAGAACCTCGTCGATTTCAGCAGTATTATCCGTCTCCTCTGCAAGCAGAGTAGCGTATCTGAGTCTGAGTCTAGCCTCGTCACGTGGCAGCAGGTGGAAGTCCCTCAGTACAGTGTCCATACAGCCCAAACCCGTCGCCATCAATTTGTGATACTGAAGCACATCGGCTTCTCGCCGACTCCGCACTACTCGGGTGCCCATGCCACGTGCTGCAGCAATGTACTCGTCTGCAGCTGAGAGCAACATGACTGAGAGGTCAGCGGGAAGTGCTTTGGGCGGAGGTTGCGCGTGTCTCGTAGGGGTCAGATGATGATTCGATGACCGTGGTATGACAACCTGGGGATGCCCCTTCGGCTTTGGCGTTGTACTCTGTATTGATGGGCTACGGTGCTGGCTTGACGGGGTCTGAGAGCTGGAAGGAATTCGCTGCTGAGGGGTCGATTGCTGCTGCAAGGGCGTGCGATGTTGCTGAACAGGCGTACTCGAAGTCTTCTGCTGCGGTCGGGGGCCGTTCTCTTGAAGCGCAGGTGATCGCTGGACCTGTTTCGACTGCGAAGGCGTCGGATGCTGCTGATTACTGTATCGCCGGCGGTCCTGCGTCCCGTCTGCTTGCGCAATTCCAGAACTGCTGTTTCGCTGCACGGGCATCTGTACATGCCGGATCTTAGGCGGTTGCATATGCTGCATAGGCGACACATAGCTTGGGGCCTTTGGCGGGATGACGACCTGTGGTTGCGCGCGCGGTTGCTGCTGCTGCTGCTGCTGTGCATAGGCTTGGGGCATTGGCGGGTATTGCTGGCTGGGCGGTCGAGATACGCTCATATGTGGATGAGTCTGCGGGGCCTGCGATTGCGGATATCCCTGGGGCATCTGCTGCTGCATGGGAGGGTACTGCGGCGCATACCCCTGGTGCTGGTACGCATTTGGCTGCTGCTGTTGCGGAGGGTAGGGTACATATTGCCCGTTGTTGTATGCCTGTGGCGGCCAGTTCTGGTTGTGCCGTGGATCCATGGTGGTATTGATTCGGGATGGGCGGTCGCCACCAGAGTCACTATGAGCGCAGCATTATCGGGCGTGGCGGAGGTGTGAATCGAACGTGAGGTCCTGCGCAACGACATGGCGCGCGATCATGGGAGTCGCGACCGCGCTACGATCGCAGGTCCTGATTGGTAGGCAAGCGCGCGTTTACGAAACCACTTAGCACTTAGGCCGAGGCATGTTATCGCTCGCTGGTGTGAAACCCAACCTTTTTCAATCAATTCACATTCGCACTACATACCTACGGGACTATCCAGGATCGTTTCAGACAGGAAAGCATTGACATTGGACCTGCAAGTAATCACCATCACAACCTACAGCACCTTAGAGGGATTCGATAATTCGATACCTGGCATGATTAGTAAATCAAAAAAGAGCTGGAGCACTTTATGAGACCGAGTCTTTGGAATTAAGAAATCAATCCTTCTTCAATCCATTCCCAGAAGACAAAGAATTCAAATCGATCATCTAAACCACCATGTTCGACCTCTCCTGGATCCTCGGCCACGGCAAAACGTTCTACACACACCACCCCTCTCCTGTCCCCCTCACCACCAAATCCGGTTCCAAGACTACTCTGCCCAAATAGCCCAGACTCATCCCGCCATGCGCTCAACCCCTCCTCTCAACGCACCTCCAAACCATGTACACAGCGCCCCGACCCCGGATCCTTCCGATCATTCTACAAGCGCTAGCATTTCGATTCAAACCACTCCGTGTAACCCAGGCACCTATGCCGTCGACTTCGTTGTAACCAAGGAAGAAGGTGAAGCTGCAACGAAAGATGCCAGCCTACCCGAGCGCACTGCAAACTTCACTTCCGCAGAATGGGACGACATGAACAGCAAAGACACCACGCCCATGATCATCGCTCTCCACGGCCTATCCGGCGGCTCGCACGAAGTCTACCTGCGCGAAACCCTCGCGCCCCTAACAGCCTCCGGATGGGCAGCATGCGTCGTCAACGGCCGCGGCTGCGCCCTTTCAAAAGTCACGACGCCGCAATTATTCAACGCACGCGCGACGTGGGATGTGCGGCAGACGATCGCCCACCTGCGTGAACTGTATCCGAATAGGCCGCTCTACGCCGTCGGGTTCTCACTCGGCGCAAACATACTGACCAACTACGTCGGCGAGGAGGGCGACAAGTGCATGCTACGAGCGGCCGTGGCGTGCAGTAATCCGTGGAATCTGGATGTTTGTAATGTCGAGTTGCAGCGCACTTGGGTGGGGTTGGAGATTTATGCGCGCACCATGGGCGCGAATTTGAAGAAGTTGTTTGTGCTGCATAGGGAGCAGATTTTGAAGAATGAAGGGGTGGATGAGGATAAAGTTATGGGGAGTCGCTATCTTTTCGAGTTTGATAGGCATGTGCAGTGTCCTACTTGGGGGTATCCGACCGAGGGCGCGTACTATAGGGATAGTGAGAGTGTGGATGCGTTGTTGGGAGTGAAGGGTGCCGTTTTTGGGGATTAATGCTGAGGATGATCCGGTATGCTTGGATTTCATTGTGGTGATGTCTATGTGGTTGCTAAAGATGACTGCAGATTTCGTCCAAGGCTGCTATTCCGTTCGAAGAGTTCAAGCAGAACCCGTACGCTGTGTTGTGTACCACCAACTGGGGCGGCCATCTTGGATCATTCCAGCTGGGTGGCGGGAGGTGGTTCGCAACAGCGGCCTCATCGTTCCTGGCCAAGGTACACGAAGAGATCGACCACGAGGCGTCGCAGACCAAGATCCAGGAGACCAAGATCGATACGCCGGGGAAGAAGTACCCCATTTACGATCCGAACAACCGACGCCTGATATTGCCCGACGCATAGAAACCGCAACTTCTTCATACATGTGACATTTGGGTATCATAGACTTTTGTAACCATCACGAAATAGACCTCATCCATCCATCCATCCATCAACCAAAGCTGACCCTCTTCCTCGCCTTGTACTTTCCATCCTTCTTCGACTTCTTCGCCTTGCCCTCGTCATCATCGTCCCCACCCTTCGCCGGCGCACTTCTCCTCCTCTTCTTCTTCAAGCCCTCCTTCCTCTCCTCAAACGCCTTATCCTTCTCGTCTCGCCTGCCCTCCGCCTCGACCCTCTTCGCCTCACGAATCTCCTCCAACTGCCTAGCCCGCGTAATCTTGCTTTCAATCCTGCCCTCCTTCTCCGCATTCACCACGCTCATAATCGCCATCATGCTGGCCGGATCGTCGACGAAAATCTTGCCCTTCTTCTCGCCTTTAGGCTTCGCGATGCCCGCGGGTACTATGCCGTTGAGCAGCGGGATGTCGAGTTCCTTCTCGCTGTACACGCGCTTCTTCTTGCGGCCATCCTTCGTGCGGGACTTTGTCTTCTGCGCACCGCCAGGTTTCGCGAGCGTGAGTTTCTTCTGGCGGTTCTTGGAGATGCCCTCAGGTTTCGACGCCGAGGATTTTGATTTCGCGGAGGACTTGGCGCCGAGTTTGGCGGATTTGCCTTTTGTGCTGGGTTTGCCTTTTGTGGGTGCCATTGTGTGTGGGTTGTAGATGGGTAGGTTGGTGGTTGAAGTTGCGCCGAAACTTTTTTGGAAGCTATGGTTAGATCGGCGGTTTGCGACGCCGACGCGGACGTCTAGCGCCAAGCTGTAATGGCCGCCAACCTCGCATGCGCGCGACGACAGCTCCAACATCGGTCAGACTTCAAGCTACCACACATCCCACAGACACGCAGACTGCGCTCCAGCACCATGGAGGACAACCGCCTATTCCGCTTTCCCCGGCCCGCATGGCTCAACAGCGCCAACACACGAACCTTTGGCGTCTACACAGCCGGAGCCCTGGTAGGCATCACCGAGCTTCATATCTGCCTCTACCATGCTAACAGCCACGATGTAGTTCGCGCTGGGATTCTACACCCTGATCGACATCGCAGTATGGTCCAAATCCATCATGAACCCATCCGACCCAGCCGTGCACATCACCTTCGTCGACTGGATCCCCGGCATCTGCTCGGCGCTGGGCATGCTCGTCATCAACTCGATCGACAAGTCGCGACTGAGCGCCGATAGCTTCAGCTACAGTGGGAACGGCGTGGCGTGGAAGGCGAAGCTGGTCCTGTTCTTGGGCTTTGCGCTGCTGGCGGGCGGGCTCGCGGGCAGTGTTGTGGTGCTGGTGATGAAGTACATTGTCCCGGAATATGTGTGGCCGACTATCTGGATGGGTGTGGGCAATGTTATCGCAAATTCGCTGATTATGCTGAGGTGAGTTGTGCGCTGTGAGACGAGATGATGGATGGAAGGCTAACGTGACGCAGTTCCGCTGTGCTCTGGATCGCGCAAAACATGGAGGACGAGTACACCTACAACCTGGCGCTGTAAGAGAACGCAGGTCCTGTACCAGTCTGTTTCAGTGTGAACATGGCGTATAATAGGAGGTGCTGCTTGGACTATGGGCCCAGGCTGTATGCAGTCTTACCGACCGTTAAAAATGGCATATGTTGGTGAGCCATACTGTACGAATATTCTTAAGCGTTTGGAGACCATCAGTAGTTGAAGCTTTGTCAAATCTCACAAGTTTGATGTGCAATCTTATGCGGCATGGAGGCTAACAATGGGAAATCGCTAAATTCAGCTACTGATACAACACTCGTAGACACTAATTATGAACAAAGTGCACACTGGGCTAACTGTATGCGCCGCTAGCCCACGCACAGGATACGCCGCCTGAAGTGCTCCGCAAGTCGGGGCGCTGGGAGATCCGTCAGGACAAGATATGTCGATCACTCGGTTCCGCCGGCTAGTCAGAAGTCTTCTTGCTCCTGGAAAAAGAGGGTGAAACTGATGATGGTCGCATATATCAGAAGACCGCCGAAGACAGACATGGCTGCTGCGCCTCCTGCGATTTGCGCCGAGTGCCACAGAAGGGTGGGGAGGGCTATGATTTATGTCAGCCGTACTTCTGGCGATTTCCCTTTCAATGCGTCTACATGGCATGCATCCCGATTATATAGGCGCAAAGCATCTTTCATGTACAGCTTGGCGTGACGTACCAATGCCCATGACCACGAAGAATCCAGTAAGGAACCTTCCAAAGTCTACAACACCGTTTCCATGGCTCTCCATGAAGTCATCATTGCTTGCTGCTCTTCCACATAGCCAGTTCGGTAACGGCGCAATCACGTAGGTTGCGACAACGAGGAGCGTGAGGTAGTTGTGGAACAGCGCCGCGGACAGGATGACGAGGAGGAAGCCTATCGCGAGGACCTAGTAGATGGGTTGGTCAGTAAGATACTGGGATACTGGGCGAGAGCGCTGCCATGCGCCGTAGCTGGACGTACGAAGGACAGCCCTATTATCGTCTTAATACCGGCCATGATGGATGATTCGGAATGTCTTCAAACTGTCGCAGTTTTCAAATATGCGCGTCCGCGAGGTATCTGTCTGCACGTTCCGGACGGCGTGATGACGTTGCAAGATCGATGTGTTGTGGTTGCTGGACAGGCGCCTGCCGCGAGGTTGGAGTTGACGCTCGGCCGCCGCCAAGCCTGGAGCTCCGCGAGAGCTGTCGTAACTTCAGGTGCCTTGAGCATCAAACAACCACGACCCCACCTCGACTTGCTGCGATTCTCATTTCTCCGCCTCCTAACGCCGAGACAGTACTCGAAGATATCAGAGTGCCCTGGAATCCGTCCTTGTTCCATTGTACAGCGATAGTCAACGACTTCAGACCCCACAACTCCCGCCTCCACCATGTTCAGAAAACAACTACGACAACGATTCGGTCACCTTCTCGCCCCAAGGTCGTATCTTCCAGGTCGAATATGCATCAGAAGCGGTCAAGCAAGGTTCGGTCGTAGTGGGCCTTGTCAGCAAGACACATGCCGTGCTTGCGGCTATCAAGGTACGTTCGACAGCCAGTGGGCAATTGCACGGAGCTCTGTAGTAGACCCAGAACCACAAGCAAAGCTTGCAGGCTCTCATAGGAATTGTGTCGATTCTCTTGCACATCATTTGTCATCGTCATCGCTACACGAATGTCCGTGCAACGCATAGGCAATACTAACATTGCATAGAGGAACGCCGAGGAGCTCTCATCCTACCAGAAGAAGATCATTCCAATTGACTCGCACTACGGTGTCGCCCTCGCCGGTCTTGCCTCTGACGCCCGTGTACTGTCCAACTTCATGAAGCAGCAGTCGCTCGCCTCCCGCCTCACCTACGACCGTGCCATCCCGCTTTCAGAGATCACTTCCCGCATTGCAGACCGCGCCCAGACCAACACTCAACAGTACGGACGAAGACCATATGGCGTTGGCTTGTTGATTGCAGGTGTCGATTCGAAAGGCCCCCACCTTTTCGAGTTCCAGCCTAGCGGTGTCACACAGGAGATGATTGCGTGCGGCATTGGTGCGAGGAGTCAGATGGCGAGGACATACCTGGAGAGGCATCTCGACGAGTTTGAGGGTGCCAGCAGGGAGGAGTTGATCAAGCATGCCTTGAGGGCACTGAAGGAATCGCTGTCACAGGACAAGGAGCTGACAGTCGATAACACCAGTGTCGGTGTTGGTGGCATCAAGGAGGACTTCGCGCACTACGAGGGTCAAGAAGTCGCGGAATGGCTGGACGCCACGTTCGAGAACCAGGGCGGCGACGAGGAGGGCGGGGACGCCATGGAGACCGACTCATGAGATAGTGCTGAGTGATGCACTTGCACCACACAGCAGGCCTGTCGGCCACTTTTGAAGCGTTGTTACTACAGCCCGAGGCCCAATGCACCACTTCCCTATAGTAGACATGAGAAGGCCGGTTCTACACTTGGCTAGCTACGAAAATGTAATGAACATGATACAAACGTCGAATCTGTGATTGAAATGCCTTGCTTCGTGTCTCGATATTCCTCTGCCATGAGGATTGATGTGGTATCTGACCGTTGCAATGCCCAGCTGCTGGAGGAAGTACTACGTCACGTGATGTCAAAGCTCCGGCATCCGCGAAATCTCGCCGCAGCTGCAACCTTTCAACGCTCATCCGCAACTCGTAAACCCGTCCCTACCCACCAAACCACATACAACCATCACAATGGCATTCGCGTGGAAAGCCGCCGGTCTCACGTACGTCGCACAAGCTTGCACAGCTCCGGGAACCCGCAATTGACAGTTCTGGACAGCTACAACCGCTACATCGCCGTCGCATCGCGCGTCGTGCGCCGCTCGCTGAAGGAAGAGGGCCGTCTCGCTGCCGAGCGAAGGGGCCAGAGCGAGCTCCGTTTCGCCAAGTGGTCGGTGAGTGACGACAACTGGGGATGAGGTTTGGGCTGGGAATGGAGTAGAATAGGGCTAACGGCTGGACAGAATGGCAAGCAGGGCGAGAGCAAGGACTTGAACGCTGCGGCGCTCCAGGCACAGGCCGAGGCCAAGAACGCTTCATCTTAAATCGTCACGGAAACCGAGATGGAGTGAAGGATATCCGCTGGGACGTTCCGCAGGGTGGTTGGAGGTGGTGAATGTATATCTTGTACTATCAAATGCCGCAAGCGTGGACATCAGGTCGAAAAGCCAATACATGACAAGAATTGAGCTTATCTGCACTCTTCCGGACCTGAGAACCATGACTGTGACTTTGGCGTTGTTGTGAAGTACTCATAGTTGCCGACTTACAGCAAACGCTTGCTCAATATGCAGGCGCGACCCGGCAGTCATAAACTTCGCGCATCGGCAACTACTCCACCACCGAACATGGCGGATGCGCCCACCGATCATAACACTGCTTCCGATCCAGCAGTTCCTGATGTCTCGTGCTACGATGCTGCGGGTAGGTCCTCAGTCGAGAAATATAGGTGCGCGTGCTCACCCGTGATAGTATCTACAAACGTCCATGCTTCCGGGAGTAATGCCCAGGCCTCCACGCCGGCGGATCTACCATTAAGACAGTCGCTCCGAAAGTCGCAAAGCGCATATGAACCCAGGCTTCATGACATTACTGAAAAGTTTACCAAGGCTTCGAAAGGTATGTACTGTCCCTCCCCGCGACTTTACTTATCGCGGGGCAGTGGTGGGGTCACCGTGAAATGCTTCGCACGTGCTTGCCATGTCTGATAGCATTTGAGACAACCAGGAAACATAAGCTGACAGTCGCGTAGCCCTCAATGTCGGCCAACTCATCAAAGATGAGTGCTTCACGCTCTTCGAGTCCATTGGGGCCCTCGAGGTACCTACACCACGACTGTATTCAACCAAGAACATTATGCTAAGATTGTCAGATCATGGATGCGAAAATGGACAGCGGCTTCCTGCAACCTGGAGAGACTCTTGAAGATGACTACGATACACTAGCGCCTCTCTTGCCAGAAGAGCTCATCGGCATCATGGACCAGTTACTTTGTCACGAGATGGCATGGCATACTGGATACCCTTTGTCACAGACACTATTCACATCGGTGTACATTGACAAGCTCCTCTGGCCAGAGACACGAATCTTGGAGAAGGTCCAATTCTATCGCGGCGACATCCCTGACGAGCAAAGGCCTGGACCATTGTTGCAAGTGCTCAGAGCATATTGCTTAGCACTCATCAAAGGTTGCGATTATGTGATCGCGAAGATCGCTGGGAGGGACTATTTTGAGGAGGAGGACTTTTGCACGCATACCTACAATCGTGTTCTACTCGTTAGTATTCCGATGGATTACTTCTTGAGGGAACTCGATGCCGCTATGGAGATTCTGGAAGAGTAAGTGCTTAGCTTCGAGGAAGCTCCTGATTATGCTGACATGAATAGCACCGACCTTGAGATCAACGACTCGCTGCGTTCAGCTATTGTTGCGAGGCTTGACTTTAGAAAGGACTTTCTCCGTGCTTTGGACTTGGATCTACCACTGGACCATATCTCTCACTCATGGCCCCCAGTACTTAAAGCGATAGAGACCCTGAGGGATACTCACCAGCTAGGACAAGTAGTACCAGGCGCTTTCAGTACCAAAATGCAGCGGCGGCTCGCCTCAACAGTACCACCGAGACCAATTGTCGAACTCGAGTTCAAAGATGCACTGGAAAAGCTGCAGCAGATTACTACGGACTGTGAAGAGGCAACACGCTTCACCACGCTTCCACAAGATCCGCTCGAGTACCAATCCTTCCTATGGTACTTCGCATCTCGCTCGCCACAACCATTGGCATATGCTCGCTCCTACCTCGCGACCCTTCTATTCCATCCTGACGTCCTTCAATCTCCCATATCCCTCCCCCTTGCCGACATCAGAACACTCGTTTTCCCATCCTCGCCTGTCCTCGATCCCTCAAATTGGGCCTACTCCCCACCACGCAACCCGATGCTTCCCAAACCGCCACGTCTTCAACTCGCCATGCTCATTGACGAATTCGTTGACCGTTCCGGCTCGCCGTATATGGATCTTTGGGTCGCACTGGGCCAGAATCGATGCCGCCTGCGCCGAATGCTCACACATGTCATCGCTGCGTGGGACATGCTACAAGGCGATGCCGCCGCTGTAGACGAAGACATCAATGCTGCCGCCACGGAGTTACAGATCGCTGATCACGTACTCACGTTCTCGCTCAGTACATGGACCTACCACAAGAAGCTCTGGATGATTGAGAAGATCATCCTCCTAGGCTTCGAACAAGACATCTACCTCCCCGATGAGTTCGCCGGCATGTATCTCTTCCTCTCCCTCATCGCCACGTCGGCGCAAAGAACTCCTGAAGAAAGTCGAAGCGCACTATGTCGCTCGCGCCTCTGAACTTTTCCAATCCCGCCGCCTGCGGGATGCACAGGACGTCGACGACGCGACGCCATACATCGACAGCCTCCTCGCTGAAGTCGAAGGCATCGCATCACTTAGTCTCGCACTCGCGCGCTTCAACATCGTTCTGCTGTATCTCGGCCTCCTACCCATGCCCAAACGGCCCTTCGGTACAGAAGAACTGCGCTACGAGCTACGCATGAAGCCCTTCCTCAGCTTGCAACCCCCTGAAGTCCCGCCCTTTGCGGACTTCAAGGAACACACGCAGCCGTATGGCGCGTACTCTTCACCCGTCGACGCATTCAAAGCAGATCTACTTGACGCAAAGTCCGAGCTATGGACGGAAATCGACAGCAGCCTGAAAGGCGCGAAGGAGGCGTTTGCAGAGTATAAGAAACTAGGTGCACGGGCGGCGAAGACAGAGGGCGTGGAGAAGGCGTGGGCAAAGGATGTGCAGAGCGTGTTGGCAAGTTGTATTGCGCTGGGCGTGGCGGTGGCTGGTGTCAAGGATGCAGTTATGAAAGCTGGAGAAGGAGGGGGGGTGGGTGTGAAGATTGAGGTTCCGGAGAGTGGGGCGGGGAAGAGGTATGCGGAGGGGTGGGTTGTTGTCAAGGTTGCGAAGGAGTAGAATGTCCGTTATAGACTGTCCTTGATGCTGTACTAAAAAGACTTGCTTTCCTCCCGGGGTATCATAACAACGCCCATCCCATCCCATCCCAAAACGCCGCAGAAACAATTCAAGCCCAGCCGAACCAAGTGTTTCATTCCATGCTCAGCCCTTGTATTTCCTCAACGTCGTCTCACTAACCCTCTTCACACTCCGTGCCGAAATCCCCCTCTCGCCGCTCTGCTTGCTCTTAATCGACGCTTCGTTGATCAACCTATGTTCCCGTTAGTCCACTTCCACTTCCACCTCAACACCACCCCAACGGCAACTCACTCTTGCATAAATAGCACATAATTGAGAAATATCTATCCACCGTTTAGCCTTGTAGTGTAGAAGGGAAGCAGGAGGGATAGGATGGGGGAGGGGGGGGGGGAACGCACGAGGACATCGACGTTCTTGCTGAGCGGGCGGTTGGCGTGGGCTTTTACGATTTTCTTGACGGTGCCGCGGGGGTAGAGGGTTTGTGGCATTGTTGCGGGATATAGGATTCGGTGGCACTCGAGTCGGGTGCGCGCGGGTTCGTTGCGAAAGTGTATGTTTGGCTTGTGGGGTTTGATGTTGCGCGCGTGGTTGACGTGCAATTCGAGTCCGTGCGCAATCTCGGAGATATCCATCGCGTTGGCACGTGAGAACATGCGTTCATTCAAGAGATCCACACTAGATTTGATCATGGCAAAAAGACAACACTTTGAACAAACAAAATTGCTAATATAAGACACTTCTATCTGGGACTATCACAAGATAATGTTACACAAGCCCCAGGCCAGACGACATCAGCCTTCTAATCCACGCGTCGAAAGCACTGTATTTACACTGTGAGGCCGAGCTCCTCAGCGTACGGTAGTACGAAAAGGTCGCCGACAGAGGACACGGAGGCCCTGCTCTCGAGTAATTGCTTGGCAGCCTGAGGGACGGATTAGCAGATGATACATGGTGATTTAGGCAAGCATACCTTCTTGAGAGCTTCTTCTGAGACGCCGTCAATGGCCTTGGCAACCTCGTCGATCTGGTAGGCTTGGGTGTTGTGGATGAGGCCGGATCCGGTGAGCTCGAGACCAGCGCGGATGTCCTGACCGTGCTCAAGCTCCTTGAACTTAGCAGCAGCCTTGGCCTTGGAGATCTGCTCGCTTGAGATCTCGCCGCCTGCAATCTTCTTGATGGCGTCGACGGCGGCCTTGGCGGTGGAGGCAACACCCTTGGCTGAGCCAGTGATGGTGGTGTAGAGGAGACCAGCGTCCGAGTAGATGGCGCTGGTGGTCTTGACCTTGACGCCGGGCGCAGCCGCTTGTCCGAGGATGGTGAAACCGGGCGACCATTTCACAGCAGACTGTCCACCGAGCAGCGATCCGAGGACGGCAATCTCAGGCTTGTAGAACTTGCCGGTGAAGGAGCTGGAGCCAGGGAAAGCAATGACCATGGCGTTGCCGCCATCGTGGGCAATGCGCTCCTCTCCACCAACGTACTTGGTCTGCTCGGTACCTGCGAGCTCGCCCTCGGCGGTGGCAGGGACGTCGTCGAAGAACTCGTTGACCCACTTGGAGAACTCGCCGTGCTCAGCACCGTTGGCTACCACGGCAAAGTTGGGCTTGGCGTAAGCGATCTTGGAGTAGTATTCGATGGTTGCGGCGTCGAGGTATTTGGTGTAGGGAGTGGGCGAGGCGGAGGCAGTGGGGGTTCCGAGGCCGCGGTGGAAAGCGAGGCTGTGGGCCGAGTTGGTGGCCATGTCAGTGACGCTCGCGAGGAAGCGCTTGTGGGCGAAGTCGATGAGCGGGAGGACCTCTTCGTTGTAGACGTAGGCTGTGTCGTATTAGTGTCCGGGCATCGTGATATAGCAGCAATTTCACCCACGCTGGTACTTGGTCTGGCTGGCAACCTCGCCGAACAGCTCGACGAAGTAGGGCAGGTCATCGCGGAGGAACTTGGCCTCGATGACCAGATTCTCGCGCGAGTGGTGTGCGTTCAATGCAGCTCCGAGGAGCTCGGATTCGCGGACAATGCGCAGCGTTGACCGTCGCTCGGTACCCTGTAGTGCAACGGGGCGTTAGTCGACCTCATATACAGCAATTGGGGGGGTTTCAACGGGGCACTGGCGTACTCGGAATGCGAAGTTGGCAAGGCCCTCGGTCAGGCCGGGCAGCGGCTGGAACCTCGTGCCGGCCTTGGAGACGAGCGCAAGAGTGGTGGTGGGACCGGCAAAGTCTCTGCTGGCGAACTTGACGCCCTTGGCCTCGCCGGCCTCATACTGAAATGATCCTGATGCTGGCGCTGCGAGTCCTCGGCGCTGGGTCTGGCGGAGAGCGTGCTGGCGGGCAGCACGCTGGGCGCCCCGGCAGGCGGTCGAGCGGGAGAACATGGTGTAGGTGGGCGCCGAGCGGGGGGCTTTCGGGGTGGATTGGGAGGGCAATTGATGGAGCTGTGAGGTAAATGTCGACTGGCGATGCAGCACAGAAGTCTGCGCTGACTAAGGCGAAGCAGCTCACGCCCATTGGCCGCAGCCACCCATGGTCACCCATCCCCGCCGCTATCATTTCTGTGCCTAAGCTCCCCAAGTACTTTTCCTACTCGAGCTTCCGACAGCCAGCTTGCCGACTGCTTTTCGCAACACCAATGTCTGACCGGTAGCACTAACTCTTACCTAGATATCTGGCAAATATCTAGGCTACATCATGTCTTACAACCAGCGCGAAACTCCGGTAAGCGGTGCAGCGGCGCATTGCCTCTCCCAGCCTGAATCATAACCAACACTCCTCCAGGTACTAGCGGAGCTCTGCACCTTCCTGGTCGACGACGTCTACGGCGAACTTGCAGCGGTATGTGCGCTCCGGCGAATCTCCCGCAGTGACGTGTTGCGACGCCGAGTCCTTACAGACTTTGCGCCTGCGACACTCCGTTCGGTGCACCTTCTAACAGCTCCCAGCGAGTCTACTCAGTCCTCGCGCGACACGGACGCCAAACACTCGCGGCTCTTGCTCGCGCTTCCTACCTCAATGGACGACAAATAAAATATGGTCTTGTCATTCTTCTCCAGCAGCATCTCCTCTTCCACTCTGGCAACGACGGCTCTGTCACCTACTACGAGATCGACTGGCAGAACTCATACGCCCTCGTGCGCTTCGGCAAGGTCGCAAAGCTCGTCGAGGACCGCTTCGGCAAAAAGGCCGCCAACGTCATCTCCAACCTGCTCACCCTCGGACACACGCGCATTGCAGACTTGAAGGAGGCCTACTTTCCTCCACCCGTCGAGAGTGACGATGAGTCAGACGATGGCATGGTGAACGGCGCTGGGTCGAAGAGGAAACGAGCCAATGGCACCCAGGTGAACGGGCATGGCACCAAAACGAACGGCGTCGTAAACGGCCTTCCCGCAGAATTGGAAGACAGCAAGCCTGACCCAGAGCTTCTTAAAAATGGCGCAACCAACGGCGCCCCCAAGACAGAGAAGATGAATGGCTCTGCGCACGATTCGGCGCACGACGATGGCACTGAACTAGAACAGGACGAGATCGCCTCCGTTGACGAATTCTACGACATCATTCAGATATTGATAGAGCGCGGCTGGGTCAGGACTGTCACTGACTCGCAGTACCTGTCGCCCGGCGATATGCACGACATGCTGCAGGCGGCGGCCATTGAACAGGAACTTAATGGAAATGCCATGACAGGCATCAAAGACAAAGAGAAGGTCCATAGGGCAACGCTGCAGATGAAGCGACAGATGCGCGATGAATGGCTGGTTGCGCCCAAGTTTTCTCGGAAGCGACAGGCAGATGACACTCACCACGTCCACCCTAACAAGCGGGTCAAGACCAACGGCTTATTCCATTCGACAGCTGGCACCAAATCCGCAGAGGACGATCTCGTTATTCGTGTAAATCCCGAGAAGGTTGCCGTCGCCATGCGCACGCAGCAGCTAGTCCAGCTTGTCGAAAATCGCCTGGGTCCTACCACTGCTCACATTTACGAACACATGTTGCGCATGCTCGAAGCAAACACCCCGCGCTGCTACGAGGAGTTTCCCGAACCGCCCATGGTAGGAGAAGCAGTAGGCGAGGCGCCCATCGACCCACGTCTGCTCGTCACAGCCCGCGACATCGCAAAGAAGATTGATCGCGACCTCGATATCTGCGAAGGCCTCGACCCGAATGCGGTTGTTGGAGTTGCTCGGAAAGGGCATGTGCGCACCTCGAACGCACTCAGTCAGCCCATAGATCCAGAGAAGCTTTCCATTGATGAGAGAACACAGCTTGTAGATAAGCATATCCGCCTACTTGCCGAGGATCCGTTACACTTCGCCACTTGGCACTCGCGCGCGGGATTTTCGCAGTGGCAGATCGAGTTCGAGGAGATTGCGAAGCAGTTGATACAGGCCGAGGTCGAGAACACAATTTCCGCGAGGAAAGGTGCCCTGGGCGTGAAGCTCATTCGTGCCCTGCGAAAGAAGGGCAAGCTTGACGAGCGCGCGACGTGCAACGCCATGATGATGTCCGCGAATGATATACGCGGCATAGTCAACGACCTCACTGTCCAAGGATTCGTGCAGACACAGGAAATTCCAAAGGTCGAAAGGCGGGAAGCAAAACATTCATTACATTTAGTCTGGTATGACCGACAGCGCGCCCGCGAGAAGCTGCTCCATGACACCTACAAAGGCATGGTGCGCATATTACAGCGCATCGCATTCGAGCGCGAAAAGGTCCAGCCCCTTCTGAGCAAAGCCGAGCGCTCTGACGTCGTCGGCAACGAAGCGAAATGGCTCAGCAAAGCCGAGCTCGACGCTCTGCAGAAGTGGAAAGAGGTGCAAGAAAAGTTACTTCTCCAGCTATTCAGAGAAGACGATCTGGTTGCGACGCTCCGTGATTTTCACGGCCCCTTGACATCTGTGTAAGAGTAGGATAGAAACTGGCCTCGGCTTCCCTGGCTTGGCGCATATTGGGCAGGCACAAAAAGCATCTTTGGTATGTGAATGATACCCTCAGCATATGGGACGGAGTTTGAATCTTTACTTTGCTCTATAGCATTACTGTAGAGATATACACAATACGAAAGTCACTAGTAGTCGAATTGCTTTGACATGTTCACGTCTCCACTTACCTTCCAGCAGATCTTTTGAGATGGAAAGACCACCGAGTTCTCTTGCAGCAGTTCGCTGTTACCACAATGTTGTTTGAGTACCTGTTTCCAAGCATCATCTCTCTTTGTCCTCCCCTCACAATGGCCTTGTGTACCCCGTCAACTATATACACAAATCATACTGTACACACGAAACCGCTTCATCAAAAGCCTTTGTCCCCATTGTCCCCAGCTCCACAAGGCCACATACATGAAAAGCATCACACGCATGACTGACTGCGCAGCATACCGAAGCACAAACACAGATTTACAAAACATGGCCAAAGATACACCCATCCGCCGCTCCACGCGCTCCAAGAAACCCAGCGAAAAATTCCTCGCCAACATCGCTCAGGCACACGTAGAAAAGCGCCGCTCACGCCGTCTCGCACTCCTTGAAAAGGGGGAAGGTATGATTGACACGCCGATTAAACGCAGACCTCTCATCCAGAAACGTTTGTCCGAGTTTGTCGTTGGCGATACTGACTCTGCTGCCTCCTCCTCTTCGGAAGATGAGTCCCACGATGGGGATTCAGACTTCGAAGCCGCGCCTTCCCCCTCGCCCGAACCGGAAGAGCGCATAGACCTGACGCGAGATCATTTCGAGTACATGGCAGCGGACGAGCTAGATCGTCGCGAGAGCTATGATAGTAGGCTTGAAGAGGGGAATGAGGAGTATGAGCGGGATGGGTTTGTGGTGGGGGATGAGGAGAGTGAGTATGATGGGAAGGAGGGGACGGTTTGGGATAGCGAGAGTGATGAGGTTACGATTGTTGGGGAGGGGGAGGAGGGGGATAGCGTCATGTCTGATTCTGATTCTGACTCTGACTCCATCAGCATCCCCCATGCAAGTCCAGACTCCACACCCACATCTCCCGGTCTCTTCGTCTCCTCTGCTTCTTCCACCTCCTCGGTCTCCCTCTCAGCATTATTTCACCCCCTCAACCCCTCTATCTCGCCAGCAGATGTCGCGGAGGAAATCAACGACGCAGTGTCCCGATTCTCGCGGCGCTGTAATAGACACTCTGCGCCGCTGAGGCTGGAACTCTCGGCGCAGGTTTGGGCAGATGACGAGGTAAGCGAGGCAGTGGAGAGAGCGGTGGTTTTGCATTTAGGTCAGTATGCGGAAGTTCATGGGGGAAGCGTTATTGTTACTATTGGGCTGCCGGGGATGTGGGTTATGGATTCGTATTTGCGATAGGGTCAATGTTCCAATGATATCTCATAGTGTATTTCTGCAACTACGACGTCCTTGTTCCATGTTAGTTATTGTTAAAAAGTCTTTGACCCTCTTGCAGCTACGCACTTTGTTCTTGCCTTCAGGAGTTTTCACGTGCCATGGGTCCCGACTACGACGCATTTGACGTGTTTTCTTTCACTCCTGTAACTAGCAGTGTTCGTTTGTTCACTTGATATACACAATACCCTAGATGCGGTTGCGGAATTCGCCGGGGAGGCAGAAAATAGGGGACGCTTGGATGTTGCGTTGGGTTCTGAGAGGAAAGGTTAGAATTGTGCATGCAGGTAGTTTTCTGGAGCGAGTGTTATGTGAGCATGGCGCTTATATTGCACGCAGGGTTTCGTCGCGGTGAGTATTCATTCTTTGGCTTGAATTAGATAGTCCAGATTTGGCTGTGCATCTATGAGGTATGGGCGCATGCGACATGAATGGTTGTAATTTATATCTAGGCAACGCTTGAATGTAGGTACCAGCTAGTGTCGATGACTATCGCTCCGTCATGTCTAGTAAACTATAGGTGCCTCGTCGGAGTTGCTGCCGAATCTTAGCTGCATCGATAGATACTCAGCCGCAGTGTAATTGCCCTTGTTAGCTAGACTCAGTATCCTTCGGGTTTACTCTTCTTGACTGATGGGGCTAGTTGGCAGCATCCATGCACAGCCACTGGGTTACCTCGTTAAGTCACAAACGGCTCAGCCTCGTCTTCCGCCAGTATCTAGCTCAGCCTACTTCTCTACAATCTCGCTCTGTTGGTACAAGTTAATAAATGTATAATCAGAGAGAGATTGCACACAGGAGTGTTGCTCATCCGATCTCCCGAAGAAACGAAACAAAGCAAAGCTTGATTTGGAATGAGAATTTTGACTTCATCTTTGTCCGCCTTTTCAAGTCTGTGCTTTTGCGAAGTTAGCTGTCATTGAGTTTGCTCTAATGATTCTTGTCTGTCGCTTTCAAGTGGGACCGATCATAATGTATGCACAGTATCATGCCATTCGTTCTAAGTCTAAGATATGTACAGGGAAGATCGAATGGTTTCAGAAGTGAGCTACTTGGATAGCAGAGCTGGTCATTTAGGTGACCTCTTGCTGTCCATTAACAGTCCCGCCTACATCTAAGCAAGGGGAGGGTTGGCGTTCTTCAGCAGCATCTCGAAGTATGCCTGGAACCAAGTACCGGCCTCGGGAGCAGGCTTAAATGCAGACTCCTTTCCGCAGAAGCCATCGTAACGGGAAGCAGACTGGTCGGATGTACCGTCGGACTAATACCATAGTTAGCGCCCTGAATTCAAAAGGATCAGCAGTCATCTTACCTCGCCACCGGGCTTGACCCAGACCAGCGCGTCAACGAGGGAGTTTCCAGTCTCAGTAGTTGGGCGAGCACCAAAGCCAGCACCTCGGACGTTGCACCAGTCACCCCACGCCTGCTGCTCGGTAGGCTGCTTGCCGTTGCGACCAACGTCAACAAGGAAGTGGGCGGGGAAACCCTCAGCCTCGAGCAATGGGGCGAAAGAGTTGATGTAGCGCTCCTCGTCGCAGTTCTTGTTGCCCTGGGTGATGCTGTTGCAGGTAGAGATACGGTAGGCGTTGTAGTTGGACACGTTGGTGACGATACCACGGACAGCACGGGGAGAGCCAGCAGCCTTGTACACCTTTGCGTAGAACTTGGCAGCGGGGCCAATGTTGGCGTCCCAACCGAGCCAGCCACCGTGGCCACCGTCGAGGTACATGTCGACGTTATCCAAGTTGAGCGTCTTCAAGGCGTAGACGGTCAGCGACTCGTAGTAGGGTGCGGCCTTTGCGCACTTGGCAACTCCCATGTTGGTAATCATGTTTGCGAGAGCTACGGGAAGTTAGTCATAGCACAAATGCAGGATTGGCGTAATTCTTACAGTCGGGCTCAATGGCCAAGTTGACCTTGACATCGGGGTACTTCTTGATGATGGAGGCGATCTTGTCAATGTACTCAGTCTTGTAGATGTTCTCGCCATCCTTGTCGAGCGACAGCTCGCCGTTGGATGCCAACGCAGCGCAGTCGCGATCGGGTAGATCGTACACCACAAATGTGGCCATGAGCTTGGCTCCAGCAGCGTTCTTGGTCTTGATATCGGCGAGGTAGGTCTCGAGGAGGGGAATCTTTGCTCGCGTGTCCATCCAAACGAATGAACCGATCTTGGCAACAGCCTCAGCAGCTGGCTTGAGCGCAGCAGTGATGTTCGGCAAGGCCAAGTCGTTGATCTCGGCAGCGTAGTACGGGTTGGCGTACCATTCCCTACCAGCGAACGGGTTGGTGGATGCTCCTCCCGAAGCCTGGGGAAGGGCATTGGTCAGACCTGCTGCAAAAGCAGCAGTGAGGAGAGCGTTGGACAGCATCGTAAAGACTGTTGAAGGAATGGACTGGAGAATGTGGATGAAAGCGTAAAGAATTGTTTCATGGAGGAATGCCTATCGTATTTGTATGCTGCCGCTGTCAGCAGCTCAGGCTGGCAGCCAGTCGTCAAGAAACGTTCATCAAAATGCAAATTACGATCCAGCACTTAAGTCGGTGGTACTATCCGCAAAGCCGTTGGCTAGTGGGACTGAAGATCTTCTTTCGGTCACTTGACATGTTGTGAGACGGTACCTGCGCCTCGACCTCTTCCAGAAGCGTCATGGAATACCTTCCCCACCGCGCAATTTGTTCCCCACACATGAGTGCTTGATATTGCGGAGGTGCAAATCTTACGGAAACCAGGACGTTCCCTCCGGATGCCGAGCGTGAGCGACAGATCTTGTGGACCGTGAAAGTGTCTGCGTAGGGAAGTACTGGCAGGCGATCCTAGAATGTCAAGGCTTGGTCGAGCGTTAAGCTAGTAACGCCGAGATTTTGAGACTGCTACAGCTTTAAGTCATCTTAGGGTAATATATCTGGGGCTTTAGCTTCCGTGATTCTTTTGCTATTGGTAGGCGATCCGCGATTGGAAGTACCCCAGGATCCCGGCTAGTGTGTGAGACTGTTCTAACGGCAACTATCGGTGCATCCCCTTGATTCGAGGTGGAAGACTACTGTGGTAAGCTCTCCATCATAGTCGATAACTGTAACATCTCCGTTGTCAGATTCTGTTGTTAGCGCCAGCGCGGCACGCCATCTTCTCATCGCGCCGACCTCGCTGTCAGTGAACTTTGAAAGAGACAGTTCACGTTGCGCAACGTTCGATCCGGGTTATCCAAGCGACTACCCACAACCGGGGCCGGATATATAGGAAGTCTTCCAAAACCTGGGCAGCGTGTGTTGGAGGCTACGCTACCCCGGTTGAGTGCGCCGGAGCAATATATTGTCGGCTGAAGCAAATTAACCGCCAAGGTTGCCTGCACATGACGTCGTGTCAACAACACAACTTCTGCATGCACTCCATCAGGGTATTGCTGTTGACCTGACCGAACGACATGATGAGAGTGTGGCAAGCAGTGTCTAGGGATTTGCAGAGATGAATTGTGAGGCCATGGGTGATATTCGCGGGTAAAAGTGGATGCCCACCGTTCGACTCGGAAAGCTTGATTGAGACCACTCCTGGGCCTGACCCAGAGTGATCTTTGCCCAGCGGTCATCGACTATTCAAGGTCTCGGCGACAAACATGCTCAGGGCCTTTTGGTGGGTGCTTCAAGTTTACCACAGGGAAATGATAAAGCGCCGAGGCTTGGTGTTGCCTCCGCAGAAAGAGGCCCCTGGCCACGTGTTGGTGCACAGGCCAATTTAGGCCACCGAAGCCTTGCCGGTCCTCATGCCGCACTCCGCACTACAACGACAATGCCACTTTTCAACGTATTGATGTACTGGCAGTCCTTCAATCACTTCCAGTAGTCTGCAAAGTCTCTTTCCCGATCCATTGAACTGCTTGCCTTCTAGCTGCTTAGGTTGTGGAAGCGTGAAGTCAGCCTCGAATCAGCCACGATCAGTGCATGCCGTCCTCAATCCCAGCACAGCGCGATACGACTGCAGCCATGAGAGGTACCTGGTTGAATCCATACATTTCTTATTGTAGTCAATTGAGTCAATTGGGCCTTTTCGTTCCATCATATGACTGCAAAAAAGGTTGCAATACTTCCCAAGACTTTCTATCTTCAGCGTGCAGAGGGAAGACAGACAAGCCGCGTCGAAATTCTGAAGCTTACGTATGTTGTTGGCTTGAATGAGTGGGCTGCGATACAATTTGCTATAGCTGAGGCGGCTCTGTGCGTCGAGATCCAAAGGTATCGCTTCGAAGCAAGTCTCTATACGCTGAGGTATCAATTTCCAACTCGCCACCCTTTGAGCAACAACCGTATCGAATTTACTCGTATACTTATGGTGTGTGGTAAGACCTAGGTGCCTTGCAATTATCCATCGAATTTTCCACGATCAGAATAGTTTCGGCGACTTAGACTGCCTCTTCCATCGTGCTTGCAAACTCTTCCTTTGGCCAGTCTGCCACTCCTAGCAAGGACGAGTTGATAGTTCAGCACCAAACCTTGGACCGATTGTGTGACTAGACGCGGTGCATGATTCTCATTTTGCGCCCTTTCACCTGAGAATAGCGACGCGCAAACGGTCTGCCACACGAGGCCAACACCCCACCCCCGCCACCACACGCAACTCCTCATCTATCTCCCCTTACCTTTGCTTCTTCTATATGATCTAAGTACATCTGCATCTCTTCTACAAATCCTACCAGTTGGAATACTGGTAGGTCGGACAGCAGCGCCAGCATCGACCTTGCCCCTCCCCTTTCCTTTCCCAACAGGGTTCGAGTCCGTGATAAAACGAAAGTTTTCAGCAGGTTCCCTATCACTATAACTGTATTCAGTGGGTCTGTTCTTTTTGCTGGCTTATGTGGATGGAAGATCAAGACATTCAGGAGAGCTCTCATGTTACACTTTTTATGCTCGAAAAACAACATCGAGCACAGAGCACAGACACTCTCCCGTCGACCAGCACAATTGTCAGTCCAACTAGTATGATAACAGTTGTTTATTAATCTTCCTGTAGAGACCGGTATTTAGCTGCCATCAACCGAAGCTGTTGACCGTGCACCAAGTCTATCGCTTTTTGCAGATACGATGAAGGAACTCGAATAACTCTCAAAATTATGGTGCAATAGAGGCAATTGATCAATGCTATTTGTAGGATTCAAAACACGCTCCTCCAACATCGTACTCCCCACTTCTGCTCCTCTGTCTTGGCTTCGGTCCCGCCGAAGTAGATCCAGTGGCGGTGCAAGCAACCTAGTTTCACGCTAACCCGCACGCCAAAAAAAGTTGGAAAGGAGAGTTATCGCAACGACATCATAGGCACAAATGTAGCAGCCACATTCCCCATCGCTTACCTACTTCGATTCCATCTACCACCATCTCCACACACCTTAATTACTAGTTGCATGCAGAACGGCTCGCCTGCTACACTGCACTTCCTAAGCTTCCTTCCCGCTTGACAGCTAAGCCGTTTTTGGACAAATATACGACCGGGTGGAGACAGGCTGAACGGATGTATCGACCGAGAACGACGAATGAATGGATCTTCGTGGGCACTGCGACGGCGCAGGCTGCTTGCACCACTGGGCTTGACCTGTTCGTTCTACACATGCCCCAACACCCCACTATAACTAACATCAATTCAAAAAGCTTCGTCGTGCTGTCCTACTTCAACTGGATCTACCCGGTGTCCTACCAAGTCCCAAGGTCCTACGTCGTGCCTGTGAACTTCGGGCTCTTCATCCTCGGCAACATATGGCAAGCGATCCTTGCCATAGACGCCCTGCGCATGAAGAACATTCTGCAGCTGTACAGTATCGTCGTGCTTGACTTTTGCCTGTTTGTGTTTTCCGTCATGCGCTATTTCCAGACGCAGACAGCGGCGGCCAGTTTGATGCTGGGGGAGACGATGTACTATGAGCCTTTTACGCATCGGGATGTAGATTATTGGGGGAGGGTAAGACCTGCCCTGTTGACGTCGTCGATTGCGGTGGGTGCGAGCGCGGTTGTTTCGACGATTTTGGTGTTTTTGTTGCAGAGGGAGTTGAGGTGGGCGATTTATCGGCATATTAGTGGGAGTCTGGCGATGTTGAGGAGATATCTTGCCTATCAGGTAAGATACAAGCTACCCTCATTGGCACTTCCATACTGACTGAACATAGGTTCTTCTCGTGCTCATTCGGATCGAACCATATTTCCTAATCAGCTTTGTCATAACCTATGGCCTTGTTAATGTGCACTTTGTCCAGCCAGAGTTTGGCTTGACAATGGCTCTCATACCCGCACTTGCGATACAAGTGGCTCTGACTATTTATTTCACGAGGACTGAGAACTATATTGGAGCCATCATCGCCATAGTAAGATCTTCTCCACTCCACCATATATCCATATGCTAACGAAATCCTAGCTCTTACGCATGGGAGAAATGGCATACTTGCTAAGCCGGATCCTCACCCTCAAAGGCGACGGCTTCTACTCGCAAACTATCCTCAAAGACGAAATGCTACTCTTTGCATCCGTGGCACTCGGCCTGGCCACACTAGCCTGTATCAACGCGATGCTCTGCACATTCAATTTCAACAAAGGCTTGAAGCCCTTGCTGCACCGGTCGAGCTGGAAACAGACGCCACACGAATTTGAGCCGGTTCATCAGCACAGGTATGCGGAGCGTATCGAGCTTGATTGAAGCAACTGCATGGATTGATGAACTCCGTAATGATATAGCAGTAATGTTAATGCTTAAACAATTCAAAGTCCGAGGTTTTTGACTACGGTGCATGACCGTCGTGGAATAACGGAAGTAATGGTGGTGAGAATGAGCTCCCAGGTTTACTTCATCTAGCGCAATTTGTTCGGTTACGGCTCACGGGCGCAAGTTGTACAGAGCCATACAAACGGACCGCGTGACATCATGTATGGCTGTCGCCTAAGGGGATATTATAAAATCTCACTAACCGCAGAAACACGCCCATGTCTACCTCATTATAATCGACATTTGTAAGGATATCTCTAAACGCCGTAGCAATGCCAACACTCCAACTTTCTACCACGAGCTCATCACAACCATCATCACGACTCCAACCACCAGCCCCATCCTCGCGCCCACCGCCCCAGCGCCACCCAGAATATTCAGCTTAACCACCGCGCCCGGGAAATTACACCTCAACTCCTTATCATCGGGATCCCTCTTCCCATAAGTCAGCCCGCGCGCCGGATTATTCGGGCACGCAAAGCCCAACTGCGCGGGGCAACTGCGCACGATGTCAAAGCACAAGTCCTCACAGGGTTTCATTTCCTTGTACGGCCCAAGGGGCGTGACCTTGTCAATACCAGGGTTGCGCGTGCTATTGAAGCCCAAACGATCGCGTTTCGTCGCGTTCATTTCGGCCGAGACGTTTCCTTCAAACGTGACGCCGCCGTCAGGTAGGAGCATGTTGACATTGCGCTCCTGTAGGAAATCGCCGGTGGCGTTCCAGTCCTCGCAGCGCGGGATGAGCACGGAGCAGAGCCAGTTTTTGTAATCGCGTTCGCAGTCGCGGCAGGTGCGTGCGAGGGAGTACTGGGCCTCGGCGTAGGTATCGCAAGCGACTTGGGCTATGGAGTTTGAGAAGTTGCGGTAGTAGGCTTTGGCTTGGTCGTCGTAGAGGGCTTTGAGCTTGTTGTCGTCGTCTTTGTAGTCGGGGTTCGAGGGCACTGCGTAGGCGACTGAGTCGCAGAATTCGAGGTCGAAGATGACTTGGCAGTTGTCGTCTGATGGGTGGGTTAGTATGGCTTGGGTGAGCCGCGATGAAGTGAATCAGAACTTACCGGCCTTGGTAGTAAAGTCAAACTGTTGGAAGACCATGCCTCCACCGCGCACCGTAGTATTTCCAGGGAGTTGCAGAACGTCCTGTTGTCCACCGACAGCCAAGAAACCATTATACTTCTTGCCAGCCTTGAGGCCTTGCAAATGGAACTGAGCTTTGGGCAGATCGCCGCCGAACTTGGTTGTAATGCTGGTCTCCATCGTGACGTTGGTCGACTGGTTGTAGTACTGGACGGCACACATCGATCGCTCCAATCCCGTGATGTTCGTGATACTTTCATCCTCAAACGCGTACATTTTGAAAGGATTGTCCCTCATCCATTTGTCGGTGTCATTAACGTTCGCCTCGCTAAGGTTGTACGTGATGAAGAGCGCGGAATCGCTGTCCGTATCAATCATGTATAAGAACGGATCGGCTCCGTCGTAGCTGTGGTAGAAGCCGTTGGAGCTGACTGCCAACTCGAAGTTCCAGCTGCCAAACCAGCCATTATCCAGGTTTGGCGCAGAGACGCCTATGTACACATCGGAGTTGGCCTGGAGAGCGTAGCTGGCGAACCCATTCTCAAAGAGTAGTCCCATAGGAGGTGTAGCTAGGTCATCGGTCGAGGTCGGCCCAGGTCTCTGATTTCGCGACGATGTCGAGATGTACATAACAAGCTGCGGATTGTTGTTGGACTTTTCGACTTGGTCGAGCGGTGGTGGATTGGGCTGACGACAGGTGTTTGCAGAGACCCAAATACTGCTCGCAGCTTGTCTCTTCTCCAACTGGTCATCTGCATTGTCCCCGGCAAGACCTTCCTCGGTGTTTGCGACCAGGTCGTCAGATGTGTTGTCTGTTCCTCGAGCTTCCAGCGCTTCGAGGTCGGACTCCTCCATTCGTACCAGGCGTGATTGGCCCTGCTTGAGCACAAAGAATGCCGTGGTACCTGGACTTATATCCAGTGCCTTTCTTTCATTCTCCTTCAATTCAGTGGTTGTAGATTGCTGGGGTTCCTGTCGCCCGCGAAGATTCCGATCGAAGTAATCGAATTCGGGCGCATAGCCTGCATTTCCATCGCCACGACTCTCGCCATCTTCTGTTACTAAATGTGCAGCTGACCCGGCTTGTAGTATAGGTTGGCTGATGGGATCGATCGCGGAGGCGGGAGGGAGGTCGGTAGCGTGTACGAGGCCCGATTGGGAGGCAGGTGATGCTATGAGCAGGACCTGGAGTGCGACGATGAAGGAGAGCAGACTCGACTGCGCCCGCGTGGATCTCGAAAGTAGCATTGCCCTCGCCGCTCCCGTCATCCACGTTGTCGGATATGCATAAGGCGTTCCGGATTACACAAGGCGGCGCGTTAGGTTTCGAGCGCTCAGCGCCTTCGATTATATCATAGGATCTTGTGTGAAGACTCGCGCAAAGTAGAGAAAGGAAGGTACTGTTGCACTTTGGCGGGGTTCCCTCAGCCGTTGTTCCTTCGTCAGGGTTGAGGCTGACGCCAATGATCGACCGCCAAGCCATGTGGCTTCCCGTTCGCAGGAGGCGCTAGCGTAACTAGCGCACGTTGCGACCATCTGATCGCAGCTTAGAGATCCTTAAACTGACTCAGACTTCCTCGAAGTCTGCTTCAACATCAAGGTGCAATGTGCTCGATGAGCTTAGTAAGACACGTATAAATCAGTTGGTAGACACCATTAAGATTATTACTAGATTACGTGGTGTGAATGTACGTTGGCCGCTGCTGCTGCATCGCATTCTTGCCTGCCGTGTATTCCTCGTCCGCAACAAGGACAAGCTTTCTTCCGCTCCCATTCTGCATCTAGGCTTTGAGTGCGTGCGGTCAAGCTTCTTGGTACGTTTCCTTTCGCACCCCAACAGCACGGAGCTGCTCGTCTAATGTTCACCTTTCCCTGGCCTGTTTGATTGTTCTACGAGAAGATTACTCTTGTGCTGTGGTCATGAGGGCTGGGCGATGCGAAAGTGCGTGCATTCTAGCTGCGGAGATACTATCGCTTTGAGAGGCCATTGAGAGATTCTCTCTTATGGTTTGCAGCATCGGCGAGCATACCATGTGCGATTAGGTACGCCATATCAGCATGGTCCATCTGATAAGTCATCGGCGTGCCTCCAGCCCTCTAATGACCCGCGTGTCTTGCGTGTCTCATAGTCAAGGTCCAAAGGTAAAATTCTACTCATTGCTGCATTTGAAACTGTGCCCAATACTGCATAGGGTCGATGATAATCGAGTCGTCCAGATTGGTAAATGCCAAAATCTCCGAGTTGGCGTCGAAAGCTCCTGCGTCATCAAAAGTGATATCCAGACTCTGCTGCGACTGTAGTGGCGTCATAAAGTTTCTTGCATGCACGTTAGCTCATCGTGCTAGGCTATGGATGACGGGACTCACGAGTCATAGTTGCCCCATAATTGAGCAATCATTTGGTCATCGAGATGAACATCTCCCTGCGGTTGCGGAATCTCATTCGGGGCATGCATCCCAGCCGGCATCCCAGCGGGAATCCCAACAGCAACTTGAACAGTTTCCGGGACGCCACAATCTACGAGTCGTCCTGGTGTTTCTTCAGTTACCATCTTGGTAAAACCAATCTGCTCCATGCCTCGGATGAGTCGCATGCAGGTGACGATGTGATTGCTATACTGTGGTGTTCTGGTGTGCGCATACGACAGTAAGAAGATCACTATCAACCGTAGTATGCAGGTGCTATCGAAGGCTGTCAGACTTGAAAGTGTGGCGTCATCTGACATATGCTGCAGTATTGCGATGCTCTTTTGCGCAGCATCGATGCAAATTTTGCCCATGCGCTCGAACCATATCTTTTTGCTCGGAGGTAGAGCCTTGCTTTTGATCACAAGGTAGAGGATGAAAGGTCGAGTGAGCAGAATCATTGCGCTCCAGTATTGTAGATGCAGGCAAGCGACCGCCCGCTTGTGCGTTGGCGGTGCAGGTACGTCGTATTTAAGATGGGCTGGCATTTGGCGATACCACTTTTGTAATAGCAGTAATGAATTCGAAACAGTGGAGAATGAGATTGAGTTGGCGAGGCGCTCGGTGTAAACTGCCTGGGTAATCTCACGTTTCAGGCGGCACAGCGAAACCGAGGTATCCTGCCATCCTAGTGGAGTGTGCAGGCCTGGGTACAGCATCTGCCCAGCTATCAGTTCGCGTGTCTTGAACTCCACATCATTGAACCACGTACCTGTTCTGAAGACGCTGGTGCTGTGACCTTTGTGAAGCGCTCATCGATAAGGTGAGGGGTACCACTTCTAGATGCCAGTTCTTGGTCTAGCATGAAGAGAGTCCACCAGATACGTCGATTTTGCTCGCGATCAATAGCAGTCCCCGTTTCTGGTATTTGGTCGCGATGTAGACCGAGGGAAAAGGCTATCTGTATGGCAGCACCAATGTATAAGTATGCGCTTACTCTAGAACAAAGATTCTCCAAGGCAATGCTCTGGACGAGGTTAGCGACCAACTCTTATATTTTGAACATTCACTGACCATGATAGTCATTGCGCGGATGCTGTCCACATCCGCTTCATCGTATACTGCGGGAATCAACTGCTTCGCGAGAGCCATATAATCTTCAGAAGTCTTTTGGTCAGATGCAGCTGGCCAATCGAGTGGAGGTGGGTTGCCATTCGAGCCTGTATAGTTTGCGGCGCCAATGGCGAAGATGCAGTATAAAGAGCACATCCATGAGCTCGAAAGGGAAGGTGGCGGTTCAAGATAAGTGTCTCCTATTCGCCGTAGCAGTGTCTCCACAGGATAGAGCCAGTGCGTCGAGTGGACATCCTCAAGGAATCTGGAAACGTAGATGTCGCATAGCTTCCGCAGTTGGTAGATAGTACGGTTCCACTTCACCTGAATCGGTCGACGGAGATGGTGCGGGTAGCGCAGGGGGATACTGCCCGACCCTCGGCGTGGGAATAATGGAAGGATTCTTGCGTGAAAAGGCCTAGTGTCACAACGGCGGGCAATGAAAAGGGGATCCTCGCTAATGAGGCGCCCACCATATCGAGAACTTCCCACCAGAGTCCTTTCATCATACAGCCTAATGGTTCATGAAGCTCGCCGACATCTTGCTCTTCGGCATCATCGATACTTTCCTCTGGGGAGAACTGGTCTTGGGTGAACAGACCCTCTGCCTTGCTGTACAGGTGGGGCCGAGAAACTGCCGTCCCTTGATCGCTTTTGCAATGGTCCGGAGCGATTGCAGGTTTAGGTCGTGCCCCGGAAAGAAATGTTCTAATATTCGCATGGCACATTGGTACTCCTCTTCAGTGACATGGTAGTAGGGTCTCTTTCTCCTTGGCGTAGCTATAACGCACGCCGCGCCTGTCCGCGCGCAGTATTTGCATGGTCCTGGGACTGACCACAGTCAGACCTCGCTGACTGCCAGGGTGGAACCACCAAGGTTTCTTATATCTCGGGCATACATACTGGGATCAATGCACTGTAATCTGAATTAGTGTCTTGGCATCGATCTGAACGACCGGTTCCTCACTTTGGTTTTCCGCGAACGACACCTGTCGCAAGAACTGTGAACCCGATGTGCATTGGGTGCCCTTGCGACGTTTGACACCGCGCGCGGCGCGGCCGAAATATCGGCCATCCTGAGCCGAAACGAGCCCGGTCAAATATGGTGACCTAAAGGAGACGGATGGATACCATTCGGCAGAGTTGCAGTACGTCAAGAGGAGGTGGACGAAGCCCCATGAAGATGAGTGAAAAGAGGCGCCCAGATCTAGCGCACGCGGGGAACATTGGAGATCGACTGTTGGGCCGTGCTCCCACCCTGCAGGTGGAAGCCATCGGCTAATTCGAACTCTATCGACAATAAGGTATAGTGCCCCAATGAAGCCCGTCGACAACATGTCGGCATTCAAGTTGTCGAATCAGATCCCAGCATTTAGGACAGCTTGATGAGGACGGTCTTTGTCTCTAAAAAGTTATCCAAAGAGTAGTGTGGTTCGCCCTCTCGTCCTGAGCCTGACGATTTGTCTGAAATTTGTCAGTATGTGTTTGCGACAACAAATAGTGTGGCGCTACTAACAGCCGCCAAAAGGCATTGCGTCACCCGTCACTGGGGAAGTGCAGTTGACGCCCACTGTGCCCTTCACGTTGGTTTGCAATGTTAGTGTATGCTACTTTTGCAGTTCATGCATAGAGTTGGCTTACAGCTTCGAGGCCCTTGGCGAATCTCAACGCGCGGTCAATGTTCTTTGTGTAGACTGACGCGTATAGTCCATATCTGCAAACGATTAGCCAACAGTGTCCTCTAGTTCGCACATTGTTTCCGCTCACTCTGTGTTGTTTGCTTTCGCAAGGACCTCATCTTCGTCCTTGAAGACATTGATATTGACCACTGGTCCGAAAATCTCCTCCTTCATGATCTTCGCGTCTTCGGGCGTGTTTTTAAAGATTGTCGGCTGAATATAATAACCTTCGCGATCCGAAGGAGCAGCACCACCAATTAAGAGTTCACCGCCAGATTGCTTCCCTGATTCGAGGTACTGCAGGACTGTTTTGTGCTGAATTTCGTCTGCTTGTGGTCCGTGGTTCGTCGACTTCTCGAGCGGATCTCCTGTTTTGACTTCATTTTCGAAATGCTGTTTGAAAAGTGCAATGAACTTGTCGGAGATGGTGTCTTGTACATACACGCGCGAGTTCGCCATGCACACCTGCCCCGAATTGGTTTGAATTGAATATGCAGTCTCCTTGACCGCTTGCTCGACGTCGGCATCGTCGAAAACCACTGCCGGTGATTTACCACCAAGCTCAAGGAAAACTTGCTTTAGGTTTGACTTCGCTGCAGCAGCTTGGATGAGCCGTCCGGTTCGGCCTGAGCCAGTAAACGATAAAGCTCGCACATCCATATGATGACTGAGAATGGAACCGCTGACGTTCCCAAACCCAGTGATGATATTGACAACGCCAGGAGGGAAGCCGGCTTCTTTAACCAAGACGGCTATCTTGGCTGACTATGTTATATCCCGTCAGCCGTGATCACTATACCGACATCCGTCAATTTTGCGATGAAAAGATTTGGTGAGTCAATGTGTCGATCGTCAGATACTAGAGTCGAGGTGTCACATAATGCAAAGATTATCTTACCGTTAATGGTGCCTTCTCGGAACTCTTCAGCACCACAGTGTTTCCGACAATCAAAGCTGGCGCCAGTTTACTTGCCAGAAAGAGCAGCGGGACATTCCATGGTATAATGGCGGCAACTACGCCATACGGCTGCCTCAAAGTCATGTTGAGGTAGCCTGGGGTTTGAACGCTGGTAGTGCCCTGCACGTTGAAGCCTGCTTCGGCGTAACGCTCCCACTTAGCGGCGCATGCGTAAGCATCGAAGAAAGCTCCAAGCGGCTTGCCCATCGAGATGGCTTCCAGTGCACCGAGCTCGTTATTATTCTCGCGAATCAAATTTGCAAGCTTCTTGAAGTATTGAGCACGCTTGTCTGGTGATAATGCAGACCATGCTGGGAACGCAGCTTTCGCAGCAGCTACAGCCTTGTCTGTGTCTTCCTCGGACGCCTCGTGAACTGTGCCAGCATCAGTTTGTATCAATTCGAGCGCAGAAGTGTATCACCTTTAGCAACATGCTTTAATGTCGCGGGATTGATGATGTCGAAGGTTTTCCCATGCGAAGCTTCAACAAACTGTACATCGGTCAGCTCTATATTCTGGGCAAATTGACTTCCATACTTCGCCATTTATGAAGAGCCGAGTTTCAATCTTCTCGGGGATGCCCATCTTGAAGAAAGTGTATATCGTGGGGTCGCTCGTGATATACCGTACGAGAGAGAAAGGATCACCCTTGGAAGCTGGAGGCAATCGAGATTCAGGTATGACGGAATCGTAAGCTGATGCGCATGCAGTGCTATTTGGAACAGGACAGTCTCTCAGCAGATGACCCGTAACTACTCAAATCCGACTCGAAGTTAAGATGTCGCGACAATTTCTAGCACGGCAAGTGAACAGTTCAGTGATGGCGTTGTGTCGTGGGATCTCCTTTGCCGCCCCACACAGTGGAGGGGCTGTGTTCGCTAAAAGTCGGTCATATCAGCCCGCATCCTGATGCAGCTCGCTGGATATACCCGGATCCTTCAGATGTCTCATATGCGGGGACAGCTTAGTCGGGTCACATATGCTTGAACAATCCGAGGTAAATGGGGTAAGTTGCATGCGGTGGTTGCAGCATGTGGCTCAGCGGTTCCTGGCCTTAAGAGCATATAGGACCCAGATCTTGATTCTTCTAGTACTCGCGGCCTCAGTCTAGTTATCTACGATACTTAAATATGAGTGAGCTTGAAGAATTAAAGCAAGTCGTAGCGCAGCTGCAGAAGCAGGTCGGGCGCTTGAGCGGTACTAGCTTGTTTCGTCATCACGGGCCGAACACAGCTGACAACATCAAAGATCAAGAAGACGTTCGTAAACTCCAGTACACATATGGTTATTATCTCGACAAATGCCTGTACAAGGAGGTAATTATGGATGCACTTGCGAATCATATGTTTACTAACTGTCCAGGTCGCGGACCTCTACTCGAACCATCCTGACACATGCGTCGAGTTTCTAGGCGGTCGTTACAATGGCAAAGACGGTGTGAAGCGGCTGTATATCGGTCGCTTCGCCAAATCTTTTGTAGCTGGGCGCAACGGCCCGGTCTACGGCTTCCTCCTCGATCACCCTCAGATCCAAGGCATCGTCGACATAAACGGCGATGGCACGCGCGCCAAAGGACGCTTCAGGAGTATGATGTCCGCGGGCACCCACGAGAGCATCAAGGACTCACACCCACGTGGGTTGGTACAGTGGTGGGAAGGTGGCATATATGAAAACGAATACATCAAGGAGGATGGTGTATGGAAGATCTTCAGGCTCAAGTACTTCCCGTTCTGGCATGCCCAGTTCGACAAAGGCTGGGCGCACACCAAGCCAAACTACATCCCCTTCATGTCCACAACCTTCCCGGAGGATCCAAACGGCCCGGATGAGCTTTGCCCAAATCCAATGCTCTGGCCGGACACGCGCGTGGTGCCCTTCCATTACACGCACCCTATCACAGGTGAGCAGGTGGCCGATGATGATCTGAGGGCGCCAGAGTACGGCAAGGACCCTTCAACCAGTACTCCAGCGCTGGTCCTGAGCCAACCTGCATCAGAAAATGCTGAGCTTAGCACGCGAAAGTAAAGAAAAATCCTAGTATTTTATCATATCGGCTTTACAATTACCTGCTTCTAAAGATGTGCGAATGTATGTTCTCACGCAAACGTCGTATTCACATTCTAGCACCAGCCAGTGCTGATGCCATTGCAATTATTGTTATTTGATATCATTGCTTGGTTATCTGAATCAGAGCATGATTTCAGATGCAGCATTCGTGGCTGCTTCAGAATAGTTGTATTTACTGATCTTACTGTTCGAGAGGCAGCTTGAAGAGGCGGATCGCGTTGCTCCTTCCAACTGCTTCCTTCTGTTCCTCACTCAAGTCTATCGACTTCCACCACGCCTGTGCTTCTTCAATTGTATCATAGGGTGTGTCTAGTTTGTCAGGTTTTGTTGCAATAGTTCAAGATATCCTCACCTATAGCGTACAGACACCGTTCAAGACCTATCTCCTCCATGCAGAACTTCAACCCCCGTGTGTTGTAATCACCAGATGTAGTAATTGACACGTTATGCGTCCAGTAGTACGTATAGTCGTGCTTCATGGGTCGTGCACCTCGCTTGAACGGCTTGTTGATCCAGTGGCTGGCTCTCCAAAGGTTGAAAGGAATACTGTCACGGAATAAGCAATCGTATTTTGTGGCTTTGGCACTTACTGACCCTTCGCCCAGATGTCCAGCAACAATCTGAACTTTTGGGAAACGGTCGAAAACTCCCGACGAGCAAATCGCGTACAGATGCCAGCTCAGGTCAAGATGGAATTGTACACCCGCGCCGAGCAGGTGCTTACGATCGCCATACTTTGTTCCGGGCTCCAGATCTTGCTTAATTGCATACCGCGGATGGAAATACACTGGCACATCAAGTTCCTGAACAGTTGCCCAAAAGAGGTCGTATTCAGGAGAGTCGAAGTACATTTTCTCTTGCGCATCGCCACCTTTACTCTGGAAGTCGTTGATCATCGCGCCGAACATTCCCAGCTCCTTAACCGCTCGACGGAGCTCATCGGCTGCATCCTGCGCGCTGTGCATCGATAATGCGGCAAGCGCTCCGAATCGTCGAGGGTTCTTCTTCACCTCTCCCGCAAGGTAGTCGTTCGCTATTCTTGCGACTGATCTGGCTTTCTCGGGTTCTGCTTCCCCCTGCGCGCCAGGTGATGTTAAGGATAATAACATATACTCCACGCCATGCTTATCCATGCTTGTTAGACGCTCGCCGTGGATGTCGAGAAGTCGACGCTCGTGATCAGACAATCCTGAAGCAGCATTGCTGCCTGGCTGCATCAAGCTTTGAAACTGAGCAAAAGAATGCACTTCGACTCCGGCTGGGTCTATAACGGCTTCTTCAATCGCTATGGTTCCTCTCATTTTGCTGGCTTGTAAGTAATGTAGGCTTCTTTCCACAGTTGGCAAGAGGTTTGAATTGAGCAGTTCCGGTCTCCAATTCTGTGGCGCAATGTTCGATCTGTAGCTTTCGACACGATAATACTGGTAGGAACCCTGGAGGCTGGGGTTCATGAGCGGCACATGGTATCCCTCCCCACACTATACAGTATCTGCAGTAGTCCCTAACATATGTAGCATTCTCATTGCATATGCATGCTAAGTGTTATGGGCATGCGGATCAACCGGTACATGAGTTCTCTTGGGAGCTTCGCTTCGAGTGTTCGGAGTTATACGGCCGATGGTAACTTAGCTACCACATGCTTGCACCCGGAAGGCTACCCCGCAAGATGTCCCCACATTGATCCTACGAGTTTGTACAAATGTACGATACTAGACCCTGTCAAAATACCTGACCCTAGTTTAGCGTACATGCTTAAATGTCACGAAAGTACGTTGCCCGCACGTCTTGGGAGTAGTAATAACATCCCACTCATTCACCATGGCGCATATATTCTCTTTGGCTTCTCCGGCACCATCAGCGTATGAGAAAGGCATTCTTTCTGGTGATCAGGTCAAGTTCCCCGAGAGTGGATTCTTTCAAGGCTTCAACAAGGCTTCTCGTCTTGAAGCCGATATATTTGAGCTTGAGACTACTGGCATTGTAAGACACTATCGTCATTGAATTTTCGGTTTCTAAAACAGTAGTCAGATTCCAAAGGACATCAATGGCACTTTCTACCGAGTACAGCCTGATCACTGTTTCCCACCACTCTTTGAAGAAGACATTCACTTCAACGGTGACGGCTCAGTCTCAGCATTCCGGTTTGAAAATGGTCATGTCGACTTTCGCCAAAGATACGTGCATACCGAACGCTTCAAGGTAGAAAGAAAAGCCAGGAAGGCGTTGCTCGGCAAGTACAGAAATCCGTATACCGACAATGAGATGGTAAAAGGCATTCTCCGAACTACGTCAAACACAAACGTCATCTTCTGGAGGGGGGTTCTACTTGCAATGAAAGAGGACGGGCCTCCATTCGCCATGGATCCTGTGACATTAGAGACGATTGGCAGGTACGACTTCGATGGACAAGTTCAGTCGCCCACTTTCACTGCACATCCCAAGTTTGACCCAGATACCGGAGAGATGGTATGCTATGGTTACGAAGCTGGGGGCAACGGCTTCGACGGGAGTTGTGATATTGTGGTCTATACGATTGACAAGGACGGCAAGAAGACCGAAGGAGTGCTGGTACAAAGCGCCATTTTGTGGAATGATTCACGACTGCGCGATCACGAAGAACTACCTCATACTTCCGCTCATGCCAATGAAAGCGAATGTTGAGAGAATGAAAAAAGGCGGACACCACTTTGCATGGGACCCGAATGAGGACCAATGGTACGGAATCGTCCCACGTCGTAACGGAAAGCCAGAAGATATTGTCTCGGTTAGCGTGCTGACAATGGTATGAAGTCACGTATGAAGATCAACTATGGTTGCTAACCTATATGCAGGCTTCCAGGAGTCATATAGCTGGTTCATACGAGGACGAGGAAGGCAAGATCGTAGTCGATCTCACAGTAGCTTCTGACAATGTGTTCTTTTTCTTCCCGCCGGACGACCAGGAGAACACCCCCAAAACACTTCTACAACGAAACAAATTGCTCTCTGATATGTACCGCTGGGTCTTCGACCCTAAGGCCCCGACCAATACCCGTGTGCAGCCAGCCAAAGTGTTCGGTGCAAATGGCGAATTCTCACGCGTCGACGACCGAGTCCTCACAAAGAAATACAATCATTTCTGGCAATGCAACATCGATCCTACGAAGCCGTATGACGTGGCGAAATGTGGTCCGCCGGCGGGCGGGCTGTTCAATGTCTTGGGCCACTTCGAATGGGATACTGGGAAGCAAGACACATGGTGGGCAGGACCGACATGTACTTTCCAAGAGCCAGTCTTTGTTCCCAAAGCTGGCTCGACCACCGAGGGCGAAGGATACCTCATAGCACTACTCAACCACCTCGATGTACTTCGGAACGACATCCTCATCTTCGACGCGCAGAATTTGACCCAGGGGCCGCTCGCCGCAATCCATCTACCTGTCAAGCTGAGACTGGGTCTACACGGTAACTTTGTGGAGCAGAAGGAAATTGATGATTGGGCCGAAAGGAGGAAAGAAGGTGGCGAAGTAGGTCCTGCAGTGCCAGCGAAGGACATGTTGCCTTGGCAGAAGAAGATGCAACAAGAGGAGGGCCTGGGTTCCGCTGTTGGTATGAACGGAGTAGATCATCATTGAGTAGCCGGCGAGATTGCAATTGAATTGAGACATGGTACGTTAACAAAGTGGCAAATAAGTCCCACCCCTCGAAGATTTCTAGGTCTCTCAAGTTTCGGAAACCTGACCCTGGCTTGTCTCGTGTATTCATGATGGATTTTCTGTACGGAGATGTAAGCAAACGCAGATACCCTGTCCATCTCATCATAAAACAGTATGAAACATTGTATCAACGCATAGTAGCTTGCCACTATCAACAACGTAGGCAGACATTGATACAGAGCTCTACTAGCGCAGAATTCTTTGTGATTCACTGTCAGCAATTTAGGCAGATCTTGGTACCGAGCTCTAGTAGTGCGGGTTTACGTTTCCATGATTCACCTTGGGTAGGCCGGTCATATATTTAACAACTTACCCCTCCCCTTGACTGGGCTATTCCTCTTACTCATTGCAACCACTCAAGATCAACCAGACCGTTACTGAAAGACCGCAACTATAAACTGTTATGTGTTCTACCGATTCAACTGCCCCGAAGTACGACTGCGATGTTTGTGGTAGCGAGTTCCCAGATACTGCTGGCGTGCTTGCCTGCGAAGAACATTTCTACTGCAACGACTGTGCCATTGAAGTATTCCACCGCTCAATGATCTACCTCAACGAGTTCCCAGCTTCGTGCTGTTCGTGCTCTCGCAATGGATTACCGCCAGCTCTCTTCACGGAATTGCTTGGCCAGGAGTTCATGGATGAGTACCTTTTGAAGCTGAGCAAGTACTACACTGCCGAGGCGATTCGAGTGTATTGTGCCAATGCACAATGTGCTAAGTATCATCACCCTCGAGTCTTCGACGATAGCGATCACCGTCACACTGTATCTCCATGCGAATGCGGGACAACCACATGTGTTGGCTGCAAGGCAGAGTGGCAGCCAGAACACACCTGTCTCCAACTCGACCCAACACACCGCCCAGCCTGGCTCCCCGAGTACACCCCAGAGTGCCGCATAAAGCAATGTCCACAATGTCGCGAATGGATCCAGCTTTCAGAAGCCTGCAACCACATGACCTGTACATCCTGCCAGCACAGTTTCTGCTTCATCTGCCTACTCCCGTGGGTGAGTTTCCACTTAGCCTGGGGTTGTCCTGCACACGGCGATCCTCCCGAGGGCTACGACGACGAGGGCTTCGAACGTAGTCCGCGCGGCATCCATCTCCTGACTGGACGCAATCGTGAGGGGAAGAATGGCCATGAGATGCCAAATGGCATAGGTCCTGATTCATACGAAGACTCCGAAGACGATGACGCTGACGCTGACGCTGACGTTAACTTGTTTCACGCACACTACCTCGCCGCACGGGAAGAAGCGCATACCCAGCGAGAGGCATTGTACGACCACCACCTTGCCGGAATGAACGAGTGGATTCAACAACGCGACGAGTGTCTCGAGGAGCGCGATGAGCAAATTGAGCAGCTGTGCCTTTACCTCGAGGCTATCTCCCAAGCACTGGCGCCCGAAACCGATGAGCACGAAGCTGACCCAGGCGGATTGGCTCGCTACCAACAACTGCTGAACCTCTTGGACAACGAAGGTGAAGCAGATGTTTTGGTCGATGCTGAAGAGGAGACGGAACAAGAGGATACCCTCGACTTCGGCCTCAAGATGATGTTCGAGGACGAGCAGACGCTGCACGACAAGCGTCATCCTACCGTTAAAGTGCTTGGCTCCGCGACATCGGGTATGCTTCAGTGCTCGATCGCGGCTCATGTGAATCCGTTTTCGATTCTGGACGAGGCAGATGAGGAGTAAGGCATAGCCCGTGGTATAGGGAGAGGTTTGCAGGTAGCATGCTTGCAAGTCCTCAGGGTGTAGAAAAGCGAGGTCGCATATCTTTTTCAACAGAATTACAATTCGGGTATATCTACATCTATCCACATCTATCCCCCCACATCTCCATCTAAACATGCATGTTCAGTACAATCTATACATGTCTAAAAATCCATCTTCAGCGCAATCTTCGGCCCCTCATCCTCATCTCCCCTAGTCTCCCTCCTAACCGGCCCTTGTCCACTCTTCAACACCCCCTCAACCAGCGCCCTCTGCTCTACACTCAACCCCCCAACCACCGCTCTAAAGGCCACTTGATCTGCGCCCGCAATTTCCAGCAAGCGTGTCGCAGTCTCCTGGCTCGTCCCGGGCTCCTTTTGCACCCGCGCAAGCAGCGCGGGTATAATAATCTTACTAGCCACTTGGCGCTGTTCGGATTGCGGGAGAGTAGATATAAACGCAACGAGTGTTTGCGCAAGTGTGGTCCGTGATTCTTCGAGGCCTTCGACGTCGGATGGGTTGGCGATGAAGGAGAGGATGTGTGGCAGCATGAGTGCGGCGAGGCCGGTTTCGAAGGCGCCTTTTTTGGGGAGGAGGAGTAGAGAGCGACAGCAGCCAGCGGCGACTTTGGAGGTCATGCGCGCGTTTAGGCAGTCGAAAAGGTCTTCGACGAAGCGCTTGACGAGTGGGTCGCTTGGGGAGAAGGCGGATGAGGCGGAACTGAGGAGGATTGTGGTTGCGAGGACGGAGTTCTTTTCGCAAGCGAGTGCTGCGTCGAACTCGCGCTGTTGTGCATGGCGTAGGATGGCAAGGAAGCGTGTTAGAGTTGCGCGTAGCTGTTTGCTAGTATCCTCCGTTGCTTCTGCTTGGGGCGCAAGACTTGTGATGAATCGTTTGAAAATTGGCAGTGCCTGCGGAACAACTGCTGCCTGGCAAGCACCAGTGCCAAGAATTGTGGCGAAGATGTGTAGTATACACGCGTGTAGGTCGGCTTTGATGATTGATGGGAATACCTGAGCAGCATCGACAAGCGCGGAAAGTGCAGTTGTGAGAAGAGCAATAGCTTCCTCGTTAAGATCATGACGAGCTATGCATTGATCAGCAAAATCCATTACGTTGATGAATATGCACATACCTTTCGAATTGCTTTCTTCCAGGCCAGGTACCAAACCAGAGAGCACGAGCACGATGATCTTTGTCAGCTCAAATAGCTGATCGATGTCTTCGGAAAGATTCTCCTCGCCAGAGGTTCTAAAAATTATCAGCATTTGTCATACACGAATTGCGGGGAAAGTCTTACTGTTGATCCCTTCTTGCAGACGGATGACCAATGCACAGATTACGTGCAATGTCGACAATGACCTTCTGCACTGTCAAACCTTCTGTCAAGACTAATCGATCAAGCATATCCATCGTCTCAGAGAAGACGACGTCACGATAGATTGCATGTCCAGAAACCGAAGGTCGCAGAATCTTCTTAAGCGCTTGCAAAATCTCCAGAATCTGCTCTTTGGAGGCTTGAAGATCCCCAGGACGACCTGCAAGTGCTTCGAAAGCAAGACCGAAAAGCACAAAGAAGAAAGCAACGGGCTCATCACGGTAGTTGATGTGGTCGGCCTTGCCGTTGGGCGTCGACTCGGAGAGCTCTGTCTTGCCATCTAGCGCATCAAAGACGAATTCGCTGTCTTCGTCGATAAGACTGGCAATGGCATCGACGAGGTTGAGCCAGGATTGCTGGTAGAACTGTAGGATGTCAGCAAATGCGATTCTCTGGTGTTTCATGTTCACCTTACCTTAAGCAGTGTTTCCCGGTTCAAGGCAGCATATATCGTATCCAAACTACCGGAAAGCGAAGACGAACCGCCCATGGATGAAGAAATATCAGGCTCAAACCTAAGCCTAGCATATTCGCGCAAAGACGCCAACCACAGCGGTGTTAATTTGGCAATGTGTGGTTTCAAAACATCAACGAGGTATGTCTGCTCCGCACTCGCAATCTGCAGCTCCGCCCATGCTGAGTAGACAGCCATCTTTACCATGACTTGTGAGTTCGAACTTAGGCCCTTGAGATCGCCAATAGCTGCTGTTTCCGACTCGCCTGTAAAGCATCAGCTATATTCGCTTCTACCAGAGGAGCACACTTACTCGAAAAGTTCTCGAGCGCAGAAACGAGCAGCTTAAGGATGCGACCCATGCGATCTACATCTGTGACAATTCCTGTGGCTATGAATGTGGCGCAAACATTGATTGCCTCGGCCGCAAGCTCCGGCGAAGAGTCTGCGGCGAAAGCTGGTGTAAGCGCGGAACCGATCTGTGCCTGATATTGCTCAAGCAATGTGACCTCTGGAAAATCAGGATCGGATGTTTTACCGAACAACTAGTATATGTTAGCTTGTTGGACCGCCATGATGGTAGATCCCTTTACCTTGAGCACTTGATCGATAATCTTCAGCCCACGTATCCGCAGCTGAACCACGCCAGCAGTTGATGCCGAGAAGGCAATACGGACAACATCCGCGACCCGGTGCTGTAGTGCTGCTACACAAGGCGCCTCCTCTCGGAAAGCAGCCTCCTTGCTGATCATTGCGACTAGCTCACTCAGACAGTCCATGCCAAATGTTCTGACTTGCCACTTGAGCAGCTCTTGGCTGACCTGGGTCGCATCACCAGCATCTGCTCCAGGTGCATTGTTCGCCGAAGCAAAACCTGCAACTTCCTCATCTTGCAGATCAGGTCCGCCGCCTCTAGGCTTGTTCTCTGCTTGTGCCTGTGGTTCGACCTTCTTCGTCTTCGTGAGAACCGAATGACAACGCTGGACCCAGGTGGCGGCGTCAGTCAGACCAGTTTGTTGTAGCCAGTTGCGAATGATGTTGCGCACAACTTCGTGCTCGGAGTCTTTGTCGAGGACGTGCCATAGTTGATCCTCCAAGCCTGGCTCACCGGCCTTCATGACTTCTTCAGTGTTTCGTCGCATGAGATTATGCAAGCCATCGATTGCCATGTCTCTGATTTGGACCGAGCTACTTTCAACAGAGCGCTGAAGGTGCTTCACATAGGCTGAGAAGTTCATGTGACCTGGCGCATACAGCGAGACGTGTTCTTGACATCGCAAGCTCTCGATGAGGATGAGCACATCTGATTCTGCTTGGAACAGACCAATCAGAGTCATGACCATGTCTCTCGCCTTCGCCATGTCCTGCAGATCTGGACCAAGCACGTTGATCGTACTGTCGATACATCTTGCTATTACCGCAGGAGTTGGAAGATCGATCTCAATGTTCGATGACGCCAGAGACGCAGACTCTTCGTTATGCGTATCAGCAGCATACAGTTGAGCAAGCATGCCCAAAGTGCTAGTGACATAGCTGGAGAAGGAAAGACCTGCAGAGTCAGCAACCCGCGAAAGACTGTCGATGGCCCAGAAGTGGACTACTGGATGTGGGTCGTTGCTAAGAGACATGAGGATGCCAAGGATGTTCTTGAGATGGTAGCCAGCAGCCATGCCACCAAGCTGGGAATGGATGCAGCCTAGAGTCACTGCATAGCCGGATCGAGCGTTGGGCTCTCGATTGGCAACAATTTGGTCTACAAGATAGTTGACCTCAGTGGTAGTGAGCGCATTGCCGGAACTGTTACAAAGACGTCCAAGAGCTTCTCCCGCAACATTGCGCAGGTATGGATCGGGCAGGATAACAAACATCTGCACGCATTAGCAGCAATATGCTCGATCGATGTGAGTACTTACATGTAGCAAGTCCTGCATGACCTTCTCTACAGCAACTCCTTTCAGGCTCCCAGAAGGAGAACGGGTCTCTTTTACGGCAACTTTGAGGGCTAAGAGCAAAGCACATGCCATGTTGACCATCATCGCCGTCTTTCTGTTGATGTCTCGCTGCAGACTGCTCGCTGAGAGGAAGGAAGTCATTTGTTCAAGGATACTCTCCTGAATCTTTGGGGTCTGTAACGGCAGACAAATTGCAAATAATTGCAGAGCAGCGTTGACCACCTCTGTCGCGGGTGGATCTGGAAGCTCGGCAACATCATCGGCCGCACCTATATATAAAGAGATAGAGTCGTGTTCCCGTGCGCCGCATATGGGTGAAAGAAGCTGGCATTTGTCAATAAAACGATGAATGAGGTGAATGGAAGGACGTACGGCTCGATCGATAATCGCTTCAGGTCCATGTCTAGTGACCCAGTGATGGCGCGAACCTGTCTCATGCTCCCCCGGTAGTGGCTTGACATCATAGCCTTTGACGAGTCCGTTCACACCGAAGCCGTGGTTATCCGCAACCTCCCAAATGCTCTCGAAACTGCCTGCTGCACTAGCTATGGCAGTGCTGAAGGAGCTGGAAGTGTAATTGTCCGGTTCCGCGAAAGATGCCACTGCGAAGGGCAGTAGATTGGTCTGGAGCAAGACTTCACTGCTACTTGCCGGACTGAGCTCGACTAGTTTTGTGTAGCACTGCAGAACTCTTCTTCGTACCATGAGGTCGAAATCATGAAGTTGTAGTGCAGGCGACAGTTTTTGCGCAACGTCATCAGTCGTCTTCTTCGTAGGTAAGGTGTTCAAGAACATGGTAGTGTTCTGCAACATGGCAGCTAGTCGCTTGGTCACGTCCAGCGTCAGCAACCGACTGTTGAATTGAAGAAATGTCAGGATAGAGCCTAGGGCACATTCGCGGACGTGAGTCAGGAAACTGAGTTCAAACAAGTTCCTTTGCACCATATTGTCCCTGTTCAAAGGCTTTGGGAGCGCATTCTTCCAGAGCAAGAGCAATTGCGACAGGTGAATCTTGACGAAATTTGGTCCTAGAGTCATGAGACCCCCGATCAAGATCCACGCGACCTGGATTTGGGTCGATGATACTCTCAGATCCGACTGACTGCTTGATTTGAGAAGCGTCGTAGCTTGAGAGAGTACTCTTGAGTTCACGTCTACGGAGCCGTGGAGAGGCTGTGATGTGGAAGTGCTGAGGACGGCAGAGAGACCGTTGGCCAGACCAACGCATTTTCGAGGCGATTGGCGGGGCCCACCCAGAAGACCAAGTTCCCGATTGACGCTGTTCATACATATCGTGACCGCGGGCAGAAGCTGAAGAGGGCAAGCGAGAACGAAAGATCGGAGACAAGCAGAAGCATATACTTGCACCGTGTAGCTCGGATGCTGTAGGACCTGGATGAGTGCGTCTCGACAAGAATCGGCAATGGTATTGGTGGCTGATCCCAGGCTGTTGAACAGGGAAGAGAGGGTGCTTAGGGCGCCTATCAATGTTTGCTTTGTTGGCTCTGGCCGCTCCTTGAGAGCCTGTGGATAGTCCTTGAGGACGTCGTTGACGAGGAATCGCGCAGCGTTCAGTTGGCCAGACTCACCGAGCATGTCATGGCCGATTACATGCTCAAGAATCACCGCGACGCTTTTTCTTGCGCTCAGTGTTCGATAGCGATTCTGGGTAATGACTGAGTTGCTGAGAAGATCATTGAAAAGGCTCCGCGAGATCTCCGAGTACTTGGATTCTACGACTTGCTCGCCAAGGCCTCTGAAAGTCTTCATATAGCACACAGCGAGTCCAGCTCTTCCACGGTTGCCAGTCCCCGCTAAGCAGTATCGGTTCGAGAGAAGTTTCAGCATGGTGGACACAGTGAATGAGAGTTTTGTGGCAGATTTCTTCGGCGCAGGAGAATCAGGTCGCTCCATGACTTCATCGTCGCCATCTGCATCCGCGCCTTTCTTGTTCTTTTTCTTCGCCGTCTTGGACCGGGTAAGGATAGGCAGATCCACGGGGGCATTCTCCGAGTAGTTCTTGACGAAGGCTGTGCTAATACAGGACGCTACGGCATGTCTGACAGAGGCCGAGGCGCTCTCGATAGTCTTCCAAGCAACGTTTTGCAGCTTGTCGAAGTCGTTGGAGTTGTCAAAGAAGGTCGTGTAGCGTATGAGCTGCTCGAGACAGTAGCACGCGCTTGCCTGGACGAGCATTGATTTTTCACCAGTGCATGCATTGCGGCCTTGCTTCCATGCATCTCTCGCGACAACCTCGTCTGCTGATGGCCCCACTCCTTTGAATACCTTTCCGACCGCCTTGAAGAGTGTCGCCCTTAGACCGGTATGGTTCTGCGCAGACTTGAGAAGGCGCAGCAGAGACATGGCTGCATTCGGCGAAAGCCCTATGGCGCTGTCTCCAGCCGCTTCGAATATGGCGCCCAAGCAGTGAGCCGCAGCATGCTTTGCACGGACATCCTTATCGCTCTTGCCGGCTGAGTTCACGATAGCCACACAGTCGTTGATGGATTCGAATAGCAGCTTCCTGTCTCCTTTCTCGAATATGCCGGCAATCGCCCGTCCCAAGTTGTTTCGGATCACTCGTGTGGGCGCGGGGGAGGCCAGGTTGATGATCTGGAATATCTCCTTCTTGATGTAGATTTGGTGTGCCGAAGCTCCATCGCCGTCCAATGAAGCTACATGGCGCGCGAGGTCGGAGGTGAAGGTCAGCAAGTACAGGTCTTGCTGTTCCGAGGGGAGAGCGTGGAGCTTCTTGACATCGAGCTCGGGGTTCGTGGGGCTGTCGTCGGCCGCATGGTCTTCCGAGGCTGCCATTGCGTTGTGGTTGGCTCGTGAGCCCGTAAATGTGTCACTAAGACCCTGGAATGAGGTTGCTCATGTCCTGTCGTGTGTTGTGCTGTTAAGTTACGTCGTGTCGAGGGGTGCGGAGCTGAGAGAGCACCCCCGAGATGGCTAGCCGAAAGCGATGATCTCGAACTTTTGTTGGAACGAAGTCCAGAACATATATCTCGGGCAACATGTCTGCGCCCTTCTTCCGCGCCGTTCGCGCTTCATTCTCGACGAAATGCAATTGTCAATATCCCTTGCGCCCAAAAGGTGTACGGGTACAACAGCAGCTGAGATGTATAAGTGGCACAACGAACCTGCAATCAGGCCATTCGTAAGTAACATGTTCTGGATACAATTCCTGGTACAGTCGCTGAAAATAAATACAGTAAATGGGCTTCAATCAAACACGACAAAGCCAAGAATGACGCCGCCAGAAGCAAGCAGCGCGTCCTCCTCACCCGCGACATCACCGTAGCCGTTAAGCTCTCTGGCCCAGACCCAAACATGAACCCCCGCCTCGCCCTCGCCTTGACCACCGCGAAAAAGAGCGCCGTCCCCAAAACCGCAATCGAAGCCGCGATTGCCCGTGGACAGGGCCTGTCAACGACCGGCGCAGCCCTCGAATCACTCGTCCTCGAAGCCATCCTCCCACCGTCAGTCGCCACGATAATAGAATGCCAGACGGATAACAAGTTACGCGCACTGGCGGATCTGCGTTTACTTGTCAAGGAGGCTGGCGGGCAAGTCTCCACAGTAGGATTCATGTTCGAGAAGAAAGGGCGGATAATTATGCGCAAAAAGGAAGGCATAGGCATGGATGAAGTCCTTGAGCCAGCACTCGATGCCGGCGTCCAAGATGTCCATGAAGATGAGGAGGGCAGGGTGTTGTTATTCACAGAGCCAGCGCAGACGAAAACAATTGCGGAATCTTTGGCGAAAGAGCTGGATATGGAGATCGAGGAGAGCGAGATCATCTACGACCCGAACGAAGACACGAAGGTGGAGGTCAACGACGAAGAGGCGGCGGCAAAGCTGAGTAATTTCCTCGACGACCTGCAAGAGGTGCAAGGCATACAGGGTGTGTACATGAACTGGACCAAGGGAGAGAGTATACCAGCCGAGTTGTGGGAGGAGTTGCGGGGTAAGGTAGCAGTATGATAACCCTCGTAGTTTTTGTACATATATGTAATACAGCGCTGTACAATAATGTACATATCATGATTCGGCCTCTCAAAACGCCTTCATGCCATCACTGACTTGTAGTTCTGTCGCGCATAACAACCTCTCCCTTTGACCCTTATATTTTCCCCTACTCTTCCCTCCCCATGCCCATCTCCCGCATCCTGCGCTCCTCCTCTTCCCTCCTCCTCTTATTCTCCAAATTCCTCGCCTTCAGCCTCTCCAGCTCCTTGGCAATCTCCTCCCGCTCGTACGGTATCTTGTGCGTCTGGCCCGGCTTTGGCCAGAACTCGGGGACTGTGAATTTGCCGTCGAGGTTCGTACCGAAGTAGTACATTATGCTGATGGGGAAGAGAATGTACATGCCGAACTAAAATAGGAATCAGTGGATGCATGTGGTGAGGCGAGGGGATCGGGACTGACTTTGAAGACTTCGAGATTTGGGCCGCCCATTTTGGGATGTATGCGACGGGGTTTTGGTGGTGTGCGGCAAGGTAAGCGGTTTTGCTGGGTGGTGGAGTGATGATGTTGAAGATTCGCAGATCGCGCGCGGAGATACCTCGGCGATAAATCTATCGTGAGAAGGCTTATCGATAAGGCGCGAACAATGGTCGCGGCGTCATTCGCGGCATCACATGTCCACGCCGCACCACGCTCTCCTCTAGGTATTGCACGGATTGCCGAGTCTAACTGATAATCCTAGCATGCATCCATTTCTCGGATTCTACTCGTATTTCCAAGCTATCGCTCAGCCAAAGCGAAACAATGGCTTCAATCAAGTTGCCGACTAGAGCTATGCCAGACCTCGGCTCAGCTGGTATGCGACTCGATCTCCGCGCGGTAGGATCACCTTCATCAGCAACCGACACATTTCAACGTCCTTCCCTACTCCACCACAGAATTTGAAGCGGGAATACACAGCAACCATGTCGTCCCAAGAAGAACCCATCCTCGTCGAATACCGCGGCAAGCTCGCCATAATCACCCTCGATGTCCCCAAGAAACTCAACGCCCTCAGCGGCGAAGCATACTACAAGCTCGCGCGCGCCATGTACGAAGTTGCCGAGCACGACGAAGTCTTCATCACCGTCTTGACAGGCAAAGGACGATTCTTTTCTGCGTACGTATACATTCTCCCATCCACATCTACATCCCCATCTACTTTCAAGACATACTAACACCCAACCCACAGCGGTGCAGACGTCTCCTTCGGCGGCACAACCGACCCCTCCGCCATCGACGAGCGCCAACAATGGCTCCGCAGCTTCGTCGCCAACAACCTGCACATCACCCATGCCTTCTACACGCACCCCAAGATCCTCGTCACCGCGCTCAACGGTCCTGCAGTCGGCCTGAGCGCCGCGCTCGTTGCTTTCTCAGACTTCATTTACGCGGCTCCGCACACGTTTTTGCTCACCCCGTTTTCTAGCCTGGGTCTGGTGACCGAGGGCAATGCGTCGATTGGCTTCGTACAGCGCCTGGGTATCTCGAAGGCGAACGAGGCGCTGATTATGAGCAAGCGGATTACGTGTGAGGAGCTGGTGCAGGTCGGGTTTGTGAACAAGGTATTTGACGTCGGGGGTAAGGACAACAGCGATAAATTCCTCGCAGAGGTGTTGAAGGAGGTGGATGAGCGGCTGGGCGACCACCTCAACGGCGAGAGTCTGGTCAAGATTAAGGAGTTGATTCAGAAGCCAATGCGCGAAAAGCTGGATCGGCAGGGTGTGGATGAGGTGTTTGCGGGCATGAAGAGATTTCTGAAAGGTGTGCCGCAGGAGGAGTTTAGGAAGATTGCGAGCGGGGAGAAGAAGCATAAACTGTAGACGTCGCAAATATCAGAAGATTGAAGGAGCGGTAAATTCTGTGTTGAGGCGTTCAACCAAGTGACACGCCCTCCCCAGCTAAAATCTCTCCGCCCAGCGCCTCCTGTAGTCCATGCGTGGGATCTATATAACTCGTCTGCGTGCTCGCGCTCGTTTGTTTCCGGTGGCGGCGGCGGGTCGTGGCGCGGCGGCTGCCTCCTCCGTTCCTCCAACTGCTGATGCTGCACATAACTCGTATACCGCAGCGCCACAAACAGCATGAACGCACTCACACCCACCGTAATCGCCGCGCGCCTCGTGAGCACCCAGCGCAGCCCCTCGACCTCGCTGCGCGCATCCGAATTCAGCGCGACGGTGATTTTGTAGTTGAGTTCCTGGATCTAGCACACCGTCAGCAACCAGCGTCCCACAATCCCAAAGAAAGGGAAACTCACCTTCGTCTCCATGGTCCTCTGCTCCTGCCGAACCGCCATTTTCCTATCATCAAATAGCCCCTTCAACTCATCTTTGAGCGTGCCCGTCTCCTGCCCCAACCGCTGCCCTAAGATATCCACCTCGTGCTGCAACTGCGCGCGCTCGGTTCTCATGCGCTCAATCTGGCTCTTCCGCCCGTTGCCAATCTCCGTCTTCAACTCGCTACATGCCGCGCGGAAAAGGTATGTCTCGTTTTCGACATTCGACTTCGACACGAGCCCCTCGCGTGCCAGCGCCATGTTGTTAATCAAGATGCCGCGCACGGCTTTCATCAGCGTTGTGGATTGCTCTGGCGTGTAGCGCGATTTGTGCAGTTCTTTGACGAGGCCATACGTATCGAAATGATGCACGTAAGGGGGCGTTTTGAGGTGCGGGAGTTTGTGGGGGTCGGCGTCTGCAGGGGAGGGCATGTGCAGGACACTGTCCAAGGGTTTGGATTCGCCAATTTTGGGGGGATCGGGGGGCTTAGTAGGCGGTGCGGTGTCGTCTATTGCGCTCGTTTTTGGTGGGGTGGAGGGTGTTGCTGTGGGTGTTGGTGTTGGGGGTTCTTCTTCTTCATGCTCTTCGGGCGCAGGCTCGAGGATCTTCATTTCTGATATCGCGGGGCTTTTCTGCTCGGGCGCCTTTGGAGCATCTGCGTCGCGTAGATGCGGCGCGGGCTCGATTCCCTTTCCATACCGCTTTGTGGTTGTCTCCTCCGATCGGCGGGGCGTGGTTGCGAACTGGCGGCACCTCCGCGGACGTCTCGAAGCTAGCGATGCGCTCTCGTGTAATTGTGTTGCGCGTATACGTGGTCCTGATGTGTTCTTGTATAGCATGGGCCATAAAAATGGCAGTCTTGGGGCCGCCATGGCAGTGGTGTTGGAAGAATGGAAAGTTCTGTTGCTTGAGATTCGATCTTGATCGCAAAAGTTCGGCTGACGTCGGCTGTCAAGGATCTGGGAACCGTAATCGGACGTCTAGTCCAGACGCCCTTCAGCCTTAAAACTTCACGTTAGAATTTGAATAGCAATCAATGACAGGATTACTGATTGAATGTAGTTCTGTAAAACCAACTTGTTTTACATAAGACTTATGGAGCCTTTGCCCTAGAATGTACAGAGAGAAAGCTGAAAAGCTGAACATAAAAGCACTGTAACTTTTTGGGGAAAACCAAGGTCCCTTCCATCGACGCCATGCAATGCGCAATTCCTTCACGCTGCAGAAAATGACAAACTTTTGTGTGTAGTACTAATGATCGTGTCCTAGGGTATACATTTGCCCACAAGAACACCAAAATAAGCGCCTGTGTGTAACATCAAGGATCATGTGAAGAGCTGCTGATAGAGCTGCGGCTCGTGGCGTCTGTGAAGTGCGTTGCGATACTCATGCGCTGGAATGGGGAGATGCCGTTTTGTTCGCGAGATGGAGGACTTGACAGCGGCTGGCTTGGACTGGGTGACGAGGGCGATGCAGTAGGCTGTTGATCGCCCGAACTGGCGCCGTATCTTTCGCGCAGACGCTTGATCTCGCGGAGTCGACTGCGCCAGGACGAGATGGTCTCGCCTCCTTCACGGACATACCATACACTAGAGAACACGCAAGCGTTGATCGCAATGAGCCGGCAATATCCCGCGAGGTGTTTGCCGCAGAGAATCTTCGTCTCTACGGCGGGCGAAACGTCAGGAAAGTCGGCTCGAGAAATGGCTTGGACTTTGTAATAACGATCTCTGCCATCAGGATCCGCATCTAAGCGGCGATCGACGAAGCTGGCTCTCGATTCGGGAGAAATGACAATGTGTACGTAGTTGAATGCAGAGGGAAAGGTGTCGAAATTGTATGGCAGCCTCTGAGTCGTTGAAGATAATGTTGACGAAGTCGTTGCCAATATGGCGCTTCTTGTTTGGGTATGTCATGTCATCGTCCCGATTAGTCGGCATCATTGTGGTAATGTGAAACACAATCTCCATGCACCGATCGCGCCAGCAGTAAGTGAACTCTCCGTCAGCATCGTCGCGCGTATCCAAACCACCCGTGTTGAACTTCGCATCTTTCAGACGACAGAGTGTGCCTAAGTCACTGACGAATGCTGTGTATGCTGGCGAGCCGATATTATTCAAGAATATGTCCCTTTCGTTGGTCTGTCCTTCGCCGATGTATATGACTCCAACTTTGTAAGCGTCCACTGTTGCGATTCTGTCAAAAGAAGTGATGGCTCGGCGCGTCATATCGTCGTCTGGAAGAGACACTGGCGGGGTTGCTAGATCGAGCGGGGCGTAGAAGGTCTGGAAGATGTCTTCTGGTAACACTCCTACATATGACGAAGAATAAAAGGCTTCGGATGCGAGCCCAACAGTGATGGGTACTTGGTGGCGTGGAGGTGGCGCAAGAAGTGGGCGCATGGTCAAGAAGCGGGTTCCGGCCTAAGCATGCGTCAGGAAATGCACCAAAATCAAAAGGACAACAGAAGACTTACAGGGCGGCGTGTCGTGATCAGAGAAACACCGGTCCGGGCCGCTGTCTCTATAGACACCAAAGAATTTCCGACTACCCATGTCTTCTTCCATATCTCACCATCACCAGGTTTAGCAAAGCTCTCATCTCGAAGTGTCTGGTCTCGATCTGTGTATGCGACCATGTTCATAATATCCAAGATGACCTGGCCTTGTTCTTCCATGATCTGACGACCAGAGCTGTCGGTATAATGTAGGTTCCTAGTGATCCAAGGTATTTGCTTCGGACGATCTTCCATTTTCAATGCCATAAACCAGAAAGTGATGACGTGGTATGCAAGTGAATACAGATATTGTGGTAGATCTTCTTCGACAGTCCTTTGCTTTCTCATACCATTCTCTGGCGACGCGACAAGATCCCTAGATGCGCCAATGTGTCGCAAGGTACGATGGCCACTCTGTAATGAGCTTGTATGGTTGGTACGGTCGCGCTGGTCGCGAATGTGCTGCAAGTAGCGGAAGCACACGCCAAATACTGTTTTGAACTCGTCCTCGCGGAAGTTCTTGTACAGCTCGGGTAGACGTGCCAGAGACGTGAGGAATTCCAATATGTGTATTGCGACTGCTGGCTTCGTGATGATCTGCGACATCTTCTGAATGATACTGTCCAATGATTTGCTAATGGAAAGCGGCACCTCAAAGCAGCAGACTGAAAGAGCGTGGATACACCATTTGGATGTTCGATCCCACTGAACAATTCCCTGGAGGAATGCTTTGACCATATCGTCCTCCTCGCTCTTCTCGAAATACTCGTGATAACTGATGATCACAGTCAGGACGTGGAACAGACAAACGGCGACATCTGCCTTCTTCAAGAGCGTGTAAGCCGGAGGCTCGTGGAAGCTTGAGTTTCGTACTTGCTCACAGAGGACGTTCCGCAGCATTCGAAGTTGCACTACACAACTGCGGACCAAGGCTTGATTCGACAACTGTGGGCCGAGATGGACAAGCACGTAGCTGTAAATTTCCCAATCTGGCGGCCTTTGCAGTAGAGAGATGATAAGTTCAAGCCATAGCGTTATCTCCATATCATGCAATTCATCACTCAGTGGATACTTGCTTGCATCAATGTGTGAGAAGACCACTCTGCTGGGATCCGATGAGGGCTCCTCCGGTAGTCCTTTAGGTCCAGGGTACATCCAGAGAGGTGGAATTGGCTTTGAGATACGACCATTAGCGGGTGTTGAGCGCCCAGCATTGCGGTTGAGGGAAGCACGTGGACTTGATCCTGAAGTCTTGCGCTGTTCACGCCAGGAGTAAGAATCTTCAGATTTGCTGTGGTCGTGCAGCGCATCGTCGACATTGACGGCCATGACGGCAGTCTCTTCAGTACGACAGAGCTCAGCTGCGAGTCGCTCTCCTTCTGAGGAGGAGACTACCATCAGCGCATGTCGAGAATCAGCTCGGAGACGGAAAAGAAGTCTCATGGCTGTCAATCTTGCGTCATTGTCGTATTTTTCGCCTCCAGCTATCGCGCGAAGGGTTTCGTATAAGATGCGTGTCTTTTGCGCAAAGCCTACTACGCTACGTGTGAACAGCTTGACGAGAGCTGAAGTAATGACATTGCATGACGACCCAAAACGCGAATCTCCTGTGAAGTTCAGAGAATATGATAACCGATGAGGTTGACTGGCGTGCGCACCGGGAATTGGCCGGTCCATACGTGCTTTTAGCAGAACAACGATGTCTGTAAATTCAGTAGTCGAGGCCCGTTCCGCGACATGGACTGCAAAATCCACAAGCTCATAAAGAATCTCGACGTCATCCTCAAAGTAGATACTCTCCAGCAGCAGTGAGCCGCACTTCGTGACAAGTTCAGGCGCACAGAGTTTGTCCACTGTATCATAGGTTTCTCGCAAAGACTGGATGGCTACTACTCGCAGCGATCTTGGCCTGGCAGTGTCCTTGATCACACTGTCCCTGATAATTTGGCACACAGTCAGCCAGTCATCGTTTGAAGGACTTAAGTAACGTTCATTCGCGAAATAGCGGATTAACTTCTCGGTCGCTGCATCACCCAGACGATGGCAGAACCGCAGGAAAAGCTCCATGACAGCCTCTCTCTGAACAAAGTCTACGGCATCGCTGGCGCTGTCGAGTTTCATCAAGACCTGGAAGACTGGATCATCGGGAGTTCGGCGAGCAACATCGACACTTTGCTTGGGCGTCGTCGACCGTCCGAGCGGTGAACTGAAATTTCTCCCAATACGTTCTACGGGCTTCTCCGACGTTGTTGCTGGTCCTGATTTTGTAAGCTTAATATCACGACTGGCAGAAGCAAAACCTACCAGGAGCCGTCGAGCTATCGTCATGCGACGTGTTTTTCTCGCTGCTTTCACTGTTTTCTTTGACTGTAGCTTTAGTAGTCGGAGTACTTCCACAATGTCGGTCATCGTCACGCTCAACACAAGTACTGATGATGTCTATGAGCTCGCCTACATCAGTCTCAGAGAGCAGAATGTCTCGCAAATTGGGCTCTAGAAGCACCGCATCGAGAAGTTTCAAGACGAGATGTTCTTGGATATCGTTCGGCTCCTGGATGGATGCTTTCAAAGCTGGACAAAGCAATGACATCGGGACTTTTGGCAAGCCATTACGTCCGTCATTGATGAGCAGAATTTGTAGTACTTCCATAGTGCCTCTGTAGACTTGGCTGATACCTTTTTCTTTTCGAGGGCCATCGAGAAATGTATGTAACAGAGACATGATAGCTGCTCCACCAGTATGCGATTTGAAAAGGTTGCTCAAAGAGGTCCATGCCTGTTCGCGAAGACACGGAATGGCTCTGTGGATGGTGCATATAACCTCAACGCAAGGTCTGAGTGACTTTGACGGAACGTGGACATAGGTCATGATTGTGTCAAAAAGTTTGATGCAGTTGTCCATATCGTCTGTTTCGGAGGTGCTCAGACAAATGGTCATGGCCCGAGCTAGCAACAGTTCCAGGTCTTCATCAGTTAGAATCTTGGCATTAAACTTGCAGACATCCATGGCGTACTGGAACAGTCGACTCAGGTTGTCGGTCTCTCGGGTGAGAGCATTACGCTTGCCACTGGCTTTCCTGGACGACTTGGCAGCATCGTAACACAGTTCAAGCGACGACACGAGAAAAGGCACCATAGCCGACTCGCAGGCCTCAATATCTCGACCTCGCTTGGTGAGAGCATTGATGACCTGGAGCCTTTGGTCAAAATTGCGGTCGTTTTTGCGTGACGATGCAGCATCAAAGAAAATGCTGCGCTCGATGGTGCTCAATTTGGGCCACGACACACAGCTCTTGAGAAGCTTGTAGCCTGTCTCAGCGACATTTTGCGGCTGTTCAGGCAGGATCAGATCGCTTGCAACTGACCACAGGCCAAGGACGTTCTGCACCGGATACTGCTCCAGAATCTGACATATCTTCCCAATGGCCTCTGCGCGCTCAATAAAGGGCTTGTCGGCTTCCAATTGCTTTACAAGGTCACTCAGCTCAGGAGGCCCACCTGTCACCGGCTGGCCATTTCGCTGTGAGACGTGACTGATGCGCTGAAGGCTACCATCGGCTGAGTGCGGCCCTGGGGTAGAGCCGGAGCGCAGAGTACCCAGGGAAGGAGTGCGCACCGGAGTCGAGGTGGCAGAAGAGGTCGAGGGCGGCGGCGTGGGGCTCTTCAGGCGACCGCCCGTCAGAGCACGGAAGGCAGTGAAGATGGCCTGGGTCGAGGAGCGTCGATCGGGCGTCTGGGGGACATTATCTGTTGGCGGAGACATACGTCTCGGAGTTGCAGGGTGCCTGGTTCCTTTTTGCTCGCGACTGTGTGGTGACAGTCGGAGGACTACAGGGTCAGAAGCAGCAGAAGAGGAGTAAGGCCGTGGCGCGAGCGCATCGAGTTCATGGGTGCTTCTGGGCGGTGCGGGAGCGGGGTTATTGATGCGCAACGGATCTGCTGGGGAAACTGTGTGGGACAAAGGAGTCGCTGGGAGGGGGCGGAAGCTTATACGCGGCGGGTTCCCATGCTGGCGACGTGGCTCGGCGAGAGGGTGAAGTGTGTCTCGTCATCTGATGGCTGGTCAACGCGTCCATGAGCCGCATAAAATCACGAATTCTGGGGTACGCCGTCCGCCGCTAGTACAGCTAGCCCCGCGCTACCAAGTTTTGGTGGGTATGCCAAACAGACAGCCATCACCGCCTAAACATTCGATTCCCTCTTGTTTTGCACGCAACTCTACCGCTGTACAGAGTCCTAATCGTCACCATGGCCGACATGTCCACACTCTCCCAGCTGCTCGAGGCCAGCTTAGACCCCCGGCGCAACAAAGAAGGTAAGTAACTTTTCGGCTCATCCTCCCGCAGTGCTACATCTCCAATGCGCCTGTTGTACCTCTTTTCCAATATGGCCATCCGCTTTCGGAGACATGTTGTTGACACAATGCCCGTTGGATCACGAGCCGCGAGCTTCTGTCAAAGTCTTGGGCCCGCATTTCCCCCACTGCTCATCAATCGCGTACCTTCAAGACTCTATACTGACTTCCTCCAGCGGAGCAGGCAATTCTGCACGAGGCAAGCAAGCCGGGCTTTTCCCTCACACTTCTCCACATCGTCGCATCCGATGCAGCTCCGCAGAACACTCGACTCGCAAGTGCGCTCTACTTCAAGAACCACATAAAACGAAGCTGGGTGGACGAAGATGGCAATTACAAGCTGCCCGCGGACGAGGTCGTCGCTATCAAGCGCGAGCTGATAGGCTTGATGGTTTCAGTACCACCCAACCTCCAGTCGCAACTTGGCGAAGCAATCGCCGCCATTGCTGAGAGCGATTTCTGGGAGCGCTGGGACACGCTGGTGGACGACTTGATCTCCCGCCTCACACCCGACAACTCCACCGTCAATAATGGTGTCTTACAGGTCGCGCATTCCGTCTTCAAGCGATGGCGCCCTCTATTCCGTTCCGACGACCTCTTCACCGAGATCAACCACGTCCTGTCCAAGTTCAGCACTCCTTTTCTGCAACTGCTTGAGAACACCGACCGCGTCATCACCGCCTCAGAAGGCAACCCCGCAGCCCTGAAACAAGCTTTTACGACACTCGACTTGATAGTGAAGCTGTTCTACGACCTTTCCTGCCAAGACCTACCTCCTGTCTTCGAAGACCACATCGCCATCATCGCTGGTCTTCTCCACAAGTACCTGATCTACGACAACCCTTCGCTACGAACAGATGACGAATCGGAGTCAGGTCCCCAAGAATACGTACGAGCTGGCATTTTTGAGGCTCTTATGCTCTACATTCAGAAGTACGAGGACGTGTTTGGCTCTCAGCTGGGGCAATTTGTTGACAGCACATGGAATTTCCTCATGACGGTCGGCCTCGAAACCAAATACGACATCCTAGTCAGCAAAGCTCTGCAATTCCTCACAGCGGTGGCCGCAACTCAACACGCCGAGAACTTCAACAATCAAGATGTACTCGTACAGGTTATCGAAAAGGTCATTCTCCCGAATTTGACATTGCGTGAGTCCGACGTCGAGCTGTTTGAGGACGAGCCGATTGAGTTTATTCGGAGAGATCTGGAGGGCTCCGACAACGACACGCGCCGAAGAGCTGCAACCAACTTCCTCCGCCAGCTAATGTCTCGCTTCGAAGGATTGGTCACCAGCACTTCTCAGAAATACATCAATGCCTATCTGGAGAACTATGCCAAGGATCCAGCATCGAACTGGAAATCAAAAGACACTGCGGTGTATCTTTTCACTGCGATAGCTGCAAAGGGTACCGCGACTGCTGCGCAAGGTGTTCTTAGTGTCAACGAAAACGTCAACATCCTCGACTTCTTCACGACACATATCGCGTCTGATTTGCAGACAGAGGGAGCTGAGGCCATCCTGAAGGTGGATGCTATCAAGTTCTTGTACGTTTTCCGAAGCCAGCTGTCAGCCGAGCACTGGCGGGCTGCCTTTCCGCTCCTCGTAAACCAGCTTGGCAACGAAAATTACGTAATTCATACATACGCCTCCATCGCTGTGGAGCGGGTCTTGTTTATGACAGATGCCAACAAGCAGCCCATCATCCCTCGGTCTGATGTTGTTGGTTCGTCGAAAGACCTCTTGGCCCACTTATTCAAGCTCATCACGAAGAATTCCGCCCCAGAGAAGATTCAGGAGAACGAATTCTTGATGAAGTGCGTAATGCGTGTGCTCATCTTCATCCGAGATGGTGTCCTGCCAATTTGCGACACGATCTTGAACAACTTCGTTGCAATTGTCAAGGTCATCAGACATAACCCCAGCAATCCCCGCTTCCAGTACTACTTGTTCGAAGGCATTGGTGCGCTCGTACGTTTCGGTGCTCCCAAGTACCCGCAAGTCTTCGAGGAGAAGCTTTATGAGCCCTTTGCAGCCTGTTTATCCGAAGGCGTCGAAGAGTTTAGCCCTTACATCTTTCAGCTCTTCTCCGCCTTGTTGGAGGCAAATCCTTCAAGCGAACTGACCTCATATTACCGAAGCCTGTTCACTATCATCCTACAGGGAGCTATCTGGGAGCAGCGCGGTAACGTACCTGCTCTTGCGCGCTTGCTGACTGCAATGATCGCCCGTGATGCGCAACACATCGTTTCCGATAAGCAGGTTGAACCAATCCTCGGCATCTTTCAGAAGTTGATCTCGGTCAAAGCACACGAGAGCTACGCATTCGAGCTCATTGAGGCTGTCATTACCTACCTGCCACCACAGGTGTTGGAGCCCTACTTCGTCACCATCCTTCAGCTCATGCTTCAAAGGCTTTCCAACATGAAAACTGAGAATTTCCAGCAACGATTTATTGCATTCTACCACTTCATCTCTGCGCGACAGGACAAGGGACTGGGTACTGACTTTTTCATCAATGTCACCGACCAGATCCAGCATGAGTAAGTTTGAACAGTCCATTCGATTTAACACTACTAACATCGAAACAGCGTTTTTAAGCCCATGTACCTCACTGTCATCCTTCCAGAGACACAGAAACTTGCGCGCCCCACTGATCGCAAGACTGCTGTCGTGTCCTTTACCAAGACGCTCGGTGACTCACAAGCATTCGTCGACCGCTACCCCAAGGGCTGGACCTTCACCACTCAGCGTCTGATCGAGCTTCTGGTCAACCCACCAGTCCCAACCAGCGCAGATGACATCATCCCTGACGCCGATGTCGATGAGGTTGGCTTTGGCGTTGGCTTCACGCAGCTCAACACATGCAAGAAGGCACCGCGTGATCCTTTCCCCGAGATCCCGGACGTCAAGGTGTGGGTTGGACAATACCTCAAGGATGCCAATGCCAGACACAATGGCAGGATTGTCAATATTGTTCAGGAACGATTAGACCCAGTGTCCAAGCAAGCACTGGCGGAATACTTGCAGTAATGGTCACATGACCTACTGATACAGGATAAGGTGGTTGGAGCAAAAGTTGGGTCTTTGACGAGCCATAGAGCATATGATACCAGGATAGCTAGCGAGGGATTTTGTTCATCATAGATTTGTAGGTAGCCGCTAAGATCGCGTGAGCGAGCGCATACTATACCTTACGACCTGGACGTTGTGCACGAGCTTCCAAGTGTCGATGGAAGAAAAGATCTTCGAGCTTTGGTGTGTTGTGTGCAAGCCTGGCTCCACGAACCAAAGCAGTAGCGATCGAATAACAACGGGATAAGGTAAGTGCATGGACAGGAACGCACCTGCCACGGTGCTTGCAGACCCACTCTTGCCCTCATCTCCCGCCACAATACTTATATCTCACTCGCATCACATCGTTAACCATTGATTCGCACCAAATCGCTAATCATCATCACTACCCAAACCCATTCATCTCTCGCTCCCCCCGCAATGTCCATTACCCGCACAATCTGCACACAATTCCTCGGCGTCCTCTGCTGGCCTTGCTACGCTTTCGCGATCTGCGTTTGTCCGACGTACGTTGAAGAGGACCCGGAGAGTGGGCCGACGTACAGGGTTGGAAGGCTGGCGCCGAAGACGGGACAGATTGTGCCGTTCTCTACTTGATTGGCACGGATGGTTGAAGGTCAGAAGGTGAAGAGGGATGGCTTTACGAAGAACGGCTTCGGCTGGGGATCCCCAGACGCCTTCGGACGAACCGTCACTCCAATTAACAGCACTTATCCCAGATCGGCCACGTCTTCGAATGGTGGTTGAAAAACTACGCCTTTGGCGGCGCCGGGTGGCGCATGAGCCGACAGTCCTACAACGCAATTCACGACGCCGGTTGACCATCACACGGCCGCCAGCGGACCAGGCTTCCATGAACTCCGATCAAGACTCGCCAGCCTCTAAGACACATTTCCCATGCGTTCAATTCCTCTATCGCTGCCTGTTGGCATGTTTACCTAGGGTCACACATAGCAATACACAACAGCTGACGAATCAAAATCCTAAGGATTTACACCAAGCCTCAAAAGTCTCTCAGTCCCAGTCCCGGTTTCTTCGCTTGCCAGGCGAGCTCAGGAATCTGATCTACCAGTACATTGTGGCAAACGATACCTTCCACATCGCGGTAAACCAGCGCGCCAGAAGATTGGGCTATGTCAAGTGCACTTAGTGGTCAGCGCCGACATACAAGGGATGCATCTTCAAAAAGAGCTATGGCGGAGAAAACCATCAATTTTTCGTCCGCATGTGCCTCGACGGCAAAATGAATGACGCTGGGATGTGGGAAAGCTCTGAAAGAACCGATGGCGATGTGATGAATTTGCTGCGTACTTGCAGAGACATGTAAGACCTCGACTGCGTACCCTACCCCACTTCGCCGGACTGACGTACAACTATTTAGCTACAGCGAGTGCATCGACCACGTGTACATGCAGAACACCTTCTCCTTCTCCGATTTCTTCACCTTCAGTGTCTTCCACAACGTCACGCTTCCGAATCGCTTCGATCGTATCCAGCATTTGCACATCGCACAGACATACAAATGGGATTTTGATCATGCATTCCAGCTCGGGCGACAGTGCACGACATGCCCAGTGGAGCACATGTTTGAGTATAGCTGGGCACCTCGCGACGAGTATACATGGCAGACGACTTGGGATATCATAGCCCGCATGCCGAGCTTAAAAACTCTAGATGTTCTTTTGCACTGGGAGGACTCTCACTTACACCATAGTATGCAGGGAACCCTTTCGGAGCAAGATGAATTGAATCTCTTGGAACAGAGATTCTTCGCCCCGATGGCCAATGTGCGCACCGCGGGTTTACTGTTTGAGGTTCGAGTCAATTGGCCAGGAGAGTTCTACTCTGCGCCTTCACCTTTTAAAGTGGTCAGAAACACTACAGGCTTCGATATCCCGGATGAAGGATCGAGGTTCGTCAGGGCGAGCTAGACAGTATTCCCATGCGGCGTAGTGCCGCTTTAATCTAAAGACAGCGCATTCATTCGTAGAAACAATTGCGATACCGCCCGTCCTCAAACATCCCTCACCTCATAACTAACCTTACTAATCCCCTTCTGCCTCTTAATCCCCCTCACCACTACCTGCCCACACTCCCTCAACGCCCTCACATGCGTGCCCCCACACGGATAACTCCCCACATCCCCCAATCTCCACCACCCTCACGCCATCCTCATCGCCCCTTGAAACTCTCCACCACCCCCTGTACACTTCTCGCGCGCTTTCCTCCTCGCCTCCAGAAATGTATCCCCTACCGGTAAATCCGCCGCGACCATTTTCGTCGACTTTAGCTTGGATCAGGGTCCTTCGCGGTTTCCGGGGATTAGCCCGGCGAATTCGACGAATGCGGCACCGGGGTTAGTGTGAGGCCTTGCCGTCGCGCAGATCTGAGGGGAGGGAGCCGGAGAGCATGAGGGTATTTATGGCGAGGCCGATGACGTGGCCGGCGGTGTGGATGCGTGAGTGCAAGACTCTCTTGTCCACGTCGATGTTTTGCTCGCCATCTTGCTCCTCGACGAATTTCTGGCCCTCCGGAGAAAACGTCCCCAGGTGGAATATTGCGCCATCTTCAGCTGGTTTTCGCACCTGATGCACGGCAAAAGTCGTCCCGTTGGATGTGATCGTGCCCGTGTCGGATGGCTGGCCGCCTCCCTGCGCGTGGAAGATTGTCGAGGGCGTGGTGAGAATGAAGGGTTCTTGGGGGTTGTCTTGCGGGGCTTTGAAGAGGGATTGGGTTTCGAGGGGGAGGGAGGAGAGGGGTTGGATGGAGGTTATGGGGCTGGTGTGGGTGTAGAGGTGCCCGTCTTTTTGGTAGAGAGGGGTTGTGCGCTGGGTTAATGGCGACGAGGACATTTTTGGGGAGTTTGTGTAACGCCTGTCAGGAGGGTGTTTTGGAAGAAATGGGCCAGGATAAAGTTGCTATCTGGACGTGGTGGTTGAGATTTTATGGTTTGCTCCGCGGATGTGGGTTCGGAGGCGAAGGGCTGATCTGATGGCGAGTTGCATACAAAGAAGTGCAAGCCGAGGATATACTGACGGCCCTTATCAATTGAATTGTAGCTCACTATATCATCAATGTGTAGAAACTTCGAGATGTCTGCAATGGTGGAGGTAGAGCGCCCTACCGAACTACAAGTCCTAATCGATACCCAATTAGGAAGGTACGAATCTGACCTCACCTCTTTACTCTTGACGTCGCAAAATGTCAACACCATCGCTTCTCAACACTTACAAGGCCTTCCAACATCTAGTATTGTATGTAGAATGTTCAGGAACTCCCAAAGGATCCCGCGGGAGTCCGGCACCTTTCGCGGCATATCTACGGCATACGAGATGTGTTGCATGGAGGTCCCTGAAACGACTAACTAACCATTCGACTCATAACAATGAATTTTCATGGCGGAAGCGTATCCGGCAGATCGACAACACGATGACGGTTAGCGACCAGTAATACACTTTCTGTCACTGCATTGGAATATGATTGAAAATCTATACGCGGTGATCTCTAAGGTCCCTTTTTCTAGGCGGTCTCGATCTAGCCATCTGGGCATTTCTTGAGCTGGGTCCAGCACAGCGGCACATTCGCCCTATTGGATGAATATCGCCGCAAACCACCAGATCCGGGGCATCAGCATGTCCGGGACCTATAATTACTACACGCTTTTGCTGATGGATCAGCCGGGTTATGTTGGAGAAAGAAAGGGCTCGATTCCGCGATAGGCCCGATTGCTAGCTTCTCAACCACACTTGCATCTCATCCTCCCCGATCCGACAGATGACAGGAGGAGAAATGTTCACGCTCATGTCTACATGATCAACGCAGGGGATACGTAAACCAAAGGATTCTCACTCCGCCCTCTTTCGCGACAATGGAATACCGCCTGGATCCGGGCCAGCCCGGCTTTACCCTGATCGCGCAGGACATCATGTGCGCATACCCCATCAGCGACATCTATGCGCAAGCACCCCGGATCCTGTATTACTGCTTGCTCTTCCTGACATTCGTCACGCTGCGACACCGATGGCTTTCTCAGATCTTCCTTACAGGCGCGGTTGCGTATGCTGCCAGCGCTGCGATTCACGCATACATTATTGTGTCGATACCGTCGAAAACACCACCACCTGCGCTGGTCAGTATTCCGTTTATCTCGTCGACATCCAACTTGACCAGGACTATCACGTCGCTGGTGACCAATGCTAGTGCCGTCGTCGTGCAGCCTGACACGGTGGAATTGGACATCGACCCCATCACCGCAGTGGTAGTATCTGCATATCTAGTCGGACTGCCGCTGCAAATTTGGTCACGCACGATGCGCTCGCGAACCATCATCCGCTACATGCTGCTACTTTGGAACCTGTTCATGCTGGCCGGCACAATCTGCGCGCTGGTCGCATGGCCCACGACGAATCTCACTGCGCCGCAGTACCGCTTCTGTTATGATGGCTACCCGGACCAGGATTCAGAGTCCAGCGATGGCTGGGACGCGACGTACTGGCGCGGAACCTGGAATGCGACCGTGTCGGGCATCTTCGGCGATCCAAACATGGTGTGGCAGAATATTTCGAATAATTGCTTCTATCCGTGCTTCAACACGAGCCAGACTCTACGGCAGAGCTCGTCACTGAAAGCTGTTGTCTCGACGCCGACGACGACGTTTGCGAAGCTGCATAATGCACAGCGAGAGATGAAGGATGAGTTCCGGCCGCTGATTTACGTTGCTATTGTGGTCTTCTCGGTGGCCCAGTTCTTTTTGTATACCGTGTCGATTCTGAGATTGGGCAGCGAGTCGATGCACAAAACAATCCACGAACCGCAGTATTTGTGGCGCGACAAGGGCAAGATATGGAATCAGTTGAGAGGGGATATGCTACGGAGCTATTCGACCGTAGTTATTCTGTGTCGGAGGCTTAGACGCCGTGGGCGTAGAGCTTCGTATACTGCGACTGAGCTGCAGCCACGGAGCTTCGTAGCTGTCCTACGCCTGGTTGTCGACATCTTTGCGCTCATGACTCTTCTCGCCGGTATCGCGATTTCTCCTCCCCTGGTGGTGGCGTTTATTTGCTGGATCGAATGGTACATCCGGAACGACGGAGCAACGAATGAAACAATCAACCAAGTTGGGCAGTGGTCGCCTCTGGTTTCGGTCGCGGTTGTGCTTTTTGCAGCGGTTGTTTATCAATGGAAAGGCCGTCTGGCTTCTCGGGATGAGGTTAGTGAAGAGATACGCGAGGTGGAGTTGCGGTTGAGACACCTGAAGGGACAGTTGGAAGAAAAGAGTAGCAAATGAGAGATTGAAGCCGATTCTCAATCATGCGCAATGAATCCCTGTATCCATGCAGGTCACTCAGTCCCAGCTACTCGAGTCCTGGAGAGTCCTTGGTACAATGGTCAAATCCGCCGCCTTGTTCCACGGATCGCCTTTATCCTCATCTGGAGCAAGGACCGCATGGACGCCGTCTGCACGAAAAATACATCTCACTATAGCTTCCACCACAAGCCGCTGAAAATCCAGTATTGTATCCTCATACGTCTCCGGACTATCTTGCGCAAAAATCAACCTGTAAGCACGCCGCTACCGCATTTTGATACGCAGATCCCATGGGATGCTTGAGTAGAGGCACTCTTGAGTAGGCGGTCCGCTATCGTCCAACAACTCCGCAAAACGGACTTTGAGCTTCTCAAGCTCCTTAGGAATATCCTCATGCCCTCCCGAGACTAACTTGCTGGGCAAGTCTTCTGAGTTTGTTATTCCCCGTCGCTGTCATGAGAATCTGCAGAAAGCCGCCGTCGATAGCTAATACGCCATTGTTCCGCAGGGCGAGCAGACCGAAGAATATTACCGGTAATATCAACAGCTGGGACAGTCCATATGGTGGGAAGAAGCTGAATTTGTTGTTGAATTGGTATGTCGCGTAGTTGTAGGAGATCGTACCGTTGACTAGTTGGTACCATTTGTTGATGGTCAGAGCTGAGATTGTAATGTTGGCGAGCGCTTCTTTCAAGAGTGTTTTTGAGACGCGGATGGTGTCCCGGGAAATATCCTGCCGATAGGAAAAGCGGTCGAGGTTGAATGCTGAGAGTGTTAATGTGGTCCCATCTGATGATTTTAGCAGGCTTAAGTGGAGACAGTTCACATGAGTCTCTGGTGAAGAAAGTAGATACTCACTAGTGCTCGGTGCATGAGATCTAGCAGTGTAATCGAGAGTGCAAACCTCGACTTCGGTGCCGTTTAAGCAACGGGATAAGGTCCGAATTTGCGAGTCGTGGAGTATCAAGCGGATTTTGTACCCATCCTTATAGATCATAGTAAATTAGCGGGCACCAAGCTTTCAGAGTCGAAGCTGGATCACCGACCTGACCTATGACGATATTTGCGGGCCCGCCATACACTGATGTTTTGTTCCAATCGATCTTGATGATGAGTCCGACTCATAGCGACGCAGTCCGTCCTTGGGCAGGAGATGATCAGACTTAGGCGGCATCTTCATATCTTGTCTTCGAGGCTGAAAACTTAACTGCGACAGTTTTGCTACGGAATCAGGCAAGAAGAAGAGCGCTGCCGATATTTGGTGTGCTATAGAGATGGAGAAATGGAGCCAGAAGAGCAGCGAGAGAAGCTAGGGCACGGCCCCACTTGTCGTTCAAGTTTGGGCAGGTACCTACGACACTTACCTAGGTAGTTCGATGGAAGGTTGCGCCCAAATGTGCTTGACTGACCTTGTTACAGACCATCATTGTCGATGAATGTATTACAATACTCGCTCATTACTCAATACACGTGACAAACGCGCCCAGAACGCCAGGCTATGCATAGAATGATCTATGATCTTGCCGCCAGTTTCATTCCGATCCCGCTGGATATCAACAACAGCTTCCCCAGCCCTGCTGTTTCCCCTTCTTCGCTGCATCGTTCATACCCAAGTTTACACCCGCTCGATTCCCGCCCCCAGCTCCAGGGCCCTTGACACCGCTTCTCCGGTCGTTCAAATCGTATTTGCCGGCCTCGATATTCTGATATATCCTCTCGGCGACTTCCAGAAACGCCCTCTCTACCCCCTCGCCGTTCTTCGCGGACGTCTCGACGTACTCCATGACGCCATTTGCTTTGCACCATTCTTCCGCCTCTTCCTTGGTGACTTGCCGCTTGTTGTCTGCTTCTGAGTCCGAGACTGTTGATGACGACGCCAAGTCGCTCTTGTTACCGACCAAGACCACTACAATGCCTTCCTCGGCTATTTGCCGCAGATCGTGCAGCCAGCTCGTTGCGCTGAGGAATGTGTTCTTGCGCGAAATGTCGAAGACGAGGAGTGCGCCTGATGCGCCGCGGAAGTAGCTTCTTGTGATACTCTTGTACGTTTCTTGGCCTGCCGTGTCCCATAATGATAGCTTCATGTGCTTCTGCGGTTGTTGCTTTGCTGCGTCTTTCGCTGACGGTTGTGGGGCGGATTTGGAGGGGTTGTTGATGCTGAGAGAGAGCGATGCGGGTGGTCCGACAGGGACTATGCGCGACCCGAATTCGACGCCGATAGTGACATCGTGGTGTGGTGAGAAGCGGCCTTCGCAGAGGCGGACTGTGAGCTGGGGGTTGTCAGAATGGCATCTTAGAGGCCTGATTGTGGCGCTTACACTTGATTTACCGCATCCAGAGTCCCCGAGCGAGACAATCTTCGCTATGTAGTCCCATGGCTGAGACATGTGGAGAAGTTGTGCCGAACGGGAGGGCTGAGGTGCGCAAGCTCGTTGTGGGTTTGAAGTTGAAGTAATGGCGGGGCGGGGGTCAATATCAATCGCTGGATGTAGGTTGGGTTTGACAAGCAAAACAGGGCGTTTGTCGCAAAGCAAAAGTATGGAGATGATGGAGTCGAAGGATGGGGTCTTAGGTCAGTGTCTGGGGTCAGGGTCGAAGAGGTGCGTCATTTAGCGTCAGGAAGCAGCTCAGCCGTACTCAGAAAAATCCCCGTCACATTTAGCGCGACATGACCGGAACTACGTAGCTGGTATGGTATCCACAGCTATCTGCATGCGAGTTGCGCCTAGCCACGACTTGGTAATCCGCGGTGCTCAGATGGCCAGCGTGATCACGTCTTATGGAGTGAGCTATTGTCGCATGTGTAACATTGCTGCAGTACTGGCTTTGGTGATACTCTATAATGCAGCGCAAGAGTGAACGTTGGAGCTGCCTTCTTTGTTATCCCGAGACGACATGACAAAGCAGAGAAGGTCTTCTATCAAACACCAGCTGTCCAAGCCCTGCCCAACATCTAGCCAAGGGCAGTCCCGGTGGCACGAAGCATATCTCAAAGTGAAGCGTGATCCCTGAGTGGCGCACGTGGTTCAAGTCAGCAGCCCGGGCCGCTACCGGTACCTATCGATAGGCAGGCGCGAATGACGAAGACGCCGACGCGATCACCGCTCCAACCTCCAGCGCCTCGTCGGAGCCTCACGCACCTAGAGAGCTCCTCCTGCGCTATTCTTACGCCTACAAGCCGCAAACAACCCGTCGTATCTCTTATCCCTTTCACTGCAGCCCCGACGCACCAGACTTTACCCGCAGCTGCATGCCCTGGGAGCTGTTGTGGAGACGGCCTCATCATCGTTCCTAGCGCCCCAGGGAACCACGACTCCCAGCACTTGAGGCTGCACCAACGATAAAGGCACCTTTTCGCGTGTAGAAAGCCGCAGAGGCAGGCACGGGCAGCCCAGTTCCGCTCCGCTGCCCACCATGTTTTCCGAATGTAAGCCTCGTGCTGCCTTATCACTGCGTGTGACGCTGGCGCCGTCTGCTGCTCGCCGACTCGTGTGACTGACCTCGTGCTTCTCAGATGCCTCCAAGTTCCTCTCCCAGTCTCAGTCGCGGCTGTCGCTGGGCGGTCAGCAAGAGTCGACCTACAACAGCCGCAACCCCTCGGACAGACAACGACCCTCTTCGCGCGCCGCCCAAGCCTACCTCCAGCGTCGCAACATGCCGAACCCTTACAACTCGCAAGCCGCGTCGCGCTTCGCCTTCGCATCGCGGACCTCGAACGCACCCGCTCCGCTGTTCTACTCGGCTACAGACGACTTCCGGGAAGAGGACGACCATGTGGAGCACGACCGCGAAATGGCCGACCACTATGCGCTGCAGCGGTCACGGCGGCAGTTCGGCGCCAGCAACCTGTCCGAGTCATCTGAAGTCGAAGACGATGGGATATACCGCTCAGACCACACAATAGAAGCCGACCGCGGCGAAAACGATGCGCCTGGCTACGGGCTGGGAGGCGGAATTAAGAGCTCTTGGAAGGGCGATAGGCCAGCGCGGGGGAGATCGAACACGGCGAGACATGTAGACGACGAAGAGCGAGACTCGAGCATCCCGTTATCAGAATCAACAGATCCGAGCAGCAGGGGAAGAGACCGACTGGTAGATGTGGAGCTCGAGTCCACTGACCGGGACAGCATGGAAGCCGTAGAAAGAGACGAACTGCTTGGGCATAAAGAACTGTCACCTCCATCATATCAGCAATTTCGGAATGGGCCAAGACAGAAACGCGGCCGCAGTCCTCTACGCGCCACGCTACCAATACCACAAGAAACTGACGAAGACACCTACCTCGAGCACCCACGGCCGATAAGTCCGGATCGCCAAACAGTACCAGATGTTGTACCAGAGAATCCCACAATACCGCCGCGGCACAACTTCTTCTGGGCTGAGCTCTTCATAATCATACAGTGCGCCATCATTGGCGTCTTTTTCATTTCACTGCTTCAGGAATCGCCGCCAAGTAGGAAGAACCCCATCGGCGATACCATCTACACCGTCCTGCGCTCGTCCTTCCACCTCATCGGCGTTTACTCGCTGGTGTCGATTGTGGTTGGACTGCTATGGCTATCGTTGCTACGCTCCTTTGCGCGACCCCTGGTGATGCTCATCCTGGTCGCTGTACCGGTCATTTCGTTCTCCTTCTTTCTGTACCCATTCATATCGAGCTTCAAAGGCTCATGGCATGGTGATAGCATGCAGGACAAATTCATGCGCTGGCTTTCGGTCGGTCCGTTGGCTCTCACTGTCTTCTGGATCTACACTGCGTTCAAAGGACGGCATTCTTTGGACAAGGCAGCTGGCATGTTGGAGTTTTCTGGCGAAATTCTGCGATCGCAGTTTCCACTGCTCATGGTCGGCATCGCCACACTTGCAGCAGTCATCCTCTGGTCTTGGATCTGGATCCTCATGTTTACACGCCTCTTCCTCGGCGGCCACTTCACCGGCAACAAGTCGCGCTGGATCATCGACGCCAGTACATGGTGGCTCGGCGTAGCTTTCTTCCTCGACTACTTCTGGACCCTGGGCGTTATCGCCGGTGTTCAACGCGCAACTACCGCAGCTACAGTCTCCCAATGGTACTTCCATCGCAACAGCGTCCCCGCGCCGCCCGCGTGGACCGTCGTCCAAGCTTCTCTCAGCCACGCAACATACACGATGGCTGGCACAATCTGCATGTCCACACTCCTCACCCTCCTCGTGCGCTTGCCCCTTATCGTCTTACCCCGCCGCATCGCAGGCATGATCAGCATGTGCGCATATAGCATGATCCCCACCCCGATCGCCGCAATGACGAACCCGCTCACTCTCACATTCGCATCCATCCACGGTGTCCCACTCAGTCAAGCTGCCCGTGGTCTTAGCCAATTGAGCTTCATCTCTCCAGATTCACCAACCACGACGCTCGGCCCGAGAGACTTCAAGAACAACACACGCCCCTCGATGCAGTCTTACCGTCTGGCTAAATTGCTGCTTCACGCTATTCGCTGGGTCATTACGCTCTCCCTTGGTTTTGGCGGCTGGGTTAGCACGGCACGCATGCTGCAGGTTGGCGGGAGCGTGCCGTATAAAGGCAGTCTGTATGCATACGTTGTCGGATTGATCAGTGCGGCCATTGGATGGGGTGCGTTAGGCGCTATGGAGGGCGTGCTGGGTGGAATCCTTGACGCAGTGCTTGTCTGCTGGGGCAGTGAAGTGGGCAGGGATGGCGAGGGCGAAGCGCGGTATTGTGTTGACGCAGGGAGGTTGTTCGGGAACGAGGTCATCGGGCAGAGTGTGGGTGGAAGGGGGAGGTGGGATGTCTAAGAGGGGTTTGAGATGTGGTGTTTCAACATATCGGAATTTGTGATGAGGATAAGGACAAGGGGCGTTTTTACACTTTGGGTATACCCAATACATTATCAAGTTGATAGAATTTTCATCCGTCTTTCCGATACACCGGAACAGAATCTGGACACGTTGTGGTCTTGTCTTGTATGCGACTCCCATTACCTGCCCGCCAAGTCCTTACACCCATACCCTTCGTATCGTGTGTATCATGTTTTCTTACCGTGCTGCCGGAGCTCTACCAATCATTTCCTTTGGGTCTGAAATGCTCAGTCGCAAATATATGCATGACCATGACGAGCTTGACGACACGCCTCGTGTCGCTTTCGACGGCGTCTATCATTTCATCATGGATCTGCCTTAGTCCATGCACCTTATCTGATCGCTCCACCCGCTGATTCAGAAGTTCATCAGCAAGCGCACAAGCTTCAGTGCGTTTGAGGAATGTCTGAATGGGCGGCCGACAGGGTAGCGGGAAGCCGTCAATAAACTGGGAACCGTAGCATCTAAGCGAATTGACTGTATCATACAGGTTGCCGTTCAAGCGACCAAGCTCATAGTCATGTGCGTAACACACAACGGCGTATAGATCCACATAACTCATCATCGCAGTGCCGAGTGCTGCTCGTAGGGCGTCTGCGATGGGGCGGCTTGACTGGTGATGCAAGCGGAGGGTCAAAGCTAAATTCAGCAAGCCCCGACCTTCGCAACCTTCGTACGCTGCTTTGACAGGCATGCCATCGAGTGGGGCGTAGGATGGATCCGCCAGAGCGGCGTCGAACGTGGTGATAGAAGGTTTGCTCAGGCCGTGGGCCTTGAAGTAGCTGTGTTCGCAGAGACTGTCCAGAGTTTTGCGAACTAGACCACGATCTTTGATTGAGTTGGTGAAAGGGCCAGTCAGGCAGGTACGTTTAGGTTCGCCGTGATTGCTGTTCCATTTTATCTCGATCCAGAAGATTACATCGTCTGATAGAGTAGTCATAGTGCTTTGGTGGCGACATGGAGAGCGCCAGGACTACATTTTATACGACAGCGAATTGCTGGAAACTTGCTGAAGCAGGTGTGCTGGTCACAAGACGCTAATCACACAGCAACGGATTGTTAGCAAACTGGAAACGCATATATCGCATCGTGATGCATGTAAACCAATGCCACCTAATATTGTTCGACGCGAGATCAATGTCTGACCTTGCATACGACGTCATTATATGGCTGGAAGTGGCGTATCGAAACCCAGCCAAGGTGAGCACGTTTGATCCTTACGCCAACTCAGGTCTCGACCAGTCACTCATTCGAGAGAGGCTGTATGAAATCGGCGGTGAACATCCAGTGAACAAGCTTTCCGAGGAAGCGATCAACCGAGGCTTAAACGAAAGCCCGAACTTTGATGGAATCCATGGTCTGACATGCCATGACGACGAGGGCAACATATACTTCACCGTTCTCGTGAAGAGAGACGAACGCTGCAGTCGCTGGTAAACTGCGCACTGCGAGCGAATACTCGACCCTGACTCTCTATCACGTACAGGTGACGGACTGGTGGCCACAGATACATCTCGACGCAAATGGCTCACTGGTGGACGTGATCAGCGAGCGCTTGGACAGCAATGGCATAAGGCTGCAAAAGAACGATCTCTTCGAAACATGGCTTTCGCAGGAAGGTGCCATCGCGCGTGCCCAGGGTCAGTTGCATGGTGAGCCCGCGGTCGGCAGAAATGTAGTCCCGGTCCAGCTTGTTGATGGGATACTCGCTGGAAATGGTGACAGTCGCAGGTTACGTCTGGAGAACGGTGGTGGTTCTGGAGTATGGTGTCTATGAGAGGAGGAGAATGTGAACGAGGACGAAGAAGGGAATGGTGGCCGCAGCGGAGAAGCACAGTCAGCTGAATGAAGTAATGTACCCAGGTGCACGATTAGTAAGCTAAAGGTGAATTGCTGGCGTCCTCTATGCGTCTTTCATTATCAAGTAGTGCAGGTAGAGCATGGAGGTGGTGAAGGTGGGATGTGGATGTGTTGTGAGCCAGGCCCTGATGCGTCATGGCTCGCTTAACGCGACCCCAGCCGAACGCGTTGGCGGAAGGTGGGACTTGTCAACATTCACGACTGCAGCCCAAGCTGCAAGCCCTAATGCGGCGGCAACACACTTAGAGCAGCTGCAGACGACACATGGAGCACTTCGGAAGCAGCAATGTCTACTCGCATCCCTCCCGGCACGAAACCTTCGACTGCTGAACGCCGCTCCGCCAATGCGAATTACACCTCCACTGCGCGACCCCGCGTCGCATCCGCTGCCACTGGAGACGAGAGCGACCGACGCGCCTCAGCCACAACATCGCACACACGGAAACAGTCACATGCCATGGGAGGGACCGGCGCATCCTCGGGCGAGCGGCGCATAGAAAAGAAAGAGGTGCGCGAAAGGGAGACGGAGATACGGCGGACGAGAACGAGAAGCCCACTGAAACATTCAAGCGAGAGTCGAGTCAACGCGCGAAGTCGGGGAGAGAAACCACCCAAAGAGACGGAACGGCCGCCCAGGAGCGCGCACTCGGCCAAGTCGTCCCCAGAAGAGGCTCAGACGCCATGGGAGCCCAAAGCCTCGCTGGTTCCGCATACGACCGCTCCGCTCGCGACGCGCATCTCGATTCCTCCATTGGCCTCGACTGCGCCTATTGCGCTGCAGCCAACGCCTCTTGCGCAGCTGTCGCTTGATGCACAGGAGAAGGCTATCATCGAAGACCTGCTGTTCGTCTTCATGGGCTTTGAGGGACAGTACATACGCTTCAGCGAGACGTACAATCCACACGAAGAGAAGGAGCGACTGGTTGGGCCACAGTTCCGGATCCTACCCGGTCTCGACCCAAGCTTGCGGGACCTCACCAAATCCATGCTGAAGACTGCGACGCATTACATTGCAGTAGAAACATGTATAGAAGTGCTCAGCAGGGAAGAGTACGGCGCCGTCAACCATGCTCTGTGTGCGGCAATTCGGCGGCTTATGAAGGACTACCTCACACTAATTGCGCAATTAGAGCATCAGCTGCTTACCAACGACTCTTTCACGCTCCACGTTCTCAACCTCCACACGAAACAAACGAGCCACATGCTTTTCCAGCTCTACACCACAGGAATCGAGCTACTCAAGGCCAACGACATCCTAGAAGACGACAAGGACGAAGACTCTGCCGACGACGATAGCAACGACTTTGAGAACATCTTGGAGTCGCTGCGCGAAGGTGGCAATGCGACGAAGAAATTATGCAAGGGCGGCAGTGTGTTGGGTCTGATCACAAAGCGATTGTCGTCCATGTCCGGAGATCCTGCGGCAAGAACGCTGCTCACAACACTGTTGCGCGAGGCCAGTAGACCATATATGGCTATGCTGAACGAATGGCTACACCATGGAGGCATCAAGGACCCACATTCCGAGTTCCTAATCAAGGAGCAAAGAAGCATCAAGCGAGAACGGTTAGATCAAGACTATACTGACGAGTACTGGGAGAAGAGATACACGATGCGCGACGCACTTGTGCCACCACAACTCGAGGCAGTCAAAGACAAGGTACTACTCGCTGGAAAGTACCTGAACGTTGTTCGCGAATGCGGAGGTGTCGACGTCAGCAAGATCGTGCAGGACGCTCCCACAAGCTTCGACGACCCGCGGTTCCTAGACAATGTCAGCTCGTCCTACGCATACGCAAACTCGTCTCTTCTGAATCTCCTGCTAACCACACACCAATTGCCCGCACGGCTGCGATCTCTCAAGCATTACTTCTTCCTCGATCGGTCCGACTTCTTTACCTACTTCCTCGAGATGGGCGAGCTAGAGCTCAAGAAGCCAGCAAAGGCTGTCAATGTCGGCAAACTGCAGTCATTACTTGATCTTGCAACGCGACATGCTGGTTCCGTGGCCGTTGAAGATCCATACAAGGAGGACATCAAAGTGCATATGAACGATACAGGTCTGACAAACTGGTTGATGAAGATCGTCAATGTGCAAGGTCTGGACCAGGACGCCGCTGCTGCCTCGATATCGAACTACACCCCAGCCAATACCGCACCAATCACTGATGACTCCAATATCACAGGATTCCAGGCTCTACAATTCGACTACGCAATGCCCTTCCCTCTGTCACTCGTTGTTAGCCGAGTGACGCTCACACGATATCAACTGCTCTTTCGCTATTTGCTTAGCTTGAAGCATCTCGAAACAGATCTCGCCAAGTGCTGGGGAGAGCAAGGCAAGAACGCAGCCTGGAAGCATCGGTCGCGAAACCCTCGCATCGAGCTTTGGAAGCGGAAAGCATGGACACTACGTGCACGCATGCTGGTCTTCGTGCAGCAACTTACTTACTACTGTACCGCAGAAGTCATTGAACCAAACTGGACATCACTGATGTCGCGCCTGAACGAAGAGAAAAAGGGCGATGCCAAGGGCAAGAGCAAGCAGGCTGACGATGATAGCGGAGGGCCGCAAGTGAAGCGAACAGTTGATGAGCTGATGCAAGACCACGTTGACTTCCTTGCAACTTGTTTGAAAGAGTGCATGCTTACTAACAGTAAGCTGCTCCGAGTAAGTCACCGATTTCCATTTTGCTCTTCCCTAGCTAACACCAAGCAGATCAACAACAAAATCATGTCAACATGCAGCATGTTCGCCTCCTTCACCTACTCGCTCTCCCGCTACCTCATCACCGGCGACCCCGACCTCGTCACCCAAGTCAACGCCGCCCTCAACCCAGCTTCCAATCCTCGCCCCAACGCCGCCCGCTCCACCGCTAATACCCAGTTCGTCTACGACCCCCAGCGCGTCGAGAAAATGTTCGACATGCTCGCCAAGTACGAGGAGAACTTCACCCGGCATCTTAAGATTTTGCTGGATACATTAAACTACCTCGCTGCGACAGAGACGGTGGTGTTCTTGAGTCTATGTGCGAGACTGACTAGTGCAGGAGAAGGATTGAGTGGGTTCCAGGCCCCGATGGGTATGGAGGGGATTGTATAGTGTGTTCAATCTGCAAGTCTTTTGTGCAAATATGATACCATTTGTCTTTTGGCGCAATTCTTCTTCGCTTGCGGCGAGTTCTTCTGCTAAGACAGTCTTCTCTAGTCAATCTTTCGCGCCGGGTATTGTACCTGGAAATCGGAACACAGGTGCCGAGTACACAAGCCAAATTCGTTACTCCACATATGTTTGCCAAGTCTTGGCTGCAGTTTTCGTGTACTTAAGCAGTATACAAGCCGAGCTTGCGATCCACACGTCCGTCACTGTGATTTACATCAGGTTATGATGCTGTCACGCTAGCGGTATAAAGCTCAACAGCGCTCGCATGGAAGTGCTGATGCACAGTAACTAGTCGCCATGCTTCAACTACTTAAAGCTTTGATTGCCCTCGGCCTCGCCAGTCATGCGATAACTTTTGCAGAAGCAGCCTCTATCCTCTTTACTGACGCCACAATCATCACATTCAATGCGAACACTTTGCGAACGGAAGTTATTCACGACTCTTCGTTGCTTGTTGAGGGGGACCGAATAAGCCAGATCTACAATGGAACTACACCAACGTCGTATCCCGATGGTACGGAGGTGGTCGAAGCCACTGGCAAGATCATTAGTCCCGGCTTCATCAACACGCACCAGCATCTATGGCAGACTGCTTTCAAGACGATCGCGTCTAATACAACATTAGTAGAGTACTTCCAACGATATGGCTCATCTGGCCCGTCAATCCAACACTTTACGCCGGAAGACAAGTATCTCAGCCAGCTAGCTGGCAGTCTTGAACTTTTGAATTCCGGTACAACAACAGTCCTAGACCACGCCCACGGCGGTTCAAGCAACGAGACAGCCGACGCCATCTTCACCGCCACCCTCGAAAGCAAACTCCGCACCTACCACGCATTCTCCATCCAATCCCTCCCAAACAACTACACCACCTCCGCCCAAATCGCCAAAGTCACCAGTTTCGCCAACGATCCACGCCTATCCAACAACTCCCTCGTCTCCCTCGGCCTCGCATACGACAACTTCGACGCCGCCCCAGCTTCTCTACTAACATCCCTCTGGTCCCTCATCCACACCGCCAACCTCTCAGTCATAACAACCCACACCCTCGGCGGGCCATGGATAACCGGCAACACACCATCTCGCCTCGCGTCTCTCGGGTGGCTCAACACATCCATCCCCGTGATTTTCAGCCACGCGTCCTTCATCTCCCCATCCGACGTGTCTGCGCTGCGCGAAACAAACCAGTTCATCAGCACCACGCCCGAAAGCGAAATGCACTACGGACACGCGCACCCATCCGCAGACTCCATCCAGGACCAAGCATCTCTCGGTGTCGATACGCATTTTACGTTCGCCGCAGACATGGTCGGCCAGGCGCGGCTGTGGATGCAGAATCTGCGGCTGGGCAGGGTGGAAGAGGTACTTGTGGGGAGGGGCCAGATTGCGCGAAGTAATCCGATGAGTGTGGAGCAGGCTTTCCACCTGATTACGCGCGCTGGTGCGTTGGCGCTGCGCAGACCGGACTTGGGCGTCGTCGCGCCGGGTGCGAAGGCTGATCTCGTGCTTTTCGACGGCGAGACGCCGGGGATGCTGGGGTGGAGCGATGCTGTTGCTGCTGTTGTTTTGCATAGTAATGTTGGGGATGTGCAGGGTGTGATGGTGGGTGGGGAGTGGGTGAAGAAAGAGGGCAAGTTGGTGTTTCCGGGGTATGCGGATGTTAAGCGGAGGTTTTCGGCGAGTGCGAGGAGGATTCAGGGGATTTGGGCGGGGATGGAGTGGGGGAGGGTGGACGGGGGGATGTGGAGGAATCAGACGCAGTTTGGGGATGTGAGGGAGGTGGATGTTTTGAGGGGGGACGGGACGGGATACTGATGTTGGTAATCCTTCATCGTGTGATAGTATTGCAATCACTGTCTATGTCGTAATATCTTCTCTATCTACGACTCCTTAAACGGACATCCCTTATCCGAACTACTACTCTTCGTCTTCTCCTTGACCACCTTCCACGTCAAATCCATCAACTGCTCTCCAAGGTTCTCATCATTCGCCAACTCACTCCCAGGCTCCACAATCGCCGGTGGGCAAATATACTGGCCTGATTTATCCGTCTTGGTCGCAGCAAACATCGTGCTCACACAGCCCTCAAACTGGCTCTTCTTGAAAGGCTGCGCACCAACGCTCATGCCGTACCCAAGAAGTGGGTACGCCTCGTGGATGTGCTCAGTGGATTGCCGCGTCTCTACAATACCAGGGTGCGTGGCGTTAGAAAGAATGTTGGGGTACTTGGAATGCAGGTGGCGGTCGAGATATCTCGCGTACAGGATGGCCGCGAGCTTTGAGCGGCCATATTGCGGGTTTGGTCCGAGATCCGTGTTCAGCTCATCTATGCTGGCGAATTTGGTGTCCTTGGGCGCCATTTCGTGCGCGTTGGATCCGAGCTGGACAATGCGGACGGTGTCGCCTTTGTCTGCGGTGGACTTGAGAAGGGGGAGAAGATGCGAGGTCAGGACAACGTGGCCGAAGTGGTTGGTGGCCATGTGCAGATCGATACCGGCTTTGTTGAGCTGGTAGGACATGATTCCTCGGGCTGCGTTGTTGATGAGGATGTCGAGGCGGTCAGTCTTGTCGGCGATCTCGAACGCGGCTTTGCCGGTTTGTTCCCAGTCTGAGAGGTCGCACTGAATGAAGACGACTCTGTCGGCTTTGTCTTTGCCCATCTCTTGCGTTATTGCGTTGATTGCATCTGTGACAATATCCTCGCTCTGTGACAAGATGAAAAGCTTGCTGACATTCTTGGACAGGAGAGTGTGGGTGCAGCCATAGCCAATGCCTTCAGATCCACCTGTTACAAGAGCGACCTTGCCAGATAGATCTGGCACTTCTTCAAGGGCGAATTGCTGGTCCTTCGGGGCGAGCGAATGAGAGCCCAAGATCTGGTTGCCCAGGTTCTCGGCAATGGTGTTCTTGACAGCCTGCATGGTTGAGGGTCCTGATGGTACTGGTCCTTTGAGGCGGTCGTTACTTTCAGTAGAATATGATCTGCTTGTCTGGGTGAAGTACGATCGAGCTACAGAAACTCGAGAGGCTGGAACGGAGGATGAACAACGCAGGGCGGGAACAGATCTAAATAATCTTAGGGACTGCATCTTTTGCAGCACCACATAACAGCGAGCGTCTCTCTATGGTCGATGCCAGACCAGCCAAGACCTCTGTGACGTTGGGTACAATTGACCAATGCCATTTTTTCTTGATGTCAGCATTTATTACTGCTCCTTTGTGGCTGGTAGGATGATGAGTGGATGCATCACTTCAACATGACGCGTCGATGATCTATTTGGCGCTATATCATGTTAGGCCTAGTCGCCGCGGGCCGTTTCCTCCACGGAACGTCGCGTCTCACTTCAGCGATCATCCAGAGCTGGGCTTTGCTCTGACAATCTCGAGGTACTACAGCAGCAAGAATAGCTGTGTGAATTCAATTTTCGTCTTAGTATAACTGGCCTGTGCCTCAAACGGTTTTAAACTTCATGCCCGATTCAGCCCCAGAAAATCACCTTCAGCGTGCGGCTACACAACGTTAGCGCACGCGTTAGACCCGTCGCATTGGCGCCATGGCAGCGCCCTTTGTCCACCCACAACGAGCTGCCTTACTAGCAGATGAGCCGCAAGCTGGCAGCGATGCAACCGTGTCTACACGCCAATACCGCATCAACCGCGAACTAGTTGATATACTCCAACGTCCAGCAAAAGGCCCAACCTCAATCCAAGGGATCGGACTGTACACGCATGCTGCAGCCCCAAGGTCATCTGACAGCGGCAATGACCAACCCTCGACACCCAGGTTTCTACCAATCGGTCGTTCCAAAGCGGTGCCGCAGGATGAGAGCGGAGATGGGCCCCTGATCAGCGAAGACGTCCGCAGGGTCTGGTACGAGCTCCGTGAGGCCATTAACGAGGAAGAGGAGCATTTTGGGCAAGCTGATATGAGCATGGAACAACTGAAAGAGAGGTACGCTGCGCTGGATGTACCTGATGGGAGCATGCCAATAGCTCAAACTACACATGCGCAACAGCAAAAACAACTACAATATGCTTTGGAGTATATGCGTCTTAAGAAAAGGGCGATTGCGCAATCTGGAGATGCTGCTGTGGCCGGGACAAATGCAGATGGTGCAAGTGTGGCAGCAACCAGCACAAACCCAGCGCCAAGGGGAAATGAGTACAATGGATCAAGAGATCCACGGAGGAATTGATGATCTGAAGGAAAGGAAACCACGGCCACAAACACTATCGAGATACCCTTCCGAACGAAGTTCACTCTTACGAGTGTTAATTGTGGGAGCGATGTGCCGCCGAGCGAGATATCTCCTGGAATGCTCACGAAGAGAGAAGGGAATTCCACGGCTGCAACTTTACAAGTAGGCTGGGTAGCTACAAAAAGTAGATGCCCTGAACTGTGTCTTGAGGAGAATTACCACATCTTGCGCATTGTATGTCGTGAGAGCGCAATGTTGTATTTGTCATTGGTCACACGAACACGACCGTGAACAATCGACGCGACATGTGTCGACAGCGTGGGATTGGATGGCTGAGCTTTGAAACTTTGAGTATATGATTCTTTGCAAGTGAATGATCTCACGTGATAGCACATTGTCTGAGCTCAACCTGTCGCCCAAGCCGTCCGACGACAAACTGGGCGTGCCAATTTCACCTCTTTCCAGGCTAGTCGCTCACAGCTTAGCCCGAAAAACTTCCCTTATTCATTTATGTCCCCATCATCACGGAGTATGTCTATATTCAACTGCCCCAAAACTTCTGCGTCACCACTACCAGACATGTCTCATTCCACCTCCAACCCCGCGCTCCCATACACACCAATGAGTGAAGACGACTGGGATACAATTTACATATCGATCATATTCGCAGTCCTGTTTCTTTCATTTATTTGGATGAGCGTGTACCTCCTGTGCGGCCGATCAAAGCCGCGCAATCAGAAAAACAAAAAGACCCCAGAGCCAACAACATTGAAGCGAAAGACTTCAGAGCCAGGAACTCCAAGCACCATGGAGTCGGACTATCCGCCTGGCATCCAGATTGACAAAGTTATTAACGGCTGGAATAAACGGGATAGTGCCAAATAACGTGGGACAACGAATTTGAATTTTGAAAAACTGGCCAGTTTTGAAATTGAAATACGGAGACAAACGAATGAAGAAGATCAAACATGCAAAGTAACGCGCAACCCAGCACCCCTCTATCTGCAATCATACCCCACTACTACCCTCCTATCATCAATCCGTTTAAACCTGGCAAACAATCACACCGTTGACCAAGTTGACCGCCATGAAGCGCGCATCATCAGCGCCAGCCTTGATCGTAGCAACACGCTGCGTCGCAGCCGCATCCTTGAAGATGTTGCCTGCATCACACATCAGTTTCATCAACTTCACCTCATATCATCAAGCACTACTCACATGTTCCAGACTTGGAGCTTCCAACCACCAATGCCCTGTTGGCGCTGACGTTGGCACCCAGGTTGCCAAAGTTGGCTTTGATTGAGATCTTCTGGCCGTTGGCGGGGATATTGGCTTGTACGGCTGTGTCGGTGCTGTCTTGGGAGAGTTGAACGCGGACGGTTGTGGCCTGAGGTGTTGTGTTAGTGAAGTTTGCGGAGGTGGGAGGGTAGGGTGGTGGGTACTTGTCGAGCGTCAATATCCGCAGGAGCTGCGGCTGCGAAAGCAGCAAAGAGGGAAGCGATGATGATGGTAGTATGCATTTTGAAAAGATGCATTGATTGATGGAAATCTCAACAAAGAAGTGGATGGGGAGTGGAAGATGGTATTGTTGTTGAGGTGGAAGCTGATTATTGCTGTGATAAACCAACACGCCTCCTACTCACTCTTATACAGCAGCTCTACGCGTTCCAACATCGTGTTCGTGTCACTTTTCATATCACTCACAGCCTCCTTGCACAACATGGTAGCCAAATTCCCCCATGTATAAGCAATGTTATTTTGCGACTGTCTCTCCTCGAAACATGATCAGGCGTAAGCATGGTACACATCGATCTGCCGACATACATGAAGCTGGTCATAATGCAAGCGCCAAGGAGGCGTCAGTAAGGGTTGCTGACGATGTTCGGATCAAAGTCTCCGCTGAGGTCAGATCTTTGACGCGGTGAGACTGAGGGATGTGGGGAGGTGGCGCGTCCAAATCCTTCGATAGCATGCTTGGTAATAATGTGCTGTAGAGTTTTCTATTAAAAGCTTAGAAGGTTGTCAGTAAGTGTCGGACAATGTAGAGGGTTCTGTGCTAGTGTCGGCCATTCAAATTGCGAGCCGGAGCGCAGTCAGCCTTGAGGCAATAAGACATGGCGGCGTGGTGTACATCCAAGATTTGCGCAACAATCTGCGTCGTCATCCCGGGCCTCGAAGCAAGACATTCACTTTAGCACATATCGGCTGAATGTTCACAACACGGAACATATCTCGTCTGATGGCGGTGTGGCACAAATGTAGCTTGAAAGCTGTGATGAGCTTGATAGTTTTTGACACATCGAATGCCCTTGCACTCGTGCTTTGTGATTACACATATCCAGTTTTGTCCAAAATAATGCTAGCCCAATATTGTACAAGTCTTTGCGTGTCTGACGCCAGTGACACATGACACGTCAGTCATCGAGAGAAGTTGATCGTCTAGTTCTTCTCCAAGACATTACGCGCACCGTTCTGTACGCGCTGAGCGGCGTTCTCTACTGTGCCACGGTTGAGACCGAAGTGTCCAGCGAATTGATCCTTTTCTTCCTGTTAGTCATGTAGAAAACCAATTATAGAAGGGCATCATACCTGCTCAGCACCACTGCCGTTGCCACCAGCCAACAGCTTCGCCCTTTGCTGACCGTCGTAACCAAGACCAAAGCTGCCTGATGTTGCCGCACTTCCCTTAGCCTTGTTGATGAGGCTCTCGGCGTACTGCTGGACTCTGTGCGCATCTGTGCCGTGTGCAGCGGGGCTGAAGTGTGCGTTGTAACGGTCCTGTTCCGCGCCTTCGCCACGGTACTGCGCCGCCTGCTTTACTTTATCCACGCCCTTCTCAATGCCATGTTGAATCCTCTCAGTGCTGGCACCGAAATGTGATCCATAGCGGTCTTGCTCAGCGCCTGAGCCATACTGTCTGGTGATGTCAGGGTTGACTGGGTACTGAGCGGCTGTGCTCTTCTCGGTGCTGCTGCTGAAGAGACCCATTGTGATTTTTGTATGTGATTGAGATGTGATTTGGGTGTGGTGGAGGTCTTTGAGGTCTTTCAGTTGAATTGTGTTGTTCTTAGTTGTTGGATGATGATGTTGTGGGGGAAACTGCGTCGTATTATGAACAAGGCACAGGTATGACGTAACTGTGAACGCGATCTGCCATCGCCCTTGCGTGCAGCTCTTGGCCAACATGTGAAGCCGCTGTGGGGCTGAACAGAATCCGGAGCTCACCTTGCAAAAAATCAGGACACGGATAATTTGCTTATAGAAAATGGCAGGTTGTTTTGTAGGTTTGGGATAGACATAACTCCACGCGACAAAAACTTTGTCATACAACAACCAATTCGAGACCTACAAAGTGCGATTTGCCATTTCCAAACTAAATGAATCTACTGCTACCAGTACGTTGAATCTCCACTACATGCAGCCACAAATTTTCAACCTTGTCTCGATGACCTCATATCGTACTTTGGTAGTAATTACTCGATACGGTTAGCGTTCCGACGCGGCTCGGCTCTTCGGAAAGGTTGCGCTTCTTCCCAATGCCAAAGTCCATATGCACATCAAGACGCCTACCCATGTCGAAGAGTATGCATGAGTACAGAAAAAAAAAATATGCAATAGTCTGCAGTTGCTCCGGACCATCAAATTCATACCTCAGATGTCAAGAGTCGAGAAAGTTATTGCGGCATTCTTCATCCTTTACGAATACTTCTGGCTGGTTCGAAAAACCTCGAACCTTACAAACCTATATCGTACCGATCACGAACCGTCGGATCTGAAAACTCATCGCTCGTAGGCAACACCTCGACGCCGCTTTGGGTTCCGATCTCTAGGACGATCTTCGCTATTCATGGCCAGCCACGCAAAGTCCGCCTGTAGCTGGGCAGTCAGATTGTAAGGTAGCGTAATATCTAATCGAGTCTTGGTCGAGGACTGTGAGTTCGGAAGCTGTTTGCGCTGCTTCAGCTTACGAGCCCGACGAGCTGTGGCAGAATTATCATCCTTGGAATATGCTTCACTACCACGCATCAAAAGTGCGAACGCAACATCGATGCTGTAGCCCATATCCCCAAACCGGTTCGCACGAGTGGCAGCGCATATCTTAGCGATGTCCACAGGAATGATGTTGCGGTCCATGACTACAGAAATACAGGATGCGACTATACGTCGCCAGTACTTTCGCAAGAAGTCGGACAAAAGGATATCATGGCCGTTTACCTTCGTCCAAAGCTTCAACGCTAAGACAATGTAATCCATAGCCTTCGGAGCAAGTCTCGGGAACATCTTCTCGAAGTGTGGTACGAATGAAGCTAGCACAGCTCGAGCATCCAGATCGATGAGCAGGGCGATTGCCGCAGGGACTTTCTTACACACCTCATTTCCACTAATATTGAAGGCTCTAGCCAGATAGGCATGCCCGCTTGGCATGTTTTCGTTCGCTCGTACTGCAGTGGCATACATGCATGCAGCCGCCAGTGCGTCATGAGTTGCCGTACTCCACAAATGTTGGTGCTCCACATAAGCGGCTAGAGCCTGGACAGCAGTCTCAATAATTGCCAAAGGCCAACCAAGAGCCTTCTGGATTTCTGGCATCGTCCTATGTGTGAGCTTGATCTAAGAGGCGGCCCATTGCCATGTTCATAACCGAGAATGGCACGAACAATGCACCGTTGTGCAGACGATACACAACATAGCATTGCCGGGCTTGAAGCATGAAAGGGATCTGTAACTGGTCTACGTCCGGAAAATCTGGCAAGATCAGGACTGACATGCTAGGCGATCGCCTGGAAACCTGACCTTTTTGAACCATGTCCCAACGCTCACAAAGCGTGCACAGAAAGGGAGCGACGTTGGTCAATGGGATCTGGCAGGTCTTGCCACACAGGGTGGGCTGATGTGTGTACACAATGTGGCCGCAAAACAGTCGATGGATGCGAGAGCAGCTGGTGAAACAGGGCTCGGTGTCATCGTCCTTGTTCACGGGAATTGTAACACGGGTAGAGGATATCTGTTGGCAAGTAGGCGCTCGTGCTCGGCGACGGCGGCGAGACGATGCTTGTGGAACAGGCGCTCTTCGGCGTTGATTGCTATAGTGTCCATGTCGACTTTGGATGCGGAGTTTACGGTGAGTTTAAAAGACGTATGGCCAAGGCTTGGGATGTTAGGGCTGCATGTGATACGAGATCTGAGTGAGCCTGAACATGGTAGGAACATTTTCAACGCAGCCTGGGCAAGCAGTCCGACTGGTGAAAGTGCCTAGACACTGTATAGCCACCTCAATACCGTGCCCGGTGTGGCATAGCAAATCCTGCCTGCGCTAACACAATTTCTCACACACTGTAAAGCTACGGCGCGTGTCACAAGGATACATGAAGTGGTGGTCTCAGGGAATGACAATGAGAAATAATCACGATGCCGCGAACAACTCTTCAATATCTTACAATATAAACATTATCCTATCGAAATGTGCGTCTTCAATCAATCCAATGATAGCGCTACATCTCTTCCCTCATCTTGCGATGCACGTCTTCAACCACATGAAAGCAGTAGCGTCACATCTTCAAATCCTCAGCTTTTGGGTGTACGTCTTCAACCGGCCCGAGCGGTAGCGTTCCACCTCTATATAACATACAAAGAAAAAAGGTGGTATAATAGATGCATGTATTCAACCGGCTGTGGCACGGTAGCATCGCATCAAACTGCAGATGCACGTCTTCAACCAGACCCAGCTGGGTCGATAGCGTTTCATCTTATTTCTCTCCAATACGGCTCGCTTAGTACACGTACGGAATGATTCTGTAGGGGACATGCTCGACGTAGCGGTCCCAGTCCTTGCCGTACTTGCGCCTGCACTTCTCCTCGTCACGGCGTTCACGGTGCAAGAGAAGGACGGCGAAGTAGACCATAAAGAAGTAGGTGAAGATCATGCCCCAGCCCTTGGCCTCACCAGGGACAGCGTATTTGCCGTAGCTGTCCTTGAAGAAGTATGCGTCAGATTGCGCGGCGGTGATGGGATGCTGCGCGGCGTTGCGGATCAAGTAGCCGGACAGAGCGGTGGGCAGGACGTAGGACCAGCTCATGAACCAGTCGCCGAGGTAGTTGATGTGGCGGGCCATGCCCCACCATCCGGAGATGAGAAGGCGCGAGCCAGCTTCAGTCTCGATGTACTTGAGGTGAGAGACACGAGGGTCCTCGGGGTTGGTGCGGAAGCGGTTCTTCTCGTTGTTGACGGAGCGGAAGATGTAGTAGCCGAAGCCCTGGACGGCGAGCACAGCAACGATACCCTTGATGCCGAGATCAACGGGGTAGACGGAGAGGTAGCGTGTTTGGATGGTGTAGGTGAAGGGCACCCAGACGAGGTCACCGAATGACAACATCATACCGAAGCCGTCCTGGATTATGTCCATAGTGGTGAGAATGGCAGGCTCCATGAAGAGCGAGTCGAGCGAGTAAACTGCCTGGGCGACGGTGACCAATACAATGGAGTCGGTGACGCGGCCAAAGTTGTGGTATTGCTTCGCGATGAACGCAAGGTCGATGATGATCCAGCCGAGCATACCAGGACGAAGCTCACACCAAGCCTTGATGTCGACTTCGCCGAAGATGGGAAGCACAACGCGCGGGTTTAGCTCACGGCCAATGAACCAATCGTAGAGCAAGTTACCAGTGCGGCCACCGGCGGCAAGCTCACGGTTGTTAGGGTCCTTGGGGTGCTTGACGCTGAACGAGCGGACGTAACAGAAAGTAGCGAGGAAGTAAGAGATCAGGATGTTGGTGGTCATGATGCCGACAAAGTTGTCAGTAATGAATGTCCAGACAACGAAATCAGCGCCGCTGGTGATAGTTCCGGCAGCCAAAAGGGTGAGGATGAAGAGCGCAGAGTTCCAGGCTGAGGCATGTTAGCATCGTTTAACAACTCAGCACGTGATGCAACATACCATTGAAGCGGTACTTGAGCCTTTGGCCAGATGTGAGAGGAACACCAGGGACTTCCGTACTCGGCAGGACAGCGTACAGAGTCAGGCTGAGGAAGTAGTAGCCAAGAGTTCCGACAAAAGCCTCCCAATTGAGCAAGCTCCCGAAACCAGTCCATCCCACCTCTCGCTTCAGCTGATCGAAATCGAGCGTGGAAGGGTGAAGCAGCGAAGGTGCAGGACATCCTGAGATGTCGTTGCAAAAGAAGGTCAACACATACACCAAGACCGGAAGTCCGAATGATATGATGAACGCGCCAGGTCTGGCTTTTGTTAACGGGCCGATGCGATGCGCGGGGGACAAAGTCCAACACTTACGGTCCTAAGAATTCATAGCCATGCTCTTCCTCTACGTGAGCCTTCGCGGCCTTGCCGTTGGCTTTGACTTTTCCGTTTGACGCCATTTCTGCGGAACCGTTTTTCTGTTTTCCTAGCTCTTGGATCGTCGTCGCGTAGCAAACAGTCGCGTATGAAAAGGGGGGTGCGCGACTCTTTCTCTTGTTTCCCAAAAATCCAAACAACAAGCCCAGTCCTGTCGAATTGAATGCGCCCACACAGCGAAGTGTTTGATGGCAGAAGGCGGGTGTTTATAATGCTTCTCCGTGCGAAGAAAATGGGACGATGAAGCTCAGCTGCGGATTGAAGAGATCCGGAATGACGCGCACATACCGCCCAGTCTGCGCTAGTGCCCGATACGGATTAGCGTTCTGGTTCCTGCAGTGTGGCTGCGCAGCGATCTGTCTGATGATGGATGGGGCCGCGGTTCCGGGCAAACGTGTTGCGAAGGCACAGGCAAGGAAGGGCGACGCGGCCATCTAACCAACAATCAGCACCAGCAGGCCTGACTGCTTTCTGTTCCCCACGCTCGCTGCCTCCTATCATGGTGTCTTTACTGTATTCACTTTTGCTGCTGGCAGGCTCGCGATATGCGCTTGCCGCCTCGGACAAGCCGCTCAAGCCATGTACAATTGTCTCACCCACCACCGAGCGCTTCTTCGACTTGAACCCGATACGGCGCATGCCTCTGGAGGAGGGAGGGAAGAAAGCAAAAAGCGACTCGGACGGCAGCTGGCATGCTCGGGGATATGATTACGGCGCCAATTTCACACTGAACTTCTGCGGGCCCGTGGTGGAGGAGCTTCACGATGTGCAAGATTTGAACAAGGACTTATGGAAGAACGTGAGCGCCTTTTACGAGGTCGGCAAAAAGATATACTCTATTGGGTGAGTCCGCCATATTCTACGAGAACAGATCCTACGTGCTTTCAAGCTTCAAGTTGGAGCAGGCAGCAACTATCCCAAGAACCCTTGCTAACATCCCTTTCCCAGCCTCGAAAACACCGAGCCCATTTTCCGCGGTCGCAAGCTCATCGTCAACTACACTGGTGGCTCCCTCTGCCCCTCCAGCTCCTCCAAATCCAAGCGCGAACCTGTCTCCCTTCCCAAGTACCCTCGCGAGATCATCGGCGACGACCCGGATGATGAGGACGACGACAAGCCGCCGAAGAAGAAGCCTTCCGACAAAGATAAGAATGCGCGCCGCAAAACATCCGTCATCTCGCTGCTCTGCGACTCCGACCCGCTTGCAAAGACCAGCGTATCCTTCGTTGCTGCAGTAGACGAATGCACATACTTCTTCGAAGGCCGGTCACCATTCGCCTGCGGAGGTGTTCACCAGGCGAAACAAGCGCTCGGTCCTGGCGGCGTATTCAGCGTGATTATCATAATCGCAATACTAGTCTACTTCGTCGGTGGCTGCGTATACCAGCGCACAGTCATGCACCAGCGCGGCTGGCGACAATTGCCCAACTACGCCATGTGGGCGGGCATATATCGATTCTTGGCCGTAGGTTCACGCCGGAGATTTTGAGGAGGCCATGGAATGCTAACATCTTGGGTAGGACATGGTTATCATCCTTACGTCTTCGTGCGCACGCTTCATGCCGTCTCGCCGGGGGTACAGTCGCGTCTCGCTCGGCCATGAGAATGGGCGAAGAGGACGGAGGAATGAAGATGAGAATCGTTTGATAGACAATTTGGATGAAGAGTGGGATGATTAGTTCTGGTTGTTAGTTGGTAGCGCGAATATTAGCATCATGTGAGGGCGTTCAACGGCAAAATTTGGGTATGGGATACACATAAGCTTCTGAAGGCGCATGACGCCTATAAGCATAGATCAGCTATCAATCGGACAACGTTAGATCGTGTGAGCCCCTTCATTGGAAAAGCACCAGTCGTGTGGTAAAATGCAATTGCATAGCTCTCTAGGGTAAGTACTATCCTTGAAATGCAATTCTCATCCTGTGCTTCCGGTGCGCATCGGCGCGAGCAACATCTTGCCATGCCACATGTACGTGATCGAGAGGAACGTGCCGACGCAATAGCTATGATCGAAAGCAGGAATGCTCGCTTGAATAACAGTACAAAAAAAGCGCCCATGTCGTTCTGGGAGCCTTCCGGGCACCACCATCGTCCATTGGGGCCCTTACACCACAGACCACCGTAAGCGCCATGACTCGAGCTGCGATAATGGGAAGAAAGATAGGAACATGAAATGAAACTCCTGCGACTGCGCTCTCGCTCGAGCAGCAGCACAGCAGGTTGGCCGATCGGACCAGGGTATCAATGAAATTTAATGGTTTCGAAAGAAAGGAAAATGTCGCACACGCCGTAGGCACGGAGAATCGTCGTACTATGCTTCCTCTTCCTCCTTGAACATGTCTTCGTCGCTAGGCGTAGGGAGAGACCTGTTCTCCTTCTCGCTTGTATTGTCCGCATCCATATCCGGGGCGAGATGCTTGGATGGAGTCGTCTCTGAGATCATGGTGTCTTCCATGCCACCCATAGCGGAGTCGTCGTTGTCATTATCGCAAGCCGACTCGCGAGCTGACTCAAAGGCGCCCTCATCCTCATCTATTATAACATGCTCGTCCATACTGGGTTCTGCTCCGTCTGCGCCTGCCTCTTGCTCGACTTCACCACGCGCAATAGGTTCGAATTCTGCATCGACCGTTTTGAGTACCTCCATCACTTCAGCGCGCAGCGCACGCTCCGCGTTGAACAGAACAGCCGTTTGGTCGAAGTGCACCTGTCCTCCGCCGAGCACTCGTGTGTAGTCGCCCTTCATCTTGATATAGATTTCGTCTGCTCTCTCTTCCATGACATCCTCGAGCGCCTTGCACATAGAGTCGAGATTGCGCTTGACCGTAAGAGTGGCATCACTGAACATGTGATGACGGCAGCGCTCTACGTAGTCGCTCATGTGCTGCTTCATACGCTTGTAGCTGCCTGTGCCACTTTCATTGGCGCATATGTCGTACACAGTATGCATGATGTTGGCAATAGTTGGCGTGAAGTCGCGGTTTGCGTCGCGCTGGAGCTCGTTCATCTTCTCGAGCAAGACTTGGTTGAGGTCCACAAAGAGCTGCTCGTAGGTATAGATCTGCATTTTCAAAGTAGTGAGACTTGCGATTCCAACCCCGTTGCTACGTGCTCGTTCTTCAACAGCCTCGTGAAAGTTGTGTAGCAATTTGCCAGAATCCCGACATAGGGCATCGAAGGCTTTCGGTAGGCGATTCTGAAACGCACGCTCCCAGCCTGTAGCCAGCTTTTTGATGATCGGGTTGACCAGATCAGCGTTAAAATCTCGATGGCCAGCAGTAGCTGAGTGATACGACCCATCGCGACGCACTACTGCTTTGTACGTTCCCCAAAACAGCCCGCCGTCGGCCTTGTGCGCACCCCATTTTGAGGCAGTCTCAGGCGCAGCGATGATGGCCTCGTTGATCAATTCGGGATATTTGTCGAAGATCTGAGCATTCATCTCCTGCTTCGTGGTGTTCAAACACGCTCGTACAGCATCTTCAAGACCCTTCTCGAGCTCACCTAGTCTCTTGTCCAGGTATCTGACTTGTTTGCGCTTGTCGTCATCCGTCATTTTGAGACCTGTGCTATCGTCAGACGCCCATAGTGAGAAGGTCGTCAATTGTTGGCAGAGACTAAGTAGAAACATTCTGGCTGTCTGGATACGCCCCGCTTCAGTCAGCTTTTTGCAGTGCGCTTGAAGCTGAGGTATCTCGGTCTCTTCAGGCGTCTCGAATCCTGGCACTGGTTCGTCCTTTTGAAGTCGTCCGCTCATCTGCTGGTATGCCCGGCTACTGACACAGAAGACAGGAAGGGACTTGGCGACCTCATCATAGTCTCTGAGCTCTTCGTCGGGATTGAAGTTGTCCTCATCTTCCTCAGCAGCGTTCTCTTGGTCGAGCTCTTTGATACCAGCAGCAAAATCTTGCTGGATGGCGCGTTTTGAATAGTCGTTACGTCCAGCGATGCAAATGTGACTGATCTCGGATTTGATTGCCGCAATCTTCTTTTTGTATTCGCCGATCTTAGGTCTGAGCTCTTTGATCTTCTCACTGAGCTCAAGGCTCGAACGCCGAGCTGCTTTTTTCGCTTCTCGTAGTTCCTTAAGTTTGGCCTTAATCTCTTCTTCAGTGAGAGAATTTTGAGGTGCCCGGATATCCTCATCATCCGAGGAAGCACCCTCACTTTCAGATTGGGCACTGTCCTCATCAGAGACAACGAAATCTTCTTGTGAATCGTTAAGCTCTGTGTGTCGTTTTTTGCGAGCATCTTTCTGTTGGGGTTGCTTCTTCCGCTTCTTGTTCTTCTTGGGCTGGGGCGCGTATACAGTCTTTCCTTCGTCCAAAGCCTCCTGGAGCTCTTCCCAAGTCTCGATATCGTTGCTAGTCTCTTTTTGAGCGACCTGATACACGTCCCGCGACTCTTGCAGCTCGTCTATATCTTCTTTAACCCGCTCAATGTCCTTCTCCAGATTACGCTGCTGGTTGTAAAGTTCCTCCACTTCATCTTCCAGTTCTAGTGAGTCGACTGCTTCTGTGATAGATATGTCGTCGGTCTTCGAGCAGATGAATGTGACGCTAGAGAGGCCACCGTCGTATTTCAATTGCCGTTTGAATGATTCGCCAAGTAGAGTCTTTGCGGCCTTGTCGTCTACTGCGCGGTTGATCGGTGCGACGATCCACAGTCCGGTGCATTGCTTCATGTAACCTTGAGCAACTGCGGCACGAGCTGGATTGGAATCATGTACTCCTGGTAGATCGACAATGACGGCGCCGGTGGAGAGGGCGGGCGCCTTGACATAGATCTTGACCACCTTGACTAAAGGCCAGTACTCCATCTCGAAACTCTTCTTGGGCTTGTCGCTGCCCTTCGTTTTGCCCTTCTTGGTGACTTTCTCCTTGCTGTCGACGTACCTCTGCAGTTGTTGGTAGAACGAATTCGGACAGGCGCTGTTGATTTTATTTGTGGTTCCAAGGATTGCAAGCACTGATCTCTCGGACATGAGACTCTCGACCGTACATTCGTTGAGGCTGTCTCTTGTCCTCTTGGGGTAGACGCTGTGAAACTTTGCCCATGCTATTCCAGCGTCACTGTTCTCATCTGCTACATCTCTCGATACCGCGCCATTTTCGGTCATGAACTCCTTCATGAGTGTTGCAACTTCCTTCTCCCAATCGTCGCGCGTTATGAATTCGATTTCAGCGCGGTATCTGCTGGAGGGCTCGTCGCTCGTGTTATAGCTCATCTCAGTTACAACTGCAGTACAGGCTCTCATGCAGTTTGTTGGGACAAGGCGCTCTTCATCTAGCATGGCGTTGATGACACTCGATTTGCCAGCTCCCGTGTTGCCCACGACACCAACGATGGTGCGTTTCCTGACCGCCTGGGGCACCAACTTGTCGATTGCCTCGATCCATGCTTGCGCATCTGCAATTTCGGGATACTCGGAAAAGCTTGACTTCAAGCGCTGCAGAACCTTTAGCGATTGCGTAACGCCTGCTTCAAGCAGGTCCGGGTCTTGTTGGGCAATGATCTCTCGGATAGCTCGATCCGTGGGCTTGGCATCTTCTTGACTCGCTTGCTCAGGTGATGGTTCTCGATTAAAATATCCTTCTGGGTTGAAGAGTACCTGCGTCTCTTCTTCCATGTGGTGATGAACAGGATCCGGAACTTCCTTATCCTTTACAACGCCGCTTTCCTGTGGGGCCAACAGCTTTCCAGGCATAGTATCAGCCGCATCATCATGGCGTGGGGAGATATCTACATCAGTGCGTGCAGTGCTTAAATCTTGCACTGCAGTCGGAAAGTGCATTGCCGCTACCGTGCTGGCTAATGGAGGCATTGCTGACTGTTGTATAGAAAAGACAGGTGCGTTTTCAGATGCTGCATCAGCTGGTGCGGGCCTCATCGAAGGAATTAAGTTGAGGGCTTGCAGAGAGAATGATTCGTCATTTCGAGGCTCATCCTTCACACGACTAGTGGCAATAGGCGTTGTTGGAGGAACACTGCGAGTGGGTGTTGTTGGACGAATCTCGCGGGCAAGTGATGCCTCAGCATTTCCATAAGGACGCTGAGGTGTAGGCTGAGCATCAAGGAGAAGTTCGTCTGTCCGACGGGCTAAGAAAAGAACCAGGTCGCCATTTGGCTTGAGAAAGGATTTGATTGTATCGTCCATTTCGACAAGGTCGTCCTTAAATCTAATGTGGAAGTCCACATCCTCATATCGCTTCTGGTAAGTATCATGGATCTTCTGCATGGGGATTTTCTGCATTCATATTAGCCTGGCTGTGATGCAGAGGGCGCATTACCAAAAGTCCTCAACATACCGCGTGTCCGACCATCCACACAAAATCTAGCTCGTCGAACACATCTTCTGGCGCTTTCTCATGGCTCAGCACGCCTATCCAGCAACGCTTCGGTTTCAGATACTGTGCGGGGATTGCTCTCCTGGCCCTTGCTTCGAATTCTTCCCAGTCGGTCATTGTTACAATCCGCGTATCCGCGCACGTCGTCCTGTAGCAATTGTGTACGCCGTGGCAACGCGACACCCTTGAGCCTTACATGTACTAGTAATGCAATGTGGGGTTTGGACACAGACGTACGGGTTGTGAGCTATGGCTAGCTCGACCTGTTGTGCAAAACGGATGTGTAGTCGGGATGGGAATGTAAAATGGGCGCCGCACGCGTCGCGTAAAGTTTGGCCCCGCAAACGCGCCTGCCCACGTGATCATCCATCGCACGCTCTTATTGGCCCAAGGGGCCCTTCTCCACTTTTCACAGCCAACAGCAAATGTACAACCACGATACTGATGCGCTGCCGCCTAAATAGCGACTGCACTAGGCAACACATTCTGCCATCATCCACATGTTATCGATCGATTGACATTACTGATTCATGCATTATTGCAGGCTATCGGTTACGACAAAACGCGAACAGGGCCTTCCAATAGCCTGAAGCTATGCACAGGATCCTGCCACGGAGAACGAAAGCTAGCGATGCTGGGTATAGCCTCGGGCAATTAAATCGGCCACCTTCTTTTATAACTTGGTCGCTTTCCGTCGTAGGCGATAACTTGTAGTAGGATGCGACATGAGAGGTGTGTCGTGTAGGTCCATTTTGTACAGCGCAGTGCCGAAAGATGCTACCGGAACATGCTCAATGAGAGAGATAAGCGCTTGTTCGCAAGCAATAGTTTGCGTTGCTCCATTCTGTGCGCCCGGCCACTGTTCCAAGTCACGGTGCTTACACGCACAATGTTCATGAATCTCTTTATGCAAGACATTGACTACAATTCCACATAGAACTTCAGCTAAGGCTGCCCTTATCTATTCAGTGCTTTGTTCCCTTGTCTTCTACAACTCGTCCACAATGCTGCTATACGCAAGATATTTACTCTCGAGAGCGGTGACGTTCATATCTGCACAACTTCAAGACCTACTCATACCAACTATGACAGACCAGCAAACATCTGATAAGCGCACAGCGCCCGAAACCAGCTCCGGAATCAATAGTCTTATTGCAGCAGCGAACAAGGATGATCGATTCAAACTTCTTGAAGACGACCGTGTGCTAGCTGGGAACTTGGAGAACCCTATACACCCCATATTCTCGTGGTTCGATTGCGATGGGCCCATGAAGCAAATGCTCCATCTTGCTTCTCAATTCCTCGCTCACGATTCTGTCCTTATCTTTTTTGTACCTCTATTGTATGGACGCGAGTTGACGCGGAATGACACCAAGCCAAGGAGGACTTACCTATCAGATCCTCTTGCACATGCCTCTGGCTTAGAACGGCAAGAAATGCTTGCAGGCGTACGACTAGCGCTACGCTGCCTAGCGCACAGCATCGACTTTCGGTTCATGAAGCCCGAAAAGCGAGTATATGCTCGAACGCTAACAAAAACAGCCAAAGCAGTCCATACATCAGCGTGCTCTACTATATTTCAGCAGCGATTAATCGCTGTAATCGAGATTACCGATCACTTCCTGCGATTTTACCACTCCGATGACGGGTACAAAGCAAGCTCCCGCTGCGCACAGTTCCGCCATGATTTTCTCTTTGCGTCCACGCTTATTCATGAGATTTCGCATGCTGTAGGTGTTATGCGACGTGGAAATCTCATGGAACCATGTGTCCACGTCGATGATCCGGATTCCGAGTGGGGCTATGCTTGGGAACAATTCGTCTTCGGATGTGTGATCAATCCGCAGGACCGAACCAAGCTTGGCACGAACCTCCTCATGCGAAAAGTATGGGGAGACGCTACCGCAGCAGAGGAGGCTGGAGGCAAGGAATACAGCGATGTGTCTATGTCCTATATTGCACAATGGTTCCGTCAAGAGACCTGGGACATTATTGCAAACCGCGGTCCTACAGCGATACCTCCACCTCCAGCTCACTTCAAAATACAAAGCTCGCGCATGTGCGGGGCTTGGATTGTTTCCACTGACTGCATAGCTATCAAACCAGACTTGGTTGCTCTCCGCCGAGCATGGGAACGACAGCGTGCAAGTCTCAATACTCTTAGTCGCGAAACACCAACTTCTTCCAAGATCTTTTGGCGCTTTCTGGACACAGAAAAGCTGCAAAGGTCGAATGTTCCGATGCCATTACGCGTACCTTGGTCATCTGGAAAGAATCAAGGTGGTCATCAGAAGGCCATTCGCACTACCAACAAATCGGCCTTAGTACCTGAACCGGAGTCCCCCAGTTGCGAGCAGACCCCAATGAAAGGCTCCATCTCCACCTCTCGCAAGCGTAAAGCAGCAGAGGAGATCGAGATTATCCGCATGAGCAAAGTCCAAAAATTGTAGTACTGCCTGTTGATCTATGTGCGCCGCCCCCAGTAGTGCAATCCTATGTGCTCTACTACGAAAAGGACAGGACTACCACCCGGTGTTCCGATAGGATCACGCTCACCGCTCCATGACAAGCTAGTGGTTCGGGGACTGTTCTACCTATGTAGACATGCAGGGGTTCGCCCAAAGACGGCCATTGGGAGCAGCTCTTGCTTTCCAAATAGCGATAAAATGACTTTGGTTCTCAGCAAGCTGCAGTTCCGTTCCAAGACTATTGGTTGAATGCGAGTATGCGAAGGTTTCGCCATTCGTGGCGAACGGCTTCGTCGCCACACCGAATAATGGCGCGCATCCCTCGTCTTTCATCTGTTATCACACCTTACCAGGAGACGGAAGGGAGGATCATTATTTGACCTATTTTTGGTATGATTTTCCATACCATTCGCTCCGGCCCGCGGGATGGGTCTGACAGGCTTGCACAGCCTCACTGCAGGCCGCTCATCACCCAACCTAGCAGGTCCGCTGCATATCTGCACTGCAACACCATGTTGATGATCACAACCCTTTCGTATAAACGCAATTGACGGAGACGTTGCTTCTTCGGTTGAAAGATGGCAGGGTTACTTGAAATTGCACCACCACGAAAGGTCGGAATGATCTTCTACCCTGCTTGCACCTACACCGTTAAGCGATGGATCGACTCGGTTGCATGACTAGTCTCCTATTTCAGACGATGGCTTTACCGGGTCGTGACCATGGTTGCGCTGTTGTGGCACCACGGCTTAGGCGAAGCTTTCCGCCCCCAAAAGCTCCCCGCGCCCCATCTTGGAGCTATACCTTTGACGTTCATCTCGGCATGTGATACGGGGTTGAATCCACAAGTCCCACATTCCCTCCGTAAATTTGGTTTGTAATGATCGATTCGCATTAGTATGGATTCTAAACACCGTCACAAAGAGATCAAAATGCGAATTGTACCCTCAAACTTCTCGTTGCAAGTCCCAAATCTTGATTCGATATTTACCTCCGTATCGCCAATGTACTATAAGAGTGTCACGTCGACCATAAGCACCGGCCGCCATGCACCCTGTCCAAGCCACCATCACCAGTAAGACTCCGACGGCAAGAAGCGAGGAAGTACAAACGTCCATATGCATGTGCTAGTCTACGCTTTTGCCGGAACGAGGTCTGCATTTGGTTTCATGTACCCTATCGAAATACCTTGCTGCCGCATTCAAATCTCCGCTGCTCCAAGGCTCACCACAAGGCATTTTCCTTGGAGTCACGCGGTAGTTGAGGGATACGACCCGGAAGTATGGACGTATACAGAATGTCGCACGTAACTTCACCTTTCGAGAAAAACGGTTGTGCATGGTATGGGGGCGGTGTTACTTCTTTTGGCTATAAATTAGTTGATTTGCCTCCTCGTCCTTCATAGGCTCGCTCGGGGAGGGGCACGTGATCGCAATTTCTTTTTAGGATGGGGCTGGTATGTCATTGTCCTGCAGTGATGATGTAGTGACATACCGACAATGGATGTGGAGCATCGGACGGGGATTGGAAACTTGCTGGTACACCGCCAGAAGTCCTTCAAAGTCCTCACGCAGAAGGTTGTCTATTATCAGTTAGCATTGTCGAATTTCTTCTGACCCACTTGCATGACTCTGTACTTCTTTTGGGTGGCATTCAGTGTAAGATTGGCTGAGAACTTTGGGTGCTTCTAAGCTCTAGATACTGGTTCATTTGCTCTTCGATATCATGGACGATATCATGGATAGTAAAGTATATACAAGAAGGAATTCTAAAGATCAGCCCGCAAAGCGACGCAAATCAGGCTTCACATCTGATATTCCCATATGGTTCCATAGCGAGGGTATTTTAAAAAATGAAAAGAAAGCTTTGTTATTCGTAAATCATGCAAAGTGACAGAAGGGAAGTCGTGACGCGGATCATTCAGCCGCTTCCAGGATTTCTCCATCGAGCCTCCAACTCTCTTGCTCTTGCGGATGCCTCTGCCCTTCTTCTTGCATGTGCTTCTGCTTGACTCTGTGCGTAGTCTGGCAACTCCTCGTCTAGTAATTCATCATCTTCTAAGCCTAGCAACTCGAGTTCTCTGTTTACTGCAGCCATTTGAGGGCTTTGTTGTAATTGTAGCGAATCTCCGTTTCGTGAAGGACTGAGTGAGAAGCCTGATATGACCTGGTTTGTGAAAGGTGGTGGCTCAAAGTTCTGCCAGTCGGTTCGTAATTGTCTGGGTGTCGTGGTCTGCTCATGTTGAAACGGAAGTGGGATAACATCGTTTCCACTTCGTCGGGCGAACAGTGAGCCTCGAAGCTGAGGTGGATCGTTTGGTGAGAGAGGGTCTGCGTCTTCTGGCAGGCCGGTGGTCGCTTGTACGAACAGTGAAAACTGCGAAGGATCACTGAAAGAATCTGTAGGTGACAGCCAAGTGTGTGGCCGTGGTCTATGTGAGACACCCTCTCGCATTGTGGGACTTGCACTGCTGGTGTCACTAGGGAAAGTGCGGGCGCGAGGAGGTGTCGTGTCAAGATAGGCACTGGGTGATGAAGGACGTGGTTGTTGGGCAAAATATGTAGTGTCTGAAGGTTGATGTAGTGGTGGAGTATACGACTGATATATCATGGCGTCTGGATAGTTCGCGGCTGCTGAGCTGGCGCGAGGAGCTCTTGATTGCGCTGAAGGCGCGGCGTGGCCATACTCGTACGGCGAGCTAGGCATACTGCGGGAATATGCATGATCCCATGAGGTATGCGTCTGTACACTTAGGTTGGCGCCAGATGCCGAGTGCCGCTGGTTCGACTGAAGTGGTTGATGTGGTTGATGTGGTTGGGGTGACAGGCGAGTGGGATCTAAATGGCTCGAAGGAGAACGTCCAAGCCATGAGCGTAAGTAAGCCGGTCTGCGTCTCTTCCTTTCAGATTCTGTTGGTGAGGGCGGCAGCGCTTTGTTCAAATCGATGGTAGTGGATATGGACGGTATAAGCGCAAAAGATCTCGTCGAAGCCGACTGATTGGAGCCGGTGCTCCTCCGATGATTTGTCTCTCGATATGCTGATTGCTCAGAAGCGCGACTGGAGCTTTGTTGTTGTTGTTGTCGTTGTCTGGTAGAGCTCGAAATATTGAACCACAACTCGTTCTCTGTGTTAGCCAAGCTCCCAGGTCTTTGATGGTCATGATGCGCCATGGTCGTTTGCTCCTGGCCTTCGGCGCGACAAAGAACACCCCGAATCTGAAGTGAATCCAAAATTGAGTCGGGTTCCACTGATGCCGACTGACTACCTGGTATATGTTTTGCGACCGATGTGAGGATGGTCAGCAGTTGTGCGTCTGGTAGCATCTCACAGTCTCATGTGGGAGTGTATAATGACTGTAGCTGTACTCTGGAATGTACAAGGATGGTTCTTAGGGCAGCACTGTGAGGTGCGGTGACCAAAGGCAGTAGTCCGCCCAGGTGGCATGCGCTAATGCTGCACAAAGACGGGAGTCAGCCAGCTTTCAAGATGATATGAGCCAATTCGAGATCCCAGTTGCCTGCAGTTCCAGCTCGCATGTATCCCGAGAGTATGGTCCGAAGAGTAGGATAAGTCAAGGTATCTGTAGGGGCTAGCTGATCATTGTAACGGGATGCGAGGCGCAGGGGTGCGGCGAGCGATATGCGACAAGGGTCAGTGTGCACATAGAGCTCGCAAAAGGAGAGTCCTTACGGCCGACTGAAGTCGCGGCGGCCTTGTTGATTCTATACTTCAAGATAACTATGCATGGGGGATGGGACGGGACATGTCTTCACGGAGATTATTGCGAGAGAGCTCATGACCAGGTACTCCGTACTTGAACTGAGTTTGGAAGGATCTGAGGTGCCCGGTTGGCCTGAGATGTTGGGCCATAGCTCAGACGAGGCTTCAGAAGCTAGCAAGCGACGAATGCGGAACTATGCGAGGCGTTGGGTTTGGTGGACTAGGCGCAGTAAGGCGTGCGGCGAGGCTCAAATCGGTACATGATCACTTGAACAGGCGACATATTAGACTGCATTTTCTCCGCCATATCAGCATGAAACCCGATGATGCTAAACAACTTTTCGGGCGTTACGCTTGGTTGCATGCGCTGAGCACAGCAAACTCTCGTCAAGAGGGTGGCGATGAGGCTAACATGAGATGAAAGACGGGTGCACGGGTGCACTGCCCCTCCTAATTTTAGGAGCGGGCTAGTCCGGCTTCAGCAAACTAAAGATGGAGGTACCGAGCCGACCCCTGTCTCTTCGTACATTCTTTCTCGGCGACATCCCATGTCGGCAATTTTGACATCTGAGGGGCGATGTGATGATTCAGTGATGATCGAGCTTCTATGACAGTGCTGCTAGTCTTATGTTGTTGCCACATTTGCCACATGCACCCCTCACATTCATTCAGACTACAAGCTTCGAGTTACGAAGAAACAAAACAGCTTTCTTGGGGCATTGTTGATCTACTGTCACATGCATATCTACGCGCCTCCAGACACAAAGCTGAGAACGCTATGGCTGCTCAGCTCTCACTCGTCGAACCCCCTTTCTGTAGGAAGAATTACCAACTCTATACCTACCACGCGCTTGCGTGCACCATCAGCCTTACACATTCGTCATCAGGTACCCCCAGCATCTCTAGTCAGACTTTTGTTGGCTGTGGACCTGGAAATTTAGCGAATGCGAAGGTTGTTGGACGCCTGATCTCAGGCTTTGGCAACATCTGTAACGCATCCAGAGGGCAGCACACTTGTTCACTGATAATCAACATCAAAGCTCACGATTTGTGATTATGATTGAACAGCGGGGTGCGTTAGCTTATTGCGTCTGTATCAAGCATGTGCTATTGTGCAGCAGTAGCACGTTGGCCACTGTCTGTCAATTATAAGTAATATCTGTCGTTCCTGGACATTGACACAAGACAGCGACCGACAAACACGCTCTCTCCAACAGTGTGTAATTGCCGACCAACTGCCAACCTTGTGGGTCGAATCCAGCGACTGAACGTCCCGTCCAGTGTTGTTACTTTCATCCATGCAGCGGCGTTTTTCTTGCGTGCCAAGGGAATTTTACAATTTTACTTGACAGGTATGATGGAGTACACCTCATAGTGCCGATGTGTGGAGGTGTCATCAGGAATTTCCAACATAAACTAGGGGCGATGCGTCAAAGGCTTGCCATAGTTTGTGCTCCGTCTGCTACCATGGTGGTTTGAGAGATTGTACGGGCGTCTTCCCGTGATGTGAAGCAAAAGCACAAGACAAAATGGCCAAGCGCTGTACATGGACCGTATTGTGGGTACGGTCCTGGGCCCGACAAGCACTCGCATCGGCTAAGTCCGACCGTTTGAAGTCCTTGCAAGGCAGACCGCGAGTACACAACCAAACGAAACCAATCACGGAGACACGTCCTGAAGAGGCTATTGTATCCATAGTCTGTTGGATATCACAGATGGATGTTCAGTCTTCATTTTGAACGCTTGCCGCGTCTCGCGAAATGTCCCACCGTTGATCCGCATGATATTGGGGTCCACAATGTGTTCCACAGGATCACCATATCTTTGGTCATTGCGCTGTCGGACACGCGTTCTACAAAGACGTCCAGGGACGCAGAACCAGATGCACAAAAACTTCGCTCTCACAATTGCGTTTGAAGATTTAGAAACGTCATTCTAGCAAGCGGCAATTTTAAGGTTGCAATCGGGCCTTGAACTCAGCACATCCATGCAACAAACACTTTCCCCAGATCGACGAAGAATTGGCCACCACTAGGGGCGATGAGCAATCGTTCGCGCTCTGTTCAGTTTCTAGTGGCCGTTAGATAGACTAGCTATTATTATGTTACATGCGGGCCTGAATAGACTTGATAACTAATTAGATTATCATGAGGTCGAGGTAAGAGATCTTCCGAGTGATGCATCCCCCACCTTCCTAGTAGTGTTCATATTCCAGATACAACGCGCGCGGTTATTGCATCACATGGTACCCTCCAAGAAGATTATGTTAGATGTTGGTAAGGAGTCCGACGCGCCGGGCGTGAGAGGCCTCAGGCATCCCTCAGCTGACGGGCTCTACGTCACGGTTGAATGCACCAGCCTTGTTTCACTGCACAGCCAGGGACCTTAACCCGGAATGCCTGAAATGGAACAAAGAACTTATCCAAGAGAATTGAAGGTAAACTATTTACATACACACTGACGTAATCACACTTGACTAGCATGCCCCCTGCTACCTTTCGCCCGTACAGGCCTCTCAATCTCCAGCACACTTGCAGACCAAGTATCCGATTCACTATCGAGTCTCATCGTCTTTTCCCGCAGACCTTGATCCCTTCGCGCTTCTAATCTAGCTGCTACCATATTCCGTCCCATAATCGCGAAGCGCACGATGAAGAAGATGGCTGTCATGCCGGCTGCATACCCAAGTACATGCAGTACGATGCTAGTGTTACCGTGCGCAGGGTTCATCCACTCGTATACGTAAAAGCCTTGCGTATATCTCGTGAGATACGATAGACCGAGATACACACTGAGAACAAGAAGGACAACTGAAAGATGAGACACTGGTGGCGTGGCAGTTGCCGGTAGGACGATTTCGGTGATGGCGAAGACGCTGTTCAGGCCATGGACGGACAGATTCATCCACTGCTCAAAGCGACCCGCTGGCCATCCAGAGTTCATCGTACCCCAGAACACGATCGTGACGAGGAACGGGAAACAAGTGATTGTCGAGTAGTAAAGGCTGTGTGCAAGCTGGAAGGCTTTCGGCCACTTGTGCAGCCAGGTCTGCTGTTGGAACGCGAACACAAAAGTATGCACACTCGAGACGAGGAAGTAGAACCCAAGAGACCAGAAGGTGAGGTATGTGAAGAAGCTGAAGGATTGGCCGATCGCGGCGTTGGATTGCTGAATGGTATAGCTTCCGATGTTTACATCCTTGAGACTGATTGTCGCAGTGTTTTTAGCGAGCCATGCGTAGCATATGATTATGGCTACGAAGCTGTACAGGCTCAAGATTGCGCGGATGCTGGCAAGGACAATAGGCGAGACAAACTGTGATCGGACGAAGGTTTTGTTCGGATCGAACCCAATGGCCGAGTCAATGCCCCAGGCTTCCCAAGAGAAAAGCTTCATTTCGAAGTTGAGGTTTGGGAGATTATTGAAGAGATAGACAAAAGCACACCGCCAAAGAAGTTGCTTGGTCGACTTGTATAACAAGCAGATGAATGTAGATCTGCCTGGTATCCTGCTGCTCTATATGTAGTCCACAAGCCTTTCAGCTGATACTTCGCCTATAGTTCCTTGAAAGCCACGTACCGTCCATAGACACTACCTGAGCACGGTTTCAGCGACGCCGCAACGCATCTACAACGCCTCTCTCTGAAGGCTCATCGCGACACAAAGTCTTCGCTTACCACAATCCACCCAAGAGATGCTTTCAGCTTCGCGGGCCAGCCCCACGCCAGCCCTACCGCACTAAAAATTGGACACACGCGACGTGATTGCCTACTCACGATGCTTTTACATGTTAGCGAGATGAAGCGCGCATATTCGTCAAAAACCAAGATCGGCGTGCCCGTTAGACAAATCTGTGGAGGGCTGAAAGCACCAAAATAAGTGGTGACTAGTAGAGCTGAAGAAGGCGCGATGCTAGTTAGAGTAAGGCTGGTGAAAGGCTAGACTGGATGCGGTTAAAGTTGACAGCACGCGAAAGAGCCTCATCGGACGATTGTTTTTCTGTGTAGATTGGACGCTTTAACTTTATTGTAAGTATGCAGCTGGTTGTTCTCGGACCTCAGCATCGCATTGCACCTTTCAGCCTCATGTTCCGTGCGCACCTGACTTAGTTCTCGTCAAATATTGCCTTGCCCCGACGATCTTGTGCGCCTTTTCGAATCAGGATCAGGAGCGCGCTGGTTGCCCGAGATGCGTCGCTTTCGAGTGTGTTGTACAGTCTTGCCCTTTGTACCTTCGTCAAAATAAGAGTTCCTCATGTCCTCTTCTTCTTGCCCAAGCGTATCGCATGTGTCATTCCAATGTCCGTTGTTGCTCAGCAGCGCATCGAACCTATGCTGTACACTCGTATCTGGAAAGATTGCTCTCAACCTGCCCACCTTCATCTTTAGGTCCGGATCCTCGATATCATCTAATATTAGCTCCCCATCAAGAGTACCTTGCGACATCGTATTTGAGCTTGTCGATTTGGCGGGTGACAGTGCATGCGAACTCGTCGTAGCCGGAGTACGCAGTCGTCGTGGTGGCTTACGATCGATCTTCGCAACACCCTCGCTACCTGGCTCACCTCCCTTGACGACTTTGTTCGGTGTTGGGGCTTGCAGTGTCCATGATGGTTGAAAACTCTGACGGGCCAGATCTGCATTCTTGACAACGGTCTTGACACTCGGCGCACTCCAGATCGTCCGACTCCAGCGATTCGCATCCGTCCAGCTGCTTTCAAATTTGGATTTCCTCATGACCTCATGCCCGTTCTTAGAGAAGATTTCGCTCGCACGCCAGTCCTTGTACTCGATGTTCAGCGGCGTCTCTGGTATCGTGACCTTGCCACCATGACGTCGCAACGGGTTGGTCGGCTCAAGACCTGGCACCCATAGCTTTTGATCTCTGGTAAAACCGCCTAGAACGCTGACATAACGCTCATAAGCATGCTCTAGGTTCACCCTACGAGATAGGTTGTCAGCTTAATGTCGTTTTGCAATTAAGAAGATCCCACTTACCGGTTTGGTTCGTCATTGACCACCAACCCGTCCAGTCTCTCTATCCGTCCAAATGGCTCAATGTAATGCGCCTGCAGCCAAATTACAATTGCATAGTCGCTCGTAATTTTCGTTAAGCTCAGATGCTCAAGCATGTCGGTGACTGTGCCACCTGATGCGACGCCATGGGGCCACTTTGTCTCGCCATTTCGTCTAAGGATTGGTCGAAGCTTCGAATCAGACGTAATTTTGTACATTGGCTTGTATGCGGTATGGTTGAGAGTTGTATCATAATGGATAGGCGTAAAGAAGGATTTAATAGTCGGACGAGCTGATGACATTGCAAACATTCTGCAGAAGAGTTCGATTGCGCTCGCAACGTTTGTTATTTGTTATGTAATGTAATTGTATTTGCGAGGCGAGATGTGAAGAGAATGTGCGAAGGAGCGCTGACCGAACGCTTGAAGGTGAGAGGAGTGCTTCCTGTGTTGGAAAGCGCCATGTGATCACATGTCTCCAGCGGAGCAACTACGCACGTGATACCATGTAATCATGAATACCATTTGGTATATGTCTGCTTCAGAAACCCGATACCCGATATAATTCTCTCCGAACGGCAAATATCACAGACACTCGTGCCTTCAAGATCAAGGACCTTCAGTTTATTTCCTCCTTCAGAAGCCACAACCCCTCAGCATATGTTGTCATTAACGTGCCCATACAACTCCCTCAATCGAAAGCATACACAATTGACAACTCTGATGATTCGAATGTTGCCCCACACAAAACAGCGATGCGACGCGGTCGAGGTCTCATCAAAAGAGAGTGAAAGAAACCACAAGCGTAATCATCCCCGTGTACGGCGCGGTGGAAGGAATGGATTATATTCGCAGCGAACACCAATGGCCAGATCTTCGACTTCCACCAACACTACGAAAGATGTGAGAAAAGTAATGCGTCTTCGAGAGGAGGAAAAGCGGTGAAAGTCCCCCGCGTCCAGGACAATTAGAGTTACTGCATAGAGTGGTCGGAAACCTCCTCCTCATCTGCATTGGTAGGCTCGGTGGCGGTCGACTCATCGTGGTGAGCAGGTTCCCGGTTGTCACAACAGAATCTCGGGACGGCATCAATGTCTTTCCAAATGCCGCCAGCGCTTCGACTTTGCTCCGTGGTATCAAAGGATGCGAGATAGAGATTTCGAAACACAGGTCAGGCCGCTGCTTGTATTCGAGAATCTGTCCGGGCAGATGTGGCATGTTGCTGTAAATCTCATGCGTGTATGGCTGCGAGTTTGCTGTAATGATGCTATAACTGTGCAGGCGCTTGAATCCCGCACTGAGGACTTCTGACTCAGGGCACAGGGGTCCGAGGTGGTATGGAGTGGAGTAGAGTGTACCCTTGAACATAGAGTTTAGGAATATTATCTGGGACCAGGAAGACGCGTCTGCCCAAAGCCCAAAGACGAAATAATCATGACAAGGGGTACAAGCACCTTTCATGATACCGTGGAATTCTTGTGCATGTTCAGCCCGAGTACCGTCCTCCTGGGGATTCCAATTACGTGCACACGGGGGTTGAATGCGATCTTCAAAGGGCGGAGTAACGGAAGGCAAGTCTATCCTGGTGGGCGTCCGGTTCATGGCTCTGGCAGTCCAGCATGTAGAAGTACCGAACTTCGCGGATACGCTGCATCGCTGCTGTCACGCGTCTACCAACAGGTTACGGATTCCGGCCTAAGGGACTTGTACTTTAATTACAGTATCTCCAAAGGTTCAGTCGCGCATCCTTGTCGATGCTGAACCAAGCAAAGAGCTGCGATGGTGGACACCCGCGCTTTCGATTGTACAGGCTTGACGCATCATCGCGACTTATGGAAGACGGAAACCCCCAACTTCGTGTCATAGTGGTGACACTACGCACTGACCGAACCTCAAATCAAGCTGGCGAAAGCATGTGCTGATAAAATTGCTCTGATTCCATTGATAGCAAGCATGTTCAAGGGGTTGAATGTTGAAAGTGACACCCGTCGTCGTTGTGACGACCGCATTGTGACTTCGCCTGGTGATGCCACGCGGCATGACTTCGCGAGATCACCTGTGGTTCTAGAAGCCACCCGTGATCTTCACCTATTTATGCATGGAGAGAACGTCGCTCTTATAGACATCCGCTCCAGGTCTCTTCCCGCACCCAGTAACGACCCCAGCAACATGCCGAGAAAAGGCGCAAACGACCCACGCAAAGGTAAAGGAGCGAGCGAGCCACCGAAATCTACCCCACCACTAAGAAGCGACTTCAAGTACCAAGATCGGCCACGACGCCACTGGATTATCGTACAAGAGTTTGGACAAAATGGTGGGGGCTGTAATGGCGGTGTCGCCAAAGTAGAAATCAAGGACGACCCGGTGGACAGATTCTTCTTCGAAAAGCGCTTCGATGCGAATGTCATGTTCCTCGTGCACAAGGAGGTAGGATTACTTAACCAGCTCGGCGACTGGCCAGGCGTGGTGAAGATGGTAGATCATTTCATCGACGAGAAAAACAAGAAAGCGAGCGTGTACATGGAGTATTGCGACGCAGGTGATTTGGAGAAGGTCATCCAGGATTCTAGGAAGGGAACTAGGCAAGTTCACGAGCGCAAGATTTGGCAGTGGCTGATCGAACTGATGGATACGCTGGTGTACATGCATCGCGGACCGGAGCCTGAGAACGATAGGAAAGTGCTGATGTACTGGAACTCAGTGTATCATCGCGACATCAAGCCGGGAAACATTCTCTTAAAGACTGACCATAAAGCTGGTAGGGTCGTAACGAAAATGGCTGATTTCGGTTGTTCGGTATCGGCACATTGGACGCATATGGTAAAGCGAGATAAGCCCGAACAAGTGTCCATGACCTCTGCTCTTACACCCGGCTATGACCCTCCAGAGCATCCAGAGTACTCTGGGGCTACCGACGTTTGGCAAGTTGCGCTTGTAATTGCGTGCACATGTTCCTCCATCATCGCACCCTGGAGCAAGCAGTGGCCAAAGGGACAAAGATGGGACAAGGCTGCGCCAGCAGGTCGGAAGTATTCGCAAAAGCTCAATAAAATCCTTGCATGGTGCTTGACAGAAGATCAAACGCGGCGTCCCAAGCCCTTGGAGATATCGAAGCGTGCCAAAGCGGACTATGCGAGCATCAATCTTCCGCCAGACAACGACCCTATGGTCATTTTTGGGCGAGAAGTTGGCCAAGCAGTGCAGACCCCACAGCCAGCGTTCTCTCCCGGGCCAGCGTTTGGTGGCCAGCAGCCCAACTTTCAAGGCCAACGACCAGGGCTCGACCCGCATGCCTTTTCCGACCCTGAGATACAAAGGATGGAGAATCGAGGCGGTCAGTACAACGATTTCGTGCAAGATCATCGATCACCAATGCCCATGGCTTCTATGAATGGAATTCTGCATGGTGGTGGAGCATACCCGGCATACCCCTTCGAACCCTGGTACGGGCTAAGTGGGAATGCGCCAGGTAGACCACATGACTACTTCTCTGGCCGTAGGCACTTCCGCGATCCGAGAGATTATCGAAGGGGATGCTAAAGGATGTCAACTTCGAATGGTCGTTATAGCAAGGGCGCAAGTGCTTCAGCCATGATGCCAACCCCAAGACTCTTCCAATTGATGAATCTGTACAAAGTTATACTGTTAGCATGCCTTTTTGATGACACCGTGAAATTTCTACTTACCGTAGCTGTTGGAGGAAATCCGTGAGAGCGTTCACAGGCGAACCAGAGGTCACGCAGCATTTCTTGATCATCCCGGACAGTGAAGCGATCCCCGACTAATGCGACAGCAAAACATGCCACGAACTTGCCAGGAAACACCTTTGGGTTTGATAGTGCAACGCCGCTGAGCGTGCGCACATCTTCCTGGACTATCTTATCGACCACTGCTCGAGATTGTTTGTGCGCTGGCCCTAGTTGAGGTATGGCAGGATCGTGGACAACCAAAAGCATGTGTGCGAGCGTGTTGTATTGCATACCCATGACATGAGCCTTTTCGTGAAGCCGTATATCTGGAAAATTCCTTCCACTTCCATCTCGGTCCTGGCGGTAGAAGAAGGGATCAAAGCTCTCGGGTCTGCGTGACTTCCACGATTTATTCTCGTCCATCAGTTGATTATACCGAGCGATGCTGTGCCTTCCTTCACCGAATGCGAAATTACACACGTCTCCCAAATGCGCTATGGTGCGGGTGGCCCATATAGAGTCATTAGCAGGCTCGAGTGAACGGTCGGCTGGGAAGATGTGTAACTGGAAAGCTCGTTGCGTCATGAGAGATATCCATAATTCTTGCCGGAATGCTGCCCAATAGATAGCTTGTCGAAAACTAGGTCCAGTAGTGGCCGCATATGACTGTTCGGCAGCACGTATGATGGCTTGAGTACCGAAGAGATGACCTTGAGGGTCAGATCCGATGACAGAAATATTCATCTCCTCGAGTAGACGCAGAATAATTGTGGCCGCTAACAGCGACTCCTCCTTAATAGCAACGTTTTCGTTGAGAGCAGGGATTAAAGTGTCGAAGCATCGCTGGTAGTATGCGTCTGCGATATATGGGTCAAAGTCTGTAGTGCGGCTTAGTTGCCGTGCAGACAATGCGAGTATAGCATTCATCAGCGTGCTATTCTTCTTCGCTCTCTGAACCACATGTACACCGAAATGGCACTCATTGTCGACCATGTCGAAGAACAGCGCGACGTTGTCGATGTAATGCTGTAGCAACATAGCTTCCTGTTCATGCTCTAGCGGCCATAATATAGGCTGGCCTGGCGGCTGTTGGTACACGAATGTACTGGACTCCGTTCCCTGCATATTATCAAGCGGGGAGTGGTCTTCATGATGAGATCTTGGTAGGATCCTTTGCTGCTGCGGCTGACTAGGCGATTCAGAATTCAGTAGTGAAAGCACTGTGAAGCCATCGGTAGGTGTCACGGCTGTATAGGGTGGGGAAGCAACACCGCGCGGGCTTCGTCCACTTTTGGTTGAGCCTGGCTTCGAAGATTCGTCATAACTGACCAGTGGGCTATTGAACGGAGATACATGCTCTGTATATTGAGAACGAAGTTCGCTAGACTCGTCCAGGAACTGTACTGCGACAAGCGTTAACAACATGTCAAGATGCACCAATCGATGCCATACGTCGAGGGGGCAATGAAACCCATGGTTGGGCTTCGCTGAAAGACTCCTGGATCGATGACCGTCGAAAGCGTCTGCCTGTCTCATAGACGCAGTCCTTCTTACTTGCTTCACATCTACTGCATTTCGGCTGCTTGCCGTCGCCTAAAGACTCGTCAGCCACCGTATGTGAGGATTTGACGGAAAGGAATCATACATCGGTAGTGACGCGTGCGGCATCGATTGCTACGAAGGTCAACAGCTACCCGATGGTCTTAGCGTACGTGCTCTCGATGATCTCGTACCATGGCATCGGTTGCAGCTGTTGTGTCGGGTCCTTAGGTAGAGGAACGGTTCTTCGGAGGAAATTACCCGCGGGGGTGGCAGAGCGCTACGTATTGCTGAAGTTTGTGCAGGTGCGACCGCGGAGGAGTGATGTACCACTGTGGCAGGTCCTGAATTAAGGAACTTTCGCCGAGATATTCGCAATGCAGCCAATGGTTCTTTGTGCTTTAGTAAGACAGAAGTTGACAATCTTGAGTGCGCAAAGCTTGCTGATACACGCGAAATCGACCCCACTACCCCACCTTTTGCAGCACCGAAAGAGGAGATTCTCCCCTGCAACCTCCAGAACTCGTTGCATCGTGACCCGAGCAGGCATCATCGTGCAGGCTGCCCGAGAAAGATACAAGTATAGATGGCATTGCTGTTGCCTTTGCATTTTACTAATAACCACTGTTGCTGATGCTTTTGGCTTGATTCTGGCGTTGCCACTCGGAAACAATATGCCTCATGCTATGCCTCCAGAGCAAGGCGCGCCGACTTTACATAACCAGAAGTTATTTGTGAATGATGGGCTGCTGCGGTCCGATCAGGTAGGCGAATTGAGGCAATCGTCGCCAGGTTTACCCATGGATGAGATCCGACAGAGGTACAGCGAAGATGGCTACGTCTTGCTCAAAGGGCTATTACCAAGAGAAGACGTGCTAAAGGCCCGAGAGGAGTATTTCAAGATGCTGAGACCAAGTGGCGTACTTAAGCCAGGCACTGAGCCAGTCGACGGTATTTTCGACTCAGAAAAAGATTCTTCCGATTACCCCGGCATTGGCGCTGGCGCAGTTGGAGGCAATGGACGTCCGGGAGCAGAGACTGCTGAAACTTTCGTCAATCTAGCTCTCGAAGCGCATTATGCAGAATGGTACAAGGAGACATTTTGTAAACATCCAGCGCTCAAAGACTTCATCGCTCGTATGACCGGCTGGGGCGCAGACACATTGGGCATTCGCAGGAGTCTGCTGCGCAACAATACTCCGGGAAACAAGGCAATTGGTGTACACTACGATCAGATCTTCTTGCGACACGGTGAGCCAACAAGTGTGACAGCATGGGTTCCGATGGGTGATATTGGGCTGACCGGTGGCGGACTGATATATCTGGAGAATGGTGAGCATCAGCGCCTTGAGACGAGCAACACCCCCTGACTTCTATCTGCCAGGCCACACACTTGGGCGCGAAATTGAAGCGGATTTCGCACGCAAAGCGGCTGAGAGCGGCCTGACTGATGATGAGGCGAGGAACGCCTTCAACCAGAACATGCTGTCGACTGGATTACTCGCCGACGGTCCGAAAGAGTACTCCGACACGTTTCAGAAGAGATGGCTCGTGACAAGCTATGAGGCAGGAGATGTCGTCCTCCACAATCCATTCGCGATCCATGCTTCGACGCTGAACTTTGATCCCAATAATGTCATTCGTGTCGGTACTGATCTGCGTTTCGTCGATGCGAGCAAGCCCTGGGACACGAGATGGGACCACGACTATCAGTTTGGCGACGGCGTGTAGTCGGCAGATTGATACGAGAGGGCAGATTGAGCAGGGCCATGCACAGTTCTGGCGATTTGCTCGGCGTTGATGAGGTGTCGAATGTCATCGCTCTTTGCTCCGCAAGGGTTATTCTTAATATCAATCTGCGCATTCCTTTGAGTCGCATGCTTAGTCACACCTACTCGCGTGCTCTTGTGGCCTCGCTAACTATTGTTCACCGGTGCCACAAGTTCGAAGCTGCTACGAATCTTGTCAGTGCACTTCATAACCCTTGCCAAATTCATACCGCTTGCTCCCCTCTCAGTACCTGTCTATCCAACAGACGCAGGAATTGCGAGGTTCTGTTAGGGCGATGCTTGCAAGGCGGTGTCCAAGATCGCTCTTTTACCGCCCGGCCCGCACGCAAGGACACTCCACTTCGAACCAAAGTCCAGGGAATTGCACTGACTCCCAGCAGCGGCCCTGGGCCCATGGAACCCAGTGCCATCTCCCTAGCATGCACGACGTTCCATGAGCGTACCTGTGGCAGATTGTCACGTTTGGTCACATTTGCTGTCTCCGTGCTTGCAGCTGTCATCATCCACGCATGAAGGGGCTAAAAACGCCACAGTGGTACTGCGGCCTGGACGCGTGAGAGGGGGGCGGCCTCACGGCACCAGCCGCGGTCGCATCTGTTCGGCGAAGAGAGCCTCCACTTTCTTTTGCCCGCCCCCAAGCTTTGCCATTTTTTCAGAACCTGCTCTGTGGGTCTATGTGCAGGGAACACAGAGATCGAACAGATTAGCGAAATCAGGTTCCAATGCAATTGCAATGCGGAGGATCAAAAAGCACAGCAAGGTCCAGACGCACTGCAAACTCGGAAAGGAGCGTGGTACAGATTGTTACCGCGCCCAATTCGTCGGTCAGACCGGCTGTGGGCGGCGCCGCCTAAATGAGCGGCACATGGGAACCGTCCGTATTGCTGCAAAAGCACCTCTGCGCTATTGCTTTTGAAGCAGCATGTCGATCAGTTTACTGCGGGCGGGCTCGCGCAGCAATATCGGGCTCGAGGTCCGCATCGACTTTGTGGCTCCAAACTTACAGGCCCCTCGGTCATCTCTCGTGCAATTGCAATTATCTATTCACACCACCACGGAGGGCAAGACATGTCGGCGCGATAAGTGCGCATTGACTCAGCTAAAGCCGTCCCGCTTCTCCACGCCTGCATAAGCACCTGCTCCCGCCCCGGGGCCGCTGTGAAGTGTCTACAATTCAGCCTCCATCTTTCCTTCGCCGCGCCACCTGTTTCTGTGCACTACTGCGAACGACTGTCGGACGCGACATGAGAAATGGCGTCCCCGTTCTCCCCGGAAGAGTTGGCCTACCTGGAAGCGCATAAGGACGATTCGAGAGTCTCTGAAATCCACTGGGTTTACACCGTGCCAATCGTTGCCGCGACTATCAGCACCGCACTGCGACTATGGGCAAAGCGCCTCGGACGGAACGGAATCACACTCGACGATTACTTGATCCTCCTTGCGACATTTTGTTTGATAGGCGAATGTTCCAGCGGTCTCGGATACGGTATGAATCCATCATCTTATCGATATCGCGTGGTTTGCTAACAGAACCAGGGCCCCCACATGGCATGGGCCGACATGTTATTGTTGTGTCTGACTATGACCAGATGATGGTGCGCAAGGGCGACTACATATTCAGCCATTTCTACGACTTCGCGCTCGTCTTCGTCAAGCTCGGTATCCTTGCCTTTTACTGGCGCGTTTTCGTCCATCCGGTCTTCCGCACAGCGGTCCTCGCAACCGCATTTTTCGTAATAGCATGGGGCATCGGCATTACTGTTACGTTGTTTCTTGCTTGCCGGCCATTGAAGGCATATTGGGACATCACAGTAAAAGGCGATTGTTTGACGATGGTCACCTTCACATACTTCACCAACATTTCGAACTTGATCACCGATATCTGGATCTTCCTGATGCCAATTCCTATGATATGGCACTTGCAACTGCAGACAAAGAAGAAGCTTATTATAAGCTTGATCTTCTGCTTCGGTCTTGCGTAAGTTGTACTTCTCTGCGCCCACAAAAGCCCCTGGACTAACCTTCCGCATAGCACATGCATCGTCTCCTCCATACGCCTTACCGTAGTCCTTGGTCGCGGTAGTCCAGACTTCACATGGTACTACGTTCCCCTCGGCGCGTACTCTGTCTTCGAGCCTCTTGGTGGCATCCTCTGCACCAACATCCCAATCATCTGGCACATGCTGCGTAAACATCGAGCCATGAACCGCACTATGGAAAACCTCCAGAAGACACATGACTCTAGCACGCGCACTATCGGCTCTGGATCACGGCGCAGCCGTATTATAAACGCTCTCGGTATAACAACGCATGACCGAACACAGAATCACAGTGTTGGTGGAACCGTAGTGGAGGGCGGCGACCGTGCAGCCGACTTCCACAGGCTAGAAAGTATGGAGAGTCAGAAGCCGGACCCGAATATCTGGACAACTGTCCAGCGATTGGACAGTGGTAGTGCAGAGACGGGGCGCAGCTCAGACGAGGGCCACATAAAGCCAGGCATGAAGAAGACGAACTGGCATGTGAGGCGGTGACTGATACCTCACAACATCGATTATACCCGCGAACTTAACGACTTTACGAACACATGGCGCCTTCGGAGCACACTTGTCACGCTTCTCACTTTAGGTCTGGTAAATACGGCTGGTTTGGTATGGCACAGGTCACGATGCTATGAACGTCGTATGGCCTGGGCTGCTCTCTGGAGCATTGTGCACGATGTTTTCGTTTTTCCTTTAGATATCCAACGTACAGATCCCGGTCGTAGTCACGCCCAAGTTTCAATGCTTTTGAGACCAATGAATCACATCATTCTACTATTAACCATCATGAGTTAACCTGGCATGTGATGACCAGGTGGGATCAAGTTCTCATGCTGCAGTACACCTTCTTGGTTAGAAGAAGTATGTTGGCCGTCGTACAAGAGTGAGCTGATCCTACATCCAGCTCCTTTTGGCCCATGGGCAAGCGAGATCCGACCCTTCCAAGTTGCATGCATGATGCACGAGTGCTGCTGACACGCATGAACCCACTCCTGGCCTCCGGCAAAACAGACGCATATGCACGAGGCGAAGACACATGGGAGCAGGCCATCAATTCCACCCTTCCCCTAAACCCAGAGTGCAAAGATCTATTTTTACATTCACGATTAAACCTCCCAGACCTATCCCCAAGAATCTAATACGGCACCTTCGCCGCCACGCTTTTCCAGAACTCACACCTCGCTCCCCTCCCGCCTTCCCACGCCTGCGCATCCGCAAGGCTGATGACATTGCTCACCCCAGGGTCGCTGTACACATTGTACTTGAGATACGGCCCGGCAGCCACAGGACTCGGCACGCCGCCTGTCGCATTTAGATTCAACAGGTAAGGCATGCCCGCATCCCACTGCGGCCACTTGACCATCGCGCCATCGATATTCGATACGGAGCTATTCGCCACGCCACCCTTCGCGTCCTGGACGCTAATCACGGGAGTGTTGTTGATGATGAAGTTGCCCCAGATGGCGCGGAACACGTGCTTGAATGAGGCGCCGGGTGTTCTTGTGCCGGACCAAAGCGCTTGCAGGTCGTAGCCGTGGTAGGCAGGGGGCGCGCTGAATTGGTACTTCCAGCCCTGTGAGAAGGCGCTGGCGGCCCAGTAGGAGGGGCAGTCGAATGCGTATTCGGCGAAGACGTTGATGAGGCGCTGGGTCTGGCCGGTGCCGTAGGCGCTTTGGTTGACGGCGGTGGCGCCGCTGATGCCGTTGGTTGCGTAGAGGGGCGCGTTGGGGTCGATGGGTGAGGAGTCGCCGGCGTAGGAGTAGGTCCTCTCTACAGCGGATTTGTCCACAGAGGAGAAAAGCGGGAATGTAGTGTCGAGGTAAGAGCGGAAATCCTGGGGTGTTTTGGCGGTGGGTGGGGCGAGGGGAATACCTTCGTTGGCCATGTTGCCGGAGAGTACGCGTTTGCCTTTTACGGCTGCGGAGAGCAGTTGCTTGCTTGGCCGGTCTTTAATGAATGAGCCATCTGTGACTGGCAAGAACGCAAAGGCGCCAAATGGTCTCGACTCGCCGACTTTCTGACTCGCGGTTTGTAGAGTGGTGGTGTTCTGACTACGGAGGCAGGCGAGCGTGTCATTGGCCTTGGAGCAGCCAGCTAACTCAGCGAAAGCTTCGTACCTATCCTCAATCTCGTCGTCGTCGTAGCAGTACTGCTCAGGGAACCACGGGCTTGCTGTGATGACGTTGTTGAAGAGGTTTTCTTTTTGCTGACCGCCGTATGCCATGGCTTGGTACAACACAGAGGCAGCACCAGAGCTCTCTCCAGCGATAGTTACTTTACTGGGGTCGCCACCAAATTTGGCAATGTTGGCCTGCACCCACTTCAGGGCAAAGTTCTGGTCGAGTAAACCAGCGTTGAGCGCACCAGCCTCTGCGACATCTTCGCCTCCAAGGAAGCCGAACGCACCAAGGCGGTACTGGATGATGACGCTGACGAAGCCGTTCTTGTTCTGCTTCATGATTTCAGTGGGGTCCAAACCAGTGATGCTGAAGAGATTGTGGCCTCCTCCGTCTATCAAACATTAGCAAGATTCGTATTCAGAGCGAATAGGACGTACGAATCCAGAAGAAGACAGGCAGGTTTGTTGCATTCGCAGGCGCAAACACGTTCAGGAACAAGCAATCCTCATTACCAAGCGCAGATGTGAAGCCATACTCAGCAGGAGTCGCAGAACCAGCGCCAGTCTGAGGACAAGCTGGAGGATCCTTCAATGCCGTGATAGTCGATGTCCTGTTCTTCGCTGGTACTTGAGGAGCTGCCCACCTGAGCTTTCCGAGCGGCGGTGCGGCATATCGTACGCTGTATCACCATGTTAGTCTTACCGCACAATCGATCCTTCGGAATTACACTCGTACCCTTTGAAAGCATTGATGTTATTAGTCGCGTCGTAGCTACCACTGTAGACTCCGTATCCAAGATCGACAGTTGGTGTGTCCCTGGCTGCGATGCTCGGGATAGGCTCGGCGGCAACGCTCACCCCTGCGATGAGCGCGCCTGCAACCACACTCCTGAAAACCCTCATGTTTGATCCCAGCTCTTGACGATTAGACGCGCGCAAGTTGTTGGACACGAACTGCAGAGGCCGAGGCAGAGTGTCGAGTGATATGCGGGAATTGTCACGCAAAGGGAGGACCCAGGGCCGTGGGAAACGTGGGAACGGTCGCGCAACCTTAATCTAATCACCGGCATATCCCCATTTTATAACCAACACGCAACTAAACGGGAGGAGTGGCTCCACTGCCATTAAGCGTCCAGTGCGCGCGGGAAGTTCGTTTGCGGAGCACGTGTTTGGGTATCGCAGTACGAAAACGCCAGCCTCGATGGCGCTCGTCTGGACCGCCACGACTGGATAGACGACGGCGAGATTGATGCTACAAGTTCTCCATCTTGCATCCCTAGCGGGCCTTCACGACTTTTCGAGGATGCAAGCGAAGGATTCCCTTGCCATCCGCTACGGCCTGAACATACCCGGTGATGATGATTGGGTGACTGTTGCGGATGGTTTGAATGTTTCCGTCAAATGGCCCGCTGCCGAGGACCAGACCGTCGTTGCGAACGTCGGCGCTATCGAAAAGTATAATGCGCCTTCTAATTCGCGGTATGCTTTTGAGGTTGTAAGGCGGCCTGTCAACTGCAGAGGCCAAAGAGCTCAAGAGCCCATGGAGTCGGTACCTGGAAAATGTTGCGCAACGAGGACGATCGCAATTGTTGTACCCAAGAGTCATCCACGACGTCTGCACATGCAATGCGCGACATGGACTTTAGTGGTCCGAATGCCCAGGTGCCAGGCATGCGGGCTGCAGTCAATCTCCGGGTAATGATCTTTATGCGGCCGCAGCCCCAGTCGCGACCTGGGCCAAAGAGAGGACGTTCACGCGACCCGCTGAGTTGGGGCACACCAGGTGAGGCATCCGTAGGCGAAGAGGGACAATCAGGTAAGCTGCATGTTGTGTTGGCACCGCGTGCGTTGATTGATGGTGGTGACTGGCGGCCACGGTGTTGCGGATGCAAAGGCCGGTGAGACACCCAGTTCAGCTCAGCCATGGCGTGTTCATCCTTCTACTTCCGCTTCGCGTGGTAGGCGAGCGCGCAGTCCTACAGCAACACGATTTAGGAGCTATCAAAGTGTGAGCTGCCCCGAGGCCTGGACATGGCTGCAACGACCGTGTTGTGTAGCTCTAGCACACGCATTCCGCGCAGCACACTCGAGGTCCTGCTGCATATCAGTTCGTGAAAACGACTGCTTACAATATCTTCTCACACTCACAGACAACAGTAAAATATATTTAATAGTCATACGTGTCTGAAAGGTTCAGCTGTCACCTTCTCCAACGGCGACGTGACTAACCTTTATACTTTCAGGTCCAAACTGTTTCCCGTATACATTTCAGCCTCCACATCTACCCCTTGCATAAGGCCCATGAGCTTGATTTGACCTTGTTTCGATGTCGTGTAATGGTGATGTTGCTGTGCCGCAGCCATACCTGGACCCTACCTAATGGGCGATCGAACCATGGAAGACTACGTAACTCCAAGAAAAGGCAAATAATGTCAACTGATTACAGGGCGATTTCCGTGGGGTATAGTCCCTTGACTGTACTAGGATTCATGTCACTGCGCATGGTCATAACAATAACAATGGAACACAATCGACTGAGTCGAGGTCGTTATACTTACTCAGTGTGACTCACACAATGGAATGATCCTACTGACAGAATTGTGATTACTCGAGAGCTTACAATACAGCGCTTTGCTTCAATGCTATGGTGCGATATTGATGTGGTACGCCTTGAATTACAAGCGTTGAGGAACCGAACAGCACTTCTATGCTATCCAACTTCAATGTTTCGAGACAACGACATTCGGTGTAGAAGTGATTTGTAAGATGGTATTGGTATAATGCACGCGTCCTAGAGTGCAAGGGTTGTAATACAACCATGTATAGACTGGCACGCAACTGTTTTCAATGTGATTCGTCAATCGCATCACGGTTTTCCAAGTTGGTACTATCGTGGAGAGACGCAGTAGCCTCGATCTTACCAATCATGCCTCTTCTTTGATCAAGTGTAGTTCCGCTAGCATGTTATTCTTAAGCTTTGTGACCTCAGGCAGTTCTAGATTAGTACATGACCTAAAATTATCCAAGGTGACAAGCACGAAGGTATGCTGGTTGCTTAATTATCCACATCTTACTTACATGGATGTAATTGGAAATCTACGTGATGATTTCATCATCTTCACAGCCTCAAAAGCATACAAAGCCTCGCTACCTTCTGCTCTCCTTCCTCCCACACAGCACACCTGGGCACTGAACAACAACCACATTCCCACATCAGACATACCATTGCGACTACGAACTACCAGAAATAAACACATACTAAACAACCAAACAACCTCATCATATAATGGTGCGCGACAGACCATATGATTACCTCCATTGCATGCCTTTCACCGGCTACCGCAACCTCAACAGCCTTCCCGCCTACGACCATGGTCCCAGACGCGAGTACTCTCACCAGATGGGCGGGAATGTCTTCTATGGTAGACAATTCGAAAATCGAGACCCGGGATATTCGTACAACGGGGAGGAAGGGTCTCGGGGAAGGGTTGCGCCATACAACCTGGGACAGGCTCGCGGAATAGTGCGGGGCAGGAGACGTAGGTAGTCCGGGATAGGAATGAATGAAGGTATACAGGCTTCACTATTGCATTGATAAGTAATGAACATGAGGGAATTGAGGTGTTCCAGCACGTGTGATGATTCGGACGATTTCGTAGCAATGTCGTTCATTCGTTCTCGTTATTCATATCTATATACCCTCTAAGTCCTCTCTGGTAAAGTCAGAGTAACCTCTCCTTCTTGGCCCTCGGCCTTGCCTGTTCGCGACAGCGAAGGCCGCGCGCGCTTTCGCGCCGAACCCTCTTCAGCCTGCGCCTCCCTCTTGCGCTTCTTGGCCAGCCAAGAGCCCGGAGGCAGCCTATCGAGCGTCGTCCAAACCGCTTCGGACTCGGCAGCCAGCTTGAACGTGGGCGACGGCGGCGTCATGCTGGCCGGGGTCAGGGGCGCAGCGACCATCGTCTCACCCTCAATAGTGAGGGGTGCCGGCGACGTGGCCTTGACGCTTTCGCCATCAGGCGTCTCCATCTTGGTGACTTGTACTAGAAATGATTAGCATTGATGCAAGAAAGATGGATGAATGGGTCCTGGAGCTTACGTTTCCGCGCCGGCTTCGCTTTCGAGCCACGAGTCGATCGGACGGGGTCCTCCTTTGGCATGAAGCGACCATTGCGGCCGCGAACTTTGCCGGCTTCCAGGTCGTCTTCGATGGACTTCTGGACAGCATCTTGCAAGCTACCAGGTTGACTCAGTGCTTCTGCCGTGACGGTGTCGGAGGGGCACTCGCTCGTTTGTCCATGCTGTTCGTTACTCATAGGCGAGCCATGCATTGCATTGCTCATGCCGGTCAGTGGAACTCCTGGTGCGGCTTCGCCTCGCGCGTTGTTGCGGACTTGAGCAATGGACAACTCTTTCCAGGCGCGGCTGAAGAATGGCCACTTGTCTTGAGCCTTGTTGGTGAGCGAGCGTACTCGACGGTAGGCGCGGTTCAGCTGGAAGAATCCCAGAGTGGTGCGAATCTCTCTGCCTGGCGAAGTGATCGGCTCATAGAGGAAGTGCTCCTTAATCCAAGTAGCCAGTGCAAGGTCGTCGTCGAGCGCGCTCTGGTTGAGGTACAGGTGGATGTCCTGCAAGGTGGCGACGTCGATATAGCCAATAAGAGTGTCAGGGAGCATTTTGGATGGCGGCGTATCGTCAGAGAGAGGGCTTTCTGATGCAGTGGTAGAATTCATGACTTGCTGCGGGTGGTTTGTGCAGGTGTAGAAATTTTGGTCGGAGAGAAGTTGAGTGTGGAGGCTGTGGTTAAAATTGGTGACGCTGGTGGAAAAGCTGTCGAAGTGAGAATCAACATCCCCAGCCACCTCGAAAGTACAATAACCGCCGTCGTATTGTTGTGTTTGCGGGTGAACTCGAGTTCCTGGCGGTGAGAAGTCTTGCAAAGGCCGCGGTCGACCGGCTCGACAATAGGTCTGCAGCCTTTTTTGACCAGGCAAAATTTCTGGTGGAACAACTCCTTTGAGAGCTATGTGAGTAGATAAAACCGTCTTACGTAGAAACAGTCGTTATCTCGAGGGTTTAATGCCTTCGTTGCAAGTTATGGTTGAGCGCAGGTGGTGAAGGCGAGGGAGCACCTAGCTCGCAAACTTCTGAGCACGGTTCCACCCAATCAGGTGATTTGCACCCCGTTGGCACTCGCCACGTAGTCAGATACTGCAACCAGATACAAGATACAAGATTTTCCGAAGAAGGTCTACAGTTGAGTTTTGACTGACTTGCTCAAAGGTTTCTTACAGAGCAGCACGCTGCCACTGTCTGCGCACGGGCAGGGGATAAGTCTGATTTCGGGTAGGTATGACGAGTGCACAATTGGTGACTGCTGAACACGTCCAAATCAATCCACATCTAACCAACCGAGTCGATTGATTCTGAGATGGTCCCATCTGCATTTAAGAGTAGGTCAATTCACACCGAGAGCTCACTCAACCCTTTGCCGCATCGACCCCTGGCGCCACTCCTCCATCTCCACTGATCCATATATATTTGCGAGACAGCCTTTAGGGATAACAGCAATCTTTAATCACGCCCTATTAATCGCTCACTCACTGCCCTGGCCTCTGGTGGAGCCAAGCGCAAACAACTCACGCCTCACGTTCAATCTACACTGACCTCAAGGCGTGTTCCATGATCTCCGCATGACCCTCAGATCATAAGGCTCATATCTCACAAGTTGCGCCTGTCTATCCCTAAGTGCGTCGACATTAACATGATTCCACTAGACCATAGATTGAGGCATCATACGGCTCAAACCTACAACCTTCTCCAATAGCAAGAAAAGATCTTACCTAATTTTTATTACTCAGAAACACGAGAAATTCAGCTGTTATCAACGTAGAAGTTCTCCTTATTGACAACCTGCGCATCGCGATTGTGTGATTTGGTTTGGTACGGCGTGGGGTGAGAGTGAACGGCAATTCCTGAGACAGTGACTCCCGAGACTTCAGAGCAGTCATTGTAGTTACAACTATCAGCTCAATGCAATATTATCTCAAGTTTATTTTCGTTCGCGTGTTGCCGCAAAGATTTGCAGCATCTGATGCACCAGTCAGCAGGTCTAGCCAGTACCTTTCCACCGAATCAGCCAGCGCCCGCACCAAATGCCAGCTGTTCCATGCCGTCTGTAATGTTGTCACTGACGTTGTGTAAGACTTTTGACCTGACATGATTCGATTTCGAAGTGTTATAGGAAGTCGACAGTGCAAAATTGTTGTGGCCTTGCATGGTGTGCGCGAGAGGGAGGGGCGGCCTTGACACTGACTCTGACTCGCAACATGCCACGGCGACCGCGGCGTTCCTTCAGCATTGCTGAACCAACCGCTTGAACAACATCTATGAATCTGAGAGGCCGAGCGGACTTTCAGGAACTTCCAACCGTGGGTTGCGCAAGTAGCAGCGACACCAAACAGTAAAGCGCGGCACGATGACGTCGACACTGGGCGGACCGAAACATTGACTACTCCAACATCGCAACAGGAACCTGACCAAAGTATCGCAAAATGCATTTCGGGGCAGCGCAACATCTTTGGAACGGATTTGGGAGCTTTCCTAACACGGTGGAATGAGAACCGGAGCTTCCACGCTCACCACCTGTACAAGTCTAGCTTCAACGCGTTGCACCGGGCCGACTGCATCTCTCACACGATTCTAAATTTCGAAAGGGTCAGATGTAAGTATATACGCAAACGATTTCCTTAATCAATTTACCGTCTAATCCTCTATAGTTGGTAGACTCAGGCTTTGCAGGTTTTCTTGGGACAACTCGAAGCACCTACACGAGGACGTCACTGCAGCAACTCAACACGATGCAGCCCCAAACCACGCCCGAATGCAACTATACCAGGTGCGACATGTGCCAGCAATCCATCACCGACAAAACACCTCCCACTTATCCCTCTCCACTCATGGTCTTTCTTGCGTCCTCGCTCGTCGCCTCCAACTTTGCCTCCAGCCCTCAAATACCACAGAGCCATGATACGCACCACGTCAAATAAACGAATAAGCATGCTACAATAGCAAATCGCCGATGTGTAGACCATCTTCGACCGATCCTTGAGCAATACTTGATCCAGTATATCCTCCACCTGCCTCCAGCGACAACTCGAGAGTCCATTACCAACCGCGTCGAGCATCGCCTGCATCGATCCAGTCTCCGGAGTAAGTGGATACCGCGCAGCCCTCCTCGCTCTCGCATATACACCTCGACGTTAGATCAGCACCACAGCCCAACCATCCTCATTCCTTCGGATTCGATCTAGCTGCTTGAATGTCCCCTTGCGGTCCAGCCGACGTGTTTCTCGCTCCTCGCTAAAGCATGCCAGGATACATGGATTGCCAAGGCTGTGGCCGGAACGTGGGAGGAGAACGGGTGAGTGCGTGGCTACGTAGGGTCTGTGGACTATCGGAAAGGGAGAGGTGCTGGAGGCGGGGATGAGGAGGGGGGAGAATGGGTATAGGAAAACGATGAATGAGGGCTGATGTGGTTAGGTACATATGACTGGAAGTTTTTTTGACCACCGCGCAGCAAGGTCACATTCAGGGAGTGCGATACCTGGAAAGTCTGTGTCTTTTGAACATTTTCATTCAATTCATTACGCAGCCAAGTATTCCCACATCTATCCCGTCCCTCTCAAAGATCAATCCTGCTATCAGGTACGCTGTAAAATAAAAAAAATCAACGCAAACCATATCAAGTCCTCGTGCTGCTCGAGTAGCTGCGCGTTCTCCGCATACCGAATCAAAACCAGGCGCAAATCACAAGTTTTCTCTTAGGGAGATGGGGATAGGGTGGTTTCGAGCGCTCAGCGCTTCGCAGGCGCACGCTTCACGGGAGACTGCGATCGAGTCACCCTACGAGTAGTCTCCGCCGCAGGCGTGGCACTTGGGGCTCTACGGCGCCCGATAGCAGGGGTCTCAAGGATGGGCAATTGGCTGCCCTGCTGCGGCTGCGCGGAGCGACGGGATCCCTCAGTGTAGTTAACCCTGTTGGTCCTGCGCAGGTCCCTGCCGCCCGGAGTCTGAGCTGCGATAGGGAGTCGACTCGCGTGGCGAGCAGTCACAGCAGGAACAACCGCAGTCGCAGGTGTAGATGGAGGTGCCAGGCGCGGCACGTTGGTGAGGCCCAAGGCCTTGTCAGGAGCAGGCAGGACGGGGTCAACCTCCATTGAGTCGCTCTCGCTGCCGTACGCCTCCTCGGGCGAAAGCTCACGTCGCTTGTTGGACATGGCGTCGACCTTCTTGGCCATCTTCATGCTGCGCTTGCGCTTCTTCGATGGAGTGCTGCTGCTATCCGGCTCTTCGCTCAGGGCGGCTGAGCTGTCGGCGACTTTCGGGGTCTGCATCGCAGAAGAAGTTGGTTGAGGCGGGTCGGCGTTGATGCCGTATCTGCTCGCCATGAAGCGGAAGACGTTCGGGGTTGTGAGTGGAATTGGTTCTGCGAAGGTAGTTAGCGATTTTGTGACGGCATGTAGAAGCTGTAAAACTTACCAGAGGTACCTGTGCCTGCAAGGCTGTACTTGTTAAGCTCAAACTCAGCCTGACGGAAGAGGTCATGCTCCGCCTTCTCTCGGTCCAAGTCCGCCTTGTTGAGTAACTTCTCGGCTCTCTCGCGACGTGTGGTCTCTTCCTTGAACGATTGCCGGGCCTCATCGCGAGACTTCGTGAGCTCTGCGATCTCTTCGACATGTTTGTCCATCTCTTTCTCTCGAGCTTGATCAAGCTCTTTCAGTTCTACCACATACTCCTTCTCCTCCTCGAGCTTGAGTTCTGTGTACTCAAGCAAGGTTCCCAGCCCATCGGCATGTTGGTGTGCTTCCTCGAGATCACCCCTAAGCTCACTGTTACTCTGGTGAGAGTTCAGCACCTCAGATTTCAGCCTGGCGACCTCCGATTGCAAGTCCTGTCGCTCATGTTGGCTGCTCTCTTGGAGCTGTTTCAGCTGCTCTGCCATGTGCTTTTGCGCCAAGTCGGAGGCCATCAGCTGGTGCAGCAATTCCTCTTGATCCGGTCCTACAGTAGCCGGATCCGCTTCGAGGGGTGCCTCCTCCGCATCAGACTGCTCATTGTGTTGCTGCTCGGTACCCGCATTCGCCATGAGAATGTTCTCCTGTTTTGAATGCTTCTGCTTGTCCATCGGCGCTCCGAAGGAATATTGCTCGGCAAAGAGCTCATTTTGTTTGGCAAGTTGCACCTCCTGACGGGCCTTCTCAATGTCCTTGCGAAGCCTCTCATTCTCACCTGCAGCATTCTTGAGAAAATTGTAGGCAAACCTGACCTTCTCCTTCCACCTCTTCGGTCGCTCGCCAGGTGGTACATTCTGGATGGGCAAGCGCTTCCAAGCAGACTTGAACCCATGAATAATCGCGATACCGAGACCAATCTGCACTGCCGCGGTAATGAGTGAAAACTTGTTGAAACCGGTCACCTTTATCAAATCCATGATCTGAGTCATGAGATGGTCGGGAACGGCCGATGGGGCTCCGACCTTGATGATCTTGGCTGTGTTGTAGGAGGAGACGCGGGCGGCGGCGGGTATGGTCTTGGTGACGGCCTTTGTGACAGTCGACGTGATGGCCTGTGTGACGGTCGCGGTCGCGGTCGCGGTGACAGTGGCTGTGGCAAGTTTGGCGCTGGACTTGGCCATATCGGCTGTGTTGGGCACCGTGGTGATGACCATGATTTTGTTCATGATGACTTGCGGTGATGGGAAGGATTGAGGTGGAGAAAGACGTAAGTAGGGGGCCCAATTGATGGGATGGTATGTGAGAGGAAGGTAGATCCAGGTCAGTCGTTGAGAGTTGGTGATGTGGTTCACGACTGATCGATGGTGTGTGTGTGTACGAGAAAGAAGTAAGCAACCTAATCACTGAATGAATTGTAAGAACAATGTCAGTTCGGGTTGAGTTGATATGTCAGTTTACTCAAGGTTGGGTAGATGTATGCAAATATTGGTAACGCGAGAACCAAATACCCCGAAATATCGCGGAAAGCACGCTAGCTACTAGTCTTAGTAATCGAGTACGTGCTGTCGGGGGCGTGGGTCAAAGTGAAAGCTTTCACGGTACGTCATTCTTGACCACGGCAGCGCCGACAGCGCTCGACGCGGAGGAAGTCTCATTTTGCAGCCGGCGAGGATTTTCAAAATCGTTCTGATCAGTATGGAGAGTTGAGGTCGTTCTAAATTGGTCAATTGTAGATAGAAGATGCCAGGACTGCGCATATTAAGACAATAGAATGTCATGATTGTGTGGACTTAGAGAACTCATTCCATGAACATGCTGTAGATAGAACAAGGTGATTATTTGCACTTGACGAAATCATTCCATGCACAAAGGGAACAGTATTGGAAGGTTTTGTGAAATTGTATATAGATCGTAAGAAGAGCTCTACGTATTATGCCAGACAAAGATCCTGTTCGTACGAAACTAATGTGTGGTACCGCCATCTCGGCCAAGCATACCGTCCTGCGGCAGCGTACCAATAGAATCAATCGCAATAAATGTCAAGTATAGCTCCGTATCCGTATCCGTGATCTTAGCATCTCTCTTCTTCTGTACCGCGCCGGTCTACCTCGTTGAAGTGCTCTTCTGGCCCCACCACTCTTCAAACTCCTCAGCCTTAAACGTATCGTACACGCCTGCAGCACGATCAATAACTGCCTGCTCAGCGGATGCATGCCAGGTCTTTCCCAAGTGGCCGTTGCTGAGGTCGGCGCGGAATTTGGCGACGTCAGTGCGGAAGCAATCGTTGGAAATCTGGAACGCGTAGGGTCGAGTGTCTACGGAGTCGCCATGGCCATCGGTCGCACGGATCCATTCGAGAAGGTCGGTGTTGTCAGGTGTTGGCGGAAGCATCAACATGAGCTCGATCTTCTGCTCAGTGCTCAGACTGGTCCATGCTGCGGGCTCGAGGAGCATGTGGAACACATCAGCCTTCACCAGGCGGCTCGTGGAGTTCGTGGTAATGTACACTGGGTCGAAGACTTTGCCGCCCTTCTTGACAGGTGCTTTCTTTGCTGACTTGGCTGGTTTAGCGGGCTTGACGGGCTTAGTCTCAATGGCGTCACCAAAGCGCTCAGGGGCTTTGCGAGCGCGGGAAGGGCGAGTCGAAGGTGGTGGTGGCGGTCCTGCAGTCTTCTTCGCTGCGACACGCTTCTTTGCAGCAAGCTTTGGAGCAGACTTCAGGGCAGGCTTGGCTTTAGCTGCAGCCTTTGCTTTGGATGTAGCGGCCCTCTTGCGCGGCGGCGCCTTGTCGGTGCAGGGCTGGTCGTCGAAGTTCCCAGCACTCTTGCTGTCAGCATCATTGTGGACGCTCTCGTCAGCGTCATCTTGGCTGCGCTTCCTTTTAGGAGATCCATTTGGTGAGGGCGCATTCTTTTTCTCGGTAGCATCCGAATCATCGGAGTTGTGCTCGTCAGGGTCGTCGCCGCTGCGGCTGCTAGTAGACTGAGCTGCGCACTGGCTCATGACGCGGTCGGATCCAGTTGAGGTTGCGGCTTCCTTGGGTGGATTTGCGTTTTCTTTGTCGCTGCTGGGACCAGGAGATGCGTACGCGGGATCTGTATTAAATTAGATCGGAACTAGCAAATATCAATGTTGGAGCATACCTTGATCTTTGGTAGACACCGGTGGGAGGCTTTCATCGCCGAATGCACGCTGGGACATGGCTTGAGGTGGGCATGGGGTCGTCTGCTCTGACCAAAGTGAGGCTTCACTGTCATAAGACGGGGTCGGGGCCGGAGGGGTTGAGGGAGGAGTCTCGGGGAGGTTTCCAGTTTGCGATCTCATGTTGTCTGCGGTGGGTTGCGACTGTTCGTTGGTTGAAATGGAAGTTTGGTGGTGTGATGAAAGAAGTCTGCAGATAAGTATTAGGACCTGGGCGGGACGATCTCTTATAGCACAAGCAGGTCCGGCCGACGATAGGGTACAAGAGAGAGAAAGGACGAAATCTGATTGGACACGAGCGTTTGAAATGCTGGGTGAACGGTAAATTCTCAAGCCCGCGCTGCACGGACGAAGTATAATAGAAGGAACGCTCGGTGAAGGAGGCGATGGAGCGGCAAGTGAAAGGACCAATATTCTACTTACTGTACCCGCAGAGACATGCTATTAGGCTTGGCTGGGCCGCCGTGGGCTCCAGAGCGGATCATTTTCAGGGTTTTGTGTTGCTTCCAGGACTTGTGGTCGAAGTCAAGGTGGCTGGAGTCTGCGCAATAAACTCAAGAACGGAGCGTGACTGTGCACGTGAATCATTGGAAGGTCGAGGCTTGAGTCTCATAGCAGTATTTGAGGTGGAACAGCACAATCAATGGAAGGCAGCAGGTCTTTAGCGCGCAGTTGGGGAAGGCTCGCTGAGTAACTTGTGGACCCTCTGCAATTGCGCTGTAATGCGACACGAGGCAAGGCAAAGATGATATTTTTTTTTCTAGGAAGATGCAGCAAAGGCGAAAATTTGAAAGAAGTATACAGAAGAGCGGCAAATCGGATCGAGCCTGGTGAGTGACGGCTCATGTTGAGGTGTGAATGTTGGAGGTTGGCGTAGGTGGCCCAAGCGCAAGCTTTCCGCATCGTCATCTTTCGCGATTTGGCAGTTGCGACACCGACACGTAGCCTTTCTTGCGACTTTCACGCCACTGCACGCCAGTCGTCTAAGTAGACATTTGGTTCTAACTAAGTCATACTGCAACCACACAAGACACAACGGGAGCCAAACAACCACCATGATCAAACACACCGAAATATCACGACTCGATGGTTAGCGGCTGCTCCTGGGATATTTGGTATACACAAGTCTGACATGTATAGGCATTATTCTGACCAGCTCTGTGGATGAGGGAGAGGTACATTTATTTTTCCATTCATTCTACCCGCAAAAGTCTTACAATCAATAGGCAGATGCCGAACTCAACGAGGTCAAAAGCAAGGTCAAGCTTGTCCAGCGCCGCCTGAACCGCAACTCGGAACCCCAAGCCAGCATAGAGAGTGGCTCCTACACCTACCAGTACGTCGGCGCATCCTCTCAGCCCGAACTCCGTCAAGTCAGTCTAACATCCCGCCCAGCTACCTCATCAGCGGCGACCTATGCTTCCTCTGCATCTGCGACCGCTCCTACCCGCGCAAACTCGCCTTCACATACCTGTCGGACCTCGCCTCGGAATTCACGCAAACTTACCAGCCCAACCAGTACCTCTCCCCCGCATTACGGCCCTACGCCTTCACCGAGTTCGACACCTTCATCCAGCGCACAAAGAAGACGTACCAGGACTCGCGCGCGACGCAGAATCTCGACAAGCTCAACGACGAGCTCAAGGACGTGACGAAAGTCATGACGAAGAATATCGAGGACTTGTTGTATCGCGGGGATAGTCTGGAGCGCATGGGCGATATTTCGAGTCGGTTGAGGGAGGACAGTAGGAAGTATCGGAAGGCGGCGGTCAGGATTAATTGGGAGCTGTTGTTGAAGCAGGTGAGTGGCGTGCTGCAAATTCGAGAGACGAGTGTCGGTGCTAATGTGTGCAGTATGGTCCTATTGGTGGTTTGGCTTTCATCATCATTGTGTTTGTTTGGTGGCGCTTCTTCTAGGGGCCCGGGTGTGGCAGCATAAGTTGGGCGTTGCAGGGCGTCGTGTCAGATTATAATTCCTCAAGAGTCAGGGCGGGACACAATACCCAATTCATGTTCTCACTTGACATCTTTGTGCTTATATGTGAAACATGTACAGGGCGGATGCTATGGTTTGGAACCACTGATGTGATTTTGAAAAGGGATTGAACTCTACTGCGCAGAGCTCTTCACCACACTCTCTACAACCTTCATAACCTCCACCAACTCCTCATCCATCATCGGCTTCCCCACAATCTGCACATGAGTCGGCATTCCCTCACATACTTCCCGGATCATCTACCATTCATTAGCACCTCACTTCACCCCCTTCCCACCGGAAATCAAACTTACAAGCAGGTTCATACCCATCCTCTCCCGTTAAACCCCCCCATCCCTCGCCCCCTCCGCCCTCCCCACACTCACAATCCCCGACGGATAATTCACAAAATTGACCACGACGGTATACACCGGGATCCCATACGTATCATGCCTAGGCGCCGTGCCCTGATACCCCGGCATGAGAACAGCATCCAAGTTTTCTCCCACAACAACATCATGCCACTTCTTTAGCACCACGGCGCGCTGGACGGTCATGTCCCACAGCTCGTCGAGACTGGGTGTCCAACCCTTTAGCTCCGGGAAGCCGGCGGTGGCGAGACTGGGGATGGGCGGTTCGCCGGAGGCGCGGATGTGTTGCATGGGCACAGCGGTGGTGTCGAGCATGAAGAATTTGTAGGCGAGGAGGGCGGTGGCGTAGAGGGACGGAATTTGCTCGTCTAAAAGGACGGTTTGGTGTCCAGCTGCTTTCAGCGCGGTGGCGGTGTCGTGCAGTGCGCGCGCGATGGGTGGGTGCAGAGGTCTCTCCTTACACCCTCTTATCAGCCCAAAGCGCAAGGGTTTCTTGCTCGGTTGGACGCTGCGCCATGGGACGTTTAACGCGTTCTCATCGACGCGCCAGGGCTGCAGGTCGATCACGGACTTCATGAAGAGCTCGTAGTCACGGACGGACCGCCCGCAGGGCCCGATGACGGGGAGAATGGGACTGGGAGACCCGATCCGGCCGACAGCTACACCGCCAGCGAAGGGCACGCGGGAGGCAGTGGGTTTCAGGGAAGATCCGCCGCAGCAGAGCGTTGGGATGCGGTTGGAGCCCGCGATGTCGGTGGTGACGCCTAGGACGCTGCCTTTCATAGCGACAAGCGCGCCCTCGCCGCCCGTTGAGCCGCCGGCAGTAAGGGAGAGGTTGTGGGGGTTGAGCGTGCGGCCGAAGATGTTGTTGTGTGAATCTGCCGTCATCATAGTCTGAGGAAGATTGGTTTTGACGTGGAAGACTGCTCCGGCTTGGTGAAGGATGTCCACGAGGGCACTGTTCGATGTAGCGGGAGGGCGTGCGATGAAGGAGACGTAGCCGAGAGTAGCTTGTTTGCCTTTGACGTTGAAGCTGTCTTTGAGACTAATGGGTAGGCCGTGGAGGGGGCCGATGGGCTTTCCTTCCTTGGCTAGGTAGGCGTCGCATTCACGTGCTCTTGCGAGTGCTTCGTCAAACATGATTTCCGTGAGACAGCTAACGCATTGTTGGGCAATGGCGGCACGCTTGCAGAATGCCGTTACGACGTTAATGCTCTTCAGCTTTGCAGTGCTCATGAGTTGAACCAGGGCGGTGGCATCGTAATCTTCTGTGATATGTAGCTCCTGCTCAGTCAAAAGACCGCATGTTCGTGGTACATCCAAAACATTGAGCGTTGAAGTCTCGGTGTACTGTGAAGTAAGTGCAGCAGGCAGGATCCAGTCTTTGGGGATCAGGGCAGCTACAGATTCTCTTTTTGATTTCGCCAACTCTTTCCAGTCCGCAACGGGCTGCTTGGACTCCATTTTTTCTCAAGACTACTTCTCCGGGATAAAGGATGACAGAGGTTGGCAAGAGATTGGGGGTTGTAGTATCGACTGTTTAGACTGCGGCAACTTCGGCCGAACTATAGTAAGAAGGGTAAGAGGTCACGATTCAAGATACTGGAGAGAGCTGACCAACCCCGCATGTTATTGTACATTTGTAGTGTAGGTGGGGCTGCTGGGGAGCCGGTCCCGCTCGGGTGTACGTTTCGGGATGAGACCGTTGACCCAATCAGATAGCGCTGTTGCTCGTAATCCTACGAGAAAAGCCATAAGATGTAGAGACCGGTGTACTGCAGTTGCACGATATGCTGGAGCAACATGAAACGTGGCTTGTGTAATGTGCAGGTACTGTGAAGTACGAACAAGTATGACCGGTTTCAAAAAGGGAGATTGTCTTCGTAGCCTCAAATGTTATGATTGACCTGATGTTATGTTCGCCGTGTAACGCCCAAGTCCAGTCTGTATGTTGAGGTAGTCGTTCCAGTTGAAGAAATACCCCGTGCTCAGTCCCTCCTCGTCTCAATCGACTCATATGGCGACCGGCTTCTCCGTCTTGGTCGGCGGTCCCTCGAGTGTGAACGCGATCGCACGTCGCCTGCATCTCGCTCTCTCCGCCGCTCTGGTCGATCATCTCGTCGGTTGTGTTCGCGACTCCTCGACCGATGCCTGCGCCTGTCACCTCGATCATCGTCTCGACGTCTGTCGCGTGACCGCGAGCGTTCCCGATGTCTGTGACGGCGCTCTCGGTCCCGTGAGCGGCTGCGTGATCGGTGTCTCCTCTTGCGTTCGCGATCATCATCTCTGTGCCTCCGCGACCTCTCCTTCTTTTCTTTCCTCCGCGACCTCTCGTCGTCTTCGCCATCTTTTGCCTTGGCTTTCATAGCGTCGTCAACATCCGCCTCGTGTGCCTTCTGTCCGAGTGGCGTCAGGTTGGCATTGTCCTTGGCGCGCTCAGGAACGGGCAGGCCCATGGCAGCAAGCATGGCGTCTTCTTCGGCTTCCTTCAGCTTGCGCTTCTCCTCTTTGATTCGCTCAGCCTCGGCTTCCTTGGACTCGGCGTCGCCCTTTGCATACCAGTTCAAGTCGCGGCCTTGTTGCCAGCGACCCACGGGGGCCATGAGCGAGTGGCCCAGGTAGTTCTCGCGCTGCGCATCGCCTTTGACATCTTCCCACTTGAACTCGGCGCGGCCGCCACTGTTTGCTTATTAGCTCTTATTCCTAGTCCAAGAGAGTAATTTGACGTACCGGCTACCTTCCTTCCTGACTGTCTGAAGTAAATCCATGGTGTTGAGGTTGTTGTGAGTGAGAGAGCGACGAAAGTTGCGGCGAGTGACGGAGGTGCGACTTTAGCTCCAAGGCCCAAGCTCCCTTCTCCCCCACACCTCACCATCGCAAACATCGAAGAAGGCACACCCAAACCAACACTCACAACAACGCGCGACTCAACACCCAAGATGGCCCATGAAAGTGCCCCTTCTCGACGAACAGGAATTTATCGACCCCCGAATACTCCACGACTTGCCAGGCCAACATATCGACCAAGCCAACAACTTCGCATGGTACTTTGCCAATTCGCAGTTCTACGACGCGTCGTCCCTTAACCAGGCGGTTTTCAGCTCACATCAAGCCGACCCTGCCAAATTTGAGACTCTCCATAACCGCAGGGATTTCGAGCGAGCTGTGCAGAATATCAAACATGGCTTGCAGTTCATGGTCGCTGGGGAGCCACAGGGCGAGGGCCAGCCATGGCTTCTGCAACGACAGCACAAGGTGCCGAATGCTGAGGATGAAGTCGAAACCCACGTCGAGGGAAATTACTACAATCAGGGCTTTTACATCAGGCAGGCGCCGAGCGTGCTGGATGTAGTAAGGGCGCGAATGGTTCGTCAAGTCACATCAAACACCAGGGAGCAAAACTAACACTCTACCTTAGCTCGCCATATCCACGCGCCTCCAGCAAGTCGCCGAGCTCTCGCAGAACATGACGCACTGGACTCCCGCGACGGGATACTCATACTACCCACCTTCCTACGACTCGTCCAAGCCAACAGAAACCGCAAGTCGCATCGGCAGCCCCACGCTCGCGCCCATGGACCTAGACCAACCCGAAGGAACCACAACAGCAGCCCAACCATCCGAGCCCGCCGAGTCCACAACCGAATTCTCCGACGCCCTGTTCATGCAATCACTCATGCTCACCAATCGCTACGGCGACGAGTACATGGACGAGAACCCACTGAAGGGCGAGCCCGGCGCGTTCGTCTTCACAAACACCAAGAACGCTGTGGGAGAGCGGAATAAGGCGCAGGAACAAGCTGCTTCCCAGCCCGCTGCTGCTGCTGCTGCTGCTGCTGCTTCGAGAGTGGATACGCGACCGCCTAGTGTGGCGCCGTCGGTGGCGGCGACGCCCAGGGGAGCGCCTACGCCTGTACCAGAGGCGCACAGCAGGAAGGGTAGTACGGCGAATGTGCCCAAGGACAAGAAGCGCGAGAGGAGGAAGAGCAAGGGGTTGGCGAGTCCGACGACGCCGGGGGTGCCGCCGACGGGATAGACGGCGTGGGAGTAGCGAGTTTGCGAGTTTGCTTTCTTTATGAGATACCCCAGTAGATGCAATGAATCTAATCTAATCACGACCATAACTGTAATCGTGTCGGGCCAGTCGAGGGTTGTGCATTACGCAGAGAGCGAGGAGAAGCACCATACAAGGTCTCTACGGGGAGCAAAGGGGAAAGCAAGGCGAAGAAGCTGCTATGTATCATCGGCAAGCTACGTAATTAGATTGCTTTTGACTTGGCTATATACATTGTAGAGTATTCAGGTGTATGTGAGAACGACTGATGCAGCAAGGGATTGCCGCAGTATGCCCACCTCATAGTGCCTGCAAAGTGACCAAGTTGCGTAGTTGATATCCCATGTACGCCCACCATCCTAAATATCATCCAGTCAGCCAACCACCTCACCTCACATCGCATCACAGCAAACAAAAGACAAAGTTTTGAGTGGGTAAATCCC